CTCGAGATTTTTGAATTTTCCAAGTTCAAAAAGTTGCAATATTCCTTTTTTCACACCTTTTCCCTCACTTGACCTCAATTTTCCGGATGAATCATCATCAAAACACATGTTGTCTTCTACTTCTATGTTTTTTTAGTTTTCTTTTTTTTTCAAATCCTCTTTTTTTTCAATATAAACAAAAGTTTCAAAAAATCACAGACTATAGTTCAGGAAACATATGTTTTCTGGTACATTGATCAGAATTCCGTGAAAATTAGTTGCATCTTGATTGCGATCTTTTCATTGTTTTCTCTTCTTCTTGATTGACAAGATTCGTGTTGATTTTTTGAGCTTTTTGTTTATGACGCTGAAAAATTACTGTAACCCAATGGGATTTGAGATTTCGAATGCTTTTAATTTTTATGCTCTTATTTTGATAAGTTTCAAAGTTATCGTGAAGATCAAAATATATAATATTTTTCCAAAAATGTGAGTGAAACAAAATTAGCTTTTTCAACTTCCGGAATATCATCATTAAGAGACAACTGTTCCAGTAATAAGAACTACTGTAACTGAAAAACGAACGCAACAATTTTCCAATATTTTTCAATATTTTTTTTAAATTTTTAGTCTTGGAACCGAAAAATATTCTTCGCAGGATATTAAAGACTATGCCACACTCATTTTTGAGTTTCCAAATAAACAGTAATTTTTTCAATCTGATTGGAATTCCAAATTCAGTTTCAAACAATTTAAAAATTAGTTTCGAAATTTAGAACTCCAAATTTTTCAGTCTAGAAAGTTTGAAGTCATCAATCAAGATTATGGGCTAAAAGTGCGAGCTCTAACTATGAGAAGATGAAGGAATTTTCAAGAAAAAAAGCTTCGATAAGTTTATTTAGATTGTACTGCTTTTTTAGAATTCTAAATTGTTTACGAACTTGAATAGAAACTTTTAAGGCATTTCTAGAAACTTGAGAAACATAATTCAAATTTAAATACATAATTAAAATATGTATTCAAAGTATTTTTATCGCTTTTAGAACATAGCAGCTTGTTTTACAGTAGTTTTTTTGTTCTTCATGGCTTTTTGATCTACGATTTTTTTCGAAATTCCCGACTAGACACCGCAGAAATGCCATAAAATTTAAATCCAAAAAAATCCAGAGAATAACATTTTAATATATTCCGACATGTCTACGGGTGTTCTTTAGGCAAGAAGTAGAACGAGTGTCATAGCAGCCCACGCTAATTACCACCCCCGTCCGTTCGTTTTTTCTCCACATATATCTCAAAAACTCTAATCCTTCAAATTTGTTCACCTGCTCATTTATTCACTCTCATACACATACATAAATATATATATCGCGCAGGCGTTTTTCTTCTTCTTCTTCTATTTTTTGCTTTTTCTCTTTTTCTAACTAACATGGATACGTCATTGAATAAAATAATATATAAAATAAAATAAATATATGGTTAGCGCGGCGGAAAAATATCCATATACATTGTTAGTTAAAAAAAGAAAAAAGTTGATTGAATTAATAAATATCTCTTCTGTATGTATGTTTTTTCAGCATTCTTTTTTTTATTCACATTCACATTCCAATTCACATTCTTTAAGATCAAAATTTAAGATAAATTATAACATTTTGTAACAATTTCATTTCTCATTTGAGAAACAATTATAATTAAGTTTTTGTGTAATTTTACATTTGGCGAGCAATTAATTTTGTGCATTTGCTCCTCACATTTATCGCCCAATAAAATATCAATAAACAACGTTTTTTCTACCTTTCTCTAAAGTTTATGACAACGATCAAAAATGTTGAAAAATTTTATTTTTTGGGCTATAAATTTTTTCGTACTTAAACTTGAAAAGTTTCCCGAAGTTGTTGAATATTATTTCTCGACTTTGCACGCACTTTCACTAATTAAAAAAGTATATCATATTTTTTGCAGAATTTGAATTGAAAATTTCTTTATGAAAAATTCAGAAAGTTCACGTTGTTGTCTAGAACGTAGGAACTTCTGGAAAGTCTGTTCTTAACGTTTTTCCCTCAGTACTTCCGAAAAAAAGATATTAGAAATACAGTTTCTTATTCACAAAAATTCAAGAATCAGAGAACTAGGAGCTCTTCACAATTAAAATTGTTTCTGTTGTTTCGAAGATGTTTTGATTACTTTTTCGACTTCAGATACAATAACTTTTGAATAATCTAATCATAAATCAATATTACAAAATCCTGCGACATAAATTTCTTTATAGTTCTTTTACATACTAATGTTGTGAAACATTTGACGAAACTCAAAATGATTGTAAAACATTTTCAATTTTTTCCCTCTTCCTTTTCAAAATCCTCCCCCCATATCTCGAAAATAAAATTCCACAAGATCAAATCGCAAACGAATGTTTTTGTTTCACCTTAAATCTTATAGCGATTACAGTACTTTGTTCGACAGAAAAAAATAATAATCCGATTACGTATGAATGAGTGAACATCATTAAATTGGACGGATAACACCAAACTCTTTTATTTTCTTCTTTTTCTTACTTACCCTCGCAGAAAAACTGAAAACACTTAAAAAGAGGAAAAAAGAAGAGGAAAAGGAATATCCCCAATTTCGCTAACTAGTTATATATTAATCATCCATGTGTTTTTTCTCCATTTCTTCCTTTTTTACCTCGTGTATTTTTTTACCATACGTCCTTCAATGTACTTGCCTATTCCTCCTCCTTCAATTCAATTTCAATTGAATTCCATTTCAATTCACCTCCAATGACTCATAGCCATGTTTTCTTTTTCTACCGTTCCGTTTCCCACTTATTGTTCTGTTTGGTAAACTCATCTCAAAATCATCACCTTTTTTTTCAGCAAGTTTGTCATAGTGAAAGAACAAACTTCATAGTTTTTCCGCATAACACCATTTTAAGAATTTTTGTGACGCACTTGTATTAAACTTTCATTCTGACCTCAGTAATTTTTGTAATAATTCTTTTTTGTAATTTTCTCTGCAAGAAATCTGATCTAAGAAATTGAAAGAAAAGATCGTGGGTGGTCTGTTTTTCATTTCAGTTTTCTAGAAAACAAGACAATTTTTCAAAAAGTTTGAAAAACACTTTTTTTGAATTTTGATTCTAATTTAAGTGAACTTTTATGACCTTTGGAAAAAAGGAGAGAAAATATGATCATTCAAACTGAGATTTTATACCATCTATCGAACTTCAACTCACAAAATTTGTAGAAACCGTTTCTAATCTCACCGGATCCTTTTCGAAAAACAGACATTGGAAACTTTGTCCAAATTCATTTCAAAAATCCAAAAAATTCTCGAACTTAAAATCCGTGTTGTTTTTTGATCTATTAATTTAGATCACGACTTAATCAAGTGACTCTCCAAAAATCAATGTTCCTTTAATGTCAAAAACACTTTTCCTCCATAAAAAACACCGTGATAGATCAGCTGGCTCAAAGCGTTTTTTAAACAAAATAAACAGACTATTTCTTTCCTCCTTTTGCTCATCCGATTTGTTTATTTTTTGATATTCTTTTTTAAAAAAGATGATGCCTCAACTTGACCTTTCTGATTTAATACTAATAATGATTCATATGGTTTTTTGGGGCTTCCGACACGCATTTTATAAATAAACATTTTTAGTCTATTTTTATGGCCCATCTTGACGTAGTTATCAATTTTTAGACAGATAATTTCAATAATAATAAAATGAGAATTTGTCAACAATGAAAAATATATTTACATATTTTTGTTGATTTTCAATTTTGTTTCAACAATTCGTTTTCCTCGAAAAATAAGAGAAAACCACAAAAATGTTCCATTTATCATCAAGCTTTTTCAAAAGAAAAAAACCAACCAATTTTCATTTTTTTTTTCGTCTTTTCTTATTATTGGCGCAAAAATTCATGTTTTCTGCGTGCGCTAACTAGAATCAAATTCTCACTTTTCACTTTCTTCGCAATTTCGTCAAATCATGTTTATTTTATGGTATTTTTCTGATTTTCTTTTTTTTTGGTATTTTTTCCAGCTAATTACGAGGGTTTTAAAACTATAGAAAACTAGACTTTTGCCTAGAAATTTTGTAAGGGTGATAGGAAATTTTTTAATGAAAAAAAAAGGAAACAAAGTTTCAAGTTTCAAAACAAAATTCGTTTAATTTAGCCTGCTAAAATAAACAATTGGACCACCCACGACGATTTAGATATTTGATACTTTAAAATTAAATTAATTATATATCAAAAACTTTGCAAAAAGTAAAAAAGAAGCTAAAAATAGCTTTCGTCGGCCAGAATTAGTCTTAAATTTTTCGTCATTTCAAACTAGTTTTATTTGCTAAATGACGTGGTTTCGGCTGGCTCGAAAATACTTTTTATAGACTCTGAAAAAGAAAAGGCAGGCAGAAATCCATGCATTTTGGTTTTTTCCTCCTCGTCTTTTGCTTCTTCTCTGTTCGGCTTCAGCCTTCAGCCTTCAGATAGCATGTCATGAAGCAATTAGGAAGCAGACAAAAAACGAGACATTTGATTCTTTTTTTTTGACATCTGATTTTTTTTTGATTTCCATTTATTTGAAAAGTGAGAGTGAAAATTGAAAATTGTAAATTAGTATCATTTTTTGGTTCTCTCTCATCTGGGTGGTCTTTTTTGTCGGCGAGAAACCACATTTTCTGCCTGGTTGCTTTTAGCTTTTTTTGTGACACCCACTTTTTTCAAGCCCATATTTAATAATGGAAAAGCTTCACCCCTCTCTCGTTTCACAAAAAAAAACAAACAAATAAATAAACATTTATCCGTTTTCGATCAAAAAATTCGTTTCAATCCGTTTCAATCTCATATAAACATTCATTCTTTCATACCTCTATCGATTTTTGGTTGTTCATAAAATCGTTTATGTTTTTCCTGCCACCTTTGTTTATATTTTCCTCGACTTTATTCTAATAATAATATTTATTAATTGAATTTGTGATAATTTAAAATTTTACAGTAGATTTTTTGCGGCGCGGGTAAATGGATATGGCAACGTCTTTTTCGGCGTATTCGTCACACGATAGCACATTGATAACACCCCCATCGACATCATCTTCCAATTGTGTTGGACATCAGAATGATAGCGACTGTGGAAGCTGGTTAGTTATTTAGAGAATTGGGTTAAAAAGGACTATTTTGGGAGTCTAGATCTATGATCTGGATCATCAGGGCGATGATTTTATTTTCCTACAATGAAACGAGCACTGTTCCAATTTCTGCAGCTCTCTATCAAATAATTTATTCTAGTTTGTCACAGTATTTTGAGGAAAATCATAGAGAGAAATGGGAGGAGCTTATATTACAGTACAGTCAAACATTTAGCTCATAACACTCGTAACGTTTTTCCATTGGGTGCACAATGCTACAAAATTGAATAGATTTTTCAAGTTTAGGCTCAAAATATTGTACTCAAAACCAAAAACCAGATTTTAAATTTTTGATGATATATATGAGAAGGAAAATTCTCACATTCAGATTTATTCTCCTTCAGATTTCAAAATATCAACACTAATATTTACTTGGGATTATTTCCTTATAACAGCTAATTTTCTATTAAGACTGTATCAAATTTTCAGAGATTTTATATCTCATGTATTGTGCTTCAGGAAAAAATTCCTCTTCCAAATCATACGACCAGTTCTCAGTTCAAACTATAAAAACATTATTTAATGAAATTCTGGAAGGCCTACAAAATCCCTAATTAATTGTTAGAAACATTGACTCACAATCAAAATCAGAACTATTCACGTGAACTTCCTCCAGATTTTTGAAGTCATCTTATTTTAATTTTCCCCCATAATTTTTGTAAGCTAGTTGTACTACCAATGTTGCGATATTAGTTAAAAATATCTCAAAGATCGTTTCTTCGAATCATATAAAAAAGAATACGTGGGTTGAGAAGAGAACACTCCAAGAATTTTTAAAGTTTTTGCAGGTGCTTTTTTTCATTTTGGTTTATTGATTTTCCGAAAAATTGGTCTGGAACTCCAAATATTTTTTTTCAAACAAGTTTTCCTAACCCATAAAATCATCAACAACAAATATTCAATTTCATAGCATAAAATATCAATTGAAGTGAAATGAAATGACGTAATAAAAAATAATAATATTCTCTGAAAATTTCCAAAGAACGCTTGTATTCTTCTAATTTTCCCTCGGGCTCTTGTCATCAATTTTGTGACTAACAGTCGTCTTCATATTTAGGTACGCTTCTCACATCATATAAAACATGACAAATGTTATTTTTACTCTTTCCCAATTACTATTTGACGTGCTCTTTTTCCACACACACAAATTGAAGAGGCGGAGTATTCTCAAAAAACATCATATTTCTTTTGCATACTTCTCACTTTTGCATATCCTTTTTGACCCAATCCAGATGTGTTATTTGATTTGATAGTCTAGACACATCTTATTTTGTTTATTTTATAATTATCATAGTTAGCTTAACTATGTCTCTATGAGAAGCTCCACGGTAAAAAAAATAAAAAAGAGAAGGAAATTGTCCGGAAATTTTTTATTTGATTTGTTAATGTCTATGAGAATAATGTGCATAGTGTGAAATTTTCTGGGAAACGACGCAAAATATACATCTTTCCGCTGAAATTTGATATCTTCTACATATACTGATTTATTAGCACATTATTTCTTTCTGCATATGTACATATATCAATAAAAACCCTTTCTTGGGCAATTCGGCAATCAAGTTCAATTTCCGGCGCCAACACCAAAAATTACATGTTGTTTTTTGTCTTGGGATACGCCGCCCAACCTTTTTTTCGTTCTACAATCACCTTGGAAACCGACACTGATTTTTAAGGGGAAGCCGAATGTCGTTTTTGTCCTTTCTCTCATTTTTGCTCGTTGTATATGCTGTGTGAAGACACGCCCACAAATTATTGTCGAGCAACTCTGATTTCATTTATTCATTCATGATCTTTCCCTTTTTTTCCAGTTTTTGTACTCGTTTTGTGTTCTCAATCCTTTGAGAAAATAGAAAATAAAACACCTAAAAAATTCAATTTCCAAGGCCACAAATCACTTAAACCATTCTTTGTCAGTCAAAAAATGCAATATGCACAAGCATTTGTCAATCGTCCAATATATAAAAGGGCTTTTTTCCTTTGAAAAAAAAGTGTTCTTTTTTCGTCCTCTTCGTTTTTTTTTGTTTCGACAGAAATAGAAATCGTGTGGCGCATCAAAAATAAAAAAAAATAATATTTGAAAGAGCTCCTTTTTTAATTGCGGGGTTGTTTAGTTCACGTCATTCCTTCTCCTTTTTCCCTTTTTGAGCCGAGAAGAGCCTTGCTCTTTTCATACTGCACTGTCAATTAATATTCATTTTTTTCAGTGTTCCCCCATATATAAATATATGTATATGTATGTATAAAATTTGAAAAATCAAACATTTTTGCAGCTCTGGTTTCGGTGGCATGCCAAATCACGATATTTCCGACGAGGCGGCTAGTTCAACATCATCTCATCGACCACAGCGAAAATCTTCAAACTCCGTGGTTCAACCACAACCACCACCACCTTTGATGCCTCTTCCACAACAACACGCTGTTCCACCAAGTATGCAAACATACACCCATAATCCACTTCCACTACCAACACAACTTCAAACAATTCCCTATCATCATCAACAAATGGTACCACAGTATAACACACAAATGATGGCGTCACAACAACACGCGTTGTATACTGTACCGCCACCAAACATGCAGGGAGGACCTCCGCCTCCACAGCCCCCTCAACACACAAATAATGGGGTTCCACCTTGGATGGGAAATGTGAGCAATGGGCCAGCAAACAGTATTTTTGTGCATGTGCAATCTGGTGAAACTTTGACGTTGTATAATTCTGGAGAACCACAACATATCACTGGTGAGTTTTTTTCTCGAATTGAGGAAAATTATGGGGAAGAATCAAAAAATCATCTACAGTAGAATTCAAATTTTTTATTGAAATACCACGTATCAAACATACCCAGGATCATTTTTTGCACGCAGCAAATAATATATCGCGTGTTCTCACATTTTTTTTCTAGAATAATTACTTTAAAGGTGAATAGCTTGAAATAACCTGAAATTACATACAGTAGGATTTTCCAACACACAATGTATTAATCGTACCCAGAAGCAATTATTCTCAAGTTAAAAACAAAGTTCGCATGTCCACCTAATTGCCATATCAGAAATATTGATTTAAAAGCTACATATCCTGAAGTCACCTACAGTATGCCATTTTATTATTTTCTAACACGCAATGTATAAAGCATACCCAGAAGCATATATTTCAGAGTTAAAAACAACATTCTTGTGATCACCTAATTTTCATATCTGAAAAAATGATTTTATAGACAAAAACTTAGGATCACCTACAGTAGGTTAATGAGTTTCTCACACGAAAAGTATAGCTATAAAATTTTTGAAAAAATAGTTTGTATGTTCACATCAATTTTCCAGTGATTTTTGATTAAAGATATTTTCGCTAAATTAAACATTAATTGATTATCATTTTGAAATGATTCATGCTCAATGAAATTTGAGAAAACTTGCACTTTTATAACAACAGAACTAAACCAGAACCCCACAATCAATGATATTTTGAGTTATTCTGAAAATTCGTCATTTCCCTAATTTTCGATCTCTCCACAAAACCCATGTCATAGAAAACAACTAGTTAGTAAGAAACTCGCTCTCATACTCGTGATTTTTAATTATACTTTTCCTTCGATTTTGCAAAACAAAAATACTAATCTCAAGTAAATGTTTTGTCTAGACTTTTAGTTGTACATAAAACATAATACAAAGATTAAAATTAGAAAAAAATTATTCATGAAATGAAACAAAAAATCATTCAATTTTTCTTACAGAAAGTTTTCCAGGACCGGCCTCTATAAAAATGGTATCTGAGGGAGGTTTTTCAAATCTCCCCTTACCAGTGACGGTCACACCTGGACATCAATGCCATCAATTTGTTGACGAATTGGTAAGACCAAAACTTCTAGCGTATTTGAGAAGTGAACAACTTTACATATCTTGTCCAACTTCTAAATACCCCTATCAGTAAACTCGTCATTTTTTTCATATTTCATATTCATATTCATTCATATACGCACCATTTTTCTCTCTAGGGTATTCTCCGTCACGTTGTGTTGTCTCTCGAACCACCGAACAGTCGCACTCAATATCCACGGGAAATGAATGTAATTTCTCGACTTTTTCCAACTCTCTCAACACATCCCCTGTTTTTCTAGGTTCCTCAACTTGTTCAACCAACACCTTCAACATCAACTACACCAGCGCTTCCAGCTCCAGCTATTTCACCGTCTCAACCAATTTACAACGGATTACCACAAAATGGACTTCTCCAAACTCCTCCAAATTTTCAACCAGTTCCACAGCAACCACTTCAAGGAACTAGTAACAATAATAATAGCAATATCAGCAATAATAATTACAGTGCTAGAAAATGGATACCAAGACTACCAATTACACAAGAAGTGAGTAATTTCTTCTTGATTTTTTGATATTTTCTATTTTTATGACCATCTTTTTCAGAATTATTATGTTGATGTTGATCTACCGGATCCTGAAGAAAACGAACGATTCAAAAAACTGTTGGGACTTGCGCTTGCACCAACTATTGAACTTGTCCTAACATCAGATGTTGAAGTGAAATGGCGGAAGATTGATTTCAATGATCCAATGTTTGCTGGAGTTTTGCCGCCACATGCAGATCCAGCGGAGATTATTTATTGTGTTTCGATTTATGAAAGTACTGGGAGACATGTTGGATCATATCCGTAAGATTTTATTCTTCGTTTTTGAAAATTTTATTAATCTTTCAAGAAAAATGCATATTTTTCAGTTGTGAGCCAACTGCTGGCGGGCTCCGAGTTTCAAGTTTGCGCCCGAATACCGATTATTACGTTCACGTAAAAGTAACTATGGAGGATCGTGGTATCTACGGTGATCCATCGCCCCATTTATTTTTCCGAACTGCACCCGGACGACCAGAACCACCATTAATTCCAACATTGATGAGTCGCACCAGTGATTCTGTTCATTTGTCTTGGAGACCGTCAGTAAACAACGGTGCCGCTGTGAATCTATACAATGTTTATGTTGAGCCATTGGGTGAAGAAGGAAACTCCACTGTCTTGCAATTTGGTGATATCGAAGCGAAGATAAATGGTTTGAAGCCTGCGACTGCTTATTCATTCCGAATCACTTCTTTAAACGCACTCGGAGAATCTTATGAAGCATCAATGATTGAAGTTACCACTAGACCTGAAGGTTATCCACTAATTCCACTTCCACCAGCAATCAGTTCAGTATCACATCGAGCAGTCAGATTGAACTGGTTGCCAATAGTTCAATGCACTTATGGAGTGAGTAAAATCATATGTTTTTCTCCAGAAAACTACTAATTTAGAAAAAAAACATCATAATTATATGTACATGTTTTTGAGATGTATGTAAATAGTCTATTTTTAGATCGAAATGAATGATGTGATAAAAGGAACATGTGGTATAGTCAGAGATCGGTTAACAGGATGTATGATCACAATTGGCGATTTAACACCGTATGTTTTTATTTTGAAAAACAAGTTACGAAAAAAAAACTTTTATTTTTTTTAGAAATTCGGAGTATCATTTCCGATTGATAGCTAGGCATCAAGAAGGAGAGGTGACAGTTTCTGAATGGATTAGCATTCGCACACACCAACAAAGATATCAAAATAACTATTCACAACCGCCACCAAGTTTGGTGCAACAAGATATGGCTCCAAGAGTTCCCACCAACCCAGTTTTCATTCGATATGTGAATCGGAAAACTGAAATGGGTTGGAAATGTTATGGACAGATTACCAGAGATAATGTTTATAATTTGGAAGGTGCATCCTATAGTCAACCCAACAAATTTCGATCAATATATCGTGGACCTGCATTGTCTTGTGTTATTCAAGACGATGAGATTCAATATGTCAGAGTTCAAGCGATATCTAAGCGTGGAGTTGCAAGTGATTTTTCGGAGAAGATGGTTGTTCCGAGACCAGATGTGTCCCGTCCAGAGAAACCGGATAAAATGGCGGCACCCGAATTAACAATGATCAGCCGCGGGAAATTGCAAGTGTCATGGAAACGAATCACCAATAGACTTCGACCAAAATCAGTTGTTACTTACATGTTGCAAGAAATTGATTCAAGAGGCGAACCAACACCAATTTATAGTGGAGGAGATGATGAATACATAATTGAAAATGTGCCAAGTGAGACAAAAATCACAATGAGGATTCGAGCAATGGTAATCTGGAATGATACAACAGTTAGTGGTGATTGGAGTGAAACAAGATCAATTCATACACCAAGAAGTCTACCTCTTCCACCGTATGATATTGAATACGTTCAAGATAAAAATATGTTGGCTTGGAAATGTAATGATAAATCATCTGATATGTTATACTTTATCGAAGTTGTTGAATGTTCAACTGATGATGTCACCAAATATGATACTCGTGACAAATTCATATTTCTCAAATCGCTTCACTATGCTGAAAAATATTCAATTTATGTTCGAAGTTCTCACGGAGGTGGCGATTGTGTAGAAGTTCAAACCTTCGAACTAGAAACCCCTGCTGATATTCCATCTCAACCACAAGCTGTTACAATTGCTGCGGAAAGCTTGCGCGCTTTGACAGTTCGTTGGACATCTGCTGAAAATCACGGAAGTCCAATCATCAGTTATCGATTGATTATATCAAAAGATAATCAATTCATCAAAGAAGCCGCTGTTGTTGGATATGACAATGAGTATATTTTGACAGATTTGGAACCAAGTACAGTATACAAGGTTGAATTATACGCTGAAAATTCAGTTGGAACTGGACCAAGTGTTACTATCAATGGGCGGACTAAAGAATTGCCACCAGTTTCACCAAAATTGGAATGTGAACCAGAAGCGACTGCAATGCGACTTCGCTGGAAAAACACATCAAGCGCACCTTTAGTTTACAAGTAAGATTAAATCCATTTTTCAAGGGTTTGATGAATAAGTAAGTTTTTAGATTGGTTCGACTACGCAACGAGCAACAAATAACAGTGTATGAAGGTGAAAACCTCACTTCTCGAGTCAAAAACCTATCGCAAGATACTGATTACACATTCCAAATCAGAGCTACAAACAGGTAAAATTGGCAAGTCGATTTTACATTTTCTAAAACATCATTTTCAGATACACTGGAACATCGGTTTGGTCAGAACCTACAACTTTCCGCACTTTGTTAGCACCTCCGCCAACAGTAAGAATTGCACCAACAGCAACTCAAAGCACAACAATGATTGGTTATCATCACGTCGAATGGTCAAACGTTCTTCCAACAAGTTCATCTGTCAAGCAATTTTATCGTCTCCAAGTTGTAGAGGCAAACGATTCTACAGCTCGATGGCATACAGTTTATGAGGGACCAAAACCTTCATTCAACTTGAAATCAAATATTTATAAAAGTGCTTTACATTTGCGAGTATTTTGTGTTCGAATGGAACCGGATGGTGAAACTAAATCACAAACTAGTCCAGTTACTTATATATTAAATGAACAATTGGAGTTGAAAGAAAAGGAAGTGGAGGATGATGATAATCTTCCAAAAACATTTATTGATAAGATTAAATATAAGTTGGATTATAAACAATATTCATTAACAACATCTGTAAGTTCTTCCAACATGTTTTTTTGTTAAGAAAAAGGGGCAAAAAAAATCAAGATGTAGTTTTTGGAAAAATAACTTGGGCATTCTTGGTATTTAGAAAAACCAAAAAACCTTCAAATCGAATTTTTCAGGCTCTCGTGATCAATACAATTTTCCAGGCTCTCGTATTCATTGGTCTTATTTGTATCCTCTATTTTTGCGACTATCTATACAATATAACCGAGAATTCGGGGCCACCCACACCAATGGCACCAATTCAACAAACCCAAAGTACATATACTCCGAGTCCCCCACAACCAGCTGGTAATGGTATACATGTTTCGATATCACATCGAGATCTTTAATTTCGAATATGCTTTAGATGTTCCCAGTGTCATCTTGAATTATTTTATTTGAGATAATTGAAATTTGTTCCCCGTAATTTATTAATTTATTAATGTATTCTTCAATAATCTACAATTCCACATATCTTTCTTTCTGTCCGGATTTGCATTTCATTTCATTTCATCCTTTATCTGTCTATACATATTCTGTCCGTGATATTTCCAACAAAACCACTTCTTTTTTCCCTATTCATTTCACATTTATAACAACTTACAAGTTAGTAACTGAAAATCATCGAAAATCTCTCCCAATTTTTTTTGTTTTTGGTAGATATTATTAGCTATCTCTGTGATGCGCCCGCTGATTGCCAACCATACATATGATACAAATTTTACAATATTGTGACACTTGCATAATTTTTTATATTGAATTATTTTTGTGGTTTTGAATGAATATTTATTTTTATTTTTGTTTAATCAAGAAGGTACGGTAAATAAAATTACATAAAATACAGTTAGAATGAATGCGATAATCAGCCTTGTGAATTGAACCCATGTGATGTTTTCTGAAGAAAATTGTCTCGAATGATTTCTTCAAATTGTGTACCTACCCTTGTAAGCAACCCAGCTGGTTTTTGGCAAGAGTGTTTGAAAGTCTACATAACCAGAGAGTCTTCTATAAACTTTTGGATAAACCGGAGCCCAAAGAAAAAGTAAATGTGACAGAAGACTCAAGAAATTGAAAACGATACAAATGAAAAATACCAAAACACACCACGGTATTCCATAGACACTTGGAACCTTCTGGAGCATAGTTCTCATGAATAAAAATTGGATTATAATTGTTGACATCGATAAAAAACAAGATGTTTTTAAAGATAGTATCAAAAAGGATGATATGTTCGAAAATAAGCAAATCTGACATAAATAAGAAGAATGATTTAAATGAAAGTTGTCTGAAACAAAAATGTTGAGAACTTACAATCGTAGGCATTGTAAATGTTGCGAAAACAAATGGAGCATATCGTTTGAAAGTAAATGTGACTAAATATTTAGGGTTGTCATTTTCGACAGATGGAAACCATTCTTTGATATCTATCAGCTTGAAATTATTAATCCGCATCTTTTTTCGATACTTCGCCCAAACTGAAACTTATTTAATTTGAAAAATTTCAATAGTAAAAAAACTTGAAATAAAAAGTGTTTCACTGGAAAATATTTTTTCTTCTTTCTTGCTTGAGGACAATTCATTAAAAAAAATCACACCTGACTTCACCATCTCAACATCTGCAAAACTTTTGAAAACCAATCCATCACTATAATCAAGCAAGTTTAACCCAAATGTACAGTTATTCACATCGTTCGGAAAATTATCAAAGTTGAAAATACATTGAGCTTCGATATCAAAACCAGTTTGTTGAGTAATTGTAGAGCTGTTTCCCTGAAAATAATAAAATTTGATTATTTTAGTTTAAGAAACAAAAACATACATCATCATTCAATTGTACAATAGTTCTAACCAAATATTTACCGGGATTTGCATTTACCCGATTACCATTATTATAATGTTGAAATTTGGGACTCCATATCTTTGTAAAATCTATGAACAACTTAGATATATTTGAAAAATCTTCTTTTTTCCATGAAATCAACTCATCTTTCCAAGACTGAAATTTTTCAGATTTTTTGAGTAACATTATATGAAAAATCTTACCATGAGATAAAAAACCTGAATTTTCATAGATTCACTTTGCTCGTGAATAATTATTCGATCTACCGCGCAGAAAATATTGATTGATCTATAATAAATATCATTAACATTTCTTGTAAAAGGTGTCTTCACTTTCTTATTTGAAAACAACCCACCTAGCAGATATTTTCTTAACATCATAGTTTTTATAAATATAACTTTCAAGATCATTTCTAGTTTGATTACAAAAGATAGTACTCAGAGAAACCAGAATTAATGCAATACACAAATACATATCTATAATAAATTGTTTATTTCAGTAATTCTATATCATTTGCTGAAAAATCTTCTAGAGTTTCAGAAGTGTTTATTTTCCAACTAAAAATTTGACAATCAAAACACAATATGTTACGAGAAGAGCGATTGCGAAAAATGTTCGAATTATTTTGAGCAATGGTATTTCGTCTGAAATTTTGCACATTAGTGAGATAAAAAAAAGTTCAACTTACCTTTGATAGTTGTCGATTTTGAAATAATTGACAAGCTTCGTTTGATTTTCGAAATTGGAATATGATCAAACTTGATTGAAACAAAATGGAGAATCAGGGAAAAGAAATTGATGAACATAACAAACATGTATAATTGAACACATTTCGGAACAGTATTGATGAATGGAGGGAGTTGTGTGAGAAAATCTTTCATAAAAAGCATGCCGAGCAAAATTGATGCGAATGAAATAAAACAAGAAACAAGAATTGAACTAGTCAAAAAAGAGAGCATATTCAAAATTGCACAAATCTAAAACAAAATTTTTTAATATAACAAATTGTTGTTAAAAAAAAAAGGACTCACGCAAATTGGAATTGTGAAAACTGCGAAGAAATATGGAGCATGGCGTTTGAAATAAATAAAAGTTCGATGGGATTGTGTCAGAAGATTGTGTGATGAGTCAATCGAAAGAGAGACTCTTGATGTTACATTGAGAATTTCAAATTCCGAAACTATCATTTTTGGGTCATTTTCGGAAAATGCTGAAAAAATTCAATTTTCAAATTATCTTCAAAAAAGTTTACTAATTTCTGTAAAATACTTTGGCGAATCTGGATTTTCCGGCCTGCAGCTCTTGTTTATCTAAACTTGGATTTTTTCTACGTAACATGGTGTCTAATCAATTTTTAAACATACTACATTATTATGAAAAAAAAAGTTTGGTAACACCGTAGAAAAAATGGAGCAGTAAAAATCTCACCAAAAAGAATATAAAAATTGTTTACATTATTTTAAAAATACTGTAAAAGGTCTACCTAAATCAACCTTTCTCGAATTCCATATGTAATCTTTCAACAAAACTTTTGGACTTTCAGTATCGTATTCCACAACACAAAAATTTTCATCAGCTGGAAAACCATCGAAACTCATTGTGCATTCAAATTCCAAATTATATCTAAACTGTGTTATGACAGTCGCTCGTGTTGCCTGGAAATGTTGGTTTTTTTTGGAATCGATAACTAAAAAATCTCTATTGCAGACAAATTACATTTTCTTGCATTTCTAGGGTCACAAAAGGTCGATCTTCTCGTCGTGGTTTTCCCCCTATCATGAGCATATTTTCAAAATGAAATGTTGGTTGCCAAATTGCTGCAGAATTAACAGTGATTGTTTTCACATCAGCCCATTTTTTGGGATCCCAGGCTAGCCGTTCATCTTCCCATACCTCAAAGAGAAATTTCGGTTTTTGGTTTTCAATAAATTTTTTTAAACTTACAACAACATAATATATAACAAGAAACATAGTTTGTTTTACTGGATCAATTGACATATGTTGAATAGCTGGATTGACGTAGACATTCAAATAAAACCTATTAGAATATTCGTTACTCTTGATTCATTTTTTTAGAAAAACAAAGCTTACTCAGATTTTCTAGAAGAATAGTTGGCTATCAAAGAATCCTCAAGAAGTTTGTGAAATGATTCTTGAATCATATCATTCAATTCCTTTGCATCGTCTAATACTTCACTCGTTGCTATATCTATCAATCCTTCCACAGAAGCATTGCAAGAAAAAACACATACAGACAAGAATAGTAGCCAAAACATTTTTGAAAAATCAAAAGTTTTTTAAATGAACAAAAATATATCTTGTGTATTTTACTAACAAATATGAAATAAATTGTTTATTGAATTCTCAAATTACAGTGGGGCCATTTCACTGTTAATTTTACGATAAAGTTTATTTATCAAAAAAACGAGAGATAGCGAAACGGAGAATATCAATTTTGTGGAAATTCACATATTTTACATTAAAAAAAGCAAAAATATTTCTGAAAAAAAGTTTTGCCAGATGTCTCACTTTTATCTAATCGACTTATGGACAAAGGAACATTTTTTCCAAACATGGTGGATTTTTTCAGAAACAAGATGTACTCAAAAAATTATAAAAGAAGAATCAACAAAAAATGTCGCAAAGTTCATACACTGGAACAAAACTTTATTTCATTATCGTGCGAATTTGTGTACATTTTTTCATCGGCTTCTCTTTGTTGAAATTTCAGAAAAGTTTCCATATGTACATTTTCAAGTCTAATTAACTGCGTTCTCACAAATGAAAGAAAATCTGCGGACAGTCATGAGGTTGTGGGCGAACTTTGTCCGGTTCCGCCAACATATGTTAGATAGTGACTGTGTTAGTCGGCAGAATAATAAATCAGGTTCAACCTCAGAATTTTCCCACTTCGTCATTTTTTTCATTTGGAATCCCTTTTTTTTATTGAATTTTGAAAGCATCACTGTGTGAGTCATTTTTTCGATTTTGTAATGGAACATTTTGCATTTACTGTGAATAAATTCATGGTCTTTGACACTTTCAAAATAATTTTTTTCAGAGGAGGTATTGCTTTCACAATTTTTCAGTTGAATTAGGAGAGAGATCAAACAATTTGCATATATTTTTGGTTGTCAGAACACCAATTACTTCTGTCAAGCTGAAAATTAAAGGTTACACCTGTTTTCGTATAGTTGAACATGAACACTAACCAATTTTTTCAACTATTTATTTATGCACGAACAAACATGATTATCATTAATTTTATTTTTCATAACCTTGACTCACCTGATTGGTGACGGAGCAAAAAACATTGAACTTTTAAACAAAAAATGTATACACAAATATAATTCATCTAGTACATGAATTATTTATAAATAGAAATGTATATACACATCCTGGACTTTTCAATTATTTTTTGCTTTCGAAAGGAAACAAAAACAAACAATTTTTTTGATTAAAACTTTTTTGTCTATTACACTCGATGATTCATTTTATGAAATGATGAAAAAAATGGCGAGAGTTTTCTGAATTCGTAATTGTCTCATCCATTTTCATTATTAATTGACTTTTGAATGAAAATTATGTGGGTGTGGAAGATTTTTTTGAAACAAATAAATTGTGAAAAATATGATAAGCTGATAATAATTCAAAGTACACAGCTGATGTTTTTTTGAAGACGATTGATCTCAATTTTATATTTCATGTTTATAACTTGGTTTTATTTACATTCACAATTCAATGGATAGTATTTTAATAACATCTAAAAAGTGCGATGAAAAAATCCTGTGAGCAAAGTTGTAGAGCTTCAAATTTAGAAAAAAAAATATTATTTGAAAAATTTTGTTTGAAATACTTCAATTATTTACATGTCTAGAAAAAAATTGTCGGAGCTAATTATTTTCAGATCTTTGAAGCCTTAACTCATTGCTGCTGAAATTATTTTTATCGATTTCTCAGCAAGCTCCAAAAAATTCTTTTTTTTCAATCTGGGTTTGTTTATGAAAGATTTCAAAGTAGAACAACATCTGGAGCCATTTTTTCTAATAAACACTCGAGCTGATTCATTTTCAATGTTGTATACGACGAGTTTCGTAATAAATAAATGCAATCAACGTGTGTTATCAATGATTAAATTTTCTATCAATAACCAAACAGAAAATTTCGCAAAATTCATCACAAAATGTTCTCAACAAAAAATCTTTTACACATCTTTTTGCTCATAGCTTCTTTATGAATTCCATCCCTCAAAACAGCATCAGCAAAAAAAGTAGTAGTAGTAGTAGTGGGAGACGAAGAAGAAGATGAAAAAAAATGCGACGGACAGCAAGAAATTGAGAAAGAGGCACAGCGCAAACCAACAGCCAGCAGCAGTCAGTCAGGGAGGGAGAGAAAATATACGTATCGATTTATGTTTTCTGCATCTTTTCCCTGTCCTCACTCTCGACACTCTCGTCTTTCACATCAAAATTGTCTTGTCTTGTCCGTTTTGCGGTAGTTTTTTGGTGAAATGCGGTTAAAAAAGGCCGATAAAAGAGCTATTCGGATTTTATTGAATGTGAGAGCTTTCTTTTTAGGATAATGTGTTTTCGAGGGATGGCATGGTTCTGAAAATGAGTTTTTTTCATTTGATCCTACTTTTTTGAAATTAATTGTTTTTTTCTCTAGAAAAATCAATAAAACTTCCACGTCATCTCATAATTCATACAAATATGCGCATTTGTAATTTTTCAAAATTTCGAAACTCGCCTCTCTTCTCTATCTATTCATTGATTTTGCAATTCGATTGTTTATCGATTTTTCGATTAGTCATTGCTCATCTTATACTGAAAATGTCGACACAGAACATTTTCCTCAACTAAATAGCTTTGTACAAATAAATAGACACATATAAAACTGCCCTTTTAGTACACCATCCCAGGTGCCTGCACTTTTCTTTTTTCTCATTTTCCCACATTTCCTTTTCACTCTTTTTCTGAATGAAAAAGTGTCCCTTTGTTCCCGGGAAACAGAAATTCTCTTATCTCACAAAGTAACAAAAAATGTTGTTTTTTGCTACCGTAATCCTTTTTTAATCCAACTAATATGCACTTTTCTTCGTATTCTAGAGCTGTTTTCAGTGGCACAGTAACCCCGACACATTTTTGTACCTGAAAAAATGTGGTTTAAGAGGTGGGGCATAGTACGATGGGCGGAGCTTGATAAATCCTCTCCGATGCACTTTTTAAGCTAGTCGGCGATGTCTCAGAATTATTTTTTTCTCTCGCTAATATTTTCAACTACCGTATTTTTTATAATGACGTGTTGTGCGTGCATTTTGACACAATTTTTTATTCCATGAAATTGTTTTAGAAACAATAGATAGTTGCATGCACTCTGATCTCTTTTATTCAATTTGAGTTATTAAAAAAAAGTAATTTCTGTTAGTGTATCTAGGGGAAAGCTCCTCTCATTTTCTAATACCCCCTAATTATTTTCATATAAATAGTTCTTCATTGTACTAATTTGCGTTTCTATGGTAATTCTTGTTTTCGCCCGTGATATATTTATTTAATTTTGTCTAATAACTCTCACATAATATGATTTTTCTTTCAGTAATTTCAATTTCCGTATGGAGCCAGCGAGAAATGATCAAAATCAGGCCAGAAGCAGACATCCAGATTTGAATATCAACAATCCAACAAGTTCGAGTCTTGAAGGTGAACATATTCCTCCCCTCCCAATTCGATGTCTTCGCAGTGAGCAAGCAAGAAATGCAGCATATTTGAGACGTCCAGAAATTGATGATGAGTTGCCAGAAATCAAGGTGATGAAAAAAATTGTTGACGAATCAGAAGATCAAGACGGTTTGATCAACGTTTCAAGACACATTCCTTCACCATTGCCAGTTGAGGGACACGGAAGGAGCGAAGATGAATCTGCAGGCGATTTCTTTGGCGCAACAGAGGGTGAAGGAGTGGTTCTTCCAAAATACGCCTGGTCCTGGAGAGATGTTAATGCGGTAAGTTTTGCTAATTTTCAACAAAAAAATCAACGATTTGTTTGTTTCAGCATCCACTTCTAACCGAGAAGGGTGTTCAAAACACCAGAAACAAGTGTTACGCAATTTCAACTCTCCAACTTTTGGCGCATATTCCACCAGTTTTGAAGATCGTTGAAGATCATCGCCACGAAGATAATGGTAGGTTTCTACGAGCGGGGAAAAACATAACAAGGGAACCTTTCTCAATTATTGTTTTCATGTTTTTATTAGAGTGATGGTTTTAAATTTCCTTTTCTGTGAAAATCAAAAAATAATAATTTAGCTTATCATCGTCAGTGTCTTGCATGCGAATGGACCAGATATATGCTTCACGTCAATGTGCGCTCAAAGGACACGTCATTTGCCTGGTTTGAACGATGTTTCGAGTCGATTTGGCCAATTGTGCAGAAGGGCGAGCAAGAAGATGCAACGGAGGCGCTCTTCCATATTTTGCTCAAACTCGACTACATTGCTTCATCCAACTATCCGACTCTCACCAAATTTGTCGCTTCCGAGGATATTTTCGGGTTCAAAATTAAAATTGAGCGACGCTGTCATGATTGTAATTTCTTGTTCTCAAATAACCAAGTGCACAAAGCATTAAATTTGACATTCCCACAAGATCAGGAAAATACTCCACAATACCCATTGCCAAAATATGCCAAGCATCCGCGAAGCAAACGTGAATATGATCTCGATGAGTTGTTCCAACATTATTTCCAAATCAATCGTTTCTCTTCAATTTGTGACAGATGCAAAGAGGAGAAACTTGTCTCGGAACGCGCCTATATGTTGAGATTCCCCAACATTCTTTTGATTCATATTTTGAGATTCAACGCAGGTTCTGGATTCATAAATAAAATTGATAATCCAGTTGTCGCACCAAATGGGTTGAAATTGGGAAAATATGCAACAGCAGAAGGAGTTGAGGCGGACTATGAGCTTTCCGGAATGCTAATTCATAGTGGCTCAAACTGTGAGAAAGGCCATTATCACACGATTGTCCAAAAATATCGTCAACCAGATGAATGGATTAACTTGGATGATCATATGGTAATTAATCAAAATTAAAAAAAAAATATTCTAAAAAATTACTTGAATTTGTTTTACAGGTTGGCGAAGTCAAACAACGATTTGAGAAACAGGCATATTTATTGGTCTACAGACGATCTGCTCATGCACAAGTTGACAAAGTGTATGTTCGTGATTATTCACGTCCTTTTGATTATTCTTCATCTTTCCTGACATCTGATCATGACCCACCAGCGGCTCCATTAAATGGAAACTCAAACTCGAAGAAACGTGAAAGAACTCCACCAAAGCGTGAAAGTCCAAGACGTGGTGCAAAAAATGGGAGTCCAAAAACCGACGGGAAATGATTTAATAAATAATAAATAACTTTTTTATCTTTCTTTCTTCATTCCATCATTCATATCATTTTCTGATTATACTTTTTCTTAATTCCTGAGGAGCTTTTTGCTAGAAAAAGCTCTTTTAGATGCTCACCAGCTCGGTAACATATCAGGATAATAAATTTTAGTAAATTTCTCTGTCACATCCAACCTATCCTGTTTTTTTCATAAATTTAATGTTCGAAAATGTTCCCCTTTTCCTATGTTCTCATTTTTGTCGAGGTTGTCCCTGTTCTTTTGTGTACATATAAATAAATAAAAATTTTCCTTGGAAATATGTGAAATAAAAATACAAATAATGTTTTTCGAAAAATACTTGAATCACAATTAATTTTTCATAAGGCTTGCCATTTTGGTGTCAATTGCAGCTAGAAAATCTTCAGTCACAAGATATGCGCCTCTTTCTGATCCTTTTTTGATTCCGTGAATGCAAATTGAGAGATCTTTGGTCATTTTTCCTTCTTCAACTGTTTCGATGCAGGCTTTTTCAAGGGTTAGAGAGAATCTGGAAAATTTTAGGAATTCTATGAATATTATTTGAAAATTTGTATTCGATATATTTCAATGGATCAACTGAACTTCATTTTTTTGTATTACAGTACAGCGAAACCCCGTGACGTAGTTAAACTTTGAGCTTTGATTTTCAAACTTCGTTTAACAAAAACATATTTTCAGATGTCTCTGGGATTTGTTTTCAAATCGGATTGATAAATAATAATCATCAGAATGTTTTCGAAAACTTGAATAGTCAGTTTGGTTTATCTTTTGTGATTAATTTTATAGAATGTGGAAGTCAAGTTTTGAAAAATTAAAATAGTACGTTTAATTTGTATGTCAGCCAGTAAAATACAGGAAACCCTTTAGATCTTTGAAACCCCAAAAAGACACAATTACTCGTTTTTTTCTCTTCTTCATTTTTTTGCTGCTCAAACTCACTTTTTCAATGACTCGTTGTTGTCAAGAACAGCTCGATGATGAAGACCTCTTGTCCATGCAAAAATTGAGGCAATTGGATTGGTCGACGTGCTATTACCCTACAACTTTTCTTATTCTTTGCTGTTTTTTTGAAAGAGCAAAAATCAAAAAAACCTTTTGATATTCTCTATAATGCCTGGTGACAGTTCCATGTGCAGCTTCAGCTTCTAAAGTTTTTCCATCTGGACACATTAAAACAGATGACATCAATCCAAGTGATCCATATCCTTGTGCAACAATATCACTCTGAACATCACCATCATAATTTTTACAAGCCCAGACAAATCCTCCGGAGCTTTTCAATGCTTGAGCAACTTGATCATCAATCAATCTATGTTCATACCAAATATTTGCAGATTTGTAGTCGGTTTGGTAATTGGCCTCGTAAATTTCTTGGAAAATATCCTTGAATTTTCCATCATATTTTTTCAAGATTGTGTTTTTAGTTGAAAGGTAGAGTGGCCATTTTTTCGAGAGTGCGTATTGGAAACATGAGTGAGCAAATCCACGGATGCTCTGATAATTAATTTAATTTAGGAACGTTGAAAAAACTTCCAGGAAAATGACAATTCGATTAATTAACTTGAGATAACTTCAACTCAATTTGCGAGAGGTATTTGAAATTTACAGTTACAAGATATTTTTTGTTCGAAAATTTAATTTTCCTATTTGTTAACTAACTTCATCAGTGTTATACATAGCTAATCCAACTCCAGCCGAAGATTTGAAATCATAAACCTTGTGAACTTGAGTAGAACCATCTGCATTTTTTACAACTAACTCAACAGTCGAACCTTGTGGAACAACTACATCTGTACATCTATATTGATCACCAAAAGCGTGTCGACCAATTGTAATTGGCTGCGTCCATCCAGGAACTAATCTTGGAATATTATTGCAAAGAATCGGCTCTCGGAAAACAGTTCCACCAAGAATATTGCGAATTGTTCCATTTGGTGATAGCCACATTTTTTTGAGATTGAATTCTTTGACACGCGCTTCGTCTGGGGTGATTGTCGCGCATTTAATTCCAACACCGTGTTTGAGGATAGCATTGGCGGCGTCAACTGTGACCTGCAAATGAAATTTGGTAACAAATAAAGCAAATTTTTTATTCTGGGTCAATTAGAACATTTTTCCATCCCATTTTCCAAGTTTCTGAATAAAAAATATTTTTCTTGGATGTTTGGTTTTTTCCGGTTCCCTTTCCCGTTCCCCAATTTTTTGCAGAATCTCTAATTGGAACTGACATGAAATTGTACTTCCTTTTTACGAGTACAGATTTATTTCATGATTGAAAAAGATTCCCAAAAAACAAGTCAGAATATATGTTTCTTGAAATTCATCATATTTTGATTTTGATTTTCTAAATTATAATGAAAAAATCCAGAAAATATTAATAAAAATTTGAGTTTATATAACAAAAAGCTCAAAGAAACACCCACGAAAAGTTCAAATTCAAAATACTTCTCATAAAATATACCCTTCTTTCTAATTCCCAAAACCAACCTGATCATTAGTTTCATCTCTATAAGGCAATCCCAAGTCATAATATTTGATGTCCAAATCCAAATACGGAAGGATCAACTGAAAAGTTCTCTTTTTTCCAAAAACAACGAAAAAATGTTATCTACCTTGCTTTTGATCTCCTTCCATATGATTCTTGTCATCTCATCTCCATCCAAATCAACAATTGGATTAACAACTTTGATTTTTTGGATAGTTTTTGGTGCGGAAGTTGCAATGCCTCTCACATTTTGAAATCTCGACAACATTTCTGAAAAAATACTACTGAAGATAAATATTACAACAATTGTTAGGTAACAAGAAAAAAACAAATATCGATTATTGGGAGATAAAGAAGCATGGGATATTATTATTTTTTTGTTTCTTTATGGCGAATAAATGAATACAACTGATAAGGAAGTGTACTTTTATCATTATTTTCTTGAGAATTACTGACCTTTTATGATGCAAATTTAATCTGACCTCTGGATAAATTTGTGGCTAGAATTTCAGAGATTTCTAGAAATTATAAAAAAAATCCTGATTTTCACTCTTTGAAACAATCACCTACCCCTCCCCTCGCTTACCTAATAAGAAAAAAGAACACACAAAAATAGCCTTCCCTTTTTCTCAAATGACCATATGGCCTAGAAAAACAAAGCAAACATCGGCCAGCTTCCCTATCCTCTTCAGAAAACAAGCGTTTTTTTCTATTTGTTAACTTTTGGCGTTTTTTTTACCTAAACTACGTTTTTTCAATTTTCAGACAAAAATGATAACAAGGAAAAAATGGCAATTAGTTTTAATAACCGTCTCTATAATTTTTCTATATTTACTTTTGCATAATAAAAAAACTGCCAAAACATCGACTACAATTGTGATTTATAATAGGGTGAGTCAAGTTTTATCTTTATTTTCGGAAGCTCATTAAAAAAATACATTTCAGATTCCAAAAACAGGCTCGACGACTTTTGCAAATGCCATAGCATATGATTTATATGATGTTAATAATTTCCATGTTTTACACTTGAACATGACAAAAAATCGACAAATTATGAGTTTACCCGATCAACAATTCTTCATCCAAAATATCACAAGATGGAGTGAAAGATTACCAGCTTTTTATCACGGACATGTTGCATTCATCGATTTTCAACGGTATTTTTTTTTAATTGTTAGTTGTTTTCATTCCTGAAACATTTTTTTGTCCAGATTCGGTGTCGCCAATCCAATTTATATAAACCTTGTTCGAGAACCTTTGGAAAGATTGCTATCACATTATTATTTTTTGAGATATGGTGATAATTATCGAATTGGTTTGAAAAGAAGTCGCTCTGGAAATAATGAGACTTTTGATGATTGTTTTGCTAGGGGCGGCAAAGATTGCGATATGAAGCAGATGTGGGTGCAGATTCCGTATTTTTGTGGACATTTTCATTTTTGCACGTGAGTTTTATGAAAAACATTTTGAGAACAACACGCAATTTTGTGAATAGAAATTATGAAAAATTGGATTTGGGGGCCAGTCTGAACAAATTAATGATATACAGATCTATTATAACAATCATATTTAGAGTTCTGTAAGAACTTGATTCGAAATTTTTTCTAAAAGTTTATTCAAGTTTTTGAGAAATAACACCATTTAAGAACATTTTATAAAAAAGTTCAGTGTTGTATTGTGCAATTCTGATAGTGAAAAATAGAATCCCTTTATCTAAAAAATTCTACCAACGTTTAAAGGTTCAGAAAACATTCCAAAAATAATCTTACTACACTGTAAACTAAGTCAAACAACAATTTCAATTTTTTTGTTTCCAGAGAAGTCGGCAGTAAACTTGCGCTTGAAACAGCAAAACGAAACGTCCTTGAAAAATATCTTCTCGTCGGTTTAACCAGTCGAATGCGCGATATGATCGGAATGCTCGAAGTTACAGTACCCGAATTTTTTAAAGGCGCATTGAGTCACTTCGATGGATTAGATGGTAATTTCTCAATTTTCGTGAATAATTGAAATGAAATGAAGGAGGAATGTGTTTTTTCCAGAAAATCGGTCTCATTTACGATATACCAAGAAAAAAATAGCGCCAAATGATCAAACATTATCAATGATCAAACGGAATGAAGTTTACAAAATGGAAAGAGAATTGTACGATTTTATCGAGGAACTTTTTGATGCAGTGTTCAAGTAAGCAAAAATTTTCAAATATTGAATTTAAAAAATCAAACAAAAACAAATTGTAGAAAAGCCACGAATGGAACATCAAATGCAAACGATCTCATCAAAATTGGTCCACAATTTCACTTCGAAAAAATCAAACCTTTATGAGCTTTTTTTCAATTTATTTTCATTTTAGATGGTTGTTTTTATTGTTGTGTGCATATATCTTGGTTTTTCTTTCATCACGGGTTGCCAAATTTTTTGCTGATAACAGAAATAATATTGATTTTTTCTTGTATTTGTTTCGTAAATTAAACTAAATTGTACATTATGAATACGTTTCGCATAGTTTTACAAAATTTTGATCGCAAATTTACTACTTTTGCTTTAAAAGTTGATGAGGTGAGAATTGTTTTATTAGTGTATTAATCTGAATTTAAAAAAAAAAGATTTTTTGAAGATAGTTGAAAAACGGAATTTGTTGGGAGTTCCTCAGCCTGTTTGGAAAGTTTTTCAATTTTTGGTTTATTTCAATGTGTTTTGGTCAGCTTTCACTTTTTTATGCGGAGTTACGTGTTTTACATTGGGATTACATTGGTCGACATTTTATTCGAGGATTAATTGTGAAGATGGAATTAATATTTGGATTCCGTTGAATAATGTGGTGAGTCTTTATAGGGTTGTTTTTCACCGGAAAGATCTTATGGGACTATTCAAGTTATTTTCTCAACGCTGAGAAAAGCGAAGAAAACCTATTCAGGTAAGCTGAGAAAATACGAAAAAAAGTGGAGAAAATACATTTTCTCTGCATTTCTCCTGTTTTCTCAGCGTGTTGAGAAATTACTTGAATAGCCCCATTAGGGAAGTTTGATTTTGACGTAACATCAAGGTTCAAAAACACAAAACATATATTTTTACGTGTTTTTGAACCTTGATGTTACGTCAAAATCAAACTTCTAAATGAATATAAGCCTAGGTTTAATATCGTATGTCGTACGTATCTTTAAAAGATCCCACGTATTTTTTGAAAAAAATTCATTTTTAAAACTTGGCAGATTCATAAAGTTTGTAAAGTAAACATGTGTAATATTAATGAAATTATTTTCCGAGAAAATTATCAAAAAACTTCCTGGTTCAAAAACCCAAAACCCCTTTCAATTTATCAGGTAGCCAGTTGGACAGGTCTCTTCGCAATCCGATCGTTACACATCCGCTGGTCAGCATTTGTTCATTTCGTATTTACTGTAACAATGACCCCGCTTATGATTTTCGCATCGCTGTTTGCCACACTACAAATTAATGTGTAAGTAAAACCGAAAACGGTTCCACTTTTTTTCTGGAAGCGAAACGGAATTTTTCTTTCCTTTTTCAGTTGGAGAGAAGAACAACGCCTTTCACGAGGAGACAAAGATTGGGGCACTCGTTGTGCGATCATTAATTTCATCGTCGCCCTTATATCATCAATAGATGGTAAGACAAGTTGAGAAAATATTTAAAAAAAACTAATAGTTTCAGTTTTACTGTCACTATGTATTATTGGTGTGTATTGTGTATATTGGTTGCCAGAGCCAACGAGGAATCGGAATGAATAAAAATACAAATAAAAGTTCAATTTTTATTTGATCGAAAGAATTCTAAAACCAGTAAACTGGCGAAAAATTGAAAGAATTTGAAAAGGAAATTAATATCCTGGTGCGGTACGTGGTGGTGGACAATGATCGCAAGATCCCTTGGCTCCAGCATTTCCAGGTTGTCCATCTCCTCCGTTTTCTCCATCTTTTCCTGGTTCTCCTTGGGATCCGTTGTCTCCTGGTGGGCCTGGTGGTCCAACTCTTCCTGGGCGACCTGGGCGACCATCGGCTCCATTTTCTCCTGGTTGTCCTGGCTCTCCTGGTTGTCCCGGTTGTCCTGGAGGTGATGGAAGTGTGCGAACTTGTCCAGCCTGTCCTGGATTTCCTGGTTGACCGTCTGTTCCAGATTCTCCGAGTGGCCCACGTGGCCCTGGTGGTCCACGATTTCCAGCGCGTCCTTGGTTTCCTGGCTCTCCTGGGCCTCCTGGTGGTCCTGGTGGCCCCTTTGGTCCTGGTCCTCCAACTTGTCCTGGTGGTCCTGGTGGGCAATTGTAGCAAGGCACTGGTGGCTTGTAGTGGATTCCTTGCGCGTCAGCGTCTGGTCCTGGAGCTCCTGGAGTTCCAGCCTTTCCGTCTTGTCCTGGTGTTCCTTCTTGTCCTGGAACTCCAGCTGGACCGGTGGCTCCTTGTCCGCATGAGCAGCAAAGTTCAGCAGCTTGACGTTTTCCTCTTCCAGTGTTGACGTTTCTTGTAAGGGAAAGTTTCTCAATTTCAACTTTCATGTCCAAATTTTTCGATTTGCAGAAAAGCAAATCATCGGAGAGACTAGATTGGACAGTTTGCATATGAACACATAGCAATGGAACCGCAATAATTGCGATCAAAGTGGCGACTGTTGAAGCAGCAACTCCTTTAATTAATCAAATTATTTAATTTTTCAAAAATCAAATCTAAAACTAACCGAAGAATGCAAACTTCTTGAGTTGCTCAGCTTGAACAATCTTTGCCTTCTCGTCCATGACCCCACAAGTGTGATTTTTCCAATCTCTGAAAATAGTTTAAATACTGTTGTAGACTGGTTGTACCACGCCTACCATTTCTGGAAAACCTTCTTCTTTTTTTCTCTTTTCCTGCTGACAGAGAAAAAACTGAAAGAAAAACGAAAAACTTTATTAGTTTCAGTTCTTGACTGGTATGTATCAATGGGAGGCATTTTTGTTTTTTGTGCATAGTGTTGACAAGCAGGCAAGCAGGGAAGCAAAGTGAAAGTGTAAAGGCATGCAGGAAGAAATGATATATTTGATCGATTTTTAATGTTTCAAGGACAATTATGCCTGGATCATAATTTGTTGTTTTTTTTTTCTTGGCTAGGTTCTTCTTCTTCTTCTTCTTTGTTTTTCGTTTTCTGATGGGGAGATAGCGTAAACAGAAATTGATTTTTTGAACTTTTTTCTAGAAAGTACAATTTGGGTATTTTCTGAAACCGATCTAGAACTTTATTGATGAATTATCTTCCTGGTTCAAAAATACATAAAACTAATCAACGATGATTTTTAATGGCTTTCTCCATCTAGCAATGACACATGGGAAAACAAAAAATAACAAAATAAAACATTTTGTGACAATAAGTACCTTTGGATCAATTTTTTGCGAAATTTTTTGTTACAAAATTGCAATTCACGAAACGACACGAGTTCAGGTTTTGTGCGTTGAATTCTCGCTACCCGCTTCTCGCTGTTTGGTCCTTTATCCAGTAACGTACATTTTCGGAAAAAATCTCCGCCGTTGTCATAAAAATCGGGAAAAAAATTTCTTAAGGAATTGTACACTGACATGAGGGATTTTATTGAATGTTAGATCTTTTCCAATGTATTCAAGATTTGAAAATTCTGATTTTCCGTTTTTAATTTCTCAGTTCTATCAATTCTTCACGAGATTTTTTTCAGAAAATTTAGTGTGGCAAAATCAAACCGGTCACACTATGGAAGAATTGTGCAACTGAACATTGAACATTGGCAAACTCATTTCATTTCACTACTTTATTTATAAAAGTAAAGTTTCGAATATTTGTTCCTAGTTCAAAAATACATGCGGAGTATAATTGATATGATGAAAGGGAAGAGTTGTTATTATTTCTCTAATTCTCCTAATTTGTCATGATATCTGTTGATTGCCTAGCAACACATACGTGGGTAACCGAAAGTTGAACAATATTGAGAAAACTATCTATATAGAAGATATAAAAGCAAAAATTTGGAGAGATTTTGTGAATAAATTAATTCAGAATTTGATAAAAACAAGAGGAATAATCGTTTTGAAGTATTTTTTTACAAAACAGAATTTTGTATTTCCGAGAAACAAATAAAAAATTCAATCTTCTCTGCACAATTTTATCTATGAAACATGTGAGAAAAATAATTAATTTTTGATGAATAACATTTTTTTTATTCTTTCCATTTTTAATACATTGTTCAATACACTGATTCACATTTTCCGTTTGTATTAAATTTCAGAATTCATCCAGAAAGTGATCGTTTTCTTTGCTCATAAAATAAAAAGAGGAAAAATCACAGATATACAGTAATCCTCACATAATATTGAATTGCCAGATCTATGTTTAAATTCTGAAAAAAATGGAGTAACCCTATGATTATTTTTTGTTAGGCCCTTTTTCTACTATTTGATTTCAGATGAAATAAAGGTAGGTGAGTAAGGTGAGAGATAAGATATTATAATTTAGAGATTTTAGACGCAGATTTTATCCTATTTTTGGGCATCTTCCCATTATAAAAAACGACCAGCGTCTTTTCGACACACTATTCAATAATTATAATTATATTTTTACCGAAAATGATGATTGTTTACATGCTCAATAAATTGACTTCCAAAGAACGAAAAGTGAGTTTTTAATAATTTTTTCAAATAAAATTTAAATTTTTCAGCCTACTCTTACCGACATGCCACATATTGTTGCTGATAATATATTCAAAAATTTGAACGCTTTTGATGTTTGTAGATTACGCAGAGTCGCCACAGGGTTTCGAGATTATATTGAAAAGTATAAGATGGGTGAAATGTATGTTTTTCCTTCAAAAGTGTTTCGAAAAAATAATTTATTTCAGGGATTTTCAATGTACAAATTTGACAATTAAGAATGATGTAATAACAACAAATAGAATTTGGTTTCCATATTACGCAAGAAATTCAAAATTCATGGATTTACGCGAAGTATCATGGCCATTTTCAGAGCATTTTGACTTGAATTGGTTTCGCCCTCGTTACATCACTTATGCAAATTCAACAATTTTTGAATCAAACGAATATCTTCCAAAATTCTCAAAAGATGTTTGGATGCTCCATCTCGATAATATCATCAATGAAATAAATCAATCAATTCGAAAAGAAAAGCTGAATAATATTTGCAAAAAATTGAAATATATGAACGAATTATATTTTTTTGCATGTTCCGACAATTATCTAACCGAGGAAGAACTAGCAACACTTATTTTGAGTCTGAAACCGCGGAAAACTCATATATGTGTTGAATTCAATCAAAAACTCCCATGTCTTAAGAAATCAGTGCTTTCTGCATTTTGCGAAATAACACAGAAAACTCACGCTGCAATTCGAATTTGTCATCCTTTATATCACAAGCCGAAACCAGATGGGATTACTAAAGTGGAGCATGATATGATGGTTGAATCCTTTAGGTATTTGGATGAAGGAGACGTTGAAGGAATTTTATGGTTTCTTGAAAATCCAGAGGTCTGTGTTTAATTTATTTTCTATTTGAATTATATTTATATTTTCAGAACTCACAAATGTACAAAAACATTATCATTTTGAAATGTGATAAAAGAGTAAGAGATGAGATTTTTCAAAAAGTTCTTGAAAAATTTGGTGTTCTGATTCCAACTTTCACAGAAGACGACATTTCGATGGGACCACGCTGTATTTCTATGCGTGTTCGACAATAATTGATATTATTTAATATCTAATTTTGATTTGTATGCCTATTCAGTTTTTTTAAATAATGTTCTTTGTCAATCTTGTGGTTTTTAATAAAAATATAATTGATAATGGTTTTTAAAAAATCAATGGGGTTGTTTTTTTTCGAAATACGTCGTCAAAGTTTGATGGAAAACATTTCACATGTATATTTTTAGACGAAACCCCTCACTCTCCAAAAAGATCTTTCTTTTATAATAAACGTTATTATTTTTCCCGGGCCACTATGATTCTCTGCGTCTCCAATTTTATACACTATAATTTTCTCACCCCAAGCCACGCCACATCAAAACTTTAAACAATGATCATGGGAAACACAACATTTTATAGCAACGGCGCGTCAAATTTTTTTAGGCACCTTGTGTTGAGGGTACTGGCGCTTTTTTGAGGGTGTGTGTTTTGAAATTGTTCCAAATCCTTGAAAATAATCAAAAAATGATATATTTTCAGAATACTTCCTAGTTTTTAGAAAAATATCTTTCTTTGCTCTCTAATTTCCCAAAAATTCCTAAACAGTTATAATAAGTGCACATGAACATGCTAATATTTGTCTATGTTTCTGTTCTCTCTCACCGCAATCATCTCTCTTCCCCACGCCATTTTCTTTCACACCCTTTGTTTTGCAGCAATACCTACAACATTTTCCTTTTTTTTCAAATGAGCTTGTGTACGACTGTTGGCGATTATACGGTAAGCTTAATCCTAGCCAGTTTCTATTTTGAAAATCTGTAATTTTCAGCCTATCGTTGATAGATTGCCGATTGTTCTTCTTGGGAAAATATTCAATTTATTGGAGGCTCGAGATGTTGCGAAATTCAGACGCGTTTCAAAAGTATTCAAAGAATATGTTGAAAATATGGACAAAACAAACACGTATGTTTTTCATGAGCTTGGGCAAACCAAAGTTTTCACGTGAAATGAATAAAATTCAGTCTGAACTCTCTTCATTTTATGTTGTCTCTAACACTTGTATGAGCATGGAAAAGAATCTGTATCATAATAAATTGTGAATAATCACAATCCCATTCACAACACGTATTCTCAATCGAAAAACTTGATTTTTCCAGAAAACATTCGCTTCTTAAACTGCGAATCTTAAAAGACAAATTTGAATTCAAAAGAAGTAATCCGAATAGAAATCAATTTTCAAGTGAATTTATGAAAATTTATGGAAATTATCAACTGAATTGGTTTCGTTCTCGTTATGTGTTCTATGGAGAATCAACAATTCTCGAAACAGATTTGGATTTAACCAGTTTTTTGGAAGAAATCCATATGTTTCAATTGATAAATCTGCAAACCGAAGAAAACGAGAAGAAACGAGAGGAAAACGTGAATCAATTCTGCAAACATTTGAGAAACATGGTAGAATTGCGTGAATTTGGATGTCTTTATGAGCATCTAAGCAGCAGAGAATTGGAATTGATTTTGTCAAATTTTGCGACTCAACAAAATGTATCATTAGTGCGAATAAGTATCAAACTTCCTTGGTATGAGCCCGAAGTTATGAATGCAATTTTGAGATTAACAAATGATAGCTTAAAAATTCGTTTGGGTCAACCGAGTGATTTCCTTCCCTCGGAACATTTGGAAGAAACATGGTTAAATGGAATCGATCAATTTGTGCGAAATAATGACGTAGGTTTTTTGGAAAACGTATGGAGTATTTTATTTTAGCAAAATGCACGTTAAAAATTTATTCGACATATGTATGAACTAGATCATATCATGAAAAAGTGGAAAACGCAAGACATGAAAAAGCGTGAAAAATTATTGGAATTTAAAAAAATAACAGGAATCGTTCGAGTTTTGAATCAGAACCTTCAAAATTTGTTCAAAAAAATGTTGAAGTTAATCGTGCTCATCGGTTTATTCAAATTTTTCAAATTATTTTTTGCTGATTTAAACTTTTCATAACTTTACATTCTTATCAGTTTTTTTCAAAATAAATAAATTCAACAATTTTCCAGGAACCAGTGAAAATTATGGAACTAGTTGAAATCGAACGATCTACTGGTGAAAAAATCATCAACTATCTCCAAGACAATTTCTCCAATTGCAAGTTGACTACCTCAAATAATAGTGCCACTATTCATATCAACAATCGTTCAATTTGTCTTTCTTACCCAATCTTCCAAAGTTTCGCAAGAAGAAGTGTGAATTTTACTCTTTAATTTAAATAAAGATATTTTTTCACAAATTCAAATAATGTACTTTATTTTTGTAATCAAAAAATCTGACTAATTGTAGTCCTATAGCTGTCATGTGTCTGCTGACTTAATTTTTTGCGCGTCTGAATTTCATTTGTAATGTTTTCTTGAGATATTATATATCTCATAAAGAAAATGTGTGCGCCATGTTTGGCCTTTCCAGTTGAAATTTGTATCATTAAAACCTTTTTTTTACTTTGAGATCATATTCATATTCAGTTTTTTTCTGAACGAATGTCCCTAGTGTATTAAAAACGAGCTCGAATTTTTATGATAATATAAATATATATATATAATTCGGTTATAATTTTTATTAGAATACTAAATAGGAAGAGTTTTTCAGGGGAAATCATAACTATATGCAATTTAATCTCCTGTACATTGACCAACATTCAATTTTACATCGAACTTAATGTTAGTTTGAGCTGATTTATATCAATATCTAAATTCACGCATTCTTTAATTTTTTCACGCTTTGTTCCTTCCAACTTCATCTGAGAAACGAGAAACAATCTCTCCTCTTTGAAATTTTCAGAAATATTTCCGACACTCATTTTGTTAGAACAAAAGTTAGCGATAATCAAAATGGAACAAGAGCAAGAGAAGAATCAAGAACAGGAGCAGATTCAACAGGATGGTCAGGAGAAAAACCTGGAACAGGAAAAAGTAAGTTTGAAAGCGATTTTTGATTTTTTTCACAGTAACGAGATTCAAGAATTTTTTATGAAAATTTAACAAGACATCGTAAAACTCGTTGTCAAATATACAAAACTCCCAAATACGAAAAATCATTTAAAATATTATTAAAAACTGTAATTACAACCATGCCTTCTTTTCAATAATACTTATCAGGGTATCTCAAATAACAAACTTTATTCAGCTTCAAATATCTTTGTTTTTAACTTCAAATTTTTCAGCTAACCCTCACAACTATACCGATTCCAGTGTTAGACGAAATATTGAAATATTCAAATACTTTTGATGTCTGTAGATTAAGAGGAGTCTCAAAACCTTTCAAAAAATATATTGATCAAATGGATAAAAGTAAAAGGTACATCGTTTTCATCATTATCTAGTATTTTATTTCAAAATTTTCAGCAGGCTTTATTTTTCGCGATTTACAATCAAAAACAACATTATCGAAACTAACAGATCATTTATTCCACTTTATGCAAGAAAACCAGGATTCGATGCATATCAAGAAATAAAAATGCCAATGTTCAATAATCTTCAACTGGATTGGTTCCGCCCATCAAATATCATCTATGAAGATTCAACAATTTTCGAGTCATCCAAAGATTTGAAACTTTTTTTGAAAAAAGTCAAGGTAATAGAGATCTTGAATTTGAAACTCGAAACTGAACCAAATCTTCGCGAGGAACAACTCAATAATGTTTGCACAAAATTGAGCAGCATTGAAGCATTGCATTATTTCTCCTATGACGGAGATAATCTAACAGAGCAAGAACTCGAAAAAGTTATTTTGAGTTTGAAATGTCGTGGAAGAGCTTTTAAAGTTTCACTCAATCATCATCTTCCATGTCTAAAACAGTCAGTTCTTGGTGCAATTTTGGAAAACTCTAAAAACGCAATGACGTGTATTCGAATTCGCGATTCTCTTACATTTGCTCCAAGAGATATTCGAAGTACGCAAACTGATCCGATAAAAGATATTTCTGAAAATGATATCAGTGTAATAGTATGGTTTTTCGAAAATTATCAGGTTTGTTAATTATTATTCAAATCGTTAAATCGATGATTTTTTTTTAGAATTCAATTAAGGACAAAACAGTTTACATGGAACAATGTGAAAGAGTTGTTGGCACGAAAATAGCTGAAGGAGTTTCATCTCAATTTGGCCAAACTATAAATATTGATTCAGGTTTTAATACATTTCGCCTCGGAAAATGTTACCTTCATATTTCTTATGTAGATTAAGTTTTGATTGTTTTTTTTGTTCGTTAATAAAGTTTTCTACGTGACTTCTCCAATAGAGTGGACATTTTCGAAGAAAATCAAAATTCAGAACCTGGTGTTAGATGTTTATCTGAAACTTGTGATTAATTCAATCAATTTTTCGAAAGTCGGAGCAAACTCTACGTTAATTTACTTTTTTTTTCTTCCTACTTTTCACTAAAAATCCATTTTGGCCGAGTTATCCCAAAACCTCTTCCAATGCTCCTATAACACGAAAGGGACGCGTTGCGAGACCCGTATTTGTTCTCTCAATTTTACACACTATTTTTTTTCTCTATCTCACTTATGTGTAGATTTACGACAAAAACAAAATCGATTTTCGAGAAAAATAAAATATTTTATTAAATTGAAATGGAAATATAAAATAAATATGAACTGGCAAGACAGAAAATTGGTAAAAACATGACAATAAATATTTGTAAACGCAATTTTTTGATAAGTAAACACGTGGATTTTCACAAAAAGGTTGACATCAAAGGTAAGCATAAATTATAGAGGATCATATTCAGAGGTTTCCACCTGTTCCGGTGGTCCAAGAAAATCTTCAAGGATTGATTGAGATGTCTTTTCAGATTTCTTCTTTTTTGTGGTCGATTTCTTTTTTGGTGCAGTTTCATCAAGTTCGGATTTTTTGGATGTTTTCTTGGTTTTCTTTTTCTTCGGGATTTCCTCCGAATTTGGAATTACAACTGGAGCTTGAATTTGAATAATTGGAGGCTGTGGGGATACAGAGGGCAATTCAATTCCAAATTCTTCATCACTACTTTCATTTTTCAATGCATCATTCATTGTTGAAAAACTATTCGAATTTGGTGAATTATCATCACTTCCAAGCCAAGCATCCAAATCGGCCGATGTCATAACAACATTAATCGGTGATTTTTTATCATGTTCAGTGATATTTGAAAAATCAGAAGTGTTTGGACCCGGCGATTCAGTTTCAATATCTCTAGTGTTTTGAGTAACCGGTGGGATGGCTTCCAAAATATCCGGAATTTTCGCGATTTTTTTAACGCTTTCTCTGCGAATTTCTCCCATTTGCGCCATTTTGTCAGCAAGATCAGTATCATCCTCAAAATCTTCTTCGAACTTTTTCACCATTGTATTTTCTTCCTCGCTGAAAAAATTAAAATTGAAACATGAAACAAGCATAGATAACTTACCTATCACTATTTTCCACTTTTGTTTTAGTGATGCTCGAAGAAGTTCCTTCATTATCATTCAAAAAACTGTTGATTCCAGATTCATCATCGCCAACAATTTCAAATGAACTTTTTCGTTGGTCTACCGATACTTCGACTTTTTTGACGCTGAAAAATAAGGAATTTCAATAATTTTCAGTCAGGAATCAGTATTCGATAATTACTAGAAGAAAAACTCACGGAGAAGATGTTATAACTTGTCCAGGAATTGGTTGCCCTCCACCCATAACTCGCCCACTTGGTTGCATCGGAACTTTACTATTTTTATCAGCAGTTTCTCTTCTTTTTTGATTCACCAACTCAATGAATGTATCATAATTAGCTTCTGGTGTTTCTTGATAATAATCCAATTCATAATAACTTGCTTCAATTTCACTTTTATTAGTTTCCAATTGGCGCTGAAGACTTTCTCGTTGTAAACATAAAAATGGAATGTTGAAAAATTGATGAACAAGTTTCAATCCAAATGCATATCGCATTGAAGATGGAGTGAATCTTGCACGAGGTGAACCATCGGGAGATGGATGATTGCTGTTGAATAAATCAACAAACGTAGAACACTGAAGATCAGTTACCAAGCGGTGATGTCCCATATCCCTACGATTTGCAAGAATCAGTACCTGAAAATTCTTGTTGACGTGAGAAAAAAAAGATCAATGAATTCTTACGGGTATATTATTTGGAACATTAACAATTTCTCGTTCAACATATTCCCATGTCCAAGGTTTGGTTATATCAAATACAAATATCACACCGTTTGTTCCCTTATAAACATCAACAAATCTGGCATCGCAAGCTGTCTCCTCGTATTTCTGAAAAATGACAAACTAATCAGTATTATTTAAAAGATTTGAATATTCTCAATTTTTTAACTTTAAACTTTCAAAACATTGATTCAGAAGTGTCAAAACAGTTTTCAAATTATTTCGAATTTTTCATTTTCTTTCTCATTATTTTCTCGCAGCTTTTAAATTTTCGGAATTACTTAAAAATGGTATCGAACTCTTACCTCCAAAGCTTCATTGGCTTTGTTATCCGTCCCATTAGTTGACAATTTCAATTTATTATCTTTAACTCGTTTTTTTGTTGATTGATCCACAATATCCCAAACATCAACTTTGACAACATCATCCGTTGCTCGATAATTCCAATGTACATTTCCAACCTGTATTTCTTCAGTAGCCACATAATCTTCTTGAAAAGGTAAACCTTGTAACCTTTTCCATAAACACGTTTTTCCAACATTCCGATCACCGCGTATCACAATTTTCACTGAAAATAATTTCTTTCTTATATATTGAACGGTGATCTGTCCTTCCACTTGACCTACTTCTGTGCCCTAGATCTAATTTAAATAATTTGACGTGAAGTGACGCGTCTAAAATTTTATGAAACTTTGTGAGATATCATTGTAAGATACGACCTAAACACGTAGCCGAAAACTTCATAGCAACGTTTCATTCTTGTTTTTTTTCAAATTTCATAATTGCAAAAACTTACAATTATACTGGACTCCTTTCGCAAATTTCCTCTGCAATTCTGGATCCACCCGTTGTACTCCAATTGGCATTTGTACATTTTGCGGACCATTATGACCATCTTTATCACCACCAAGTTTTTTGCGAATTGCCGAAAACATTCTAAAAAATCGAATAAAACCTGCATACAAAGGAAAAGAGCAAGTAGTACTGTTGAATAAAACAACATAAAAAACATTGTCAAAGATAAGATAAGTGTAATTGTTTATTCATGTGTTAAAGTAATGTAAATTGAAATTAATTCAAGATTAATGTTAGGGTTTAACAGTTGTAACAAGTGTTGTGGATAATTTATAAGGGCAACAGGTTTTTTTACTGGATAATTGTGAAAAAAACAATTTCAATCATCTTCAGTAACTGGATTTTTTGGTTTGAAAGCAAACATTTTCACGGGATACATTTCTTTTGGGAACCCGGTTTGAAGATTTTTCGCTACCAATCGCAAACCAGCAGCATCTGCAATTTCAAGAACCAAGTCTTCCGGACGAGTCCAGCTGTTATCTTCGCTGTCAAATAATGGATTTGCGGTGTTTACCACATTGTCTTTGAGACAAATTGTTCCTTGTGGTTTGATTCCTTTCTGAAAATATGTTGGAATATAAATAGGCACATTATTTAAATTTTTTGATATATTTTTCACCAAGTCCTTTCTTTTGCTGTCAGTTTCGAATTGTGTAAAAATGGCTACATTGAAGTTAGAAATGGTTAGACAATTCTAATGAAGTTATATTGAAACATCGAATTTTCTGGATAAGCATCAAAATTCATTTTTCGAAAACCTCTCCACTTTCATAGTTAGAATAACTCTCCAAATTCACACAATTTCTTTTTTTCTCAAACCAATCAAAAACTCACGATGCATCTTTGGAAAAACTCCTTCAAGTCATCATCTGTCAAATGTCCACTGACCCATTGAATCCAAATCATATCATATTTTCCCAATGGTGGTTCAAAAGTCTGAAGTCCCTCCACAAACTTCTCACCAATCCCATCATCAGTTCCAATATACTCTGAACTTCTGACGATCAACTCCTCAATAACATCAACCATATCAACAGTTTTGAAGAATGGCATCAAAAGATGTTTAGTGACTCTTCCAATTCCAGCTCCACAATCCAAAGCATAGTCAAAGTTCTCAGCGATTCCCTTCTTTTTCAGATTGTTCAAGAATGTTTTGGACAACAGGATGTCTGGTTGATGGAGTTTTGCAAAGCCACCAAGCATTCCATCAACATCTTGACTGCATCTCGACCAATAGTTTTCTGCCTAAAAGGTTTTTCAAAATATTTATTGAGTTCGAAAAACCAGGAAAAACTAAACTAAAAACTTACATTTTCATAAACAGTATGAGGATTGCTTATATTCGAGTTCATATTTCGTCGACACCACACCAAAATCGATAGACGCGCTTTAATTCGCATATGCGCTCAAAACTACAACACTCCACACAATCCCACAGCGTCTTCGCACTCTTTCCCCTCTCACTTATTTTTTTCTAACAGAACACAAACAGATGTGCCATCCATTTTCTTTTATTTTTTGTTTGTTGTTATTTTCTTCATTTGTATCTTATATTGATTGATTAACTTATCAATTAATGAATATTTTGCAGATGGAAATCCCGACAGAATTTATTCAAGTTTTTCCGTTAATTGGATCAAGAATCGGCGGACAAATTGTATATGTGCGGTTTTATAATTTGACACAATGGCCGGTTGATATTATTTGGATGAGATCAGCTGTAAGTTTTTTAGCGTAAACAGAACATTAAAGTATTGAGCAAAAAGTGCAATAAATTTGAAATTGACCCATACGTTTTGTGAGAAAAAAGAGTTTGCTATGAATTTCTGGAGCTCTAGTGAAAATTATATGAGATTTCAGAAACTCTCAACTCAATAAATGTTTTCCAGGCGACTCCAACAAAATACGCCACACTGAAAAAACAACAATGGATCGATATTCAAACATACGAAGGCCATCCTTGGATTTTTCGTAGAAGTTTGGATGGAGCACCAATGGTTATCAATCAGGAGGAAATATTTTGGCCACAACCTGTTGCCAGAAATTATATTGTTCGCAATTCTCTGTTTATTACCACACCATGTAAGTATTTCGGATGAGAATTTTGAGAATCAATAAGGAATGAGGCTCTATATGACAAATGTTCAAATGTTGCTTAAACGATACCATAAGATTTTTCAAATTTTCTAGAACAAAATTCTGGCGTTTAATAATCACTAAATTTACAGTAATGTCACTAGCCGAACTTTCTGCAAGACGACTGCTTCTCCCTGGTTCAACTTTTGATCAAAATCAATTCCTCGGCTTGCCCCCTCGCCTCAAGGTAATATTTTATTTCAATAATACTCCCGCAAAAAACTAATCACACAATATTTCCAGAGTCTAATAATAACTATCAAAGCTCAAGAAAAAGCTTATCGTGCATCATCTGTAAAAATTCCAATGCCAGTCGAGCCACGAAATCGTCCACCACCGGCTGCTCCGAATCCGGGACAGAGATAAACTTGTATATTTGTTCGCTAGTTTTAATTTTTTGTAAAAATTGGAAACATTCCCCAAAAAACGTGTATTAATAAAATCGTTTGCTAGATTATTTAGTTAATGAAAATTTTCAAAAGTTGCTACACATATGTTGTGTAGTCGTTTTCTGGAAGAAACATACAAAAGGTGTGTTTTTCAATGAATTTTAAATTCGAATTCAGGCATGAACTATGCTCGATAAAGTTTGAAAATGTTTTAGGAAAATGGAGGGAGCTTTCTCGACAAAATTATTTAAAATCAAAAATTTCCAGTCATGCTAGAAAATAAAAAAGTTGTCCTTGTATCATCCGTAGAGATTAAGATGTAACATCAGTGGTTATCAATCAGGAGCAAATGTTGGAACCACATCGTTTGAGTGGTTCAATAGATTTTTTGAAGTTCAATTCTAATTTTCAGGAATGTCTGAAAATTGTGCAAGGTGACCTCTTTCTCCTGATTCAATGTTTGATGGAAGACCATTGATGAACTTTTTGACTGCTCTGATCAATTTTGTTGTATTGTAAATAACACATAAAATATTGCGAAAAGCCGTTCGATAACAATAGAAGTGTTTATTAGATTATGAATTGATATGAAATGAGTATCTGAATGACTAAATCTCAAAATATGAAAAAAGAAACACCCGGGAAGAATTCTTGGACAACCACTATGAAAAGGCACTAATTACCGTATAATGTGGATAAAATGATATAGACAATTACAAAAAATGAAATGGCTACATAATTATATTTCTCTTTTTGACGCATATGATTGATTTCCTTGCGTAGGCAATCGACTGATCTTTCCATGTCAATGCATTTTAAACGAAGTTGTTCGTTCTGAAAAAATGGTTGTTTTGTCAATTGTTTAAGATGGTTCCAAGAAATGTTGAAATAAAACTTACGGAAGCATGAATTGTGTTATCATAAGCTTTTCTACTTTTGACTTCATCTTTTGAAATCTCATTCACACTATCCAATATAGTTTTCAACGCATAATTATGTACAATTTTACTATTTTGAACTCGCTTCCGGCAAATTGGGCAATGAAACGACTGGAAATAATTTGTTTTAAATTTAGACATGTGAAAATTCTAACTTGTTTTACACCGATCCAAATCAAAATTATATTTCAAAAGAAATTTCAAAAATGAATGCAGATTCGAAAGAGTCAGATAGAAAAAATTTCAAAACAATAACAATTTTCTGGATTTACCAGTTGAAAAATTCAGGAATGTCTGAAATTTTGAACAGCTGTTTTTATATTATCCTCAAAATATCCATTAGTATACTTAATTTCACTTGTTTCAAGCTTATTTTTCAAGTTCTACTTGCTCACAGCTTCTAGAAAACCTCCTTTCAAAATCCTTACATTTCTATTGACATCCCTGGGATCATTAATAAATTCTGCATTTCCAACTTCTTCCACACAAGTATGACAAAACGAGTGTCCACAAGTCAAAATCTGCGGTGTTCCTTGATAAACATTCAAACAAACTACACATCGAATTGTTTCAACATCAATCACACAAACGTCAACTTCATCGACTTGTTTTAATATTTTCTGTAAAACAATCGATTTTTTTGTATTTAACCAAAAAATAAAATAAAAAACTCACCTTTCGTTCAGCTTTTTTATCATCTTTCAAAATAAAACGTTTAAAAAACCCGTGCATCTGAAACAATGCAAAAAACATTATTGAATGGAAAACTACTGATAAAAAATATACTAATAAAGCAAAAAAAAAAGCGGAAAAATGCAAGGCAGAAACATATGAAAACAAATATTGGAAATTTGGTTTGTTAGGCCATGTTAGTTAGTCCCCGCCTTTTCTCGTTTTTTTCTTGTTTTGTTTTGTTGTTAACAAGAACACTTTTTTTGAACAGAAAACAAAAAGGTGAAGAAACTTTATATGAAAGTGGGTAAAAAACAAAAAAAACCTGATTTTTTATTTTTTATAATTTTATTGTTTTTGGTTTTCGATAAAAAATTTGATGAAAATCAAATACATTTCTCATAAATTTTGAAAATTTGGTCAGTGTCGTTGGAAATTGACGGAATATCGGATAAGAGATAACAATCGTCGGCCGTTTTCATGGAATTTTCGGCATTGAGTGCGATTGCCTCACAAGATTTCTGAAAAAGTCAATTATTTGGAGAAGAAAAAGAGGGAGTTTTGGGAAGTTAGGGGTTTCGGTATAATACATGTTTTAGGAAATAATAACAGCTGGTATTTTCAATTTGAATAAACGGTTACTAATGTTGAAGGACCCTAATTTTAGTTTACAATGAACAGAATATAATTCATTTGATTGTAACGTATTTATCGTCTCATTTTTTTTCAAATACTCCGAATATTTGTGAAGCGTAGTATTGTTGAATTTTTTATTTCTCGTAAAATGGAGAATTGGTAAAAATTAGGGTAATTGATGTTAATCAAATCAAAGATTAGTTGTATTTTTTCTTTACAAGAATTATGCTAATTCAAACCCTGTATGATTTTCAAGAAAATGTTGGGGAGGTGGTACAGAATTGGGACAAAGCAAAGTGACTTGTTTTTTCTTACATTCAGAAATTATGGTTCTTCAATTAATAAAGAAAGAGAAAATAATTGAAAAATAAAGAAAGTAGAGAGGGGAAAATTAAATAAACTAGAAGTGAATAAGTAAATAGAGAACGCAAGGGAAGCCGTTTCGACCTTTTCATCAGACGGCAAAGAGGAGGTCTCATCAGTGATGCCTCTTTAAGCTGGACCTTATATGGAAGCTATACCTAACTTATGCGCGGAGGAATGAGATAAAATAATTAATAATAATAGAAAAGAGTGGAATAAATAATAAGAGCAAATTGAAGGGTAATGATAATAGAAGAAAAAGACGCTAGTTTATAGGAGAGAGTGTGGAAGCGAGAGAGAGGGGGAGAAGAAAAGTAAGAAAAAGTAAACTACAGGCATACGGAGTGTCGTAGTTGATTATTTGAATTTTGAAATTTTGTTTTTTGTTTGGCGAAAAATGTTTTTTAAAAGTTGTGAAGTGGTTTGTAAATAATAAAGTTATTTTAATAGATTTTGTTATTGTTGTATTTGATTAATATATTTGCTAGATATTTGCAGATTGATTATTTGATTTATTTGTTTTAGATGATAAAGATGAAAAAGGAGTATGAAAGAAATTTTTGGTGAGTTGTTTTGTGGTTGGGTTTTTAGGGGAAAGAATTTTTATAAAATTAAAATAAGAGAGATAAAAATTATAGAATTATAGTAGATTGTTTTTGAGGTCAAATCTATATTTTTTATGGATGTTCAATTTTCTATAATATTTAATAGCTTGATGTTGAACATATTGTTCGTTGAAACCGTTTTTTACGAATTGTTTAATAAGTGCTTTGATTCTATTTAGAGCGTCATAGTAGTATGTGCAAACGTCAAATATTCGGATTAATTCAGTGTAAATAGTGTTTAGTGCGATTTTTTCCGGCATGTAGCTGTTAGCTTTGGGGTATCGAACTATGTCGAACTTATAGTCATCTGTTTTATTATATAGTCTAGTATAGAGATGTTCTGTATTGTTGATGATTTCAAGATCTAGGAATTGAATCTTATTTCTGTCTTTAATGGTGTTGTTGAGTTCTAGTGATTCGTGATAGATTAAGTCATTAGTATTATGATTGAAGTATCTTTTGTCATATATTTGTAGTAGGTCATCCATGTATCTAAAGCTAAAAATGTTATGTTTATTGAAATTGTTTTTGTTATTTTTAACATAATGGTATTCCATCCATGATAAAGTAAGATCTGCGATGAGAGGGGATGCATTCCCTCCTTGTGGAATACCGGTTTTTTGTTTGAAAATGTAGTCTCCGTAGGATATGAAAGTTTCACTTAGGATAGTTTTAACGATATCTTTTACTTGCGATTTGGTGAAATATAGATTAGATTTAATATCATTATTTTCTGTATAGAATGTTTTGTTAGTTTTAGTAATAGTTAGAAATTTTCTGTTTGAGTTTTGAAAGCATGTTTCAGTAATGGAGTTAATGGCATTTATAACTATGTCGTGTGGAAGATTAGTGAATAATGAAGAAAAATCTCCTGAGAATATTTCTCTATGCTTTTTTGGGATTTGACAATGTTTGAGAGAATTAAGTATTTCTTTAGTGTTTTTAACAGACCAATATATGTTGCAAAAGCTTCGGCTTTCAATTACTTTGCATATGTTGTGAAAGTGGGATTTAAGAGACGTTATTTGTAAAAGTGAAAAAGCTGTCGGACAAAAAAAAAGTCAAAATTTTCAAATGGGCTGAATTTTTTTTATTTGATAGCTACAGTACCCAGGACAAAACTCCACACAAAATTTTGACCTAAAAAATTTCGGGGTACTGTATGCGCCTTTGAATGCACACAGTCAAATTTCTTAGATCAATCGGAACTTATGTTAAAGTTAAGCTTTTTTCATGATTAAAAAAGCAAAAATGATTGTTTTTACGAGAGGAAAACGATGGAAGCGTCGAAAAATCATGAAAATGAACGTGGAAAATTTTTTTGAAAAATCGATTTTTTCACTTCCTTTAGGAAAATTTTTCGCCCATCCAGACCGCAACCATTCGATTCCTCGTGCGATTTTACCTATATTTCGATAATAAAATCAAAAAATCACGTCGACCCCGGTAGTCTTTTTTACAACCGAAAACTTCCCATAAGCGCGCGCACATACACACACATCTGTGCGCACACATAAATACACATAAAAGAGCGAGAAACTTTTTTTTTTCATCAGAAAATAAACAAAATTACGAAAAAACCATAATTTAAGATCACAGTGTGACAATAACAATGTTTTTGGATAAATTCTGAACGTATGAGTGAAGTGTTCTCTTCGCTGTAAGAAATACAAGTTTGTGTGGTTGATTTGACCCCTGGACAAACGTATTTCAACTTTCGAGATGATATCTCTTCGATTTTTCGATGTTTTTAATAATATTTTTTCGAGAAACGTGAAAAATTCGACTTTTTCCAAAAAAATGTATAGAAATCATGTCATTTTAGTTATAGATTTTTCTGTAATTCATTGAGACTTATACATATTTCCAAACGCCGTATATCTCTTCAGAAAACAGGAGAATTATAAATTTAGCGTGGTATACACATGGAAGCTACTCTATATACCACCAAAAATTAAACTTGATAAGCATAACTTTTATTTAGACCACAAGTCAAAAAATTCTCTAAAATTGTTCTAAATTGTTGGAAATAATTATGTTTGAGCAATAATTTCTCATAGAATATAGGGTTCTTGGACATAATTTTGGTATAAAATGTGACCTATCGATATTTAAAAAGAAATAAGATACAAAAAACAAATTTCAATGCGCTCTTGTGAGTTTAATGACACACAAATGTGTGTATGTGCGCGCGCTTATGGGAAGTTTTCGGTTGTAAAAAAGACTACCGGGGTCGACGTGATTTTTTGATTTTATTATCGAAATATAGGTAAAATCGCACGAGGAATCGAATGGTTGCGGTCTGGATGGGCGAAAAATTTTCCTAAAGGAAGTGAAAAAATCGATTTTTCAAAAAAATTTTCCACATTCATTTTCATGATTTTTCGACGCTTCCATCGTTTTCCTCTCGTAAAAACAATCATTTTTGCTTTTTTAATCATGAAAAAAGCTTAACTTTAACATAAGTTCCGATTGATCTAAGAAATTTGACTGTGTGCATTCAAAGGCGCATACAGTACCCCGAAATTTTTTAGGTCAAAATTTTGTGTGGAGTTTTGTCCTGGGTACTGTAGCTATCAAATAAAAAATTCAGCCCATTTGAAGACCTAAAATTTTTTGTCCGAGATGCATAGCAAACATTTTCGCTCTTACAAAAAACGTCTCTTAAGATGTTGGAGGATTGTTTTAGTGATTAGAGATAAAGGTTTGAGTGAGCTATTGGATGCTCCGCTTATGTATCTCATAGATATAGGATTTTTGTGTAATTTAGGGATACCATAGATTTTTGGTATACTGTAGTTGTTGTATTCTGGGTCGAAAGTTTTGTAGTGTTTAGAATTATGAAATAGTTTTTTGGTTATTTCCATATGGTTGTTTAGTATTTGTTTTTGTGAAACTTGTATTTTTTCATAGGTTGTGTTTGATTGCATTTCTTCAGAAAGTTTTAGACAATAAAATTTTTTGCATGTAAATGAGTAATTTGAACTGGCTTTGTCCGTTACAGTGATGATAAAATGTTTATGTAGATTTAAGAGTTCTTGGGTTTCTTCAGGGGTTTTGTAATTTTCTTTAGATATGTAGTTTGACCTATGTTCATTCCAGATGTTATGTAGTTTTACGTTAATTATTTTGTGAATTTCTAGTTCTTTACCATATGTTTTGCTCATTTGTATAGATATTTCCTTGATTTGTTCTAGAGTCTTTATGTTGATGGATTCATAATCAAATTTAGGTTTAATTCTAAATTTGTTGCCATTGAGAATTCTTTTTTGGAGTGTAAGGTTTTTAATATGTTGTGTATCTCCGGTAATAATATGTGAATGTATTTTATCCTTATATTTGGAGTAGAATGGATCTTCGCATATGCATGGTTCCGTTAGAATTTTGGATATGTGAGTATGGTTTAGGTTTTTCAGAAATTTGTTATAATTACATATAGTATGGAAATCTGATTTTTGATATATATATTTTATTTCTAGTCTAGGTATGTATTCCAAATTTTGTGTAGCGAAATTTAGACTTTCTTTGAAGATTTTATTGATTTTTCTAACGAAGCTGCTTCTATGTAAATCTTTGTTATAAGGCAGTTCTAGAGTCATGTATTTATATTTAGGTTTATTTGTAGAATTATTCAGTTTTTTGCATTGGATTTTATATATTTCTTTGAAAGTAATGGCCGCAAGTTTGTAAAAAGTAGAGCCATTGTATATATTGTAGAAGTTTGAATTTTTGATTTCTTCAATATATTTGGACATTTGATTATTTTTGATAATTTCGTATCGAAGTTTATGCAAATCTTTTCCAGTAGAATTATTAATTTCAATTATGTCATCGTCGTTTAATTTGGAGTTAATTGAAGTGGAAGTGGTTTTATTTGATTGACTTTTTTTATTTTTTCTAGTGTGCTTAATATGGATTTTGTAACAATTATAAGGTTGTTTATTTAGTTTTTCTTCTGGAATATTTTCCATACAGGAAATATTTCCGAAGTTTTGAATTTGGTCATTGAATCCTAAAGGATATGCAGTATTCAGAATTTTTATCCAGTGTAATTCTTTTTGTCTGCGGATTTGGGTATCTACATTTTCGTAGTTGTCTAATATGATAACTGATAGATTGGGATTCATTCTGTCATGTTTTATATGATTATTGTCGAAGTGTTGATAGAAAAATGTGGCTAATTTGTTAGATTTTATAGCATATAAATGTTGGTAGATTCTAACTCTTAAGAAGTTTGATGTTTCACCGACGTATTGAAGACCGCAGTCTAGACACGTAATACAATAGATAAGGTTTTTGCTTTTACAGTGGCATTCATTAGTTTTTAATGTATTGATTCGATATCCGGTTGAAGCACTGTATATGTAGTGTTTTTTATTGATGATTTTACAATATTTGCAATTGTTTTTGGAGCATGTGCTCCCTTTGTTATAGGTGAACTGTTGACAAACAGTTAATTTATTTTTTGATAGTGATTTAGTTTGGAAATTGGTATGGCGGAAATAATCAATTTCCGGTTTGGAGGTAGGATCGATTTCGAAAGTGTGATGAGGTTTTCGAGTTGTTATGGATGGTTGGATTGGAGAGGGTTTTTTATTTGAAATATTTATTTTGGTGTTTTTATGTCTTGGTCAAATCAGCCTAGGTGACATAACCTGGCGAAGTGAAAGGATTGCTTTTATGAGGGCTGCTCACTTTAAGGAAGGCGCTGGCGGGCCTACCTTTATTTATAGAGTTTAATAGGAGGCGAGATGCTAAATCCTGACGGTGCCTAGCAAATCTCTGTTTAAATAACCCCGTCACATTAAATACTCTTATGATGATGTTCTTGTTAGATGTTGTGGTTGTGGTTAGAGGAAAGTAGAGAAGTGGACAGTGCAAGACCGTAATATCGATTGAAAGTGTTAATAGTAGTGTTTTAAGATTTAATAAGGTTGTGAAGTTAAGTATTTTAAGGAGATAAATGAAAAACCCAAAGAATTGGGTTTGAGGTTAATAACCCATATGGGTTTATAATATCCAAAGGATATTGGGAGTCTACTGACTCTGAAGAAAAAATAGTAGAAAAAAGGAGGTAAAGGAGCAAATAGTAAAATAGAATAAGGAGAGAAGGTGAGAAGAGAATTAGAGAGAAAATAAAGAAAAAATAAAGGATTGGAAGTAAGAAAAATAAGGAATTTTAGATTTAAAAAAGTTTTGATTGAATAGAAGTGTGAAATATTTTGATTGGTAAAAGTGTGAAATATTTTGATTGGTAAAAATTAGGGTAATTGATGTTAATCAAATCAAAGATTAGTTGTATTTTTTCTTTACAAGAATTATGCTAATTCAAACCCTGTATGATTTTCAAGAAAATGTTGGGGAGGTGGTACAGAATTGGGACAAAGCAAAGTGACTTGTTTTTTCTTACATTCAGAAATTATGGTTCTTCAATTAAACATGGATTGCAAATATTGAAAACATTGAAGTAAATTCTCAAAAATCAAAGTAAACTAACTTCGATTTTTTTCAACATGAAACTCCGGTTCAATTTTTTGAAATCATAAGAATAAACGTTCTTCACTCAAAAATTGATCTCCCTCAAAAAACTTCGTCATAATCTTATCTATTTTGTACTCTCTTTTTCATTTCATTTTTCCCACAAAAATAGAATTACTATTACACCAACCCCACATGTGACTTTCAATGTCTGTTCTTGATAACAATTTCAACAATTTTTTGGTCAAAGTCGTAAAATTTATTGGCTGTTCTATTCATTTAGAAATACACCCCTGGAAATGAAAAAAAAAATGGAATGGAATGAATGTTGGATTTTTAACGAGCAGGCAGTTAATAAAAAACATAATTTATTATTCCTATTTTTGGGTGCACTTTTTTCTGACTTACCTTTGTTGAAAATACATTGTCTTTACATAAATTCCAACAATTTTTGGATGTTGTTGAGTGGGTGGATTTGATTATGAAAGGCTTGATTGAAATGAATGATGCAGTTTGTTCGGATATCAGTTTGTCAGGATTCGCTGGAAAAAAACATGTATGAGGTTATCTAAAAATCAAAATTCGTTTCATAGTGAGTTCGCGAGATTATTTTCGGTCAGAAATTCTGGCATGAGAAATTCTGTGAGTCTGAAATACAGAAATCTCAAAATCAAAATGTTTTGGAAAATATTCTGGTTTTCGATACTCTGGTTCTTGGAATATTTTGGAAACAAAGCAAATATTTCACAATCAGAGTTCTAAATAAAGTTACAAACTGTTCAAACCTCTCAACTATTTAGACTATCCAATAAATATCTTTTAAAATTACCCAAAGTCAAAAATCCACATATTTTATCAATTTCCGAAGTTCCATCGATAACCAATGTCTTCTGTGGATATTCATCTAGAATAGCACTAGGTTTAGCATATTTCTTCAACCCAAAAAGTTCTTCAACTGCTGCACTTCGACGAACCTATAGAAAATTATCATTTTTATTTCAAGAATCTCTCAAATAACCAACTTTTTTGAAGTTAAGAGTGCAAGAACATTCAATAATTCTCAATCGTGTTTCACGCTTTTTTTCTAATCCAATTCTGAATTCCAGTCCAAATCGAGGAGGCAGAAATTGACGTTTCTTTTTCAGTTGTATTCTGGAAATGGCATGGTGTTATTTTTTTGTAGTTTTCCAAAAATAAAAATAAACCTTCTCAAATTGTATTATAATTGTACCGTTTTCATTTTCTCTCACAATTTTCCAATCTTTTTTTTCTTTATAAATTTTTCCTGTGACTTTGCAAGTCCGTGAAACTGAATCAAATAATGTGCAAAATTCAGCTTTCAGTGGTCCTAAAATTAATTAAGTTATTCGTTTTCTTATCAAGCCTTTATAAACCATCAGTTTGTTCCAATTGAATGATACAATATGTGTTTTCATTTGACGAATCTCTACATTCATTTTTTCGTACAATATATTGGGCTTCACCGTATGAAATAGCTGCAAATTATATAAAATCGAATCGTGGGTGTCTGTTTTTTTTTGTGTGCATATTTGAAAAAAAAATTACCAGAAAATTGCAGAATAAAAATAAAGAACAGAATAATCATTTTGTTGTTCAAATTTGTAAAAAATAATAATACAATGTGATTGTTGGATTAGACTCAATTTGAAACCAAATGTACACTTAATCTCTGTTTAATTTCAAATGGATGTTTTGTTCATATTTTTGTGTTCAAAATGTAAAAATTCGAAAAAAAAAAACAAAATGACAGATGGGAAAAACATAAAAATTAGCAGAATTCAACATTTGAACTGGGTGGTATGAATATTAATTTTATTTAATTAATTAGCTTCGTATTTCCTTTGGGTGGTATGTGGTTTTCCGAACATGATGATGAAATTGGGTGATGAAATTAAGTGAATATACCAATTCGACTGTGTTGAAAACGATCACAAAGTAACAAGTACTTTGAGTTTTGTGCATTTACAATGCTCCGAATTTACAATGCTCCGAAGTTTTAGCATGTTCCTCACTGGATTTCCTTCATTCATATGCACGTATAAACTTTTTTCCAGAAATTTTTGGTTGAAAGAGTTTGAAAAACAGATATGAAAGTGATTTTCTACGACTATTTTTTATTTCTGTTGATTCTGTGTTTCTAACAAGTTTATCTTGATTTATTAAAAATTAAAAACCACACTTCAACATTTTTTTTAACTAGAATAAAATACGCTGTTATCTTATATTCAACCTTTTAAAAATGTCTTCCTACATTTCATATTTCTATATGTCAAATGGTTTTTGCTTTATCAAAAAATGTCAATTGAGCATTAGATGTTTGATGTTTCCAGCAAATAACCACCATCTCTTTGTTTTTGTCTTCCCTTCATAAATATCCATTAGTAAAACCTCCCAACATTTCTCATTTTCAACATTATAGACATTTCTATAATGAATAATCCGCAAGTTGTCAAAATCACACAAATTTTCCAAGAATTTCATTTCATGAAAATAATTCAAATATAAATAACCGCATGATGATATTTTTTACAAGAGTAAGAGGATTGAACAAAAATACATCTGTGTGGGCTTTGTTATGGAAAAGCGAAGAGGAATTAGATGTTGTTTTTCAGAATGCGGTGCAAAAAGCTATTTTTCAAAATTAGTAGTGGGTGTAGCGATTTTTGGTAAAAGATAAAGATATATATGGACTTCTGACCAGAATTGCTCATTTCTTTATTTTTTGCAGAAATGACCAAATTTATTAATCTGCAATTCACATTAGGCTCATATCTTTTGATTTTGACTAGGAGGAGGAGTAGGTGGTGGCTGATAATTAATTGATTTCCGGTTCGAGGAAAACATTAGGAAAGTATAATGTTAGAACAACATTCAGATTTTATATCCATGAAAGGACAACGTGTTAATTACAGTTAGAAACATTAAAGCAGTGTTGGTTTCACATTCATTCATAATTTTTTCAACAAAGTTAGTATGTGCCATCTGGAAGGGGTTTAGAAAAATATCTCATGGAAACAATCGGCTGCTTTGTGGATGGTATATTCTATTTTTTTAATGATTTCATTTTCTGAAAGTTGGAAAGGTTCCGATCAAGTTTCAACATGTTCCTGTCACTTGACTAAAAATTGCAAGACTTGACCACCCACCACGTCCTGTTTCTATATCAGATTTCAAATCTAAGAAAAATGTTGCAATTTTCTGTGATTTGATTCATTCTACTCCCACCTGCTCACCAAAATCTTTTTTAACAACTCATACTCGTAGATAATAAAAAATGCTCTGTTTTTTGTTCCTTCAAAAACACAAATTTTCCCGAAATCTGATATTGTTCCATGTGAAAATCCAAATTTCCCAGACAATTATCCTATTTACTAGCTGACCAAAAAGAAACCATAATTTTCTTTATTTCGTAAAAATTTTCAATTTCAAAATTTAGTAGTAAACGAAGCCTTTTAGAACTATGGATTCAATTTCAAAATTTTTCCAAAAAACATTTTTTCTCTTGAAATCTCCGCCCATTATTCAGGTCATTTCTGGAAAAAAATATGGGCGGAGCTTTGTTCTGCTAGGCTCTTGCTGCGGATATAAATATATTTATTTCCAGCACTTTTTCTTCATATTCAAAAGCTGCATAATGCATTTTCTTTACGGTTAGTTTTAAGCTTTTTTTCAAATTAAAAACTAATAAAAACATTTCAGTTATCTTGTTGGCTTTCTGCACCCTAGCTGTTAATTGCTCACCAATTCACGGAATCTGGAATAATCTTCCAGCAGCTCCAGTGAGTTTTAAGAATAAACCTGGATTGAAAAATAATTAATTAATTAATTAATTATAGGTCAAAAAGAGTTTACGGATTTTACAACTATTTACCAAAAGACGAAGATGATCGAGACAAACGCAACTCTTTGGTTTATTTCGCAGTTCCAGAAGATTATATCAACTAAAATGTCGAATTTCAGATAATTTATTTTTTGAAAACAACATTTTCAAAGTGATCAACTAATAAATCCGTATTTTTGTTCATGATTTTTTTCATTTCATTGTGTGTTATCATTTTTTCTGTGTGAAAGAAAAATGATAAGACACAGTTCTAGTTTTTACCTTGTGCATTGTGACTTTGATAATTGATTTTTTCTTGTTCTGGTTTCAATTTTTAATTTTCAAAATTGAAATTTAACTTGAAACTGAAGTGGAAAAATGGCGGAAGATTTCGGGAATTGCAAAATTTGCTTGCAAAAATCTGATGGTATTCATTTTTCTGTTATTTCTTGCAGGTAAGATTGCGAGTGAGAGTAAATTGGGAAGAATTCGAAAATTATGACGTTTTTTGGAGCCGGCTCATTTGACACGCAATGATGAAATTTTTTTTTATTAAAAGTCTAAATTTTAATTTTTGTAAACAGTAAATATAACATGTTATAACATTATTTCTAACTTCAAAAACTGAGAAAGATTTCGAAATTATCTCAATAAATACATTTACATCTTTTAAGATTTAAAAAGTTTAGCAAGATAAGCAAAGAGAATTATCAGTTTTTTGAGAAACTGTTGGAACACTTTTATATTTTCCTGAATCCAAAAAAAAACTGTAACCAAAGCTTCACAAATTTAAAACAGTTTTCAGCTTCTTTTTTTATTTATTAACATTGTTCATACATATTTTTGTCTAACTGAACACCAGCCAGACATTCAGATAATTGACTCATTTTGAAATGTAACAAAGTTAGATAGCAATTTGTAGTTTTCTGAAGATGGCACGTTATGTTTTTCAGATTTCTGGCCTGGTAAATCTAGCCAGATTCTGAATGTGGCACTTCTCATGAAAATTTTAGAAATTATATTTGTCTCTTGAAATTTTCAGAATTTCATAAAAAAATGAGAATGGTTGCTCTCCCAAACACCACGTCTAAAAACCATTTCAACTTTTCCCAATTTTCAGAGCATGTGCCGCATTTTTTCGTCGAACTGTTATTATGAATCTACAATACACTTGTAGTGATCGAGATCGATGTCAAGTTGAAAAAGATTATCGAAATATGTGTCGAAGTTGTCGATATCAACGATGTTTGCGGGAAGGAATGAAAACAGAATGTATGTTTGGAAAAATTACGTAGGCATTATTGAAATGTGAAAAGTCTGACTTTTCAGCTGTTCAAATTAAACGCGACTCAATTGGTCGAAAGAAACCTTTTGCGGTAAAGTTTATGTTATTTGCAGTGAATTAGGAGAACAGCCTTTCTGATCTGAAAAAAAGACGGAACAAATTTTTCTGGGTTTCGTGTGCATTGAAGCAAAAGAGTATTGTAGAAAATGTTGTTTGTGTTTTGACAAGTTTTCCGGTCAAAAAACATTTGGGATTCATAGAGTTATTTTTGGTTGATTTTATTTTTGTCTTTGTTTTATAAACAAAAGTTAGAGTTAGGTTTTTTGTTTAGAACTGGAAAAGCGGAGGAGGGGCATTTTCATAAAGCTCTGACAAATAAATTCTTGTTAGATGACAAGCAAGTTCATAATTGATCTGGAAATCCATTAAACATTTTCAGAAAAGAAAAGAAAAAAAAGATATGAATAAAAATAGGATATTTTGAAATTAAAAATATCAAAAACAACCATTTTCTGAGAAAATCATGTGTACTTTCCACCACTTCCTCAAAATGCCTAATCCTAAAATTTGTTTACGAATCCTATCTGAAAATGGCATGTTATACGAAATTTCGAGAAAAAGCATTGTTTCAATGAGCAGGAAACCAAGCAATTTTAATCTTTCTGGAAATTCTCAAAATAACCTCATTTTCACGTCATTCCACATAATTTCCATTCAAGAATAACTCAAAACAAAATAATGAAAACAAGATCTAATCTCAGACTCCTGCAACCACGAGTTCAATGAGTCTTCCAAGTGGATTGAGTGAAAATTTCAAAAAACTGGAGAGTGGGGAAAAGAAAAGTATTTTGTCACAAATGTCAGATGGATATGATCATTTTCTAAAAATTCGAAAAGCCACAAACTCCCTAATGCAAAAAAATATGTTGTCACTTCTCAAAGATGAACAAACGGTGAGATCTTTTTTGGAGACTTCATAATTGTTTCACAAAAAAAATATGTTCCTAGGAGCTTCAATCCGCACATTTTGATTCAGCAAAACAAGTTTGTCAAGTTGAAGCTCATCTCGTAACCGATATTGTGAATACATATTTTCATCCATTCAGCAAGCTAAAATTTGAAGATAAAGTAAGTCATGAACAATTCAGACATAACATAATTCCAGTTCAGGTTGCACTATTCAAAAATTTCTTTTGTTATTTTTCACACACTGATCGAGCATATCAAAGCTATTTGCGTTTTGAACAAGATTCTGAAAATGATAAAATTGTGATGCCGGATGGTGGATTTATAAAAAAGGATGAGCTTGAAAAGTTTTATGAAAACTCGCAAGGTGTTCATACAAGCGCGGAAGATGCGGCAAAGTTAGTTTGAGTTTTAATTTTTTCAGAAAAATAAATGATTTGTAGAATTTTTCAACCGGTGTTTGATTATATTTTGGAAGTGATTGTTGGAAACATGAGGAAATTGAGAATTCGTGAATTTGAATATTTGGCGCTCTTGGGGTTCTGCTTATGGGATGATGGTGAGTTGTGCTGATTGGAAACGAATGTTTGAGAAGATAAAATTTGGAAGTACTAAAAAACCACAATCAACCTTATCAATCTCCCAGCCTACCCCTCAAATTTCCCACCCTGAACTACTAATTCTGTTCTATTTTGCAGCCGTTCCCGGCCTATCGGAAGAAGCGAAAAACATTGCATCTGACACACAAATCATAATTCTCAACGAGCTCCAGTGTTACTACACATCAAAAAATCTGACAAAAATTTCAACACGTGTTGGTCAATTGTTGTTGTTAGTGCCAAAACTAACGGTGGGAGTTTTTATTATATTTTTTTCAATTAATAATTTTTACTATTTCTCACGAAAAATCAGAATCAGAATAACAAGATATTTTTAGAAATGCGTCATAATGGTTCGTGAAAATTCGGTGCTCGCCGAGCTATTCAATTATTATGAGGCTGATGTGTGTTGCAAGAATTTCAAAAATGACACTTCTGTCAAATTGGAATGCACCTCAACGTGCATTGTTCACACAAGAACTCAAACTTCATGAACCACTTAATTTTGTTCGTTGTCAATGTGTATAAATGTATTTCTTTTTATATGTATTTGAAATAAGAAAAAGCAATAAAATAGCAGAAAGATTTTAAATCAAGATAAGGTCAAACAAAATTAGCAAAAAAACTATACTATTTTTATTTTTTCAAATGATCGCAGAATGATTCGTCATAGCTTCGACTTTTCTTCATTTTGCATACAAAATCGAATCGACATTTGTAATCTGTATAACACTCATTGTTATAATGATTACGATAGTATAATTTGATGAAATCTCGGAATAATGTTGTGTTTGTCCAAAGTCGATCACTCAAATCGCTCCAGGATTGAGGAGAAAAATCTGGCATGTTGTAGAAGTCCTGGAAAAACCATTTATCATTTTGTTAAAACTTCAAGGAAAAAAACGAGGGAATTGTCATTTATGATCTTTGAATTTATGAAACTTATTATTGAAACTATTATTATGTGACCAAAAAGCTAGTTCTTTGACCTGACATTTCAAACAATTGAAATAATTTATGAGTTTTTGGAAATTCCAGTGAAAAATGGACCTGAATAGTAAACGGCAAATATTTGGAAGTAAAAAATACGTGTATTCGTTTTCAAAACTAAACATTTTTGATTTCTAGAAATTTTGAACAATAGATTTAAGAATATCAGGATACACAACAACTCCCCTCCTAACTCACTTTAGTACTGTATGAAAGTTTCCACTCTGGCTCTTTGTTCTTTTGATTTGCTTCTGTTACATTTGCATAATAAGTATAAGCATCTTTCACAGTCTGAAATCACAATTTTTTTCAACAAAAAAAAAATAAAGAAAATTTTTCTTACATGTGTAGCTCCAGTATATCCGCCATCAATTTCATAGATTCTATAAGCTGGATTCAAAAAGTCATAGGTTGTCAAGGATGGTGAAATCCAATTGAAATGGAATGGACGACGGTTTGGATCTTCCATATCATAATAAACCTGGAAATATTTGAACATTTCAAGATTTTTCGCAAAAAACTATAAATTACCATGAATTGATCATAATGTGTATGTCCATAAAACATTTGAGCAATTGTATTTTCAAAACGTTTCACAATTTCGTAGAAATTGAAGCTCCATCCTTTCAAACAGTAATTGTCACCTGGTGGAATGTGTGAAATAATATGAACAACTTCTCCGCGTTTTTCAGAATCCACGAGTTCTTCAATGAGCCATTCCAAAGTTGCATCTGGATCAACTTCATTAATATAAAGATAACTGGAAAAAAAAAGGATTCGAAATAAATTGGATGAATTGAAACTCACAAATTGTATTCAGAACAGTAAATTGTGTTGAGTGATATCAATTTCAAACCTTCTTTTGGACGAACAACGTAACTAGCACGGCTGAAAAATACATAAGTTGTGAGAAATCAGACTGTAATTTGTACAGTATTAAGATCTGTTAATCAATGCTTCATCAAAAACTTCTTTCAATGTTTGGTATTTCAAAGTAATCGCTGAACTTCCAGCCTAATTTGAACCGGAAATTTTTTTGTGAAAAAGAAAAGAAAATTGCCGTTCATAAAAATCAACAATTAGAAAATCGTTTTCTTTTTTATTTTTTCTTTTCTCTGAAAAAATTCTTTCAGGGAAATTGAGAAACATTCAAATGAATAAAAATTGTTTCACAGTTTAGTAGGAGAAAAATTTTAAAAATAAACAAAATTCGGCGTTCTCTAACCAAATTTTAAGAAAATTTGTTCAAGAAAATTCGGAGTTCTGTGGTCAGATTCAAATTCATAATTACCCTAACTCCCAGAAAACCGGAAACTCACTATTGCACAGTGTCCAACGCCTCTGATGGAATCCAATGTGCCCACATATCACTCATTATCTTATACAACCATTGTGGACCTCTTTTATCATATTCAGGCATTGTATGTGGTGCCATCGCATCTTGAGGCACACCTTCATGATTTCCAATTGAAACATACACTGGAATTCCTGGGAAATAATTTAAAAACACATTTGTCATATTATTCATATTCTCTTTTGTCAAATCTTCTGTATAGTCCCAAGAGTCGTGAGCTTCAAAATCTCCAGTAATAATAATATAATCAATCTGGAACAATGTATTGCAAAATGTTTTTATAGTGAAAACTTACATCTTTAACAGTTTTGCTGATATGTTTCATGGCAGAGTCAAATGTTTGATATGGAAGATCACAAAGATATGGCATACCCCATGGCCCGGCTGGCACATAAATTGGTTCTGAAAAAAATATTTTTTGAAAACATTTTGCGCTCGAATTCCAAATAACCTACTGTCTTTAAAATTAGTTGGTCTTCCTTGTTGATCTGTTGAATAATCTCTACAACACATAGCATAAGTTCCAAGTGCACTATCCAATTGACAATATGCTTCTGTGCCAGGTACATATTGATGATCGATATGAATATCAGAAAGGTGTAGTACTTTATAAGTTGGTTTGTTATCTGGTATTCTCGGCCATGGTCGGATTGCTGGTTTGTTTCCAGGGATAGTCAAATTCCACATATGGGTTAGAGGTTTGTCAGAATGACCGCAATCGCTGATAAATGCTCCGCAGATTTCATCTGGTGTGAAGACTGATTTTTCGAGGACAAAGACGACTTCATCTTTGAAAGCATAAATAATGTTTTTGCAAACGTGTGGTTGTTCGACATTGAACAAATCACACATGTGTCTGAAAAAAGGAAATAAAAATTAAAAAGAAAAATAAACATTTTCTTTCTATGAACTATATTTTGCATTCTGATTTTTTAAATGTTTGTGATAAATATAAGAAATGTTATGCGTATTTTTCTGTAAATGTGTAATTTGTATAATTACAGTCTTTTCCCACACCAACTTACACCAAAAATTCCGCAACTTCCTCATCCGTCGCATTTTGCGCAATCAATGCTTGCACACCATCAACTCCAAAAGTACATGCAAAACATGACATTTTTCGATTATCCGGTTCATTCAAAACTTTTTTCGCATATCGAAGCATTTTATATTTTGGTGGTGGTGGCACATAATCACCGTGTGTACTCCATTCTTCATAGCTATCCCTAAGAACTCCACAACTTGTAAACTCGACTAAACAAAGAACAACAAAAGAAATAAATAATAAATATTTCATTTTGACGCTCTAGACAATTTTTTAAGAAGGTTTATATAGGCGACAGTGTTATCTGATGTGTCAGTGACAAGAAAAAACACTTTTCTTGTCATCGTTTTCTACATCGATAACATACAGAAATGTGCATAAGGCAGCACGAAATGATTCATAAAAATTGCACCAATTTTTGTGGCGTAGAAAGTGTCAACAAGATTTTGATAGAATTTGAATTGCTTCACACTTCCAGATAATGGAACTGCCAATTTTTGAGCACTTGGATTATGAAGTCGACTTCGAGTTTCCTGAAAAAAATTAAATTGCGAAAATATGTTTTCGATTTTTTGTGCTCTATTATTTTTGTGATCCAGGACTCTCTTATCAACGCTTTTCTGATTTTTTCGTTGAAAATTCCTAATTCTCCAACCCACCTCTAAAACGCTAAGGTTGCACGTGGTTTGATCATTGTCATTCAAAAAGTAGAACCCAATCCGTCTCATCTGGAAATTTAAGGCGATTATTGAGTATTATAACACTGATAACAAACTTTTTCCAATTTTCCACCAAGTTGCGTTTCTCCGTCAAATTGAATGAATGATGGAGGCGTTTCGAGACTACCATCTAACCATTGCCAGTTTGAGATTAGACTGGAATGAGGAAATAGATTGATTAATTATTGAATTTGCAGAGAACAAGGATACATTCACATGTGATGTATTTGAAAAAGATCAACGATTTTATGTATCTTGTTTATAAAAGAAATTGTTTTTCAAACCGAAAGTTTTCATATCACTTTAAAACAATTCTTATGTCAGAGATCAAACTAAACATCAAATACAAACTGATATGAGAAAACTTCATAAGACTAGTCTATACAGAAATTATAAGTTTTTGAGTGTTTCATTTATATGTACTAGAAAAATAACTTTACAAAGTTTTAAAAAAATTGATGAACTCACTTGAATGGTAATCTGCCACAATTTGCCAAGCCTCCAACTTCACATAACGCAGTCATATATGCATTATCTGGCACATACCACCACGAGATATCGGATGCTAGTTTTGCGAAATACGATTTAGCATTTTCCGTGGGCTTTGCATAATAATATCCTCCAGCAACAAGAGGGCCTAATTCAGAAGCTCGGTCAAAAACAATATCAGCGTTTTCATAGCTAGTCAAATTGATGTTGAGGAGATTATCATTCCAGAATGTATCTTGTTGAATCATCCAAAAAGATTTTCCGTAATGTAAAAAACTTCTTGCGAGATTTGCTCGCAATAAATAGAACAGTTGATATTGGCCATCTCCATAATTAAAAGGGTTCTGTAATAAATAAAGAATAAATACAGACTGAAAATATGATTTACCTTTAAACTATCAACTCGAAGTGGGATTTGTTTCACATTTTTCCAATAATTGTTGAGTTTATCTTCTGTTTCTTTGTCCAAACTGATAGCAATTATATTTTGATGAACTCCTTCCATATTTTTAGTGTTGCATAGCCAATTAAACGTCATATTTAGTGCATGTTTGTTTAATATGATGATCAGACTATCTTTATTCATCACTTGCATAGCTGACTTGAAATTTGAGTCATTCACCTAAAATTTGCCATAACTTTCCAACACCAGATGTATGTATCCAAAAACTTACAATTCTTTCAAAACTGACTTCATCAGCGTGCTGATAGACAAAGTACATAGTAAAACATGCTATAGCTATTTTACGAATAATAAGCGACACAAAAATATATCCAAATATTCTAGATTTAGAGAATTTTGACATGACCTATATACCGTAAATGAAGAAAATGAATAGAGTGACGTTTTTAATTGACACTGTAATTATAAGAAATGAAGGAATGTAGGTGGAGACTGAATGAAAAAAAATTCGAAGAACAATTTTACAGTAAGATAAGATATATAGGTTTGAATCAACAAGTAGATCGTTTTTGAAAATAACATGAAACGAGACAAAAAACAAAGTAATTATGACGTAGAGGGAAATGCCTTGAACTATTATTCGGTGAACGCCTTCTTTTGGACAACAACGGTAATTTTTCTGTTTATGAAAAGATCATAAAACTAGAGAAATAGAACAACATTTCTGATTTTTAGGTGAAAGTAGATACTATTTCAAACCAAACCAATACACAAAGTTGACCTTGCCATTCTGACTTGCGGTTTTTTGTTCAGACAGAATGTGAGAGATGAAATCATTCATCTTGGAATTTTGCAATTTTTTGTATATGTTGATAACCAAAAACCAAACAACTTCATTGTTGTTTGACATGTTTATGAGAAGTTGATTTTGCCGTAAAGATAAACTTCATCTAAAGGAGATACACAAATGACCAACAAATCAGCATAACTTTCATGAGCAAAAATTGATACCCACGGAAAATTGCATCAAGCGTGATTTTATTCTTTATTTCATCACCAAGAAGTAGTGTTTGTGAACAATGTTTCACCTGAAAACACGATATATCATAAAGTACAACTTATCTAATTCAAAAAAAAAAGAATACTAATTAGATGTTTTTTGCTTCGCGTATTGCCCCACAATACATATATGTTGTTGCAAAAAACAAACAAACAAATAAACAGACAGGTCAAACTAAACTCTATCCAGTTCACCAGTATTTTTTTAATCTCACTGTTTTTGCTGCTTTAGATATTTTTTTTGCTCTTCTTTTTATAAAAAAGAATCAACTATACTTTTCTTATATTGCAAACAAACATACATCATCAAAATTACAATTCTCAAGTTTGAAATTCTTACCTTTTTTGTCTTCGTGTCCTACGACAAACAGATTGTTTTTGTGTCTGCTTGAGAAACTATGTTTTGGGGAAGAGGAAGACTTTGCATTGCGAAAAGTGTTGCGCTTTTTCAGTTTGTCTTTTTTTGCCTCGAATGGTGATTCTTCGCCTGTATGAAAACTCTGATCATTTTGGATGGCGCGAAACTTTGAGATGTGTTTTATGGCCTAGAAAACATAACGTTTCCTCTTCCCCTTCTCTTCGTCCCCATCTTTCATAAAATAACACATTTTTATTTAGAAAACGTTCATTTTTCATCATATTAATCAATACAATAATTCGATGAAATACAATTTGTTTCATTCACCTACTCAATCGTAATTTTTCTCTAATCTTATCGTATTTTTTCACTCTTCATTAGTGCAAAAATGATGTTATTTCTCTTTTTCTCACAACACAATATTGAAACATATTGTGCAATCCACTTCTTCTCTTAAATTCAATTGTTCCCTATAATTGAATGTTTATTTACCTACTTTAAAATATTTATTATTTTTTCTCTGAAAAATGGACAGGTAAATTCAGTTAGTTTTTTTTCAGTAAAAAGTACCTTTTCAGAGAAACTTTGATTGAACATGAAGACAATGCGCGTAAAAATGGAGGATTCTTCAGTCTCGCTTATAAATATACAACTCGTTGGGAAAAATTCATTATTTTTATTGGAACCATATTTTCAATATTAACCGGTTTTGCAACTCCATATATGAGTTATTGTTTTGTGAGTTTGTATTTCAAGATATAATTGATAAAAATTTTACATTTCAGGGAATAATAACATATTCCATAGTAAAAATAACAACTGCATTGAACAATAATACTTTGAGTAAGTGATTTATAGAATAATCAACATCTGAAACTAATGTAAAATTTTTTAGCTCCCGCAGAAATTGATGAAGATTTTAAAATATTTCAATCGGATATGAACTTCGTATCTCTGAATTTCTTCTTGTGCGGAATATGTTATTTGGTATTTGGCTCTTTCCAAGCTTCCACATTTCATTATGTTGGTGAAAAATTTATTCATCGAATCAGAAATGCTTATATCAAAAAAATTCTGCACAAAGATGCAGTGTTTTTTGATAAAACAACAACTGGGGAATTGTCAAGTGTTCTGAACGAGTAATATTTCTTATCTTTATAATTAACATTAACTAGAGTGTATCATTTTTTTTATTTCAGCAATTTGGAGCGTCTCCGAGAAACTGTTAACGAGAAAAATGGTTTGATTTTTCAATTTGTTACTGAATTCCTCCTTGGCTTTGCTCTACCATTCTGGCTCAATTGGAAATTATCATGTTATGGTATTCTTTTTGCACTGGCTGTTGCAATGTCAGGGTTTATAAATTCCGCGAGTATGGCAAAGCTTACAACCAAACAAAGTTATTTTTATAACAAGGCTGGATCAATTGCCCTTCAAGCTTTGAGCCTTTTCAAAACTGTAATATCATTAAATGGACAATCAATAGAATTACAAAATTATGAGAAAACTTTGAAGCTTGGTGAGAAAAATGGTAATAAACGAGCATTTTATTTTGGATTATCTCGGTCGACTCAATACTTTTTTGTGAATTTGTTGAACTTTGTAATTATGTATATTGGAACAACATTGATGTATGATGGAACTTGTGATGCGCAAACTATTATGCAACTTTTTAACAATATGTTGTTTGGGTCATTTGCTTTGGCAGAAGCTTTTCCTCATATTTCATTATTTATTAGTTCTTTATCATCTGCAAAGCCAATCATTGATTTATTGTCAACTGTAAGTTTATAAAACTAGGTTTTAGCATGATCATCTTTGAATGAAAAATCAACATTTTTTTCAGGATGATGATGAAATTGAGAACCGGGACAACCCCAAAATCTCCAATATCAACGGAAAAATTACGTTTGAAAATGTCACATTCTCTTATCCAAGTCGTCCAGAAACCCAAGTTCTCAAAAACATCAGCTTTGATATAAATCCAGGAGATTGCATTGCATTAGTTGGTGCAAGTGGGAGTGGAAAGAGTAGCATTATTCAACTTCTGCTTCATTATTATGATGTAATTTCTGGAAAAATCAAATTGGATGGTCATTCTATAGAAGATATCAATTTGAATCAATTAAGAAATATAGTTGGTGTAGTTTCACAAGAACCAATTTTGTTCAACACAACTATTGAGGAAAATTTACGTTTTGGAAAAGAAAATGCGTCCTTGAATGAGCTTTATGACGCGCTCAAATTAGCAAACGCTTATGAGTTTGTGTCAAAACTTCCAAATAAATTGAAAACAATTGTTGGCGAAAGAGGATCGCAGTTGTCTGGAGGTCAAAAACAACGGATTGCAATTGCTAGAACACTTTTGAGAAATCCCACAATACTACTGTTAGATGAAGCAACAAGTGCATTAGATAATGAAAGTGAACACCTTGTTCAAAAATCCCTTGACAAAGTGAGTATAACATATTAAAATAATTTGTAAAAATTCTTTCTAGGCATCTGAAGGTCGAACAACAATCGTTGTGGCTCATCGACTTTCAACAATACGAAATGCTCATAAAATTATTGTTATGGATAAAGGTGAAATTGTAGAGGTTGGAGATCACAATTCATTGATGCAAATTGGTGGTGTTTATGCGAGTTTGACAGAAGCACAATTGATGGAATCAAATGATCAAGAAGATAATCGATTTGGAAGGCAGATATCTGAAAAACAAAATGAGCATAATTTGAATGAAGGAATTGGCTGTGAAGATCAGGATACAGATGAGATGGAAAGACTGAACAAAGAATTAGAATCTGAAAATATCAGCAAATCGAATCTTTTTCAAATCTTGCGGCAATGTAAACCTGATATATTCATACTTATTTTGGCGTTCATTGTGAGCGCAGCACAAAGTATTTGTTATCCAGCATTAGCACAACTTATCGCAGAGGTTAACAACGCATATGCAAAACAGGGTGATGAATTATTATATTACGGGCATTTTTGGTCCCTTATGTTTATTCCACTTGGTACATTCCGTGCAATTACTTTATTCTTGCAATATTATTTGTTTGGAAAAGTATCGGAGCAACTATCAACACGTCTTCGCATTAAATCATTTGCTCATCTTATGAAACAACCATGTCAATTTTTCGATGATCCGAAACATTCTGCTCTCAAATTATCAATTAGATTGAACACCGACGCTTCAAATGTAAAAGCTGCTGTTGATCCAAGACTCGGAAGTTTGATAATGACTGTATCTGCTATTTTTATTGCTATTGCATCTTCGGTTTGGATCAATTGGAAAATGACTGTACAAATGCTGATGCTTTGCCCTTTTTTGTTCATCGCTGAATATTTTTATACAAAATCACACGAGAATTCGACAAAAGAGGATTCAATGTGCTTTGAGAATAGTAACAAAACAACAGTTGAAGCCATCGAGAATATTCGAACTGTAAGATCTTTGAATATTGAGAATAGAATGATTAATATATCAATTTCACATGTTCAAAAAGTAATATCGCAAAATCTGAAAAGATCTATAATTCAAGGATGTGCGTGTGGTTTATCCTTTGCAACTTTTTGTTTTGTATATGCAATCGCGTTAAAATTCGGAGCATGGTTAGCAATACGACGCGAGATATATCCAATTGATGTGTACCGAATAATTATGTGTTTAGCGATGACTGCTAATACAGCTGGAAATGCACTTATCTATGTACCGGATTACAAAAAAGCAATCCGGGCAGCTGCTTTGATTTTTAAACTCTTCACATATCCCGCAACCATGGATTGGCAAAACACAACAATAAGTGGTAATAATATTGAAGTGGGGGATATTGAAGCAAATGATGTTTGTTTTAATTACGGTGAAACAACTGTTCTTAATGGCATTAACTTCAAAGTAAGTGCGATTTTTGATGGTTGAAAAATTGTGTTTGATTTTTAGGTGACAAGTGGAAAAAGTTTGGCGCTAGTTGGATCTTCAGGATGTGGAAAATCAACTATTATTTCATTGTTAGAAAGATTTTATCACATTTCAGATGGTTCTTTGGTAAGTTTTGTATACTTTTTGGATTACTTTGAATGGAACCAGAAAAACTAGAAATGTTTTTTCTGATGCTCAATTCAAAAAATTTCCGTATTGTTAATTCCATACAACATCAAACAAAATGTTTTTCATTCCGTCGTAAAAAATTTGTTGATAAAAAAGTGTTGGAATAATATAGTTTACAACCTACTGATAAGCCTTGAAACCATAATGATTAAAAAACTTTTTCCGGAGTCCTTAAAGAGAATATTTCATAATTTCAGAAAATCGATAAGCATGAAATTGAAGACATTGAAATTCAAACTTTGCGATCTAACATTGCAATTGTGTCGCAAGAACCGACACTTTTCAATTTGACAATTGAAGAAAATTTATTATATGGATTGACAAGAGCCGTTCCCAAAATTGAGATAGAAAATGCGTTGAAAACTGCCAATGCTTATGATTTTTGTATGAATTTCCCGATTGGTTTGGAGACTTTTGTTGGTGAACGGGGAGCGCAATTATCCGGAGGACAAAAACAAAGAATTGCGATTGCTAGAGCGATTTTGAGAAATCCGAAAATTCTATTGTTAGATGAGGCGACGAGTGCGTTAGACAGTGAAAGTGAAAAGGTTGGTTGTACTTTTGGAATGAAATAAAATGGGAGAGGAATTGGTTTTTTAATAACTAATGAGTTTGCAGGTTGTTCAAGAAGCTTTAAATAATGCGAGTAGACAACTGACAACAATTATTGTGGCTCATAGACTTTCGACAATTGTGAATTCTGATTCAATTGCTGTTCTAAAAGACGGAGTTATTACGGAGCAAGGTAAAAAATGAATATTTGGGAATGAGTGTATTTTTTTATATTTTTAAAAACACTATAAAATTCAGTTTACCGCCTTTACAAAAGATATCTTTCTGAAAACTTCCAATCCTAATTTTTGCAGGTACGCACTCGGAGTTATTGAGGTTAAATGGAATCTACACTAATCTAGTTCAAAAATCGCAAATTCTCTCCACCTCATCGAAATCTTGATCTATTTTTTTGCCTCTTCTCATCCTCGAAAAAAATGGTGTGTTATGAAAATAAACGATGTGTTTTATCCGAATGATCAGTTGTAAAATTTCGTGAAACACCTGACTCTTTTTTTTCGCCACTTTTTTGAACCCTTTTTTTCTTGCGACCTTTTTTTACTCCTTCTTCTAGAGTTTCTCAGAATACAAATGACCGTAGTAAGAAGATTGTTTGCTGAAGCAACATTATGCTAACATAATAATAGTGAATCTGAGAAGAGGAATAAGAAGAAGAAAGGGCACAAGGCAGGTGAGCACGTCGTCTAGAACAAACACTCGAGTTGATCTCTAGTACTATCAAAAAAAAATTAGTTTCGCCCCACATATTGGTGACCTTCCTTATTTGCCCTCTTATTTGTCCTTATGCTAATTTTTTGCTGGTAATGTGATGGTGACTGGAGTCATTCCAATTACGGAAAAAAATATATAATCTGGATTCTGGTTTTGTTCTCTTGTTTTATTTTATTGTGAAGTTTCCGAGTAAAAAAATCCTAGTACTGAACTTTCCCAATTATTCAAATTATTGGTATACCATTCTAGCGTATGAGTTTACACATTTTCATAAAGTTTAACACGCTTACAATGTGAACTATAAAATAGGGAGCCCTGAAATGTTTTTTTCTGATCTCCAAGAATTTTTGGAATATTATTCTCTTCATGAAAATTCCTCCCAAAAATCAATCTTCAATCAAAACCCGTTCTCTTCATACACACATAGATATCTAAATTAGCTTTATCCAAAAAAGAGATGAAAAAATGTCAGAAAAATAATCGTCGAACTTTTTCTCTCACTGACAGCTCGTCAAAAAATGTCCTTTTTTGGTCTCTCTCCAAAAATTTTGTTGCGCCCGCCCTTTTTTGCATTTTCACAACCACAAACACTCGTTTTTTTTTGTTTCATGATAAAAATGACCAGTGAGGCTAGAAAAAACGGCAAAATTTTATTGTCTTTTTTCTCACTAGGGAAAAAAAAGCGTGTGTCCCTAAAATTAGTTTTTTTTCGTGCTCGTTTTTTCCTTGTCTTCGTGTTTTGCCTGCTGGCTCATTCTTCTACTTCGTTGCTTTTTGAGGCATCAACTTATTTCTCGGATTAGATTGAATTGAATTTGAGATGTTTTTGTTTTGTACGACAGATGAAAGCTTATTTTAGTGCCAGGACCATCATGTTTTCTTTTTACTTTTTTTTATTCTGGAATTTTTAAAAAATTACTTCTCAAGAGAAATGCTAATGATCATTGATCTCGAGAAATTTCAAATTTTATGATTTGATTTGTTCATTTTTTGAATGAGAGAGTTTCGAAAGAAGATTTGGGGAATTTTCGGACTACACAAAAAAAAACAATACTCATGACAAGTAAAGACCACCCTTGAAGTAATTAGTACATTTTCAAACGACTTGAGTCTAAACTTCTGTTTTTTTTATTTTGAAAGCTTTGCAGAATATTTAGACCACCCAAGATGCTTATTTGTTATCAATGTATCTTCATTAGTTTTCAAATAATCCCCCTACTTTTTTTGTAATCTCAATTTGCCTCTACGAACTAATAAAAAGCGAACTTTTCAATCTTCAGTTCCAACTTTCTTCATTTTCATTTTCATCTTTTTGTCTGTTCGTAAAACAGAAAACAGATTTGTTTCATATGTAACCCCTCGTGTTTTTTCCAGTAGTACACAGCAGTTTTTTCTGATTCGTAAAAATTTCTTTTTCATTTCATTTCGTTACCCTCAATTTTTCTCAGTCTCTTCAACCTCTTGTCTTATTTCTCATTTAGCTACTACATATCAATTTATATTATTTATCTTTGAGGAGGAGCCGCCATTTTTCTTTTGTTGTTTTTGTCAAGTACTTGTGCTCTCAGCTTGCTAGATTTGATCTAGATTTTTTTCGTCGTTTTTGTTTTGTTTAGGCGGGTCGGGCGAGTTACCGGGCAAGATTTACAAGTATGTGTGATGTTGAGCAATTTTTGGGATCTCTAGAAGTAAATACGGTGTTATTAAGGGGTTTCGATCAGATCAGTTCTTAAAAATTGTCGGATTAAAAATTCTCTCAAGGTTATCAAATCTTTGAGATACCTAAATGAACTTCTCATTTCGAAAATTCGTTTTTTAGAAAGAAAAATGATTAAATCCAACAATCAAAGTTTCCAGGGTTGCTAAAGTCAAGAATGTTAACAGATAACAATTTAAGAAATATTGTTTGGACTGAAATTGTTGCTGAAAATTATGAACCATTTAGTGCATTCAAATTCTTTGGTTTTAAAACATCTGAAAGTAAAAGAGCTTCATCTCTCTCTCTATCTCTAATTTACAGCATACTATTTTCTCAAAATCTAGAACTATGATCTACATACAAGAGTAGATAAAAACTCCCATTAAATTTTCTGATAATTTTTATCAAAAATATTTTTCGCTTTACCGGTTTCTAATAAACTTCCATTTTTCCTGAAATTTCGAACATATTCCAAAAAAAATATATTTCAAACAAAAACTATGCTCTTGACATTTTTCCCCACACATATGTACAACACAAACATTCATGACTAATTTTTCATAGTTTTTGTCTTCTTTTTCTCTTTTTATTTATATATTCCCTCTTTATTTATCATGTCCCTATAATATTTATGACCATTCTCCCAAAAATAATGATAATTTCATCTGTTTTTATGACAGTAAGTACACAAAAATCACAGTTTTCTTTTTGCTCTAATCTTTATGAAAAATATCAATTTTTGTTATGGCTTCTTTATTTTTTCCGGAGTATTTATTATTTGTTTTTGTTTTTTTTTTTGATATGTGACAAAATCAGCTGGCGGAAAAATTGTAGTATTATTTTGGTAATACATATAAATGTCTGGTTTTTGTTCAAAAACCGTCACCCTGGCGCCAAATATTTTTCGAAATAAAATTTATGAGAAAAATGCTTATCGCATCATCAAAAACGTCCCGGTTGATTCATTTCAAAAATTCCTTTTCGAACAATTTTTATCTATCCGTTTTATTTAATAATTCTCACTCTCGATTTTCTCATTTGTCGAATATTTCTATGACCTTGAACACCTTAAGAATTAGCTATAGTAATCACCTTTTTTTTTGTTTTTCGTGGGGGTTTTTCGGGTGATAGATGTTTGACCTTGGTTAAGTCTCTTTTTTCATGTTTGTGTTGTTCCGATTAATGTTAGAACGTAACCTGGGTTACGATTTTTGCAACATTTTACGGATTAGTTCAAATTGAGAAGGTGGTTGATTAAAGTAGGCGTGAAATTTAGCCTTACTCGTTTCATTTAATGACCGTATTATTTGAATGGTTTGTCTTTTCGGCTTTTTTTTTTGAGAACAGTAGTTCTGAAGTTTTGTAAAATAAATGCATTTTTTGAAAACGAGAATAAAATTTTCAAAATTTGTATATCATTCATTCTTCTAACCATTTTTAATTTTTAATTTTTCAACTTTTACGTGATCTCAATGATCTCTCAGTTTATTCCGAAAAATTCGTACCATCCAAATTTTCTCCTCTCCCCTCTCCCAGTCTTGAACTTTTTCTCAAACCCTTCAATTATCCTAATGAACTTTTTTCTGCTCCTCATCATTTAGATAACAAGAAAAAGGGAGGAACGAAAAAAAAAGTTGCCTCCTGGCCTGCCAAAAACATCTGGATTAATTTCCATCTTCATTAGAGGAGAACGACATTTTTTGAATGGAGGAAAAAGGGAACAATTGCTTGTTGCACTTTTTTTGCTGTCAAAATGTGTCTGTCGGCGGATTCAAAAGATGACGCCGTTTTGTCATCGAAAGTGAGATGAATCACACCTTTTAGCTTTTCATCTGGCTATTTTCGGTAGAAAGATTTGGTTTTCATTTCATGAATTGTTTCCGTCTGCTACTTTTTTTTTTGAAATTCGGGTTTTTCGTGGAACACCTGTCGAATTGTCTTTTTTCGGATCAAAAAGCAGGTTTGAAATGAAATGATCCTAGGTTTTTCCGCATCCATTCTAAATTAAAACTCATTTCTAGTTTAAAACCTCAAGCTACTTGATCAAAGACCATTCATATCGCTTTAGTTAAAAAATACAGTAACCCTGTGGAAAAAATTCTTGATTGCCAAACCTTTTCAACTCACCCGTTCCTGATCGCTTGTCAAGATAAAACATATATAGTCAGACCACCCAGGTTGCCTTAAAAGACCACCCGCGACGATATATAGTAGAATATTTGATGCGATCCGTATTTTTGTGTACTGTATTTTAGTACAAAGAGGGACCTGAATCGAATACGTGAACCACCAGAAAAGAAGTTACTCTGTACAAAACCCATCACTTCAATTTCTCCAAAACACCCTGTCACGCCATTTTCTCACCTAATTCATCAAAAAACTCCTGACATAATTAGGGCACCATATTTTCCAAAAAATTACTTCATGTTTTCAAATATATTTTTCCCAGAATTTTTTTTAAGGTTATGAATTATTTATAAAATTTGTCTACCCGAAATTCTCTTCTTCCATGTTTTTTCAATTTTCAAAATAGAAAATATGTCGAAAATGAAAATGATATGAAAAGTTTCAAATCAATAAACCGCCCTTAATATCATTTCATCTTTTCTCATTATTATTACTCATTATCTGATCCGAAAAAGGGAAAAAAGAAAAAGAAAATAATCAAATCATCACCCCAAAAATATTCATTTTTATACAATTTTCTCATCTATATATACATATATGTTAACCTGTCTGCGTCTCTCTTCCTATATAGTTTACTCCCCACCCTTTTTCTTCCAATATACAGTGTTGACTTTGTAAATTAGTGTGGTTAACAGTGTCTCTGCCTTTTCTTTTCTATTTTTATATTCTTAATCATCACCCATATCGACTTTTTACCCTTCCTCTTTTTTTCTGATTTTTTTTTGTTTTTTTATTCACATTATGTGGGAGAGAAAATCCTAACACCTTGCTACAAAAAAGCTAACACCTGCCACATTTTTATTTCTTGACACCTAATTATACAGTGCTGGCTGGTCTTCTTTTTTTCTCATTTGATTTTTTTCTAAAAAAATCTTTGATTTTTTCAGATGTTGCTCCGAAAATCAGTATTTTTTCTACTGATTTCTTCATTAAGCCTCAACGTTTTTGCACAATCGATTGATGAAGAGGAAAGTGTTAGTGTTGGTGGCGGATCGGATGGAAGTGGAAATTTGATCACTGATGATGAAGATTTAGAGGTCTGTTTTTTGTCAAAAATGTTTTTGTGAGACAGACAGGTTTATGAATCATTTTATACAAAAAGAACGGCGAATCATTTCCTGAATTTATCATTATGATTAATTTCATTATTAATCTATTTCATAATCAGTTTGTGGTTCACGTTATCTTGAAATGATAAAAAATTGTGAGAACAGGGAGGTTTAGAAAAAAAAAGATCTCTGTTATTAGCCTAGTTGTTTAGTAATTTTGAGTGACCAGGCATTACATTTTATGTGAGTATGAACATTAAAGATTTATTTCAATGTCAGATTGTCAATTATTAGTTAATATATTTTCCAATTTTTGCAGAATTGAATTTTTTTTTAGTTTCCGAAAATTTATATAGAAATTTCCAAAACTTTTTAAAAATGTTTCTAACCTTTTTTGTTCAACACCAAAAATATTCTCACCTCCAGAAAAATACAAATTATTGCTAAATATTTCTTTATCTCAAATGACCTCAAAGGTACAGGTGTTAGTTGTCTTCTCCATTTTTTGTCCATGTTATTATTAATATTTTATATAGTCGCATTGCGCACTTCTTTTTTGTGTTGCGCAATTGGCAACCGATAAAACCCAAAAAAGTACTTGTGTATAGATAAAAAATAAAACCATATGACGATCGGTTCAACAAGCGTAAAAAATCGAGAGGGTATTGTGGAATGAGATGAGAAAGTAAACACATCGAAATACACTTTTGTTTTCGAAATTTTATAATCCCTCCTATGATGTAAATCTGAACATGAGAAAATCAAATAAAAAGGCTTTTGTTTGATTTGACTTGCTTACTGAATGTGAGTGGAGTAAGTCTGGAGTGAAATGAAAACAAAAAATATTTTTGTAGGGGTCAGCTATTCCACCGGATAGGCCATATGCAACAACACCACAAGTTCGACAAAAGTTCTCATCTTCTTCTACTACTACACAACGCATTCAAACAACAACAACTAGAAAGGTAAGCGAGGATTTTTGATTTGAAATTGAATAACCTTGAAAAAGTAGAAGACAGCTGACTTAAATTAATTAAAATTGAATAGGTGGAATTTATGGGATTTGAAGAGGAAAAGAGGAATTGATAAATGATTTTGGATTTTTTTGATAGGAAAGGATATGTTTACTTAATTAAAATTGAATAGGTGGAATTTATGGGATTTGAAGAGGAAAAGAGGAATTGATAAATGATTTTGGATTTTTTTGATAGGAAAGGATATGTTTACTATGATTATTGAAATTTGATTTGAAATGTTTTATTGAGGGAACCTGACAATCATTTTGGAACAAAAATGTTCCTGTGTAGTTCCAAAAATTTCATTTTTTTAAATCACATAAACTATTTGGGTGGTATGGAATTTCACAGGTAGAATGTTTTTGCATTAACTTCGTGAGTGATCCAAAGCTTTGAAAGAACATCATATGTGATTTCAAATCTCATTACCTAAAATTTTTGTTTAAATTGGAGTTTAGGATTGGTAGATCAAATATGTATGTGGAGTTTTCATGCGTGTTTTTTTTTCTATCAAAAATCAATATTTTTCCAGATCATCACCCAATCGCCAGTCGCACCAAGAATTATCACCTCACCAAAATACAACGATTCACCATCGCCATTCAATATGTCATTATTCTTTGGAACCACAGGAATTTTGATAATTCTTGGAACAATTATGCTTCTTCTCATGGTTTTGATTTTATTCATCTTGTGTTTCAAGGCGAGAAATAGTGAGTTTTAGTAATATTTCACCAATAATTTGAAAACAATTTGGAACTTTTCAGATAAGAAACAAGCATATCGTCCTGGCCAGCGAGAAAGTCCAGATGCACTTTTGAAAGATTAGAAAATCTCGAAAATTGACTGGAATTCAAACGGGTGCTCTAAAACTAATAACAAATTATTTTTAAACAAAAAAAACAGAAAAGAAACATTTATGTGCCATCGATGTATCTTCTTATTTAACCCATCGCATAACCTTATTTTGGCTTTCAGGAACACGATTTTTTGACTTTCATTTATGACTTTTTAACTCAAAAATTTTCTATTGAACGAGTTTTCTATCTACCAACCAAAACATCATTCTCAGTTTTTCACTTCTTAAAATTTACCAATTTTTTTTCGATTTTTTTCCCGGTACCTGACTTTTTTTTTTGAGAGGTCTTACTGTTTTGTTGTGTGCAATATTTTCAATTTATTTTGCTCTAGGGTTAGTGTTATGTATTTTGTGTCTGGTAAGTCGATTAATCAACACCGATCTTCAATTGTATCTAATTATGTAATATGATTTTTCTTGCTGTTTTACAGAATAAAATGTTGTCATTGAAAATAGTAGTTATGAGTTGATAAAATCAATTCAATAATTGTCCACAAAAAAAATGAAAAAAATTTTTTTGGAAAACTAATTTTTGAATTTTTGGTTGTTTTACTTCAATTATCAGAAAAACCATAAAAAATTCAATTTTTCAAAAAAAAAATAGACGACACTTCATTACTCAAATTTGTTGGAATTTTTCATTTTTCGTGAATTTTTACCAGATGTCAATTTGTCGAAATTGAAAACTTTGGTACTACTAGCTTTATAATTCTGCTCACGACCCAACACATTTTTGAGCTATTTTCAGGCATATCAAGCCCCGAAAAATGTTTCCCTTTGAAACAAAAAACTCCGTGTAGACTAATCATGCGCATTAATTAGAGCGCGTTCGGAAAAATGTAAAACAAATAGCAGCACCAAAAAAAACGAGAAATGTAATATACATTGAACTTTTGCGCATTTTTTGATTAGAATAAGTATATCTTTTTCTTCTACACAAAAAAAATCCTCATAAATTATGCAAAACATTGGCGTTGTCGCATGATACTCTTGCTTCGTTTTTTTCTACTTGGGTTTTCTATGTGGTTAGCTTTTGTTCACAGTGCGTGAATATTTTATGAGCGGTGTTTCAATGTAATTATCGTAATGAGTCCAACACCAACGCCTACAATCTCACATTCAATGTGTCATTTTATATCACATTTGATTCAAGAGATGTCGTTGAGAGCATCGTCGATCAAATTTCCATCGGTGAGTTTTTGGGGTACTGTAGGTAGTTGATTCTCAAAACATTGCTGATGTTTTCTATAAATACATTCTCCTCAAAAAAATGTTCTGTGGTCATCTGGCGCCCAAGAAAATACTGACCTTTTGTTGTCGAATATCACCCAAGTTATGACTTTATTTTTAACGCCAAAAATCAGTCTGGAGGAATTTGCACGTTAAAGATTAAAACTTGTTTTGGGAATTTTGTTTGGGTGTTTTTTGGTGTCATTTTTTTGTGAATATTTTTTTGCTTTTTTTCCCAGATATTTTATGCGGTCGGTCATTTCGTGATGTTAACTAATTTTAAGATCGGAAGATCATAATTTTTACATGAGATCTTTAACTCTGAACTTCAAAGAATAATTCACGAAAACTAATCGCCTAACTCGATTTCAAATCAATAAGAGTCAGAACTGAGTTTTTCAGAACAATATAGATTTTGGCTATATTTTTGCAAATGTTGAAAGGGCGCGCAAATATATGATTTTTTAAATAAAATATGTTCTCTAGTTTCTTGAAATTTAGAAAATAGAAAAAAGCATTAGTTGGAAAATGATAAATTGAAAAAAAAATTAGACAACATTTGTGATATTGAACATTCAACTTTATTGTTAGAACATAGAACAGAAGAATTATAGATTTTATTAGTTGAATATTCAATTCACTTATTGTAGAAAAAAAAAATGTTTATACATCAAAAAGTTATACTATTTTTTAGTCAGAAATTTTTAAAGTGGATTTCGAATCAAAGTGAATCACATAAATAATCTGACGTCAAAATTCTCCTCCAAAAAATCCAACAAAAACTCTAATAAGTACACATAGACACAAAACCGCGTCGTTGTCCCTCCTTTAATGAGTTCTTCTAATCCTCAAAACCAAAAAATCTGGCTTCATTTTTCTCAAAAACTTTGTTTCTAACGCGATTTCTCTGCCTAGTTTCTATTTCAAAAATTTGGTGTTATTATTATTGTTGTTGTTTTCTTTTTTTCGTTTTTTTTTCTGTTCTTGGATGCTACTAACAAATGAATGAGGAGCACAAATGTTGAAAGCTCAAAAAACTATTTTCTCGTTTTTTTCTCTTATTACTACTGAACTTGCCAAAACAGAACATAAGGAACTGAAATTTTCCCTATTCACAGACTTTTTTCGTTTTAAATTTCCTTATTGGCAGTGGAGCTGCTAAAAATAAATAAATAAAATAAAATAATGAATGTTTTCAAGGATCAGATAAGGAATATAGGTGTGACACGCGAATTTTTTAAAACTAATTAGAAATTCGTTAACATGCTATTTATTCATACACTTTTATATGTTTCTATTTTGATTTTGTTATATTTTTTCGATAATTTTATCATCTGAATTGGAAATAAAAACACAATTCTTCTTATTAATTTTCGAGAAACAACGAAAAAATTAAAAATTGTTGTCAAAAATCTATAACGTAGCAAAGTAATATTTGAATACTGTAATTTATTCTGTGAACACATTTTCAATTTTAGTCATCATAGCTTTTCTCGATCCGTCAAGCAACCGAAAAAGTTAAAACATTTTGGAGAGTCATGTGTTTTACCAAAATTTTGCTACGTCATGACATTTCTCGCCACTCTAGAATCTTTGTTTTAAATTCCGAAAGTTATGTACAACTAAAGGTACAATCCCGTGAAGATCTAAATAACACCACCTCCATCCAAATCCATATTTTCATTGGAAAATTATTTGAAAAGTACAAATTGGTTGGTGTCTAGAAATCCGTATAGATTATTCACACACGAAATATTATATACCGGGATTATAATCACAACACATGGATAGATAGATACAACAAATACTCCTTGCTCTAATCTCCTTTTTGCCATTATCGATATTTTTGCTTCTTCTTCTTTTTTTTGAATATACATACTTTCCTGATAATCCGCCATCATTGTTAGTTTGGTTCATTTTTTACTCTCTCCATCCTTACATTTTTTTCTTATAAGTGCAATTTACCATGTAATTATTTCTGATACTGAAAATCTCAACTCCCCAAAAAGTCTGAAAATTCACACACGAAGAAAAAAGTTAAACTTATGTACATATCAATTAATTCACAAACGTTCCACTTTACTTTTAATATATTTATATATGAAAATGAGATGAGATGATTTTTGAGTCTGATTCTGATTCTGAAATTGGAGAAGAAATTGATCTTGATTTCGAATGGGTGAGTTGAGAAATGGAGATTTTTCTCACGATTTTTCGAGAGGTTTGCAGAAACAAAAGTTCAAAGATATTTTGGTGTCTCGTTTTTTTTTTGTTTTTTTTTGGAAGTTGTGAAATTCTAGAATATTAGAACATTGTTTTTGAAAAAATGTGTGTAAATTAAATAAATTACTCTAGGTTTTAGAATGAGTGATTATTCACAATATGTTTTTAGAATATCAAAAAATAAAGGAAAAGTTATGGTAACATTTTTTTATCTTATCCTGAGTCTGATTCTGAAGAATAGTGAGTAGTTTCTAAAACATATTTTTAATGATAAAACCTTCTTCATCATTTGTCGACTAATGATATGTTGTTTTAGATCAGACAATTGTAATTTTATGAACAGTTTCTCGATGAACAACATTTCATACAAAAGTGAAAAAACTGTTTTTCCAATTTTAATTAGAAAAACTGTGACCAATTGAACATTCCCTTTGTGGAATGTTAGTTCAAAAATTCTTCTGTTTTTTTCAGCCCATTTTTTAAAAGAAAAAACAATATTCTGAATTTTTCAGAAAACATATTATTTTTAATTATCTTATTTTTTCTACATATAATCTCCACTTTCCTTGCTTTGTTTTCAGGAAAATCATTCAGATCAGTGTGATGTAAAAAAATATTTTAAAAAATCTTTTTTTTTTCGAATTTGATGTTCCTTTATAAAAATCCTTTTATGCATATGTTGTCAACAAAATTTAATTCAATTAAAAATTATGAATTTAATTCTTATTTCCATCTTACAGTGTATAATTTGTCATAATTTTTTTTTGTTTCCAAATGGTTCTTCTCCAGTTTAACTCAAAAAATTTCCTTAAGTCCAAAAAATGCAATTCAAATTATATTTGTCAGATTTTCAATTTATTCCAGAAATCAATTTTCGAGAATTTTGGAAAAAATCTCCTCATTCACCCAATTTCAGAAAATACACTTAACTGTAACTTTCCAGATATTTACTTCAAATTTCAACATTTCAATTTTTATTTTCAAACAAAAAATCGTCCTCATCTCAAATGAATGAAGTCAACCAGTATTAGTCATCTTATAATCCGCGTCTTTACGGATTTCTTTATAAATAACTATACATATACTTTGAGGATTGTCTCTGGAAATCCCTGTTCTGGAAAAATACGTATATTTTTCTAAAATATTGTCAGAAAAAAGTTTGATCTCCGATCATTTATTGACCAATTGTTGTGTTTTTCTCAACAAATTTATTATATATCCAATAGTTACTTTATATATTTTTTCTTTTTTATTTAAAAAAAAGAACGCGGGAAAAAGTTGACAGCTTTTTTTTCAAATATTTGTTTTATCAAAATTTGCAACAATTTTTACAGGTGGATTCGATGCCAACATCTCGCGATTCGTCGATGGAAACATCCGATAGGTAAGATTCTCCGAAATTAGTAGTTCTCAATTTTTGCTGCGTTGAATTTGGTTTTTAGAAATAATTCCGAATAATTGTGAATTTTTAGAAATCGAATTTCCTGAATAATATTTTTGAGCCAAATTTGGACGTCAAAATTTTTTCACATTAATTGATTTTTCAGAGGCTGTAAGAAAAAATTCGTAGCAGTTTGCCTTTTATTTTTCTAGTTTGAAAATGTTAGTTTTCGGAAAAACCTGATAATTTTGAAACACTTTATTGACCTTTCATATTTTATTCTCTAATTTTTGTGAATTTTTGATTTTCCTGAAACAAAAAAAGAAATTTGAAAACTTTACAGATATTCAGAATTTTCACGTCGTTTGAATCTGCGCATTTTTTCAATATTTTAAATTCGATCATTTTTTTTGAAAACTCTTCCTTGTTCAAGAGGAAAAGAAATTTGATACAAAAGGCAAAATGAACTTTCCCAAATCTAAAAGCCACGAAATTGAAGAAAAAAAGATCACATGAATTATCATTTTCCGGTAGATGAATCTTTTAGCGTCAAAAAAAGTGGGGTGGCAGAGTCGAAAGTATATATCTTGCCTCTCGCACTAATTCACGTTTTCCTGTTTGATATAGCCGTTGACGACAACGCCCCACTTTTTTTTCGAAAATGAGACATATGTGCATGAAAAAATAATATTCATTTATATATATATAATAAAAAAATAATCGAATTTTGTTGCGACTAGAATTGTTTTAATCGAAACACATAGCCTGACTATTGCGCTTTTTGTGTGTGTGTGTATAAACCTAAAATGGAGAAAAATATAACACATGAATACAGGTACCCATTTGGGTACACCAATGAATTGGCACGGACGGAACCATCGGCATCGACGGCAAAGCGATTGAGGCAAAGATTACAACGACAACAAAGTGGGCAATCTGGTGAGTGTGGGGGAATTTTAAGTTTATCAATGTTCAATGAGATTTTGAATTCTTGGGGATTCGGTTCAGAAAGTGTTAAGTTTCAGAGAGAAACACCGGGATATTTACAAAATATATATTGATATACAGGATTCATAGAATTTAATTTTACTAAAACTATAGAGCTGGTGAATAATTTAGTTTAAAAACTTTCTTTCAAATCCACTGTACCTAACTGTAAGTGGTGTGTCAAAGTTCAAAATAAAACTCATTACAAATGAAAATCCAAAAATATACACATCAATTCTACTGTACCTTGTCAGATTTTCAATTTATTTCACAATTTTTTTCATTTTCAATTTCAGTGAAAACCGCTTTTTTATTCTTTTGATTTATTGAACATTTCAAGATGCTCACATTGAATGTTAATATTCAATTTCATTTTCGTGTTTCAAATTTTTCGAGTGAATCATTTTTGCATGTTCCTTTCTCTAACTAATTGAAACTTCAAAATGTTTTTAAAAAATCAAATATTGAATCTCAAAGATTAAATTATCTAATAGTATTAATCTGAAAATTTCAATATCAATATTTGTGCAAAAAAAAAAATCCAATTATTATCCCACCCTGAAATTCTTTTCAATCAAAATTTCTCGAAAATGTTCTGATTCGCCAAAAAAAACTCAAAAAACTTTGCAAACCTTGCAATTTCAGATTATTTTCTAACAATTTTTTTTCCAAAAACAAACTAAAACTTTTCTCTCACGAATAAAAGCTATGATCTCACAATCAAATCTCAAGAAGAAGAAAAAAGTGCATAACAAATCAAGCGTGCACTTTTTTTTTCTGTTTTTCACCGAAAAGACTTTCTAACACAAGAAATAATACTGCTAGAGAAAGCACTTGTCCTAAAAAACAATGAATAATATTTTTCAGGATTATCGGGAAGACGATATACGGGAGAAAGCAGTGAATGTTCATCGTTGGTCGGCACACCTACAGATACTGGTAGATCATTCACTTTTTGGAGCTGCACAGCGTGTTATGAGAGAAAGGTTTGCAGAACATAAAAGCATGTATTTTAAGAGAAAAAACATGTGATAGATTCGATTTGCTTCTATGAATGTCTGATGTCATTTTTGAGCTGTGAGGAAATGTAAAATAATTTTTGAAAAATAGTTGATGAATTTATTGATGACGTAGGATGTTTGGAGCGGAAAATCTGAAAACGAATTGCCACGTCATGATTTTTCTGAAATTTGAATTTAACAAGATATACTCAAAACCGTGGACTGATTTTGAAAATCTAAAAATTGATAACAAGGATATGGAAAATCTTATTCTTGAAATAATTTGATTAAAGAATACTTGAAAATTTTGAATTTTGATATTGGTTTTTTAAATTTCTTTAAAAAATCAATATTCCCAAAGTTACCATGATTTGAAATATTTATGAACATCCTGATTTCCTAAAATCCATTCTATACACTTTATTTTTCAACATTTGCAATATCCGGGGAAAAAAACAAAAAAATGTTTTTAAATGAACTAATAAAAAAAATTGAGGTTTTTTTTTGGAAATCATCGAAATCGATACAAAACTTGATACATTTTTCCGAGCATTTAAAAACTCAAAAATCATTTTTGAAAAAAAAATAAAAATTTATAATCTTCAATTCTCTAATTCATAGGGAAAACTATTTATGCATACCTAAAACACAAGATGAAAAAAATTTCTCCATTTTTTTCGTTCATTTTTTCCGTGTTCATTTTCATGTTCATGTTCGAAATCTGACACGTCGAACAAAAAAAAATCTAATTAACATATATACATGTATATGTGACACACAACACATCCTAGAAGCCGAAAATTTTATTATTTTATTCACATGTCAAAATCGTTTTTGAAGCAAATCACAATGTTGCATTTTTAAATATAAATATTTGTTATTATTATTTCATTTATTCCTATTTTCAGAGATGATCGAAAACCATCAGTGACACAAAACTTGTCCGAAATAATGCTTGAGGTTGGTTTTTATTTGCTGCTTTTGACACATTTCCTTATTCATTCATTGGAGAAACAATTTCTAATTTTGTTCTTGTGTTTTGTTTCCTACTTTATTACTTTTGGGGATCTGCAGAAAACATTTCGAAAAATATGAAAATAATTTCAGGCTATTCATTATGAAGATGTAAATCTTGTTGAAAGACTTCTTGCTGCCCACAGTTCCAAACAACCAATGTCAACATCTCCATCAATTGGTGAGTTTTCTGGGGAATTTTTTGGATCAGGAAAATGTGAACTAGAGGCTTCTTGGTGAAGTTTTATTCGAGATATTTTTAACATCATGCAATATTCTAATTGAACTTTTCAAGATTGATTTTTTCAAAAAATTCGAATAAATTGTTTCACAGAAAGGTTAAAAAGTGAAGCTATTCGTTTAAAAATACGTCACTAAACTTCCAATTTTTTAATTGTTCCAAACTATCAAATAGCGAACTCCAAAAACAGAACTTGCACAAAGTCAAAAAATCAAGTGCTACTTCTGTTCACCAATTACCCGCCTACAAACCTGACAAAATTCCTACGTCATTCTTAAAATTTGATACATTTCTCCAAAAACTTGCTCATCAAATTTCGACAAAATCCTCCTCTCTTTTTTCTTGAACGAAGTTCAAGCAAAAAAGGAAGTATTTCATTAAAAAGTCTTTTTTCTTCTAGCGTTCCTCTTTTTTTCTATTTTCTCAAAGAAAAACCACATTTTTGTTTGAAGGCAGCACTAACACATTAACCGATTTGGCTCAACGTCGGCATGGCGCTGGAACTCATCGTAGATCAAATGCAAGTAGTACGGTATCAACACATTCGGGTGGTCGATCAACATGTGCTATGATGAATACATTGCATATGGCTGTGGCTCATAAGCAAAAAGATATTGTGGAATTATTATTGAAAAATGGATATGATCCAAATGCTCCAGCCAGTTGTCATTGTAAAGGAAATTGCACAGCCACCGGAAATATTCCACTAACTTCAATAATCCCCAGGTAATACTTTTTTTTTGAGAAACTACACATTTTCATTTTTTCTTGAACTTAAGTTTTTAAATCTAGAATTATTTATGAGTTGAGTTGACGAACCAAATCCAAAGCCAAGTTTTTTTTTCAGAACACATTCAATGACTCCGGAATTATGCTCAACTTGCTCGCAACTTCGAGTTGTTTCGATTGTTGATCAAACGCCGTTAGGTGTTGCTGTTAGATCTCAGTCAAGCGAATTGATTGCGTTGTTGATTGCGTATGGTGGAGATGTAAATTTAGGTTTGTAGTGAGATGAAGTTGGAGAAGTAAAGAAGAACTGGTTTTGGAACAAGATAATGGAAAATTCCAACCAGTTCCTTTTCCACCCAAACTCGAAATGTTCTTTCCCAATAATCATCAAAAAAAAAAAGAAGAAAATGATAAAATGATAACAATGAATAATTAATTAACAGGTGATGAAGATGGAAACACGCCTCTAATGTTGGCCGTACGAGAATCGCCACTCTCTTGGCCTTGCCTCCACACTCTTATTTTCTTCGGAGCTCAGTATGTCAAGCATTTTTGATATGTTGTTTACGGGGGTGGCGAGGAAAGACCTTTTCATAAATAATCGTTTAGTTTAGATTTACTAATATTTATGTGTGTAGTTTAGTTTTATGTATCCGGTGAAATGGGGTTTTCTAGAAATAGGTCGTTTTTAGAAAAATGTGATATAGCGATCTTAGTTTTTCTGGTAAATCTCAATTCCCCTGAAATCTGACATTTTGATTCTGATTTGTTTTTGAAGACGTCAACGTTTTGGAAGTTGAAAGTATCCAGGGAATTTTACGTAGAAAGTGCAGAAGCAGAACATATAAAATTCACAGGTATACTAGGAATTAAAAAAAATTAGATGAATTTCTTTTTTGCCGCTACTGTATGTATGTTGGATCCAAAATTTTTTTCAGATTCAGAAAATTTTCGAGTTCTAACTTTTTAATATTATGACATGGAAAACGTTTGAAATCTTACGATTTTCCGATTTGTTTTGAGATTTTTTAAAATATGAATATTCATTCAACCGATAAGTTTGAGAAATACTGTTGTTATCTTCTATCCCGCCACCTAACAAGAAACACATCTTACTTTCTCATCATTCCTGTTTTTTTAGAATTGAGCAGAAAAACATGCGCGGAATCTGTCCACTTGATCTTGCACCAGAGCTTAAAAAGCTGCAACAAACTTGTGTAGAAGAATTGTTCAAGAATGCGTGTAGTGGTGAAAGTGAACCACCATCTCGAAGTACACCCGGTCCAAGTGCCAAAAATTGGAACAGATTACAAGTGGATAATGGTGAGTTTTTCTCTTTTCTTGTTATTTTTGCATGACTTTATTACTGATTTGATACAATCCAGAGACTACAAAAAATGTTCTACTTTATATATTTTTCTTTTTTTTTTCTTGGTTTTTTTGGATTCAAAAAAAAATCGCTTGTTTTTGTTAGTATTTGATTGATTTTGTGTTTATTTAGTTTCGCAAGGAGAAAGATCATTATCAAAAACACCATTGAGTCCAAAAACCATCGGCTGCTGCAAGTGTCTCAACATGTTCTATGCTCGAAACTTCATCAGCAAAAGAATCGGCTCGTAGAAAATCGTTGGTTTCACTTCAACTTCATCGGAAATCAAAAAATATTAAAGAATGTGAGCTTTTATTTTAGTTTTGTTGAGTTTGGCTGAGGCTTTTTGTTGGGTGATGGCTGATATTGATTTGATTTGCTTTTGATTTTTGTTTGCAATATTGATTTTTTGTTAGGTTCGGGACCTCTGGGTAGAATTTTTTCTGAAAAAAATCAGAAGGTTTCGGTTTTTATTTTTTATCAAATTGGTTGGAAATTTTCTTTAAAAAATTGAATGAAATGGAAAACTAAAAACATTATCCAACATTTTTTTTATAAATTTGAATTTGAACTTATCAGTACAGTGAACTTTGCTTTGAAAACTTTTTGATTTGTTTTCTGCCATTTTTCAACCAGAGAACCCTCACATCAGTTTTCGAAAACCCAATTTCAAAATTCCTGAAGTTGCCCAATTTCTTCATACTGAATCACCTACCCTCCATAAAATCTCAAAATTAAAAATAAAACTAATGAAAGAATTTTGCACTTTTAAATTCAACAAACCAAATACACCCTCAACTTTTTTTCTCAAACCAAATCCATGTTTTGTCACATCTAATTCTTCTTCTTTCATCTTCATTAAAAAACACATTGATGTGTGAGAAAAAAAATTTGGAAGATTAGTCGAGTCTGCCTAAAAAGCAACATTTATGAAGTGGAAAACTGATGCGGAATTTGCAGATCCTGTAATTGACTGCGTGAGCTGGGAACAAGCGTGGGAGCTGCTCAAGAAAATGGCGTGCAATCCGGAATGTCTCGATAACATTGTGGTGAGTTTTGTTTAACAATTGGGGTTTTTTCAAAAGATGTATAGCTATTTTCAATTAATGAAAATGAGTTGTTACAGAATTCTCTAGCTAAATTTGGAACTCAAATGGAAAATACACCATCATCAGTAGATCGAGATCAATTTGATGCACACATGGGAGGTCTTCTTCATAAAATGATTCATGTAAGTTTTCAGACTCATCTTTTTGAAAATAATGATTTACTTGTTTCAACCTTACCACTATATTTTTCAGACTGCAATTGAAGAATATGAATCATCTACACCTACATACAAAAAACAAAAGAAACTCCATCTAACTTGGTTGCTAAGTCAAATTGCATCATTTTGCTTCACATTTCTTCAGAAAACTGGAACTTGTCGACAATTTTCAGCGTTGAATACATTGAACAAAATTATTGACGCGGGTCTTGTACACGATCTTTTTGCATTTAACGATGTGATTTTTCATTCTTCGAGAATTTTGAATCGATCACACGCTTTTGATTCCGATGAACCACCGACTCCGTGTATGTTTTTTTGTTTTTTTTTTTGAGAGTAGAAAGCTTGGAAGAAATGAAATTCTTTTTTCAGCGGGCGAGTCATTCAACTCAAATGCCGATCAAAGTTCAACGGTTGATCATGTTTTTATTTACGGTGCTGGCTACAAGTAAGATTATTGGGAGAGTACATAGAAGGATATGTTTGCCTTATTAAACTATTTTTATCCAGAAGTTGCAAAAAAATTAACTTTTTTCTACTACAAAAAAATTGGCTTGATTTGCAAAAACAATTCTCAATGAATCATGCACTTTTTCAAAGTGTAGTCTCGATTTATTTCAGTTTCTCTATATTTAGGTTTTGAGTTAGAGTTAGAGCTAATACTTGTGAACTAAAATATGTTAGCGTTGATAATAGTATTACAGGGTGCGCGCGAAATATGTGTGCATGAACTTTTGGCCATAATAAAGCCAGAACGTGCCTGATCACGCTGAGATTTGGTCTCAAGATAGCCAAACTAATCATAATACAAAATCCAAAGCCGATTTTGTATACCTAGACCAAGTCACATAATTTCCTTTGGGGTATGGTTTTAGAATGAGTGTGGTATGAACGCGGCTATTTTCAAGTTCACAAGACTGTTTCAAAGTCTAAATTTTCACGATTAATTGAAGTGATCAGCAAAAAACCTTTATTTTACCTTCCCTGATAGTGTTCATAACAGAAATCTATATCTGGTTCCACAAAACTCTCTGAAAATGGTGTTTAGTGCAACCTACAAAAGTGAAGTTTTCAAAAAAAAATTTCCCAAAAAGAGACAAAAATCAATTATTGTCGAAAGTAATGTTTGTATAACCAATATTTCTATCAAACTGCAGTAATATGAACATATTATCATAATTCAGTCATAATCACGATGAATTATTGACTTTTAAGTGCTCTAGAGCTTGTTTCTCAGATTGAATTCAGATTTCGCCGATTCCTCGAGTGGAATTTTGTTGTAGGCCTGCTCGTTCTTAAAACGGTATAATGAACTCTATGAATTTAAATAAAGTAAGCCAATTATGTCTAAAGACATCATACAAAATCATATTTAAATAACTTTTACGAAACTCGAGTTCTAAATGGTCAAAATCATTATCCGAAAAATAGGAAGAGTCGAGTTCAGATTTTCTCATTTTCACAATTTCTCTTCTGACTTCATACAAACCGGATTATATTTTAAGTGAAGAGATTGACTTGAATTCTTGTAAATGGTGTTTCTCGGATACTTGTGACTAGTTTTGAACAATCCATACTCAAATTTACTACGTGTGCCAATATTACTAACACTGTATGTGAAATTTTCGCATGCACACATATTTCGCGCGCACCCTGTACTGTACTGGAATTGTTCAAAAAATTAATGTTATTACCTGTACCTGTATTGAAATTTATCCCAAACTCATTTTTGCGTACTGTTATTTTCACTACAGTTTCCGAATACTTTCTCATCCTCAATTTTTACAGAGATCAATCACTTTTGCCATCACCAACAATTGCTCCAACACGTCATAAATCTGATTTGATGAATTCATTCAGCGAAATGGATCCAAGTTTAGTCATAGTAGCACTTCATAATGCCATAACAATGCAAAATCGTGAAGCGGGTTCTCGTTCAGTTTGTAGTCCAGCGCATCGTTGGCGTCAATGTTGTGCACATTGCACACAAATTCTTGTCGCTCGTCTTTTATTATTCCTTACTCATGTTAAACGTTTTCGTTCAAGATTATCTGATAGACATCAACTTCGATCGCTAGTCGCATTATTCGAGCCAACATTAGAGCCACAATTGTTATGTTTATTACTTCAAACTTTAGGATTGATTGCTTTGGATCCAGCTACACATTCTACATTGATTGATATTCAAATTGATGATGTTTTGATACAAATGTTATTACCGGCAGATGATTGGTATTATACAAATCATAGTACAAAATATGGAACTTTTGTGAAATATCATGCAGCAAGAGTTTTGGTTTATGTTGGGATGGGGGATCGTGTTGGAAGTCGTGTCAATGTTTTCAGTTCTTTAGGTAAGTTAGAAAAACTGAATTTTGGGTATTGTGAACACAGTTGTGAACGTCACAGAAATTTCTGAAAATAATGTAACATCAAACAATTTTTAAACTAAACTACAAATCAAAAAAAATGCAACTAACTAGGTCAAACTAAAGTATATTTTCACCCTTATCCATACTTTGAACAAAAATAACTGTTTTCTCTCTTTCTCTAGCACTCTCTTTTTCTCTCTTTCTCTCGTTATAATACTCTCTTTCTATTACATGTCTTGCGGCAAACACGTCCATTCAAAAAAAAATACAAATGTTCCTTTCATTTTTTCGCGTTGTTACTGAATTTAGAAAATTTTCGTTAATTTTTGTAGCTGTTTCTATTGAAAACCTGACTTTAATGCCGTTTATTCAACAAACAAATATTTTCCAGCCTTTGAACCATCTCAATCAAACAAATCTGGCGCTCATCAAAACGAAGACGAATACATCTGTGAAACATGTGCCACTCCCAGAAGTATGAGCACATTTTCAAGATCAGCTGTTTCCGTTGAAGGAATTTTGCTCAAAGTCCTCGCTGAAGTTGCAGAACTCGTCAAACAAAGTCAACATCTCTCTGCAAAAGAACCAATCACAGAAGAATCTCCTAGCGCTGGCTCACCACCAGCAGTTCTTCCAGATGAGCAAAAGAATGCTGAAAAGAACAAGGAGTTGAGCCAATTGGGATGTCAAATCTTGCTCTCCCTTGAGCAACTCGAAGCACATCTATGTAAACTAGGATTGGTCCTAGATTCTGTCCTACTACTTCGATTACTTCTCCACAAATTATCATGGGATTTGGGACTGGTTACAAAAAAGCGAGTAGCCGTGGTTGACCATAATTACAAATCGATACATGATCCAAGAGCTCATTCAAGCTGTAGTCTTGGAAATAATCGTAATTTTGGAAAATCTAAATCATTTGATAGGAGAGAGGATAGTAAACGAGATAAAAATTATTTGCGTGTCGATCAAGGATCAAGAGCTTCAAAGCGGGTACATATTCGAAGATCAAGTTCGGTTGAGATTATTCGACCAAAACGATTGAGCAGCGGCGCTAAAGATATCAAAAATCGAGAAAGAAGGAAAAGGTTAGTAGAATCTTTAATAGATAATGATTCGTTTTTCATTAAATATACATTTTTTCAGACTTGGAACTGATACGAGTAGTGGATCAAATCGCTCCAAGAAAACCAATTCATCATCATCATCCGTTCAAAAACATTTGCCAAAATATATCCAATCATTATTCCGGAGTCGTATGGGAACTGATCCATGCAAACGAACATCGAGAAGTGAATCCACGTTACCGCACAGTGATTTTTTGTCGTGAAAAATTTACAATTTTTGAATCCTTTCCTTAAATTTAGCATGCATTTTTTATTTGTCTTTTGGTTTGTTTCAAAATTTATGTGTTTGTTATGCGCTTGCTCTCATCTACCCCCAAATTTTAAATACACTAAAGCAGGGTTGATTGGAATTTGAGTTTGAGTTTTCTGAAAGTATGTTTTATTGAGAAATTTGGAATTTTGATTCTGATTTGATTAGGGGGAAATATTTAACACAAAAATAACAGATTTGGGAGATATTGCTGGATTCTCTGGAATCGGAAAATATGAATTCAAACTTTTTTTTGTAATTAATCTGATTGTTTTTTAATGAGTTTCACATGTTAGCACAATATACAGCACGTTATTTCTCACTAAAAATCCGAATTCCTCACCTTCTAATTCCAATCATCTCTGTCCCGATTTGTCTTCCAAAACAATTTTTTTCTTCAGGAGATTCAAATGAAAGCAACACCAGTGGTTCAGATGCTGTGCTTGAATTCACAAGAAAATTGCAAAACTACCCGCTGACACGACGAGAAGCTCAAAAGTAAGTAGCATCGCAAACATCGCAAAACACCTATGTATATAAAACACATTACAGAAATATTTTCAGAGCTGGTCCTCGGCGAATGGGATATGTATATCTGCCAGATTTGGAAATACATGTCTCAAGTCCGCCGAGATCACCGGGTCCACTCACAGCTAAATCCGAAGATGGAACTGCATTACTTCTTGATGGTAGGCGACCAAGTAGCCCGCAAGCGATTCCTGGATTACCACAAATTGAAATTCGTCGTCCATCTGCGCTTTCACAATTTGAATTCGGATATTTTGTGAATTCACCAGATATGAGTGGAAGTGAAGTTTCGGATTGTGCACCACTTTTGCTCAGCGGTCAAGTTAGTGGAAGTCGGAAGAGTTCAGATGGTAGGTTTTTATGATTTTTTATAGTTTGCAACAAAAAAGGCGAGATTCCCAATCCCTTCTTCATAAATTTCACATAAATTTACCGAATTTTCAGACATATTTTCAGAAACAAGTTTGGGTGGTTGGTCAAGTCGAGCATCATCAGCAATGAGTCAACGATCATCGAGATCCAGTGTTGGATTGAGATTATCAACATTTTCTGGTGGAACAAGTATTGCTTCTGACACATCTGGCCCATTCTTGTTTAGTTTTGTTCTGCGGAAAAGAGCATCAACAATTGGAACAAGGATACCAATCCCAAGAAGAGCACTATCTCGATCTTCTGGTGATAGTTTGCGAGTTCCCGATAGAGAATCTCCATTACATCTTGTTAGTATGACAGAAATGAATCCAGATTTTCAATGTGTTCGGCAACTCATTCTCAATCTTCTCAATGTTTACAACAAAAGGTTTGGTTTTCTGAATAGTTTTGCTCGAATGAAATCTTAAATTTCCAGATTAACCTATCGAAATGATAATTTGGTATCATCTATGAAAGAATGTGCTGATGTTTTGCGACAAGTTCTTAACTCACCTCAACATCCGACGGTCAAAAATTGGTGCGCTGAAATAATTCATGTTGTAACTTCACATATTGACGAGGAAGAAGCACCGATCAGTGAAAATATTGATTATATCAACGATGAATATATGGAGGTTAGTAAAAAAAGAATATTGTAATTAAAAATTATTTATTGGATTAATACATCGCAAATTAGACAACTCTTTAGTTAATTCATCAATATCATGAAAATTCTGACTAGAAAACTTAACAATTCTAATCGAGTAATTTTTCTCTGGAAATAACAAGAATTTGAGAGTGTTTCTTGAGATATTCTTCATTTTTGCCAAATAGTCATCATACACACTTGATTTTCTGCGACAATCATATTTATTTCGATAATGCCCAGATATTGAGTGTGTTCCAAACCATTTTCTAAGCGAACTTTTCCGGCGAAACACTTCAACAATTTGATCCATCGTCTGCATTCTTGACATTGATTTAGATCTCTGAACTTTTTCTTTGGGTTGCGGTTCGGAAGGACCTTGGCCAAATAGACCAATTGTAGAAGATCGGCGAGTATCAATTTTTACTTGAAGAGAAGGGTTACCTGAAAACCCAAATTTACATTGTGATGACATAAATCATAAAAAAAAGAAGAAGAACTTACCCGCTGAATAATTCTCAATAAATTCTGAAATATGGGGGACACTCCCATCGGTCGGAACAACAACTTTAATAATTGGTAGTCCCCCATCATCATTTTCTTCCTCTTCCTCTTCTTCCTCAATAATGTCTACAACGTCCTCAACTGCATTATCCTTTTGTTTTTCTTCTTCTGAAAGTTCAGCGATTGGCGGACAATGTACTTTTGATTTTGAGGAATTCAGGAATGATGATGGGAACAAAGATCCAATTGTTGCTCGGCGAGCAAAACCGGCTAACGCATGACCACGTTGCAAAGTTGTTGAGAGCCGTTTTTTGGATGATGACATAATTTCTGAAATTGGAAATTTGATACAAATTCGTAAGAGTAATTAATCTATTCTGTTAAGTGAACTGAGCGGAGTGGTTAGAGGTGTTTTTCAGAGTTAATATGTTTTTTAGATTTAGATTCTTTATTTGAACAAAAATAAAATTCATAATCATAAAAAATTCACAACACTGTAAATTTTGAGAGAAATGTATTAACAATAAAATCAAAATGGATGAAGAAAATAATTTATCAAACGAATGAATCACGCGAATTCAATCAAAACATGCGTTTCTAAAAAAAATAACAAAATTCAAAAAATTTGTCATAAACAAATCAAAATTTTAATGTGAAAAAATAATGATTGTTTTATCTCATAACATCAGACATACACATTAATATTGTAATGTTTTGCAGTTTCAAGACCAAGTGATTACTGGGTCTCTACCATGCCCGAAAGAAGAGGCAGCTTATCTTGCAAGTATCCAATTATGTGTTGAGGAGCAATGGCCAAGCAATAAAAGACATCCAAATCGTAGGCCAACTGCAATACCGGTCGCAGTTTTCACAGGAAGAATCCGAGATTTGGCACAGAAGATAATGGTTACACCATGGGAAATTGAACAAGCAATTGTATATTCATCACAAAGAGGAATGAATGAATCACAAACTGCAAGTCGAACTCAATCGGTTGTGGAAGAAACTCAACATCGAAATCGAACTCCTACTTTGTTGAGATGTATTACAAATACAGAAGGATTGATGTCAGAAGAGGTTTGTTTCAGAGTTTTTAACGTATCTTGTGAAACTACAAAAATATATCAAAAATGACTCTTACAATTCCAACATAACCCTGAATAATTAATTTTTTCGAAATAGTCAAGCTCATGTTGAGAAATTTGTTTTTATTATATTTTACTTTCATGGAAACATCAAAATCAAAATTATTCTTGTTATTTTCAGATGCAAGCTCAATGTCTACCCTCTGATTATCGAGGAGATAGAAGAACAATCAAATTGGTCAAAGAACGAAAACGAAAACTTTTCCATAGTCAAGTTTATGAGAGTGAAATTGGAATGAAAAAGTTATACGTGCAGGTGAGATAATGAATTCTAATCAGGGGGGGGGGCATTTTAGGTTGAATCCTTCTAATATTTTTAACAGTTCCATAAACTCAAAAAAACAAAAAAAGAATAGAAAAATGACTGATCATTTGATTTTGACCTCTAAAAATCACAAAAAACACTGAAAAATGTCCAAAGAAAAAATAAACGCCGTCATTTATTTTGAATTAATCATTGTTGAAATTCTCTTCCACTCGCTCTTCTCCCATTTTCCCAAAAAAAATTCCAAAAACTGATATGACACCAATAATTATTAAAAACTACTGTAGGTTTTCGAAACATGTTATCATCATTATCTGGTTACTGTACTTAGAAACTGGTGTGTAATTATGAACAAATTTGTTTAAAAAAAGAAGTTGTTCTCGAAAATATCTCATATAATTGTAGATTTCATTTAAGATTTCCTTATTCATAATTTTTATACATGTAGGCGTATGAAATCAAATATATACTTTTTTATGTACAAGTATTCTTATTTGAACTTTTCTTGCAGTATTTGCAAATAATAAAAACGACCCTGTTTATTTCCATGATTTGTCAGACAAGAGTATTGACATTTGTGATAAGTAATATTGATTTCAGACTGTCAAAAAATTGGCCGCATTTGGTTGCAAAGTTTTTCAAGTCAAAGAACTTCTACACGGCAGAACATTGAGAAAAGTGAGTTTTGCAATTATTTTAATATTGAATCAATTTTTTGAAAATGAAAATGAATTTGAATCAGAATTTCGAAAAAATCAAAAAACAAAAACACTTGGAAAACTTGTATTTTCTTTCCTCAGAGTAAAGTTTTTTAATCGCCATTCTGTTTTTTTAATTTTCTGTAGCAAAATTTCGCAAGAAAATAAAAACAAACAAATTCATTGACTAGCATAAGCGTAAATTTAATATTTACACGAACTCTCGAAAAAACGAAACAAAGATTTTTTTCGAAAAAAAAAAAAAAAAAGCTTTGTTTCGTATTTTTTTTTCAAATTTCAGAGGCAGGTTAATATTTTTAGTTAAATTTAACACAAAATTGTTTTTTTATGCAGAAATCTGTTTTGTCTATTTCTCTTTATTTTACATCATCTTTAATCAAATGATATCTGTATTTTTCAAAAACTTTTTTCTGTGTAGAAAAACATTTTGTTTTTTGTTAAATTTTATTACAAATAGGCCCATTATCGAAAAAAAAAATATTGCATCGCATGTGTGATTTTCCAGAATGATGCATCGATATTTTGTTTTCATCTATCCCAAATCCTTAGTTTTTTTTAGTTTTTGAAATTGAACATGATTAATTGGTCTTCTAGTTTTTCTCATCATTCCAGACACTTCGACTTTTGTGTTTATCACCAGCTCAATTGTGTTTATTGGACGGTTCGACAAAACTTGTTTTAAAAAGACAACACGCTTCAACTTTACAACAGTGGAGAGTTGGTGGAGGTGTTAGTAAACATCAATTGTTATTGGAGTTTCGTGGAACTAAATGGCAGCTTATTGGTGAGTTTTGAGAGGGATTTTCTGAATGGGGGCAATGCAAATCTTTCAAATTTTGTTCTTGAAAAGATTATATGTGCGCTGGAATTCGAACAAATTCTCGACAATTTTTTGAATTTTAGATCAGCAAATAGCATTTTTTTTCGAAATATAGAACTTTTTAGGTTTAACAGTTTTGGATATTTTAGATATTTAAATGAGAAATTTCATCTGTCTCAATGTCAGAGTATATTAGACCATTTAAGAAAGTGAGATTTTTATTTCAAAAAATCAAACATTTTCATATTGGATCTTCTATGAAAATCTACAGTAGGAAGAAAATTTCTGGGAAAGCGGAAGTTTCCAACAATTTAATTAATTTATGATATTAATAATGAAAAATTGATGAGAAACGTTCATTTTTGTTCAATATTTTTGACAGTTTTTTATTTTTTTACGAAGTAAAGAAATGGTTATTCAAAATAATTTCGTATTTCTACAACCTGAACCTTATATGATTTATCTGTTTTCAAATTCTATGCCAAAAAAGCGAAAATCTGGAATATTCAATTTTCTTCGGAAAAAAATGGGAAGGAGATCAAATAATTTTGGTGAGAGAATCAAGTATCATTTTTCTGAAGCTGTCTTCTTTTTCTTCTGAAGAGCAAAGGGCAAAAAAATGAATAAATGAACAAGATTCAAATTTCAAGAAGATGAAGAAGCGCACTCAAAAATTGTATATTATGCCTTTTGTGTCACACAAAAAATCCCTTCATTTTTCTCTTCCTTTTTTTTCCAGCGCCATCATATAATGCACTGAAATCGATATCAATGACATTATGGGAGATTATGCAAAATTCGGCTAGCAACTCAATTCAACGTAGTCTCAACCAGTCAATGCATCGATCAACCACCGAAGCGTCTGTTTGTATGTTTTTTTTTCATTTTGTTTTCTCTCGGATTGGGTTTACTGTATGGGTGGTCTTTTTAATTGGCTATCTTGCACGTATGAGCCTAATTATTTTGAAATTTAATTGGGACTCGTGAAATATAATGACGGTGGCTCGAGGATATATGAGACAGAACAGTCTTTTTCTTCTCTTTGCAACACAACTTAGATGTGTGCTTTTTTCAGAGTTTTTTTTTTCTTTACTGAGAGGATTAGTTATATAAGTGACCATATTAAACAAAAAGCTGAAAGTTTTTAGAAGTATTTTCCAATTTCCAGAAGTCAAAAATTAGTAACCTTGTTTTCAGTTAAAAAATATGTATGGAACATCAAAACATTGTTTTGAACTTCTAATTCTGTTTTTTTTCTTTTGTGAATTCCATTTTTCAAAACCCTCAACATATTTGGACAAAAACGCGGCACATGTTATGATAATTTCCCCTGGTTTTTCAATCTAGGAATTTTTCCGGGGTAATAATATTTTTTGATAGTCTTATTTTTTTCTTGAGATTTCCTCATCTTTATTCGAAAAACGCGATGATTCATAAAAAAATGATTATCATAACATGACTGTTTCATATGTCATGCCCTAGATAAAAAAGTTTCAAAAATAAAAAAATCTGCACCGTCATTTGAAAAAGTACAGGTGATTTTTCTTTTCAAATCAAATCAAATGAAACACATCGTCATTTTTGGAAAATGAGAGAACATGTTTTCATTTTCATTTTTAAATATTTATTTTTTTGCCTGAGAGAAAAATTGTGCCTAAAATCACAATATTCCCGTTTTTGCCTGACTCATTTTCGTGTTTCTCTCTGTTCTTTTTCTCGATTTTTTCTTGTGGAATTTGTTGTTTTTTTTTTAAGGTTATGCGATAATTATGAACTGGGAAAACCTGAGAAATGCGATTTACAGTAGGCGACACACAAAACGATCCATACCCGCCTACATTTTTCGTGAGTGTGATTAAAAAATACTGATTTTTTGTTGATAAAAATTGGGAGTGTCTTTTGCATTATCAGACATTTTTGAAATAGTTCCGCAAAAAATAAACATAGTTTTATTTTGATCAAGAATATATGTTTGGTGAGTTTTATTGTGAAATAAAATCAAAAAAAAAATCGGAATCATTTCCGGATATAAAAATAGACTTTTTTCTAAAATTTCAAACTGTTCTGATTTATTGTTTTTGTTTTCTTGGTACAAGCCAGACAAAAAACTCGAAAATTAATAACCAAACTTGCAAATTTGATAAAAATAACTCTAAATTATTTTTCGGAACAGATCAGTTGAAAGCTTTCATTGTTGAACTTTGAATTCTTGAGAATGAGGAAAAAAATTCTTACCTGTTTTTCAAGGTTTCCCAAAAAATAAACTTTTATGTAAATCAGTTTCACATTTTTGGAATGTTTATTTTTCACTTGATTTTGAAATTTGACCTCCCATTTAAAAATTTATGACTCATCATCTGTTTTTCAAATCTGTTCATATTTTCTAAACTTCAGCTGATCAAAGGAAGTATAAAAACGAGCTGTTTCATTTTAATTAAAAGTTCTGCACAGAATTATTTTGACCACTTCTTATTTCATTTCTAAATTTAGTCTGACATTTTTCGAACCTCTTTTTGACTTTTCTGGGTGTTTTTTTTTCTGAAGCTAAGTTTAGTAATTTTTATAACTCAAACTTAATTAAAAATGTTTCCAAACTTTTTGATTTTTCTCATCTTCTGAAATTTACTTAATTTTCTAAAATCATACTTTCAAATCATTTAATTTCCCCAAATTCATTTCGGAAATGTTTGGATTTTTATAATTGAAAGAGGGCTCTGAATGTGATATTTTATGAATCAAGATGAGAAAAAAAATATTTTTGAGGAAAATATTAACTAAATTTTTTTCGTAGATTCAGATTCAATAAATTTCAAAAGTTCGAATGTCTAGTGAAATCTATTCCATATCTTGTTTCGAGATATTTCCCAGAAATGTTATAACTAAAACTGATTTGGCAACGAGAAATCGAATTTGGTCAACATTTTTGTCAAAGAACCCAAGAAAGACATAATCTAACAATAAGAATTTGTTACTGTTTTTCTTCGGAAGAGTATGTTTTCCCAAAAGACCAGATTTCAAAATAACAAAATTCCGAGATTTGATTCTAAAACCATCCCAAAATGTCTGTCAATATTTCACCAATAAAAAATCGCATAATTCATGTGATGTTCGACATTTTTTTGGTTGGTGTGTGCCTCTCTCAATATACAAACCAATCAGTGCGAACCGAGAAATATGAGCGAAATCCTCAAGGGGACTTCTCTTCTTCTTCTTCTTCCCCGCCAATCTTTCCATCGTGTGTTTTTTGTCTTGTCTCTTCTGCTTCTGCTATTTTTTCTTTCTTTCTTTTTTATTTTTTTTTTCATTCCGCGCCCGCCCCAAAACCAACAACACAATACATACACATTTTTTGCACCCCGTTTTTTGTCGGTAGCAAAAAGGAGGGTGAAGAAAACAAGTATTATTTTCTAGTAGATACTCAAAATTTTCTGGCTGTGATAAAAATGATAATGTGATTTGGGGACATGACGTCAGTTGTGTCGAGATTACTTCACGCTCTTGGAAGATCGAGCGATCATGAAGAGGTGGAAATTCCACCTGATCCTGATAGTTTATTGGTGTATGTCTGTAAATTGGGTGAGTTTTTTGAAATAGGGTACTGTAGCAAATTGAAATATTTTGATTTATTTGAAATTTTTGAATTTTTTGTGATCGTAAATATTTACATTTTTCTGTTTTGAAAACATCTTTCAGTTTTTGTATTTTTTTTGAAAATTTTCATGAAAAAATTAGGGGTTACTGTAGTCTTTCAGTTCCTGACAACCTTTAACAAATTATTCACTAAAGAACCGTACTTTATTCTATCATTTTTAAAATTCAAAATTCTGTAGATTTCTATACGATTGTTGTTCTGCAAATTTTCAGACACTGTTATGATTTCATTTTTCAAAAATACCCTCATTATTTTCTGAATGTCATTTCCGATCCCTTGTGAATTTCACATTTCTGCTCAGATGAAAAATACCGTATCCCGCCTCGTGATTTCATTTTGCACTTATCCGAAAAATGCCAGAAAAAAAAAACAAATTTGCAGTCAAAAAATGCTTTTGCTCTGATCCATTAGAAAATCTAATGAAGTCATAAAATCCATTATCTCCTCTTGCACATTTTGAGCAGATGTTAATGGGTCTTTTTAATCACCTTGTGTTTTTTCGAATTCTTTGTTCGCACTATAAAAAAATTCAGAAAAAAAAGAAGAGAAGTGTTCCGATATCTCAAAAAAAAGATATGAACATTTATATTTTATTCTCCAGGGAAACAGATTTTCAGATCAAAAGTTTGTGATAAAAAAGAAGAGAGTTTCAATATTTTTTGCATCCAGTCTTAGTGTCTGTTTCAGTTTCAGTTTCCAGGAAAGAAAAAAAAACATTTTGAACATTTCGTTAGGCGGGGGCAAAAATACATATATACATACAACAAACTAGTCCAATTTCGCGCCAATCCAATTGTTTCGGCGTGCCTTTAACACTAGGATAATTTGGTTTAGGAAACAGCAGCCCTCGTTTCGCCTGACAGCAAAAAAGGCTGCTGCTTCTGTGGGGAGAAGAAAACCAAGAAAGAAAAAAAGAAACAACTCTAATTGCACAATAGATTGCTGATTGTTGCAAAAAATGTCGAGTTTTAGAATGATTGTACATGAATATAAAATAGTGAAAGTTGTAAAAAAATGAGGAAATTGGCTCGAAATTTTTCTGATCTGACACACCTAGATTTTTGGCAAACATTAGGGAGAAGCTGGAAAACCAGATTTTGCTAATGCTTTTCGGGAATTTCAATTAAGAAATGGACCCCAAGCTTCATTTTTTTTCAAATTAATCTCATAATTCTCGTGAATTTCAAAATTCAATCCTAAATAAACATTTGTGTCAGAAAATCACAAGTTCAAAATAAAACCATCTTCAAAAATAATTCTAAAATTTTCAGCAACTTCTCGGAGTGATTCAACATCATCAACACAATCAGCGACCGCTGGATTTATCATAAATGAGGAGCCAATCACACTATTCCGTTTGGAATTGGAACGTCTTCAATACATTCTTCATTTTCCTGAAGAAGTTGCATTTCAACTTTCTGCCACAGAATATCAACTATTTTATTCAATTCAACCTATGGATTATGTTCGATATGTGAGCTGTGATTTAACTTCGGTTCCAGTTTCTGAAAACCCGAGTCCTGTTCGAAATTTGGTCAAGCGTTTGAGTGAGGTTTCATCGTGGATTACTCATGTTATTGTGAGCCAACCAACGCACGATGATCGAAAAGTTGCTCTAACTGCAATTTTGAGAATTGTGGAAACGTGTTGGAATATTGGTATGTTTTTTGTAGTTTTAGTTTTTAGTTTTCGCGCCCAGGTGAATTTGAGCACAAAAAAAATCCGTGAATTATAAATTAGTTTAAAAGATCTTGTTCAACAAGTTGCCTAAACCTCGAGAAAAACGTTTTCAAAATAATTAAAAAGAACGAAATTTTTTGGAATTTTAAAAAGACATATTTTGAAAAAAATTTTCAAATCACCAGCTTTTCAAACAATTATTTTAGAATAATGCTCATTCTGGAAGTTCACGTGTCATCCTGGTGTATTTTACAAATTCTTAATCAGAACAAATTCAATTCAAAATATTTTCAGGAAATTTCAATGCGGCTGTCGAAGTTTTAATGGGTCTGAAATCGGAAAAACTTCGACCATTCTGGCTTTCTCTCCGTCAAGAAGAAAAACAACAATTCGACACATTATGCGAAACTCTTCTACCAGCCAATCAAGCTCTTCCATCTCAATCCTACATCAATGCAGTTCAAAGAGCTCTTCGAATGCAACAATCTCGAGTTATCCCATTTTTCGGAATTTTCCTTCGTGATTTATATGCAATTGTCAATGATCTACCAAATATTGTTGTAATTGGTCACGAAGGTGAAACTCAAAAATTGGAATTTATGAACGATCCAAATGGCGAAGATCATTTTTCATCTCGTCTTGGTGTTGGCGGACTTCTTAATGCTGATAAAATCAATCTTGTCGCAATTGTTCTCGATAACTTGGAACTATTTCATAGACACAGTCGAACTATGATCAAACAACTTGAAGAGCAAGCAATTCCCTTGTCACAGTTACCACATAATGAAAAAGAGAATCGAGAGAAAGAAGCAAAGCGTAAGTTCTCTCTGATTTTTTATTTCTCAAACTAGATTTTCGATTCTGTCTGACATTATTATATTATCTTTTCAGCATATGAACCAGTTCAAATGGTGCACGGATCTTCACACGGTGTTTCATTAATTCCTCTGGATACCATCACTTTTGATTTGGATATTATTCAAAGATTACAACATGGAACAACTGTGATATATTATGAGCCAGATTCTGGTAGAAGTACATTATGTTTACTTCGACTAGACTCAAGTTGTGGACAAATCAATTGGCACAAAATATCATATTCTGCAAATAAAGATCCAAAAGAGAAAGATGTTTTGGCCAAGGTTTCTGTGGCGAATTTGCAACTCAGTGATTCATCGCGTGGTGCAGCTTCACCAATGCCATCTGCAAGACAACCAGCATCTGGTGGATTGAATGGCGAAGAGGGAGAATTGAAATTGAGCACTGTCAAGGGTGTGGAAAATGTGGACAGTTATGATATTGATATTGAGGTAATTGTTTTTATTAGAATGGATTAATGTAGACATATTAGCAAGAAAATAATTATTCGGTTTTCCCAAAGGATTTTGGTTCAGGTTTTCTGTTGCGTAGACACATTAGAATAATCGAAGAACATAACAATAATAGTGCATTTTTTCAATTTAAATTTGAGAACTGTAAGAATAGTTTTTCACATGAAAAACCCCCACATACTCAATCTTTTTGATTTACGATGAGTCCATATTTTTAAATGTTTGAATTCCAGACAATTTATCGTCGTCATTCAGTGGAAGAGATGTCAGTACCAGTTTGTTGCTGGAAAGTGAGCTATGGTCAGCTTTTATCAGACAACGAGTTCATCTATTTTCTTGCTCCACAACAAATTGCACAATTTTGGAGCAGTGGTTTGCAATCAGTTAGTTTTATCAGTCTTGAAAATCTTGCTCTTTCAATTTTTATTTTTCAAGGAGGTGTTTCTTATCTGATTATTCATTCATTTCAAAAAGAAACATAAGGTTCAATTCTATTTTTATATTTCGTAGATGAACTCAAATAGGAAATGCAAAAAAAAATCAGACAAAGAAAATAGGAATTATCTGAAATTAATTTCAGGTTGTAAAAATGTTGCAACGTCAACAAAGATATCCGGATCGTCGAATGTTGTGGATCAAAAACGTGTACTTGTCTTTGTACGAATTTTCGGGCGATTCAAATTGTGGACCTCGACCATTTGAAGCACTTCAAGCATTTGGTGGGCGCGTTGAACGTTGGAAAGGCTTTGGTTTGTTTTTGTCATGTTTGTTGCAAAATATTTTATCACACCTTTTGCCATTTTAATTTCAATTCAGAATTTTTTTTAAAGTTTTCAGAATTTTTCGATACGGTTAAGATTGCGCCTTTTTTGAATATATATTTTTTTCTAGTTTTGTGAGTGAGCTTTTTTTTGAATATCGATTAGTGATTTTTTTACGCGAGTGTATCAATGCTTATCTTTATGATTTGAATAAGTGTTATATTTGAAAATGGACAGAAATAACATGTCAGCAACTTTGACTCTTTTAGGATTGAGTCAAACGAATAGCAGTGCAACAAGACCAAATGATTCGTCGTTGTCAAGTGAGCCGGGAGGTGCCAAAAGCAGGTGAGATGGGATAAGATTTGGGACACGTGCTATGAGAAAACTGAAAAATGTGCCAATTAAAAGGTTTTAGGAAATGAACAATTTACAATCCAAATCTAGACATTTTTAATGATATTTATAAACTCAGAAATCAACATTTCTATAATGTTAACTTGATTTTTCCAGAATCAAAAACTGGAAAAACGCCATGCAGAAAAAGCTGCGAGGAGCATCTCGTGAAGGAAGTCGCTCTCAATCACCACAACCACATTCTCCTCTCGTACGACCACCCTCAATCAAATCTCAAATCTCATCACAATCTGGTCCACCAGGCCCCAATTCTCCCGGTTATCTTCTGAAACCTCGTGGAGAACCAGCAAATTCTGATACCGGAGATCTGGATAGTATTTATACACCAAGATCTCGAACACCAACTAGCAGTTCATATGGTGGAAGATCAGTTGGCGGAAGATCTTGGAGATCGAGAGGTGGTGAAACACCCAATTCGGGATCGATAAGTAGTTCGGGACAAATGTCAATTCAAGTTTCTGGTTTGAGTGGTCCATCGGGAAAAGAGTTCCAGGAAAAACCGTTGACTTTGGTTGAATTTGCAGAATTGTTCAGATTGTTCAATACTCGAATGAGAAAAGATTTGCGGTGAGTAGAAAAACCTTGGAATTTTTTGGAAGAGTTTTTTTTTTCAATCTGAAACTTTCGAAAAAATCCTGTTTTCATCTATTCTGGAAATAGATTATATAAGTTCTGATTTTATTTCATATGTATATGTCTCAAGATTAAATAACATTTCTCTCATTCAGTCTCTAATTAATTTTCAGAAAATTGTTGAAGCCTAAAATAGAATTATTTCTGAAAAAAATGTTTAACAAATTCTAGGTATGTTCTTTCAGAGAATGACGTAGGCATGATTTTGTATTGCAATAATTTTTGACATACGAAAAAATATATGAAATTCAATCTAATGGTTTTTTTTCGAAAATTAACAAAGACAACAATTGTTTTCTAAAAACAATTTCAGAATGAAGCTTTGTTTGCTCTTTTGTCAAAAAATGACGTCATCAAGATTTTTTCCAATCTCAATATGAAATAATTGTTGTGTTTCAATATTATGTTTTTTTTCTCACTGAAATACCCAAATTCGTTTAGTCAATTTGCAAAATAAACATTTTTTCGAAATTCAAAGAATCCAGTTTTTCTCACGCTTTCCTAATTGAACTAGTTGTTCTTTAGGCGCGGAGTTCTGGGATAGACTAAAAATAGATTTTAAAGTTTCAAATTTTCATTTTTTAGTCTGTCTGCAAGTTTCAGATTCCAAATTTGGAGTTCAAACTAAACTGAAGAATGTGAGATTTTTTGTCAAAATGTTCTCACCAATTATTCTAAAAAACGAATTCTATGAATTCTATTCTTTTTTTTTCGAAAAATCAGAGAACATGAATTTCAGGAGATTTTCTAAAAATATATGAATTTTTCCAGCGATGTTTTCAATGATGTTCTGTCAACTGCCACAACACCATCACATTGTCCAAAACGGGAACGTGATCGACACAGTCCGAGAATGCAATCAAGACTTGCCAGTGTTTCAAATTCCTATAATGCAGATTTCTTGCCAAATGGTAATCCTTCTTTTTTTTTTAGAAAAAAAATTAATTCCAATTTTTTGCAGATTTCCTAACTCGAAATTCCACAATCACTTCACATCATATCAGCGAAAAACAAAACAAAATTTATAATGCGTTGGCTTTAGCAAGTGTTAACAGGTAATTTAAAATCTCTTCAGAATTTTATACATATTTATATGTTTATTTCTTTTTGATGTATATAGATGATTAGAGAGAGAGCGCGTGAGAATTTGTGCAAGCTATTTTCCCAAGATCTATATTTTATTTTCATTCTTTTTTATAGTGATGAAAAAAGGTATCGCCCCGATTATTATAAGAGACATTGTGAATTATTCATGAGATGATTCGGGTTCGGCAAGAATAGAAAAAAAACGAAGATAAAAACAAGATTTGTCACATTTTTGCCCAAAAATGGGGGACCTCAAAACTCATTTTCGTAATGGAAGTGCAAAGTGAAAAAATGCATCTTCAAACATTATAAAAAAAGGGACCAAGGAATAAAAATCAAGTTTTTGGGGTTTTAAGAGTTGAGATAACATCCAAAAACGCGGACCTGTTGTAGGCAAGAAATAGCTGGATTTTTGAGTAATAATTTCTGGATATTTGAAAAATCTCCCTTATATGGTCAACAGTTTTCCTTTTAAAAAAGTATTCAAAAACCCAAAAAAATTCAAATATTTAGCTTTTTACGGTAATTGTGTTTTGATCCAACATTCTTGAAATTTCAAAATTTTTTCTATTTAAAAACTGAATTTGTTCAATGGAAAATTGAAAACTATGCATATGACATTTCTAGAGAATTCTTTGAACTTGAAGTTATTTTTTAAATATGCAACGTACTCAAAAAATAGGTTTTCTCAAAATTATAACTCTGAACCGTCAAAAATTTCCTTTTTTTTCAAAGAATGTTGTTAAAACATTCCCAGAACCCATGAAAATGTATCTTTGTTTAGAAAAATATAAAGCTCCCTTGAGGCTCTTATATCAACAAATCAGATATTTTCACTTTTACATACGTACATACAGACCCAAATAATTTCCTAGTAATCTAAAAAAAATAGAAAAAGAAATCGAGAAAGAACAATGAAATTCAAAACCTATGTAATTGAAAATAATGGCTTTTCACCACAAAATATGCATGTTGTGTACAAAAATAATTCCAGGGTTTCTTGGTTTTTTTTCTAAATTATGGGGTTCAAGTACAGTATACCTTTTTGCAGTATGGGTGGTCTTATGGACACATCAAGAAGCTCGATGTTGACACCGCAAATGCTACGCGCATTCGTCAATACGCATCAAATGGAGATGATTGATGAGGCGTTTGCAATAAAACTCATTCAGGTATGATTTTGAAATTTTCAATTTTTCTTTATTTATTCAGAAAAAAAGCACTACAAAAAATGGGAAAAATTAAAAATTGACTAAAATTTGAATAACCCCGTAGGATGACAAACCGGTAAAACAATTTGGATATGATCTCTATTGAATTGTGCAGCACGCGTCTCGCCGCATATTTTCTTTATTTATCCGATCTTGTTGCTCATCAACTTCAGCGGCAAATGAAACCTAAAAATTGGGATTTTTTCTAGGCGTAAACCGGAGAGGGGAGGGCTCTGAGAAGGTACCTTGAAGTAGAATCAAGGAGGAGGGCTCTGAAAGTGAGCTCCAAGGGGGAAACTTGTCGATAGATATCGCTTCTTAAGAGAACCTCTTTAAGAACTTCCTTGTTGGTAAGTAACAAAAAAGTGTTGATTTTTGAGCCCCCCAAAACCACTTACCTTTTTTGGCATAATTGGAGTAGTCGGTTGTTGAAGTGTGTTGTTCCCCCCACCATTTTTGACTAGCAAATCATCACCATTTCGACCAGTCTCATCCTTTTTCTCAGTCTCATCATTTATCCATTGAGCTTGAGAAGTTTGCTGCTCTTTCGGTGATAGAATAATATCGCCGCCTTCTTGGCCTTTTCGTGGCATTTGTGGGTGAAAATGAGGATAAAAATGGGAGGAGCACACACGCAAACGTTTTTTTTTCGTTTTTTCTCTGACTTTCTCTAACTCTCTTTCTCTCTCACCACCCTTTTTCCTTTTTTTATTTCTTCGCTGAAAAAAAAGGATGTTGCATCGTTAGAAGAAGCAGAACAATTATAGATAGTTGTGTTGTTTGTCGGTTTTTTGACACACACAGATTTTAGAAAATAAAAATATAAAAAAAGAAAGATGGGACACATTTTTAGAACAAGGAAAAAATAGTATTTTTGTGGAAGAATTGAATAGGATGATTGACAGTTTCCGGGTATTATGTAAATTTTCGTGACATGAAAAACTAGAGGTTTTGGGGTTTATGTGGTGGTCTGAAATACGAGTGATCAGAGAATGATCATTTTTGTAATTCGGATGAAATATCAAAGTTCATTTTTTTTGGGAATTTTCAATTCAAGCTTTATTTTTAGGTGAATCAGATTATATTTTTCAATAAATCTGGAAATTTAAGAAAGATTCTTGAAAAGTTTCTAGACCATAATTTCCAGTCTGAATGAAAAAAAAAAATGTTTTGCTCACATTCCGAGAAAGAAATTCGATCCAAGTGTGAATTTTTTGGATTTTTTCAGCTTGTAGAAATTATGATCGGGATTCATTTGAGAGTTTCTAAAGCATACTGGTAATATTGTTTAACTCATGGTCTTATCTTAATCACAATCATTGTGAATCTGAAAATTCCCAAAAACATTAAACTTTCTGAAGTTTTGACAGAATGAATTTCAAAACACCAAAAAAAATTCCAAACAACCAAACAGAACTAGCTGATTTTTTGCTCTCAACACAAGAAAAAAGTTCAATTTCCTTTTCAAGCAATTTTATGAGCAAAAGAAGCCTGAGAACAAAAAATAAAGTTTTTTTCTTCAGGAACATGAACCCGATCCAATATATCGTCAAAAAAACCAGATGTCATTTGAGGGATTCACTCGATTTTTATGCGATCCGGTGAATTTTGCGTTTGTGCCCGAAACAATTGAGCCAGATGAGGATGAGCTCAAATATCCGCTCTCACATTATTATATCAATTCAAGTCACAATACATATCTAACTGGACATCAATTGAAAGGACCAAGTAGTTCGGAAATGTATAGACAGGTGAGGTTTTTTTCAAATAGAAAACAAGGTTTACGCATTTTCAGAAAAAGGAAAAAGGAAAAAAGTAAAAAATAAATAAAAAAGAATGGGGCGAACGAATAAATGAGATTTATCCAAACCAAAAAAAAAAAGAATGTATCGAATTTCTCAGAGTGTGTTCTGAAAAAAATGAAATTGGAGAAATTTGGAAACTTCTCCCTTTTTTGTTGGAAGAAAAACGTTTGAAGAAAAAAATCTCGAAAAGAATAAAATCAAGAAAAAACCAATTTTCGTCACATTTCAAATTCATTGTTGGTTCAGGTTAGCTTAGTCTAAATGTTATTTCATGAAGACCAAAAAAAATATATTGGAATATTCAAATGGTAATGAAATATACTTTTACTGTGAACAGTAAACGTTATTTTGAACATCAGCAGCCAAAATGTAGATTTCCAATTCCAGAAGACTGACAGTTTTAACTAATTATCATTATTTTAAAAACTAACAATTGAAAAAAAGACTTTGATAGAGTAGTATTGCTCATTTTCTGAATTTAAACAATGTTTTCCAGTTTAAGAAAACTCCCATTTCAGTCCTAGACAATTTTGAAAATTTTCTCTCGCCATAAATAAAAAGGAAAACTAATTTTTTACCCTTTCCAACTCATTTTTTATTTTGCCCCAATTCAATTTCTAGAAATAAAAAATGAATTTTTAAAGGTTCTTCTAACCGGATGTCGATGTGTTGAACTGGATTGTTGGGACGGAGATGATGGTCTACCGCTGATTTATCATGGGCATACACTTGTCAGCAAGATTGGATTCAGACAGGTGCACAATTTTTTCTTTTATGAAATATATAACAAATATAATATAGGAAAGGTTCAGAGAATATTTAGAAAAAAAGAAATTAGCCACATTTACCTCTTTTGAAAAACACAGAAAATGCTGAAAAATTAGTTATTCAAAACTATTTCCCAAAAAATAAAGAGAAGAAGAATAAATTTACATAAGACAATGAATTCATGACTTTTTCGTTGATTTATGATTATGAGAACTTTGTCGCTCGGAAAACAAATAGTTTTTTATGTTGATTTTTTGGTGTGAACTTTTGGAAAACCGAAAATTGAACTATAATATTTTGAGAACAAAACATTAGTTTTGAGCAAAAATGTGTTTTTTCAAACGAAAGCGTCATTTTCGAACTTTTGAAAAATTCTGTTGGCATGTTTTTCAAAACGTCATTTTTAAAAAAGTTCAAATTTTATAATCTCCTTGAAAATGCTTATTGGTGAAAAATATAAACTTTTTACGAAATTATTTCCTCGAAAATTCCAAATTTTTCCACTTCAAAAAAACTTTTTTTCTCAAAAACGTCATTTGGATTTTTCGGTTCATTGCCATTTCTTTCCATTTTTAGATTTTTATCACAAAAAAACTCTGAACAAAAACTTTAACATAATTTTGGTTTTTTGAAAGTGCAAATCCGGTCTGCCCAATCAGCGAAAATGTTTTTTTCAGAAACCAAAGTTCCAAATGTTTCTTTACTAAAAAATAAAGGGAACATTCTAAAAAAAACTACAATTGCGTACTTTCAAGTCAACAAAATTGCAGGTTGTCGAGATAATCAAAAAGTCCGCCTTCCTCACTTCGGATTTGCCAGTAATTTTATCGATTGAAAATCATTGTTCACTTCAACAACAAGCAAAAATGGCCCAAATGTTCAAGACTGTTCTAGGGGATTTGCTAGTTGGTAATTTCTTGTTTGAAGCCGATTTTTCGGATTCACCAAGACTTCCATCGCCTCTTCAACTTCGCAATAAGATTTTGATCAAGAATAAGAAAATGATTGTTGATCCGCCTCAACCGTTGCCAGTTTTGGAACGTGGAACTGTTCAAAGGGGTGAAACTCAAATTACACTTCATCGAAAACAAAGCAAAAATTCATATGAGAGCAGGTAAACATACTTGAATCATTTTTTTAGCTATCACTTTTAGATATTGATAAACACCTCTAATTATTTACTACCTAGCCTCAAAATGTTATCAATTTTTAAAGTGATAAAAAAAATTTATTTCCGATCACTCCATCTAACCTTATCTTTTCAGCAATTCAAATTCAATCTTCAGATCTAGGTACTTCACACTTTATGTTATACCCTTTCACATTTTATTTTCAAGTTTTATCTTTCATTTTTTTTCATTTCAAATTTTCAAAAACCTCAAGCACGCTAGAATGTCATATCATTAGTTTTCTGCCTGAAACATCAAATTATCATTTTCAGTACTGTTGATGAAGTTGAAGATGATGATTTGGATGAGTTTTTGGACGACGAGGAAAATGAAGATGATGAAAATGAAGAAATCAACAGAACTGAGAAAGATGACAGTCCAAAAGCTTCTAAAAGAACTGGAAAAGCAGGAACAGGAAATATCAAGCAACAAGATTCATTGTGTAGTGATCATTCAGGAGATCAAAATAAACCATCAACAAGTAAACAATTGAATGAGACAAAAATTGATGATGAAGCATTGTATGCTCAACTTGCACAAAATGCTATGAGAAATCAACAACCAAGAAAAAATAACACTGGAATTCAGATTGCTCCCGAATTATCCGATATTGTTATTTATATGCAAGCAACTAAATTCAAAGGTTTCCCACCAGTTGATGGTATTCAAAGTCCAAGAATGACTGATGATCAACCTAACTCTGCAAGTCTATCTTTCTCATCAAGAGCTAGAACACCATCAAATCTTCTGAATACACCAACACCTCCAAGGCGACAAAGAAGCAGCACTGCATTGAGCCAAGAGCTCACAGCGGATTATATGGCTAGCTCGCGACCAAATGCTACAGCAACATGCTATCAAGTTACTTCACTGAATGAAAATGCGGCAAAGAAATTAATGAAGAGACATCCAGCAAAATGCATTTCTTATACAAGAGATCACGTAAGTCAAAGACCACCTACAAAAATGTAGAAATAGAAGTTATTTTTAACAAATTGCCCACATTCCTACATTTTTGAATGTTTACTCACCTCAAAATTTTGAAAAACATTTTTCGAAATAAGAAACTTTGGCCTAATCTCTAGAATGTTCCTAGAGACCTACTTTCTATGAAAATTTTACAGCTAATCCGAACCTATCCAAGTGCTAAACATTATGACTCATCAAATTTCAATCCAATCAACTGTTGGGCTCACGGAATGCAAATGGTGGCTCTTAATTTCCAAACACCTGACGTCATTATGGCTGTAAATCAGGCAATGTTTGAACAATCCGGAAATTGCGGTTTCCAATTAAAACCAAGATGTCTTTGGGACGAGTCACATTTGCTATACAACAAGTTTTTGCCATTGTCCAAAGATATTGCGGGACATTCGGCACTGTTGCTGAATTTGACGGTGGGCACAGAATAATATTTTTTTTTGTATTTTTTAGTAGAGAAGAAGAGTGAAAGATGGAGAAATTAAGGATCGGCACTCGAAAATTAATATCTAACCACTTGAAAATGTATTTTGGTCCGGAAAGAAACTTAATTAAAAAGTTTGGAACTTTCTGGACTCTGATTTTTGAATTAAAGGGAAGATGAGACAGAAAACTTTTTGAGAACTACCGTAGTTAATAATAGTTTGCGTGACATGAGTTGAAAAACAATTTTTCTCATTATTTTTTTTTCAAATTACAGTAGTTAATAATGGGAAATTGCGTGACTTAAACTGGAAAACATTTTTATTTCTACAAAATCAAAATCATATTTACACAAAGTTACCGTAGTCCTAATTAGCAAATTTTTCGAAAAACATTTTTTTTCCAATTTAAAAAATCATACAAAATTGTTGGCGATTGCGTGTGGAAAGTCAAAACACAAATAAAAAATTAATTTTTCCGAGAAAATAGTGCATAATATCTAAGGACACTGGGGCTAGTCAAAAAAAAGTCAAATGACGTCAAGTGTGAACATCTTAGTTAATCAAAAATTTATTACATTCATAAATGTTCTATTCATCATTTTTTAAAGATAATTTCTGGTCAACATGTTTATCCAAACACCCACTATGCATCACTGTATATTGAAGTCGAAGTTATCGGAATTCCCAATGATTGTGTTCGTGAAAAATCCAAAGTTGTTCAACGCAATTCAGTTAATCCTATCTGGAATCATACCACACAATTGCGTATTGCTTGTGTTGATTTGGCATTCTTGCGAATTGCAGTTTGCGATAGCGGTCAAAATGGAAAAGTTGTTGCACATCGTGTAGTTCCGGTTCAATGTATTCGCCCCGGTTTTCGACATCTTCCTCTCAGAACACCTACAAATCTTCCAATTGATAATGCGATGATATTTTTGCGAACAAGATTTGAGCAAGAAGAGCATATTTATCTACACGATGATGATTCAAATGCTTATTGTAATTTGGAACATACACTTGCATATAGAACTGATATGGTATAGATTTTTCTTTTTGCAAATATTATTCATATTTTTATTTAACCTTATTTTATTTTATTTTATCCCATTTAATTATCATATTTCGAACAAGTTTCATATTAATTTATTTGTAAAAATTACTCGGTAACACCACGCGTCATTTTTCATACTGAAATTACTTATTTCAGACACCTGGATTATCACCAACACCAATTTTGAAGAAACAAATATTTGTGCTTCGTATTACTGGAGCATTTGCGGATGAGACTGCAATCACAGTTCATAGTGAATCTGGCAGCACAGTAAAAACTGTGATGCAACAAGCGTTGTTAAATGCTGGAAAGAATGCAGACCAAGTTGAAGAATATGTGTTGATTGAGGAAGCGATTCCATCACAATCTGGAGAAGATCCGATTGATCAGAGGGTAGGGGGTTTTGAGGGTTTTGAGAATTTTCAAAATGTTTGATAGTAGTACAACAGTTTTTCTAATTCAAGACCAAAAAACTCTCACAACACACTTGATTTTCAGGTTCTTCCTCTAAATGAGCCAATAATGGATGCGGTGGCCTGCTGGAATGGCTCAATGCGACGTTTTGTATTGCGCAAAAAAGGCAGTGTGAGTTACGAAGAGAAGCGTCGCAATCGTAAGACTAGCAAATCGTCGCGTAAACTCAATTGGGCGGCCACGTTTGACGCGTCGACAATGCCAGCCAGCAATGTCTAACCCATACCAACCAATTATTTTTCCACCAACAACAAAACACCTCTTTTTTATGTTTCATTTTAATTTAATTTGTTTCCTTCCTACCTACCTAATACACCTTGATCATCACACTAATTCATGTTTTATACAACCGAAACCAACTCGATTAATTTGTTCTTGTGATATGCTTGCGTCCGTCCATCCGTCAAGACGTGTCCCAGTCAGGTGAGAATGACTGACTTCTCTTCTCAACTCTTCTTCCACTTCTCTTTGGGGCCGATAAACAATTTGGAATGGCTATTTGGATTATGTAGTGAAAAAATTGCATGCTGAATGCTAACGCTTTGATTTTTTTTGCATTCCAATAACGCTTTACCTCGGGTTTCCAATAAAATTACAAAATTGAATATATTTTAGGATCCCTCATCCCGCGCCTGGATCACTTCAATAATCAAATCTGGCACCACCAGCTCAACATCAGTTGCACCAAGTCCATTAACAAATATTAAATCTGCATCCAGTACTCAATTACATGGCAGAAGTCTTGACTCTGAAGCGATTGGTGAACATTTAGAAGTTACAGAAGGCAAGTGTAAGTATCACCAAAATTTTTTGAGTAAACTGAAGATTATTTTAGGGTTGAATCCACGTGCCAGGTCAATGGGTGATACTTTCCTAGTTTGTGTACATAATGTTAGTGAGGATCAACCTTATGCTATTTTGCGTGCTAGTATTAATAGCACCGCTTCTGATATTATTCGACAGGTAATATTATTTTTTATAAAATTGATTTTCTAATTTTCATAGAAATCAACATCGACTTTGAAATTTCCATACAAAATTAAAATTTACAGGTATTTGTAAAAGCTAGACGACCAAACATTGATGAGACCGAATATGTGCTTGTTGAAGAAACCAGTGATGATTCGAAAGCTCCGTCAACAGGACCAAGTATGCTTCAAGCTTTAACATTGGCTCGAAAAAGAAGCAATGACCGTATGCATATATGTTGTTTTCTCATCATATTTTTACACGTTGTCACAACTTCTATTCGATGCTATTATTCTTTTGGGCTGGGATATTTATATGTTCAATTCTGTTTTTCTTTCAATTTTCATTTTTCAGTGTCAAACAAGTACAACTCAAACAATAGAACAGTTAGCCGTGTCTTGAGCTCAAATGAAAATGTTTGGAAAGCACAATCGAGATGGAAATCAATGGGTCGATTTGTTTTGGAGAATCGTAAAGATACAGTACACGCGACTCTTGAAAAAGTGAGATCGTTTATTTCAAAACTCGAAGCTGCTAAAGCGAGCATGGATGGCACCATCACTTGATTCTGCACCGTTTTTCCTGTAAATCACTTTGCATGTTCAAGATTTTTTGAAGATTTAACACTTTTTCCTTAACTTAACTTTATGAGGGGTCCGTTTTGAAATTGGTTGAAAAATGGATGAATAATGTTTTTTTTGGAGGGAAAATGAATACTTCAAAATAATAGATTTTACAATTTGGCTCCAATTCTCGACATTATTTCCATTGAAAAGTGTCCCATCAGCCCTTTTCAAAGTAATCCCTCATTGACAGAATTTCTGAAAATCAAAAAAAAACCTGAAAAATTTAGGAGTTCTTGGAAGTAGCAAAACAGTTAAGAGAAAGTGTTACATCGACAAAAAATCAAGATTATTATATGATTCATTATGCAGGATTACTAGAAGATATCTGATTTTATATATTTATTATTTTTTAGTTATTATGTTTATTTGTGTTACGAGTTACTTCTTTTTTTTCTTCTACTTGCACAGTACCACTCTTTTTTGTCTCTTTTCAGTATTGTTTTTGTACCCTATTTAGATTTTTGATGTACTTACCCACGAATTTAGGGTAGGCGTGTCACGGCAGAAAGCAGCAGCACATGTTCATCCAGCTCGCGAAAAATAAGTTTGTCCAGCGTTCGTTCGATCGGTCTACCACGTAGAATTTCGAGATTCGGCAAATCTCTTACCATGGATGCTGGTCATAAATAAACAAATAATTTATTCATCATAATTTTTTCCTGTTCATAATTTTTTTTTGAATTTTTTGTGTACTAATTTATTGATTTATTGTGTTTTTTTTACTGAAATTTTTTTGATCTGTATTATTTTTATATTTTCTTGTCTTTTTTCGACGTGTTCATTTGGGTTTTTTTCGATTGATAATTGTCAAATTTCATAAAATGATTTAATGTATTTTGGTTTTCTGTTGACATTTCAGATTCAAAGATTACTTTGGGTAAGTAATCTTTATTTCAGATAGATTTTTTGAATGGTTAGTTTGCGATAATTTTTATTCTCAAAACAGGAAAACTTCTTAAAGTACTTCACAAGACTATTTATATTTTGAAACAATTCACAGTGGTATGCGATATATCTAGGCTTCTTTGAAATGTTATTCTAGTAGATCAAGAATATATTGAATTCTTTGAAAATATGTTTAATGGTCAATGCAGAAGTGCAATAGTAGCGACGGTTTTTCATTCAAGAATTATCTATTTCTCATTTACCACATATTCAGTTACATTCAAAACACTGAAATTTCTTCTAAATTTTTTGGACACCAAAAACGATAACGTACTAATCGATATAGAATATTCTCGACTAATCAAAATCTAGCTTTTATTCATTATTCAAGTAAGAATCTTGTTTTTTCTTCTCGAAACTTCCAACTCAATAATATACAAAAGGTTGACGCTGGCGCACCTTTTTTGCCCAAATGCGATTTTGCAGATTTTCAACATTTTAAAAACATTTTTTCATTGAAAATCATACTTAATTTCCCCAAAATGTGTCATTTTTGAAAAATGACCAAAATTTGTCTGGCGCACCACTTACCCATTTTGCCCATTCCCAATTTTAACCACTTTTTGAGCGATTTTTAGTCATTTTTTAAGCAAAAAACTGTCCAAATCAACAAAAATTAAGACCCAATTTTGCCCACTTTTTTATTTTTAGACTTTTTTAAGCGATTTTTAGACAAAAAAAATGCATTTTTTTTAAACATCAGGGCAAAGGGACCGTCCAGACTATTTTGCCCATTATCCGAAACATAGAAAAACAGCGTATTTTTGAACATTTTACACATTATTAAATGAAAAATATTAATCTTAAAAAAGACCTAAAAGCGCTAACCAATTTAGACCTGTTAAACCTTGTAAAAGAGTTAAAAATCAAAGACTTCCGAGGTGTTTTCATGCGTTGTGTGGTGTTAACTAAATTCAAGTGGTTTGAAAAACATTTATTATGTCCTATTCTTGTACATTTAACAAACTAAATCGACATCAAAAAACAACTTATATTTCTTTTCCAAAGAGACGGCCAATTCCATCGATTTCGGTCATTACAGCTGCTTTCTTACGCGGAGGCGACGTCACTTTTTCCTCGTGTTCTTTTGTAGGTTCCTCTTTTGCAAGTTCCTCCTAAACAAAACATTATTAAATAAATCAGTATTGATTAGTAATAGTAATTTAGCATACCATAAAAGCGTCTTTAAATCGAAATGACGGACAAATGATGTTCTTTGCACTGAACATGGCCGCCTCAGTGATTGCGTCGTGGTGAAGTGTTGGTGGCATCATCGTGCAACCAAAATTCATTCCAAGCAGTCCTCGTGATCCCCAAATACCAGCGCCTAAAAGTTTACGTTGAATTTAATTGACCAAAAATATAATCTTTACCTGAATCTCCTCTCGAACTTGCACAACTGCCCAAAATGAAAGGACCCATTTTTCGTTCATCATTGTGAAAAGAATAATCGCGAACATAATGAATTGCTCCAGGTAAATACGAAATATATCCTCGATCGTTTCCAAATCCGACCAGCGTGAACGGTTCTGATTCTCGAGGATGATCAATCGGAGGGCCGAACTAAAAATGCATGAATTAACAACAAAATAAAAGAAGTATTGCAAGAACTTACCTTGACAACATCAAATTGACTTTTGAGTAGAACAAAGTCAAGTGGTTCATTGATGTTAGCCACGGAAACTTCTATTCCATTTTCTTCTCCGACTTCTTCTTGCGCTCTATAAATTAACAACAAAATATTAAGCAATATTTAAGCAATTTACCTATACATTTTCATCGTGTCTTTGAGATTGAACTTTTGGTGTGACCCATGCCGAAAAGTGACAAAGAAGTGCGGATGGACACAAATTGTTGTAGCTTTCCCGTGCAATTGGTCGTGCAAATAGAACATCCATTGGATAAACGCTTCTGAACTTGGTGCAGGTTCTGGCGGCACTAAAAAAGAATTTACAATATGAAGTTGAGTAGAATCTTACATGCTGGATAATACGGGCTGATTGGTCTTTCCCTCGAAACTTCGGTTATCGGGGTTACTGGCAGTACATAGGTGTTTTTCCCATTAAATTACCCTCGGGGTTAAAGACCTATGACGAACTCGAATAAAAAAGTTAAAGACCTATTTTACACTGAAAAAAAACCTTTTTTACAAAAAATTTATTTTCCAGCATGCTTTCCGGAAGGAAGGAAAAATCTCTGAATTCACTTTTTTTTCAAAGATGCGCAGAGTTTCCTCAACAAATTCAAAACTCAATTTCCATCACGTGAAATATATAAACATCTCTCATCGCCGACAACTCGCTGGTACGACCACACGCGATCCTTCTCATTGCACCTGGCTCCGCCCACTTTGTTTTTTCTTTTCTTTTTCTTTATTTTCACAGAAAATTCGAATCAAAACCAAAACTAATATTCTTGTAGGCAACCAAATGAGCTAAAAATTTTCACAGTCCTTCTACAGGTAATTTCGCATAGTTTCAATCCAGTACATTTCATCATAAAGACCTCCAAAAGATTTAGGAGACCTCAGCAGCAAAGTTTAGTGAAACGCTAAACTTTGCTGCTGAGGTCTCCTAAATCTTTTGGAGGTCTTTATATTAAGCCGGTGGGTCTTCTAAACAAGCTAAATATCTTGAAGAATAACTGTGAAAATTTTCATCTCATTTGGTTGCCTACAACAATATAAGTTTTGATTTTGATTTGAATTTCCTGTGAAAAACAAACGAAAAAAAAAAGAAAAAGTGGGCGGAGTCACTGCAATGAGAGAGATAGCGTGTGGCGCTACCAGCGAACTGTCGGCGATGAGAGATATTGAAATACTTCGCGTGATGCAGAGCTCTTTAAGTTTTGAACTTAAGTGGAAATTCTGCACGTCTTTGAAAGAAGAAGTTGATGCAAGGATAATTTTAGTGACTTGATAAAATTGATGAGAATTTTTTCCATAAAAGTTAAGGACCTATTTTTCAGAAAAAATTGAAAAGTTAACGACCCTATTCTATACTTTTCCGGACCAAAAACATGTATGGTTACTGGTCGAGACGGCATTTTGTCAGGCGATAGCACAACATTCTTACAGCAGGACTTGAATTGCTGAAAAAACAAACAGTAAAATCAGCGTTAGGCAAATTAACACTTCAAATTTCACAGATATAAACTTTGCTAAAACATAAAAGCTCACCTGATCAAAGGGGACTAGGTTTTTTAACATCTGCCACATTGCTGAATTCTCTCGGCCACCACATTTCGCATCCTCGATTAAAAGGTTTTCGAGAACCTTATCACACTTTTCTTTTTCAGCAGCAAAAAGCTGACACACTTTTGCAACGATTTCTTGGTCCGACATTGTAACCTGAAAGCAAACAATTTCTAAAAAAGCGTAAACAAACATATTAGATTAATTCGCTCAAGAAAGAGGGAGAGTAGGAAAAGTTGTTAACAAACTCAAACTTAAGGAGAAAATAGCTAAAATTACTCGCAAATGAAGGTTGGTAGAATATTTGTTTTCCGCCCGCATTCCCTAAAAAACTAGCACAATTAAATTGTACCGCAACTTAATAGGATTATTACTTCTAATGATGTAATACTGTGCGTGCTTTAGAAAATTAAGTAAAAGAACGTAAATTTTATGACAAAAAAAAGCAAAATTTCACAACAAGAGCACCCCGACAATTTGGGAACAAACGACGGGAGAAAATGAAAACGATTTTTCTTTTCCCAATATTTCTGGCGTGTTTCATATGCAAATTTTCGAAATTCTACTTAAAGTCAACTGAAATTTATCAAAATTAGCATCGATGGTTCTAGTTTTTAAACGCAACAACAAACACATCTTTTGCATTTCCGGTTTCTTTAACTGACTAAAATTTGAGGAGAAAATAACAATGATAATCACGGCGGCTGTGAAATCACGCACAATATGAACTACAGAGGAACACCAAGACTCTTCTCCGTGCAATTTACGTCGCAGAATTTCTTCAATTTTTGTGTTGTTATTTCATTTTCAAGATGTTTTTCAAGCAAAGTCCAATATTTTCTTCTAAGATGGTGATGCTTTTCGTGTCAAGAAATCTCTACTTCTCCATAGAAAGTGTAAAAGTGAACAGAAAGAACTGGTAAGTCTATTCTGTTTGATATACTAGATTATTAATTATTTGCAGGTTTTACTACAAAATCAATTTAACGAAATTGGTGAATCTTTTCGAACAGTGAAAGATGTGTTCACTGACCAGATATTTTATTATGTTTAACGAGGAGAAAGATTCAAGACGGTATGCTGAAAAGGTAAGTAGAAAAGGCCAAAGACTTTAAATAACTTTGAATAAGATATATTTCAGCAGGAATTTTTAAATGAGCAATCCAAATTCTGTAACGACTCGAAGAATCTTCTCCGGAAGGGGGGGGGAAGTGAATAATCATTGATTGTTGTTTATTTTTTTTGTTATATCATGTTTGTTGTTATTTTATCTTCTTGGTTTATTTTTAAAAAAGCAAAACAAATATCTTATTTGATTGAAGTCAAGTGAAAAAAGTTAATACCTCAGGTGAGGTAGCCATGTTTGGGGTTCATGGCTAGGTGGAAGTGAATTCACTTTCTAGTGAAGACATCCATTTTCACTGAACGTCCCCCATTTCACAAAATCAAATAAGATATTTGTAGCCAAAAAATTTTAACTTCTAAATTATGGAATTGGTTTACTGTTTCAAATGTAAAAAATATACTGATACTACTGACATATTTAATGTTGAAACAAGCTCGAAACGTTCTATGATAAAAGGGTTATGCCAAGATTGTAAAACAATGAAGTGTAAGCTAATTCCAACAATCACAGGAGGTTCTGGATTAGGAGATATCAAGGAGGTTAAAATTAGTGAAAAATCTAAAATTCTTAGACAATCCACAAGTTCCGAAGGTGAAAGAGATCTTTTGGAAAAAGCTTATTATTCTCCTAAAACAGGTTTCTGCGGTATCAATGAGTTATCAAGAATAACAAAGGTGTCACAGAAAAAGGTTAAAGAGTTCCTGAATGAACAAGATGTTTACACTCTACACAAACCAGCTAGGAAGAACTTCAAGAGCCAAAGAGTTTACTTCAATGGAATTGATGATCAATGGCAATCAGATCTCGTAGAAATGATTCCCTACGCGGAAAAAAATAAAGGTTATAGATATCTTTTAACAATTATAGATTGTTTCAGTAATTATAGGTAAATTATTGATTTGTAAGGAATTAAATTAAAGGTTAAGAAGATAAAGAGGTAGAGAGAGCGCAAGAAACCGTTTCGACCTTTTCATCAGACGGTAAAGAGGAGGTCTCATCAGTGATGCCTCTTTTGCTGGACCTTATGAAAACGCATTATTTAACCTAGGCGCGTAGGAATTGAGTAAAGAAAAAAGAGATTAAGTGGTGAAAAAATAAAATTAATAAAATAGAGGAGAGGAGAGGACGCCAAAATAAAATAAATGATTTTAGTGGGTATTAGATAGTGTGTGTATGTAGGAGGGGGAAGAGATATGTGTGTCTAAACAACGCGCTTGCGGAGTGTTGTAGTTTTATTTTTATTTTATTTTGTTTTTTCTTTTTTCCCAAAAATTTTTTCTAATTGTGTTTATACTGTTGTAATTAGTTATTTAGTTGGAATAAAGTTATGTTATATAATTGGTTGTTTTATTTCTCGGGAAAAATACGGCGCCAAGGCGACATCCTGGGGCGCTAAGGCGACATTCTGGGGCGCCGAGGCGGGAAGTGCTCTCGCCTCGGCGCTAAAAAGGTGCGCAGAGAGAACGCACCGGCGCTAAAACGGTGCGCAAAGAGACGCACCGGCGCTAAAATGGTGCGCCAGTGAGACGAGAAAAATAAAAAAGGTGCGGAAAAGGGGGATCGAACTTGGGTCAAAACAATGACAACCCAGCCTCTTATCCACTCGGACACGCTTGCTACATTTTTAGTGCGCAAAATTTCGATGAAAAGAGAAAAAGAGTCATTTGTATGGTAAAATAATGAATTTTTCATGAAAATGTCGCCTCGGCGCCAAAAAAGGTGCCGTAATTTCGGCACCTTTTTAGCACCGGGGCGGCCAAAATTCCTCGACAATTTTTGTCGCCTCGGTGCTAAAAAGGTGCCGTATTTTTCCCGAGTTATTATAAATATAAATATTGTGTATAATACATTGATATATTTATTAAAAATTATTTAGAATAAAGAAAGGTTGGAAAATCGATGGTTGGTCAGTATTTATGGGAGGGATTAATGAAGATTATATGATGATTGTATGAGGATAGATTTTTAATAATTGTATAAGTATCGAAAGGGAATAAGATTATGATTTAATTAGAAAATCATAAAAGGTTTTTGCTAAGATCGAATTTGTATTTTTTACTTTTATTTGCTTTTTTATAATATTTGATAGCTTGTTGTATTATAAATGTTTCCGCAAATCCGTTTTCAACAAATTGTTTAATTAGGTCTATAATTCTGTTTAGTGCGTCGTAAGTTTGCATGGGTAGTACCATTAAAAAGTAAGACAGGTAACGAAACTGCAGATGCTTTGGAATCTATCTTTACAAAAAGTAAAAGAAAACCAAAAAAGATGCAAACTGATAATGGTAAGGAATATTATAATAAAGAAATGAATAAATTATTTAAATCTTTAGAAATTAATCACTTCTCAACTTATTCAGATAAAAAAGCTTCAATAGTTGAAAGATTTAATAGAACTTTGAAAGAGAAAATGTGGAAAATGTTTACTCATCAAGGAAATCATAAATGGGTTGATATCCTTGATGATTTGGTGAAAGGCTATAATAATCATTATCACTCTTCAATAAAAATGACTCCAACACAGGCTTCAAAAATAGAAAATGAATCGATAGTTTACAAAAATCTCTTTCCTTCAAGTGAGGAAGAAAATACTCCAATCAAAGCGAAATTCAAAATAGGAGACACTGTCAGAATTACAAAATATAAAACTATTTTCGATAAAGGATATCTTCCAAATTGGAGTACTGAAGAATTTAAGATTTCAGAAGTTTATATTGGTGAACCAATTATGTATTCTATTAAAGATCTTGCAGATGAAGAAATCAAAGGAAAGTTTTATGAAGAAGAACTCACATTTTACAATAATATCAATGAAGAGTATAAAGTTGAAAAAGTGATAAAACATAGAAAATCTAAAGGAGTAAAAGAAGTGTTTGTTAAGTGGTATGGATATCCAGAGAAATTCAACTCTTGGATAAAGAAAACGGATTTAAATTTCACAAGTGAATCCGAAGGAGATCCTTTAAAGATCTAAGCATTTTATACTCAATTATTAGAAATAACCTAGTTTGATTCCATCAAATACTGACAACCTTAACTCTATTATCCTTGATTTCAACAACATTTTCTGAAAGAATCAGACAGTAACATTTAGTACTTTGAGCAATGTTTTTAGCGAAGCTGGCTTTTATTGTAACATCTGGTCGAGATGCAATAATTCTATCATTCTGTTTTGATACATCAAATACTAGAAGCGGATAATAATAATAATACACATCTTCTTCCATAAATATGTAATCCTTGATACTTTCATAATAACTATTCCTAAATTCTTTAGCAAAATTGTATTGCTGAACTGCATTAAATTTATCAAAATCGAATTTTAAGCATTCATATGGATATCTTTCACTATTGAGTTCAACGTAGATTTCTTCAAGCCCACAGTTATCGAACTTTGCAGCATTCAGATAATTATTGTCCCTAGCAGTTTGAAATGCTATGACAAGGTATTTTATTTTATCATATTTAGTTCCTAGTTTCCAAGTAAATTCTCTATTACCATTTGGTATGTTATAACTTTCAAATTGACGAGATATAAAAGGCATTACAACTAATTTATTACTTTCAAAAAGGTTTAGAAGTTTGTTTTGCATCTCAAGACTAGGCATAATTTTAGGAATTATCCATTGAAGTTTATTAATAGTCATCTTAGCAGTAGTAAGGTTACCTTTTCTATTTTTTGTATATTTATTTATTTTATAAGTCATGATATCCTTTGTCTCAAGGATCCAACCAAAAGTATTTTGTTTATTCATTGTTGAAGAATAAGTAAGGAGGCCTTTTAATAGTGTTGCTCTTCCAGGATCAATGATATTTTCAACTTGCATACCATCCATTGAGTAAGTTGCTCTATCAAATAAGAACATAGGTCCATTGTTTGTTAATGATACTTCATCTGTATCTGCAAGTGGTGATCCTGCGGCATCACTTTTACTCAAGGAAGTTTCTAAATAAATATAAGATTTATGAAGTAATAGATATTGATCACAAGTTTCGATGATAAAGTTTATTTCACCATGCTGATTCAAAGAAGATCCAGATGAAGGAAAAATACTAATCAAATTTTCCTTTTGAATTGATGTATCCTGAATAATTGGACTATCAACGATTAGTATTCTGTCTACTGCTTCAGCCATTTAAGATATTTTCAATTTAATTAGAATATTTTTTCTAAAGTAAATGAATCTGTTGCACTTCTATTTCTTTTTAACATGTTGCACTTCTATTTCTTTTTAAGATAAATATAAATGGTTGCGAGTTAAACCATCTCAGATTTGCTGATGACGTAGTTCTTATCGCACACAACCCACACCAGGCGACGTCAATGCTCAATGACTTGGTCAAAGAAAGCGCGAAAGTTGGTTTGAAAATCAATGAATCAAAAACAAAATCAATGCGCAATCGATTTGCTACATCAAGTCCAATAACAATCGCAAACACCCCAATCGGAAATGTTGAAGAATATGTGTATCTTGGAAGACAATTGAATCCACCAAATGAGATTCTACCAGAAATTCACAGAAGAAGAAGAGCCGGTTGGGCCGCATTCAAGTCTATCGAACAAGCGACAGATTCCATGACCTGCCAGAAAACCAAGGCAAAACTCTTTGATCAAACAGTCCTCCCCGCTCTATGTTACGGAGCCGAAACCTGGACCTTGACAAAGAAAAATAGTGAAGCACTCCGAGTTTCACACGCGGTTCTCGAACGAAGATTAGTCGGAATTAAATTGAGCGAACAACGCGAACGCGGAATACATCAAGAAGATATTCGTCGATTATCGCAGGTGAAAGATCCACTCAAGCACATCCGCCAACAAAAACTTCGATGGGCTGGACACATCGCAAGAAGAACCGACAGCCGCTGGACAACAACAACCCTTGAATGGTGCCCAAAAGATTGGAAACGACCAGTTGGAAGACCGCCAATGAGATGGTCAGACGAATTAAGGAAAAACTACTGTATATATGACAACAACAACAAAATGGTCAAACATTGGACTACTCGTGCCAAAGACCGAGATTTATGGAGAGCTGTGGTCCGCGCTATATGCTGATGAACGGATCAACTAAGTAACTAAGTAAGTAACTCATTATGATATTTTGGCGAGTGCTAAAGGTATCATTTGTACTCCTGATGCTCCAGTTCAATATTTCAAACTTCCGAAATTACACAAATGTAATTATCATAGACAATTGAATAGTCAAACAAAAGTAGTAAGTTATGAAGTATATAAACCGAACATTATTGAATATTCAAGTGATGCAAAATTGTGTAAGAAATTAGTTAGTGAAGTATCAATGTATACAGATTTTTCAGGATATGAGCATTTAGTAGAAAAGCGTGTGGAAAGTCAAAACACAAATAAAAAATTAATTTTTCCGAGAAAATAGTGCATAATATCTAAGGACACTGGGGCTAGTCAAAAAAAAAGTCAAATGACGTCAAGTGTGAACATCTTAGTTAATCAAAAATTTATTACATTCATAAATGTTCTATTCATCATTTTTTAAAGATAATTTCTGGTCAACATGTTTATCCAAACACCCACTATGCATCACTGTATATTGAAGTCGAAGTTATCGGAATTCCCAATGATTGTGTTCGTGAAAAATCCAAAGTTGTTCAACGCAATTCAGTTAATCCTATCTGGAATCATACCACACAATTGCGTATTGCTTGTGTTGATTTGGCATTCTTGCGAATTGCAGTTTGCGATAGCGGTCAAAATGGAAAAGTTGTTGCACATCGTGTAGTTCCGGTTCAATGTATTCGCCCCGGTTTTCGACATCTTCCTCTCAGAACACCTACAAATCTTCCAATTGATAATGCGATGATATTTTTGCGAACAAGATTTGAGCAAGAAGAGCATATTTATCTACACGATGATGATTCAAATGCTTATTGTAATTTGGAACATACACTTGCATATAGAACTGATATGGTATAGATTTTTCTTTTTGCAAATATTATTCATATTTTTATTTAACCTTATTTTATTTTATTTTATTCCATTTAATTATCATATTTCGAACAAGTTTCATATTAATTTATTTGTAAAAATTACTCGGTAACACCACGCGTCATTTTTCATACTGAAATTACTTATTTCAGACACCTGGATTATCACCAACACCAATTTTGAAGAAACAAATATTTGTGCTTCGTATTACTGGAGCATTTGCGGATGAGACTGCAATCACAGTTCATAGTGAATCTGGCAGCACAGTAAAAACTGTGATGCAACAAGCGTTGTTAAATGCTGGAAAGAATGCAGACCAAGTTGAAGAATATGTGTTGATTGAGGAAGCGATTCCATCACAATCTGGAGAAGATCCGATTGATCAGAGGGTAGGGGGTTTTGAGGGTTTTGAGAATTTTCAAAATGTTTGATAGTAGTACAACAGTTTTTCTAATTCAAGACCAAAAAACTCTCACAACACACTTGATTTTCAGGTTCTTCCTCTAAATGAGCCAATAATGGATGCGGTGGCCTGCTGGAATGGCTCAATGCGACGTTTTGTATTGCGCAAAAAAGGCAGTGTGAGTTACGAAGAGAAGCGTCGCAATCGTAAGACTAGCAAATCGTCGCGTAAACTCAATTGGGCGGCCACGTTTGACGCGTCGACAATGCCAGCCAGCAATGTCTAACCCATACCAACCAATTATTTTTCCACCAACAACAAAACACCTCTTTTTTATGTTTCATTTTAATTTAATTTGTTTCCTTCCTACCTACCTAATACACCTTGATCATCACACTAATTCATGTTTTATACAACCGAAACCAACTCGATTAATTTGTTCTTGTGATATGCTTGCGTCCGTCCATCCGTCAAGACGTGTCCCAGTCAGGTGAGAATGACTGACTTCTCTTCTCAACTCTTCTTCCACTTCTCTTTGGGGCCGATAAACAATTTGGAATGGCTATTTGGATTATGTAGTGAAAAAATTGCATGCTGAATGCTAACGCTTTGATTTTTTTGCATTCCAATAACGCTTTACCTCGGGTTTCCAATAAAATTACAAAATTGAATATATTTTAGGATCCCTCATCCCGCGCCTGGATCACTTCAATAATCAAATCTGGCACCACCAGCTCAACATCAGTTGCACCAAGTCCATTAACAAATATTAAATCTGCATCCAGTACTCAATTACATGGCAGAAGTCTCGACTCTGAAGCGATTGGTGAACATTTAGAAGTTACAGAAGGCAAGTGTAAGTATCACCAAAATTTTTTGAGAAAACTGAAGAATATTTTAGGGTTAAATCCACGTGCCAGGTCAATGGGTGATACTTTCCTAGTTTGTGTACATAATGTTAGTGAGGATCAACCTTATGCTATTTTGCGTGCTAGTATTAATAGCACCGCTTCTGATATTATTCGACAGGTAATATTATTTTTTATAAAATTGATTTTCTAATTTTCATAGAAATCAACATCGACTTTGAAATTTCCATACAAAATTAAAATTTACAGGTATTTGTAAAAGCTAGACGACCAAACATTGATGAGACCGAATATGTGCTTGTTGAAGAAACCAGTGATGATTCGAAAGCTCCGTCAACAGGACCAAGTATGCTTCAAGCTTTAACATTGGCTCGAAAAAGAAGCAATGACCGTATGCATATATGTTGTTTTCTCATCATATTTTTACACGTTGTCACAACTTCTATTCGATGCTATTATTCTTTTGGGCTGGGATATTTATATGTTCAATTCTGTTTTTCTTTCAATTTTCATTTTTCAGTGTCAAACAAGTACAACTCAAACAACACAAGTACAACTCAAACAACACATTTTCTCAACATTTTTCTATCGAAAATTGTCCCTTCAGCCCTTTTCAAAGTAATCCCTCATTGACAGAATTTCTGAAAATCAAAAAAACCTGAAAACTTTAGGAGTTCTTGGAAGTAGCAAAACAGTTAAGAGAAAGTGTTACATCGACAAAAAATCAAGATTATTATATGATTCATTATGCAGGATTACTAGAAGATATCTGATTTTATATATTTATTATTTTTTAGTTATTATGTTTATTTGTGTTACGAGTTACTTCTTTTTCTTCTTCTACTTGCACAGTACCACTCTTTTTTGTCTCTTTTCAATATTGTTTTTGTACCCTATTTAGATTTTTGATGTACTTACCCACGAATTTAGGGTAGGCGTGTCACGGCAGAAAGCAGCAGCACATGTTCATCCAGCTCGCGAAAAATAAGTTTGTCCAGCGTTCGTTCGATCGGTCTACCACGTAGAATTTCGAGATTCGGCAAATCTCTTACCATGGATGCTGGTCATAAATAGACAAATAATTTATTCATCATAATTTTTCCTGTTCATAATTTTTTTTCGAATTTTTTGTGTACTAATTTATTGATTTATTGTGTTTTTTTTACTGAAATTTTTTTGATCTGTATTATTTTTATATTTTCTTGTCTTTTTTCGACGTGTTCATTTGGGTTTTTTTCGATTGATAATTGTCAAATTTCATAAAATGATTTAATGTATTTTGGTTTTCTGTTGACATTTCAGATTCAAAGATTACTTTGGGTAAGTAATCTTTATTTCAGATAGATTTTTTGAATGGTTAGTTTGCGATAATTTTTATTTTCAAAAATGGAAAACTTCTTGAAGTACTTCACAAGACTATTTATATTTTGAAACAATTCACAGTGGTATGCGATATATCTAGGCTTCTTTGAAATGTTTTTCTAGTAGATCAAGAATATATTGAATTCTTTGAAAATATGTTTGATGGTCATTGCAGAAGTGCAATAGTAGCGACGGTTTTTCATTCAAAAATTATCTATTTCTCATTTACCACATATTCAGTTACATTCAAAACACTGAAACTTCTTCTAAATTTTTTGGACACCAAAAACGATAACGTACTAATCGATATAGAATATTCTCGACTAATCAAAATCTAGCTTTTATTCATTATTCAAGTAAGAATCTTGTTTTTTCTTCTCGAAACTTCCAACTCACCTTGTTGTCTGACCACTTCTTCTTCTTCTTTTTTTCTCTCTTCTTATTATTCTTGTTTTGTGATCGCGCGCGCTCCGCCCATATTCCATCTTTCTTCTTCCATCTCATTTTCTCTGGCTTCCCTTTTTATCCCAACCGAATAGGTCATGGACATTTTCTTATACTCTCACTGTATAAAATTAATAATACAAGTTTTATTAATTTTTTAAATAAGTAGTTATGAATTTCGAAAGAAAAACAAATAAACTGTGATTTTTCAGATTAAAAATGTGGCGACTGGCAGTCGCGTTTCTGCTTTTTGGTACACTTCAAGCCGTTGATCGGCAGAATTTCAAAGTTTGTGATCAATCCGGTTTTTGCAAGTGAGTTTTTTTTCCAGAATAAAATCGAAGAATGTTTCTTGAAAATATACAGAGCCCTTTTTGAAAATTTGTCAAAGGGTTAAAATTTTTTATAAGATAGATAAAAATTTTTAAAATATAATTTTTATTTGAAAAAAATTACTGAATATAATTTTTATTTAAAAAAAAATTACTTGTTGCTTTGCTTTTGGGACTGTTGAAAAATTATTGCTCCACTCATTTTACTGTAATTTCCCAAAACATGACAACTCCCACCCTATTTTTTGTTTTCAAAAATTAGGACGGTAAGGTAGAGTTCATTTCTTTTAAATAACACACTTTTAGAACTTTTTTTTAACCCAACTTATAAATCTTACTTCCTCATTTCCTGAAATTTTTAACCCGAAATTGTTTTCCGAACAATCATTGTTCTATGACTGTACATCGCTTTTTTTGAGCCATATTTTTATCTAGGTGACCAATCTGCTCTTCTTCCCCCTTCTCTATTCTCAACACATATTTCAAATATAATCAACGCTAAAACAGTTTATCTAGATAACACATTAACCTTGAAAATATATTAAAACAAGGATTGTTTTGTTTTTGTATACGTGTACATATAGAACCGGTTTCGTCATCTGCAAAGGCTTCTTCTTTTTCATCAAAAAAGTTATCTAACTTTAGGCGACATCGTTCAATTGTCGAACCAACAGGATATGAAGTTATAAAAGACTCTATCAAATTAAACGAGACTGGATTACACGCAAAAATCAAGAACAAAGATAACACTTTGAAATTGAGTATTGTTGTATTGAAAGATTCGACAGTGCGAGTTTTGATTGATGAAGATGAAGGTGCTCTCCGACCAAGATATCAACCTTTAGATGCATTAGTTAATCGAGAGCCAGAACAACAAAAATTGAAGAAAAGCAAGGAAGAGGAAAATGCTACAAAATTGTTGACAACTGATGGAAATCGTGTTGTTTTGATTCATAAACCATTCCGAATTGATTTCTATGTCAAGGATAAAATTGTGAGTTTGAAATTTGAAATTAGCTAAAATTAAAAGGTTATTTTATGAATAAGTTTTCAACAAATAGGAAAGGTGTTAAGATTTATTAATTAATATTTTTAGGTGAACTCTATCAACTCGAAAGGAACTTTGAAATTCGAGCAATTCAAAAAGAAAGTACTTTTAACTGATAAGGAAAAAGGATTCTGGGAAGAGACCTTCAAAGAGATCAAGGACACCAAGCCATATGGATCTTCTTCCGTCGGAGTTGATATTGCTTTCGTTGGTGCTAAATTCGTTTTTGGAATTCCAGAACACGCGGAAGGATATCAATTAAGAGATACTAGGTATTTCCTTGTTTTTCAAGGAAAATGATTAGAACAAAATTATTTTCAGAACTTACGAACCATATAGATTGTACAATTTGGATGTTTTTGAATACGAAACCAACTCCCCAATGGCTCTTTACGGTTCAATTCCATATCTTGTTGGAGTGAATCAAAAACGTTCTGTTGGAGCACTTTGGTTGAATGCCGCTGAAACTTGGGTTGAAATTGAGCCAACTACCGCAGATAAAGGTGCTCTTGCTAAAGAAGTTTTGGATGCTGAAACTAAACCAAGAAATGTTCCCCAACAAAATGCAAGATTTATCTCGGAATCTGGAGTTATCGATATTTTCATCACTCTTGGTCCACAACCAAATGATATCTTCAGACAATTGGCTGCGTTGACTGGAGTTACACCAATCCCACCGGTAAACTTTTTATCTAAAAAACTATTTCCTAATATATAAATAAATTTTTTTCAGGAGTTCGCCTTGGGCTACCATCAATCTCGTTGGAACTACAAAGATCAAAAAGATGTGAAAGAAGTTCATGAAGGATTTGTGAAAAACGATATTCCACTTGATGTTCTCTGGTTAGATATTGAACACACAGACAAGAAAGCCTATTTCACTTTTGATAAGGATAATTTTGCCAAGCCAGAAGAAATGATCTCAGATTTAGCAGAAAATAACAGAAAATTGGTAACCATTGTTGACCCACATATTAAGAAAGATGGAAAATATCACATTTATAAAGAGGCCAAGAAAAATGTAAGATTTTTTTTTGATAATGAAATTATTTAATAATATTAATTTCAGAAACTCTTTGTAAAAGATGTGAACGGGGACAATTATGAAGGAAACTGTTGGCCTGGTGATTCGATGTATGTCGATTACACCAATCCAAAAGCAAGAAAATGGTGGGCTGAACAATTCGCTTTTGACAAATACAAAGGAACCGATAAGAATGTTCATATTTGGAATGATATGAATGAACCATCAGTCTTCAGTGGTCCAGAAATCACAATGCATAAAGATGCCAAACATCACGGAGGATTTGAACATCGTGATGTTCATAACGTTTATGGTTTCTACCAACATTCAGCAACTTTTGATGGTTTGAAAGCGAGAAGCAATAACGAAATTAGACCATTTGTTCTCTCGCGATCATTCTTCGCTGGATCTCAAAGAACTGCAGCTGTCTGGACCGGTGATAACAAAGCTGACTGGAACCATCTTAGATATTCTATCCCAATGCTTCTTTCACTTTCTACTGCTGGACTTCCATTTGTTGGCGCTGATGTTGGTGGATTCTTTGGTGATCCGGAAGAGGAATTGCTTGTTAGATGGTATCAAGCGGGAGCATTCCAACCATTTTTCAGAGGACATTCTCATCAAGACACTAAACGTCGTGAACCATGGCTTTTCAATTCTGTTAGTTTCATAGAGATTTGGGAATTACATAGATATTTTGTGATCACAACCAATTTTATTTTTTAGACAACCACTGACGCAATCCGTCAAGCTATCAAAACCCGTTATGCCTTCTTGCCATATTGGTACACATTATTTTACGAGCATGCTAAATCTGGCAAACCAGTAATGCGACCATTCTGGTTGGAATTCATTGAGGATGAATCGTCCTGGGATGAAGATCGTCAATGGATGGTTGGAAGTGGACTTCTCGTAAAACCAGTTCAAGAGCCAAGTGCAAAAGAAGTCTCAATTTATCTCCCAGGAAAACGTCAAGTTTGGTACGATTGGCACACACATAAGGCTCGTCCATCCCCAGGAGCTGTACAAATTCCAGCTGATCTCAATACTATTGCTCTTTTCCATCGTGGTGGAACTATTATTCCAAAAACATCTGAAGTCAAGTTAACCACTAAAGAAAATCGTGAACAACCAATCACTTTGTATATTGCTGTTAACCAGAAAGGAGATTTTGCAAATGGTACAATTTATTTGGATGATGGTGAAAGTTATTCATATGAAAATGGAGATTTTGCATATTGGGGATTCACTTTCAAAAAGTTAGTTGAATTATTGAAATACTATGTTTTCAACGTATATAATTTTTCAGAGAGCATGATTATTTGCACACCATTACAAGTACCAATTTAGACAAAAAAGGAAAACTTGACAGCGATGTTTATATTGATAAAATTGTTATTCGTGGAGCTAAATTCTATCCAAGAAACGCTCATATCTTCCTTGACGGTAAGCTAATTCAAAAACAATAAACCTGAAAATACCATATGTTTGCAGATTTCATCCCAGAAGATCTAGAATTCGAATTCAATCGGGATAATTTCTTGATGGAGATTGAGAATCCTGGAGCATATGTCACTCGTGAATTCAAAATCGATATTCACTCATAATTAGTCTAATTAAAATTTATCATATTCTCGCATTTACGGTTTCTTATTTATGTGTTTTACGGTATTTTTAATGAACTTTTAAAACATTTTATTGACTGAATTAATTTTTTAAAATTTATTGCATTCTATCATCCAATCTGACATTTTCAAGATTCATTGTTTCGCGACTAGGGACTGTTAGCCTTTTTTGAACGAAAAAAAATCGCGACTAGGGGCTGTTAGCCTTTTTTGAACGAAAAAAAAATTGATCAAAAAAATATCATTTTCTTTAGACAATACTCAATTGACTAAATGAATTCCAATCATTTTTAACCTAAAAACTTGAAATTTGGCTTGTTAATGAAATCGGTCCGAGTTTTTTCAAAAAAATCGGCCCGAGTTTTTTCAAAAAAATCGGCCCGAGTTTTTTCAAAAAAATCGGCCCGAGTTTTTTCAAAAAAATCGACCCGAGTTTTTTCAAAAAAATCGGTCCGAGTTTTTTCAAAAAAATCGGCCCGAGTTTTTTCAAAAAAATCGGTCCGAGTTTTTTCAAAAAAATCGGCCCGAGTTTTTTCAAAAAATCGGCCCGAGTTTTTTCAAAAAATCGACCCGAGTTTTTTCAAAAAAATCGACCCGAGTTTTTTCAAAAAAATCGGCCCGAGTTTTTTCAAAAAAATCGACCCGAGTTTTTTCAAAAAAATCGGTCCGAGTTTTTTCAAAAAAATCGGTCCGAGTTTTTTCAAAAAATCGGCCCGAGTTTTTCAAAAAAATCGACCCGAGTTTTTTCAAAAAAATCGGTCCGAGTTTTTCAAAAAAATCGGTCCGAGTTTTTTCAAAAAAATCGGCCCGAGTTTTTTCAAAAAAATCGGCCCGAGTTTTTTCAAAAAAATCGACCCGATTTTTTGAAAAAACTCGGGCCGATTTTTTTCGTTGGATGAAAAATCGGCCCGAGTTTTTTCAAAAAAAAATCGGCCCGAGTTTTTTCAAAAAAAATCGACCCGAGTTTTTTCAAAAAAAAATCGGCCGAGTTTTTTAGTTAAAGAAAAAAACATTTTTGTGAACTACTAATTTATTAGACATGAAAACAACAAGTATTACTAAAATATAAAAGATAAAATATAGAAATAACAATTATTAATATACAATGAATAAGTTGATTTTCAAGGCTAGACTAAAACAATATGCTACAAATGCAAAAATAGGCTACAGTGGTTGCAGTTCAACTGGTTCTATTTACAGTGAAAAAAATGATCGTTACATAAAAATTTGTTCCAAGAAACATTCCTTCTTCTCTTTCGAATCAAGAATTCAAGCATCTTTCGAAAGGAACACTTCCGTTGTCGTTGTTGGTGCATCTTTATCCATCAGTCCAATGATTCGTCAACCCATAAGAATTTTTGGGAACTCGAATGACAACGACGAAATCGGCAATTTCTGATAAGTCCTTCATTTCCGTTGTGGCATCGACTATTTCAAAAATTTTCGTTATTTTCACCATCATCTCGAGCCAGGTTGGTCTCCGTATATATCTTCTTCTTGATCACCGACATTGAAAATCGAACGATCCCAGGGCAATCGAACGGGAAAATCCAACGTCTACGATGTTCCTGAAAGAAAATATTGTTGAAAAATATAGAAAAATAGTCAACATTTCTCACCTTAAAGGATTGGTGTTCTCCTGATGAAAAAATCGTCCGCAAGAAGGCGTCATGGTGTTGTCTGCAACCCTTCAAGAGGATTTTATTTGGAGAAACAATAAATATTTCTTTGTTTTGCTGAAGGGCACTCGCATCTGAAATTGAAAAAAATTATATATAAAAAAAAAAAGATATGTTATGTAACTTACTGAAGTTTCCTTTCTTGATTTTAACTTCTTGATCAAAAACAAAATGCAAAATTTCACTGTTTGCCTTGTTTTCTTTTTTTGAAGCCTAAAATAAATAAGATTGAATATGAATACAATATTTATGTTACAAGAAATGTAAGGGAAAGAAAAAAATTAAAAAATATAACACCTTCCATGTCTTGTGCAAACACAGTGCACACAATGCACGTTATCTGACGACAAGTGCGCATTATGTGACAAAATTGTTTTTTTAATGTTTTTTTTTGTTTTTGATGTCTGTTTTTGAAAAATAACTCGTTGCTGTATCAAACAAAAACAAATTACAGAAGTATGTGACGACACTTTTCAATAACCGCTTGATTGGATTACGGAAAACGATTCGGGGAATATGTTGACCTTTTTTGTTAGATGATCTTGGTGCATCAGGTTGTTGCCTCCATTATTGATAGTTGAGGTGAGTTCCAAAATTTGTGATGACTTTCCAAATTGTTCAGATCCACACTGTGTGTGCGGACAAAATGTTCTCATTATTTTTTTGGCTAATGAAAAATGTTGTTATTCAGATTTGAAGCAAATTTGGTCGGAAACAGAGCTCCAAAATTTGGAAAATCGATTTTTCAATCATGAAATTAGACGTTCTTATTGAGCTAAGAAAACATGATGATTACACTTATCAAATGCAACCAATGAAATATGAATATCGAAAGACAAGTATTTCTTAATGAAGGCAAAACATCGTATGTTCACGTCTCGTCAAGTGAGTTTACTCAATTTGGGTAAAAACAAAAAATGGTCGAAAAAATTAAAGTTAAAAAGTTGTGTGCAAGCTGATGCACAACTGCTTACAAAACTCTGAACTCTCTTATTTTTTCGTGGTCTCTTCTCCCGCACGAAATTGTTTTTTACTTTTTCTGTAAAGTTAGTTTTATAGTTTTATTAATGCATTTTCTTAATTTTCACGCAAATCAAATGCAGTCAACCCGCAAATCTGATTTTTTTCTAGTGACCTTTTTATTATCACATTTAATATGTTGGTGTTCTTTCATTATTTTGAATGAATTGATATAATTATGAGGACTCCATCTAATATTTGTTAATAAAAAATCTATCCAACAAAAAAACATTGCCACCCAGAAAAAAACACATTCAAATGAAATGGTCATTTAATGAGCCGGTAAACGAGACAATGATAAATAATGGTGGTGCAGATGGTTAACACGTGTGGTACTTACACATTCCTTTTTTCTCCAATCTTTTATTGTGACTCACTCATTTCATTTTATTCAGAAAAAAAGGACAAATACCTGAATAGTTCCATAATATAATAATGGACGGGTAGGTAGATCAATGTCATTTCGATAATAATTATTATTTCGGTTGAATTCCATCATTTTGTAATGATTTTCATATTAGTTTCCATTATTATTTCGTTTGACTGCGTCCGCCTTATTCATTATTCTTACCCTATTTTCACACCTAATGGATATTATATTTTAAGGGGTAATTTGATAGGTGTGCGAAAAATCGCACTTGACATTACTTCATTTTTGGATCATTTTCATTTTCATGTTTATGTGTTTTCCAAAATATTTGTATTTTTCAAAACGCCGAAAAATGACAAATTATCGGTTTTCGGTGAAACAGATGTTTTATGATGAAAATGTAAATTATCTGGGGAATAATACATATTAGGCGAGGAAGTTTTGTGATGTGTTCTTTCAAAAAGTGCGCATCTTCTTTCAGTTTTCATCTTATTTTTTTATTCATTGAACACACATTTTTATCAGATCGTTATGAATAGTAGAACTAACGAGGTATCTGGTGCCATGCACTTTTCCCTCTAAATTTTTCATGTTTTTTTGGCTGTTTGTGCGTCGATGAATTGTTGATGTGTTTTTCTATCGTTTTTTTTGCTAGGATGAACTTTGTAGTAAATAAGTTTTTTTGTGTTTTGGGTTAGATTCTTGAAATTTGTGGAAAAAGTTCTAAGTTTTAGCTTGAATTTTTCAAATTGATGAAGAATAACACGATTTTTTAAATTATAAGAAATATCAGATTAGAAATGTTTCATCTTGTTTCAAAGTGTTGATTCTTGTTGTTTCAAAGTGTTGATCATACAGTAGCTCACAAACTTTCTAACTCTATAATCTTTAATTTTCTTATTATTTTCTGTCTCAAAAAATCTCAATAAACCCAAATATATTCGTTTTTTTATTCATACATATCTAATGAAAAACGCGTTTCTCCGCATCATCCAAAACAAAACAAAAAACCAATCGAAAAACAACAAAAAATCACCAAAAATGCCAACAAAAACCCAAAAGTTGTTGTTCCCGTGGGATTGTTTCATGTGTTTTTGGTTTAGTGGACACTACCGCTTCTCCTTCTTCTTTTTCTCATCAAAAACATTGCATTTTTGGTTATATGCACTTGTTTGTTCACAGAAGAAAAAACGAAGAGGGAGGAATAGCTTTTGGGGTGGAGTCACCAATTGGTTTTTTTTTCCAATTTTTGTCAAGGATCTTCTCTTTGTTGCTGTTTGTGGGGGTAAATTTGATTTTGAAGTGGAGAGTTGGTTTGAGTTTTTTTGAGTTCCTTTCTTTGTGGTCCTTGTTTCGAACTTTCTCAAGTTTTTAGTTCCGTAATTGAGAAGCCTACTAGGCCAGAAATATACGGTCGCTTCGACATAATATGTATAAGTTCTATTTAGAGTATTATTTTCATTTGAATGTGAGCTGAACCACATCTGATTTTTTCACATGTTCAATAGAATGAGTTCAGGAAAAATATGGAACCTACAAACGATTTTTTAGAATTTATGAATTTCGTAAATTCATTTTTTGCATTGTTCATTTTTGTTTATTTGAAACAATGTTGTTTTTCGATTGTTGGGAGTTCACATTACTTCTCATTGCGAAATATGAATTGTGTTGTTCAGTACAAAATTTGACAAACGATTTTTAGAAAAATTTCAAATGGTAATATTTTTTTTCGAATTGTTCAACTTTCCAAAATTATTTTTGAAATTTGAAAATTTAGCATTCTGGAAACATTTGGGATCATTAATTTTCCAAAAACGTTTTGAAGAACCTGTAATTTCATAAGCTTCTCCTAAAAGTTCTGAAAGTATACCACAAAGTTGAAATTTTGAATTGATATCATCTGATTTGTTTCTCAATTTTGTTTTGTTTTTTGAAATCTCGTGTGATAAAATTCAAGTCACACAAAAAATTGAAACAAAAGTCGTCATTTAAAAAATATATGAAACCAGAAAGAAACCAACATTTTTTTCTGCACATTTGGAGACTCTAACCTTTTGTCTTTGATTTATATGCAATATCCAATGACATTTCCCATTTCCATTTGCCTCCAAAAAGTTCCTTTTATTTGTTTTATGTATTTTCCAGTAAAGGTCCCTAGGGATTTTTGTTCTTAAAATATCCAAAAAAATACCTACAAAAATTCAACACTTATGTTAATCAATCATTTTAACTTGTTTGTTTTTGTTTTGTTTCCCATAAGCTTTAGCTGTCTGCATTCCGTTTTTTTTAGAATATTTGTGTTTTTTTGCATGACTTGGTCCGTTTTAATTTTCTTGGGCTGTTCTATCTTATTTTTGGGGAATCGAATGCAATTAAGTGAAAAATGGGTAAACAAATGAGGAAAAAAATATATATGAGATTTTTTTTGAATTATTTATATGAATCTTTCGCTTAGAACACTTCAAATCTTTTTGGATGGAATATATGAAAAGTATATTCTGGTAGACGAACAAAATTCATATTTCAAAAATGTCCCTACAGACTCACATACTAATTAATTTCAAATTCATTCGTACTCCTCCCACTATCTTTCTTTTCTCTTTCGATTCCTCTAACTATTTTCTAAGAAAAAAAGTTTTTATTTTATTTTTTCATTCATTTTTCTTGAACAACATATATAAAGATGCTAATAATTGCTGGATTTTTTCTAGCTTTTTTTTGAAGAGCTTTGCACTTTTCCAAGAAAAAACTATAAAATGTGACAAATGTTTTCGAACACCTTTGGTTTACGATAATGAGGTGTGCAAGTGTTTTTTGTTGCTTTTGCTAATGTTGTTTTATGAGCTGTTTGTTGAGACATTTGATCTAAGTTCGTGGTTTTCTGATACCGTAGTTTTGTTTTCTGTGATAATTTTTTTTCAAATTATTTTCGTATGACTTACAAAAATATTTAGAACATTTTGGACATAATTGTGAGAAAATTTATGGCACAATATCCATCAAAATTGGCTGCACCCGTTCTTTGCGTATTTCAAAGTTTATTCTCAAGGAAATTAAATTTCTCTATTTTTTTCTAGTTGTCCATTCAAAACATCTATTCAACAAGAAATGTTTTTTTCAAATTTCTCTAGTCAGTCAAAAACCGAGCAAATCTTCGTCAAAAATCAAATATTCATCCGAAATTCATCTGGTGCCATAATTTTCTGAAAAAAAATGCATAAATTATTCAAGTCTTCAAATATATTTTCATTATTCTTTCTCATAAATTTTACTGTTTCAGAGAAAAAATAACTGATGTATGTTCAATTTCAAAATCTATCCATCATTTTTCTTCTGTTCTTTTTTTCTCAACACAGCCATTTATTGCGTTCGTTTTGTTTTTTCTTGTTTTCCGTTGTTGAAAACAAAAATGTGCAGATGAAAAATATTAATTTTCCAACGGGTCACTTTATGACTGTTCCTTTTATTTTTCCACAAATTAGTCTCAAGTTTTCAAAGAGGAAATTTTTTAATTATCGACTTTTTTTTCAATACATTTTTAATGTGTTGGTCAAGAAAAAGTTTATTTATTTATTTATTTTTTGATCATTCTGGTAAAATTTCCAATTTTTTCTCGTTTTTTTTTCTTTTGGGAGAGAAAGAAAAAGAAGAGAATTTTAAATCCCGCCTTTTTCACAATCTGATTATTTATTTATCACATTGTAGTTTTTTTCGAAAAAAAGATTTCTTTGAAATATATGTATTTTGGATCAGATGTTCTTTAACTCAATTATATTTCATGAATAAATTTTTGGGAAATATAGCATTTTTATTCTTTCTTGGACTATGTAGATCAAATAGTCAAAACATATATTTTTGCAAATTGAACATATATTTTTTGTGGAAGTAATAAACATCCGGTTCACATTTTTCTACCTGAATAATCTTTCTTAACCTTCATTCATTCTGCAATGGATTTTGCTGAAAATATGTATTTTCAGATGGATTGTGCGGCTATTTGCCTGCTAACAACGGCTGTCAAATTTCTACCGTTACCTTCTACGATTGTGAGTTGTATTTGTTGAACGAAAAATGAGGCAAAACTGTAGTTTGATCTTTTTTAAAGATTTTTTTTTGTGGGGGATCACACAAAGATTCATTTTTCAATGTCGTTTAGAAAAGTGAAATTGATAATGATGTCTTCAAATGGAAAGAAAAGAGATTTTATTGAAAAATTGGGGGGAATTGATTTTGAAAAAAAAACATGACGGGGTTTTCTTTAAGATGAACATGAACATACAATTTTTCAGATAACCAAAAAAATCTGAACATTTTTTTATGTATAAGATTTTTTAACGGTCCATTGTTAGGAAGAATATTTGTATAATTTTTGAAATAAAAAAAACAATTCAGAATATTCGAAATTAATATTTTCCACCTAATGAAATTTATTCCAGAACTGCACATACTGCGTAGAAGCTCGCTCAACCTACGAACATTGTTTCAAAGATGTCATCGATTGCGCTTACAGAGATCCAGCATCTCTAATTTTCTGTCTGAATGTCTTTGAAAAAAATCAGTAATTCATTTTTTTTTGCATTTTCAAATTATCTGAAATAAAAACTTTAATTTTTCAGAGGTGATCCAGCAATAATTCAACATACAATTCGATGCATATCTTATGGTGATTATTATTTGGATAACGAGTCTATACGAACGGTAGTATTTTAATTTTCTTCATAATAGAAGAATCGTAAATGGAACGGTCATTTTTGCAGATGAGTGCTGGTGGTTCTTGTTCCTTTGAGCATGTTCAAAAATGTGAATGTGATGTGTGTTTATCACCGACGACGACAACTACAACGATGCTCCCAACAACGCCGTATTCACAAACCCATAGAAAGTAAGTGGTATAGGAATTTGTAAACCAAATTTTTCAGATGTATTTTTTCTCACATCTGAATATTTTTAATTAAAATTATGTTTATTTTCAAGAATGAGTTTGAAATTTGTGTAGAATTCATCAGAAATTCGTAGAAATTTTGAAAATAATAAGTTTGTTGAATACGTTTTGTTTTTAATATATTATCAATCAACAAATCTCCAGACACCAAAATATATTCCAATTTTTACAGACACCATCATCATCACAATCACCATCACAACGACGACGGCAGTTCACCGTCTCACCACAAACATGATCAACTGGTTTACCCTAATAATTCATTAGCACAACAATACAAGGACAGCGGTTACTATTATACCGCTTTTTCACCATCACACCAATATTTATTAGCTTTCTGTTTCTCAATCATCCTCAATTTTCTTATTTTATGATGACCAAGAATGTTTTTGAAGTTTTCTATTGAAAATGCGGGTATTATTTCCTGTTGTTCCTAATTTTCTTACTATCTGAACGTTTTACTTACTCTCGTTAATTTGAACTTGATTTGCACCATACTGACAATAATAGCTTACTCATGTCCCAATTTTTCCACATTTCATTTATAATAAACATTTTTTGCTACCATCAAGAAAAAAAGAAGACAAAGCAACACAAATTAGACACGCGCCACAATGATAAATTGAATTTTGAATATCTCGACTTTCAATCTGAATGTTGGTGGGAAAATTTTTTGAATATGGTGGCATTTTTGCGTTGTGAAGGAAAGAATGATGAAATTGAGAAGGTTTTATTAGTATGAAATGTACAACTTGAAATGTGCTAATACAGTTATTCATAAGATGTGGTGTAAAACAATAACTCAATAATTTATAGCTATTTTCAGACTTTAAAAAATTTGTCCTTTGTGACTTGAATTTTCAGTTCAAAATAATGATACGTTTTTATAGTAATTCTGAAAAATGTATAAGAAAAACTAATTCCAACCACAGTTATCTCCAGATTATTAAAGTATTAGATCAACCTTTTTTGAAGAACAGTAAAAATGAGGTTCATCTAGTTACCCTATGGAAAATCCAATTGTTTCACAGACATCAAACTTCATCCTCATGTGTGAACATCAACAAACCTTAAGCCTTTTATCAATTCAAGAAAATTTCGCAAAATTCCCAATTCCGTGTCGGATTAATATTTGTTATGTCTTATTCATCATCGAGAAAACAATGACAACAAATAGGAAAAAACCACGCCCACTTTTGTCGCTTCGCACCTTTCCCATTTTTTTCCTAGTTTCTTTGTAACTAATTTTGTGTTTCTCTGAAAAATCAAATCAAATCAAAATTGATGCATAGCGTGTTATTAACGAGAAAACCATCTAATTATTAGTGCCTTGACCGCGATTTGCATTTTTTCTTGGTGTGTGTTTTTTAAACAAAAAAAAATACTTCACTTTTTTCAAGACCAAATTTATTTCCACCTCATCTAACAGCAGGTCAGTTATACCTACTTTCAATAACTATTCATCTTTTTTCCTGTGGTTTCATTTCTTTCTATTTGAAAACTCGTTCAATCTTAGCAACATGGTGCCATGTCCTTGAGCAATTTCCGGGTGGGTGAAAAAACACCCAGTAGAAAAAACATAAAAATGTTTGATATCAGGAAAATTATTATTTGATGTGTTTGTACTAATTAAATATTATTATTGCTTATCAACAAAAATGTTGCAATTTTTGCCGACTTCTGTATTTTATAGAATTTATGGAACAATTAAAGAAAAAAGGGTTTTCTAAATGTTAAAAATTGATCCATAACAAACTAGGAAATTCGTCAAATATGACGTGGCAAAAATAAATTGAAGTTGATTTTCTTTCGAAAACCACATATATATTTTTTTTCCGCTTTGGACACCACATGAGGAACTTTTCTAATGAATTTGAAGACTTTTAGTTCCAGATTTTATACTTATTTATTTCTACAGTCACTCATTTTCTCTGACTATATAACTTTAGTTTCATTTCTCTTATAACAATAAATAAAATAGTGTTGTTTTTGTTCATTCAATTCAAATTTCTTCGCCGTCGTTGTTTGTTGGAATAGAATAAAATAAAAAAAGTTGATGTATCTATGTAATTACGATCCTTGAAATGTGAAGCACGTTGATTAATAAATGTCGAATTTTGTTATATATCGCCTCTTTTAATTGTCATTCTTTGTTGATCTATCTTTTTGACAAATTATTCAAACTTTTTTAAGGTCGCTTCCGTTTACAATTTGTTTCTGGTTCTGTTTTGAATAGTCCTTAATTAATGGTAAGTCATTTATAATCCAGGTACTGTATTTTGAAAGAAAAGAAGTCTTTTACAGGTTCCGACAATGTGAGCCATGCGTTTTATGTTACTATTATCTATTTCTATTATTTTTGCTATTTTTGACAATTTCATAGTGTGGTGAGTTGTGTTGATATATTTAAAGAATTATAAGATTAAAATTAGCTTCATAGTTTCAAATTACTGAATGTGAGAACAATAAATATTAGTCAATCGAAATTAATGTGTTCCTTCCAAGTAAGTATAAACGTGTTTTTTTCGAATAATATATTCAAAAGCTACTATTGATATGTTGAGGTTGAAAATAATGCACTTTTTTTAAAAAACTCCTGAAACATCTGAACTTACTAGTGTATTCTTTAGGCCCTCTAGAATACTCCCTACTAGAATACTGTTTTTACTTACTTTTTTTCAATATAAAAAAAACTCTCCACAAAAAAAAACAAAAAGTTTCTCCCCGGCCGGGAATTGAACCCGGGTCTCGCATGTGACAGACGCGGATACTCACCACTATACTACCGAGGACACATTTACCAAACACACATATTTCCAATTTATGTCTGCTACTTTCATCTTTTTCTTTTTCCCCAGGCTCGCTTGAAAATATTTCGTGTGAGGAGAGAAAAAAGAAAAAAGGGGAGAGAACATTTTTAAAAAATAATGTGTTTTGTGAAAAATAACTCTGATTTTTAGCAGTTTTCTGCTTCAACCAAAAGCAAAAATCCAGCAACTTGGCGAACGACATTGGCAATTATATAATCGGTGTAGTCGTGGAATGCTTCAAACATATCTCAGTCATTTAAACGCCAATGGTATTGAAGACCAATATTGTTTGAGTTAGTCTGGTTTTGTTTACACCTCAATATGACTCATACTATACTAAAAAATATACAATTATATTTTTTGTTTCAGCTGATTGGAATGTAATTGGCGAATGGGGCGGCAAATTTCGATTGCAACATGCGAGAACACGAAAATTTCTATGTTTCAATAAAAGAGCAAGAATCACTTTAAGGGTTGGTTTTTTTGTTGACAAAAGTTTCTTTTCAAAAAATTCTGATCAGAAAAAAGCATGAAACAAGAATGGAAACTTGAGTTCCTTTGTGTATGCAAATTTCCGCTTACAATGGTTTTGTTTTCATACCGACCTTGTCTGATTCATGCGTTCGAATAACAATACGCTAAATATTTATGTAGTATTAGAAGTGTTAGGAAACTTTTTAAAGAAGGATTGAGAACTCGGGAAATGTCACAATTGTTGTTAATTTCATTTTGATAACAGACTTTGTATCTTGAACCTTTGTAATAATTGAAAATAATAGAAAATAATACAACTTTTTCAGTTCCAAGTTCTCATTTTTTTTTTGAATTTAATCGTTTCTCGGTCAGAAAATAGTTTTCTATAATTCTTCATGAGAATCCATCCCAAATCCCTATTTTTCCAGTATGATGGTGAAGACGAAAAATGCCGCTTCATCGAAGAAATCCACGACAACGGTTATTCCCGTCTTCGCTCAATTTGGAAACCAGAACTCTATCTTGGTTTTAACGGTAAAGGTCGATACCAGAATCCTCTCTCATATCACATGCGTCCAAAATGTTTTGATTGGATCAAATCAAGTCGATATATTCCGGAAGAGGAATTACATCAATGTGATAGACCTGTTATGAAGCGTGGTCCAAAATTAGAACATTCTTCACATCCTTATGAAGTTTTCCGAAAAAGTTTCATGAAACAGTTTAGAGTTGATGAAGAATCGAATTATTTGAGAAAAAACGAAAGAGAGAGGGAACATTGAGTTTTGTTTTTTATGTTTATGTTTTTTGTATATAGATAAATGAACTTTTTGCGAATATGAGGCTTGAAATTTGAAAAATTGCAGAATATATTTTTTGCAAACAATGAATTATCTGGAGTTAAATTCATTTCTCAACTTTCTTGGATCATTTTTTATTTCTCTGATAATTTTCATTCTTGATCTTGCAAAAAATCCTTCTCATTTTTTTCTTGAAATTCGAGAATTTGTGAGGCTTGAGAGAATTATGTTTTTAGCTTTTCCATCAGGAATATGATCTCTCAAAAATCACATGTGCTGAAATGCAAGGGGTTAACTATGTTTTTGTGCAATGAATTTCTCCAGAAAGCTTCTCTTAAAGATTTCCGAAAATTTTCAAATTTTGTTTCAAACTCAACCTCAAAAAAATTTGCTCGTTTTTGTGTAAATGTATTTATCAATAACAACAAGATGGATCAAGAAGAGCAGAAGACAAAAAAATTGAAAAAGAAAAGCAAAAGAGAAAATAAAAAATAAGAAGAAAACAAAAATGTGTAAAATCGGTGAAATATTAGGTAAAATTGAGAGATATCTTGAGCTTTCGGGCTTGCTTGCCATCGACGTTTAGTTTTGTTCCGATTCCGAACTTTTATTTTTATATATTCTATTTGTATTTTTACTAACTTTTTTTGATATTTGAAAATCTGTTAAAAATAAGATAGCTAATAAAATTTTTATTTTTTCTAAAACGACATGAATATGCGCCCTTCTGATTTATCGCCAAGATTTCAATTGGCATTTCGAAGATGTTTATTTTACACATTTGCATTAGTTGTTTGGTTATTGATTGGAATGATTGTTTTTCCAGCAATTTGTACTGTATCTAGAAGACAGGTATTATGTTTTTTCTATTAAAAGTAGTTTCAGATGAAAAATTAATTAAATTTTCTGAAACTGGTAGGAGAAAATAAAAACTGTTTATACAGAAAAAAGATAATTGTTAATTTTATAGAAGGGAGTATCGTTTTTTGGGAATTTTCAATACACGTTTTCACAGAGCAAATCTGAAAAACATTTTCTTTTTTCAATGAAAATTTGAAATTGTCAAATTAAAATTTCAAACATTTATCTATATATCGTGGCTAGGAAAAATTAATAATGATCTTGAAATTTTAAAAATCACGTCTTTCGTCATTTTTGAGATTGGTTTGTTGATATGATTTGTTTAATGTTTCTAAAAACTGTCATAGTTCATGAAATCCGATTTTTTAGAATAATCTTTCGTGAAACATGAAACCTTTGGAATTATTTTTAAACTTTAAAACCACAAATATTCATTTGTTCCTCCAAATTTCTCTTACAAAACACTTTTCCTGAATCATAATCCACAAATGCCTTATTCTACTCGATACATCTGAAATTTCCCACAGCGAAAAGTGCACAAGTCTAAAAGTCACTATTACAACAAACAGCAAAAAAGTGAGACATAAATAAATAAGTAAAATTTCTGAACATAACCTACACAGACAGCTGTTATGAAAAAAACTAGGTGGCAAAGTCACAAAGAAATTTATTTTCAGGATGACAATCATGCTAGCTTATTCCGATTAGATGCCAAACGTTCCGATTTATTGAATGTTTTGTGGGCTGAAACAATCACAAATGGTGAAGATGATTGGTCCGAATTAGCCGATCAAAAATTGGAATTATACGAAAAAGCACTCTTACAACATTATGGTATTAATCTTGATCATGTTGACAAAACATTTGCTTCTGGACTCCAAAAATCTTTTGCAATTTCTACAACTATCGGTTAGTCAGATTCAATTTCTTTGAAAATTCCTAATAAAAACACCCATTTTTTTCAGGACCATTGGATGTTGACGATTTCACAACATTAGGAAAATTCGTAGCAGTTTTATACGCGCTTATTGGAACGCCATTATTTCTGACAGTCATTGGACAACTTGGAAAAATGGTTACTTCTGTATGGCAAGGTTCGACACTTTGGATTGTGACGATTGTTTATATTTTCATTTCGGCCATTATATATGATATTGTTGAAGGTGGATCTGATGATGTGGTAAGAATTTTTTTTTGAGGATTTGGAAATTTTGAAAAAATAATGTTCACAAAAAATTACATTTTTCATCAGGATTTAGCCATATTAATTTATTTCGAAAAAAAAAACATTTTTGAAAAGTGTATAAAAGTCTAAAATCTAACAGAATTTGGATAGTTTTCTAATGAAGAAATATTGAAATAATTCGACTTTCCAGCCCTTCATTGAAGCAATTTTCTCAATCTTTCTGCAATTCACAACAGTTGGAGAAGTCGACAATGAATTCCAGTAAGTTTATATAATTCCCCATCTCTTCTGAATTATCCAAATTTTTAGCGGAGTGTTGCCATATTGCGTAGTTGTGCTAGGTCTTGCTTTGATAACAGCACTTTATCAAGAAATGCAACACAATATCGAGCGATTTATCCATCCATTTGAATATTCTTTCAATAGGTGAGATCTTCAAGTAAAGCAAGTTCAACTAGAAACTTCCGCATTTTCAGACTTTGTGGAAGTGTTGAGCGATGGTTAGGAGAGAAAAATGTAGACAAGAAAATATCGATAGCCTCTCCAATCGAAGAAGAACGTGATGGTGAATTCAGCGATTATGACGAAGAATAATTATTTTTGCAATTTCAAAATCTTATGCTAGAAATTATGATAATTTTAGTTCTCTTGTTTTTTTCTCCATTTGTCATCTTGTTTATTTCTTATATTGAACAACGAGTATTTTGTGTACAAAAATATATGAAATATTGAAAATCGTTTATTAATAATAGATCAGAATAATACTTATGCAAATAATGTAGAATCAGAAAAAAATGTTGGAAAAATTGCAAATCGAGAAAACACACACGAAAATATGATTATTTTGTAAAAAAAAGAAGGTTAAAAAATTGTCGAGCAGAAGAAAAAATCTTTTGGTTACCGTGAAACCGGGGATTTATTGAAATTTTCTAGGGAAAAATGGATGAATACTGATTCCGCTGAGTTCAAAACAGGAATGCGATTGAATGGGTTGTCAAAAAATGCAAAAGTGTAATTTTGCCAAAATGAAAAAAATATGAAAATAAAAAATGATTAAAGCCAAATTGAACTCAATCACAAATAATATATTACTGAAAATAGCACAACCATAAATAGCTCAAAAACAATATGTTCAAGTTAAAAGAACTTATGTTGGTAGATTTTCCGTGTCCGGAATATTTACACGGTTTCCGTTAAGTCCAACAGTAATTTCTTCGGGTTGGTCCAATTCACCAATATTGAGATCTTCTTTCAATTTTTCCGCATCAATCAAATCCATCTCACAATTTTCATCAGTTGAAGAAATTGATTTTTTATTCACGCCATTTGATTCGGAGCCACTATCTCCATTTGTTGAGCTACTTTCAGCATTTCCATTTTCTTCAGTTTCTTCTTTTGCCTGAAAAAAAAAACAATTAGTTTTGAATTTCTAGAAAAAAGCTCGAGTCACAAACTCTTACCTCAATTTTAACAGATGGTGAAGATGGGTCAGTTTTTCCAGATCCACCATTCAAACTCGGACTAACTGATGACTTATTGGTATGTGGGCTCGGGCTCGAATGGCTTGATGGATTTGTAGGTGATGTTCTTTGAGCATGTGCAGCTTGTGCAGCAGCTAATGAAGACAAAGCGGCAGCCGGGTTGAATTGTGCCAGCGCTGGATTGTTCAAAAGGAGAGGATTGAGTGCACCCATTTGTGCACCCATGGCAAGAAGCGGATTTCCATATGGGAAATGTGGGCTCATTGACATTTGTGGGAAGTTTGATAGTCCTGGAAAACCTGGAAAAACACAGTTAACCAGAAAATCAACAAATTTTCAACACACCGAAGTTTGACATATTCAATAAATTGTTATGAGCCGAACTTGCTCTTCTTTGATTATTTGCATGTCCATTTTGCATCAATGCCTCCTTATTAATACAGAAACCCAAATCATTTGGACATCTTCCAGTAATTGCTTTTCTAACTTCTTTTGCTGCTTGAGCTCGCAATTCTTTGCAAGAAGTTTCATTCAACCAAGCAGCATGAGGAGTGTTAATAATATTTGGGCAACCAAGAAGTGGATTCAAAATATTAGCATCATATGGCGCATTTTCATGAACATCGAGTGCAGCTCCTTTAACGTGCCCATTTTTTAATGCTGCAGCTAAATCTGATTCGCAGATGAGGCCAGGACGACTAGTGTTCACGATGAATACACCAGGTTTGCATTGTTTCAAAGTGTCGCTGTTGATAACTTGGCGAGTATCATCAGCAAGTGGGCAGTGGAGTGAAATACAATCGACACGATTGAAAAAATCTTCATATGAGAATACTCTGCAAAATGTTGATATGAAATAAAGTTCGAATTCTTTTTCAAATGAAAAAAATCCCAAGAAATTCAAGAATTCAAAGAACTCACCTCTCAAAACCGAGAGCTTTATCGAGACCCTCTTTGACAAATGGATCATAAAACACGACAGTCATTCCAAAAGCTTTAGCACGTAGTCCAACCGCTGTTCCGACTCTACCACAACCCAATAATCCAAGAACACTTCCCCGCATTTTCTTGCTACCCGATGCAGTTTCACGGACTTGATCCGCTGAAATGGCTTTTCGCGATTCAATGAAAGCTTTAGCGTGCCAAAATGTACGACGATAAAGATTGAGAATTAATGACAGTGTAAAATCGGCGACTTCTTCAACATAGTCCCCTGGTGCATGACAAACGGCAATACCCAATTCTGTGGCGGCTTTCACATCAATATTGTCGATTCCGGACCCTATGCGGAAAACGACGCGGAGAAGTTTGAATTTTTCCAAATCTTCTTTTTCAAGTTTAATTGAGTGATACATAAGTGCAGCGACTGCTTCATTCAAAACCTGAAAATAATAGAATTTGTAACTGTCTTTTAACTGGTAGAGACTGTAATCTACAGATCTGTCAAATATGTATTTTTAAGTGTTTTTTTCATGATTGTGAATGAATAAGAGCTTTATCTTGCTAACATGCATTTTACTAATTATTATGAGGTTTATTGAAGTTTTTTTGGAACTAAAGTTTAAGAATAGTGTGTCATACTCATTCCGATTGAGCCAATTTGATTTTTTTACAGAGTTTATTAATTAGAGCTATTTCTGTTGTAGATTCTGGATGTTTGGTTTTCAGGGATTTTTTGCAGATTATTGATTCAGGAAATCGTTTAGTAATTTATTGAGATTCCAAATAAAGTTTGAAGTGGTGAAGTTTTTTTTTTAACTGCTGCTCCACGATCCAAGACTTTTTATTTCTAAAATTTTTAAAAATGAAATTTCCTTTCCATATTGAATAACTTGCTCATAATATCTGCTTAATTAAATAGTCATCGTAAAATGAAAATCCTCACTCATCTGCTCATATTTATTCATTCATCCATCTATCTACCCAACAAAAAATGAATCCCGTTTTCATTTCTCAACAACTCTACGAACCCACATCAACAACAACTCTCATATACACGCGACAAAATTGTTATATAACGCGCGTATAGAGAGAAAAGATATTTTCGGGTGGTTGTTGGCGAAGAAAAGGCGGAGTGCGACGACATTATAAATAAATTAGCAAGGATGAGCATCCGTTGCTTTGCTCTCCTCGTTTTCTTGGCAGCTTTTCTTTTTTTTTTATTTTGTATGTGTGTCGAAAATGAAGAAGAAGAAGATGAGAAGACGAGACTAACTCATAATCATATTCTATTCTATCCTATTCTGTTCTATCGTTTTGAAAAGCAAAAGGAAATTGAAAATGGAATTGAAATGTAAAAATACACATATATTTTCTCCCAAACACACGCATACACAAAGACAAACCTTCTCATGAATTTCCTGTGTAGATTGTGCATCACAGAATGCTACCGTAGCCACATCTTTCAAGATAGGCATTTCTACTGTGCAGTCACGACCATCTAAAAGCGCCACTAATGGTCGAGAACCCGATGCACCATTTATACGAGGTGTTGTCACTGAAAATATTATTTTTTGATTAAAAATTTCAAAACTGACAAATATAACTCACTGCTCAAAATATCATTCAATGTTTGTTGTGGATCAGTGACGTGTGTGATTGGACTGTGTGATGGATCTGGAAAAAAATGGAAAATTTCATGAGTTTCAAAGGGAGGGGTTATTGAAACTCAATTATCTTTTGATTTCCTTCTATAATAGAATAGAAAAACCATTGTGGGTGGTCTCTCGAATAATGAAATGAATCAAAATTATAATATTGTGAACACCAATGAATTTCAAGATTTGGTCATCTGAACTTCTCAAAAAATATGTAGACAAATGTCCAGAATACAATTTTCATGAGAATTTGTCTGGAAGTCTATTTCTATCTGTATTCTAGACGTAATTCGACTTCTGAACTTCTGTGGTGAACAATTAATATTACATACAATTTGTAAAATTTTAAAAACCTATGTTCTCCAGTGTTATGATAAGAACTTTACAAATCTTCCAAAGTTTCCAAAAAATAATAATCCTTCCTAATTTCTACTGTGGAATTTTTTCGCATATTCTCAAGTTACCATTTGAATCCCCCATTTTCAATAACTGTCCCTTTCTTTCTTCTTCATTCTTCTTCTTCTTCAAAAAAAAAACACATTTTCCCCTATCTATCCATATCCCAAAAAAAGGAAAAAGAAGGCAGCCGGAAATAAATCTTCTCTCACGAAAATATGGACACTCCATATATGTATGTGCTACATAAAACAAGATGAAGCAATAAAAAAGAAGAAGAAGAAGAAGGAGTCGAAGAAAATGGAGGCACAAAATCAGACGAAGAAATGAAATGAAATGTAATGAGTGCTCTGTGTATGTATGTTTTTTTTCGTTGTTGGTGCCTTGTTTTATTTCAATCTATTTTTTTGTTGGTTGGTTCATTTATGGAGAAAAGGCGTTTTTTTGAATGACAAATGAAAAATGGAGAAAAAATGAAATCCGAATGAAGAAAAAAAGGGGAGATGACAAAATTTTATTGGTTTTTTTACAAGACACGCGATGAAGATTTTCGACTTTTCAATATATTCGAAAAAAAAATTAAGGGAAAAGGGAAGAGACTAGATTTTAGGCAGGTGAAAAATTTATTTTTGGTAAGGGTCAGGATTTTGATGAACGTAGAAAATTAAGAATTTTCGGAATTATGAATGATCCACAATTTTTATTTAAAATTGAAATTTCAAAATTCGGTTTAAAAAATTTGAAACTTCTTTTGGGTAATTAAAACTATTTCAGTTAATTTTTAGAGCTTTCAGAATTTTTAAGAAATCCATAGTTTCTCAAAAGAATTCCAACCAAAAATTTCACAAAGACATAAATTATTACAGTAATCATAAAAACTCTACACATTTTGACCACCCATGAAAAATTGTATCTACATTTTTCTCATGTGACACACAAAAACTCATACAAATGTCCCCAATCCCCTACCGTACTCAATGAAACAAAAAACTCACGTGTCGCTTTTCTCTTCTGACTACCCGTCAATTTTTGCGATGTTCCTTCGCTCATTTTCGATCGCGGCCTTTTTGGGACAAGAATTTTGGAAATGGCTACAATAAAAATGTCACACAACTAATAATCAAAGAAAAAAGGCGGGCCACGAAGAGATGGAGCACAAAAAAGAAGAAGAAAGAGCAGGAGAAACGAAAAAACGAAGCACCCGTCCGAACAAAATAGACGTATAAGGAGCAAAAAAAGAAGAAGAAAGAAGACGGCATGAAAAAAAAACTAGAAGAAGAAGCAAAAAAAGTTGTATGTAGTAGTAAAAATCCGAGAAGATGGACATGAAATGATAGAACGAGAATGACATTTTTATTGGGAGCACAATGCCTTTTTTGTTCTTGTTCACATTCAGAATAAAAAATAAAATGTGATTTTTACTTGGAAAATGTTTGATTGAGAAAAAACTATAAATTCAACATGTCACAAAAATTTTTGCCATTTTTTCGTCGGCGAAGAAAAATGAGAAAAATGTCGAGGAGCGCGGAAAATGAGAATGTGAATGAGAATGAGAGAAAGTGCTCGTTCGAGTGAAAAATTATGGGATAATTGAAAAATTGCACATTTTTGAGCAATTTCTCCTTTTTTGGGAACCGGCTGAAAATTAGAGAAAATCTTTAGTATGAGAAAAAAAAAACATGGGAAACTCTAAAATTCAGAATAACTTTCTAGGTTTTTTTTTCAGAAAAAGATTTATGAGTTGATTAACAAAGCTCATCTATATTTTTTGGGAGAAAAATAACGAGAAAAATATTCTAATTTTAAATTCAGTGTACTTTATCAATGCTCAAGAGATGTTTTCCTAATACCAAAATTCCAAGAAAACGGAACAAAATTAGAAGGGAAAATGAAAATATATATTAGATATTTTCCATACATAAATGAAATTAGTGCTCGCCGATCTGGCCTCTTTTTACTCACTCTCCTCATTCATTTCCCATTCATTTTAGGAGGACGGACAACACAACCGAAAAAAGTGGGCGTGACTTGCAAATGATGATAAGTTGAAAATGCACAGCGCGCAGAGCACAGCCTCATTTTTTTCTCGGTTTGTTGAAACTCGGAATGAAAGGAGAGCAAAAAGATGTGTTCGTATGCATTTTAAAGAAACAGAAACAGAAATGGAAAAAAAAGAGTGGGTTTCATTTTTTCTGCAGTTTGCCAAAATATTTTCATTTAACTAACAGATGGTCAAATGTTTTTGGATGTTATTTTTTGGCCGAACAAATTTAATGATGCAGGTGGTGAAAAATCTGAATTTTTAGTTGAAGGCCTTTTTTTAACCAGCTGCAAAAATATTGTAATAGGTAAATTGAAAAATTGGTTAGCCCTTGAAAATAAAAAAAAACCTACAGTAAGATTTTGAAAAATAGAAAAATCGAAACAAATCAAAGGAATGGTTCAGTATTTTTTTTTTCATTTACAAAACAGAACGAAATATAAATATACATTTGCAATGAGGATCATCTTCAGTAAACCCAGCTAATTTTTGAATTTATAACAAAATTCATACTTTCCTTCTTGCAATTTTTTAGCTTTTTTATTTAACCTAAAATTTTTAATTCTAACATTAAGATATTGAAAAGTTTCGAATCGAATTTTCAGAAAATTAAATGATGTTTTTTTTTAACTGACGAGATATTATTTTATGCAAATTCAATATTTCAATGAACCAAATCACTAACATCTAGAAAAATATAAAATCTAAATTAAGTACTGTTAGAAATATCATAGCAATTTTTCTGGTTAAAAATTGTATGGGACTACAATTTATTGAGCTACAGTATGAAATCGAATATTTTATTTGGTGCCCTTATATTATTTCGAAACATTTTTCTACGCGCAAAAAAAAAGTATATATTTTTGAAATCCTGCTCAACAAAACAGAGCTGAAAATGAGAAAAAACAACAGTAATCAATATAGAAATAGACAATATAGAAAAATAACTAGAGAAAAAGAAACGGAAACAGCCCAGAAAAAAAAATGACCATTATTTCCACCTGTTTTTGTTGATTATACGAAAAAAGGAAAAAATGATGAGAATTGAAAAAAGAAAAAAGAAAAAGGAAAACTACATTGAAAATGTTCACACAATCATTTGAAATTCATCATATTGCCAAATAAATTTTTAATTTTTTCCTTCGCAGTTTTTCGTTTTCAAGTGAGCGAGTGAGAATATTGAAGCACAAAGTGTGAAAAAGAGATTTTTCGGCGGCGGCGAGGAGTTGTAAAAAAGAATAATACATTTTCTGTCCATTTATACTTTGCACTTTTTGTGTTCACCCTTTCTACAAATTCTCCAGAGAAAATGGGGGTCCTACAGAAAAAGAGACAAAAAACTTTTGGATCAGAATCATCGAAAAAAAAATGTTGCCGATATGATTCATTGTGCAGATTGACGAGATTTTTGAGGAACAAAAAAAACTATGATTCAGTTACATGATTTTCCTTTTTTTTTCACATATTGAGTCATTTTTTGGATTTTTTTTCGCAAAAAAATGTGTGAAGAAGGCAAAAGAGTATTTCGTGACTATTTCCTAATGGAAAATAGATGATTCTATTTTTCTACGTACAAAGTTGTTGACTTTTTTTTTGAATTTGTATTTCATCAACCTATGAAACATAATGACACCTGATATTAACTAATTTCAAGTCTATACACTTCAATTGTTAAAATATAAAAAATAATGAGTTATTTCATTTTGTAGAGGATAATTTGATAATTTTCATGGGTGGTCCTGTGATTCCAGATGTTCTCAACTGGATTCAGAAACAAAGAAAATGAATCGTCAAAGAACTTTTCTAGATTATTCGATGCAATTTTTTTTTGACTTGGGTGGACCAACAAACTATAAACGTTTGGTACATAGGTGAAATATTCAATTTGTCAGGATGAACAATGTGTGGTGTTTACAAACTATACATTTGGCGAATTGTCCTAGGTGGTTCCACACAGAGACATCAGAAAACAAATCGAAACTTCAATTTTTCGAGAATAATTATTGATAACAATTCAGTTGTCTACTATTTTCCAATTCTATGCTATCTTGTGATTCAAAGACAACATTTATTGATAGTCACTCTTCAACCATTATTAAAATTGATTTAAATATGAAACTCAATCTACTTACCCTCAGTTTTGTATGAATCTGACATTTTCAAAAAACTGGTTCAGTGGTCACAATAAATTAGGAAATTTTTACAATGGGGCCATGATGAAACAATATATTTTCTGAATTTTACAAGTGTTTATATTCTAATGTTCTTTTAACTGTTAAAAAATCATAACAATCAAATTACCAACAAAATCACCAAATCCATTATGACACTACAAATGTATAGTTTTCATGCACCCCCATTTTTATGATTTCTAGAAAATCACAATCTTACCAGTATAAAATTATCAAACAGTTCCCCAACCCTCTACTTCTTCAAAAAAAAGAAACTAACCAAAAGTGGGTGTCGACGACAATGGCACGTAAAAATCCCGAATACTTCTACTTTTCTTCAAATATGATGGACTGCCACCTGAAAATATCACATAAAAACTGAATCATTTGGGCAAGTGAGAAAAAAAAAACTGGGTGGTGATTTTTGGAGAGTATGGGGGAAATTATTGGGAGAATCGAGAGAGAAAAATGATAACCAACGACTACATCATTTATTATACACATATCAATTCACTTTCATTCATTCGTTCGTTTCGCTTTTTGACAATTGCGCGCGAGAAAAGAGAATTGTGTTTTTTTTTGTCATTTTCCAATGGCTGGATAAGAAAAAGACCATAATAATTGTGATCAAATCGAAAAGTTTTGTGAGAAAAATCTCACAAGAAGGCAAAAAGTCTCATATATCATATGAGCACGCACTAATTAGGCAAAAATCTACACTTCTCTAAAAAAAAGTGAAAGATATTTATAATTGTTGCGCTAATGAGGAAGTTCATGTTTCTTTGTTGATCAGAAATTACTAATGAAAAACCCTGAAACATTTTTCAGGTTTTCAGAAAAGAAAAAAAATCAATTTTCATTGCTCAAAAATTGAGAAAACACGAGATTTCAGGTTTTGCTCGCTATTTTTAGCAGAGATTTATCGGCTCATGACTTATTCTCGCGTTCTCACATGAAAATTAAATTAAATTGAATTAACTAAAATTCTGCGAGAAAAAATGTTCTTTTCGTAAAGTTTTTTTTATGTTTCAAAAGTTTTTTTTGAAAATTCAAAAAGCAGAAAATGAGCTTTGACAATTTTGAAATTATGATGAATTTTTTAACGTCAACCATTTTTAGATTAGATGAGATTTGTGAGAAAATCGGATTTCATTTTTTGAAAAAAAATTTAAGAAAACATTTTTTAAGCTGATAAGTACTCAAATTTCTAACTGAAATTGAAATTTTTTTTGAAAATCGAATGTAGACAAGCTTACAAATTATAAATTTCAGAGAATGATCAAATGGTTGTCAAAACATTAGAAACCAGATATAATTTTTTATGATATTTTCCTTAGTGTTTTTGGGAACATGTCAAATATATATACTCACGAAAAGTTTTACTCGTTTTCTCAGAAATGAAAAAATAGGAAACACTTTCAGAAGATCATGATTTTCAGAACAAATTTACTTTTATCAATTGATTAACATTTTCCTTTAAAAATGTTTTCAAAAAACTGATTTAATAAAATGAAAATGGTCGGATTTTTTATTTAAAAATCCCGATAAAAAATCTGCATTCCAAGTTTTTTTCAGCAAATCAAGTTAGGTCACATTATTCTTTTCACATGGAATGGTTCCCAAAATTACCCCTGGAAAATGGGTGTTACTATGCGGAAGTTGTAGGTCCTAGTGGGTTATGAAAAAGCCCAAAGGGTTTTTGTATACTAAAATTTCTAACAGAAGTTCTGGGGGGTCCAAATTTTTTTGACTAAAAATTTTTTTTTCAACTTCAAAAAATCGTAACTTGGTTCAAACTCAACTATTTTAGTCGATCAAAAGCGCATTCTGGAGCTAAAATAATGATAAATTTTAAAAAATTAACTCTTCAAACAAATATTTCAATTTTCATATCGAAATTGACCAAAAACTGGGATCACCTCAAAAAAAAAATTTCAAGTTCGACATGATAGAGCAAAAATCAGAAAGTCTAGTGTGGTTTTTCGAACTCCTCGTACAAAGTTACGTATATGGACATATTAAAATCATATGGTCCCGCATCTCCCAGAGGCACTTTATTATCGTTTTTTGTGTTTTTTTTCTCCAAAAATGCGCTTCAGCTAGGCGGACTTACTGGTGAAGCGCCTAATGGATGTTTTATTGATCACAAGGTCACAGGTTCGATCCCCGTAGCAAAAAATCTTTTTTTACAAAATAATATTATTTGTTTGTTTGTATTTATGTTAGGGTCACAAAACAACACGAAAAACATATACTCGGGATAGCTTGCTCAAGTGACTTCCCAAAGGCAAGTCTTCCAATAATTTGAATGTGACTAGTCCACAAAGTTCCCAAATTAAGGCACATAGTTCTTTTCTCCTCTCTATCCCTTTCCAGAAAAAAAGGGGGGGGGGGAATTTTTGTAAGGCACGTCAGCATAAGTGAGCGGGCGACACACAAACAACTGCTTCCGCTCATTTGTTCCCGCACTTTTTTTCATTTTTATCCTTTTTCGGTTTTTTCTCCCATTTTTTTTTGATTTTTTTTAACTACTGTTGATAATTTTTTTAAATTGTTTGATTTCAATAATATTAATCCGGTTCCAGAACAAAACAAGATGAGTACAGGTGGAAATCGATATGGTGTTCCATATTATTTAAGTCAACATCCATGGAATGTTGTCGATATAGCTGATGTACGATCAGTTAAAAAAAACAGAAACTGACAAATCAAGCCGTTTTAGGCGTTTTATGCTATTTGGTAAGTTTAATTTTTCAAGGATATTAAAAATTGTATGCTTAAGGTTCGAAAGCAAAACGATAGATCAAATGATGTCAAACTGGTTCATATCGACTTTTACAACAATTGGGAGAAAAATATGCTGCAGCACGAACAATCAATCAAGGATTATATATTTTTTGGCACAGTTCGAAAAGGAACTATTATATTTCCTATTCTAAAGAGCATGCATTTTTTTGTCGTCGTAGTTTGCTATAAAACGAAAAAACTTATCTACTGTGATTCTTTATTCATGCGACTTGTTCCAGTAGAAGAAATTCGAAAAATCCTTTCACCACTTGGAGATGGATCCAGTCAATTCGAGTTACGGTATGCTGATGAAAAAGAAATTTTCAAACAAAACGACTCAATCAGTTGCGGAGTTCTATCCATTTTCAATGCAGAAAATTATATAATCCATGGAAATTTTACGAACAAATGTAACATTTCCCATATGAGAAAACGATATTTTAAACATTTACAACTATTCAAGATAGGTAAGAGAAATAAGTTTTTTATACTACATTTTTATACAATGTTTTTAGATCAACATTTCAACGACATCGATTCAGACACTGATATCTCTACATCCGATGATGATGTTCATGAACTATGCCTACCACCAGCAAATGTTCCATCATCCAGCAAGACCAAAAGAACTCAAAGTCGTAACGGAGAAGGTTTAAAATCCAATGATGTTATGATTTTAGAGGATGTCAATTATGAATGTGATTATCGTAACAAGTCTAAAGTTCGAAGAAGTTCTTCAGGTCAAAAGAAAGCTGGATCAAAAGGCAAGAAGAAAGGATATCCTGATGTTGTTGGAACTGAAGATTATTCGAATAAAAACAATTCTCGAGTTCGAAGAAATTCTTCAATTATTGAAAAAGATGTGGAAGTTGTCGGAAAAAGATTAACACGTTCTACCAAATCGGAGCCTCCAAAAACCATTTTCTGTGATCAAGAGAGCAATTCCTCAAGATTTATTGAAAGCACTATCAATGATTGTAAGTTTCTATTTCTGAAAAAAATTATGATTCCAAAAATTCAGGTCAAAAGAAAGTTGGATCAAAAGGCAAGAAAAAAGGATATCCTGATGTTGTTGGAACTGAAGATTATTCGAATAAAAACAATTCTCGAGTTCGAAGAAATTCTTCAATTATTGAAAAAGATGTGGAAGTTGTCGGAAAAAGATTAACACGTTCTACCAAATCGGAGCCTCCAAAAACCATTTTCTGTGATCAAGAGAGCAATTCCTCAAGATTTATTGAAAGCACTATCAATGATTGTAAGTTTCTATTTCTGAAAAAAAATTATGATTCCAAAAATTCAGGTCAAAAGAAAGCTGGATCATAAGGCAAGAAAAAAGGATATCCTGATGCTGTTGGAACTGAAGATTATTCGAATAAAAACAATTCTCGAGGTCGAAGAAATTCTTCAATTATTGAAAAAGATGTGGAAGTTGTCGGAAAAAGATTAACACGTTCTACCAAATCGGAGCCTCCAAAAACCATTTTCTGTGATCAAGAGAGCAATTCCTCAAGATTTATTGAAAGCACTTTGAAAGCTGGATCAAAAGGCAAGAAAAAAGGATATCCCGATGCTGTTGAAACTGAAGATTATTCGAATAAAAACAATTCTCGAGGTCGAAGAAATTCTTCAATTATTGAAAAAGATGTGGAAGTTGTCGGAAAAAGATTAACACGTTCTACCAAATCGGAGCCTCCAAAAACCATTTTCTGTGATCAAGAGAGCAATTCCTCAAGATTTATTGAAAGCACTTTGAAAGCTGGATCAAAAGGCAAGAAAAAAGGATATCCCGATGCTGTTGAAACTGAAGATTATTCGAATAAAAACAATTCTCGAGGTCGAAGAAATTCTTCAATTATTGAAAAAGATGTGGAAGTTGTCGGAAAAAGATTAACACGTTCTACCAAATCGGAGCCTCCAAAAACCATTTTCTGTGATCAAGAGAGCAATTCCTCAAGATTTATTGAAAGCACTATCAATGATTGTAAGTTTCTATTTCTGAAAAAAAAATTATGATTCCAAAAATTCAGGTCAAAAGAAAGCTGGATCAAAAGGCAAGAAAAAAGGATATCCTGATGCTGTTGGAACTGAAGATTATTCGAATAAAAACAATTCTCGAGGTCGAAGAAATTCTTCAATTATTGAAAAAGATGTGGAAGTTGTCGGAAAAAGATTAACACGTTCTACCAAATCGGAGCCTCCAAAAACCATTTTCTGTGATCAAGAGAGCAATTCCTCAAGATTTATTGAAAGCACTTTGAAAGCTGGATCAAAAGGCAAGAAAAAAGGATATCCTGATGCTGTTGGAACTGAAGAACGCTCTCGAAGAGTTACAACTGGAGTTGAAAAATCTTCTGAAAAATCGAACGAGGTTCTGCCTTTGAGTTCCAGGAATCCAACAATTCCGAAACGAAAAAAAAATGGAAAATTTAAAAAATCTATCAAAAAGGTTTGCTCTTCCACTATAATAGAGGATGACAATTCGGATGAGAGGAATATTCTTGAACTTATGGAAAAAATGGAACACTGTATTTCGACGACAAAAGATCGTAAAACACGACAACTTTTGAAACGCAGTTTCGGTTTGTTGTTAAAAATTTCGGTTTGATTCGAATGAACATTTTTTGAAGGAAATTTACAATGCACCATAGATGTTGACGATGAGAAGTTTGAAAAAGAAGATGATGAACCCACCACTTCAAACATCCAAGATCCCGATTGTAAGCTCCAAATTTTGAGATACATATTGTGATATATAAATAATCTTTCAGATGTTTTGCCGAAGAGAACGTATACAAAAAATCGTCTGAATTTGGATCAGATGAAGAACCTGATCAAGCAGAGGAAAATTATGAAATGTTCCATCAACAAATTAAGTAACTACTATAGACTGCCGACGGATTTGAATAACAGTAAGAAATTCATAAAAAGGTACTTTTTGTTTTTGAAAATTATGGTGAATGGATAAAAATATATAACTTTCATTTTTCAGATGTGAAGACCTCGTAAATGAAAAAAGAGAAACACGATATTTTTGTTTAGCAAAATTAGAAGACCGACTGGCATTTTTTGTGTATCGATGGTTGAAGCAAAAACTCGAATTCCACGGTGATCAAATTCAATTAACTGGGGCAAGTCAAGGATTCTGTGTAGGATTGAAAAAATTCAAAGTAAGACTTTCAGTGCTCAAAAACATTCATTGATCAATGATACGATTTTTAGGCGTCGTCTTCTTGGTTGCGTCGATTCAAACACAGGCAACGCTTGAGATCTAGACATATTGATGTCAGATTATCAAAACGCTTCATTGAAACATATGATGATCTTCAAGAAAATATCAAGGATTTTCGAACTAACACTATTCCGCTTTTGAGAAAATATAGAGCGAGTCAAATCATAAACAGTGATCAAACAGCAGTACAATTGGAATTAACAAGAAACCGAACTTTAGCTACAATTGGAGAAAAACGAGTGAAAAGAAGAATTCAGAGAGACCACGCAACAACGCATAGTTATACCCTCCATATTTCAATTTTCGCCGACGGTCGGTTACCAGAAAAACTGTTTGTCGTCCTCAAAGAGCAAGTACAACCAGCGATGTTCGCTCAAGCTGTTTCGGGTTTTTCGGAACTTTTTGTTGTTTCCACGCCTTCTGGAAAGATGAACTTGGAAAACACTGATCAATGGATGACAGAATGTTTATTGCCAGAAGTAAAGAAGGATTCTGTTATCCTTCTCGATCAATGGACAGGTTTCAACCATTTGGATTCATTGGATGAAGTTAAAAAGAAAAATCTGAATATTATCAGATTTCCAGACCGTTCGACACCGTATTTACAGCCACTGGACCTCTGCTTGAACCGTCAACTCAAAAATTTTCTTCACAAAGTCACTTGCCATGTACGAATGTTTCAAAACTGGTTTATTTTATCAATTCGAAACAACATCCTACTTGTCATTCAAATGGCATACAATCAACTGAAGTCTCCAATTTTCAAACCTCTTATCAAGCATGGTTTCTATCAGATGGGTGTTCTTCGAGGAAAAGCACCTAAATTCGAAACAATGACAGAACATTGCTTCAATAGGGAGTTTCTATACAAAACTGCATGCTGTGAAACAGGCTGTAGAAATGAGCAATTTATGAGATGTGCCTGGTGCGATATGGTTTTTTGTTTTCGTCACATTATTCAACACTTACATTAATCAGAGTAATAATTCTTTATACGGTTCTTTGTGTATATTTGTACAGAGTATTATTCTTATCCTGATTTCATTTCGTATGACTGGTTTTTTTTCATTTTTAAATGGGCTGTATATTTTGTCTTTTTTACGTTCCTTAATTTTTTTTTCAATAAAACTTGTTCTATTTACGTACATATGTACGTTTCGGGGGCAGTTTGAACTTTATTATTTCACTAACGTGCCTTACAAAAATCCCCCCCCCCCTTTTTTTCTGGAAAGGGATAGAGAGGAGAAAAGAACTTTATGCCTTAATTTGGGAACTTTGTGGACTAGTCACATTCAAATTATTGGAGGACTTGCCTTTGGGAAGTCACTTGAGCAAGCTATCCCGAGCATATGTTTTTCGTGTTGTTTTGTGACCCTAACATAAATACAAACAAACAAATAATATTATTTTGTAAAAAAAAAGATTTTTTGCTACGGGGATCGAACCTGTGACCTTGTGATCAATAAAACATCCATTAGGCGCTTCACCAGTAAGTCCGCCTAGCTGAAGCGCATTTTTGGAGAAAAAAAACACAAAAAACGATAATAAAGTGCCTCTGGGAGATGCGGGACCATATGATTTTAATATGTCCATATACGTAACTTTGTACGAGGAGTTCGAAAAACCACACTAGACTTTCTGATTTTTGCTCTATCATGTCGAACTTGAAATTTTTTTTTTGAGGTGATCCCAGTTTTTGGTCAATTTCGATATGAAAATTGAAATATTTGTTTGAAGAGTTAATTTTTTAAAATTTATCATTATTTTAGCTCCAGAATGCGCTTTTGATCGACTAAAATAGTTGAGTTTGAACCAAGTTACGATTTTTTGAAGTTGAAAAAAAAATTTTTAGTCCAAAAAATTTGGACCCCCCAGAACTTCTGTTAGAAATTTTAGTATACAAAAACCCTTTGGGCTTTTTCATAACCCACTAGGACCTACAACTTCCGCATAGTAACACCCATTTTCCAGGGGTAATTTTGGGAACCATTCCATGTCAGTTCAAAACATGAGTGTTCTCTTTACAATTCAAAGATTCATGTTCAAAACGCTCTCTTTTACATTTCGGCTAACTTTTCATTATTTCCAATTTAAAGTGAAATTATTATTTCAAAAACTCAAAATACTTCTTCTAGATTTTTTTCCGCGAATATCTGATCCGATTTTCTTATTCCCTTTTCTCATTAAAAATATTGATCCATCATTCCATTAGAAATTAGTTCCCTCTAAAAGTGCGAGCAAAAATACATGTAATTTTATCAAAATTCTAATATTTGTAGTGTGTACAAACACACAAAAATCCATCAAGATTCGTTCTCAGAATACATTTGTAGCCAGTTGTTTTCTACTTTGACATCAAACCACAACAAAACATCAGAAATGTCTAGATAATTGAATTGATGATCAATTTTTGAGCATCTTGTTTGCAGAGTGTAAAATTTGCAGAGTTTTTAGAATTAGCCAAATTTGGGATAGAAGAGAAATGGACAAAATATGAAAAATTTAAATTTTATAGAGAAATATGCCTGAAATTCTGTTCCCCAACTCAGGTGAGGTGTAATTCTTGAGGTATTTGATTTTTTTTCGATTGTGATATTCATTTATAAATAATAAAAGCTAAGAATATATAATTTTTCAAAAAATAGTTTCTAAGTAAGTTTACTATATAAAACTTCAAGCATCCCAAGCTCCACAACTCAAAGCTTCGAATTTCAGCTTCTTCCTCTCCCTCTATCCCAAACTAACCTGCCGGTGAGTCACACGGAAATCTAGCCGGGATTGTTTGTTTGCGTCGTCGATCGTTGTTTTTACTTTCCTTTGGTGGAAGTTCTATCTTGATCTGAACATCTACAGTAGGATCAGGCACTGGTATATCACCTTCTCGTTTTTCGCCACCCTCAAAATGTGCCGAGCAAATGCGAAGCTGCAAAAAATTTAAAGGTTTTTCCAAGAATTTCGATAATTATATGTAATCTTTTTGTTTGATCGTTTTTCGAATCTGGGTGCTCTTTCTTTCTTTCTTTTTTTTTTATTTTTTCTGTAACCATACAAGTACCTGTGAAACTACAGTCTCTTCGGTTCTTCCAATCGCACTCAACCATCTTTGACGCAACACTTGCGGTCGTTTTGGGATGCGATAAAAATGACGATTATCTTCGAGACCACGATAACGTGATCGAAATTTGCAGTTTGGAAATCCACAAGTTGTAGGCATGATTTTCTATTTGAAAGCAAAAAGCCAAAGCAGAAGCTTCTTACAAAAGCCAAGCACTACCTAGAAAGCGTTCATTCAAAAAAGCAGAAGCAAAAAAGTGAAAGCAAAAATGAACTCTTGATTCCTCAAGTTTCAGAAGCAGTACATAAATAGATCAGACAAAAAAAATAATGATAAAGTGCAATGCGAGCACAACAGAAAAAAACAAAAATAAGCATGTGCAGGAAATTTTTGTGTTTTGAGTAATTATAGAGTTGAAGTCTGTCTAGAGCAAAAATATCATTTATTAGCTCACAATCAGCTGAAATCAGTGCAAAATTTGATGAAATGAAATGAAAAGGACAGGATATGAAATTTGTATACAAGTGGATACATTTTTGAAGGAATGTTGCGATTTTTTGATTGTTTGAAAACAAAATAATCTTCTAGCTACACCTGTCTGGAAATCAGCAATTTCACCAACAAATTATAAAAATGTTTCGGTTTGTCGTAGATTCTTTTGGAATTGGGAGCAGGTGGAAATTTTTGAAAGTGTTTATTTGAACAGGTATGGAGGATTTTTAAAAATTTTTAGATTTTTTTCGTAACTGATTTAAAAAAAATTGTATTTGAAAAACCCGTGAAACACTCTCACTAGAATATACTTCAAAATCCGGAATAAATCCGGGACATAAGACAATAAATCCGAATCAAAGTATAAAAAATGACTTAATAAATAAAAACTCAATGTTTTCTGAAAATTTAGAGATATTCTGAGAAACGTTGCCACTAGACTCTATTCAATATTTCTGATTTTTCAGAGTTTTTTGTTTAATTCGAGACTTTCAAAAAAATTTCAGAGATCTATTTTAAAATTGCTAACTGTTTCATTTTACGTAACCATCTAGTTCTTGAACCCAGCAATTTCCAAAGCTAGACAATTGTTCAAAATTCCAAACTACTTTTTTTCCAACCTCAATATTAAATTCGCGTCATACGACCACATTTTGAGTTCATTTTCAATTGCATTTCCAGGTTACCGTAGTCACCAAGAAAATTTGCAAAAAAACCTATAATTATCCATCTCATTTTTTAAAAACCTTTCTGTGCTTATTTTGAGAACACACAAAAGCAAAGCAGATTTTTAAAATTGTATAAAGTAGGAAAAAAAACCCCTACTTCACTTTACTTATATATCAAATTTAGTGTGTGGCTTATTTTTTCTAAAGAATCCAAATTTTGAGTGACACATGAAAGTCATGACACTTTTTGCGGGTGGATAATCTCATCAAACACCGTTAAATTGGATAGGGTCCGGATTAAGCTGGGGCTCATATGCGGGGTAGATTTTTTTTGAAAACCAGAAGTATTGAATTTTGAATCGACGTAACTGTGTAAAAATTAAAGCGCGAAGACCAGTATAAAAGCACAAAAAGCAACCTCATTCATTAAAATACACTGTAGAAAACAAAACATAATTTTGAGACTGGAACAGACATTTTTGCACCAATGTATGCGAAAAAAAGCAAAATAATAAAGAAATATATCTGGACTCATACATCGCCTCCCATCAAATATCAAACTTTACTTTTCTGCATAGGTCAAAATTAATTCTTTGAAACAGTATAATCCGACAAAACTCCAAGAAAAAAACCCAGAAAGCTACCGTATAACCAGAGCCAACCAATCAAGTCCAGAATAAAAAAGGGGAAGAAAAAAGAGTAGGCGCAAGTCGAGTGACATAAAAAACGAGACGCTAAAAACGGAAAAAAAAGGGGAGGAAGAAGGAAAAAACGAGATCTTGGTATACGGTAGTTGACACCAAATTAAATCTTGCCCAAGGGAAACCTGCGTCCGTTCAAAAGAAAAGATGCTCGGCGAGCAACTCGATTTTATCCTCCTAACTCGGTGAAACGACTACAAAAAAAATAAAGATTCCATAAAAGATGGGGCGGGGAAAAGCTCTTCTCATTTTCTATCTGCTCGCTCTTGAAATGGTGATTTGACGCCAATTAGAAAAGACAAGAAGAGGGGAAAGGAAGAGGAAAGTCTCAACACCTTCCGATGCCAATTATATTGGGTAGTGACATGTTGAAGAGTAAAATAAGAAGAAGTTGGATGGAAAAGGAGAAGAAGAAGAAAAAGAAGGATGAGCTAACGAAACCACTTGACATCCGCCGTATTCATGCCCGACGGCAATTCTTTTTTGATATTATTCAAACGGGGGTGACATATGTTGAAAAGGGTTATCGCATTTTGCTCATCTTTAATTAATACCAATTGGATTTTGCGTGAATTGTGAGAGTAAAAAGAGATTTGCGGCTGATAGCACATTCAATTTATTTTGACTCTTTTTGTGCAAGGAATTTTGCAGATTGTGCCAATTATTGAGAATATGTGTATGTTCCGGTTGCAAGGTTTAATGAGAATGAATAACGAAAACTATGTACTTGAGTGTTTGAAGATTGTTCGACTGTTTCATGTGATTTGAAAAAGCCTAGAGTTTAGTTATATAATTTGAAAATTCATTTTTCTCGCAGATGGTTCCAAAAAATAATAAATACAAAAGTACTTTCCATAAAAGTTGTACCTATGGGTTCATTTGATTTTTACATATCTGAACTTCTGAAATGGTACATGAAAAATAATCATAGTCATAATTATTCTGTGTTTTCCTTCTTTATACCAAAATCACTTCTAAAGTGTTTTACACAGTAGATTAAAGTTATACTACTAAAACAGTTTTTAATTTAACTCCAGATGCCCTACTACCAACTACAGTATCTTCATAAGCTGAAGATTCATATAAAATCTGAAATTTATTATTCAAAATAAAATCACATTTTTCATTTGTTGAAACATAATTGTTTTGATCTGAAAATTCTTGGAAATTCCAACAAATCTAATTGTAAGTTCCAAGAAAAACTAAAAAGATCAACAACATCATCCCATAAAAAAAAGAAATAAAACATAAATATATAATCCCAACAAAAATCCAAAAAGTATATCCTTTACTACCAACACCTCGAAACTCTAATATCCAATTTCCTCCCGCTTGCTACCCAAGCTAATCCCCCCAACTCAACAAAGAATTTCACATAAGTAGACAAAAAATGGAGCGCATAACTTACAATTCATCGAAATTGTGTGTAAATCTTTCAGAAATATGGATAATCTATCTATCTAGTCAGAAAAATTTGGAGGATAAAAAATATCTTTTTGTTATCGTTTCGATTATTTTGGCTCCTTTTGAACTGCATCTTATCTACAGTACCCCTTTTTCCTTCGGGAAATTTTTTCTGGAGAAGAATTCCAAGAAATATAAATTGTATTCAACGGAGGCTCTCTTGTCGCCAATTAGTTGCATATAAAACTTACGGTGTCAGTCACCCACAAACGGATAACACGACAAATTAGTTGAGACAACTAGCTTCATCGGCACCTTTTTGCACAACACCTCATTTATTATGACTTGATATTCAGAGAGAAAAAGACAAGAAGACACCAATTACCGTAGGCCTTTTGAACATTTGGAATTGTGAATGAATGTGTAAGAAGCAGAAAATTAAAGTGACACTTTTTTTCTTTTTTTTTTTGTTTTGCTTTACATTAAATGAGGGACTTTTCATTATGGAAGAAGGGAGAAAGACTTTATTAAAAACGGATCCAATAGAAAAATTAGTTTGAAGTTTGAAAAATGTTTTTGATTTTTGAAAATATGAGAACCGAAAATTAATAATGTTCAAATAGTGAAAAGTTAAAAACTGAAAAATCGATGAAAACACCAATTTGAAGAATTTCTAAATCTTGAAAATGTGAAAATTCAGCTATGTCGAGGAAATTTGAAATATACAGTAATCTCTTACAGTTAAATCAATATAATAGAACAATCCGGTATATATTCATGTGCTAAAAATAAAAAAGAAAACACAGTGCAGTATGTCACAAATCTGATAAGCCCAACAATTCTTTCTGTCAAAACAATGATTTGCTACAATGCTTAAAACATCAGAAAACAAAGATTGAACTAAAATTAACAAATTATTGAATAAACTACCGTATCCAAAACGACCTATATTTTGGTGTAAATAAATAAATAAATAAATGATAGGGATGGGAGAGGGATGAAAGTTTCAGCCGACCCGAAACAACCGACGGGTCGTAAATTATATCCGGCATGGATGGAAGAGAGAAAGATTATCATCATCTAATTTATACCGTATATCTTATCATAATATTATTCATATATACAGGGCTGCCGTTGATATCTGGGTATACCCGGGCACCACCCGGGTAAATCGAAAAATACCCGGGTATTGAGGCCCATCGACCTGGGTGTCAAATACCCGGGTTGGGTGTGGGCACCCTTAGGGCACCCTTGGGTATGATGCAAATTTTTGATTTTTTTGTTCTGTTTAGCTATTATCCATGTTATTGGACGAATTTAGCTAAAACATGAGTGATTTTTGATTGAAAAACTAATATGCAACAAAAACGATCGATAAATTTCTATTTTATCGATTTGGTTGACTTCTAAAATAACTTAAAATGCATTATATTTTAGAAAAAAGAAAGAATATGTTTTTCTTCGACACCAAATTACATAAAAATGAAAGAGTCCGTGATAAAATCAACCTTTGAGAGAATATGTGCTCATACTCAACTCATAGAAAGTCTTTTGTGTGTTTACAACACGAAAAATAGTAAAATTTCGAGAAAAAAGATGATTTTTTGAAAGTTTTCTACAGATTAGACCAATTTTTCATGTTACTGACCACTTTTCATGAAAAAAAACACAATTTCCAAAAAAAAATTCGAAAATAAATTAGTACGAAAAATCAAATACGAAGGCCCATTTTGGGTATCTGGGTGTGCCCGGGTATACCCACCCGTTCTGTCATTTTTCAATGAAAATACCCACCCGGGTGTACCCGCCGAACTGTGGGTATTAGGGTGCCCTGTGGGTGCCCAAACGGCACCCCTGATATATACATATCATTATTTTTTCTACATATCAATTAATACTTTTAGAACCAGCTAAAATATGATGGGAAGTTTTTGTTGGGTTTTTGAGCCAAGGTATTGTGCAGCAAAATGACACAAGTTTTAAAATTAATAGTTTTTTCGGGTGTTCTGATAATTTTCCCAATTTCAAACATATAATATGTTCTCTAGTCTAAAACTAATAAGTTGTCAAACTTTGAAGATCAGCTTACAGATTCAATTTGGCATATTCTCAGAACCTTAAAAATCCCACTACCGTGTAATTATTCGTCAGTGTTTCGACCGCTAATTTGATAAAAACATAGAAACATAAAAATGAAAATAATAATTCGAAGATGATGATAAAGTTGAAATGATACCAGCTTTCTCGAAGTGCGCTCACGTCTCAAATTTCATCGGAAGAAAAATGAGAGAAAGAGAAAAACGCAAAAGAAACGGCACCTCCTGTCGCAGGTGTATGATTACCCCGGCAAAACTCCACCAATAACCAACCGTGTGTTTAGGAAGAATTTTTCAATTATTGAGAAATATAGTTTTATTTCTGATTGATCCCCTATTCAACTTCAATACCAAGAAAAACACAAACTTTTCCCAAATTCTCTCTCAAATATCACAAATTTTCTACCATTGATTCAAAGGTGTCAGAGCTGTCACTTATCACAATATTTCATCATGTACATGTCATTTTTGTGTCATATTTGATGGAAGAAGAGTGGAATTGAAGTGAGAAGGTTTGGAGTTGGATTGAACAGGAACAGCACTAAAATATGTTGCACTTTTTGTGCTTGGTTTTCTTTTGGAAAAATGCTGCAGAGGTTCTGGAGAAAGAGAAACAACAACTATAATTTAGTGGGACTAGTGAGCACTTTGGGTTTTTGAAATTGAAAAAAAAAGTTCAGATGTTGAATCTGAAAAATCGTCAAAGAATATATTCCCACTTTGTACGGTACGATTAATTCCAGAAATCAAAGAAAATATTGACGAAAATTAAAAATAAAAACGCAAAATCAGTATTTCTTATGAAGTGTTTTTCGAAGAGTAAGATTTTTTGGAAAAAAATGAAATTAAATTGGAAAACATGCAGAAATACTTGTTTTCTCACGTTAATTGATTCAAACGTGTGGGTTTTATTTTCAAAATTTCACAATCAATTTGGAGTTGGACTCTCTATGTCTAATTCAAAATGGATTATGGGAAACAAAAATATCAACAAAAAAGTACAAAAACTCTATCATATATATATAATGAGAGCAAACATTGTTACTTTTTTGATGAGAATAATGGGCAAAACTGATGATTCACGGAAGTTAGTGAGGGAAAAAAGAGAAGACTTCTGCAGTATACTCACATATACTCATGTGTCATTTTATATAAACAATAGAGAATCAAGAGTGAGAGGAAGATGGAAGATGTCCTGATTATTTTTGAGAAAAATTGAAGATTACTGTCCAGAACACGCCATTCAAATTTTGAAGTGCAAAAGAACAAAAATTTGAAAAAACAATCATTAAATCCATTGGATTTTCAATAACCGACGCTGGAAAATCCAACAAAAAACAATTAGTGAGTTCAGCAGATTTCAAGAATGAGGATAAGTACTACAATAACATGCATTAAATTTTCGCAAATCCGACTTAATAAAATAAATTTATGAAAATCTACGTCTTCCGAACGCACTCAAAAAGTCAAAATGAAAAATCCAGACAATTTATATTTCATACAATTTCGGCTTAACCTGCATAATTAATTTTTTGTAGCTAGTCCAGACAAACCTTCATTATTTATTCATTCTTCATTTATCAATATTTTTGTAGACTTCAAAGATTAATCAAAGCACCCAGATTTGAAAAGGATTTTGAAAAAAGATTCGGAAAGAACTTACATTTTTCAGATGTTCAGAGCAGCTTAGCGTGATCTGCAAAAAAAAAGTTAAGACAGGTATTTTTTTAATAAAAATTAAAGTGAAAGTAGGAAATTAAAGAAAACATTGAGAAAAAATGGCACGAAAATGAATTTCTAAAAATTTGTTCAACAATAAACTTTTTAGGAGGTACATTTTCTTGAAATATGTGTTTTAATTTCAAAAAAATCATAATATTTAAAGACGCGTGATTTCTGAGCAACATTGTTCTTAAAAACTGAAATACGCAAAAATTAATAAAATTGAATAAAAATTAACGCGAATGAATGAATAAAATGTGAAGAAACGCAAATCAAAGCGGCCGGGAAAGGAAAAACCACGCCGTTCTCAATTTCATCTCATTTTATTTTCTCTTTCATTTTTTCCATCGTCATCTCCGCCATTTTTTGGCTGTGTCCCTTTGCTTTCGACAAATTTCACTTTTAATTCTGTTTCTTCTTCCTTTTTTCTTTCTCCTTTTTTTGATCGACCAAAATAGCCGATAACACAAGTTTGCCAACTTTTTTTTCAAAAAAAAAATTCTTGGAGAGAATTAATGATTACTGTAGCATAAATGAAAAATATTTTCAATGATTGAGTAAAAAATGAAATGCGATAGATCTTATCTTATTTTTTTGCTGATTTTTTTCGAGACATGTTTTTCTTGTGATCGCCGTTTTTGTGAAATTGAAAGTTGGCTGTGATCCAGGAGGGAAACATATCGGCAACAATAAAAAAAGCTTCAATTAAGAAAAAAGACAATTTATTGCAAAGTTGTACTGTTCACTTTATTGTCCCAGCAAACTGTTAAGTTAGCAATACATTTCCAAAAATTTTTGATGATCACTTAACAAGCAAATTACTTTATATCTAGATTTCAAAAAAGTTATTGAAGCTATAACTTTAAATAATAGAATAATTTAACATAATCTGAATTCTTGATATTTTTTGTTATTCAAAATGTTAATTTTCACATAACCGTCATAACAGCGCTACATTATTTTTATATCAAATTCGCATTTTGAATTTTTGAATAAATGAGAAGAATTTCAAAGCGCTTATTTTGGATTCAAATTTGATTGTTGTTAGTTTCTTTAAGTCAAAAACTACAACAGCGACAAGTTGACATCTGAGAAATTCGACGTTTATATGTGTAACGTCATCATCAGGGGCAATACTTAGAATAAATATGAGTTATTTTACAAATTATAAGTTACAAATAAAAAAAAACTTAAAATAAAAAAATAGTCAAAAAACCAACATTTAGAAAAATCAATAAAATAAATGCTAAAGTGCGGGTAGGTGGCGTGCTAAAGTGCGGGTAGGTGGAGTGTTGTTAGTACTTTAGGCGAATTTTATTTTTGATTTATTTTTAGTGTGTAATTAAATTTAAATCAGAATTTGAGTTTTTTGAGTGTTAGTTAGAAAGAATGTGGTATTTGTATTGTTCGAAGCCTCGGGATCATATCGGAGAGTTCCTCTTTATTGTTTAATTAAGGATTGTGATGTTTTATCAAAACCCCTTCTCTGATCTTGCGGATGTTAGTATTGCTTTTTTGGTGACAGTAATTACAAAAAATTATCTTTTTTTTTCGCGAGATCAATTCATCAGATAAACACTCTTGATTTTTCAAACGATTCCTTAACAAATCTTCTCTTTCTCCAAACTTCCACTTAATCGAATCAAAAACTTGTCTCAACAGGTCTATGAAATGGCAAAAAAGGATCGATACAGTGAGAGACCTAGAGAAAAACATGACTTTCTCTTTTTTTCTGTCTTAAGTCAAGTCAAGTCAGCTTTTACTTAAGACGATTTTGGTTAGCTATTTCATTTATTATTGATTCATCATGATTTTTTTACTGATTCATATTTTTATTCTTGTAGTTTGTGAAGGTTAGAAATTGAATTTTCGAGAAAGTTAGAAATTTTAATATTCACATTTTGCAGCGCAAGAAAATTTGCCAGTAATTGGAGAATCATATATTCGTTTGCCACCATTATTAGGATCTGATTCATTAGCATGTTTTTCAACGGACACCTGGTTGACAACACCAACCGGCAAAAAACGTATGGATCAAATTGCTGTTGGAGATGAGATTTTGACCTCAAATGCCACTACGGTAAGTCCCTGAAATACATTTGATTATTTTGAATGAGATTGAAAATTGTGAGTTTTTCTATGACACATCAAAGAAGAACCCGCTTGTTCGCAAAATTAGTCATAGAGGTTTTGTTCAATGAGTTGGTTGTGTATAAAAGTGATGGAATGCTGAGAACATTCTATACATGATTTGTCTAAAGATTTCTTCTGAAAAATTCACAAAATTTAATGATGATCTATAGTAAATCTATAGTGTCCATTTTTCAATTTTAACCCGGAACCATTTTCACTAAATTTTTTTTTGAAGAAATTAATTCAATGAACTCAATATTTCCTACGAAATCTTTAATATCAATCATACTTTTCTGCTATCAAGAAAAACAATTGTGTTTTGATGATAATTGAAAAAGTGTTATTCAAAAGTTTGTGTTTTCTGTTCCTATCAAAAACCACATAAAAACTTTTAAAAATCAAAAAAAATTATTAGGGAGCAAAAGAAAAACCCAATACATAAAAAAAATTAACAGACCTTCTACACACCAATAATAATGTGGATGCATCGAGAGCCAGAAGATCGCTACAAATTCCACACCGTAATGACAGAATATGGAAAAATGTTGGCTCTCACCGCAAAACATTTAATCTACCGTAATGAATGTGATGATAGTTATAGCGATTATGTCAAAACTGTTCCGAAACATCGAAATATTGTGTATGCGGAAAATTTGAAAATTGGAGATTGTTTAGTGTTACTTTATAAGGTGAGCAGATAAAGAAAAAACGGCCAAGTTATAAAACTTCGAAGTTTTCAATTTTGTTTCGAAAAATTTAGTTAACATTTTTAAATTCAAAATTTCCAGGGAAAATGGCGTCAACAACGAATTAAACAAATCACAATCACTGAACGAAAAGGAATTTTTGCACCAATCACAGGAAATGGTCGAATTATTGTGAATGATATTGTGGCTTCGTGTTTCAGTGATATCAAACAAGTCAAATTCCAGATGAAATATTTTAAGGTAACCCCAAGTTTTAATTTTTAACTTCCATTATTTTCTTTTGAAAATTCACTGTTTCATGATTTTAGATCGTCTCAACACTTCAATCATTTATGAAATTGTTCGGCGATTTTATCTACAACAAAATCACAATTCCTATTGGAAATTCGCTAGCTTTCGATTTCTTGAAATTAATTATCCCTGGAACATTTCAATAGAACAGAACAGATTTTAAATTTGGAGTATTTATTTATTTTTGGTCATATATAAAAAAATAATATTAACACGTAAAAAAAGAGATCAAAGCAAAACAAAAAAAGTTCCTATAAAATTATTAAATGTTTGAATAATTACCAAATTCGTGTATGCCCAAAATCTCTGGTATTTTTACGTCCGGTTGGGGTGTTCGGGTCAAATTCGCGACGTTCTCCAGGAGCATTATCTTGACGCATCAAATCAGCAACCGAATCATGGCGAGGACGATTACGCTGAAAATTCACATAGGTTTTTTCGGGAAGTCCCTCAAAAATCTATATTCAAAAAAAAATAATTTTCTATTGCACATCAAAATCACATTGTTATACAATTAATCGAACAATAAAATAAACACAATTATTTTATTGTTGATAGATAATGTGAAATTTGGAGAGTGCGTGATTCATCACATAAAAATAATTGCATTCATTTAGAGGAAAGAATATTGTATGATTTGAGAAATTTTATCACTTTCCTAATTTGGAAAACTGACGTATTATTCAGAACTGGAAATCTGAATGCTATTGAAATTTAGACATCGAATCTCAATGAAAACGTCCCCAATGAACTTCTCTCTCTTACCCCAATTGGACTTCCATTTCTGCTCGAAACTCTGCTTGCCGATTGCGAGCTCACACGTGAATTTCTTGCTGTTGGTCTCGGCGTATTGACAACTGTCGGAAGACGGCCATTGAAAAAATCCGGAAACACCACATATTTTGTGGTTTGCCAAACTGCAAATTTTCTTCGTTTATAAGGTTTTCAATATCATTATGACCTGATCGTAAAAAGTGGAAAAAAAACTTACTAGGATCTTCAAGCCCATAATTTTTCAACAAAAATTGTTGAAGTCCAGTAGATGGTCTGTCATATGCACATTGATCTGCTGGGTGATTTTCGGTCTAGAAAGTTCAATAAGTTAATTGTGATAACAAAAGAAATATGAGTACCGTTAACATTTTATTGAATATTTTCAGTCCTGAGCCCTTCCGTTGTTCTTCCGGGACTATGAAAAAATCCAAAACACAAAGTGGTCGATCTTCGAATTGATTGAGTTCCTTGTTTGTGAGATACAATTTTTTGATTCCAACTTTCAAAAATCCGATGAGCAAACTAGAAGAGCTTCTGAAAACAAGAAAATGTCTGATTTGTCTCATCAGAATAGGTAACCCTACATATTTTCATTCTTTTTCCACATCAAATACACGATTTGCTCTTCATCTGAATCGACAACTTTTTCATAAGAAGTGATGACTCTTTTCAATCCTTGATGCTGCAAAAAACGAATTTTCAATTCATGAAATATCATCATTCAAAATGCAACCATTTTTCTTTGTTTTTTTTTTTCTTTCTGAAACTGATGAATGAAAAATGTTCCATACCTTTGCTGACATTTGTCCCAAAACATCAATACTTTTCGCAACTGCCCAATATCTCCTGGGATCGAATCTGAGCAATTGTGCTCTGTCTAATCTCTGGATTTCATCGGTGAAAATTGTGGAAAGATCGAATGCAATTTCCATGCCGGAGTTCTGGGGAAAAATGAAATAAATATTTGGAAATATTGAATGGAAATATTGAATGGAAAAAGTACTTTATGAAAAAAATGAACAGGAGAGGAAAATAAACACAAACTCTGGCGTTGCAAAAAATAAATTGGAAGATCACAAAAGTGCAAACGGTTGCAGATTTTTTGAACGGAATGGTCAATGGTCTATTTTTAATCATCTATTTTTATTATTCTTGAAGAATTGGTAAAATATTGATAAATTTTAGAATCAATTTTTGGATTTTAGTTTACTATAAATAAGTTAAAATAGTTCGGTTTGGGATTTTGATGATTTTCTTCGGGAAATTTATGTAGTTTTTGAGCTCAACAAAGCGTCTCCATAACCCAATTTCACAAATTTCGAAAATTCTTGTTCCTCAAAAATCCCCAATTTTCCAAACCACACAAACCCGAAAAAAAAAGAAAAACTCTCTATTATTTCAGAAAAAGACAATAAAAAAGATAAGATAAGATTGGAATTTTCAGGAAGCCAATTTTTTGATAAAACAAAAACATCTTGGGGTGTTTCAAAAACAGAAAAAAAAGAAAATTGGAACATTGAGAAGAAAAATGACCTTCTTCCGATGAGACATACGAAATGCGCGGAGAGAAATAAATTACACACATTTTAAAACACAATTTTTTATTGGGAAAAATGGAAAAATCCAGAAGGAAAAAATAACGAAAAATAGGAAGAAAAAATTTGTCGTTATGAGTTACGAAATGTTTAAAAAGAAAAAACCGAATCAATACATACATATAAAACACCAAACAGGGCGTGTTTCTCCTCTTTTTCCTCTTTTTCCTCTCCCAGCTTTTTCTTCCCTCATTTCGCGCACCAAATAAAACTAGAAATAGTGTGTATAATTGAGAGCGCACAAATTATTGTTATTATTATGAAATTTTTTCATGCAGAACATAAAGAATAATATACACCTATCGGAAATACTTTTTTCTATTATTTTTTTCCTTATTTAGAGGCTTTTGGAAAACTTTTTTGGTTGGGTGAATTTCAAATCTAGATTTTATTTATGAATATAAATGAGTTAAAAGTCTCTTGGGGAACTCGCGACATTTTCCAAAAAAAAATTCATAGAGTTAGGATAAGTAAGCGGAAAAGAAAGATTTGTAACTGAATACACACATCTGGCACAACAACAAGATGTTTATTAATTTGTTCTATGAATACTTGAGAACCTTCCAAGTGTTTTGCATTGGGATTAATTTGTGCTTATTTTTATGATTCACATAGTTTTGGGTGAAATTGGAAAAGTGTTGGTATAGAAAATAATATTTTGTGTTTCAATCATTATGCTTAATTTTAAAAACTAATTTTGTAGAAAATTTATTAAAAATGCAAGGAAAAATACGGATCGAAAATCAAATCAGTGAAAATACAAAAATCGTTAAATAGTTTTGACTTATTCCAATTTGGCCTGGACGAGAACCCAATTTGAGCGGATTAATTCAGTTTCAGTCGGAAGATCACGGGCTTCCAAATACTTTACTTGCTCAATCATAGCTTCCTTGGTCACATCTTCAATTCTCAAGATTTCAAATCCACAAAGAGCAAGTCTCTGCGGAATCCAGTTCTGGTTGACAGATGAAGCAACTGGCTCCAAACTGATCAATCTCGCTCCAGGCTTCAAAATTGACTAAAAATGATAAAGTTATTTTCGAATAATTTTGAAAAAGATAATTAAACTTACAGAAAGTGCTTTCAACTCTGAATCATTTGCAGTTGAGAACAATTCGGTTGAGAACATTTCATCAAAAATAGCTTGTTTTTGTTGCCAATAGTTAATTGATGATTTCAAGTTCTCGTTCCAACCATAACGAACTCTTTGGTCCTTTTTAGTTGTGGCTTTTGTCAGTGATGTGTGATAAAATTCCGGAACCAATTCAACATTCCAGATATTACAATCAAACTTTTGAGTGAACATATGTGAATTGAAATGAACAAATGGAGACATTCCACGTGGAGTGAACACCAAAATTGTAGATTGTTTCTCGATTTTTAGTTTCGCGAGAACTCTCGAAAAAATTGAGTCGGTCCACATATACTGTTCTCCATCTAATTTCGCATCCCAAATTTTTTGCTCTTCATTCCAGGTGCTGAGTAATTCAACGAGTTTGTTGTTATCGGTTAGCTGGGCATCGATTTCAGCTGGAACTTTTTCGGCCAACCAATGTACTTGTTTCCAATTATTCGATTTATGAATATAAGTTGGCACTGAACAACTCCATTTGATATCAAGTCTCCAGAGTTTATTATTCTCGTCTCGGAAACGAATGGCGCGAATCAACTGCAAAATATCTTAATCAAATTATATCGAATTCACCAGGAAACTTCTTCACAGAAATAGGCAGATTCTCAAAACCGTTTCGTTTAGTCATAAACTCACATTGATATACAACGACGAGTAACGGTAATGCGTTGGTTTTGTTTCGGCAGCATTGTGCATTGATTTTTCTCGAATTTTTTCACAAGAACTCTCGGAACAGCTTTCCCAGATATGAAAAAATCCATTTGGTTTCAACCAACGGATTACGTTTGAAACAAATTCAACAACTTCCGCATCGGTAAGATACATCAACAGCCAGTTGGTGAACACGAAATCCATGCTGAAAAAAAGTTGATAGTTTTCCACCGTTTCTCTTAATGTAGGAAATGGTATTTAAAAAAATGACAATTTTTAAAGTATTTTTTAATTGGGTGAGCGGGCCAACAGGGAAGACATTTCTGTTGAGTCTGCAGACAGTCTACTTTTTGATACCTTTCTTTTCCCAATTTCAGTTCAACTGGATCGCCAATCTGATATTCAATGTTTTTGAAATGAGAATTTCTCTCTCGATTTTTCTCGATAAATGATTCGATGAAATCGGTTGAGATCACTGATCGAGCACTGTTAACAATCACAGAAGTGAATTGACCAATTCCCGCATTGATGTCGGCCACATCTTTTTTGTTCAAATCTGGCAAACTTGCCAAAATGTACTCCCGATCGCTCGATTCAAAATCTTCAGAAACACTGTTCAAGATAGTGATGTTGGTATTGGGCGCGTGGGAATACTTGCCCCAAAACATCTTGAAGTCATTGCGACGAGTGCTTGAATCCATTTTCCAAACTAAAAAAAAGTGAAAAAAAATCGAAAATTTTTTTGGAAAAATAATGATGACAAAAATTGTAAGCCGTCTTTCATTATTTATTTATTTTATTTATTTATTCAATACGTTGTGGGACAACGTGACGACAAGTACAATAATAATAATAATAATAATAATACATGAAAAAGAAATAAAAGAAAGACAGGGCTTACGAGTTATAACCCGGGGGTTGAGAATGCGCTGGTATTTATACTAAATCCGGTTAATTATTTGGTGAATCTGAAATTTGTGAAGAGCACATAGTGAAAACGGCAGACCGAAATGAGCCATTTTGTTACAACAAAAAAAACGATACGAGCGTCTCACTTTTTACACTGTATTTCGCGATTTGTAATGTTTCGTTGATAGGATTTTTCATTTATATGAGCCATGATTGGTTTTTGATAATTTGTATTGTAATAAAGATGAAAACAGTCTGGAAAAAAGGGATTTGATTGAATATTTTAACAATTAAAAATAAGATGAACGTATTCTATAAATCAGATTGGAAAACATTGATAAAGATGATATAGGGGATTGGGAGGTTCTCAAAACAAATTATAAGGCTCTCGTTACAGAAAAAATCGGGCTGCTTTTTTCTTTATAATTTCCAAAACTGTTTTCAAATTATTCTCAACAAACTTTTTTAAGCATCCAACAACTTTCGAATTATCAGATTATTTTTCTCATTTAGAAGTATATAAGATGGTGGGAACCAAAAATTGCATTTGTGGGATGGTGGTCTAAATTTTTAAAAATAATCGTGGATGAGACTCTAAAATGAAAAATCCAGACAATTTTCACTATGAATATTCTGATATTCTCCGAAGACTGTTAACATTTCCACAATATCAACCATAAACTAGTCATTTCACTACTCTTCTTTACATTTCCCGGGATGCAATTTGCAAGACAACATCTGAAAATCATCCTCTAGTTTTTTCACACTCCATAGATTACTATTTTATTACTGACCACAAACCAAGGACTTGACATTCTTCAATCATCTGATAAACACGTTTTTTTTTCTTGTCATGTTTTTTTTCAAAAAATCAATAAATCGGGGGAGAAATGATTCATACATAACAAAACAAATTTTATAAACATACATATATGCATCAAACACTCAATGAAAAAAAGTGGGGTAAAAATGCAAAAACGATTCTATAAAACATGAGTACTCGAGTATTTGATCGCCATAGTTGTGCAAATTATTTTGAAATGAAAGTTGGTAGTATCAAGAAAAAAGGGGAACGGGGGATGATTATCGAAAAAATAAAATAAACTAAATAATTGAGATAAAAAAGCGCAAAAATAGCAATTCTGAGAATACAAAAGAAAGAGCAAATTGGCGGGCCCTCCCCATTCCAGTATGAACATAAAACAGGTCATAACAAGAGATTTACAACTATACATCCGAAGCATCAAAAAATATTGACCTTAAAAGGTAACATTTTTAGATAGAGTTACAGGAAAAGAAACTGGTGGGGGGTAAGGAAAGGGGGAACACAAATAATAAGAAATGAATCACCTAGAAATGAAAAAAATCGGTTATATTATTCACTGGGGTCGAGAGTAAAACGAGAAATTTACATATTCACATCTTCAAAACGACGAGGGCCACGATACTGCTCTTAATTGTGTAATTAACTAATTAATTAATTACATACAGGGAAAAGTTAAGTAAAAATGAGGGGGGGAGCACTACTTATGCTAGATTGATTGTAGATTAAGTTGTAATTGTATTTGGGAAAAAAGCCTAGAACCTATGGTTAAATATTGTTTTGCACTATTGTTTTAGTGAGAACAAAATGAAAAAATTGGAATTCTTGAAGAATGGGAACTTAAATGATGTACATATTAAACTCAACAAAAAGTAATACAATACATACGGATAGTGTTAGATAAGTGTATGTATAAAAAACGTAATAAAAATAATTCGAAAAAAATTAGATACACTATCGTATGACCATTCAACAAGATATTTTACAATAACACTTGTCACAAAGATACAAACACAGCAAATGAGTGAAATGAGCACTAGAAATTTGGAGAGAGGGGTAGCGAGATAGGAAAAAGGGGGTAGCATAAATGACTGAAGGGAGGTTTAGAATTGAACACTTGGTTGATAGTGATTACTGAAATCACCGCCAAGTGGAATATCGTATGGATTTTGTTCAAACATTTGGGCGGCATGATGATTGATGATGCCAGATGGCGCTTGAGTTTGCTTGGCAAAATATTTCTCAAGTTTAACTGAAAATTTTATTATTGTCTCTTAGTTTTCTTAGTTTGTCTTAGTTTCTGATCTAAATGCTTTTTACTCACCAAGAATATGTTTTCCAAAATTATAGCGCCTCAATGTTTGAATATGCGGTTTGATTGTCATGGTGATCTTCTTACGATGTTGTGGATCAGAAACATCAAGCATTTTTTGCACAACATAATTGGCAAATGGATCTTTCATCATTTGCAAAAGTGGTGGCGATGGACTGAAAAAATAATAATATTAATATTTTATGATTTTCCTCTTAAATTAAAAAAAAACATACTCATTGGGAACACCGCAAACACGATCAATCAGCATATTTTTCTGATTATGATGTCCAAATGTTAAGCATTTCTCAATCACATTCGATGCGAATTTATGTTGAGCAAATTTGAGCAAATCGTCAGCAATCTCTTTGACAATTTTGTCCTTATCCTCTTGACCTCCGTGCTCAATAACATGTTGAATCACATAATTTCCATATTGATCCAAAACAAGTTGCTTTAAATGCATATGAAGAGCATCGAGAACAGGACGTTTTTGCTCCTCGGTGCAGTATTCAAGAACACGTTGAATTACGCGACAACCGTATGGGTGAATTGATAGCGAGCAGACCTGAAATATGATAGGTTTTTATAAACATATAATATAATAATAGTATATAGATAAACAATTATTGCAACTTATCATTTAAAAATAGGCTACAATAAAATAAACATTTTTGGGTATACGGATTGTTAAAATTGCATAGTATTTTCTGAATTCAGTTACTGAATTGACTTGTTTTCAAATTTACTACTATTATTTTTAGAACTTACATTGTCACCGTTGGCGGACGAAGTGAAAGCATCTATGATGAATTGTAGACGTTTTGGTTCCACGCGTTCAATAACTTTTTGAATAACATGATTACCATTTTGATCCTTAACACATTTCAACACACATCCTTCCATTTCGGCCAACAACTCATATTGATATTGAACATCAACATATTCCAATGCCTTTTGAATCACTCGACATCCATACATTTGCAACGCGAGTTTCATTACATTGCCCTTGATTGCTCCAACGAGAAGTGTACGTTGTTCAGGTGTTCCGTATTCAAAGAACTTTTGAATAACGTAGTTTCCAAAAACATCAGTCATCAATTCTTCAGCATTGTCAAGCACTGGTTGGAAGATGATTGCTTTGTCACGTTGAGAAGCGCGCTCAAGTTTTTGTTGGATGAATCGCGATCCGTGCTGATCTTTGGCGAACTCGAGAACATTGTTGCGAATGTCGTTGAGTTGAAGATTAGCAGTGCGATTTGATCGGAAATCGTCGAGCAATGCGCTTCGTGGTGCTTGTGGACTGGTTGTTCCTGATGATCTGGAAAAAATGATATGGTTATATTGATTCTAAGAGGAAATAACTGAAATAGTAGTTTTCAAATTTATTTAAAGATAAGGTTGAACTCCTGAACGAGAAAAACTTTTTCTTGAATTCAAGGGCGCAAAATTCAAAAAGGTATAAGCGAGGAAATTTTTCAGGATGGGGATGGATACCAGCCCAGAGTTATTTATGACTACTCATTTTCATTGTTTACTAAATTTTTCAAAAAAGAACTTACGGCACAATTTCCTCATTTCTCCTTCGATTATTTGTTTGCGATGATCCACCACCAAATGTGTTTGACGAGTTATTGGAATTTTGAAGCGGCATATAATTGCGTTGTTGCCAATCTTGATTTCCAATCGATCCGTTGGACAAACTCGCAGTTCCGAAATAATTTGGACTGCTTGGCGGTTGTGGTTGGGCTTGTGATGTTACAGAGTTGAAATACATCTGTTGACCAAATCCATTGTTTGATAACCCGGTGATTGGATCTGAAAAAAATAAATGTTTTTGTTTATAATAATTTTTCCAGTGAAATGCAAGGTCTCAAACTAACCAGAAAATATGGAATTGGTAAGCTCTCTTTGTGGCGATCCACCACCTCCGCCAAAATTCAAATTACCGAACGAATTCGTCAGGCCCAACATTGGTTGAAAGAATGTGGGGCTTGAGGAAAGGCCATTCGATTCATTTGGTCGTCCAGAAATTGGCATTGCTGAAGCATCAGAACCGGTTGGCGCGTATACTGCATTCCACGAGCCACAACCATACGGACCATTCGAACCACCAATCACCAAACCACCCTGCACCAAATATTGTGTCATTTGGAAATCTGGTGTGGATTGTGTCGCAGATTCTGTGGCGTTTGGTATCGGGATTCCAACACTGCTATTATACCCATTTGAATTTTTGTCATCCCTGAAACATAATCAATTGATTTTTGAATGAAATATTTTTAGAAAAAACTTACTTTCTATCATACGATCGATTCATTGAATCACGACGCTGCAAAAAATTATTTATAAATTTTAGCTATTCACTCATATTTGAGCCAACTTACATATCTTCCGTTTTGATAAGATGATGGTGATCCGCAAACATTATCCACCATTTGCACTTGGAATGCGTTGACGGATGGTCCCAACGATTCTGATTTTGGTGACAATTGTGGATCATTGTTCTGTGTTGCTCCACCAACGGAAATTGGTTTAGATACAGCATGTTCTATAAAAATCAATCAATAATTTTAATCCCATTTGTTACAAAAAATAATTATTTTTATATTTTAAAAATCTACTTACCCGAAACCCATGACTGATTATTGAATCCCCAATTTGAATCAGTCATTTATGCTTTGTTTGATCTTCGGAATTCTGGAAATTATCAAATAGAAAGATTACGCGAAAAAATATTATCAACTTTACAAAAAAGAAACTAGACAATAAAAGAGAAAAGAAAGAAAAAGAGGGGTTTTTTGCAATTGGATGATGTAAGTAAGTGCCGCATAAAACTGCATATCACTAGTGTAACGCGGCTGACACGCAGCCATTTCACAATAGGGCGCGTTTACAACGCTTGGCCGTCCCTGTGACACAACAACTGGATGGGAAAAGACGCCGAAAAGTGCAATGCACTTGGAGAGGATAGACAAATAGAGAGAGAATAGACGAGAAAAAGGGGAAGGAAAGAATGGCAAAAAAATGGGAGGGGCTTGGAAAGAAAAAAAAAACGTTGCTTTATTTTGTTTAGGATTTCGAAACTTTATTGGAAAACTGAAATTATTTCACAGAAAATAGTTGATATCGGGTCCGAAATAAATTATTTCGAAGAACATGGAGGAGCTGAGATAAAAGAGGATTCGAGAAAAAAATTGTTTTATTTTTTGAAATAATTAGTTCTGAAAAGTAAAAAAGCCTGCATTTCCAAATAGAGTAAAAATTCTAAAAATTATGAAATCCATGAAACAAAGAAAAACAAACAAACAAAATCAATTTGGAATGATGTTATCTTGAAGTTATATGTTCAATATAAACTGATAACAAATGCACATTACTTTTTCTTTCTCTTATACAATATGGCTATTACTCGAGCCGGTCTCTTTACTCTAGAAACATCAAATCCTAGATTTTACACATTATGCGGCCTGGTTCACATAAAGGTAATATTCTCTCAATATATCAGACAAATTTTATCTGAAACCTTTCAGATCGCTTTTGGATTAATTGTGTTGTTTTTCATGATTATGGAAGCTGCTGAATGGTTGGTTTATATAACAGTTGATGATATTGGAGAGCAAACTACATGGCTCGATTCATTACTTTCAGTAAGATGGGTTCTATGTGTATTAATTTTTATAGATCTTGCGAAATAGTTTTGAATTATTTCACAATTTAACTTCCATGATAGCTCTAGAAAAAACGTAGAACAGAGTTGTGAAATTCAAAACATACCAGATATGAACAATTTCAAATAGACGAAACTTTTGTAATTCGAAAGTTTACATGAATTTTCACAGCTTTCTACTAGTTAAATAGAAAATATTCCCAGCTAATTTTGCGAAATTATGTTCATAATTGATTCGAAGAAAAATTCAAAGAAAAATATAAAATTGGTTTTCCGAAGAATTAAATAATTGTGGGAAAACATACATTGTTTTTGTTTTTGTCTTCCGAAAAAGGAAAATAATAAAATTTGGGGAATAATTTTTAGATTGAAGAACATTAAACTTTTATAATCTCCATTGTCAACCTGGCTAAATAACAATTTTCAATTTTTAACAAATAAATAAATAAAGGGTTGAAACATTTTTGAGAGAATCTTGAAGAATTAAAAATTTTGTCAAAAAATTAGCAGTTTTATGAAAACTCCTAGAACTCTTCTTTTTTTCAGATCTTGCAACTCATCATGGTAATCTGTATGGCTTTGGCATTTGTAACAGAGAATCCATATTTGATCATTCCATTCATTCTTTTCATGTTTTTGACTATCAGCAGTTTATTAATCTGGGTTTTCAAAGCAGTCGTTTGGGTGTTCACCCCATATTCTGCATTCGTTTCAAGTTTGTTCAGATTTGATGAAAATACACCATTGTCGAAAAGAGAAACACGAAGTGAGTTGATTTTGAAAATGAAGGGGGTGAGAATATGAATATGCTGAAAATTATTTGTTTAATATCGTGCTGTGATTGGCAACAACTGAACGCATTTCATGCCTCTAAATTTCTACTTTGCTCAAAATTTTCATCATATAGCTTTTTTGCAGTTCTATTTTTTTTGGCAATGATTGTCACTGCTGTCACCTTCCTATCATCCTGGTTGCATACAGCACTCGTTTGTTATCAATATTTTGAAAGTCGAGCAAATGAGAAGAAACAGAAAAAAGCAAATGCTTCCGCACCATTGGTAAGTTTTTTAAAAACAATAATTTTGAAAGTTTCATCTAAAAATATTTTCAGCCTCAATTAGTGGTCCCTGGAACAAATCAAAAAGTAACGCCAACTTCATTCAACAATCAAAACTTCTCGATTTCTGACGAAGAAGAAGATGAAGATAATAAAGTTTTTGAGCAAAAGAAAAACGGTCCTGATATGGTTTAGTTACTCTTTATTTTTTGGAAATAAAATGACATAAACATCTTTTTTGTTGCACATAAATTTTTATATGATAAGCAAAACGGTTTACGGTGTTTGAAGTATTCTGATTGGTTGACAGGTTTTTTCTTGGAAAATTCGCGAGTAGGTAACTTTTTGTTTATATTATACTTTTTGTAAAGTTCATCTTGCAGTTCCACTTTTGATTTTTGTCCTCACTCTTCAGAGTCGTCAAAGTACTGTAGTTTGCAAATGTGATGTTTGTTCATATTTTTGCTGAAAGACATCATTAAAACATTGCGGCAAAGATCTGAAATTTTTTTCTGAATTTGGTTATTTTTTGTAGTCATTTGCAAAGGGAGGAAATGTGATTGTGTTTTGTGATAAAATCAAACCTACTTCGGGTTTCATGTTTTTTAGTTTGAACAGTTATAGATTCCCTATCACTATTTGAATTTTCGTTATTTTTGGATAACTGTGGACAAGTTAAAATTATCAAAGTCAAGAACTAGTGAACTTCAATTTTGAGTGATAGTATGCTTTTTTCTGTCATAGTTATGACATGAGTTCCGATAGCTTTCTAGTTTTTTCCTATAATTTAACTAACAAAAAAAAAACATTTTGCCCCCCTGAAGTTGCATAAAATATCAAATTGAAAAAAAAAATGTTTTATAATCTGAGGGAGAGCTAAAGTTTTGTATTCGAGATTGTTAAGCAACAATATTCGACATTGTTGACCGACATTTTAAAGTTGTGGCTGTGATAAAACTTTGGCCACGTTCTAGTCATATTTTGAGTGAGTTGTTCACATTAGGATTTTCGGAATAGTCACTTGATATGTTCTTTTTACTGCCGAGTTTGCGGAAAAAGTTAATTGGGTGAGTTCTCTTGTCAGAACACAATAATATTTTTATATTTATTGAATCTGTACTTCAGAAAGATTACTATTTCGAGTATTCGATAGATTTTACATGAGTATGAGTAGATTTTTAAAAAATCGCTATTTTTGACTTGTTTTATGATTCTGAGCGAAGCAAAAAATAGTGAGTTTGATTTTGGAAGTGCATTTGATCAGTTTCAAAAATGGCAACAAAATGAACATTTGAACAAGACTCTGGTTTGAAAATTCTTCTGACATCATCAATAGATGTTTGGGTAGAGATTCGAGTTACTGGTGAAACAGGACTGCATTCATACAAATGGTATAACAAAAACTGCTAAACAAAATTTTGGCAAACCAAATTTGTCAATTTTTGGTATACCATTATCATGAATTTTTTGAAAAATTGATGAGTTTATCGTTCAAACTCGCTAATTTGTTTCAATTTTCTTATTTTGATTCACTGTCAGTTTCGTAAAGATTGATTGAAAAAATTGTTTCGCTTCATAATTTCCCAACGACAGTCTCGTCCATAAAACTTGCTATTTTTCACGTACAATATGTTTTTCATGATGCTTCTTTTGAAACTGATCAAATGCACTTCTAAAATTAAAACCACTATTTTTTGCTTCGATCAGAATCAGAAAAAGAGTCCAAAAGAGTGATTATTCAAACATCTTCCCATTTGAAAAGTCAAATTTCACAAAAAACTGTCAAGTACAGTACACCTTTTGGGACAAACAAACAACTTTTTATGCGACGAGTTTGCAAGTGGGGGCAAATTTCAAATGTTGCGTTTTATGTGTGCTACACAGTGGTTTTTTCGAGATTATTTTCTGTCACATAATTAGTTGGGAAATATTTCGTTCTGAATAACTACTTTTTATATTGAAGTTAATGGTAGCCATAAAAAAAAGAAAGATTTCTGACTCGAGACGTGAGATTAACTTCATTAGACGCAGCGAGATGAACTAGTCTAGAAAGTCCTTCCGAAATTCCTCGGAACGGATCGCTTCTTTATCTTAACGTTTGAAAAGGCGCTATTCTACTTTAGTCAAATTTTTCTGCAAAAAAAATCAAAACTTTTTTGCTAGATTTTAAAGCAACTTTTCTCAAAATAATTTGAACCATAAACAACTTTGAAACTCAAGAAAAGAGGGATGGTCCAGACAAATAACACCAACAAGTTTTTCTTTACAATATTTTTTTTAAGATTGTAGGGTTTCATAAGAAACATAGGTTTTTTTGATATCCGATTAGAAACACCTTCAAAAACTGTAGCCTACAGTTCACTGATCTATTCTGTTATATAGTGGAAAATTCTGAAATTACTCAATGTTTTTGAAAAAATTCTACCATATTATTTGAAAATCAGATTTTCAGTTTTGAGGTGAAGTCGGAACTTCCGAGAATTTGAGTTTATTTTCCTTTTCACGGTCACACTTGTTCAAATGTTTTGACCAAAAATCAGTGGAAAAATTCTAGGCTACAATTTGTTTTCTCCTCCCACGAAAAAAATGCGAAACGACCTCAAAAAGTAATGCCTCTTCTCATTTTCATTCATATTCTTATTCTGATCAAGAAAAAGAGAGATGAGAGATGACCTGATTCCAACCCAATCCATATATTTTTTCGCTTTCAATTTCTCGTTTTCATTTTCACAATTTCCCGCCTCCAGTTCAAACTTTTTTTCTCTTCCTGGTTTTTTTTTAATTCAAGAAAAAGTACATACATCACAATTTTTGTAGATAAGCAACAAATCGACCTTTGAGTTATGAATAACAACGAGACGCGTGAGTTTTTAATATTACACATATTCCAAGTACACTTAACGTAAATACATACTTTTTTTTCTAACAGGAGTTTTGGTAACTGGTGCATCAGGATTTATTGGTACACATTGTGTTGAAGTGCTCTTAAAAAATGGCTATCGAGTTCGCGGAACAGTTCGGAATTTGAATAACAAAGCAAAGGTAATAAATTAATTGCGATTCGGAATAAGGTAGAATTTCTTTTTGATGTTTTGTAATGGAGCCAGGAGCATGTATTTGTGCAACAGGTGCACCTATTATAGGCTTATGTTAAAAATGGGAGGGAAGGGGTATGTAGGTTAGTTGCGCAAAACCGTTTGACACATTTACGTAATAGTAGTATAGCAAAGGGGATAACCATGTATAATAACATTTTGGCAAGATCTGTTTGGGAAGTATTCGAGTTTAGGAGAGGGATCAACATTTGAAAAGGAAATAAAGATTTCTGAAGATATTTTAGGAAATTTCAGACCAGTGAAAAAACATATAAATTTGTAGCTACAATTTTTGTATTGTTAATAGAATTTTGGATATGTTTTTGCGGTATTTTGGTTCAAAATTCCGAATTTCAATATAAAAACAACGAGAGTTAGGGTAAAATTACTGAAACTAATAACTTGTCTTGTTTTTTATCAACCAAATATTTTTGAAAATTAATGATCATAACAATAATTTCAGATTTCAAAAGTTTTAACGTTTCGAGAAATTTTCGCAGGGAAAAGTCCAATATTGATTTGTTACGTTATCAGGTTGTGCGAATACCGTACTCATCTCACACCTTTTTTACTGATCGAATTGAACTTTTTTCTTGATAGTTTTTCTGAATTTTTAGAAAATTATCGAAAATGAAATTTTAATGTCAGAAACATAAAAAATGAAAACTTGATGGTTGATTCATAAATGTTCTCCACTCAAGATGTTTATTAATAATACAAATTACAAGGAGAAGTCAAAAATTACTATGATTGTCAGATTTATGGCTGCCGGAACAAAAATTAAATTTTATTATGGTTTGGAACTCGAAAAGTGGTCTGATTCATGTTGAAATTAAAAAAGAACATTTTTTAAATTAAAGCCAAAGCCAAATTCTCATCCACACATGCTAGAAAATATAACTTTACCTCTTCAAAATCATCATAGAATTTTCAAATTCCTTCACAAAAAATAATATAGTTTCAATACATCATCAAAAATAAATATAAAAAGACGCTAAACTCATGCACAAAACCAAAATGAAAATAAAATATACCACAATCTTCTTTCACTCTAGTCAAAAATTGTCTTATCATCTGTAAGTATCGAAAACCGTATGAAACTAGAGAAAATTTTGCATTAAGCAAAAGATCAGTTTTGAAATAAAAATTGAGAATGAAAAAGAAAATAACTTGTGTAAATATGGAATTTTATCATTGAGAAGTGCAGAATTTATGTTTTTAAATTAAATTTAAAAACGCATGAAATGTAGTTTGTAGTCTAAATTGTAGTCTTTACAATTTTCAAACAAAAGTGTTTTTTTGCAGATTGATCCTCTTCGAAAACTTGACAAAACAAATTTGCTGGAACTTGTTGAAGCAGATCTTCTAGATGAACACTGCTGGAAAAAGTGAAAAAAATTTCAATTTAAGAAGAAAACTTTTTTTTTCAGAGCAATTTCCGGATGTGATTTTGTACTCCACGTCGCTTCTCCTTTTCCAATTATTTCCGATGAGAAATGTATCACAACTGCCGTAGAGGTTGTTCACAATGAAATTTTCTAAAAATATTTTTTTATATCTCTGGTTTTTTAGGGTACATTGAATGTACTTCGAGCGATTGCTGATGATGGGAATGTTCGAAAAGTTGTTTTGACATCCAGTTGTGCCGCGGTTAATGGTAAATAACTACAAACTTTAGAAAATAAGGAAAATAATAATTCAGAGGGTTATAAGCAAGATCGAGTTTTTGATGAAACAACTTGGTCGAATTTGGAATCACCGGATGTTGATTGTTATATTAAAAGTAAAACATTGGCAGAAAAGGCTGCTTGGGAATTTATTGATAATTTGCCAAGTGATAGAAAGTGAGTTAAATTCAAAACGCTTCATTGAAAAAAAATGATATCAAACAAATTCTCCATCATAATCAGGAACGAGAACAATTAGTAGGGAAATGATAAAATCTGATGAAATAAATATTTACAATTATTAAAAAAATGATGCTTTATTAAATCCACCTCAAAAATTATCAGGAATAAATTGAAATTATCCTATTTTTCTAAAGTTCAAAAACCCAAATAAAACTTTGAAAACATATCATCTTGAATCTTTAGATTCCCAATGACGGTCATCAACCCAACACTTGTTTTTGGTCCAGCATATATCACCGAACAAGGAGCAAGCATCACAGTAAGATTTTCAGTAAAAACTCAGCAACCATAATAATTTTCTCTAGTTGATGAGAAAATTCATGAATGGTGAAATGCCAGCAGCTCCACCTTTGAATATGGCAATTGTTGATGTCAGAGATGTTGCTCTTGCACATTTCGAAGCAATGCGACGACCAGAATCAGATGGTGAAAGAATTTTGGTAAGATTATCGCCCAAAGTTTTTTGAAAATTTTTCTCAAAGTTTTCAGGTAACAAATAGTCCCTCAATTTGGTTCATCGATATTGCAAAAATTTTAAGAGAAGAATTCAAAGGAAAAGGATATTGGATTCCGAGATTTCAAGCACCGTTTTTCTTTTGTTGGATATATTCATTGATTGACCCCGAAACCAAAGCTAGTCTGTTCAGATTTTGTCAAGAAGTCAAGTTCGATAACTCGAAAGTTCAAAATTTGCTTGGAATGGAGATGAGAGACAGTAAACAAGCACTTATTGATATGGCACATTCCATGATTGAACTTGGCATAATTCCAAAGAAGTAAGAGAAAAATATAATTAAATCAATACATTGAGTTATATTATGAATAAAGGTTGTTATTTGTTTCGAATTTTTTCAAATCTCAGAACATTCTGTTTTTTTGTGTACAAATTTTGAGCCAATAAAGGTTTAACAAAATAGTATAATTTGAAAAGAGCAATGAAAACGTGCTCAACAAATGAAATAATATCAATTTCACACTCAAATCCTATATTTTGGCTCAAAAATGATGGATTTGGGAAATTGGAATGATGGATTTGGGAAATCTTCCAGAATCACAAATTTTGAGCCCAAAAAGTTGAGTTAGAAGGCACTAGTTCAAGAAAAAATTACAGTGAATTCGTTGAAATGTAAAAAATTTACGATTCCCAGAACTTGAAAAATTCAAAAAATCAGACAAAAACAATTTATCAAATCTCTCAATGCAAAAGTCTAACTCTCTCTGGATCTCTCAAATTATTCAATTGTTTCTTGTAGGAGAATGTTGTATATCCAAGAATTATAGTGATAAGCAACAAAATTGCCAAAATCACAATCATTGTACCTGAAAAAATTGATGAATTAACAAATTTTCCATGAAATTCAGATAAATTACCTGTAATCGTAGGCTCTGTTTTAGTGAGTCCTGTGCATTCATAAACCCAGGTTTCGCGTAATTTCCGGCTATTCTGTAAAAACAAATTTGATGTTATTCGAACCTGAACTATGAAATAATACCTGTGTTATATTTCTCAACTGCTCCAAAGTGCAAATATTATTTGAACATAGTTCTGGTCCGATTGCAACACGTGTTTGATTGAAACCCATGGATAAGAAAAATTTAACAATATGCTCCCCGTTTATTTCATGAAGCTCAATTGATAAACTTCCACCAAAGTTGGGAATATCGCGTGGAGCATTTTTGAATTTCAGTGATTCCCAGATTGCGACGAGATTTGTGTCGTGCTGAAAATAAATTGAAATTGGTTTTGGAACATAAAAATGATGCTGACAAAAACTTACACCGCTGATGAAAATTCCTTTGGTTTTGTTGGTTTTCAAATGATTTTCAAAGAAAGACATTATCAATTCATTATGGTAATCTGAAGAAAAAAAGATAAAAAAATGTCAAATAATTAGATTTCTTTTATAAATAGAAAAAATTACATTTTTCCATAACTTTAACTCTTTTTGAGCTTTTTGAGCGTTTATAAAATTAAGAATTTCTGATTCAGAATTATCATTGAATAAACTTTCAAGTTTAAAACTGCAAGGTTTTTCTAAAGATTTTACAAGTTATACTTATTTCAATCGACTTTTTAAAATTATTTTTTTTGATCATCAAATAATAAAAACTCACATCCAACTTGTTCATTCTGAAACTTGACAATACTATCATGAATAATATAGCTCGCATCGATAATAGCACCTTCCCAACCAATCGCCCATTTTGGAAGTGGAAGTAAATCTGATCCAATAAGAAGTCTAACTTTCAACGAATCAATAACATGGTTCAATAAATTAGGCGTGTTCAATGGATCGCCAGTTTTATTTCGAAGAAGTTTCACAAATTCTGGCATTGTAGCTTCAATATCATTTCCAATTTGTTTATAAGCCTCAGTTCCTGTTACACTGTTTGAATAAACTGGACAATTTTCAAATACTCCAAGTGAAACCCAATCTAATGATTCATCAGTTTCCTGAGCAATTGGAATCCAGTTCAGTTGTGAATTCCATTGTTGTGATTTTGCAGGCGGCCAAAATCCTGCGAAAAATGCTTGCGCTGATGTTGAAGTGCGATTGTCTTTTCCGGTAAATACTTTGAATTCGGGAGGCCTATAAATTGGTCCAAAATGAGATCCATAAATATTTTTCATGTTTTCTCCGAGTGTGAATTCTTGATATAATCCTCTCTGAAAATGTTTATTTGTTGTTTTTTATGTAGTTAACAGTATTTTGCATATTTTATCTTATCTTTGTGACCAAAAATAATAACAATTATGCTTGTTTGTGAAAAACAGAATATTCAAGAAAAGAAGTTTTTATCAGATTTTCATTTTCTCCATCAAAAATAGCAGAATAATGTTATTTTTTTTTTAATTCTGAATATTCATTTTATTTTCGTTTCAAAATATTTTTATGAAAAATAAAAAATAATCACATGATAAAAATCAATTCTGTGATTGGAATTCTGGTTTAAAAAAACTTACATTTGTTAACTCTCCCGGATAAGCAAGCTGTAAATATTTCAAATCAGTCGGATCATCTCCAGGAAAACTCAAATAATGTGTGGGTAATCGTTCACCATGTCGATACCACTAAAATTTTTTCTATAATTACTTTTTCTGAAAAAAATAACTCACAATCTGCACAAATTTCAATGTGCTTTCCACTCTTGGAACACAAAAACAAAATATTCCAAGAAAAAACAAATAAACCTTCAACATATTTTGTGACCACAATGAATAGTCTTATCAAAAAGAGAGCTCTTCAGTATCATTGATGTTTTTATCAACATTTTTCAACCAAAAACACAAAAAGGTATATGAACTGAATTTATTATTTGTTGATGTACAGAAAAAACAGTTAGGAGAGAAAACACTTTTGTTGAGTTGAGGTGGAACGGTTGTATAAAATTGATAATTGAGGTAGTGACAATGCTGTGAGGAAAAATTGAGGAACAAAAAATAAAATATACATGTTTGCCAGCAATTACGAGTTTTTAATTTTGATTAAAAGTATACTATATGACAAGTAATGCAATGGTCAATCCTGAGTTTTGGGTTTGGGGAGATAAGTAAGAATTTGAGTCGATTTTGAGAGATAAAAACATAACAGACAGACAATAAAATATATGGCAGATTTGGGAGAAAAAAAATAAAAAGGTAGATTGGTTGTATTGAAGAACAGATAAAAAACATCACGAGGGTTAAAAAATGACAACTAGATAAGTTTTAAACATCTTTGGTATATATTCTAATTCTTGGACGGATTTAACCAACAACGCTACATTTCCCTGAATCCAATTTGGATACAAATTAAACCGTAAGAGTAGAACAACACGAAGAAAATAGATCGTCAATAAAAAACAGTTGGATTAATTTTCTCTGGTTGAAATTGTGAGGTATTGCTTGATAATGATGGGGGTACAATAAAAAAATAGCAAAAAAAGAAAGACACACATTTAAAGCTAAATAAGAGAAAAATAACAACAAAAAATCGTTGAAGAAAATGGATTCCCGAGGAAAAGGAGTGTTTTTGAAACAAAACAAGTATTCTTCTGAATAACAATCATAATACCAGACAGACTACAATAATGTTTCTATTGTACAACACGTTATAATAAGTTTGTTTGGAGTAGCAGCTGATTAGCTATACATGTAATATAGAGATAATGATCAATGAGTAGAGGGGAGATTTTGTGGAAAACATTTGAGAGGGGAAGGTTTGCAAGAATTTGGCTGAGGGGGAGGGGTAAGTAAGAATGTGAACATCTAAAAGTCTAGACGAAATTCTATAAAAACATAAAAAATGGGTGCATTCAATTGGCATTGGAGCTGGTATCGTGGGAACTTTGTAGCAAATGAATATTAAAATTCAATGAGTCGGTGCCAGTGAAATCACATCGACTACACTTGAAAGGATGTTCATAGCAGTGATGTGACATATGAATATTGTACAATGCTTGATTCTGAAAAAAATCATCGTATTGATAATCGATTCAAATTTGAATTTTTCAAAAAAACTTACGTGATATCCCATTTTACAATGCGGGCAAGTAAAATTATTAAAATTCGATTCGCGTTGTTTTGCCTGCAAAGCGTTGATCGCAAGACAGGCTTGTTGCAACAAGTTGTTCAACGATCCAGACTCAGATGTATTTATCATTAATGGCGCTTCGGATGACATTGAAATTGGGAGGCGGATTTGAGACGATGATGATTCACTATTCTGCTCTGATGGTGGAGAAACAGACGATTCAACGTGAGTTTCAGTGTCTTCTTTATCTGCAATGCTAGCCGAACTGGATGTTGGTGATTTTTCTTTGATTATTTCTTCATCGCAAGATACCGACGAGGCTGAAAATTACAGAAATTGAATTTTAAAAATGATTTAATTGTTATGGTTTGAAAAAAACAAAGATGTAAGTTTACTTGAAAAATTGTTTGAAAAACTATTACTCACTCTTTATGCTGGTTGGACTCGCATGTGCACAGTCGCTCAATTGATCCATTTCTTCATCTTCGTGCCGACTTCCTTCATAATTATCTGGTTCATCTGTAGTATCATCAACTTCCATAGATGTTTCAGTTTCATTTGTATTCGCAGCTGATGGTAAACCTCCAAGAGCTGAGATATTATTATACAACGATGCAAGAGTTGTTGGCACTGATGAATTCATAAAATGACTCATATTGTGTCGCATTTGCTCATCTTGAGATGAACATTGCACTTCACACATCGGACATTTTAATGGAATCGAAGCTGGAGCAGTTAATGTGTTAAGATTTTGAAGAAGAAGAGGATTCAATCCACCATCCATTTGATGATGTTTTAAAAGCATTTGACTAGCATAATTAAGACTTTGACTAGTAACCATTGGGGCAAAATTGAATTGTTGTGGTTGCGTAACAACTGTGGTAGCTGGTTGTTGTTCACTTGTTTTCTTTTCTTGACTTGATGGATTTGCCAAATTTGTTAATGATGGATAAGATTGAATAGTGTCTGAGTTACTCAATGTTGGTGAAGAGTCTCCACCATTCATTTCAATACCATCAGGAACTCTTCGATGATTATACTTTTTCAAGTGAAGTTTGAGGCTATGACAATATTTGGTTGCATATGTGCAATCCATACATCTGAATTGATAATGATTCGTATGACTTTTCATATGCGAATTGAGCATCGATTTGTTGACACAAGTATAAGCACATTTTTTGCATTGGAACGGTTTGCTGCCCAGATGATTACGGTAGTGATACTCCTATAAAACAATGATAAGAAATGGAAAATGCAAATTAATGAGAATGTTAATAAACATACCAAGTGATGTTTGTATTCGGTTACAAAATTACAGTGTTGACAATTGAGTTGTTTCTCATTTGGAATATGTGATCGAGCGTGAAGCCATTGATCATCTTTTGATAAACTTTGATGTCCACATTGCTTACACTTCAAGATTTTAACTTTTCCACTGCTACTTCTTCGTGTTTCACCACCATGTGAATGCTTCTCTGGTGTTTTTGGTTCAGCAGCCATTGCCTGTGAAACCGCACCCAAAGCCGAGGCAAGAGTTAGTCCGCCATCTGGGATGAGATTGGAATTTTCAGTAAACGCTCTGATTTGATCAAGAGCTGATGAAGTCAGTGCACCGCTGGTCAAGGAACTGATAAGACTTGGTGTGTTGTTGATGTCCAATTTCAAGCCAGTTGGGAGAGATGAAGGCATCTAAAGAAAAAATATAAGATTTTTTTGAATTTTTGTTCTGAATTCTGATGAGAAAAATATAAAATACATACCTCTGTGGAAGCCATTGATGCTGCTAATGCTGAAGCTGTTGAGTCAAGAATTGAGGCCATTGTAGTGGTCAAGTTCAACATGAATGAATTCGAGTTCTCTGATTCCTTCTCCGGTGTCATTGGCGAACCAGAAGATCTTGAGCTCTCTACTTTTGGTTCAATTTCCATGCCAGCTTTCAATTGTTCTTCAACAGTGTGTGATTCCCGCATATGTTTCTTTAATCTACCTTCCGTTCGACTAGTATAATCACACATATTACATTGATGATCACCGTGTGTATTCATATGACTGTTATAATGGAACTTTGATGGGCACGAAAACCCACAAATTGGGCAAACTAAAGGTGCAGCTTGACCATTAGTGGGTGGCGGGATATTGACAGGTCCAAGACCTGGTGGTCTACAAAATGATGATGAAGATGTTGTCGGTGGTGCAGGTGTGGCAGCTTCAGCAGGTTTTGGTGAACTAGGTTTCAAAATACTTGGCTCAATATTCGAAAAAGCGCTAGTTCCACTGTGTAAAAATCCCATCAATGGAAATTTTGTCGCCAAATCAGATGTGGTTTCTTTAGCATCTGATGTCTTTGAGTTACCAAATGAAAAATTCAAAAGAAGTTGTGAATCTTCCATACTCGATGATGGTTTCTTCTTATGTTCCACTTCTTCTTCCTCCGGCTCTACCTCTCCTTCATCCATTTTCAGTGATTCATCTTTTTCAGCAGTCTGTTGTTCCTCATCGTGATTGCTAGGTGATTGTGAAGCTGATACATCATATGAATTTGTGTGTTCACTGGATTTTCGTTCATCCTGTAAAAAAGAGAATTGAAAATAGGAAAAAATGTAATTTATTATGTATTGTATTTAAAAATTCAGTAGACAAGATTAATTATGAAACAAAACACTAACCTCTTTTGGACTAACATATTCAGTGTTCGGATGAATTTGTGTCGTCTCATCTGCTTTGACAACAACACTCGCAGCATCAGACTGTCCTGTCATTATTGACGCAGTTAATGACGAATTGCCAAATGTGGCGAGCGGTCGTGCGATTTCAGTGTTCGTTGACCATTTGTCCCATTCGCCTAATTTATTGTTGTTGGCTCCCCAGTCAGCTGGCGCTCGCCATTCTGACCTACAAAAAATAACGGTTTCTCATTAATTTCCCTTTTATGGGTTAAATTAAAAATGGTTTTTTCAAAAAAAAAAACCTACCCAAATAATGGTGGCTTATTGACAATGTTTCCGAATTGTGCTGGAACTGGAAGTCGCCACGTTCCTTGTTGCATCACATGAAATGCTCCCTGTGAGCTATCGGGTTGTACCTAAAATTTTTAATATTGTTTTATGGCAAGGTGAAGTAGAACTTATAGAGAATGGTTTTATCGTAACTTCAAAACAGTGCTTGATTTCAAAAATTGACTACATTTTTTCAGTATTTCTGACCAAACAAGAAGGGATTCTATTCTCTTATTTCATTTGTTCTCATTCCCCACCGTACCCACTTTTTTTCTAGAAAAAACATCTAAGTCAAGTACAAGTCTGGATAGATGTATGGAAAACAAAAGAGCATTTTTTGCAAAGTGTGCACTATTCTCAAAAAATTATTTGAAAAATAGAATGAAGCTAAAAATAAAAAAAACGAGGGCATTCTCTCTTTTTTCGAAAAAAAAACACAACATCCATGAAAAACAAGTCGATGTCTGAACTTTTGAAGTGGAAGCTTGTTTTTTTCCACAATTTTTTTTACTATGGGCAGGATATTTCAGAAATCATGAAGTTAGGAAAACAACTATGGAGAATTTTTTCTTACCTGAATTGGCGCATGTGGTGCTAGATGCGCGATCGAATCGTGAGGCCAGCCGCCTTTTGCTTCTTCAACGTGTGACATTTAACAAACTATACGCATACAGCAAGCTCGACCTAAAGAATTTTCAAAATTTGAATCCAAAATGAATTTTGCAAAAATGAAATCGAGTGAAAAGTGTGATGTAGGAACAAAAAAAAAAGAACGATTGGGCAACATTCGGAATAAAAAAAAAGAAACAGTTGTTTACAAAGATAAGGTCGGGGAGAGGTTGTTGGTAGGCAGGCAGCCAGTCATTTTTTCATCTTCTTCTTTCCACCTCGTCCCGGGGGCATACACTTTTTCTCTCATTCTCTTCAATCGTTCCCGGCGATTTTTTCTCGATAGTAGTAAAAAAAATCGGGGGGACACAGAAAAAATAAAAAAAAAAGAAAAAGAAAGAAAAAACATACACATTGTGACCTTCGGGGTTGGAATGGAAAAGAATCGAATGCGGGGAAAACTATCTGTATACATGTATATGTATATTGAAACCGATTAGGGATAGGGAAAAAACGACTGACTTGAATGAGAAATAAAGGATAGAAGGATTGTACAAAAAAATGTAGGTTACCCATTTTTGTGTTTCACTCACTCACATCAATGAAAAAAACATCAGAGATATCTCTTGGAAAAAAATGTAACAAAAAAATGTGAACAACAACAACAACAAAAAAGAGCTGCTGCAGAACAGCAGAAAATTCTCTCGAGAGCTAAAAGTTCTCTTTTTTCTTGTTGCTGTTTTTTTTCTTTTTCTGGCAAACAAGTAAAAAAAAATACTCAAGGACATAAGAAATTTGAATAAAATAAAATTGAAAGAAAATGAAATGAACACATTCGAAATGAAATTGAAATGGTTGGTGGGGGGATAGAGATGGATCGGCGCCAGATGTTTCTTTTTGACTCTTTTTCCTTTCGTCGTGCGTTTTTTTGTAACATTATGCAAATTCAATGTGTTTTTGTGAAAGAAAAAAATGAATAAAACGCCGGATGTTGGATTTGGAATGGAATAGGGTAAACGAACAAAAAACCCAGGTGTCATATACAAAAGGTGAATGTGCAATAAAAAAAAGGTTTACGATTTTGAGTAAGGATAAAAAATGTTTGAATAGAAAAAAATATCTTGAAGAAAAAAAAAGTGCAAAATAAAAAAAAACACGACCAGTGGTCATTTTTGTTATGCACTGGTGTTCCATCTTTTTTGTTTTTGGGTTGTGCCTGCCCGCGGCTGGTTGCAATCAAAAAAAAGTGGGCGGGGCGAAAAAGGACTGCCTCCCTCCAAAAATCCGTTATTGTTGGCGGAGTAGAAACATAGTGCATCGAGTAAACAAACCATAGAAAATAAGGGGGGAGAGAAAACAGAATTGCATACACAGTAAAAGTGACCACCCTCCTTTTTGCAAAACGCGGAAACAACTGGCGAAATAGTGAGGAGGAATTGGAAACGGAGAGATGCGGACGATGTTCGCGCGATGAGTAAATAGTATGGTGAAGTGAGAGAGTTGGTGAGGGAGAGATATGACCGCCGGGTGGTTATTTGGTTGAACGAGAAAAAAGGACGTTGGAGAAAAAATAAAGAAGAGAGAAGATTGTTTTTCACGTGTGCCACCATCCTTGCCACCCTCGCACCCTCCACCAATTGCATTGTCTATCAACCGGCTGGTCACTAGACCCTCCCGGGTTTTATCATGTTTTTGTGTTGGTCACTTGCTACGGGGGGTCACACAGCAAATATGGGGGGAATAAAAAAGAAAAACGAAAAAATAAGAAGAGAACAGACATTTATGTATATATATATATATACAGAAAAATATAAATATACGATAAAAGTTTTTTCAGAGGGTTTTTATAGGGGCCAAAAGTAAACAGAATTAATTAAATCTCTTAAATACGGTCAAATTTAGGGCAGAGGCCTCAAAGCATCACCAAAAAAATTAAAGTTCTCATGATTCATCTAATTAAATTTTTTGCCTTCCATCTTATCCATTTTAAAATTAAGAAAAATAAAGGCAAAAAAACACCTCCAGTAAAAAATCAAAGGGCGGAGCTACCGTAGTCTATTTTGAAATGACTAAGGCGCCCAAAAAACGCCACACACACACAAAATAGTGTGAAATGTTCAGAGGGCTATGCAAATGAGAGTGGTGGTGGCGATTTTTGCACGCGATCCGATCCCCCTAAATCTTAATGTTTTGCATTTGCCTTATGGCGAGGCAAAAAAAAAGAGACAAAAAATTTGGGGAAAAAATTTCGCCCTTATTTTGGTTCATTATTCATTTTTCGGGGGACATGCACAAAATTCAATTTCCCTCATTTTTATAATAAATAAGGAAGGTCGAAAGAAGCCGCAATTAAAGGATTAACGATTTTTTTCTTCGAAAAACAAAAGTTTTCATTTTCTTACGTTTTTTTCTACGCAACCAAATCAACACATAGAAAAAAACTTGCGAAAAACTGAATTTCTTACATTCGATACATAGATCTTAAGTTTTTTTCTCTCCTCTTTCAATGAAAAATAATCTGTTTTAATTAGATGTACCGTAGTACACTCCTAATTATATTTAAAAAAAAAAGAAAAAAAAGAATGAATAGATAAAAAATAATTGGGAACTTGAATAATTGCTTGTTAGTCAAAAATAGCTCAAAAGAAATTTCGAATGAAAAAAATCCAAATTAAATTGGAAAAAAAGAAAAAAAAAAAGAAGAAGAAAAAGAAAAATGTTGAAAAACGTTCAAAAAAGGTCATAAACCGAGCGAAGGCCATTTCACGAACAAATGACAAAATGCAGCTTTTTTGAAAAATGAATGAATGAATGAAAGAGAGCGCGTTTTGAAGGTCACTTTCAAAAAAAAAAGAACGAAGATAACTTTCTTTTTATGTTTCAAACAACAAAATCTCCAACATAACAACAACAAAAAAATAATTTGCACTTTTTCTCCAAAAAAACTGCTTTTTTCTACCGTAATTCGCACTTTTTAACCGTAAATATTTACAAAATATGTGTGTATGTTTTCTGTAAAACAGCCATTTTTTATTGGCGAGTGAGTCGCAAAAACAAAACAGAATGTTGTTCTAAAAAAAGATGTGTTTTTTTTTGTTGAGAAAAAGGGAAAGATATTTCGAAACATGTTTGGTGATTCAGAAGAAAAAAAAAAAGAAAAAGAAGAAGCTGTCAGAAAATAGATGTTCCGAATTAGCATTTCGCAATTTTTTCGAGCGAGAGAATTGGGGGATTATGAATTTTTTTTGGTGACTAAAAGGGGAAACGTCCTGAAAATACTCCAGCTATTTTCGACGATTTTTGAACAAAAGAGATGAAATAATTTCAAATCAGAATAGTGTGGATATTTTGTTAAATTTATAGATTTTTTGAAAAATTAAGAAAGTTTTTGAGAATTGAAAAACTTTCTGGAAATGTTCAGAAATTATTAAAAATTCACTTTTTTTAATGTTCAGCATGTTTCACTCATGGGTTTTCACAAACAGAACGGAAATTAAACCCAAAAACATTCTTGAAATGAAAACTTTGAACTTAAAATCCAGACGAACTTTAAGTTTTGTTTTTTTTTGATAATTTTTTTGCAAAAAAGTTTTTATCCTGAACTTTTGATACAATATTTCTCTCGAGACATTTGATCTTCTCTAAAAAATCTCAAACAAATATATTTGACCTACAGATGTTTTTTATACTTTTCTTTTTCCAAATGCATTTTTGCATATTTGGTAACCAATAATTATTCTCTGAATTTTTCTTCTAAAAAACGATCCCAAACTAGAGGTACTGAAAGTTTGTTAAATAACCCAAGCCTGGAACTACTATCCATGAACTATTTTCAAATGTTTCATTCAGTCATTTTTACCGGTTATTTTCCCAAACAATAAACGCTATTATAATACCACTACTACTAATAAAAATAATATATTTATTTATTTTGTTTTTCTTTTTTCTTTCTTCTCATTTTTCTTCCTTCTCGAAACAATTTTTGATTGTTGACTAGGGCAAAACAAGTGCGCGTTCGCTAGTCGGCAAACGGCTGTCGTGCCTGGCAGTAACTGGTCACTCTTCACTCTCGCTTGACCAGTCGGTCGTAGAAAAACGAACGCATAGACAAGATATGATGATGAAAAGGGCACACAAAAATCTCTCTCCCCCTTTTTTCACCCTCCTTCACCCAACAAAAACACCACCCTTGTTTTTTCCCATAGAAAAATGAAGAGAGAGAGAGAGAGAGGGAAAAATGACCACCCGGTAAACAACAACTCGTCCTGGCACTGACCGCCACGCACGTGATTAGAGAGTGTGTAATTAGTGGAGGGTAGTAGAGAGCGGTCAGCTGTGCGGACGTTCTGCGTCTCGTTCGTTTTTTGTTGTCTTTTTTATTTTTCTTCTTTTTTTTGGCTGCATTTGCCAAAGGGCGTGTCAATTTTTGCGCGTATTTTTCTTCTTTTTCTTTTTGCCTCGTCAACAACAACAACATGGTTGCAAAAAGTGCGAACGGTGTTCGTTATGAAAAATGAGGGGTTTTTTGAGGGACAACATTTTTTGGTAGAATTTTTCTGTGATCAAAGATGGAATTGTATTACAAAGCATGACTTTTGATAATGGACAATCAGTGGATGATACATGAAACATTTTTGAACTATATGGAAATTTGTAATCTGAAATACAGTCTGTGGTTCTGAAAAAAATATTTAAAAATTTTAAAAACTGAAAAACTTTTTATGTACATTATTTCTATGTTTGATTCGAAATAGATATATTAAAGAGAAAATGGAGTTCGAAAATGGAGTTTTTCAGAAAATCGGCCTGGGCCATGATAAGAAATGGGGAATTTTGAATGAAGAAACTCTGGATAATTATCGGATTCAGGAATTTAGAAGAAAATAAGTTCAAAATTTAGAAACCAGGATTTTTCACCGATTCAAAAGAGTAAAACATTGCAAATCTGAGAAATGAATTTTGAAATCATAGGTTTTTTTTCAAGAAAAAACACAAAAATGGGATTTTCACAACTAAATAAAAGTGTTTGGATACTGTAAACAATGAGTTTTCTGAAAAAAAGGAATATTAGAAATTAAAATTAATTTTCAACGAGCCTGTAAAACAAAATGTTTGAACTATTTTCATGTAATCAATATTGTTATTATGATTTTGTAATTTTTTTTCAAAATTTTCGAAACAAAACATATGATGCTTTGTGAAGTTCTGTGAAACCTTCAAAAATTATCTTAAAATAATAATTCAGAAAATATTAACAAAGTTCGGTTTTTCCACAATTGAATTATTTCTTAACTGTAATGAGTGTTATTTTTTCATGAGTTGACGTATTTGTTTCAGAGCATGTTTTCATTTGCTATATTCTCACATCTCATGACAATAAAACTCCTGAAATTGATTCAAAAAATTAAAATATTCATTTACAGGTTTCTCGATATTAACAAAATAACAATTTCTATGTATCACGGGATCAATCGGATATCAATCTTGATGTTTTGTCGGAATTTTAAACAATATCATCACTATTGCCGAATTTTGATTCGATACTGAAATTGATTGTGTTTTCGCTGTTCGTGATTGTCGATTTGGTCAATATGTGCTTTCTCACGCAATATTCGATGGTATTCGTAGACAAATTCATGAATATGGTAATTTGAAAGAAGCACAAAAGGACAAATAATCAAATTATTGATATGTGTTATATATTTCTTCACATCGGATAGTTAATGTTCACTTATTCTATTTTTCATGATTATTTTGTTCCACCATTGTAATTTTCATTATTTTATAAAATTTATGATATTTTTAGAATAGCCTTGATCTCAAATTTTCTCAAGTAACGTTTTTTTTTTTTTTTTTTTGAAGATTTAAAAATGGATCGCAAGCTTCACAACGATTCTGATGGAATTTTGGGAACTCATGTTACTTGGGAAGATATTGAAAATGTTCTTATAGTTAATTTGGGAACTGATGCCAAATTTGGTCTGAACAAAAAAGCGACAAATATTGGTGAAATGAAAGTAGGCTATTTCTCTTTAAATTTCAGGATCAAAACAGAGCTCTGTAAACACATTTTTCAGGGGTTTATGTCAAAAATGATTCTCATTGAACCAGATTGGTGCCCAGAATCTTCGAAACTTCCTCAAAAATTTGCACTAAAAATCAGCTCGAGTCAATCAATCATAAATTTCTCAAAATCGATCAAAACTGATGATGAAAATGGACTAACGCAAGTAAAAATTAAGCGATTTGATGAATTATGTCAGCATTTTCACAACCGAGAAGTAGACGCATATCAATTTTTCACTAAAAATCAAGACAAGATTGACTTTCCGATTTTGAAAAGCTATGGATCTCAAAAATTCTGCCAAGAAAATTTTCTGAAAGCATTTTTAATTTTTGAATATGTGGAAAATTTTAAAAGCTTACACCGTTATGAAAATCTGGAAATAGAACAAATCCTACCAATTGTTAAAGGAATTGCTGAATTTTCAGCTCTAGCTGAACTTTCACCCAAAATTGATCTACAATTCGCTGGAAATTGTGAAATTTTTCAACAATTGTTAACTGAATTTGTTGATCAAAATTCGTCGTGTCAATTGTTTCGCGAAAGTTTTCCGGAAAATATGAGAAATCAAGTTGAACAATTGATTGAAGTGTATCAATTTTTGATGGCACCAGAGCAGGTTTTCAAAATATCAAGAATTTCAAAGTTTTTTGGTGAGTTCAAAATAATATATGACATAACGAAAGTTAATTTTATTTCAGGTTACTTTCCTCAACTGGTTCATGGTGATTTATGGCCTGGAAATTTGCTATTTTCAAAAACATCAATGGAACTACGAGCAATTATTGACTTTCAAACAATCAGTTTTGGTTCTCCTGCTCAAGATTTGACACGATTGTTTATTTCAACCTTATCAGCAAAAACCCGTCGTGGATATATCGATTATCTTTTAGAACATTACTACAAACATTTTGTTGCAAATCTCAAAGAAATTCCGTATACTTTGAAGCAGTTAAAATTGAGCTATCAATTGATGTTCCCAACAATGGGTTTAATGCTTTTACCAGGAATTTTGAGATTTTCGAGTTTATCTCCAGATTTGTCTTTGAAGAAAGCAATTGATATTATGAACGATGTTTTGGAAATTCATTGTAAAAATTTGGATGAATTCAGGGAATTTTTCAATTGATTAATGTTTTCTGGTTTTTTATGATTATTTTATGTTAATTCAGACCAATTTTGTGTTCCGCGTTGTTATGAAATGAAGATGTTTTTTATTCATTCCAGGAGGTATTCTTCAGATCAAAACTGTATGTAATTAAGAAAAACGCATAATTATAGTTTGAACTGTTATTCAAAACACTCGATTCAAAAATCTCCCAAAAACTCATTCTTACCACAAAACGAAAAAGTATGTGGTTGAAAGAGATATTATTTTTATGAATTAAACGTATGGAGTTCATTTTTAGATTAATGAGAATAATTCTTAATTAATTTCATGCTGTTTATAAATTTATGAATTTTCTATAAGAGTTTACAGATCACAATTATTTTTGTCTCTCGAGATTTAATTGTTTATACTGAATCCCGAAAAACAAACCTATGTAAAACAGAACTTTTCGATATTCGACATTCGTTCAAATAAAATCAATAGCAATTAATCATCCAGTTGACTCAAACAAAACCTCGAAGGAAAAAGCGCGAAAAACATAGTCGAATAGACAAAGGTGCCATTTTGGTTTCCTATCCTTCTCTTTTCATATATTTCTTTTTTTCTTGTTTCACATTGTTGTTGTATGTATTGGATAGATTTTTAATTTTAAAATCACCTAATTTCACTAACTTATGTTAGAACTTATATGATTCGGAATCAAAAGTAACGTGCATAAGGTCACGATATATTGTGAGTACAGTTCTGGAGCTCTGATGTTTGACACACATTTTAAATGTTGCTATTTCTTACTATTCAGAAAAGTGCTCACATTGGTTGAGTGCATTTTGTGACTTCGAGATTGGAATTGTGATCGTAGACTTTTTTTTTAGAAAAAATCAAAAACTGTTGCCACAAAAAACAGTGTTGCAATGTATTTCATAATCCAATCCAATGAAAACGGTGCAATAAAAAAAGGATAGAATTAGGCGGAAAAGAAATGGTACCACATGTCTTGTTTCATTTCGATTAGTCATATCTTCAATCTGTCGTTTTTAAAACGTTGAAATACTTTATTTGATTTCATTATAATAGTTTTGTGCTTTTTTGTTAATGATTACAATATATTTGTTGGCTCATTTCTTTCAAAATGAAAGTGAAAATATTCAACGATTATCTTTTTATGTTAGTAACAATAAGATATCTTAATTTAATTTCAGCCCAAAATGGCTGATATTTATCCTGAAATGATATGTTTCATTTGCAATCAAGCACTGGGTTATGTGGAACCTAAATCAGGATTTCGAAAATGCGATCACTATTTTCATCAAATTTGTCTCAACGATTATATAAAGGTAACTTTTTGAATCTGAAATCTTGGAGGGAAAATATTCGATGGTCTATGTATAGAACGAGAACAAATTTCAGGAAACTATTGACAACGATGAAGTGCCACATTGTCCAAAATGTCGTGAACCTGGAAACTGTGTGGATACTATCATTCAAAATCAAAATGGAGAATTTTGTAGAACTTCTCGAAAATCATACGACGGTTGTCCAGAAGAAGATTACATTTCTAATAATAATTGCACAGTTTGTCAGCTGAATTGGAATACGGAATTCATTTTGAGTTGTACAAATTGCCAAACTTCGACACACTCATATTGCTTGGAACCATCCATCAAAGTTCGTCCAGATACTTTTTGGGAATGCAAAGCATGTTGGATCAAAGTGAGTTTTTTTAACGAAGTTATTTATTTTTTTATTTATTCATGTTAGCTTGAAAGATTTATCATTTTTTCAGGATTTCACAACAGTTGATGACGTTTTGCGTATTGATCTTCCTAAACATTTTGGATTGTTTGAATTTGAAAAAAACGATGATTGGTTAACTGTTCGTGAACCAGAATTTTTAACGGGGCAAGTTGTTGCAATTATTGGATCGGGACCATGTGGTTTAGCAGCAGCCGTGCAACTTCACAATCGAGGACATTTCGTTCAAGTTTATGAGAAGAACGAAAAATGTGGAGGATTATTGCGAGAAGGATTTCTCACCATGAAAACCTCTCGAATGTCTGTTGATCAGCATTTAGAAAAATTGCGAAGATGCGGAATCAGATTTTCCTGCAACGAAAAGATTGGCGATACTGAATACGAAAATCTTCTCAAAAATTATGATGCAGTGTTAATTTGCACTGGCGCTCGAATTATTCACCGTTCTCTTCCAACTAATATTGATAATACAATTGGTATATGTTCGAAAGGACATTTTGTCCGCAGTTCAAGACCAGGTGATGATCAATTCAAAGAATGGAATCCAGTTGGGAAGCGTATTATATTTATTACCAGCGATAAAAGAAATGAGAATTATTTGATTACTCGTGTATTAAAGGTAAAACGTTTAGTAGAAAAATATTTTAATAAAAATTATTTCAGGGGTGCAAAAGTCTTCATGTGTTCGAAATTCTTCCACAACCTAAAAAAGGGCAAATAATCGAATCCGAGTTTTCATGGCCCGATTGGCCATGTTTTATCAAAAAAGAAAAAGACACTATAGTGTTCACTAAAACACGTAAAGGAATGATTAGAGAGCCAACAATCAAACGTATTTTGACCAGCACAAACTCGGATGGCAACAAAGTTTTCAATGGAATCGAAACTATCTACGTGTCACGAGATCAATCGGATGTCAATCTTGACTCGAGTTTTGTCGAAATTCCAGAAACACTCCGTGTTATCGAAGCTGATTATTGTATTGTTACTGAAGAATGTATGGAACTATCGGAATTTTACCAACCAGATTTCAATTTGAATTATGACACATCCAGAAATATCATCACTTGTGACAATTTTTTCATTGGAATTGAGAATGCTTTTGCGGCTGGAGATTGTCGACTTGGTCAATCTGTGCTTTCTTATGCAATTTTGGATGGTATTCGTGCTGCGAGACAAGTTCATGAATTTGTTCAACATTTTTATGACGAAGATGTTATGAGATCAGTTCATGAAGAAGACAAAGACGAAGAATTTTCCGTTTGATATATTTTGTATTCCGCATCAATCGATAATTCTTTTTTTGTTTTTTGGTTTGTAATTTTTCCACGTATTTTTTTACCACGTTCAATTATTTTTTTTTTTCATCCATATTCATAAGAGTTTGGTTTTTTCGAATATTTCTCATTTTAAAAGTAATAAAACCTTCTGAAAACTTAAAATTGATTCTAACCAATAAGTGCTAAGAATCTCTCATTGAGGCCGAAACCTATTAACAAAAGAGCAAAAATTAATGGGAAAATGAAAATCATCGTAGATGTGTTGAGAAACGAACTCACAGCCAACACTTTTCATTTTTTTAAAACTTAACAGCTGCCAAAAAATGAATATAAAAGACCACTTCTCATTCATTTTGGTGAAAAATGAAGTTTCTAAATGTTCTGCTAGCTCTTATAGTATTTTCTATCAATCCTGGACAATCATCAGACCTTGGTTCTTTTGAAGATTATGCTGGAGAGAATGAAAACGATAATTTGAGAGAATGTTTTTTCCAAGGAAAAATGGCTGCTGGAGCAAAGTTTAGAAGATTAGATCCATTATCCGCTGAAGAACTCGATAGAGCTGAAGACGCAATCAGAGAATGTGTCAATAAAATGGCAAAAATCAACAAAAAAGTAGATGATGTCAAAGATGCTTTGAGTGATGAAATTTTCCAAGCCTTTCAATTCTTTGAGGTTCAAAATATTCCATGCAGTTTGAAATTGAAAAGCAGAAAATCCTGGGATGACCAAGAAAGCAAAAACTGCTTTATATCAACAGGCATGAGACCAGGTGATTATTTTTGCAATGATAGTTGGGGAAAAGATGGATGTATGATTGATATTTGGAGAAAAGAATGTTCAGATAAATTGGTTGAGGGAATGCAGAGATTTTTGCCATTTATGCAGAAAAAACAAAAGGAATGTGTGGATTTGTTTTCTAATAAACTCGGAAACATTCTATAATTGTTTGTTAATAAACTAGTTTTCAATCAGAAGTGAGTTTGTTTGTTTCAGGTGAAAAATTTAACTTTCTCAACAGCTATTCGCAAAATAGGCAGACAATATGGAATAGGACCATCAAAAGGCAGACAATTTGTCTGAACTCATAAACTTTCACTCATTAGTGAATGTTTTCTAGAACATTATTTCCTCATTTTTCATCTCAACAAAATCCATTAATCGGAAACTCTGGAGTTCTAGCCTAAACAGATTTGACACTAAAAATTTTATGGAAAAATTTGTTGTTTCACTCTATCTGAAAATAAATCTGTGAAAACCAAATTTAAAAACACATTTTTTTAATCACCAGTTTATTATTAGTACACCGCAAAATAAGAAAATACATTTTAACCAAAAATAATACGCTTAAAGTCGTTATATACAAAAATACAAATAATATATTAAAGCAAAAGTTTAAGACCAAGTGGATCTCTTGGGTCCAAGCTCATGAGGAACGCCTCAGTAACAACAGGCTCGTCTTCTTTTTGTTGTTTAACCAGCTTCTTTGGCACCACATTTTGCAAGTTATCTTCTTTCTTCTCGGCAACCTTTTTTCTCCGCCAAATTTTGGGAACTGCCGCGTCGTTTGAAGGTTCTTCCCACAGCATTTTGTGCGACAATATTTTGCAGATTATTAGAATTCACAATATTTTGCAAAACTACAGGATTTTCCAAGGGAACAGCATTTTTTGTTGCAGAATTCGTGGATTTGCTGCGTTTCTGAAAAATAGAAAATGATTTATGAATTTCAAAAATATAAATAATAAAAAACTAACCGAGTTTTGAGAATTCGCATTTTCCTTGTTGTCTCCGGATCTTTTTCGCTTGACAATCTTTCCTTGAATCATATTTGGTGCAATATTTGCATCGGCCCAATCATTCAACAATCGTTGTTTTGCAGAAATATATGGAGCATTAGAATGAGTTGGAATTTGTTGGAAGTTAGCATTTGAAACGGCTGCCATTTTTATTTCTGGAAAAAAATAAGATTGGAATGTAGGTAACTAAAGAAAAAAGCAAGAAACGGAAGAATAATTATACATAATTCAATAAAAGGTAAGAAAAAAAACTTGAAAATGAAAAAAACTGTAACATTGCAAATGTTACAGTTGTGATTTTTAGTTGCTCCACGCTTTTCTTTTATACGAAAAGTAAGCTCCGCCCAAATCCAAATCAGGCAAGATCCGCCCATATTATCCTATCACAGGAAACAGGTGTCATATGGGAAAGTGTGAAAGCCATAAATGTGTCAAATGTACAGGAAAAAGAGAACATGTGTAAAAAGAAACAACCGAAAATATGAGAAAATTGGAAATGGGAAGAATAGAATATGGGAAGTTTGCTTAAGGATGATTTTTTTTTAAATATTTGAACTATCGTAAACAGTCATTCGATATATTGTGTAAATTTAAAAGAAATCCAGAATTCTAACAACTGAAATTTAGTTTCACTGCAATGAATTTGACAACTAAAACTTTGGTTAACTTTCTGGAGAAAAATATAAGAAGGCAAAAGATTTTCAAAATAAAAGTATGCATTTTTGTAAATATTTTTTCTCTGATTTTAAATATGGATGTTGAGCTGAATTTTAGAAAGACAAAAATATACTCTTTTATTTTTTGCTCTGTGATTACACCGTAAACAAAATCAACAATTGAACCGATTCACAGCTTCGGAGTAGACTTTTTCATAAAATTCACAACAACCTGATTTATTTTCAAACTTTTCCCATATTACCTTTTTCCCGGTTCCACTTTCCCATATTGTCGGATGTTTTTTTGTACACGTGCTATCTATTTCCTACACAACTCACACATTTTTGGTTATCTGACACTAATGTGTGATCACAACAGATGTTTGATTTTGGAAACCTAAACATGTGTGAAAATAAACATTTCCTTTGAACAAAAACGACCCGACAATATGATAAACAAAACAATGGGAAGGATTGAAAAAATATTGAAAAGTCTAAAAATGAAAAATTTCGTGTTGAAATTAGATTCGTGTTTCATAAAATAGACGCTTGAAAAATATTTGCGGAAGTTTACAAATTGTCGCGGGGGTTTCTTAAATTTTGCAGAAAATTGAGTTTTTATAACTTTTCCATACCATAATTTTGATTTTTGAAAATCTATCTTTTTTTGAAATAAGTTTCTGACATTAGGTTTTTGAATGAACGACAATTTTTTCAGAATGTGATTCATATTTTAGAATGCATTTTTGAGGTTATTTTTTTCAGTTACACGGGGATGAAATGTATTGCTAGAATGGGTCGGATTTGTCTCAAGATTCAGGAAACTTAAATTGGTATTGGTCCTTTGAGTAAATTCATCACAGCTTTTTCGTTTTGAAAATTTGGCTGAGAAGAAGGTTGTCGAGAGAGAACAAGAACATTTGCAAATTGAGTTCCGAACAAAACGAGGATGAACCTGTTGTCTTCGTTGTTGAATTGTTGAATTGTTCTCATCTGCTCTCAAATTTTGGTTTAATTGTTCGATTTGTTTTTTTTTGTTTATATATTTTTGATGAGAGTTGAACGAAAGTTTTGCAATTACTAACTGAAAAAACGTCATTCAAATTTAATCTTAAAACTGTTTCGAATTACTTTACCTAACTTTTTTTCGAACTTTTCCCCATTACCAATTTGTCATATTGTTGGATGACTTTTGTTCTCGTGTACTTATTTTTCACACATTTTTGTTGATCTGACACTAATGTGTTATCAAAACAGATGTTTGACTTTGAAAACCTAAAAATGTGTGAAAAAACATTTCGTTTGATCAGAGCGCAAACTACAATATTAGAAATATCAAAATGGGGAGAATAAAAAACTCTGGAAATAAGAAAGTTTGAAAATATTGTGTTAAAAAAATGAACTCGTGTTGTGAAAATTGGATTTCAATTCAGAGATTTTGGTTAGGTCTGAAACCCTTTTAAAATCCCTCCTTCCCACCAAAAAACCTTTTTTTGTTCAAGCTTCAGACAATGAAACCTTCTTTGATTTTAAAAAATCCATTCTTTAATTTACAACTTTTTTTATTTGATTTCCTGAATTATGTAGTAGAAAAAGGAACAAATGATCTACAAAGAATGTAATTGTAATTCGAGTTTTTGATTAGTATGCTCTGGAACAACTACAGTAGTGGCCAAAAAGCTATCACCTTTTTATTTTTTGCTATAAATCACTTCAACTATATCGGATTGGGCTCAAATTTTTTTCTGAGCTATGTGGGTGACTAATGAATATATTTCGAAGGTATTTGTCGCAAAAAATTTTTTTGATGGATCTTCAGATCATTGAAACTGATTTTCAGGAATTTGAATATTTTCACTTTTTTTCAAAACTGACCGGAAAACTTCGAATTGGCGGAAAATGATAGAATTACTCAATTTCTGTCATAGTAGACATATCTGGCTTTCGATTCCGACCCTCATCTTGAATATTCATTCATTGTGAGATCTATTCTGATGGTTTCAGTGAGACCATCTAGAAAATCTGAAATGTCTCAATAAATCGATTTTCATGACTGATTATCGTCGGATATTCAATAAAACACTTCAATTTGATCATTTACTATCTTGAACATCATTTTTGGATCGAATTCCGATGTTTTCGGTGTGATTTTGACATTGATGGAATTCCGATCTTTGTCTAGATCTTCCATTCTAGACCATCAAGGACATCAAACATTGATTTTAGTGATGAATTTTATGCTCAAAGTGTTCAGGAATACGTTTGACAAACAATCTCACCTCTACAAACATCAGTGGTCTCATATGAGATCATTGAAAACAAAACTGCATTTTTGTGAAGAAAACCAATGGAAAACACTATGAATTTGAGAACTTTTTATTCAACGGTGCTTATTTCAAGAGTTAGGCTCAGCGACCTTGAAGTCTATTGTGGCACATAAACAGAATCACATTGATAACAAAATACAACATCAAAATCAATGTTTGATGTCCTTGATGGTCTAGAATGGAAGATCTAGACAAAGATCGGAATTCCATCAATGTCAAAATCACACCGAAAACATCGGAATTCGATCCAAAAATGATGTTTAAGATAGAAAATGATCAAATTGAAGTGTTTTATTGAAAATCCGACGATAATCAGTCATGAAAATCGATTTATTGAGACATTTCAGATTTTCTAGATGGTCTCACTGAAACCATCAGAATAGATCTCACAATGAATGAATATTCAAGATGAGGGTCGGAATCGAAAGCCAGATATGTCTACTATGACAGCAATTGAGTAATTCTATCATTTTCCGCCAATTCGAAGTTTTCCGGTCAGTTTTGAAAAAAAGTGAAAATATTCAAATTCCTGAAAATCAGTTTCAATGATCTGAAGATCCATCAAAAAAATTTTTTGCGACAAATACGTTCGAAATATATTCATTAGTCACCCACATAGCTCAGAAAAAAATTTGAGCCCAATCCGATATAGTTGAAGTGATTTATAGCAAAAAATAAAAAGGTGATAGCTTTTTGGCCACTACTGTATAACGCCAAGGACTTGTGAAAAATTTGGAAAAAATACAAAAAGAATGGGCCGAACCGGGGATTGAACCCGGGACCTCTCGCACCCAAAGCGAGAATCATACCACTAGACCATTCGGCCACACTTTTCATAGCATCGAATGTTGGACACTTTCTCGCCTCGCTCTGCATATATCGTGAGAGAAAAAGGAAAAAATTCTCTATAGGAAAATAAGAGAAGAATTTCGCAATAGCATTTTTCTTTATGTTAAAAAAATTTCTTGGAATAATTCATTTCCAGAAAACAGTCGTGTCATATTTTTTTTCAAATAAAAAATGACTACCAAGGTTTCCCAGAAACAATATTTTGGAAAAAAAACTGCGATATTTTTATCACTGCTAGTAAAAATAGTGTGAAAACAGCAAAAATATAAGAAGAAAAATGAAATTATCACACGTTAATTCTATTTTTATATGTGGATTGTTATCTTAACAGCTGTAATCAAATTAGTACAGTTTTATCAGTCATTATCAAATTAGTCTGAGATGGTATCAGAGGGTATCGTATTAGGTTTCGGTCTGCAAAAAGGTTTATGATACTGTTTTTCGAGACTTTATTACTTTTTTTCATGATTTGGAAGATAACAAAAGATGAGAATGATTAGTTGGAAAATGAAATTGGAACTGTTTTCATGTGTGATAAGAGTATCTTTTTTTGTCTGGAAAAAATTAATTGTTGAAGTAGTTAATAAATTTAAAGTTCGAATTTTAAAATAAAAACCCGATCAATCACATATCAGATTGAAAACAAGCATGATGTCTCAAACTTTTCAAAACCTTTTCTGGTAGATGTTTTTCTCTAGATATTTCAGCTTCGCTTCAAATTTCGTCGACTTAGTCAGGCCGGTGGGAAAGTTTTGGGGTTGTAAATTACACGAACGGTGTGTTTGATGACAACCAGTATTGAAATGTTGCAACCCGGAGAAGTTTTCAAAATTGAATTGCTTTCTTACGGCTATTTCACAAATGAGTTTTGGTCAAAGTTCCAAATTATTTCGAAAGTTACATTCACCTGAAAATTTAGCATCCAATTAGTTTTTCGAAGTCTTCATGAATTTTCCAATAAATTTTTTGTTTTCATACTGATAATTTGAGAACACTCAAGACTTAGTTGAAAAAAAAATCTATGCAGGAAAATTTTTCTCAATTAGTTACAACTGAATATTTTTTATATAATGTTATGCTAATCAATGCAGAAGGAGTAAATTATTTATAAAGTCCGGTAGGTTTGTCATGGGTCAGTTTTTTCAAGATCACGGTGAGTTCTATACCTGGAATCCGAATACCTGTAATTCTGTTTTTTTCAATATTACCTGGATTTTAGAATACTTTCATGTAACTGTTATGTATATTCTTATTTTTCTCGTCTTTCAAACGAAAAATTATGTTTTTCTCACCTTCAGACTCGTTCTAGAATAATTCATAACCGTCTCGTGACTAATTCTTTTTACTCCATTTTATTTTAAATTTCGACCAAAAACTTTTGAGCAGACCACTCGAAAGTCGGGACTCTTCTCCATCTGACACGTTCAATTAAGTGCTAATTGAACATTCAAAAACTCATTCATTCATTCATTCATTCACTAACTCACTCATTGAAAATAAAAATAAAAAGGAGAAGAAGAAGACGGAAAAATTGGATTCGCCAAATTTTTGTCGAAGCTTTCTTCCCATTTCAAATTAAATGAGGAACTATTTTTTGTTTTTCCTTGTTCAAACAAAAATTTCAGCCTGTGTTCACCAAACAAAAAATATATTAAAAGATAATCTTTTTCATTTTGCTTTCATTTTTTTTCAAAAAAAAGCAAAGCCAAGAAAAAAATAACTTTGACTTGACTATAGATATGTGTTGAAAAAAGTGTCACAAAAATGATGTGTTTTTCTTTTTTTTTCTCCATCTTCTGCTTCTTCAGTTTCTTTTTTCTTTTTCTCAGTCATTCAGTCAGTCAGTCTTCTTTTTTCGTGTCCTCTTTTCGCCTTTTCTCAACAACGGATAATGATATCTTCGGCTAGGCTCTGATGCTCTTTTTTCGTGGGTTTATTCAATTTTGTTTTGTGTATATGTGTTGTCTTGGTCATCTACTTGACTTTGATCAGGATATTTTTTGCTTTTTTTGAAGATCTGAAATTTTGCACTTCAGAGTTTCGTTTTCATGAACATTCGGCTAGGGGATAATTGAAAATTTCGGGTTTCCATAATCACTCAACTGGATAATTGAGTTAATTAAATATCTTTGGTTGAGCCAAGAATATTTTCTTGACCGAGTTAGAAAATTATGTATTCCGAGTAAGTTTGTATAAAAAATAAAAGCAGTTTTTGACAAAAGATTACTCCTGAAAAATTGTGGAGTGTCAGATGAAATATTCATGATAGTCCGGCCCCTGCTTAAAAGCGGTTATCAGATATACTTTTTTCAATATAATATTAATAAAATTAACTCAAACATTCAGATTCTGCTTTTTTTCTTGTTTCCAAGTCAAGTTTTGAAATTAAAAGTATTCATTTCAAATTTGCATTCCAATTTCACCCAATTTTTTCCTGAATTTTTTTTGAATCGAACAAAAATAAATTATTTTACAGTTCCACTCACTATTAGAAGTTTTCGAAAAACTGATTATTTTTCAAAATTAAAAATTTGCCAGGAGACTAAAAATATAATGGAAAAGAGATATTCCTAATCTTAAAACTTCTCTCGGAATAAATCTAATTCCACATTCATTTTCATTGAAATTCACTAATCCTATTTATATTTATCAGAAACTACTAACTAAAAAAGCACCTGTTTGGCAGCCAACATTTCCAGAAAAAATTCAATTTATAAGAAAAAATAAATAAAATTCATTTCATTTTAGATCTGGTATTAGTAGTAGTAGTAGTATTTGTCTCATTCGGCATTTAGTTTTCTTTTTCATTTTATTGTTTGCCGGGAAAAAAAGGCAACGAATCGAATCAAAAAGTCATAACATATGCGTGAAAGGAAACGAAAGGCGAAGAAAAGGAGAGGCAAAAGCGAAACGGAGCAAGAAAGAGCTGCTAAAATAGGCCAGCGAAAAAAACGTAACAATTTCTTTTTTTGTGTTGCTCCCCCCACTCTTACACACCTTTATTGTGTCACCCCTCATTGTTGCCGTTTTTTTGTTCCGCCAAAAAATTCTCTTTTCTTCATCTTTTTGTTCATTTTTCATGTTATTTATGAGAAAATGTGCAAATTACTATTTTCGTTTTTTATGCCGAAAAATTGACAATTTTTGCATCTGGATTTATTTTTAATTTCAGATTTTTTGGAGTTTGGATGTTACGTCATTCATGAAAACTCATAAATTTTATGAGTTCTTTCAGTAGTTTGAAATCTCGATGTTTTTTCTCCGAGAGAAGTTTCTCCTTTTTTTGTTCTCATTTTCAATTATAAAAACACTTTAGACTTTTAAAAAACATGTTATCAAATGTCACTGGCTGTTTTCAAACTTTCATATTTTTATACATTGATGATTTCTCTGAAGTTCTTAATGTTGTCCAGTTTGAACATTTGTGAGTTTTAGAGATTGCGAGCTCTAGAATTTTAAAATTGTGATTGATATTTTTGCTCAATAAAATTTCAGCACTCATCTGATTTTTTAAAATTAATTTTTTACCCAAACCCTCTCAAAATCCCCACCTAAAAACGTTCTACCAAAAAATTCCAATTTCAATTTCCCTCCCCCAGTTTTTCACTTTTTCATTTTCCATCTACCAGGTGTGCTCTTCATTTTATATGTATTGTGCACGCACTCTTCCCACTCTAACCTCATTTTTCCTATTTTTTTTGGTTGCTCATTTGAAACAACTCAAGTTAGAGTGTAGCAACAACATTTTTAAGCGACCGGATGTGTTGTAAGGGCCCCTCAATTTTTCTTTTGTCCTTTTTTTCTGCCCCTGTGCAATCTTTTTGCGAACTGAACATGGGGAAAAACAAAATTAGTTTGATTATTATTTATTTTTTCTCGAAAGTGCAAAAAATCTCATTTCCTTTTCCCAATCTCCATTTTCCACTTTTCATTTTATTTTATTATTAAAAAAATGAAATATGAGAAAAAAAAAACTATTTTCTCAGAACTTGCTTCAAAGTTTCGAATTCGAAAAAATGTTGAACTTTTTCTTCCAAAATTGAAATTAATTTCCAATAATAGCATTTAAAAAAAATGAATTCGAAAAAACAAAAAATCATCCCTTGAATCAAACAATCGAGCAAAAATATATGTAAAAAATGCACTTCGAGTAATATGATCCGATTGTTTTCTCTCTATGTCTATGGCTCAATCGGGTTTCATTTTGCTTTTAAAATGAACCTTTTTTCTTTCTTTATTTCTCTTTCCTCGTTTATGCTCCGAGAGCACAAAAATTATTATTATTTTTTCATTTCCAAATTTTTTGCAGATTAAATGAATAATGTATAATACATCAACTTGATGGGTGCAGTTATTTCACAGCTTGGATTTAATCAGCCTTTTCTTCTCGCGTTAGCAGTGTTAGTTTCAATTAATTGGATATCTTAATGAGTCTAAACAAGTTTGTTTCAGAATAGTTATTCTACTTGGTTTAACCGTCGTCGTCGTCGGCTCCGATTCAAACGATACAATGATCTGTGATTATACCCCAATTGTACGTTTTTCCGAACCTAAATCTGAAAAAGTTTAACAAATAATAATTTGCAGCCTCAAATTCGAATATTACCATCGGCCGCTACTTCCTCCCAGCGTCCGCGCAAAAACATGTAATTTATTATCTCAAAATTATGTATTTACGAAAATTATTTTTCAAAATGAATAAATAAATATTTTTATTTCATAAATATATATTATTATCATAATCAAAATTAATTATTATTAGTATTTTTCTGCATTTCGCATTTATTTATTTTCTGCTACCGACTAGTTGTTGTTTATTATGGGGTGTTGGGGGGAAAAAGCGGGAAGAAAGACATTTTCTGAAAAATTGACCTACATGTGTTTTTTCAAATATATGACGGGGAATAAATATATTTTGAAAAAGAAGAAAAAAAAGAGAAAAAAGGTTTCTCTGACTGAAAATACATTATTTAGGGAATTCTACAATTGTATGGGAGTATGTGGATGGATTGAAGACCATTTCGAGTTGATCGCTTTCGACGCGGCGACCATAGTAGCGATTTTTGAGAATCTGAAAAAACGGATAGGTTTGAGTTATATTAAAAGTTTCATTGTCAGATCACAGATTTTTAATCTGATCTTACGAATACTTTTTGCAAAAGAATTGAACACTGAAATTGTCAAAATTGAAATTAAAACTATAAAGAGATCTCAAAAATTAATTTTCAGATTTTTGAAAATTGTATATAAGTCCTGAAATATGATTTTTGTGTTATGTTACTTTAAAATCATCATAACTTTTTTGAACTGATCAAAAATCCAACTCTGTTCTTAACTCACATATAAAAACTTTCTGAATTTCGAACGATCACGTTCATCTCGTTTACGCTGAATCGCCATAACATTATCTGCTTCTTGGGTGACTCGAGCAGATCCACCAAAATGTTGAACATCGATTTCAGTATCACCGTCAGTTTTGCGTGGATGAACAACCATAGTAATGTGAATTTGAAGTTGGGTTGCCAATTGTCGCATAAATCCAACAAAGCGGTCCTAGAAAGTTATCTAAGTTTTGTTTTAGCTGTTTCTCAAGTTTGACTAACTTGAAGGTGGAATCTATCAAGTCCACTGGATTTCTCATCAGCCATCATTCCTTGGTTAATCAAAAACTGCAAATTATCAATGACAACGTGTTGAATTCCACTATTTTCCACATGAATACGAATAGCTCGTGCAATATCATTTATCGATTTTTCCATAAATTCTTCCGAATCAAGCATTGTCAATGAAGTGCTTGATCTTTCGAATCTATCCAGCCATGAATTGATAGAATTGCTGTATTCAACACGATGAAGGGGAAGCCTAAAATCCCTGGACCACGTTAGAAAATTGTTAAAGAGGGTTTGTGGACAAATCTAGATACATAAACTCAAAACATTGAGCTCTATACGAAAATAGTGTCTGTGAATTTTCCTTTTCAAAAATTAGTGCTGCAACTTCACAAAATCTGATTGTGAAAACCTTTTTTGCAGCCATTTTTTTCCGTTCAGCTCAATTTACCTTATCGGTAAAAAAACCATGCAAAGCACACAAAAACAGAAACAGCCTCCTCGCGCACAACAAAAAAAGCATGGGGAAAATCAAAAAAACACAAGCGATTCACATTTGATCTACTACTGGCTCTTACTTGATGCCATTTTTATAGGAATTTGTGCGCGCGAGGCTTCGAAGATGCGAAGGACTGCAGACAAAAAATCAAAAAAAGTTAGTTAACTATGAAACAGCAAAAAATTAACATCAAAATTGAAAAATAAACACAATTTGCTTACCCAGCGAATTGTACCAGCATCCAGTGCAAAATCTTTTTCTCTGGCATTTCAAAACTGCAAAACAATGTGCGAATCTGAAAAGTATTGATTGTTTTCTGATGTTATCCTGATTCAGAAGCTTACTCCTTGGGTGAATAAATCAAGTGAATATTCACAAAGGAAAGTGGTTTTTCCGTTTCCAGTTCCTCCAGTAAGCACAGTCATCTCTCCAGGTCGAAGACCACCCAAGTATTTATTCAAAACTGCGTAGCGTTTCCATTGTCCAAATCCAACAATTCGATTTGTTGTGTTCAACAAATCCGATCGAATTCCTTCACGCATATCAAGATCAGTCATTGAGCGGAATCCACGTTCTCTCATTCGGACTACAGAATTTGACAATGAGTTGCGAATTAATCTGTGTTCGCCATTTCTGACCAATTCAATTGGACGTTCTTCGTTTCTGAATTTTGAAAGTTTGGTGATTGAGGTTTTTTGTGTTTATTGAACATTACTTTAGAGTTTCAAACATTTGTGAACTTTGTGGAGACTTGAAGGAGTATTTATTTTTTTTTTGAAAATTTTTTTTTGCAAAATTCCCCTAACTCACTTCACCAACAAACACTTCAAAGTATTCAATGCACTTCCCCAATCTTTAGCATAGCTAACATGTTGAACTGGGAACCAAATATAAATCTTGTCAAACTCCTCCAAATAAGGAATCACAAGTGGATCCAACATTTCACCATGCGGCAAAGCAAACACCAATGCTTTAGTTGCCTCATAGATTGCAAGAGCATCACGTTCATTAGTGGTAATTACAACACTACGATCCGAAAGTGTTGCCATATGAAGTCCAAAGATTCCACTGAATTTTTGACGGACTCTGAAAAATGGAAGTATGAGGAATGTTTTTTTCATAGGTAATTGTTACTTACGATGTTTCATCCGGCAATGGATAATTCTCTTTTTCCATTCTCTCCCCAACTTTTCTTATCAACTTCAAACCCATTGGAATTCGAAGTCGTGACGTCATTCCACGATATCTTGGGAATAAAATAGCTGGTTGACCATAAGTATCAGTATGAACTCGAACATTGAATCTTGAAAGAGTTTCAAATGAGATATTCTCAATTCCCAACATTCCTTGAAGTTGTTTGAAAATTGTGAAATCGTGGCCGGACAAATCAGTGATGTCCAAACTATTATCCCAGTAACGCTGAAAAAATGGTTTAATGTTAACATGCTCAATTTTTTTTAAATTTCAATTAATTTTTTCCTTCCGGTTTCAAAATGAGTTAGCTAAACTAACCTTGATGTCTGGATCTGGCGGAGCTGTCATAACTTCAGATGAGTCCAAACGTGGTGATGGTGCGTCAGAACTAGAAAAAAAAACAGAAATTTCAATTTGTTTTCATTGAAACTTTGAAAATCAGAAATCTCTTTGGACATCAATTATTTGGAAACACATAAACAAAAACTCAATACTTTCTACACAACAAATTACAATATAAAAACCTGATATCAAAATCTCCAATCTGATTCATTGATTCCGATGCTGAAACTCCGCGGCTTGTACGAGGCGCCTGAATTTTTCGATTTCTTCGTCGGCGATGTGTGAATAATTCGTCGTCAGAATAATCGAATGGCGCTTCGTCGGGACTTGGTAGAATTGTATAGTCATCCATATCAATCCATGATACGGCTTTCGAATTTAATGGCGGCAAAAATCCACTACTTGAAGATGAGGTAGCTGTGAGAAATTAGGAGAGAGTCAAAAATAGATAAGAAATACATGGATACAGAATAGTAAAACTTATTTTAGTATAATGATAATGTGATTCTAAGAAGTTCAGGATTTCCGAAAACTGATTCAGACAATCTATGTATGTTTCAAAAAATGTCTCGTGGTTCGACATTGTCAAACAAAAATTTCTATTTTTACTTTTGAGCTAGAATTATTACAGTTCACAAAGGTTCAAATAAAAATAGTTTTCAAACTTTAAAAATTTCGCTGAAAAAAATGTCTTGTATGCTAATTCATTGAACCACATTTCAGTGAGTTCTTTTTTTTAATATCTATCACAACAAATGACTTATGACAGTCGTAATCTACATCTCCTAAAAATTCCTTCAAAAACGTTAACTCACAATTGTTAGAGCTCCTAACTAGCATAGATCACAGTTCTTATTTTCCTTATTCTTATTTTCAAACCCAGACTGAAAATTTCATAAATTCTCTGGAAAAAAGCCAGTCAAGCGTATTCGAAACGTTCGTTTGAAAATAAGAAAAAAAATAGTAAGAAAAAAACTGGTAGGGAAAATAAACAAAATTACCAAGAAGGCAAAGGTGAAGTTTGTATTGTGTTGTGTGTTTTCGAAAACACACTCACCAAAAAATAATTGTTCCAAAATTATTCTTTGTGCAATTCCTTTACTCGGCCCCAACATTACTATTTTACACAAAAAATGTCATATTTCTATGAAAAAGGAAGTCGGGGGAAATTTTTGTTGAAAAAACTTACCAAAGTTATTGCAAACAGGTTCTTCATCAGAGCTAGAATAAACAGGCCACGATTTTTTATTATTAATTCTAGATTTCGAACGTGGCATGTCAGATTTCAATGAAAAAAGTGAGAATTTCAAAAGAGGCGTGTGCTCCAGAGAATAAATTGACCTCCCCCGTTTGCTCTCCTCCTCCAACTCGAGCTCCAAACTTTCTTTTTCTCAAGCCTTTTTTTCGTCTTCTTATTCCAGAGCAAATTATAATGGAGCAACGGTGCGCGAATAAAAAACGGCGGAGCACAAAGGCGTACACCTCACTTTTCAGAGCAATAATCCTATGGTTGAGTGGAGCCAACAAATGCTCTTAAATAGAAGGGAAAACTTTTTTTAGGAGATTACAATAAAAATGAAAGCTATCTTGGAGTGGAGGTCTATTGTTGGCTGGTATAAAAAATGGAGGTGGAGGAGGAGGAGGAAATAACGTTTTTAGACGGCTGAAGTTTGTTTGTCTATTGTTTCGATTTGGATTTTCTGGGGGTTGAAGACGTTTTTTGAACATTTATGGTCAGAAAAGTTCTATTGTTTCAACAAACGTCATCGATGCTGTCAGACAAAATTCTATTTTAATAAATGTGAACACACGGTTTTTGCTAAGGACGACTCAGAATGAGGATTCTTATAAGATTACATATTTGACCTCAATGGAATTTTGAATTTGAAAAACAAATAAAAAACGATTCTTCTGAAAATTTTCAAAAATTTTCAAGTTTTGACATTAAAGGGTGAAAGAGTTGATATTTCATCAAAAAAATGACTGAAATTCAGAATCAACACGAAACAAATCAACAACACAAAATATTTCCCCTTTCTCTTATTTTTTGCATTAAAATTCTCAAATAATCGTTAACTTGGTGTGTGTATGTGAATCTTCAGATAAAAAGCTTAATTTAAGTAATGTATGAATTATTTAAAAAATGATACCGCAGTTTTGATTTCGAAATCATTTAACTTTGTTGAACGAAAATATGATTCAGATTTGATTGGTAATATCAGATTAGTGAAAACGGTAAACAGTTATTCATTTACATTATGAACTAGTTCCAAAAAAACCTTCCAATTCCGTAGAAAAAAAGATCAAACTTATAATGTCGGGATAACAATTGTGGTATCAAAAATGTTACATTTATGATGAGTATGAATCAAATATAAGTGTGAGATAAACTAGAACACACTTGGCTTAGGCCTAAAGTTTCAGAAACAGAACTTGGTTTTGATTGTGTAACATTTATCGAAATCCTTCAAAAATCCCCAAACACCCCTCAATTCTTACATTTAGAAAAAGAAAACTTAATATTTTAGAACATTTACAATGTGCACTGAACCAAAACATCTAAACCCACCACAATGCACTTATCAACATAAAATGTTCCAAGAAAAAATGAAAATGGACCTTCCGGTCGGTCACTAAAACAAAAGGTCACTAGAAACATGCATCCAGAAATCCTAAAAAGCAGAAAATACAAAAATCCATTCTCAATTTAGATGAAAACATGACAAGACAAGACAAGACATTCTTTGGCTATTAACCAAACAAAAGGACGGCTTCCGGAAGTCACTTATAGTCTTTTTTTCTTTTTCTCTTTGCTTTTTTTTCAAAAAAATGGAAACATTTTACACAATACATACTATAATAAAAGAGAGTAAAATTTGAAAAAAGGTCAAGAAACATACTCATCTCGGAATTTTCCAACAGCTTTGCCTTTTTTGCGATTGTCGATTTTGTCCATCAGATTGAGATAGCTCACACGATCATAGAGATCCGAATCGAGCTGAAAATTTCTTGCAATTTACAATTTCGGGCTTTTTGCAACAAAAAAATCAGGTTACCTCTTCTTCCATCGCCATCGTGAGTTGATTTTTCCAAGTCAGCGCTGAAATTTGAACTAGATATTTTTTTGGAAAATTGAATCTCGAAATTCGAAAATAGTTAAGAATACTTCAAAACAAGTTAGTTTAATAAAAAAATACGGAAAAAAAGTTTGAAATCTCTCAATCGAGAAAAAATTGTGCCCACCTTGAATGTACTCAAAACATGTATATAAAAATTCAACCAAAGTTTATTTATGTTTGAAAAAATTCTATGTTGCGAAAAAATTGTTTAGAGCAAAGCATAACTGCAAAAAATTCGGGTATAAAATAAATGGTTAGGGCGGGCACGGTGGGCGGAATTTATTCCCCCTTCTCCCCACCAAAGAGGAAGCGCTCGATTACTTTTCGGTAACAAAACCTATAGACATATGAAAAAAGTATACATATTATGTATATATATCACGGAAGGAAATGTACAACTCTTGAAGAAGACATGATTGGACACTTATATTATTCTGTTGAAAAATGTATACATATTGTTCTAGTGAGGCGGTATTATAAATTTTCTTCCCGTTGATTTAGCACGAATTGGTTTGGGTTTGGCTATTTATGTATTTATATGAATGTGCTTTGGTTTTGGGTTTTTGTTTCGAATCGCAAGAATGTGCACTTTTTTAGGACTACTGTAGGTGTAATATGTTCTCATAGCAAGAAAGAGTATAGTCAGAATTCTACATAGAGTTCTAACCATTCTAGCGTTCCGAATGGTGAGGCATGAATCTTTTGTCAATTAACTAATTAGATGTATTGTACAAAACCTCCGACTTTGAATTGGGACTTGTCTATGTTGGGAATAGATACAAAAACAAATTTTTCGCCAGTTCGAATGTGATAAAATGTGTGAGATATATTTATGGAGTACTGTATGCGAGAATTGGAATTAATGAAACAATTTCAAAAATAATGCAATTTCGCAAAACAAATGATTGTTTAGATGCCGTAACTCAGGTAATCCAAATTTTCACCAGAAAATATTCATTTAACTAGTTTTCAAACATTTCGAACAAGTTTTCTTCATAATCCGAGAGCAACTTTTTCATGTGTTCACGTGCCAGACACTATATGTATTTTCAATGACGAACTCTATTTTCTTCAAGTTCACCCCGATTTCCGGTCAAAATTCAAGCGTGAAAAAAGTTGAAATTCTATCTTGACCTTCTTGAATCATCAAACATAACGGTTCAGTTGCAATAACATCCGGTCTATTTTTTCAAAATGATTTTATTAAACTTTACATAAACCCGTGAAAAATTTGATCATACATAAAATAACTTTTTAAGGGAATATTGGAGGCGAATCATTGAGTTATTTGATTCAGACTCCAATTCCTAAAAGATGCATACATTGTTTCAATCCGGGTTTTCCGTCGTTCTCATCGCTGTCATCTTTTCTGTTCTCACCATCATCAACATTTCCATAATAATCATCAGAATCGGAAGTTGAAGTCTTCGATAATGGTTTAGTTTTGGTTTCATCCACTTGATCGTAATAATCAGTATCTCTACGGACTCTTTTAATTGAATTATCGATCTTAAAATTCGAAATTTGTACGTGATTCGTCATAACTTTCCCAATAATCTCACCTTCATAAAATTAAACTTATCCGTCGAGAAAAATATGCCATTATCCAATGCAGGCGCCAAAATTGGTGGAAGAACAAAAGATGGAACAGTTTTGAACGCCAATGGTGGCGCTGTCGGAATTGTTGGTGGTGCGAAAAATGGGATTGGCGTCCAACTTGACACCAAATCATTACGAATTTCAAGTGGTTGGAGGGCTTCTGAAAATGTTTCATTAAAAAATGTTGTTCAGATTTTTTTGTTAGAAAAACAAATTTAGAACTCACTGGTCTCTGGATTGCTGCTCCAGGTTTTTGAGCCTTGAGTATTAGAAACAGCCATAATTGGAGCAGGTGCATGACTATCATAATCAGCCCAAGATTTCTAAAAGTTAATATGTTATATTTCGAGAATAAACGCAATTGGTTCTCACCATATTCTCATCATCTTGTGGTGTTTGAGGATCATCCATCATTGGTTCAGGAATACTTGGAGGCTGAGTTGTTGTTTCTTGTTGAACCGCCATTCCTGGTTTTTTGGCTTCCGGTTTTTCAATTGTCGTTATAAAGTTGTCAATGAGTTGGAAACCTTTGGAGAATAATTTGCATTGAGAATCATCCATTCCTTGTTCTTTACAAACTGCTTGGACGGCTTCGGGGTTACTGGAAAAATTTACATAGGGTGCGGAAAGTACAAAAAGTAACTGAACTATTCTTTTGTTTCATTTTGCTTTAAAACATTTCTTAAAAACTATCCACTGTTCAAGTTTTCTAATCTGAAAATTATGTTGACCCCAAAAAATTTCACATTTCTCTTCAACCAGTTTCTAGTTTCATTTTCTAGAACCAACCTGCTAATCGTTTTGCGAAGTTTTGCATCTCCCAAAACTTGAGCCGCTAATTGGATGTTTCCGAACGTCGGATCTTTTTTGAAGTTTTCAGCAGAACAGGAAATAAAGCGGCAAATTCTGAATTTTTTCATATTTTTGGGGCAAAGATCGAATTTACAAACCCGCTATTCCCTTGACAAAGTGGTAGATCATCCAAAACCGTTTTTGTATGTGATCCAAGAATTGATGTGTCCCTCATGTCATCTTGAGTTGGTAGTTCCTGAAAATTTTTGTTTTGATGATTTATTCCATGAAAGTGAAAAAAGTTACCGGTTTTCGAAGCATCGCTTCATTTCGGATCGGTTTTGATGTGTCAAAAATTGGTCTGACAAGGTTCAATGCACCAGAGATTATGTCATCGATAGTTACTGCAAGTTGTATTATTTACGCATCATATAACAGGATTGGATTTATTTTTTTGTTCAAATTTAGAAAAAAACAGAAAAAGTCTGAGTTGATGAACTTTGAGCGTCTAGAAAATACAAGAATTCCCGACTACATATATAAATTGTCTGGCACTAAATTTTGAAATCTCAAAAAGCCCACAAGGTTACAAACTTATTTTGTTCTGAGATAATCTGAATTTGTGAGATTTGATTTCAAAGTTCATGGGAAATTGTATCTTGAAATGCATTGTTTAATATCGTTGATCTATTTTTTGAATATTCTAGACAAAATACTGTTTTAAAAAAATCAATTAAACTCTTAAATTTCTCGTGAATGTCTGTTTCAGACCGAGGGTTTTGCAAAAAAAAAACTTACATTGTCGTTTTGCTCGATTTGATTGAACTAAGGGCAATCCAACCAATAATAACAAAATAATAAATCCATATCTCATCTTGAAATAATTTTTAAAATGATAAAAAATTAACTGAATAACAAGAAGATAAAGCGCGAAAAAAACATGAGTAATAGGTCATATGACTCAAAAACTGGATAATCTTTTGATAAAAAAAAGAAAGATCAAGAATAAATAAGAACAACAATTCAAAAATCAATATCTCTCATAAATGTGTATCTACATATTCAAATTCAAATGCGCGTAAATCCAAATCCTCCGTAAAAATGAAATCGATGAAAAAACTCTCACTTCTTCGTTTCAATGATGTAATCCACCTATTTTTTCATCACAAAACTATGATTGAAAAAATCGTGTCAACTGTAGTTCAAGGACATCACGGATAGGAATTATGGATTCGATGAAACAGCAAAAAAAAATAAAGTTCTGGGAGGCAGAAAAAAGTGGTTGCTTGCTAAAAGTGAAACAAACTAGATTCGAGGATTTGCATTTTGCATTTTCTGCCAAATTTTCCGACTGTTTGATGTTTCTTCTTTTTTTTTTATCGAAAACTTTTTAGAAACTATTTTTAGAGGTCATCTGTTCGGACAATTTTCACAAATGAAATAAAATTAGGAAGGTTTATGGTGTATGTACAATTGAATGAATGAATAAATAAATAAATAAATAATTTACATTAGGAGACATGAAACAAAAATTACAGTAAAGAGAATTGGGGTTTTATCATTGACAAATTCGTCGTGTACACTTTCCCGCCTCAATCGGAACAACTGTTGTAACACAAAACAAAACGACGGCTGATGAAGAAGCTCGGAAACGGATTGGGAACGGATTAAAAATTCCAGCTTCGAAATTGGTGGGATACTGGAAATTAATTATTACCATTATTCGAGAATGAGCTGATTCCCGTGTGTGCACTGTACCTGGACGTTTTTGAAAAGGGACTCTTCCAAGCTACATCCATTGTCATCAATAATTGCATACGGTTGGAAACCAGGTTCGTCTGAGCTCAATGTGCAGTTTACGACTTGCAGACAATTTCCAGGAATTTGCTTACATCGGATTTTGTAGTATATTTCATCGTCCAAACTCGCTCCTGAATATATATTTTTAATTTTGATTCCAGAAAAATTGTAGAGCCTCTTACCAGAAACTCGGGCTCCATTTGGTCCCTGTTTATGAATTGAGAAATCGCAAGTCACACTATTGTCTACAGTCTTTTTTAACAAATTCGGCTGCTGTTTCGATTTATAAACCGAATTTACGAAATTGACAGAGATTAAGAAGAAAATTACAGATTTTCTCATATTTTTTGATGAATAGGAAATGAATTAAATCAAATGAAATAAAATAAAATAACCAGGTCAATGTCGGATGTTTTATAGGCGCAAGTTGTTTATTATTGTTACTAGAAAGATTTTATATTAAAAAACGGTAGATTTTATGCAAAGATTGGAAGTTGGACAGGTTTTATTATATAACAACATTCCCATGTACATAAATTTAAAGATTTATTTAGAAAAAACATTACACCACAAATTACTCGTAGAGCTTGGAAATAGTACTTGGCTTGAACATAATTTAGAAAAACACAGTATAATTTTTTTCATTTTTTGTTATTTAATTTCATCATTTGATTAACCATATCGTCTAAACTTGAACTTGAAGATGATGCAGTACCCATCGTTTTTGACTCATCGAATTTCGTGAGATTTTTATTTTCCATTTGTCGTGTCGGTTGTAAAACTGTAAAAAAAGAGATAAGATATGAATCATGAACATGTTTTTATTTTTATCTACCTTCACTGTTATTTTGAGAAGGGATTGTGTGGCGATTCATCAAATCATCGAAATCAAATAAATCTTTAGAAGAGCTCGATTTTTTCTGCTCCACAGTTTTTTGATCATTTGTTCCAGGCCAGGATTGCAGGGATAGCAGATCTTCATTATTTGCTTGCGGCTGATTTGGAGGCTGACTTCCAGAAGCTTCAGCAAACGGGTCAAATACTTCCTTCTTCTTTGCTGGAGCTTGCGTGAAGGCTCCCCAATTATCTGAAGATTTCGTGTCAGATGGCCACTCTGTAGCGAATGGTTCGACGACTTTAGGCTTCGTAGTTTCTGAAAAAGTTTTTTTTTGAAATAAAAGGCCGTTTCAATATAAACAACGTTCTTTGGTTACATCAAGATTGGTTTTATTGATAAAAATGTCATGAGCATATCAAAATTGGAATGTTTGATATGAGCATTCGAAAAAATGCTTACAAAAATGAAATGATGTGATTTTGAAATCGGAAGATTTGTCAAAAAAAGATATAGAAAACATTTTTACAATGAACATTTTGGAAATTGGCTCAAATTCAGTTTTCTTGTGAAGACCAGAGAATTTTTGGAGAACTAATTAACTCAATTTTTACAAAGATCGTGATAGTTTGTTGAACTATTGAACTTTGTGAACTTCAAAATCAAATAAACAACCTTCTGATGTGATAGATGTTTCTAATAAGCTTAAGCTAATTTTTCAAATGAAAAACCAAACAAGATTGGCAGTTTTGGTAGGGCCCAGTGAACTTTGAAATTATAGGGAGTTTCCGTCATGAAAATACTTATTCAAGCGATAAAAAACCTACCTTGAACATTTGGTGGCAATTTTGCCACTTTTGGTTGTGGTTTCGGGCTTGCCACAGGTCTTGGTGTATTATTGCTACTTCCAGCTCCTCCTTCAAACGGCCATCCTCCAAGTTTATTAGTCTGTTGAACAACTGTATTTTTCAAATTCGATAAATTCGAGAACAATTTGTCCTGCATATTCAAAAATGTTTTTCCCGCAGCTGATGGAATCTCTGCCTCTCTTTCAGTTTGGTTCACAACATTCATCATTTCCAAAATGTCATTAAAATCTTTTTTGGCCGCGAGAGCTGGCTGTTTCTCCATTGCCAATCTCATATAATCCTCAATTTTCTCTGCGCTAATTCTATTTTCTGGACTTGGAGTTAGACATTTTGCTATAAGATCTGCAAATGCAGAGAGTTGATTTTGTTGAATTGGTGGTGGTTTTTTATATTTTCCATTGATAATTGCCAAAGGTGAACCATCAAATGGATGTTCTCCAAAACATACAAAATATATCAAACATCCCATAGCCTAAAATATTTTTTTAATTGTATCCTAAATGTGAAATAATTTCACGAACCCAAGTATCCTGTTGTTTTCCAATTGGCCAATTGGAATAAACATCTGAAACTTCTGGTGATCTTGTAATTGGTGTTGTATATTTCATCATCTCCTCTTGAATAGCTAATCTAGCACTATTTGATAATTCAGCCATATTGATTGATTTTGTAGTGGCTGACCCAAAATCGCATAGTTTTAGCTTGCCTGAAAAATGTCTATGTCTATCTTGACAATTGCGGTGGTTCTGTATTGTTATTCAGAAAATCATACAGTAGATTTATTTCTATCAACATTTTTTGTACTATTTCGATAGAACTTTTATGGAAGAGTTTCAAAAGTTCAACATCTCAAATAAACATGGGATGCTGCAGACAAAGCAGTATATGACATTTATTTATTCAGTTTACGGATATGTATGTTTCATGTCAAAAATTAAAAACAAACCAGAATTACTACATAACTTATAATTCACTAATTCTCAGAATTCAGAGTAAACCAGTCTCACGATTTGGAATACAAAAAGGTGTCAAAATTTGATGCTCAATTTTTAATTCAAAGACCTGACACCCACCATTCGCATTAATCAATAAATTCTCGGCTTTAATATCCCGATGAGTCACTCCATTTTCATGTAGATAAACCAACGCTCTTGATGTATAAAAAATAATTCTAACAACAAAATCCACACTAACACCTTTATATTTTGTCAAAACATCCGCAATCGAAAATCGACAATATTCCATTGATATTTTATATTCTTTAACAGATCGTGACCCTCGATTTTCACAAGACGCATCAAAAAGTTGAATAATATTTTCATGTTGAAACTTTTTCATCATCGCAATTTCATTATCAATATCAGTTGTTGAAGCGGAATCATGACTTAGCATAATTTTCACAGCAACTTGTCTTCCTTTTGCGCTAGTCGCTAGAAAAACTGTTCCAAAACCTCCTTTAGCAATCACATTTTCAACACGATACGAATTTGAGTTAATTGTAAATGTTTGGCCACGATTATACAACTCGTTTTCTTCCGAAATTCCTGCACCACGACCAACTGATTGAATCACACCAAGAGCACGAGCAAAAGCCATGCTGAAATTAAAGCTTATTAAATCAAACAAAAATCACGTTTACCCTTCAGAAGACGAAAGACAGTCAACTTTACAGAAAAAAATTGAAGAAATTTACCGAAATTTTTTAGGCATAATGCAGAATAGTATAGTACGAAAGAAAAGAGCAGCTTGAGTGCTAAATTTACATGAAATACCCATTAACTAAATCTGTTTTTGTCTGCCCATTTTTTCTTGGGAAAATTATAGGGTATGTTTATTTTTTGGGGAAAATTCATCAAATGAAATTTTATACGATTGAGCAACTGACTTAACAATTTTTTTTTGAAAAAAAAACTTTTTGTAGTTGTATAGCTATTTTTTATTGAAAAATGTCTATGTTTTAGTGAAAATTACACAAAAACTTTTTATTTTATTCTGCCAGAAAAGAAAAAATTCTTCAAAATGGAAAAAAAGAAAAAGAAACGCATTGTCTTAATGAAATTCCGTGTGGATAAAATAAAGTGAAAAGAAAAAGGAAAAAAATCGAAGAAAAGGGAAAACATTTTTCAGGTGCACACAAAACGCGCCAGCGGGTCCAAACACTGACACATAATTGGCAAGACGCTATGCAGGCAGGCCAGCCAGAAGAGCTGACGTGGAGATAAAAAACATTTTTCTTGGAACATTGCGTTTGTTCTCCATTCTTTCGCTTTTTCTTATCAAATCATATTAATTTGAGTGATTTGTTTTTTTCGCAAACACCTTTTTTTGTGGATTGTTTGATATTTGTTTATTTTGTAACATGAGATACACAAATAGCTTTAGTGTGTGCGTTTTATTGATTTTTTCAAATTTCAAACACAAATGACTATAAGCTGCTAATTTTATGTTTTCTTTAGACATTTGCGGGGAAATCGTAATATTTTTATTTTTGCATGAAACACATCAGCTCGCGTGCGGTTTGCGAAGCGGTTTTTTCTCATTGGATATTATATTGGTCCCATTGTACTTTTTGTCGTTTCTCTGTGTGTGTCCCAATTTTCCCGTTCGTGTGATTTAATTTTCAAAAAATGTTCCTCATAAAATATTCCGAATCAAAAATTTTTGTTAAACAAAAAATCGTGACTGTTATTGTTTGCGTTGCGCGGAGTTCCTGACGGGTTTCAATGTTTATTATGTTTTTGCCCCGCTGTTTTTTCACTCATTGTTCCAAATTTTTTGTTTCAATCAAGAAAGCAAAATATATATATATATATCTTTCGGTTTTTATTGATTAGTTGACCTTTGTGTGAAAAATCAAAATATCTCTTTTGTCGTAAAGTTAACTTCTTCAATTAACATATCTATCTTTTTATCTTCTTTTTCTAAATTTTTTCCCATTCTCATAATATTTCCCTTTTACACACAAACACACACAGAGAAAAATTGTTATTCTTTTTAAGATAATCTTGGAAAATGAACCAGTTCAGAACACCAGGAGGACAAAACGAAATGCTTTCAACCGCTGAAGATTATGCGGATGATGTAAGTTGATTTTTAATTATCAAAAATCCAGTTAATTAATGTGAACATTTTTAGCTTTTCCGTAAAACTCGTACATTTTTGCCACATATTGCTCGTCTTTGTCTAGTCTCAACATTTTTGGAAGATGGTATTCGTATGTATTTTCAATGGGAGGATCAAAAACAATTTATGCAGGTTGGTTAGAAACATTTTCTGTGAGAACAATTTAGAGAATTTTGTAAAACATAAAAAATTTTTTTTTTTAATTTAATGAAACTCCTTCTCTCTCCTTTCACATTTCATAATTTTATTTTTCAGGAATCCTGGTCTTGCGGATGGTTCTTGGCCACATTATTCGTCATCTACAATTTCTTTGGTCAATTTGTTCCAGTCGTCATGATTATGTTGCGTAAAAAAGTTGTGATCGCTTGCGGAATTTTGGGCAGTATCGTCATCCTTCAAACTATTGCTTACCACATTCTTTGGGATCTCAAATTCTTGGCCAGAAATATTGCTGTTGGTGGTGGACTCGTTTTGTTGTTGGCTGAAACTCAAGAGGAAAAGAGCTCGTTGTTCGCTGGAGTTCCAACTATGGGAGATAGCAACAAACCAAAATCGTATATGCTTTTGGCTGGACGTGTTTTGCTCATTTTCATGTTTGCATCGCTTATGCATTTTGAGATGAACTTCTTGCAGGTGAGCAATATTTTGAATTTCACCTGCTACCATAGGATATGTGTGATTCATCGATTCTACTTAAAATGGGAGATAAAAAATAATTGATTGAAACTTTATTTGAAACTTCTAAAAGTTGTTAAAGGGGAATGTGACAATACCCTAAAAACTAGCAAGAACCCGGGAATGATGGGAACTTGTATTTCTCTCGCACTCCACCTTTAAGAAATGTCTTATTTCAAGAAAAAATACGACTGTTTAAATTACAAAAACAATCTTTGAAATCTAGGTTTGCTTCAATCAAAAAGTCAAATTAAAATAAATAAAAATCACGTTTAGAAATACCTAATCCATTTTATCAGCATAACTAGAAAAATCCTGAAATATTCAATTTCCGGTACATTTTAACACATTTCCGTAACGTTTTGTTCTACTTTATAACAAAAAACCAGTATTCACTAGGAAAACTGGGGGATTTAGAAACTTTATTCTAGTTCTGTGGACCAAAATCACATTTTATCTCGATACAAAGACTAAAATCAATAAAATATTTATTTCAGGTTTTGGAAATTGTTGTCGGATTTGCTCTCATCACCTTGGTCTCAATCGGTTACAAAACTAAACTCTCTGCAATGGTTTTGGTTGCCTGGCTTTTCGGTCTCAATCTCTGGCTCAACGCCTGGTGGACAATTCCATCCGATCGTTTCTACCGTGATTTCATGAAATACGATTTCTTCCAAACTATGTCTGTTATTGGTGGTCTTTTGCTCGTTATTGCTTATGGTCCAGGAGGTGTCTCAGTTGATGATTATAAGAAAAGATGGTGATTAAATAAAACATATTTATTTTCTAGTCAGAATAGTATGTATTTTATGCATTTGGTGATTTCTCATACTTCGGTCATTTAAAATTCTATGTTTCACCAAAAAGTAACATGTTTCATATCACATTGGACTTTTTATTCTATTTTCTTTTTCTTTCCTATTTCTTTTTTATTTAATTTTTTAAATCTATGGGTTGTCCCAAACATCTTCCTATTCCATTTCCCAATTCTGTCTGGTACCGCTATCTAATCCTAACTTTTCTCTATTTTTTTGTTTTTAGATAAATATTTTTCTTTCCAAAATGTTTATATTACAACATAAATAAAATAAATAAACTCACAGGGAAAATTAATAAATCAATCAAAACCTATATATAATTTGTTTTTAATTTGAAAAATAAGAACAACCCGAAAATACTCATATTAGGGTACAATTGTTTTTAAGGGTAAGACATCGAACTTATAAAAATGAGAATAAAAATGTAAGAGAAACCGTAGAATTTTTTAGTCTTCTTTGAATTGATCCGAAGATCGTTTTATTATTTGTTTGCCAATTAGTGGCTTGCCGTTTTTGTCGAGGAATTTTTCAAGGGATAAACCATGATAGTCGGGTGTTGTGGTGCCTTCTTCGGATAATCGACATTCCGCGATGATTTTGTCAATCACGTTGTCAGCGTCGAACCTGGAAATTTGAGGTTTAGAAAGGTTTTATGATAATGATGATATTCGGCTAATTTTTCAGATTAATTTGCTTGTAGGAAAATCATTTTTCATTTATTAAATATAATAGTTCATGAAATGATGGAATTGTTTTGGATTTAGCTTTAATGAAAAATTAGAGTTAGTTTTCTTTTCAATTTTTTTTGCAGAATTTGAATAGTTCTATTTTTTGGGTATATTTTCTGAACAGTTTTCACAAACATACGTTTTTTGACTAAATTTCTAGTTTTTTTTGTTAATTTTCTAGAAACTTGTCAAAAATTATGAAATATATTTAATGTTCTTACCTTGTATTTTGTATCCTTTGCGCTGATCGATCTTGACTAAACCTTCTCAATTGTACCGCCGTCATTTGATGACTATTCGATATTCCTTTTCTTTCAGTAACAATTTCATCAACTGCTGAACTACTTGGAACTGATACACAATCTGAAATCGAATAATGTAAGCTTATAAAATTACAATTTAAATTTCAGTGCAAATGAATTTACCTTGAACATCAATAATCGATGCTTTTGGTTGAATCGAAACTTCTTCCGAGTCGGAATCAATTGCATCAAGAGCTTTGAAGGCTTCAGGATTCAGTGATATTTCTTCACCAATACCAACATTTGATAAACGTGGTCTAAAAAATATTTTGATTATACTAGCTTAAAAATAAAGCAACAAATTTACTTACACTCGGAAAAACGGATCTGCACTCTGATGACACATCACAACTTTGACGCATACTTTTGAGTTGTCAAGACGTTGATTGGAAGTGTAGCCGCTCAGTAGGTATGTTCGAGAGATTCCTGAAAAAAGTCAGTTGAGAGGCTTGATGTTGAAATTTTTCTGAAGCTTTTTTTTCATGATTTTCATGAAATAATTTTATTTTAATCTTAAAATTTGCAGATTGAAAAACGAAAATTGAAAAACAATTCACATTTCGCAGATATTTGGGTAACTTATTTGGTTAAATGTTTCAAAGCTTCAGGCGATTTATTTTCACTTTTTCAGGAAAAATATTTCAAGAAACAGCAAAAGATATATTCTCAATAATTTCAAAGCGAATGAAAATTGTATTTTTGAATATTTGGTCATTGTTTTCTGTCTCATTTCAAAAATTATTGATTAAACTTTTCATTCTAGTGTCTATTCTTCAATACTTTTAGTCAAATTTTCAACAAAAAAAAACAAATCAATCACCTTCAATCCCCGACGCTGCAAATTCCGACAAATTGATATCAACATATCCGAGCTTGTAAAACGACTTTCCGCCTTTTTGTTCCTGAAAATGCTCATTTGAATTTTCATTCTAAGTCAATCAAAATTTTTTAGACTTACTTTTCTTATCGAGACGCGACACAAACATTTTTCCAGTGTTCCCGATGTTTGATCGCATGGTATTCGGCAAGAAAATTCAGATCTTGTGTTGAAACTCGCACTATGATTTTTCACCTGAATAACTTCACATATCAGAATGGATTTTATATATGTAAGTTTTTATAAAATGAATAATTTACCTCAACTCGCTCAGTTGTATCTTCAAAAGATCCACCATCAAGAAGCCTAAGTTTCGCAAAAACCACGGCATTTACCAGAGGTACATCTGATAGGTGACAAATCTATAATTTTTCACGTTTTTCATTTGAAAACCTTCAAAAAGTTAAAAAAAAAATACCTGGATATCGACGGAAAATTTGACAGTTTTCCTCTTCATAAAAGCCATTTTATTCCAGAGCCATGGTACGAAAACGAGCCGGACTGAAAATATAAAATACATGAAAAAATTGAAATAAAATCTATGTTTGTTTTTCGCTCTTTGTCCTAGAAAAAAAACGCCAAAAAATGCGAAAAAAAGGGGAAAACGAGACAAAAAAACCAAGTGTGTATACATATGCACAAAGTTTGCGTCAACACCATAAGTGATGGCGTCATTCATCATTCTTCCCCTTTTTTTCGTTGAATTGAATGAATTTGTGTGTTTTTTTTGTTTGAGAAGGTCATATTTGAGAAAAAAAAAAGACAAAACTTGATTGATTTTTCTTTTTTTTTTCTTCTTTTCAGCTTTTTCAACAACAAAAAATGCAGAAAATTGTTTTCATATGAAAAAAACGCAAAAAAGCGAAAAAATATTGATCTAATTTTCTTGAAAAACAACACAACATATGACTTTTTTCCAGTTATAACTGGAAATGTTTTTCTTGGCTAATCAGAAAAATCCTTTTAAAAAGTCCAACAACATTATTACACTAAACTGAACAGCGGAACCTATTTTTTGTTTTGTTTTTCTCTGTTTTTTAGTCTTACGATGTGGAATTTTTGAGAGGAAAAGATACATTCTCATGTTTATTTATACGAAGTAACGTCAGAATTAGATACTAGAAACATCGAGAAAATTCAAAAGTGCACGAAGCCAACTTGATTCGAAAATTGAGATTCGGGTGATTGGATCAATGGTGTTTTTTTTTCAGAAAAGTTGAGTTCACGAAGATGATCAACAACTTGTGGATCTTGATAGGTGAAATTTGATTTTCACACTCAAGAACTCGAAAATTATGCAAAAATTCTAATTGTTGAAAATATATGATAAGCAATGGGAATTTGAAGAAATTAGAGAGGTTAACACAATTCCTGTGATTATGAACAACTATTTTTTGCTCCAGACCTTTCCATAATTTTCAAAACCCTGAATACTGCCAATTTATGAAAACATACAATTGCATAAACTTTGATTGAACAGTTTCAGTTCTATGGATAGTTTGGTTCACATTTGAAAATCGATTCAAGTTTTTCATTTCAAAAATGTTTGTTGAAATTGTTGACATTGTCGAATCAAAAATTCTCAACATACATATATTTCGATGTTTGAATTTCGAAAAGATTTTTTGTAGAATCGTATTGGTGAGAAATCCTCATAAATTTGTTACGAAATCTCGAGAAAAGGTCAATTGCACTCATCAAATGTAAATATTTCAAAATTTCGAAAAAAAATTGAATGGCTTGTTGGAATTGAAAACGAGTTCTATATTAGAAAAAATGTAATTAATGTTAATTTTGATAATTCCAACAACAGGAACCAGATTGATTTTTGGTTTATGTTACATTTTGAAAATTCAGGAGCTCACAAATATTATAATTGACTTTTAATCATTTTTTTTTTGAAAAAAAAAACTATTAAAAAAGTAAAGAAAAATCATACCTCTCATGGATCATCGACGAAAAGTGTAAAATATTTTGGTAAAATACAACAAAAAAAGTTTTTTTTCTGTCCAGCCGGATGGACTTGAACAAATATTTGTTATTCAACTTGCCCTTCTCCTCCTCTTTTCTTGTTGATTTGGCTCGAAAAAAATGGAAGGTTGTGAAAAAATTTGAACTATTCTGGTAAACGATCTAAACCTTGGTTGGAAACGAGAGAGTATTTGGGTTGGAAACGAGAGAGTATATGTTGAAATAAAATTATTCACCTTCAAAATTTTATTTCAGATTTGAATTGGAATAAACACAATATTTTCAGAAAATTTGAGATCAGAACACTGGTTACATTTTTAAGTAAATGCAATCTATTCTTTAAAAGTTTTCATAAATATGTATTTTTGAGAATGATTTTTCATATGTGGTTCTTCATCCAATTTTCAAAGATTAAGATTATTCAAGACTAACTTTAAAGTTGAAAATGTTTTTTATTAAAAATAACATGTTTAATCCCCCATGTTTCCCTCGCTTAGTTTTCTCTCATTTTTCAACACGAACATCAAAAAAGTGCACGTCGTTTCCAAGTAAAAAAAGGAAAATGCTGCTCAATTATACGTTTTTGCCTTCGCTTTTGGTCCGATATTCGTAGAGTTTTCTGGTTCCCTAGGCAGAAAAAAAGTGGATAAAGAAAGAGAAAAATTGGTTGCCAATGGCGAAATTTAAGGTGGACCAAAACAAGCTGGCCAACTATTTTTTTCTGAATACTTCATGTTTTTCTTTTTCTTATATGTATTTATTTTTCTGTTTTTTATATACATATGTTTTTTATTTTCAGATATGTCGAATGGCTATAAAAACCAGCCGATTTCTGGTAAGTTTTATTCCGGAGCTAGAATTTTCAGCACTAAAAATAAGAGTTGCGAAAAACTCATTACATAAAGAAAAAACTTATTTTTATTGGTTTTCTTTCTGGAAAAAGTCATCAAGAATTTTCTAGACATCAGACATCATGTTTTCTTTTTTAGCGGAATAGAATCAAGATTTCCGGGAACTTTGATTTTTTATTTTTGACAAATAAAATTATTTTCAGTGTTTTCTAAACTTTCCAAAACACAAAACTTTTCAGAATGAAACCCTGCAATTAAAGTCTTGATTGGAAATTTTCAGAAACCGGAAACAATTTCGAGTTTTGTTCTCTTTGAAAACATAGAATATTGAGAAATAATGGAACACCAAAAAAACTACTGTAGTGCAGGTGAACTTGAAAAAAATAAAATAATATTTCAGAGAAATATTTTGAAAGTTCATGTAAATACGAAAGATTTTTGAACGTTATTTGTTCATAAAAATTTGTTTTTTTTTTCCCGGAGAACTATTCTGACAAAAGTTGAAACGTCAGATTTCAAAGATAACTAAAACTTATAGATCGCTAAACTAAATTCAGAAGTGAGATTCGTATGTTAAATTTTCAAAAGTTAAATTCAAATCTTGTATTATAAGAAATTTGAGCTAACAATATTCAAAAAAGTTCAGAAGACAATTTTGAGTGGTCGAATATACACTTCAGAAAAGTCCACAAATTTAGAAAATCATAACAGAGTCGAGAATAGAAAATTATAAATTTGTTCCAATTTTTTAAATAAAATAAAATTCGTTAATTCTAATATAATCCCACAAATCACTATGTTCAAAAAGAGGTTCTCCCAAATTGATTTTTTCAATGAACCTAAAAAAACACGAAAAGGGTCTTTCATATGGAATCAAACCTCATCAACTCTCAAAAAACCGATGTTTTTAGGATTTACCGGGTATATTCCTGGTGCAAAGTGGCAGGTTGGCAGTCGTTATGTGCCGCAACAGCAGCACCCTTCACAAAATCAAAAATCACAACAAAAACCAACAGAAGAATGTATGTTTTTTCTCTCAAAAACAACAAAAAATCGTATTTTTTATTGTTTTCAGATGACCAATCTCTGAGAATTCCGAGCTCCACAAATCAATCAATGTCACAAGTGAGGTTTTTTTGAGATAGCTGAAAACAACATGTTGAAAAAAAGATATAAAAAAGAAACACAATGAAAAAAGTTTCAGATGAGAAATGAGAAAACACTCTTTGCTGAAATGTCGAATGATGAACTCCGCGAAAAATTAGCACAAATGCAATTAGATATGCAGAATTTGCAAATGGCTATAAGTAGAGGTAAAAAATCAATCTAGACAAATAATAACTAAAAAAAATTTTCAGATCGGAACAATTATGAATCTATGGAATTCAATAATGAGACAAGGGTGAACTTTATTTTGAAAAACACACCTTTTTTAACAGAACTCTCTGGAATTCGATTTGTTATGTTCTTTTTTGTCTGAAAATAATCCGATTACTTTTTTTTGAAAATATTTTTGAAAAAAAAACAGAAATTTTTTTTGGATTTCTGAAATATTCGACACTAATTTCGAAATGTTTTTCTCATTTTTCCGCTAACGGAAATGTCAGAAAAATGATTCATTGCATGTTGTTGTTCTGCAAATATAAAATTTGGAAAAACATCGGAGAATTTTCAGAACAGAGTTTGAAGAACAAAAAATTTAAATGTTACAGTGGAAAAAACAAATATATCCGGATCCACATTTTCAGAATTTCAGAAGTCATGTGACCTTATCAAAAAAAAAATCAAAACAATTTTTGATCAAAAATGATAAAAATTCAACTTTTTTTGAGAAAAATCTTAAAGCCGCATGAATCTCATTATATATTTTATTACAAATACGCAACAAGCCTAGAAATTTGAAATTCAAGAAAAAATTCAATCCGGATTTTCTTGATAATAAAAACCATAATGTCATATCATAGTTTTTTAAACAAAATAACTTTCTGTTGTTCTCATATTTTTTGAAAATAATTGTGAATGTGTGAATATGAGAATTGTGAATTTCAGATTAGCGCCACTTAAAATCCATGGAAACATTCTCACACACAGTTTGTCCAAATTGCTAGACCTCAATTTTTTTTCGAAACTTGCCAAAACAAAAACGTAGGAAATGTTTCGGTTTTAATTCTTACCCTGTGAATAAATGAGTTCTAAAAGAGTTAGAAAAACATTCCGAAGCAGTATTCTAAACATTAAAAAAATCAAACTTCACATATTAAAGAAATCTTAAAATTCCAGAACCATCCATCAAACCAACAACAAAATTCTCACGAAAACAAGCAACGAAGCAAAAGTGTACCTCGAAGTAAGTTGATCAAAAATGTATATAATATTTTATTTCGAACGAAAAAGGGTATCTAGGTAACACTAATCTCATTCATTTATCCATTCATTCGTTCATTATTTATTAATATTTACCTCACCTCACCCCCATACATATAAATATCCTTATTAATTTTCCAGAAAATAATTAATTAAGATTAAATAAAATATTAATTATAGAAATTGAGACGAATCCATTCGATGGAATAGAAAGTGGTTGGTGGAGTAAAGGAGAGGTCAAAAGAAATCAGGTAAATTTTTTTTTCAGAAAAAAAACCAAGAAAAAAAAGAAAATCAAGAAATGCATGAAAAACGAGAACCTTTTTGATTTAGGAACGACGTCAGATTGCAAATGGCGGACAAATTGTGTCGGGTGGTAATTGGAGTCAAAGACCACCCAGTCAGCAAAGGCAATCGAGAAAGTTCAGAGCGTTAGATGTGCGTTCGGTTTTTGTTTGCTTTTTGAATTTAGATTGCTAAATTATATATCAAGTTTCGTTTCGGTTTTTCTAATTTTTATCGAAAAAGAAAAGGAGAGGGGTGTAATTTTAGAAAAGAATAGTGGGGTTTGAAAATTCAGGTCACGCAAAAACTATAATTTTTTTCGATATTTTTTGAGAGGGTCTAAAATTTCATTAAAAGTAGGTGTGAATTTCTGAAAGCAAGACAAAACTGAAACATTTTAATTTCAATGAGAATGAAAATAACATATTTTGAAATAAATTTTCTAAAGAAAATGAACCTGTTATTATCAAAATTTCCAACAAATCACAAAAACTTCAAAATTACCACACTATATATTTCAAAAATATTTCAAAATTTCATAACACAATCTTTGAAAATCTCTTCGAAAAACTATTTCCCAACAAAAAATTGTATCAAAAAATTATTAAATAATCCTTCTCCTACATAATCTAAAATACTACATTAATCTATACAATTTTCTTTTTTTTGTTATTTACACAGAAAAGTGAGAAAACAATAGTATACTCATGCAAAAAATTCTTTCTTATCGAAAAAAAAGTTGTTTCTCGATAAAAATTTCAATTTTTTTTAGCAAGACAGTGGAGTTGAAGATATTCCGGCAGCTGGTTATAGTGGACATATTCAAGGCTTAAAACATATCGGCGTTGGGAAACCTTTCAATTTGGCAGCAAAACAAGCAAAAAAAGAATATATTGAAAGACGACGAACATATAGTGGTAGTAGAGGTTGGGCTCAACAAAAATCTATAAAAATGAAAATAAATCTCTTTTTTTTCAATTTCAGACATTGTCAATGGAAAGCTTCGTGGTGTTCAATATAGCGATGAGGAAGTGCTCACAAATACGGTTAAATTGCCTGATAATCATTTTAACTAATTGACAACTCTTTATAATTAATTTATTCTATTTATAAAAAACAACTAAGTATGACCAATTATATATTTCGCGTTCAACGCACAATAAATGTTTATTTTCAGAAGTTTTGAAGAGCTGAAATATCAAAATACATATTTCAAAAATGTTCAAACTACCAGATCATCATTTGAAGACTAAATAAAAGTTAACAATTTTTGAAAAAACAATGCGGACAATTATTGCTTATTTTCAGTTTTTGTGATGAGCTGAAAAGTTTTCAGGGAAATTCTACAAACAAAGAGTGTCTGTTAATCATTTTAACTATATGCAAAATTTACTAGTTAGTAAATAAAAAAACTTTTTGCGTCCATTTTCACAAATTCCCTGTTCAAAAAAAGCAAAGTAGAAAATATTCATTTTCAGAAAAATATGATTCAATCTTTCCTTTTTGTTCACAAAATGTCATTTTTCAATTGTTCTAACTGTTGATTTCTAAAAAATTAAAACCCCCATCAATAAAAATGTGCTAACTTCCATACTTTGACACATTTTTTACTAGCGGGTTACTGTAGCCTTTGGGAAGGTTTTGGAAGCCTGGGATTTTTGGTGTGTTTGTGTGGAGATTAGCATTGGTTGTGCGTTTTATCTCCCATTCAGTTTTTATATTATGATTTTTGGTATTGTTTTGATTTTCAGCTATCTTTTGAAATTTCAAAAAAAAAAACATTACAGTACTTCATAAATTTTAATTTATAAATTCTAATGACATTTCAATATATTTAACTAATCTTTACACTTGTCCCAGGCTAGAGAATATATGTTGTTGGAACTTTTTTTGAAAGTGACAGGGTGAAAATTAATGAAAAATTTCGCACTTTTCTAGTTTTCAGGACTTATTTTTAGAGTTGTGTGCTAATCGTAGTCATTCAGTTTCATCCAGATTTCTCTTGAAATATTTTCAATTTTCTAAATTGCTCTTTTCTAATCTTCTTTCATTTTGCTCCAAAATTCTTTGACATCAAAAAAATAATACCCTCTAAAACTTTCACATTATCCTCCTCAAAAAAGCTATTTTTCATCTATACAAAATTCATAAATTTTTCTTCTATTTTTTTTTGTTGAAGAAAAGTGAAATTTTGGTTTTTTGTCTTGCCTGTTCCTTTTGAAATTAGAAAATGAAATCAACATGAAAAACCTTTCATTTGGGGTTTGGAAAAAAAAATTATATGTTCTTCGAAATTTTGCTCTGGTCTAAATTATATAGTTCAAAGCCTTTCATGAAAAAAATTCTCAAAATTTTTACCAAAACTTCTCAATTTTTGTTCTGATTTCTAGTTTTTCTCAAAAACATCCGGATCATTTTCCCACACATATGATTTGTATTAATTCGATTATCAATTTCTCTCAAAACTCAGATAATATGTTCCCACAAAATTCCACAACAGAGTTAGCTATATTTTCAAAAACCTCTCCTGTTGTACAGTCGCATACTCCGTTAACAAATTCAATCCAAATTTTGATCTCAATTTTTATTATTTCATTTTTTTTGTGATTTCCGGAACATTTTCTCACACATATGATTTGTATTAATTCGATTATCAATAGTTCATAAAATTCACATCAAAAAAGGAATCAAATATGTATTCCATGCATTTCCAATTCAATTCTCTCAAGAAAACCTTTCCCAAAAATTTCCTTCCTAACAGAAAGAATAAAACTGGAAATTATTCTTTCTTGATTGATTGTTATCACCAAAATGCGGATGTATTTTTTCATCGTATCTCGCGCAAAAAAATCAAATCATTGTCCATAAATCTAATCGTTTTTTCAAATCGAATCGATCCAAACGCAAGTCTTTTCCCTTTTTTCCACTCAACTCACAGGGACGCGTTGCAAGACAACAAATACTTGGTGTCAGCAAATGCGCCCTATTGTACACTCTAGTTTTATGTCTCTCTCTCACACCTATTGGAATGCAATGTTTACATCACTGCACGCGCGCTACTCTTCTTTTTCTTCTCTCAATTCTCTATTATCTCTCGTCACTCCCATCGCCATTGCATTTTGATTTTATTTTCCCTCACGGTTTCGTTCGGTTCAGTTTCGTTTTTGACCGCTTTCTGTTCATATATGATATATATTTATTTTTCTTTCTCTTCTTCTCTCACTTCCTTTTTTCTGATTCAATTTTTAATTATAATTTTAATTTGATATAATTTAATTATAGGTTTGTGGGCATGTCGAGCAGAAAAAGATCACGAAAACATGAGAGTGATGAAGAGTTTGAAGATTTTGAAGACGTCGGAAAGGGCAGTGATAGTGGGGCAAAATGGGCGTGCAGCTCGTGCACATTTCAAAATCGATTCGGTGATTTCACATGCTCAATGTGTGGCTCAAGGTTTCTTTTTTCTTCATTTTATTCTTAATTTGAATTTCAAACAAGTTCTTGAAGACCAGGTGAAATAACGTGTTTTTTTGCAGCAAAGGAACATCAACGCGAAAGGCACGATTAAGTGAAAACGTTGTCGAGATGCAAAAAACGATTAATGATATGGTTATCAAACAAGTCGAGAAAGAGAAATCATTGTAAGTTATCAATTTTCAAAGATAATTATTATTTTTTATTGGGAAAAAACACCTGCGTCATTAATTGGAAAAACATTGACCCCTCAAGTCAGATAGGGATCTCTTTTAGTGAAGCTAAAAAGATGATAGAAGTTTGAGAAAAATGTAGCAGAGACTAGAAACAAATTGTAAATTGACCCTGTTGGTTCAATTTTTAGGATTTTTTGAGCCGGACATACAATTAGAGATAGGACCATCTTTGATTTTTATAAAAAATCAGCTGAAATATGATATATTCTCAAATTTTTCCGGGTTTCCCAGAATGAATCTGAATAAATTGGATTTATCTCTCCACATTTCACTAAATCCTCAAAGAAATACCATTTGCAGAACATCTCGAAAGCGTCGTGAAAAATCAGTATCGCTCACTCCAAGTGGGAATTCTTCATTTGCCGAGCCATCCGGCTCTGCGCCAAGAACCCCGGCACCATCAGACAAAGGAATCTCACCTGCACCATCAGAGATTCCAACAACGCCTTCACCAAGACCTCCAAAATTGACCAAAAAAGAGATCAAGAAGGAGGAGGCTCCTCAAAAAGTTGTTGAAAAAAGAGTGTCAAGGTCAAGACCAGAATCAGTGGCAAGTTCGATGAAGGAGGAAACGTTAAAACCAGCAACACCGAAAACAGCAATGCCTAAAGCTCCCACACCAAAAGCAGTGACGCCAAAACCTCCTACACCAAAGCCAGCCACATCAAATACTTCGACACCAAAACCTCCCACAGAAAAAGCAGCCACACCAAAGCCAGCAACGCCAATTGTATCTACGCCTATCCCACAAGCACCATCAACTCCAATCAAACAAAAAAGAAAATCAAGAGGAAGAAAAAAGCCCACCAGTTTTGAAAGTTGAAAATCAGTCGCCTGTATCAGTTAAATCAACTCCGGAAAAGAAACCACCAGTAATTTCACCAACTATGCCACCACCAAAAATCACCACACCATTGATTCAACAACAGCAACAACTTCAGCAAAAGATTCTAGCGACTCCACCATCCCCGATGCTTCTCCAAGATCGGCATTTCATTCAACAACGTTTGCAAGAACTGCAACAACAACAAGAGCAAAAAATGTTGGCTCCGCAATTAATAGCCGCTGCTCAAATGGCCGCTCAACAACCAAACCCCATGCTACTTCAACAACAATTTGTGGCAGCTCCACCAATTCATCCACATTCAATGACGTTTCCTGGTATGATTCCAACTGCTGGATTTATTGCACCCGGATTCTTCTACGGACATCCTATCGCCTCTCAGTATCCCCAAATGAAACCAGAAGATTTACAACGATTATTAATGACCACACCACTTGCTCAAACCATTCCCGCGCCACAAACACCCTCGCAACCATCAACTTCTACTGCAAGTCGAGCCACACCACAGATCTCAAAACCATCCGCTGAAGCTGGAACACATGTCAGTCCTGCGACTTCAAGATTGTCATCCGAAACAGATTCTTCTTCGGATAGTTCCACAGCTAGAAGGTTAGTTTTTTGTGAATTTGGGAATTTTTATTAGATATTAGAACTGAAAATTTCAAGATCATAAAAATTTTGGTAAAATGGGCGTTTATGTCAATAAATTAGGATATTCCTAATTTTATATGTATTTTAAGATGTTCGATGTTATTAACATATTTTTGAAAAATTCTAAACTGGTTCAGATTTTGATTTCATATGTATCAGAACTTCTTTTCTCGGAAGTTTCAGTAAATTTTCAAACTGCGAAGTTTCGCTTTTCTTTTGTTGCAAAAATCATTTCTTTTGAACTTCCAAACTGGATCTCTGAATTTTCAAAGCTTTTCCTCGGACCAGACACCTTTCAAAATTAATCTCTCTTCCTGCCTAGTCTACAGCTAAAACTTTAAAATGCATGAAAAACATGCCCTTTTGAAGTCAACTCCAAATATCATATGTATCTATTTTGCAGCATTGAACCACCATCTGAAGAAGTTCAACAACCAGTTGTAGCCCGAATTCCAGACAATTTGATATTCCGAGACATGGCTAGAAAAATTACAGTAGTTGCAAATGGTATACCAGCGGTATTTTTTGAGTATCAACGAAGACCTCAAAATCAACAGAATGGAAAAATGTAAACCCCTCGCTTCCCGGTTAAAATTAAAACTATTTTTGTTGATCTCCCCCCTCCCAAAATTGCGCCCCATTGATACTTTCAAAAAAATCTTATTTTTTAAAAGAAATTTTCACGCCCCTTTCTCCCCCTAGGATTTTTGAGCTGTTTGTCATTCCAAAAAAATTCTGTAAATTTTCCGAAATTGGCAACAATTTTCGTGTTGTAAGATTTTTTAAAAATCACCATCTGCCTACCAAATTTTCCTGTTCCATTTTTTTTTGTACAAAACAAATAAAATACTGTAATTTCTTTATTATTTTCTTGGGTGAATAAAGTGCATTTTATTTATTTCCTATTTTTTGGGTTTTCTATTTTTTTCCGGCGAAATTTCACCTACAATTATAGACCATAACACAAAAAATTGTGGGCAATAAATATTTTATTTTTTCGGAGAGAAAATGAGTAAGAAAATAAAAAAAAACATTTTTGTGAAGGCCTGAAATCTCTTCAAGATATGATTAATTATTTATGAAATCCAACTGCTTTCGTTTTTTCTCACCAAACGAGTGGGTTTTTTATATATTTTCTGATGGAAAATCATGAGATTTTTGATCAAACTTGAATTTTCCTCACTGAAAACCATAAATTAATTGTACCATACAAATTCATGTGAATGCATAAATTTTCAAGAAAAAAATTCACATCCAAAAAATATGCATTTTTCTTCACAAAGGATGCTGATTTTCATTATTTTTCCGTCTTTTCTTATTTCCCATTCCCAAATACAATATAGAATATTGAAATCAACTTTTTTTGTTCTTTGAGACTTTGTGTTTCCTCCTCTAAAAAAAGTAATTTTCAAAAAAAGGCAGTGAAAAATGAGTTTTCGCATCGTCGCACTGAATTTTGTTTTATTTTTTTTCGCGTGTTTTTCTGATCCTTTTGAAAAGTTATGATAAATCACACTTCCTGGAGGATTTTTTTGTTCCCTTTTTTCAATGAACTGCTTTTTTTCTTATTGATGGATTTTTTGGGAATAGCTTAATCTTCCTAAAAATATATCATTTGAACTTTTGATTTCTAGTTTATAAGATGATTTTATTCATTTCCTAAATTGAAAAAAAACATGTTTGATAGGAAGGTACGTTCTAGATCAAAAAATTATTACAATAAAAACAGTTTTTGAAAATAAAATCAAGTTATGTTTCGTATTTTTTTCTGGAAATGATTTTCAGATTTTCAGAAAACGTTCTGAAATTATTATTATTATTCTCTAAAGATTGTAGATCGCGTTTCAGGTTTTTTTCTGATAATTTATTTTACTATTAGTATTTGAACACTACAAAAAACATTTTATTAGCCTTTTTTCACATTTTTCGGAAATTTTCAGTTTTTTATCCAGAGCAAAACTCTGTAAACTAGAAATGTTGAAAAACGTGCAAATTTACAAAGTATCTTTTATCTAAAAATTATTGCGGAAATTGCCTAGAATATTTTCAAAAATTATTTTTTTAGTTTTAGAAAATCATTTTTTGGACTTTACCTCACAAATATATTCCAGCGAGTTTTTCTGAAAATTGTTAAACTTTGAACGCTTTCTCAACCTCCACAAAATCTCTGAACCAGAAAATTCAAGAAAACTTGAAACTTTTCAGAATTCTTTCTGCAATTTTTTATTTTTCTTGATTCGTTTTTCTAAACAGGGGAAATTAATTTTTTTTCAGTAAATTTTCTGCTCTCGCGTGCAACGTTTTTAAAAAAAAAAGAAAATAAAAACACTTCCAATTTCCTGAAATTTTGTCTGATTGTGAAGAATTGTACTTCTCCGCAGAAAAACATCTCTTCAGCCACTTGTACTTTTTTATTCTTATTCATCCTCTATCCTCGAAAAATTCTCTGTCTAACATTTTTGCAGTCACCTCTAACAAGTCCATTAGACCATAGACAACTTTCAAAAGTTTTGTTTTATTCATCAAGTTTAAAACAAAAAACAACTCGTGTTTTCTCTCGTTTCTCTTATTTTGTAGTGTGAAAATGTCATTATTTCGGTTGCTCGAACAAAAATTATCGTTCTCCCTGATTTTTTCTCTTTTCGTTTCATTTTATACAAAAAATTGAATTAGCTGAAACCTAATGGTATGCTAATCAGAAAAAGCACTCAATTTTAGTTAATTTTGTGAATAAAATGACGAAACCAGGAAACATTGATTCATTTTCGGTTCTAACACGATTACGAGTCTCGATTTTCTGAACGCCAACAGATTTTTTCTCGGTTTTCTGGCTCAAAAAACTTATATCCTGCATCCTAATCCATCTTTAACAGGTTTCTCAGGCTCAGAAATATCATCATTTTTATTAGTGTCCTTTTTTCCAATTCGTTGAATAAAAACAGAAAAAACCAGGAAGTTTTTTTTTCGAATGAATTTTTAAAATCGAATCTCACTTTTTTCTCCTTGAAATATTGTGTTTATTTTCAGAAAAAATTCAAAAAATTAATCAAATCATCAAGCTTGTGATTTCACCCACCTATTTTTTTGCAATTTTGATTGAGAAGTGGTGATTTTAAAAGTTTCCGTGTAGATTCTAATAGTTCACTAAATTTGATATGTATGTATGTGTTTCTAGATTTTTATGACGGTAAACTCAGAGCTTCTGCTTAAAAGCTTCTTTTTTAGATTTTCTCAATTTTTATAAATTTATTTCACTATTCAAAGAACCAGGACAAGTTCTTAGAAACAGCCGGAAATTCGAATTATCTATGAGCATTAAAAATTTTGCTAACAAAAAAATCGATGATGACCATTTTTAAAATATTTTTTTGATCAATTCAAAAGGTATTTTGCAGTATAGTATGTGAAATATTTGATCTACAAACATTAAATCCTGATTTTGAACTGATGAACTAATTAATCTTTATAATTCTGAAAATTTACCAAGACTTTTTATGTTCCCTCGATTAATTCTTTCGAAAGTCAGTAAAAATTCAATTCATTTAACCTTCAGCAAACAAAAATACCAATGCCCAAAAAAGAAAAATAAATTATTCATTTTTGTATCTTTCTCTCAAAACACAATTCAATTCAATCACAGATACAAAAAAATTGATGAAAAGAATTTGCCCAATTTTTTTTCGGTGTTTTTCTCTATTCAAAATCATCTCCAACAAAATAGCTAACTCGATTTGTTCAATGATTTTTTCAAAAGTACTTTGCAGTTAGACTAAATTGCCTCATTCTCACATCCATATATTTCGAATTTTATAGTTTTTCTTGCCGGTTCCGTTTTTTCATGTGTGAATTCACTTTATTTCACACGTAAATAAATAAATACATCAAACTGAATTTATTATTAGAAATTATTTTTTATTCCAAGATTTTCCATATCCAACAAAAGCTCTTCATTTTCTTTTGTCTTTTTTGCTCATTTTTGCCCCCGTTTCAACTATTCATTTTTGTTTTGTTTTAATTGAATTTTTTGCCATCAGCACAAGCCATTATTTGTGTATGCGTATATGTGTTTTTCTCACCATTCGCCTTCCTTTTTTTCGTTTTCTTCACCTCACCTCAAATCCTTTTTTTGTGATATTTTTGTGCAGCTCTTTTACAAAAATTCTTCCTTTCTTGTTGTTAGAAATATGAGGATTTTTCTCGGAAGAAATAGGAATTTCTAGTGCAATTTGAAACACACCTTATGGAAAATGCATGTTCTTTTTTGGAGAAAAACTTTTCGCCTACATGAACACTTTTTTTGAAAAAAAATTTATAAAATTTTCATTACATTAAGATGATTATTTCTTGGAAACACTTTCCTTATCAAAACTTGAAATCTTGAAACATGCTCTTTGATTTTTTGCACTAGAAAATAAGAATCTCTAGTTTAGAATTAAAAGCTTTGAGAAATCATTATGTCTCTTGGAAATGAAAAAGGTGGCTCTTTGATTTTTCATTAGAATGGAAGCTAAATTCTAGTCTCAAAAAACTATGAATATCAGCATGTCTGCTGAAATTATTCAAATTCATTGCAAGTTTTCCTAATTTTCTCGTCATTAAAATTACTCATAAATTTTAAATTCGGATTTTCTAGAGTGCAAAAATTAAAAATTAAAAATGATCTACAATTTTTTTATATTTGCAAAACGATTGCTCTTACATTCCGAAATCTTGATATGAGATAATACATACTTATTTCTTACGTCATGACACTTGTTTGATGTCTGAAAAAGTTGTTATAAAAAAATTTGTGTGGATTTTTTCAAGTTTCCGAAACTTTCAAGCTGTAAAATCAAAGTTTTCAATTTTTTCCAGCTGGAAAAGTTCGCATATCAAAGTTCAGTATCTGAAAACATCTATTTTTTCTAGAAGTTCAAAATTCCAGCTGTAAAATATTTTTCAAAAATAATTTCGTTTATCAAAACAAACAATCTGAAAAATTGCTTCTTGATCTTCTGAACTCAATTAAAAAGAAAATTCGAAAAAATTGTTTTTCTTTTAATATTCTGAAAAAAACCAACAAAATTGTATACATTTTCATTTTTTTAAATAATGCTTCAAATTTTCGAATAGGAAAAGAATTGAAGTGCTGTTTTTCATTTGAATTCAGAATTTTGTTTTGAGCTGGATAGGTTTGAAAAAAATTAAAATTCTCGAATAATTCAAAAATGATTCATGACTTCTTTATATCAAAAGTTTTCTTAATTTTATTGTAGCTCTCAATCTTCCGAAATCTGCAAGATTAGATTTTTAGAATTATGATCCCCCTTATTATCAGATTTTCATTCAGTCCCAATCGCCATTGTTTTCCTCTTTCGTGCCATTTCTAAAACTAAAAATAAAATAAATTATGCCCTTTGGAACATAGCTCATTAAATTTTCAGCTCTTCTCAAAAACTCCATTCAACTTAGTTTTTTTTTTCGAAAAAAAAAAACTGAAAGAAACATCTCTCATGAGTCATTTTGCAGACACAAAGTCCAAATTTCATTTTTTCTACTTTCGACTCTTCTAATTTTCCCAAACAAACTTATTACACGGACATGTTTTGTAACCATGCAAAAAATAGTTTTGAAGAACACTCGAAAACACAAAACTTGTTGTTTTTTTTGCGGTTCATTTTTTCTAACATTTTTTTCCAACAGAAAATTTGTCGACCGACCAGAGAGACTCTAACTAATAAGATTGTCAACTTTTTTATTCCATCTACCAAAAAATGGCAGAGCCAAGAAAAAAAGAAGGAGGAAACGAACTTCTATGAAACATTTTGTTTTCTTTTGTTAGCTTGTAGGAGAGAAAAATTGGTTCCGGAGGTCGTAGTTTTTTGTGAAAATTTTTAGTAGATAAAATTGAATTAGTAACATTTGAGCATTGTATGACATTAGTATCAGAAAACCAAACAATTAGATAAGATCTGACCATAGTATTGTTTCTTATTTCCAGGATTTAGTAACACAATGAACTATTCCAAAAAAATTTCCAAAAAGTTCTTCTTCAATATTCTGAAATTTACCCCTGAAAATTATTTTTCACATTCAATATCACAAAAATCAATAAAAGCTATGAAACATCAAAATTTATGTTGTTACTTACTTTTTTCAGTTAATCTTTGTTTTCAAAAACAAAAACACACGTTCGCCCAATTTTTCATTGTTTTTTTTAAAATCTGCTCAGTTTTCTGGTTTTCAAAAATTGACCAAATCACCATATTTTTTTCCACAAAAAAACATGGCATCTGAAAATGACTTGTTTCTCTCTATAAGTGGGAGGGCTCACAAAATAAAAAAAGAAAACATGCCTCAAGGCAATCTGAGATGACGACTTTTCACACACTTGATTTATAAAGAAACACAAATTTTTGTTATATTTTTTGTCTCTAGTAAGAAAAATGCTCATATACAAGTAGCTTCTCCTTTTTTGTTACTAATTAACTCTCCTCTCTAACTTTTTTCCGAAAAAGAGTAGCCTTTTTATAACAATTTTTTGAAAGAAAAAAGTTCGAAATTTTAAATTGTATTTTATTTTTCTATTCGATAACTTCGTTTTTTTTTTCTGAAAAAAAGCTGTTTTTGTTTTATTTTTTATATTCAAAACAAACATGTTGTATTATTATTTTCAATTTTTATAGCATGATCATATTTCCTTCGATATTGTTTTCTGTTTTGATGTTTCATGAAAAATGGCATTTTCTCCTTCATTTTCAATTCATTCCGATTATATCAAATATCCGGTCTATCATAGATTTGTAGTGAATAAAATCTTTGAACTGAATAAGAAAAAAATAAAAATAAACATGCGTGTCACAAGATTTTCAGAGCAAACCCACCATTCAAAGGGCTTCATTTATCTATGTATTTTCATCTCCAAAAAAACTTTTATGATTTGATTTTTGATATTGAACATTTTTCGAACTGCCTGAAAGTTTCATGAAACGATTCCAGAACCTTTTGGCATTGAAGATCTGATTCCAAAATTTAAAAAAAAATGTTTCATAGGCTTTTTGATATTTTCGGAGCTATACTACTCGGCTTTCATGTTTCCACGTGTTTTAAAATTCTTGGAAATTTCCAAGTTTGGCTTTAAATCAATAAAAATTGTAACTTTTTATGAACATTCATTCTACAGTAGTAAATGATAATTTTGTTTTGATAATTTGTTTCTCTTTAAAAAATGTGTCTAGATATAATATATTATATGTAAAGTGTTTCTATCGATAAATTTTCTCGATTTTTCTGATTTTTTATCCGGTTTCCCTAGGTTTAATAATAATTTATGACGACACTGAAAGTGTTCGCAGCAGAAAAAAATAAAACATGGCAGATTTTTTTGATTTCCACAAACGAAAAAACAAAAGTAGAAAAACGAGACTCCGCGTGACACTGCGCTCACACAAGCGCTGCTATTTTTTATTTATTTTTAAACGAGGGTTTTTTAATTTTTTTTTCTTTTTCTCTAAATAAATAAGGTTTAGAGTAGGTTTTAAAAGTTCTCTCTTGTAGATGTGTTAAAAATAGTATGAAGATCGTAATTTTGGTCTCTTTTGAACCGTAGTAGTTGTCTATTTCTTCAAGAACCAAAAACTTTGAAGCTTAATATTTAATCTTTTGGTTCTATTTGGGTACTATTTTTACTCAAAATATCCCGCTGCTCAAATATTCATATCACAATCTTAGAAAGAGCCTCCCCCACATGTCAAGAAAAGAAAACAAGTTTAATGAGATATATACGAAAAGTTTTCTTTTTTCTCGTCGGTCCACAAACTCCCTCGAGATTTTTCAAAGGTGTGAAACAAGATGGAGAAAAAGCCACTCTCAATGGTGCTTTTCATCATTTTTGCCTAGCTCTTCTTTTTTTTTTCTGTTTGCCCCTTTCTTGTGCCATATATATTATAATAAACGAATTTTCGGTTCCTTTTTTGGCTGTAAATTTTGCGCGCGCCCAAATCGCTGGGGATCTCTATCAACCTTGCGCCTCATGTTTTTCTTTTCTTCTTATTTGCCCCGCCGCCTACTGCCATATTTTTCTTCCGCTTTTTTCTGATGAACTTCATTTAGAGTACTGTAGTTTTTTTGAACTTTTGTTTTTTTTGTTGATCTGGTTTGTTTTGATAAAGAGTAGGTTCATGAAAATCGAAAAAAAAATCGAATTTGTTCCTAACCGATTCTGAAAATTGAAACGAATAACAATAATAACGATTACTGTGGTCTAATAAAACATTTCGCGCCAATTTTCCAAAGACTGTAGATTATATATTATTGAATTTTTTCACAAGGTTGTTTCAAGTGCTGTAGATAATTTTTGTTCTCGAAACGTAATAGTTTTTTTTGCTGTTAAATCAAAGTTTCGAACAAATTCGAAGACCATTGATTTCGAAGAAATTTGTCAACCTTGTCGAGACAATTGATTTGAAACCCGTTTCATTTTTTCGTTTGATAAGTACTGTAATTATTTCCTGAACATAAAAGGGAACATTTCTGATTCAGAATTGTCTGGAACTTCTTTTCAGTAAACACTCTTTCTGATAATTTTTTATTTTTTTAATCATATATTTTTATCATATTTCAATCACATCTCTATAAAACTTCATGAAAAATAATAACAAGACGTGCTTTTCTTCATTTCTAACTCTGTAAAAACCACACATGTCCTTTTTGAGCACATCACGTCAGTGCAAACTTTTGGTGTGCGCACATCTCTTAAAAATGTTCCAATTAGCTTTTTGTCCGTGAGAAAAAATTTGGAGGCTTATTGTTTTTTGTTTGAAAAAAAGAAGAGCAAGTTTTATTCGCGTTTGATCAACGCTTGATTAATAACAAAGAGGAGCAAATTGATAAATTAGCCACAATCTGATGCTTTTTGTTATATATCTTTTTTTCGAGTCATATGTACGCTGTTTTTCAATTTTTTGTTTTATTGATTTGACAAGTGGGTATGATTTAAAATTTTCACAAAGATCGTTTTTTTAAACTTTGTCCACTTATAACAAAGTTTCTACGCAAAAACTTTACTAGTGTTCAAAATGAGTCAGATGTAAAAAAATTTTTGCCGAAAAATTCTATTGTATAGAAACTTTATGTTAATTCTCATAATATGTACATATTTGTGCTTTGAATCAAACAGTTTTCATGAAGCTATTTTTCAAACCAGGAAATAACTTTCAACAGATGTTTTTTTTTGAACTTTCGACAATATTTTTCTCTGGATTTTACGTAATAATTTTACAAACCGGTTTAATCTCAATCAATTGAATTCTCCAGTTCACTCATTAATTTTGTCTGAAACTGATTTCAAGGTCAAATTTCCAACCAAAAAATCTTTTCAAAAAACCGAATTCAGAAAAAATGTATTTTTCTTGTTTTTCAAAAACGACTAATACATTTTTTTTCAAAAATAAAAATCCAGCTGCCCAGCAACACCTACAAAACCAAACGCAAATTTTTTAATGTCAAAATAATTCCTGAAATTTTTGGAATTTTTAAACATAACACAATACACATTTTTTTCTCAAAAATGAGGAAAAAAACATGTGATGTTAGGGAACTTTTTATGTTCTCATATCCGGTGAAATTTCCTATTAGAAGAAAATAAAAATTAGCAGGAAAAATTTCTCTAATTAGTAGTTGCAAATTTATATGCAAAGTTCCTGCCTGCCTGCGTAGATTTTTGTCTGTTTCTCTAGAACCTTTATTATGAAAATTTGATTTTTCAACAATTTAAAAACATCAAAAACCTTCTTCATTAGTACATTTTCTCAGATTCTTCCTCATTTCCTTCTCTCGAAACAACAAATGAGCTCTGTGAGCTTTTTTTCGTTTTTTTCTCCCTACCGTAGTCTATGAGTAACGAGATCTTGAAATTAGTTTCATTTGTCTATAAAATTTTTGGACATTTTTTTTCAAAAATTCTGTCATTTTTTTTCATTTGTCAATTCTTGGGCTCTATTCTTTTTTTTTGCTCTCATGAAAAAATGTATATAATCCATCAAGAAAAAAGATTATTGGGTTAGAATTAATCTAATTATACATATTATTTTTATCATTTATTCATACATCGCTAATGTAAGTTTTTTTCAGAGGTGATGCAATTTTGAGTGCATATTCAAAAAGAAAAGATGGAGAATTCAACATTTGATTTCAACAATGGAACTGATATCACCGGACAGTTTGTAGAGCTCAATTTCAGTTATACGGTAGAATTATGGATGTATGGAATTGCGTTCTGTTTTGGAGTTCCCAGTTTTATTTTCACAGTTCAGAGAATTATCAGGTATGATTTTTTTTAATGAAAGGTGAATGAATCTGTGATCCTAACTGAAATGTTTCAAAATTCTCAAATTTAAAAATAACAGAGGAACAGAAAATGATAAAATTATTAACTTAACTAATTTACCGATTCGAAAAAAAAAATCAGAAAGCTCAGAAAAATTGTTTTTCTTTCCGATATTCGGTGGTCACATTTTTTTTTGAAGTTTTGAAGAAATATTCTATATCCAGATTCCTGAAAATATTTTGACAAGATATTATGCTCCTATCATTCCATATTTCCAGAACTTCTCGAAAAAACCTCATTCTCGCTGCCCGTCTATTCTCTTATAAAATCAGTCTAACAGTGGCGGATAGTATTATATTGTTTATTTACGCTCCAGTGCAATTTTTATGGATCAGATCATATTTCGTGAGTTCAGCTGACTGAAAAATCTCAACAGAAATTTATAAAAATTCAATAGTAATTTTTCAGTGGTTTGGTGGTGATTGGGGATGTACAATGTTCAAATTTATATCAACTTTCGGATTTCATCTAACTGCAAATATGCAAGTTTTAGTTGCTGTCGATCGATTGCTTATTACAGCAAAAATGAATCGAGTTAATAGAAATGTGAGTCTTTTCTCAAGTTTATGGCTATAATTATAGCTGTTTATGATGAACATTTTTTTGGTTTTTCGAAGAAAACGTATTAGTTCCGCAATAATAATTGATATATTTCGATTTCAATAGCATCAGAGATCAGTTTGGAACCAGATTTGGTAATCTCAACTGTTTTTACGCAGAAGAAGGATTAGTTAACTTGTAAAAGAGCATTTGTCAACAACCATGATGACATTTATGAAAAAGGAGAAGGGGATATTTATAGAGAATTGAGGTTTTGACTAGAGAAAATTTTATATGAAAGAGAGCTATTTAATGTTAGAGGGGAAGTTGGAAAGTCATATGGTTTTCTGTGAATTCTTTGAAAACTTGAATTCAAAAAAAATATAGCTTTTTTCAAATTTTTTATAATATTCACCATTTTTTGATTTTTGATGCTCGAGTACTAGAGAAAATTTGACAAATTCATTTCTAGAATGTGATTTACTGTTTTCCTATTTTTAGAATCAATTTATTGCTTCTGGTCAGCAAAACCAATAGAGAAAAACACTATATAAAAAAAATAAATTTCTTCGGAAACTTCGATAAATCTGTACAAATTCGAAAAAAATTAGGATATTTTTCTCGAGATTATTTTCGACGTTTCGACAAATTTTATTTTTGATTTTTCAAAGTTTGTTCTTTAACTCACGTCATAACTAGTTTTAGTTCAAACCTATTATCTCCAAAGAGTTCCAATTATTGTTTTTTTCAGTAAATTCATAATTATACGTTGATAGTTCCGAAGTCAGAAGTTAAAAAAAGGATTTTAAAAAGCTTATGAATAAAAAAAATAAAATTTGAAGGAAGAACAATTCAAATACTGAAAAATACACATTTCAGATGAAAAAACGACAATACAACACACGCCTTTGTCTGGCCGCAGCGTGGATTCTCGCATTGATTTGTGCATGTCCACAAATCTTTATTTTCCGTGAACGAATGTCACCTGATATGAAAAAACAGTGTATATCAATATTCACTGAGAACCTCATGGAATATTATGACCAATTGGCTATGATTGAACAATATAATGCTGAAGTTGCTTATAATGAAATCATTTGGAAAAATTATACATTGACAAATAATACAGAAATGTTGAATCTATTGATCGATCCTCAAGTGCCAGAAATATCGAATTCTAAAATGGTCGAGAATCGAATGAAATGGAGGACTATTGAAACTGTAGGAAAACTCGTTTGTGATTTTTGAAATTGGAATTTTGATAATTTTCAGACTTATAATTCAATTCATTTGGCGACCATTTCAGTTCTGCCGTTTTTGATTGTGTTGATTTGTTATACAATGATTCTGTATATTTTGAAAGGAGCGATGAAAGGAAAATTTGTTAGCTTGAATGATATTTTCAAACAATTGTGAGTTTGAAAAAAAAGACCTTTTCACGAATTTTATAGTAATCAAGACCATCAATATTGAATCACCGAAATTGAAATTTTGAAATCATAATTAATAATTTCAGTTTTGAAAAGTTCAACATTTTCATTTACAAATTCTAATAAATGTTTCACAAATTTTTTACAAAAAAAATGAAGTCTTTCACTTTTCAGATTCTGTTGTTGGTTCGGAAATCAACGAATAACCTCTCCATCTGAATCCAACATGACCCAAGAATCCGAAAATCTAGTCTCCGGTCGAACAAAACTCGTGCGAACAATATCATCCGACAAAAGAAGATCCGCCTCAATTGACCTTCCAAATAGTCCTCGAAACGGTTCATGTGTCAGTGTGTCTCTGAATGAAAACGGTTCACCTACAGTATCTATTCATCCAGCTGGTCACATTGTGCAAATTCGACCGCTTGGATTTTTTCAACGAATACTTCAATGTATTTTACCCTCATTTATCTATAGAAGTACACCAGAAGGATCAGTTCCTTTACATTCTGTTTCTTACGAGTCGAATTCTGGAAGAAGAACGAGTGAACCTCCAAGATCAAATACAATGTGGGTGAATACTGTGGATACAGCAAGAAGGAATGCAAGATGGAAAGTGAGTGAAACAATGAGTTTAGATCACAACAGAGTCTTATTTCTGAAATTTTTTAACAAAGGAAAAACGTTTCAGGCATTTATGATGATCTCATTGAATTTATTCTTTTGGGCACCATATGTTATCATAGCACTTATATCCGTTTTGGTCGAAACATCGGATGGAAATTCCTTCTTAATGAATCTACAATTTGTCAACTCGATTCTCACATTTAACGCAATCTCAAATATTCTTTTATAATTTTCTCTCCTCCTTCAAACTGTTCATATTTGAAATATCCGCTTTTTAGTCATCTGTTTAGTGATTTTCATTTTTGCTTTGTTTTCACACGAGTAATTAACATTTGCTACTACAGTAATCTGTAACTTTATGATCTGAATTTTATTTTGTTTTTTTATAATTGATCTTATCTGGGTTATGATATACAAATGTCTAAATCATATGGTTTTTTGAACTGATTGGTATTTTTTGAAATAAATTTTTTCATGGTAAATTTGGTGTGTTAGAGAATGGCATTTGGAGAAAAATTAAATTGGGTTCCGGTTAGAGATGTTATCCAGGAAATGATAGATCTGTGAGTTATTTTTGGGTGTTGAGCGTTGAACGTTTTTGGTTCTTAAAATATCAGAAATTTTGAGGAAGTTTTCTTGAGAACTTCTTTAAAATTTTCAAAGCAAAACTTGACCTAATAAACACTTTTTGTCAATTCGAATCATGTTTGCTGATAGACTCAACCAGTAGCCAACACAAATGAAGTATATAAGTTTGGATTTCACAGAAAATTTCATTAATTTTAATGAAAATTAACATCATTCGAGAATATATTTTGATAAAGTTGAACTTCAAAAAATCCAAGTTGAGTTGACGAAAACAATATAGATTGTTGGAAACATATTTTCAAATTCCTTACAATTAGATACAAATAGAAAAAATCTATTTTCGAATCTATTGTAAGAAAAATCCAATTCTTGCTAATTATTTTCCACTCTCTAGAGTTTTAGTTTCTGCCAGGCAAAATATGACGTGCATTTGTTTTTCGAAATATGAATCTTGATCAAAAGCTTCTTTTGCAGCTGAAATCTAGCTCAAATGAACTATGAGTAAAACAAGAATGATCCAGAATTCAAATTGAATTTTTCGAGTTTATCAAAAGTTGAATTGAAAAACACATGATAAAAATATTCATTAACTAGTTTTCAAATAAATTGTTTTTTCTTCAACTAAATTGATATTTGGTTTGTTTTGAAAGATCTATGAACGAGTTCACCTTTTATCGCACCTGTCAGAAATATCGACTCTCTCTCTCTCTCTCTCTCTTTTTACGTTTACATAGAAACAAAGTTTCTCTGTCCCTGCTCTTTTTTTATTTTTGATTTTTTGAATAACCAAATTACAGCTTCAATAAGTTTAGAATCCCATTTTTTGTTATTCTATTTTATGTTCTCAATTCTCTCGCATGACATCAGATTTCATTTTATTTTGATTTGATTCTGATAACCTCCATTCAATACAGTATTCTTTCCCACAATAAAAATGTATACAAAAGAAAGTGAATTATGCATAAATGAATTCATGTGACAAAAATGAAACATCCAAAAATAATAAAAAGTGAATAATATGCCAAAAAATATCAGTTCATATTCAAATTCAAACACACACACCCGTTCAATATTCATATTATTCCTTTCCTGCCAACTTTGCACTTTTTGCCAGTTTGATTTTTTAGTTAGTTAGTTAGTTAGTTCATTTCTTTTTCGCTGCTCAGCCTTGCGCTCAAGTCTCAAGAAACTACTAATCAAAAATAATTGCTTGTTCTTGAGACCACAACAATTAAAAATGTTTTGGTTAGTTTTGCCCTCTGATCAAGTAAGTTTTTCAAGATTACGGTAGTCTGCGATATGAGCAAAAAATAGAAAAACTAATAATAATAATTGCTTCTAGGGGCGTATGTTAGAAAAGAACTAGTATTATTTGTTGAAAAGTCCAAAAATATTTCTATGGTTATTAAGAGATTTGAATTCAAATTACTTTGTTGTTTTACATATGTTTTCGCGCGTCGATTTGTAAAGGTTAATGAACATTCTTTGAAATTTCGACAATTCAAAATTGAGAGTTTTTTTTCAATATTTTTTCAAAAACTTGTTAGGTAAATGAGATACGATGTTTCAAAGTATTATGGGAAAACATTTCGATAAGATTACCGTATCTAACAAATAATCAATAGTGAAAAAGCTGCTATTGAATGATCTTCAGACCTGAAAATACTAACTCAATATTGATTTCACAATCAGTAGATAATGAAAAACTGAAAACAACTTTTAGAGAGCAAAAAAATACATTTTTCTTTCTGAACTGTAAGTTAAAATTTGAAATTATATTTTCTTTTTAATAATTCCCTGTTTATTCTCAGAATACTCAAGTTAAGCTCTATTTAAACCAAGTGGGATTATTGTATTATTATTTTAATATAATCCAATTTTAAAATGAAAAGTGTTTCAAAGTCCAAATTTTTGAACCCCATCTATTTATAAAGTTTGGTTTTATAAGAATTATTTTCTTTCCGAATGAAACCAAAAAACCGCTAGCTTGAAATTTAGGTTAGCCGACACACAACATGTCAGCCCAATGAAAATTGGCAAATGGTAAGAGTGAGGAAGACGCAGACATTTTCACGTGAAAAAATGAAATTTTTTAAAAAATAAAAACGCGAACTACGTGGCAGTCGTTTCTTTTTTGGATCAAAGATTTTCTAAGCGTCTCCCTCACTCTCACCGATTGCTCTTTGACATATTGTGAACAAAAGTTGAATTCGAAATGTTGTTCCAATTGTTTAAAAAAATATGAAAAGTTCTGATGAATTTTGCTAAAAAAATTCCTGATTGATAGACAAATCTCAATTATTTTCATACTTCTTGAATAAATCAAACCTTCCGACACACTGCATTACATATATCGTGCTCAAATATACCCAAAAATATCAATTCCCAATTATTTTTCCCAATTATCTCAACATGTTCGTTGAACTTCTAATCTATGTAGAATTAATAGTATCAAAACGATATGTTTTGTCTCAAGTTTCCAAATAATGAGCAGCGACCACCCAGTTAAGATATTCAATACAGCTTGAATACATATACATAAATTTTCATGTACTAAAAAACTAAAACGAATAAAAATCACATTCACATTAAAGAATGCAGAAAAATATCTATTTTTTGGCCATTTGTTGCAATTTCTTTTCTTTTTTTGTTGTTTTTCCTTATACTACAACATACACACAATTCTTGATTTGCATTTGGGTTGAGTTAGGCACAGCACAAAACTTAATTTATCTCCCTCCCAGCCCGAAATCTATGTTTATTTTCGGAATGAATCATCCTCATCATCATCATCGTTTAGATGTGCAAATAGTATGTGAGCTGACATGTAATTGGAAATAAAAAAATGGAGAAAAGCGCGAGAGCAGTGAGACACACACATTTATACACAACACAAAAAAAACGAGAGCGACGTGTTTGCGTATTGTGTGAACGACTATTAATTCATTTGATGCCTTCTCATTTTTTTGCCGTGCTCTGGCTTTTGTAAAATTTAATTAATTAATTGGCAAAAGATTGCCTCTTCTTTTTCATTTTCTGTTTTTTTTCAATTTTTTTTTGCTTTTCATCTATTTTTAGTTTTATCCATCCATTCATTCAAAAACCAAAAACACAAAAAAGAAATTATTGATTTTGTTTGCTCTATTGATGAAATTGTTCTAGCAGAAAATCGAATCAGCCCGCATTTTTCGCAGAATTATCACATTTTTCTCCTTTTCAAGAAAGCATGTTTTTTCACAGGTTCACATTTTTCGGGGAAAGGGCATCTTCGTGGGTGGTCTAGACAACCATCAGGGGGTTTGGCTTTAATTTATTTTGCAATTAGACAATTTGCTTGGGTGCTTGGATTTGATTTAATTATAGGAATTCATTCAAGCTTTTGAAATATTGGTCTAAGTTTTATGTCAACTTTAATGGTTTTCAGAATAATCCACGTTTTAAAAATTTGTGTTTCTTAAAAGATTCAGTAAGAAAATTTCTAGAATTTTATACACTAACAAATAATTATTGATGAAAACCACAGTACTTTTAAATTTATTTCAAAACTTTTGAGAAACTTTCAAAAAGCTATTATAAAAAATTGTTAATTTGTATTTGGCTCAATTTTTCAAGCCTACAATTTTTAAAGTTAAGACCAATTTTATATTTTGGGCGTCAATTAATATTAAAAAACTGCTGGTTACAGAAGTTAATGTTTGATATCATATAAATTCTATGGGTTATTATAGTTTGAAAATCTCCCAGTGACTGTTGGATAATAACCATGGTTTACTGCAAATCGAATATATCTAGAGAACTAAACTTCACATCACTTGGCATCAACCTAATTCATTTCTAATACTTTATGAGTTCTAACGAACGTGACCTGAAACTTTTGATTTTTTGTGATTCTCAAACTCTCACAACTTTTTTTTTGCACTTTTTTTTCTGTTTTTTTTTAATTTTTGTAGTTCAAATACTTCACAATTTCAAAGATCATTCTTATTCCCAAATCATCTTATGCAGATCAGCTTAAATTTTGAGCAAGTTCAATATACAAAATTAATATATATATATATATTTTTTGCAGTAGCCACATTTTACGATTTGGGAATTGTTTTTTGTGTTTTTTTAAATCTAATTTTAATATATTCAAATTCCCAGTTGATTAATTTATTAATTTTGTAATTAATAGTTTTTGTTTTGTTTTCTATTACTGTTTTGTACACTATGATTTTTCTAGATTCATATTTTACATTATATATATATACATATATAAAAAAATATATATACATATATGTGCCTGAGGGCGCTATGCAAAAAAAGTAAAACAAGAAAGAGGGGGAGAGTGCAGAGAAAGAGAGTGGGGTCTAGAAGAGTATGGGTGATCCACGCCCACTTCTTCTTTTTTTGGCTGCCTCTCTCTCTCGTCTTTTTTTTTTGTCGCGCACCACCATCGTTGTCGTAGTCGTCGTCGGCGACACAAATCGTTTTTTTTTCTTTCCTTCTTTCTTTCCCCCTTTTTTTCTGAAAAAGTAGATGGCTTGGCAAAGCCAAGCATTTCATCCCCTACGGCACACACACAAACACACACACACACACTTACACATAGTCGCGCACTTGTGAGTTTGAGCTGAACACAGCCCCGTCGTCTTCTTCTTCTTCTTCTTTCTACTTCTTCATATTTCTTTTTTTTTCGCCGACACACACAACTTATTACTATTTTTCTTGTAGGAGGAATCTGTGTTTTTCCAGTGTCGACAAATGTCGACACCGTGCTCGTTATCGGATCAAAATGCGGCGAGCAACGATGCCACAATTGTAGAAACGAATTCGTCCCGAGAGTTGAAGGTGAGTACTTCAATCATTTTAAATTACAATGCTCTTTTACTTTTTGCTGGGATTTTTTTCAATTTACTAGAACGGAAATTACTTTTTTTTTGTGCTCTTGACTTTATCAAGATTTTTTTTTGCAAACTAATAGTGGAAACGTTTTTTTTTCGACCTTATTGAGTTTTCCCCGAAGTAGAGTTGTTCCCGGAAATTTTTGGTGAAACACACACACACACACAACAAAAAAAACAGATTTTTTCCCAAAGTTGCATGCATATCTCATTCATTCTCAGTTTTCCTCATTCATAAACACCACAAAAATCAATTTTTCTCTCCATCTTTTTTCCTCTTTCAAAAAAGGCTTCACATATTAGTTTACTTTTTTGATTTCCATTCCCATTTCCATTTTCACTTGATTTTTCTATGAGGCAAGCAAGCAAAAAACCTATAAGTAAAATAAATCTTCCTTTTCGCAACATTGAAAAAAGGATATACATATGTTGAAGGAGGGGGTGAAAGCAAGCAAAGGAGAAAAAGTAGGCAAAAAAAAGAAGAAGAAGGAAAAAGTAGAAGAAAGAAGAAAAAAACGAGGAAAAATAAAGCCTAATTATTTCCAAGCTCTCAAGAAATTTCTCAGCAATTATCTTTATTGATTTTCCTTCAGTTTTACATAGTGATTTGTAGATGAGGAAAATGAGGGAAAACATTTTTCACACACAGACATAAAAAATTGATTTTCAGATCTTCAAAAAAGTGATTCGTGATCCGCAACTTCGAGCGCCGTTTCAGGAATTTCTTGAGCAACAATTTTGCGCGGAAAACTTGAATTTTTACCTGGCTGTAGAACAATATAAGGAAATAGATGATTTCACGGTAACCATGGATAATTTTCCATTAAAATTTCTCAACAATTCATATTTCAGGAGAGATCTCAATTTGGGCGTCGAATATTCGATCGATATTTTGCGATGAATAGTACTGAACCAGTTAATATAGACAATTCAACAAGTAAACGAATACGTGAAACTGTGGATAGTGGTACTTTTCCATGTGATACTTATGATGTTGCACAATATCAAATTCTACATTTATTGAAATATGATTGTTGGCCAAGGTTTCTGAGATCAGCTAGTAATAATCAACCGAGTTTCACTGATGAGGAATTGGCTGCGGATGATGATGAGAAAAATGGGCAAAGTCAACAGTCGTGTAAGTTTTTGAACTTTTATAATCATAAGATGGTTCTAAAGTGAAGAAAAAACTGCTCAAGAACAATTTCGGATTTTCATTGAAAATTAATCGAGGTCTGTAATTCACTGTTGCATTTTGAACTCAAATTTCACTAGATTTTAGAATAGTTCAAACCGTTCAAACAAACTCTGAAAATTTGAATAATTGGTCCTCCTGAACTAGGCCACGTTTAATCAGAAAAGAATTGGAAATTATGAAAGTGTATGCAACTAATAATTGCTATACATATTTCTATCAACTCTCAAAAACAGTAAGATTATTCAATAATCCCAGAACTTTTATTTCAGCAGTTCACAATACATCGGATGATCAATCTGGTGGTCCACGTGCACAATCGCCAACAAGTGCCGCTGCCGAAGCATCAGGTTGCACAAAAGAGAAACGCAAGTCAATACTTTGGACCGGCTTCGACCGATTTTCGCGTCGGTTACGTCGCGGTGACAGCGGTACGCCGACAAATTGTTCACCCGATGAAATCGACGCGGAAGTAGTGCCTGCTGGATCGGCGACAAATTCGCCGGCCGCTGGAAGAGGTGTTGTTGGGTCAGCCGGTTCAAAACGAAGGTATATCTTCGCAGCTTCCAAACAATACAGTATGCCAGCGGAGATGACGTCGCCCGTCAAGAAGAATTCGTTGTCACCAACGCAAATGCGAAGACGCGGAAGACCTGTCGAAGCCAAGCATTGTCAATTAATGGTTGGCGATCAATTCAATACCGAAACTGTTACCCTCGATGATCCGGTTGGTGATTTTTCTGTTATTTTTTCTCAAAAAAAACTTCTTTGAAAAAGCCTCCCCATCCCAAAAAAGGCTCAGCTGCATAGCAATCCATTTTTTTTATATTATTTGTCCACCCCAGCGGAAGTTCTGAATAACAACAAGTCGATCCCTTCTCCCTTTTTCCTCTCTCTCTCATTAAAAAATATTGTTTTTAATTCAAATTGTTTTTGTTGTCCAGTGCCTTCTTGAATGTTAAGCCTTCTCGTAATACTATAGATGAGGGAGGGGGAGGCAAAAAATGGCAAAAAAATACGAGCACCATGATGATTGTTCCTAAGACCACCCACGTTGCCAACGGTTGGCTCAAATTACAGCATTTTAAAAATACCTAGGGGTGGAAACAGGGATGATTGAGGGAATACAAAATTTGATGTTTCAGAAGACTGTTGCAATGGGGACTTTTTTCAATCTCACAACCAGGGTCACAGGTCGGATTTAATGTTCCCAATCTTGAGTTGCCCAGTCGTAAATTTTCCACAAACAATACATCTTACCGTGAGATTCGAAGCCTATACCCATCACCTTTATGGTGTTTATGGAAAATTTCAGGTGTGAGAGTCACGAGAAGAATGTTTTTCGCACCTCTATAACAATAACTCAAGGGACATTATGTCTGAACACCCCATTAACATGCACTGACTTATTAGGAGTGTTAAGATTGTAACGTGAAAGTCTGAAGATCACCCGGTGCGTTATTTTGCACCTACCCTCTCACACAGTACAGTGTCAATTTAATTGGGTAAAATTTATTATTAATAAAAGGGTGTCCCGGTGTTCTTTTACACCAATTATTATGTTTGTTACAGCAAGTGGGGGCTAAAAACCAGAAAATCATTTTTTTCTCTTCTGTACATAAATACATAGATTAATAATGTAAGTGTAGGTAAATATTGTCAAATCGTTATCGAGTTATATATAATTCACGAGGTTTTTTCTTCTTTTTTTGTTCTTTTTCCTCTCCGTCGCCATGATCAAGAACTTTATGAGCTCTTTCCTCTCTTTTTTTCCATAGTTACTTGAAGCCACAAGGAGGAGGAGGACGAAAAAATATTTTTTTTTTCATTAATTTTATGAAGGGTGGGGTAGGATTTTGTTTTAATTATTCACGGGTGATGCGATGGATGAATGAATGAAAGAAAGAGGGAGGAAATAAGAAAAGGGGTTGGAAGACGAAGAAAAAACACAAAGGAAGGAAAATTGAACTTTTCAAAAATGAGGAAAATAAGAAAAATTAATGGCATATGAATTCTCAATAAGGGTGTCAAATAGATGGAAAAAGGGACCGGAGGTCGGCAAGCAAAAAATATAAAACGAAAATTTGACTCTTTACGGAAATTACGGACTATTATTAGAGAAATAAGAGAACATTTTTGAGAATTAGGAAAAATGCAGGTATGAAAAAATTTAGTTTCCTCTAAAATAAGGTTACGGAAAAGGTTAGACTTCCTAATGAACGCGGTGATTTGTGAAAAAAAAACTGACTTATAAATTTCATTCAATTTTTTGTTAAATTATCGTCTAATGAAAAAAAATTTACTTCAGACAATGTCGGTTCGTAAATGGACGCAAGAAATGGCCGACGCTCAAGGTATGGATCGATTTCACACCGAAGTTGTTGACGCTGAAACTGGTACCACCATCGATCCAGTGCGTCAAGCAATTGATGCGTTGCAATCGCGTGCATTGCGTTTGGTTCCTGTAGTGTCATTTATTGTCGAGTTTTTACCGCCTAATTTTTCATTTAAAAATCCGACAACTACCCCGACAAAGTGAGTTTTTTTTGTCTTTCTGAATTGTCATTCAGACAATATTTGTAATCTTTTACAGACTAAAAATGCTGTTTTTTTGGTAAAGAAACCCCCAAGTTTTTGCATGATTTTTTGAATCTCTTTCTGATAAAACCAAATAGAAACAATTTTAGAAATTTCAATTTTCAAATTTATTCTTTTCAGATTAATATGTGTTCGCGCTCGTCATTCCTTATCAACCGGTGTTGTTCTTCGTCCACTTTTGGCCAAATATACGGGTGGTGCAGAAACTGCAAAAATTGTGCTCAACGGAACGTTGGAGCAAATCAAACGATCGATTTCAGTGGGCATGTTGTCGCAAAAATGTTTGACAGTTATGACCGATTTGCAATTTGCTGGTAAGTCGACTTTCCAGGAACTCTCTTCAATAATGTGCAAAAAGTTCCGAAAAAAAAACCATGGAGTTCAAAAAATGAAAACTGTTGTTTGCATCCTATTATATTTATATACATTTTTTTGCGCTCTCTCTATTAAATGAAAAAAAAAAGAGTTCGCAGCTCTCCGTTTTTTTCTCCCGTCGTCCTCTCTTTTATTCAACCGAGAAAAAGAAGGCCTTTCGCTTTGCGAGCGACAAAAAACATTCTATTTTGTGTGTCATTTAATCGCTCTTCCGTAATCGAATGCAATTTGTCTCCAAACTCGACATGAAAGCTAGATGAAGAGAGGAGGCACACACAGTAGAATGTAAAAAGAAACGACAAGTGTACATTTAGAAAAGGGGTTATATTTTGGTAAACTTTCTGATTTGATATATAATTGATATCAAATTCACGAGGAACCTATTTTTGAGAAGAACGGAGAAATTAATCAAAGTTTTTTTCAGAATTTTTTTTAGAAACTCACCTAGAACCGGTAGGCCGAGTTTTATAGATCTCCTAAGTTTTGAACGCAGACAAAATCAGCTCCATAGTATCAGAAAATGATCAGCGTATGTATACTTGCAAAATGTATATTTAAAAAAAGTGTATCTTAGATTTTGAGGTTTAGAGTTGTGCAGATTCATTTGTTATAAAATTCTGAATTTTTTATTCTAGACTTATTTATACAGAATCTAAACGATTTCCTTTTCTACAAATGCAGAATATAATTTTTAGAACGCGTTGCATCTGGAAAAACATGCCTCCCTGCTCCAAGAGATCCAATCCTCTTCCAATTGCCAAGCCTCATCTATGAGCAAAACAACTTCCAATTCCATCAAACTGGCGATATTTCCTATTGCGAGATTCCAACCGAAGCTGAACGCAGCAAGCATGCTCATTCGCAACTTCACAATGATTCGCAAAATGCACCACATCAGCAAAAAGTAATGCAGAAATACTAGAACCTGGTTATAATTTTTCTTGATTTCTAGGAAAACACCAAAAGTCTGTTCAACAAATTTGTCCGAAAAGCCTCTCACGCTGTCACCAAAAGCGATCAATCATCATCTGCAAATGCTGAGAAAATGGTATCCTCACCATTACCCGAATACTCATAAAAACTGTAATTTTTCAGGCTTCTGGAGTGTATTGTTCACCATCAACATCAACACCGTTGTCGAATAAAACATCCCAGAATAATAACAATATTAACCATGGGGCTAATCAGATTAATCAGGCTGCAAACAATTCGTCAACAACAGCATCCTCGTCATCAAATAATAATGGCGACTCAAATAAGAATCGTTTGAGTATTTTCAACAAGAATGTTAGTTTTTTGGGACATGAGACACTTTAGATAGATTGGATTTCATTCAAGGCGTAAAAATCTTGCCTGATCATGTTTTTTTCGAAATCCTTTGATAATACCAATATGGTAGCCTAACGTGCTTAATGTTAGTGAAGGGCTATAAATTTTGATTTATCAATTCTATTTTTGAATAGAAAATATTTCAGATTACGCTCTCATGGTGAGAATCCTTTTTTGCTCGTTCCCTTCTTTTCTCGAAAAGAAGTCACATTATCTCCTTGAAATTCTACAATTTATGTTCACAAAAACTCACAAAACCACATTTTTTGCAGAAAAGCGACAAGAAGCAAGGAGCTGTGAAAGGCGAACTCGAAAAATGCAAAGCCAAATCCGAAGACACTCCAGCATCTTCAATGCCAACCACTTCAGCATCTACTTCCGCTTCCACTTCTACACCAAAACCACCAGTTGAAGTCACACCAAATGGTGCAGGTGGTGTGAAAGAAGTGACGAATATTCGACATCCAGCGATTTTTTCAACAAAAGTTGGGAATGAAGGTGCATCAACAAGTGAAGTGAATAATTCGATTCCAATCTCGATTTCGACATCGACACCGGTTACAGCATCTGTAGTATGCTCAACATCGACGACGATACCATCAACGTCAACAGCCGGTGCAAAATCACCTAAACCAAATCTGAATTCGCCATCAAATGCTGAAAATCAACGCGAATCGACGTGGCAGACAGCTGCATATGTTTAGATAATATTTTGATTATGAACTAATTTTTTTTTTCTTTCCAAAACTATTCCAAATAACCCTTTTCGTCCGTCAAACAAAAATTATTCCCATTTTGCAATGTTGTTCATTTTGAGAATACCGGTTTCAATTTTTTCACCATTCCATTTTTACTGTCAAATTATTTCAGAATAGTGTTTTTCTTTCAATTTTCAAAATTCATTCCTGTCCTTTCTCAAATTCCAAAAAAATCAAATCATTCCTGAAAATATCAAAAAAAAATTCACATTTCAATTCCAATCAAAAAAATCTTGAATGATAACTTTCAATCTCATATGAAAAGGTAAAAATTTCTTCTATTATTATTATTTTTTGGTTTATTTTTGTATGTATTATGTAATAAATTATTCTTTGAATGTTCCGTTCCGTTCTGACTTTTTAATTCAATTTAATTAAAAAGTGATTGGATTTTTAAAAAATAACCGCACCGACAAAAAAACCAAGTGTTCAGGCAGTGTTTGTTTAAATAACAGAAAGTATGATGATAATAAAATATAATAAATATAAAATAAACTAAACTATCAATTGGCGAGCGGCGCTCAGTTTTCGAAATTCAAAACCATTCTACTTCATTTGTCATATAATAACCATAATAATAAATTATTTTTATTATTTTTTAGTTCATTTCGTGGAGTCCTATGTTTTTTCGTAAAACGTTTATATTATTTTTTGTTTTCCTATTACCGTATACAAATGCGTTGTGGAAATGGGAAAATGCGACAGGTATGTTTGAAAACTTATGGGCTATAAAATGGGGATATTTTCAGAAAATGTTTACATATGAAAGGAGGGCAGGGTTTTTAGTCAAAATTTTTTCAAAATTGGAATACTTATTTTCCGATGTTAATGTGTATACTTCAATGTTGTCTAGGATTTTTTTTGGTAAACTGTATGAGGACATATTGTTAAATTAACACCGAAAGTCTTTTTCGAAGTCACAATACTCTTGTGATACAGTATCCTTTCTCCCCTAAAAATCAATACATTTGCAGGTGGAAATGTAGATGATATTCTTTCACTCATTGTTATGGGAGATCCACAATTCTATTTCATGTGTGAATTAGACAATGTTCAATGCAAGCATATTTCAAAACGTTGCCGAGTTCAATACTCACTTCCAATCGTCAGTTTTCTGACAAATTCTGTTAATTTTCTGATCCTCAAAGTTTCAGAGTTTGGAAGCAGCGGCTGATGAAGTTTTCAATGCAACTCAAAAATTAGGCGCTTCAGTTTGTATCAAAATGGAAAGTCGGTTTGCAAATCGAGTTCAACGTGAAGCAATGTTACGTTTGGTTGGAGAAATGGATCATAAACCAGCTGCTTTGGTTATTGATGGAGATTTGACACAATTTGGTCACTTTGATGAATTAGCGACTTTCAAGGTGGGTCAACAGCTGAACAAGGGTACTCCAATATGAAACCTTTTTTTGGAAATGTTAAATCATATTGCTTCAAGACTTTCTCTGAAATAAGTCACCACAGGACCCTTTTCAAATTGACAAAAAATATCAAAATATTTTTAGAGTCACTGGTATACTGACTTCCCAGTCCCTCTTCTCCTCGGTTTGGGAAATCATGATTATCAAAACAATGTAAATGACTGTGCTTTCAATTTCTGTGCACATACAATGCTCTCCTGGTATGTGGATTATGTGCAAAATAAATCAATTCAAACCGACGTTCGAAGGGAAGTTTTTAATGGACTCGAAGTTGTTTACACGGGAAGTTTGGCGTATACTGAAAGAGTTTGCAGTACATCTCGTAAGTATTCTGAAAAGTAAATCGTAATTTTGAAAATCATGTTCAGGAAAAAATTGTGCGTATTTGATACAGATGAACAATGCATTAGATTATAAAACAGAGTTTTCCTCGCTTTTCGTTCGATGGAATTTGTCTTCACCTTACGAATATGTTGAGAAGGAGTTGGATATTTTGAAGGTTTGTTAGGGAGTAGTTTTCAAAATTTTTCAAAAATGCAAATTAATTTTATTTATTTTGTTTGTTTTCCGTTTTGTTATAGTTTGCTGTTGAGACAACCAAGAATTCAGTTTGAGAAATTGAATGTTTTAAGACATTTATCTCATGAAAATCACGTATTTTCTCTTTCACTTCACAAAAATCAAATAAATTTCGCAGGGCACAAATCTTCCAATTCTCCTCAACATGCATAAATGCGAAAATATTCAATCGCATAAGCTCAAAGCAGTACTCGACAAATTTATGCGCACCATCAAAAGTGAATCGGAGGCAAGAAATGAGATTCCGAAAGTCGGCGTATTTTTCGCGCACATGCATCAGAGACACGAAGTACATTTACATTGTATTCACGGCGTCAAAGTTCCATTTGTATATGTTGGAAGTGTGCCAAATAATAGGTGAGAAAAAAATCTATCTCTTTTTTTACTACTGCTTTTTCCTTTTTTTCTGGACTTTTTTATTCAATTCAATCCAACTCTCAAACTTTGGTCTGTGAGAATTTGATTCATTCACCAAGGGACTTTTTTTCCAGGTTTTCTTTGATAAAAATAAATGGAACCCACGCAACAATAACTGGATATAAAGCAAAGGACAATCTTATGCATAAAGGGGATACAATTGAACATTTGGGAGAGTATAATCTTTGGGGTAAATGCTCATTTAATGAACACTATGTTTTTGCTGATAAATCAACAAGACAAAGATGGCAACACTTTCAAAACACAAAGAGACATTCGAGAAGTCTTGACATTGAGCAAAACGGAGAAGATTGTGATTTAAATTTGTGATTGGCTATATTTTTTGCGCAATAAATGTTTCAAAGCTTTATTTTCCAAAAAAAGTTTGGAATTGTGCAAGTAATATTTTCAAATCTTCAATTCTGAATAATTTTAAAAAATTGTTTTTGCTCCACACATTTTGCTAGTACAATTCCAAGTGTAAACGGGAATACACAAGTTTTGTGTGAAACTTTGAAAAACTCAACCTTTTCTCCTATTTGTCAAGTGGAGTTTGTTGATAACCAAAAACCAAAACACTGTAAGTTATTTCTGATCGGTTCCAGTTAAAACACGTTGTTATCCTGGAACTTCATTCGACCTTGATTTATTAGTCAACTTTTTATTTTTCAAAACTAGAGATCAATGTTTAATGTAAAAATCTTATTCCAAAATCTTCCTCACATAAGTATTAAATTATAACAATGTTTCAATCACCGGTCATAATAATTTCAGTTTCTCCGTTTCAAAATGAAGCCTAAATCAGCATCAGGCCAAATTGTACCAGTATCTCGTGTAGTCATCCTCACATCCAATCTTGTTTTATCATTACAATGAACTGAATATTCTTGAAGTATTCGGAAAACCGTTGTTTTTATTTCAAGAATCGCAAATCGCATTCCAACACATTGTCTTGGTCCAACACCAAATGGCATGAATGCCCGCTTTTGAATTTCAGTCAGTTCAGTAAATCTGAAATTTCGAAATATAGGATAATTGTGTGTTTTAGGAGTTAACCTGGTTGGCCGGAAAGTTTCGACATCGTTTCCCCAAATTAGTGGATCGTGGTGAGCCATCCAAGGATTAAGGATAGTTTCAAAACCATTTTTAAATTCCATGTCTTCAATTTTACAGTCAAATGTACATATTCGATGTTGAAGTCTGAAAAACAATAAAAAAAATATAATAGCTCAATCTATTTCTGAACAAAATCAAATTCAAATATGTTCAAAATTATTCAAAATTTACCAACAGAGAACATTTCTCAATTTCTCCGAAAACCACTTACGGTGAAGCATGTGGATACAATCGTAGTGTTTCAAAAATACAAAATCCCAAATATGGTAGTTCACACAAAGTTTCAAATGAGAAATCTTCAAGCGATCGAATTTCTTCGTATAATTTTTCTTGAACATCTGGGAAGATTGCCAGAAAATTGAATAGTAGAGTCAATGTATTTGCAGTAGTGTCAAAACCAGCAACAGAAATGAATTTGCATTGCGCCACTATTTCCTGAAGTAAAAATATTTTTTTAAACGATAGATCAATTTTCTGCTTTGAAATCGTGTAACCTGAAAATAAAAAATACCTGATTTGATACACGTTTTTCCACTCTCACATTTTTCATATCAATTTTACCATTACCATTTTCTTGAAGTCTTTCATTATTTCGATGTTCGTAGAAAAACTTGAGAATGCTGTAATTTTTCTGCTCGGTGCTGAAATCCAGATAGAAAACACTGATCAAGCATAGCAAATGATCCAAAAAGTCTTTACGGCTTTTATTTGACATTATGAAATTTGACACATCTGCCAAAAAATAGCGAAGTGAAGTGAAGATGACTGAAATTGGTTTTTTCGTTGAAATTACAAAATGTCATTTAAAAAATTAGAAACAATTTTCTCGAAAACCTACAAGATATTTTTTCCCATAAATTATGTTTAAATTCTGCAAATTTTCCAAAAGCATTCATAGCACAAGTTAAAAATTGATTATTCTCAAGTGAATAATTCTCATCTCCCGAATATCCATAAACACATTGAACCATGACAAATGACGTGTGGTTTTGAAATAATCTTTAAAAAACTAAGATTAAAAAATCAAGTGTTATCAATTTTCACCTATGTGATCCATAAATTGAAACTGTATCATTGCCATGTTTGTTCACATGTTCCATAAATTTAGAAACGCATGTGTCCATCGTCGGAAATAGCTGATAAAGTTTTGGTTTTTTAATGTTGAAAAAAGAAACAGGCCAAATTACCGTTTTCAGTTTTGCTGTGGATAGCGCAAAACTTGTGAGTGTTCGAAGTCGTTTCCATCTTTCACCTCTTGCTGCGAACATGTGAATTGTTTCTGATGAAATTGGACAATCTTCGAAAATTTCCGGCTGAAAAAACATGTTTTTTTTTGCTTTCTATTCAAACTTATTCTTATCGAGCTCATTCAACTAATCAGAAATGTCATATATTTTTTCCGTCTCAAAATTTTCCATATGCGTACGTGATTTTTCAAATGTAAAAATAGAGAAAAATATGTTTGACCTCGCTATTTCGAACAAAAATATTGTCTTGGAAAAATAGTACACAAACACGGAAATATTGATAAAAATAGTTATCAGTAAGAATTTGCTCATTTCATAAACAATTATTTCGAAAATCTAGATTCGATTACGAGAAAAAATTATAGAGTTTCGAAAATCCCAATGAAAAAAAATTGAAAATAGCTTACAATTGTCTAATATTTTTAAAAATTTTGAAAAACTTCATTGCAACTCACAATTCTTGAATGAAAACAATCATAATATTTTGTAGAAATCGAATGAATCATTTCAACGTCACTGACAACAACAACTTGTCTCGATCCTCTCATCAAAGAAAATGTATTGTTCTCAATTTTCTTGCAAATTTCCCCATAATTTTCATGCGAATCACATCTATCCAACCAAAATAACCCGGTAAAACCGTAAATGTCAAATTGTGGATTTAACCCGCATTTTTTCAATTGCAAATATAATCGGTACTGTCTGAAAAAAAAAATTATAAAAATGTATTTTTAACAAAACATTTCCAAACCTACCTCAATGTTACATAAAAAACAAATCCAAAAACAGAAATGAGTAATATAATCATGTTCACAGTTGCATAAGTTAACAGGAAAAAATAAAAAATCTGTGATAAGAAAAATATATTATTTTATTGGATGGTCAAAAAAATTGCGTGAGAATCGATAACAACTCAAACCTGACAAACCCCAAACAAAAAAAAGTGTAAATAAAAATGATTTCAAGAAACTGGTGATGATGATAAAAAACGGTGACTAGAAATAAAGTAAAAAAAATATATGAATGATCTTTTGTTGTTTAAACCTGAATTCTTATTGTTTTGATATGTTTGCGTTCAGACTACGTTAGATATCTGTTTATGCCATGTTCCAAACCTTTTTGTACACATTTGTAACGGTTTTTTTAACGATACACATATCCAAAAAAAAACCTTTCGTACTAATAATAGTACACAAAACTGGTCTAATATGAGATAAGGACTACATTCGTGTTGCTTGATCAGTGCAAACTGATTCTTTTTCTGTTGTTCAAAAAAAAATACCTACAACAACGATAAAGTGAAGAATCATGAGATGACGATGTAATAATGTTGGAATAGAAATCATAAAAAGTGTGCTTATCACTTTGTTATGAAATATATAATACTTTCCGAGGTGACAAAGTTGTAAAAAAACAATGCAAAAGCTATAATATTTTCAACAGTATTTTATTGTGTCTGAAATTGAGTATGAACAACTTGGAAAACACTGTTTTCAAATTAATGAAAAAATTGGTGGTGAAGGTTTTTGAACATTAAACTCTATTTGAAATTTGAAATCAGAAGTGTTTGAAAACTGTTTAATAAGCTTTGAAAACTCAATAATTTTTGAATTTATTCTCTTATAGAGCCTACCTTATGAAAATGATCGTACCGATTAAATAGGTTCAGCAAAAATTAGAAATCAACTAACTCCCGATTATTTTTGTCAGAATGTCAAATCCAAAAATGATAATCATATTGGGTTTACTCAATATTCATTAATAATTTGAATACTCACAGTCAGATAATTGTTTGTTAAATTCAACATTTTCAGAAAAACATAGGTGTACTACTCCAAAAAATACAAAACCAAAAATTTTTCAGCAATGTGATTTGCAATTAGGAAACTGTTTGAAAAACAATCATTCATGAAAATCTTGACTTTAACTACACACGTTCTCATAACAAAACATAAAACATGATTTGCACTGTTTTCGCAGGCACCGCTTTTTATTTCCGTTTTTAGCCCGTTTCATTTTTCTTCATTCTGCTTTATTTTTTCCAAAAATGTTCCCAATATCCTCTCTAGAATACTTTCTCAGAAAACTCATTAAACCTCTCATTGCTAACTTCTCTTCTATCGTGAAAAATTCAAACATCCAAGAGTTCAACTTTTCAATTTCTCACACACAAAAATTCCATTTCATTCCACATTCCACTTGACATCAACATATAAATGAAAAAGAAAAGAAATCTTATACTCGTTTATTCAGTAAAGTGAAAAATGGCCAAAAAAATGAGAAGAAGAATGATGATGATGAAAAAAGTCAAAGACAGAAGAAGATGATTCATTTCTTGAGAGCATCATTGAATTTGAATGAGATTTCACCTAGGGATACATAATCGACATAAAGAGCCGCGTATTTTTCATACTTTTCTCATTTTGTTTTTTAGGGTAGATTTGTAGGATGTGTGAACTCAATTTTCCTCTTTTCAGAAAAAAACCAAACCAAAAAAATCCAGTTTCTGAAAAATTACCCTATTCTTCCAATTATTTTTTTGTATGTGTGCTTCTCAACCAGAACCCATAATTGATGAATGTAATCGAGCCTTTTTTTTACATGTCTACGGTGCCACCTCCGTATTATATTTCTTGGTTGTTAATATTTATATTAACAATGTGAGAAAAAAAGAGAAGTATCAAGTTTAAGAAACCAAGTTTTTTGAAAGGTTTTTGAGATTATGATTTTCTGGTTTGAACTTTGAAAAAAATTTATTAGAGTCGTCTTTTTTAAGTGATTATTGTTTCCTAAATGATAGTATTTCAGATTTCTGGGATTAAATTTTGATCTTTAGAAGTTTTTTTTTCATTATCCTCTATTTTTAGATATTGAAAGACGTCTTTTTGTTAATATTCGAATCAATAGATTAGTTTTTGAAAAATTTAGGCTTCCAATAAATGATCAGTTTTTTAAAAGTGAAAGCTTTAAAGTTTTTTGAGAACAAATAAGTTTGTGAAAACATTTGCACATTAAATTCTAGAAGTTGAAATAATTTTTAAAACGTGAAATCTGAATAAATTTTCAACATACTGTCAATTTCCCGTCATTTACGATAACAAGAAATATAATTTAATTGTTCATGTTTCAATGCACATTTTAGTTTTATGCCCACTTTCTTAAAAATGTTGTCAAAGAAAAATTTACATTTCGCTTTTTCAAAGAACATATTTTTCACTGAAAATAAAATCTGAAACAACAATGACCCTGAAAACAATCAAAAAACCCTTTTTTTCCTGAATTTTACCACTCAATGATTCATTCATCATTCTAGTTTCCGTTGTGTCCCCGCAATTCGGTGTCTATTTTCTTTCAATTTTTATTTTCATCGTTTTTTTGCGTATTCCAATTGCTTGCATCACCATCAACCAACCGAACCACTCAAGCAACCTGAAAAATAAAAGAAAATTGTCTTCCGGTAAACCATCAAATATATATTCTTTTCTACTTCTTCCAAGTATTTATTTCTATATTTATTTATATATTTCACCATTTTTCTGAATATGACATGTTCACCAACTTGTCAGTTTCACATAATTTTATTTCGAAAAAATTATATAAAAATGATTGTTTCATATATTTATTTATTCACATAAAATAATATATATCAAATCATTATTTTTTTTTCATCTTCAAGTCGTGGGAATTTTTACTCCCCACTCCACACTTTCTTTTCAACTTCGCTCAACTTGACTTGTCTTGAATAATTTGTCTCACTTTCTCAAAATTTAAAATTTGAATTTTCAGTAATTATGTCGAGTTTGACGGATTTAATCAGCGCCTACCGTAATAATCGCAAAATTTTGCTTTTGATTGTTTATGTCGCCTTATTTTTGGATAATATGTTATTGACAACTGTTGGTGAGTTGAGTGAAAATTTGGGGAAAATAATTGAGCTATACTGTTAAAACATTTAAAAACTGAAGTTTGTGGTACTGTAGTCATGAAAAAATTGTTTCAAAGTTTAACAAATGTTCTCTAAAAAATGTTCAAACATCTGAAATTCGAAACATCAGATATTCACAAAATTCTTAATCAGATGTTACAGTACTCAAAGATTCCTTATTCTATGACGTGACAAAAGTAAGTAGATAATACTGTAATATATAGTAAATATAATTAGTTTCAAGAACAATCTTTGAAAATAACCTGGGAAAAAATGAATTTTTTTGTTCGTGAGAAAACGAATGTATGCTCAAAAAATTGTGGCTTGTGCTCAATTTGATCTTTCTATAATTCGGTGAAGAAAAGGAAAAACTAACAAAACGTCGAACTACAAAATTAATAATAATATTTTTCAAAAGTTACGGTATTCTAGAAAACAAAATAGTATTGAAATTCAATATAAACATTTATCTCTAGAACTCTTTAAAAAATTCAGTTCCTATTATCCCCGAATATCTTATGCGTATGGAACATCCAAACGAAACCGACTTGCTCTTCGGCGCTCAACGACATAAACGTCAACTCGACAATACTTGGGATACACCATATGAACAAGAAGGATGGGATGAGAATTTGTCAACTTTCGATGATGAAGAAGAAGAGGAAGAAGAAAAACCACCAAGAAGAAAATCACAGAAAAATCGAGGAAAAAGTTATAATGATAGGTGAGACTTTGATAAAATATGAAATAAAATCCGTTTGATTTTTTAGAAACAAGTATATGAAACCAGCCGCAAGTAAACCATTTTCACCAAAAATCGAGACGACAACAATGATTGATCGCCATAAGTTGATGACGTCTGAAAATGTTCATGTTGGATTTATGTTTGGTTCCAAGGCGTTGGTGCAACTTTTGGTGAATCCGTGGATCGGACCACTCACTAATAAGTAATGTTTATTAACAATTGTTTTATAGAGGAAACTTGAAACGTTAGGTCGAAAATTGATCTTATTTCACAAAATAAAACTTCCATAATTGAACCAAAACTTTAAGAAAAACAATTTTCGAACTACAAATTTTAATATTGTTCAGAATTGGTTACACTCTCCCAATGTTTGGTGGATTTGTGATAATGTTCAGTTCCACCATTCTCTTCGCATTTGGCGATTCTTATTTCACCCTCTGGTTAGCTAGAGCTCTTCAAGGTGTTGGTTCAGCGTGCACTAGTACATCAGGTAAATTTAAAAAAAAACAAAAAAAATTCGATCAGGATGAGATTCGAACTCACGCGGGGAAACCCCAATGGATTAGCAGTCCATCGCCTTAACCACTCGGCCACCTGATCAGACGACAGAGTCAGCACACAACCCCAATATGTGTTGCCTACAGCGTCTTTTCTCTTGTTCTGTCTCTATTTCATTTTTTTTTCCTCCGCTATCTGTTTTTTTTTCTCTTTTTTTTTACAAGGCCAAATTTTTTTTCAGGGATGGGTATGTTGGCTCAAGCATACCCTGATGATTTGGAACGTGGAAGTGCTATGGGAATTGCGTTAGGCGGATTGGCTTTGGGTGTATTGGTGGGACCACCCTATGGTGGCCTGCTTTATCAATGGAGTGGTAAAGAGTTGCCATTTGTTTTGCTCGCTATGTTGGCACTTTTCGATGGAAGTTAGTAGGGATTTTTTTGAAGAAACAAAATGTAAAGCTATATTTTAGAAATTCAACGTTTAACATTTTAATATTGGATAAATTGAGAGAAAAAATGTTTTTCAATGTTTCAAGTTGCGAGCCTTATCTGAATTTTTTTCCACCAATTTATGTAGAATCCGTATATTTTTCTAGCCCTTCAATTTATGGTCCTTCAACCGAAAGTTGATCGTGGTGAACCAGAAGGTTCTACCATCAAAGAACTCGCCAAAGACCCCTATATCATCGTAGCTGCTGGTGCTATCACTATCGGAAATCTCGGAATCGCCATTCTCGAACCTTCACTTCCACTTTGGATGATGGAATCTTGGGATGCTGATGCTTGGGAAAGAGGTGCAGCTTTCCTTCCCGCTTCAATTTCCTACTTGGTTGGAACTAATATTTTTGGACCACTCGCTCATCGAATGGGAAGGTAATAATTATTTTTCGAGAACAGAAACATTGAAATGTTTTTATAGATGGCTCTCTTCATTCATCGGACTCGTTGTTATTGGTTTCAGTCTTTTGGCAATTCCTTCAGCTGCAGGATTGGGTGGTTTAGTTATTCCAAATGGTCTTCTTGGTTTCAGTATTGGTATAGATTTTTGTTGGGGATTTTTTAAAAAATGGGAATCTTTTTTAAAATTTTGAAAACAAGTTTTGAAAGTCCACTGACTTTTTCTTCGATTGACAGAAGTATAATTGAAAGTGTTCTTTGAAAAAAATAATTCAGGTATGATTGATGCTTCAATGTTCCCACTCATGGGTTATCTCGTGGATATTCGTCACGTTGGAGTTTATGGCTCGATTTATGCTATTGCCGATGCTGCATTCTGTTTTGCCTTTGCTATTGGACCTTTCGTTTCCGGACCACTTGTCAAAATGTTTGGATTCTCAACGTAAATAATTTTCACTTTTAAAGCTCCATTATTTTATTTTTTCCAGAATGATGTATCTTATTGCAATCATCAGTTTCCTTTATGCACCCTTGATGTTCCTTTTGAGAAACCCACCAGTTCTGATTGACCCAACTACTCAAACTCCAGAAGTAATACATTTTTACCGCCTATATTTTAGATTGAAATGATACATTTTTGTTACAGGTTGCTAGGCCGAATGGTGAGCCAAGAATCAGTGGTGAAAATTATGAACGTATTGATGGTATCAACATGGCTAGTCAAATTCAGCACAATCAAATGTATTCAGCAACCAGCGCTTTTTAATGTGTCGTATTTCTTTTTTTTTTTTTTAATAATTTTGTGTTTTGTAAAAGAATCTCATCTAAATTTACTTTAATTTAAGAAAAATATATATATGCTTTATTATTTGGAATTTGAAATTTTCATTTTAATTTTGGTAGATATGATTGGCAACAGATTTTTCTGAATTTTTATTAGATTAATAAATGATTGTCGTGTTTGTGGAACATAACTTTGTGAGCACAAAAAATCGAGAAAATTCTCCTGTTTGATTTCACAGGTGATTTTGGATTTTTGCAAACTGGAAAAATTATATACAAAAAATGAAGTTATTGAAAATATGATTTACTATACAGCAAAAAACAAATATTATTCCAGTAAAATCAAATATTATTCCAGTAAAATTTTCATTTTTTCATTCTTATTTTCAGTCAATTTTTCAGCTGATTCAAAAAAAACTATCTTTTTGCCCCATGACAGTCTAATGAGCTCTGATTTTGCACTTTAGTCGCTCAAAATTTCAAAAATTCTCAAGCGTCAAAGTTCCAATTTTTCCCCACTTCTTTCATTCACTTTAACACCTCCACTATTTTTTGTTTTCCATATTTTCAATACCCTACAGAATTTGTATGCACTTTCCTTTTTCTTTTTCTTTTCATGAAAATTATTCCCAAATATCTTTAGTGCCTTTCATTTTATTTTCTGGTTTTCTGATTATCAGATAACTTTTCAGATTCTTAAAAAGAAGAAATGAATTGCTCTGAAGATGCTGAACTCATTACGCATCCTCTTTTCTACCTCGCTTCGATAATCTGTATTTTATCATCGATTTTAGCCTATGTCTTTGTTATATTCTTATTCAAAACGTATGCTCTGAAACTTTTTTGGCACCTCAACTTCAGAGTGAGTTTTTATTTTATTTTCACAATCCGTAATGTTTCAACATCTAGATCCTGTTTTTCTTGAACATCGCAATCTCCTTTCAACTTTCCACAGTTGTGTTAATCAACTTCTTCAATTATTTTTTCAAATTATTGACGGAAGATAATATTTGTGATGTTCTTGTTCGAGTCAATGATTGCTTCATAATACGATTTCTATTTTTGTGAGTTATTTTTGTTTTTCAATCAACAAAAAAAGTTCAGAATATTTATTGGATAAGTTATTTTTACGCAAAACAAAACAACACGAAAAATATAATGATATAAATATGATTTAGGTTTTCGTTTATATCAATTACATTGAATCATACAGCAATGATTATTGAGCGATTTTGGGCAACACGGAAACTTGCAAATTATGAAAACTCAAATGGGATGTTTGGAACAGTTTTGGCAATTCTCACAGTTAGTATTCTCTCATTTTTATTAAAAATTCGGTTTTAGACACTAGACATCAGGACACGAAAAATAGGCTGATGTCATACACAGAAAAAAGATTTATTGGTTTTGGAAAATCAAATATTTTTTTTGAAAATGCATTCTAATTGTAAATTAATATTTTCCCAAAAGTTGAAGAAAGTAACATTATAATGTCTGTTTGATCTTTTCATAGTTCAATCGCAAATGTGATATTACTTTTTTGACAAAAAGAGCTCTTGAGAATTATTAACGATTCTCAAATTTTGATTTTCTCACGCGGACTACAATGCTCTTGAGATGTCTGTTGAAATGTACTTTCTTTAAAAAGTACTGGAAACCTGGTGAATTGGAAAATGGAAATTACAATATTAAGAATAAATTGAACAAATCTGAGAAAATTTTAAAATATATTAACATTTTTCGATAATTTTTCCAAGCCTGCAATAACTAAACCGAAACAAAAATTTTCTCCCGTTCATTTTCAGATCACAATCGGAACAATAATGATCTATTTCGTAATGCTTCCTGATGATGGAGAAGAACTAATGCCAACTTGCTTTTCATTTTCAGCTACAAAAATGGGCAATTATTTGTACATAATGTACAGAGTTCAATTTGTCGTTCAATGTTTTGTTTTCCTTTTTCATCGATGGCTTACTTACATGAACTCTGAGAAAAAGTTCCGAAATACTCAAGAATATTTGACTCAACGTTTCCAAAGGTCAGAAAACCTAGCAGTTCTCCAACAAACCAACCCATTGGTTTTGACAAGTGCCTGTTTTATTGGGAGTTATATAATCGTTGCTTCATTAGTTAGAATACTTCAAGATTATATCACAAAAAATCAATACATCTTGATAAATTTCTATATTTTTGTAAGATTTTGCCTATATGAATTTTTTAAAAATGTAAAACCCAAAAATTTGCAGATCATCCCACATATGCCGTTTGTTATGATGCTCGGAGCTTTGCATATGCTTCGAAAAGCAAACATCAAGAAAAAAGAATCGGTTGAAAAAAACATTCAAATTGAAATAAAACATCTTCGAACCTTCACTAACAATTTTTATAAATGGGATAGCATTTATGACAATCGACATGGCATAAAACATCCTTCGAGTCGCAAATGGGGACTTGTTCGAAATGTTGTTTCAGTAACTAAATAATTTTTTGTTATTTTGAAATTTAAATGCTCAAAGATCTTGTAAATACTTTGTCGTATTGTCGTTTTTTTTTGAAATACAAAACAATAAAGAATGATATCATTTACATCTGGGCAATTACCGTAAGATTGTACTTCGTTATCGAAAACACATATGTAATTGGGATTTATAGTACATTTGGGACTATTTTGTTTTTTTTTGCTGATAACATGTCTAGAAAACAATGATAATTTTGTAACTAGAGATTTGCGGAAACAATTGTGGAGTGCCATACACACCGCTAATTACAGAAGTATGGAGACTGCAGTACCCCAATGAATGTTTGAAATAAGAATTCTGAAGTCTTGTAGAATAATTTTCAATATATAGCTATTAATTAGTGATTTTTTTTCTGAAATCTATCATGTCTGGAAAAACTATACATTGATTTTTTAAAAGTTCAATAGAAAAAACTCAACCATTAAAAATTAGCTTTTGTAACTTGTACTTTGCGGATCAGTTATCTCAATTTTTCTGAAAAACAAACTTCTCTTCAGTTTTCCTTGCATTTAGATTTTTTGTTTTTCCCACAGTAAAGAAGCGCTGAATTTTAGACGTTTTGAAAAATAAATAACTCTCAAAAATCCACTTCTGGTGGTTTAGAAAAATAAGGAGATCTTAATTTCCGTCACAAGTACCTTTATCTCATATTTTGCAGAACTGACAATATTTACGCCTGGGACTCACCAAAAACTCGTGCACTCTTTTTAATTGCGTTTTTAAGAATTCTACAGTAATTTTGTTTTGACTACTTGATCACTATAAAAACCCACTTCAGATTTGCAATTCCATTACGACAAAAGTCTTGCAGGAAAAAATGGAAAACTGTGAGACACGTGGCAAAATCTACCATCACCCTCTATATATTTTTCCCGTGGCGAACGGAATGATATCAGCTTGGTTGACGTTTCCCATTGTATACAAAATTCTGAAAAACTATGCCTTTCAGGTTTACTATCATCCAAACGTCAGAGTAAGTTAAAAAAAATCGTCTATGTCAAAAATTACAAACTTTCAGATTCTGCTTGGTGTCACACTTTTCAGTTGTATTATTTTGGCTTGTGCAACAGTATACTCGTCCGGGATTTTTATGTTGAACATGTTTGTCAAATCAAACACTTGTCAAATGTTTTTAGAAACCAGAGATTGCTCATTTGTCAGATCTTCTTTTCTGTGGGTTCAAGAATTCTTATGATTTCGAAAATGAACAGTTTTTTTCAGATTTGCGTTTTGTGTGTTGACAACAAGTCATTTCAGTTTGTTAGTGGAAAGAATGATTGCAACATATCGTCTAAGTCAATACGAAAAACAGGGTCATCTTCTCGGAATCTTTCTATCAGTTTTATCTGTAAGTGTTAGAAAAATACTTCAAAGCTACAGTTCAGTTTTCAAGATTCTCATCTCTGGTTACATCATTCATATCGTTCTTCAACCGGAAGATCCTTCAGAACTAATCACAAGTTGTATGACATTCTCTGCATCAAAATCTGTTGGAGCAAATATCTACAGAATGTTAACATTTCAATTTTTCGTCGACCTTGCTCTTTTCCTCATACACGCTTACTTATGGAAGCTGAATATCTCTAACCGGAAATATTCAACAACGCTGAACCTGTCTGGAAAATTTCAACAAGGCCAAAACATCAAAATTTTGCGTCAAACTTCGTCATTGATTTTGACAAGTAGTGCAACCATTGGGATTTATATATTTATTATCTCAATTTTTCGAATGTTCAAAGATTATCTTCCTGATAATTGGTATGAGTTAATTGCCGCGAATTTGTTTGTGAGTTTTTTACTCATATGAAAATAAAACAATGAGCAATTTTCAGATAATGCCATATCTTCCATTCATTCTGACATTAACAATGTATTTCTCTTTGCGAAGAGACTTGAAAGAAAGATCTGCTCATCATCAAAACAGTTTGTTCACGCAAAACAATTTTAATAAGAATTATTTCAAAACGACTTCTGATTCTTGGGACATGGAATATCATGAGATGAGAAAAAGAGGAAGTTCTCTTCCAGTGTTAACTATTTGATGTTTTATTCATATTGAATAACAATTTTGTGGATAATAATAAATAAAGTTTTTATTTTTTGTTAGTGTGTTTTATCGTGACATACAAATTTAAGTTGGTTATGATATAATGATATTTTTCAGATATTTCGAGAAAGATCACAGTGGTATACTATTTTTTTAGTTTTTTTTATTTATTTCATGGGTGTTTGGAAATATATTTTTTTTAAATAATGATCTTCTACTTTCATGTGTCATCTTTAGAAAGCATTTTTTCGTAATTCGCAAGATCAACTCTACAATATTATTTATAGAAACCAGTTTCTTAAAATAACTGAAATGTATTAAGGGCAAAAACATAATTGTTGCGAGCAACGAAATCAACTCAAGCTGAGTCAAACTTTAAATAATTAAATTTCCAAATTTTATAAACAATGTTATAACATTTCTAGGAATTGTCTATTCAAGTCAGCAAACTATACATTTTTGGCTCATGTGCTCATGTGTCTCTTTTTCAAATTTAGGTACACAAATTGATATTTCATTTGAGAAGTTAAAAGTCAGCAAACTTTTAGTCACATCAATGATATTTCAGTTTTTAAAACAATTAACGAAATGTTACTTGATTCGTTCAAAGTAATAATATTTTCGATTCATTTTTGTTCACTTTTATTTCCAAAAAACTTTTGTTGGTAAAAATTTTTAATTTTTTTTTCTGGATAAAAATAACATCAAACTACAGTATTTTGATAATTTCACACGAAGCTACAATATATTTTTTGTAATTCGAAAATGTAGTTGTATAGCCAAATTATTGTATTTTTTTTAAATAACGTACTTTGATCCAAGATATATATTTTTTAAAAATATCGTGTCTTTGTTTTACTCTCTAGATATTTTCTGCCTTTTTCAATTATGAAATCAATTAATTTCATTCTAAGAATTGAAAAAAAAGTTCAACGGTTTAACGTATAAAAATTTTTCTCTTGGGATTTAATGCCATTTTAAATAAAAATGAGTGATTATCTTAACAGAATTCTTTGTTTCATCCATTTCAAACATCTAGATTTAGTGTCAGAAAAACTATTCTGATGTGAGTTAAAACTATATTATTTTTTAGTTTTTTTCTCATAGGCTGATTCTTGGAACTTGAAATTTTATTTTTAAATCTATCTTATTTGTTTGAGTGTTTTTTCCAGACATATTGCGTGAGATTTAGAAATTAAAAAAACGTCATTTTGAAAGGTTTACTTTCCCCCTACACTTCAAGTTCTAGATTTTCAAATTTAAAGTTGTTATTCATGACGAGTGTCTCTCACTACTTTATTGTATTCGAATTTCGAAAATTGTATTTTATAATTAGTTTTCTAGAAATGATAAACAACTTTTGTTTTGTTTCTTAATGTTTGAAAAGTTCAGAATAGTGACTCATTGGATCGCTGTTATTTCCAAACTTTGTATCACTAAAATACATGTGGGAAAATAGAGACATTGGGAAATTCACCGTTTGGGAAACGCTAACATTTTCAAAATATATTTGACGACGTTTTTGGTTGAAGGTAACAAGGTTTGATTTCCCCAAAAGTTTAGGAAAAAAAGTATTCGCGCGTAGTGACGCAGGAAGATATTGTATTCGGAATGTATATTCAATAACATGTTTGTTTGAAGACAGAAAAAAAGAACTTTGATTATTTTCTAACAAGTTTGCTGAACTTTTAAAAAATCTCATTGTTGTATAATTTAAGACCGTGATTCATCCTAGAAATAATTGAATAGCAAATAAAGTTTTATTCTCGGAATGCGTACCATTTCCAAATTAAATTGTTTCGTTAATTAAAAATGATTCATCTTGGCCAACCACCACGCATTTTCTGAATCTGTGCCAAAAAAAGTCAAAAAATTTGGAACGCTTCACGAATTTGCGTGTCATCCTTGCGCAGGGGCCATGCTAATCTTCTCTGTATTGTTCCAATTTTAGTATATGTTCTCGGAAGAACGAAAACTAATATAATTCATCTAGTTATATAGGTAGGGTGAAACATGTGGCCGACGTTCCGCGGGGCAGGTAAGGTGATATAAAAATGGGAATTTAAAAAAATGTGTGAAATTTCACACATTAGTAGATAATAGTCTTTTTTAATTCCCTTTCCTTATACCTGGATAAATTTGATTCTCTGATCACTTTGATGAAAAAAACAGAGCAACATTTGTAGCTGGGACTACTGACGCAAATTGCCGATTAGTAACAATCTTGTATTCAAATTTCGTATTTGATAATATGGTTTGCAAGGTTGCAAATTCGAGAACTTTAGTCTTTTACTGATGGATATCCATCTCATTATTAATATGATGAGAATTGTTGATTCATCAAAAAAAAACCTTTTAATTTAATTCAAGCAATGATTCATTCTAGAATTAATCTAATATTGACTAAAGTTTCAATTTGGGTATGCCTACCATTTCAAAATTAAAAAGTTCATTTTATTGAAAAATGACTCATCTTTAATCAAACATTAGCTCCCTCACTATTTGGAGTTCCAGTCTTTCTGATGAAATGCAAAAAATTTTGAACGCTTCATGAATTTGCGTGTCATCCTTGCGCAGGGGCCATGCTAATCTTCTCTGTATTGTTCCAAGTTTAGTATATGTTCTCGGAAGAACGAAGACTAATAATGCACTTCTAGTTATATAGGTAAGGTAAAACATGTGACTGACGTTTTGCGGGGTAGGTAAAATTATATACAATTGTGCACGTAGAAAAACAGAGAGATGTGTGAAAGTTCTCACATTTTTGATATTCGTTCGGATTTTTTATTACAAACTTTGTATCACCAAAATGCATGAAAAAATTCTTCGAATTTATTTGGCGATTCCTTTATTTCTGTTTTAATGTGTTGACAATGTTGGACTTTCCGAAAATTGTATCCGCGCGTAGTGACGCAAGAAGATATTGTATTCGGAATGTATATTCAATAACATGTTTGTTTCAAGACAGAAAAATAAGAACTTTGATGATTTCCTAACAAGCATTATGAAAAGTTGCTGAATTTGCTGAACTCTGGAAAAAAATCTCATCGTGGTATAATTTAAGACCGTGATTCATCCTGAAAATAATTGAATAGCAAATAAAGTTCTCGGAATGCATACCATTTCCAAATTAAAATGTTTCGTTAATTAAAAATGATTCATCTTGGCCAACCACCACGCATTTCTCAAATCTCTGCAAAATAATGCAAAAAATTTGGAACGCTTCACGAATTTGCGTGTCATCCTTGCGCAGGGGCCATGCTAATCTTCTCTGTATTGTTCCAATTTTAGTATATGTTCTCGGAAGAACGATAACTAATATTGCTGATCTGGTTATATAGGTAGGGTGAAACAAATAGCCGACGTTCCGCGGGGTAGGCAAGGTGATATAGAAATGGTGTAATGGGAATTTGTGCAAACATTTGCATATTTTTTGTTATCTCTTTTTTTGTTGGTTCTTTTGGTTTGTTCTAAAAGCTTTTTCACATCATTTTTCATTATTCTCGTTTACTTAAATTAAACATCAAACTTTTTTTCATCATCTTTTTCTCTTTTTTCAGATTTTCTCATTATTTAAATTCAATGTGTACTTTTAGAAATATTATTTTTCATTAAAAATCAACTTCGAGTAAAAGTCGCTCTTATTATTTGGTTCTGTGGTAGAAAACGCTAATTAGGAATTCCCAATAGATTATAGATCTTTTCAAAAATTGTCTTGCAATACGCGGTTACTAGGTGATAACCCTTGATTTTGATTTTTTGCTCAATGTATTTTAGACTGTGTATTTAAAAATATTAACCTACAATTACCGACCAACATTATGAATTGTTTTTTTTTCAAGCCCACAAGAATTTCTATTATTTCATTAAATTTAATTTCGAATTGTCGTCTGGGCGTACATTTCTCGTTTCTTGAGCACGTTTGTGGGCGGAGCCTATTCTTGCGAATTTCAAAAATCTCTTCATTTTCATTTTCAGTTTTTGTAAGCTAATCGTGCTCTGGAAATCGCTTTCTCTCTCTACTCGCCAAAATGATCAAGGATCTTTCAACAATGTGTCAAAAAATGCAGCAATCTTTTGATATCAATGCTTACTGGCTCCCAGCCTTCCATAACAGCATGGCTAGTCTTATTTCGGGATTTTGTGCTCTCATTTTGATATATCACGCCAACTTTCGTCAAATGGCCTATCATCTAAACGTCAAGGTATGTTGGAGAATTGAAAAAAAACACATAAATGCTCCCACCCTCCATGGAATCCACACCAAATTCACCACAATCTAATGCGTTAACCATTTGACTACACGTCATTTTAAAACAGTGAAAATTCTTTTGACACGTTTTTTTGTTTTGCAATTACTTGATGAGCATAGTTCACATCTCGCAAAAATCTCTTGGCGGCTGAAAATGAACGTCATATTTATCATATTTGTCAAAAATTTGTACTCTTTGTCAAATACAAATACAATATCAATTTGACAGCAAAATAGACGTCAATTCACGTCAATTTTTTTTGAAGTTATAGAAATTACAATGTAAAAAATTGGAAAGAGCTCTACAGTATTCCATAGATTGAAAAAAAACTACCGTATTCTAGCAAGCTGGATATTTATATATTTAATTTGTGGTAAAACAAATTGTACTCACAATTAAGTTCAAAATGCTATATATTTACAGTATTCTAAACTACAACTTATATTTTCAGTTATTATTTTGGATAGAGAAAAAAAATGTTTAAAAAATAAAATACCAGAAGTTTTATGAGTTACAAAAGCGAGAATTCTATATTTGCAAAAAATACTTGCAATATCACATCTGAATGTGAGAACAAACTTCAATTGACATCAAACTTTAAAAAAAACTTAATAACACCCTTTAAACATCGCAAAAACTTAGTGGTTAAAGATTGGATTAGTAGACTCTAAAAACATCCAGTGTTTATGTTCACTTCAATGCAATCAACACAATTAATTTTTAGATTATCCTGATTGCAATTATTTTCACCAATTTGGTCATTACCGGAACAACTTCCTACAACTTTTCTTCGTTTTTCTACAAAAATCATTTCCCATCGGATAATTGCGAAGATTTCTTCTTTGTTACTTCACAATGCTCGCAAATTCGCAAAATGTTCATCTGCGCTTTTGTTTTCCAAACTTGCTGCCATGTTTTGCTTGTAATCGAAAGAACTTGGGCCACTTTCAGACTTTCGAAATATGATAATGATAATTGTGTGATTGCTAAAGTTGGAATCTTCATTTCGGTGAGTTTTCATGAAAGTTCAAGAATAGCTTTAAAAATTTTCGATCAAAATACCACTTACCTCGTGACATCAACAGACAGATAATTGAAAAAAAAATCCAATTTTGGCTGGGCAAAAGTTTAATGAAAAAACATTTTTCTAATACAGAATGAAAAATCAAAGATTACTCGCTCGCTATTCTGATGTCACCTGATTTATTATATTTATTTTGAAAATGTTCATTTTCAAAAACATCCTAAATTTTTCAGCTTCTGATTTCAATGGTCACAACACTTTTGGTAACAATGGATGAAAAGGAAGAACTTATGACAACTTGTATGGCTTTTTCATCGACTTCAATTGGAAACAACATTTTCGTCATGTTCCGCTTTCAAGCTTGCATTGAGATTTGCTGCTTTTTCGCTTATTATTATCTTCACAACTTCAATCGCTCAAAGTCAGTTTTTTTGTTGAAAAACAATTTTTTCTAAATATAAATATGAAATTCAGGAGGCACCGCTTCATGAATCTTAATGACCAATATCAACTCGATGAAAATGTTCAAATGATTCGTCAATTCTCCCCACTCTTCCTTGTTTCGACTGGTTTGATCTCGATCTATCTGATGGCCATTCAACTGCTCCGTTTGTTCCGCAACTGTTTCACCGCCACTGAATACCGTAGCATTGCAGTTAACATCTTTGTGAGTTTTTAATGAGTTCAAGAAACCCTCTACATATATCATAAAGAATTTTTCTGAAGATTCCAAAGGTTGAATTTTTTTCGCAAAATAAAAAACATGATGTCTAGTTTCGAACTTCATAACAAAAAAATCTTAATTCATTCAAGCCCTTCCGATCCAGTTACCCAAATTTATTATATTCATTCTTTAAAAATTAAATTTTTTCAGATCATCCCACACATCTCCTGCGCATCATTCCTCATTATCCTCTACATGATGCGTAAAATTCACAAAGAACGTTTGGAAACTCGTCTCAAAGCGATTGACACTACTTTTGTCGAATCTCGTGCTCATATGGACACTATAATGAAGCACTGGGATAATTTATCACCCCGAAAACTTGATTAATTGTTTCCCATTTGTTTGTTCCTAATTTTTCTGAACTTACATTTAGAACCCTTGTAGAAATTGATTAACATATCCATTCATTTGTTTTTTTTAATCCAGACCCTTACCCCTGTAGTTTCTGAATCGGCCCTGACAATAATTGAAAAAATCATTAATTTTTCTCCAATCTCTTAAAAATTGTCTTGCCCAATTTAGAAGCGCCGTGTTGCTCTTATGGTCTCTATTATTAATATTATCATTGTAGCTTTTATTTTCATGTTTCTTTCCCGAAATATGTTTGCTTGCTTTATTTTTATTATTTCTTGTGTTTTTGTATTGTCGCTTTTGAAAAACTGTTGTGTTTCTATTTTGCTTTTTTTTCGTAATTTTCATATTTTAATCGTCTTTTTTCTTGCAATCGTAGTTTTTTTTCTAATTTTCTGCTTTTCTGTATTCGGTTTTTAATAATAAAGTTCAAAAAAGCACAAACTTGGATACCTGCAAAACTTCTACCTGTGAGTAAAATTTTTTTGGAATTTCATTTTGAATGTAGTAAGCTTTTGAAAACGAAAAAATTATATGAAAATGTTCTGCGAATATGATTTATCTTATTTTAAAATATATTTATTCCAATTTTCTCAACTTACATCAATTCTCAATTTCTCCAAATCGAATAAATCTATTGTCCACTATTCTCAATGAACACCAGCTGTTATTTACCTCGACACGCAAAATGCCGGAAAAAACTTCATTTTGTCGTTTGCACTTTGATCATCAATTCAATTGACGTTTTCTCACATTTTTTTAAATTCCCAAAAAAAAGTTCGTACCTTCGCATCAAATTTCATATTCATATTCATATTCTTTTTTTTTTCTGAAATATGTTCTCAAGAATGTATTAGTTTTGACAAAAATTATAAATAAATAGGTAATCTATGAAAGTCCATTCTCACGCCCAAAACTACAAACTTCAAAAGAATCTGAAAAAAAAAACTACAACAGGTGTGTGACTAACTCAACTAAAAAACTTGTTATTATTATTTTTCGATATTTTTATTAAATATTATGAATATAATGGAATATGCGAGAGTAATAATATTATGACTAAACTCCTATTCAGCCCCGTTTTTGTGTTAGAGCGCGTAAAGTTGTACAATAAATATTTGCACTTCTTTCTTCTTGGGAGCTTTTCGCCTTTTTCGAGTGTTTTCACCCCTTTTTTTGTATTATTCGTCTTTTGTACTCAACGTGAAGCGGTTTTGTTGGTTGTCTGCTCAATTCTAATTCTTTTAAATGAGGAAAAACTCAACTAATTATTTTTTTGTACAGTCTTTGGAAAAAATCGGTATTTTTCAAGTTCAAAATATTTTAGAAGTCTTTTTTTGTTTTTTTTTTGAAGTACCATACCTCGAGACGAACATCAAACAAAATTGAGATTCTTTCTGTTTGTGGTTTTTGAGGCGTTAACAACAATATTTTTGGCTAATAAATCTAACGCCTTGAAAAATCAGGCAATAATTTTTGATCTAAAAGTTTGATTTACTGGAAAACAACTCTAAATTGCGATATTTTAATAAATATATTTTCTTCGTAACAATTTTCTAAATTCGTCTGGAATTCAAAATAACCCCACTAAAGTTTCAAATATCTTTACAAATTTCTAATTTCCTAATTAACCTTTTTTCGAATAAAACATTCTTAAATCGAAGCCCCTTTCAGTTTTGACATTGATATTTATTTCTATTCTGTAGTTTATCCTTGAAACGCATAATTCGATTAAATCACATAAATTATCTTTTTTCCGAGTTCACCAAGTTTACAATCGGGTTAAATTTATGATGCTTCATTTTTTCTCTTTTTTTTTCGAAAAACAAAAAAAACTTTTCCAATTATTCATTTTTTTGCTAGATACATATAAAAATAGGATGTCTCTACAGTTGACCTGCAAGGTGTGTGTATGTGCATTTAAAATGAGAGAGTGTGTGATTTGAAGAGAGTATAGGGATAAGAGTCGATTACGAATACACGCACGGTCACTCATGTGTGCTAGCTGTTTTTTTTTGTCTCTCTGTGTGTATTATGTCATATTGTGATGCGCATCCCGCCATTTTTTTGCTTTTTTCTTATTTTTCATTTTGTGAATTTTATTATTTAAATGAAAACCAGGGAATATTTCCCGGATTTTCACTTCTAAGTGAAAAAATTGTTTTAGAATCGTATTCAGCATTTTACAATATTTTTCTTTTTCTGACATTGAGGATAGAATGTTTCCTTTTTTTAGATTTTTGATATTTCTAAAATCAAAACTTTTTGAAAATTAGGAATTGAATAAGGTTCTGAAATTCTTCGTATTATTTTTCAAATCTCACACCTTAAATTTCAACTGTTTTTAAAATTTTTAAGATGTTAAATTTTTTATTGAAAAAAAAACATTCATTGTAGAATACAAATATTGTAAACTTTCATAGGAAATACATTTCAAAAAGAAAACAATAAAATTAACATAACAAGAAAAAACGTGATTTCCAATTTATTTTACAACATTTTTCCCGAACCACACCCTGTTTTTCATAGTTTTTTCTACTGTCGGGAAACTTTGAAAGGACTATTTCTAGTCAGTCTATCATTTAAAGGTGTGTCTTTAAGAGAATGATAATAATTATAATTATATAGTCACCTTTTCTTGATTGTTATCTTCATTTTGTTGTGATCGAGGTTATCTCCAGGTTTTCCTCGTAATCTTAATCTTGTACAAAAAATTGTTGGATATGTACAATAATCCAGTTGGTTTACCTCATTTTCCTCACACTTTTTTATCCGAATAGCAGATGGTATTTGAAAGTGATGTTACTTGTACAGATGTTACCCATATATGTGTTTTTTGCCTATGTTCTTGCCGAAAACGTGTCCATTTTTTTGAGTAAAAAACGGTTGTATAAATGTGGATTTTTGTAGGCATTCCTGTCATTATTCTGCGGAGGATCAACAATGTCTGTCATCGAGGTTAGTTTTTTTTGGATTTCTTCGATAGTTGAGCTAGGGTAAACCTCCTTTGAAACATTCTGGATATTTTTATTTCTAGAAATACACATTATGTTCTCTGAAAAAAAGATAAAACAATATCTGATTTGAAAACGTTCTAAAAATATAAATGCAATATTCATATATATTTTCAACTTGATTTTATGAGCTCAATTCTGCTATTTTTTCCTGATCAATTTGATGCTTTCTTTCTATACACAATCTGTTCTCCAAGTTTTTCTAGAATTTGGAACATTTCCAGCTAAAAAGTCAATCGTTTTCTCTGAAAATATTTGCAGATCTGATAATCAGATAATCTTGAAGAAATTCGGTGTACTCTTGATCTATATTTTATTTTATCGTTAGTTGTATTTTCAAAAAAAAAACATTTCACAAGAAAAATTCTAGATATTTAATTTCGTTTTTAATCCAATTAATATCAAAACCGTAATTACGAAATTCAACTACAAACCAGATTTTTCCTCAATTTCAATCACACCTGTACATAAATTCTTATATCAAATTAATTTTTCCCTAAATAATTTTTATTATTCTAAAAAATGTTGCCATCCGGCTATTAATCCAAAAATCCCATAAAATTCTGCGCAATTAGTCATCGGTCCACCGAACATTTTATACAGTTTTTTGTCTTCCAAATGTATTAGTGATGAAAAATGTGTCTCCTCTTCCTTAGGTCGGTCGTTAAATTTTTGTCTCTACATATTCGCGCGTAGTTCTCTTCTCTTTTTTATATTTTTAGTTTTGATTTTTGTTGTTATCAGCATATTATCAGCAAACATTTTTCGTGTGTTCATTTTCCTTTTTTACTTTGCTAAAACCATGTACTTTCTATTTTTCTTATGTTCTGATGACGTTAGATTTGTTATTCTTCTCAATTTTCCGTTTTTTTTCAAATAAAAATTGAAGCCCTACCCAATTGAAAATTTTGTAAAAAAAAGCGATTTTCATTTTCCCATAACACTTTGTTTTATACTCATTTTCACATAAAAAGAAAAAGAAAAAACGAAAAAAAGTGTAACTGTTTTATTTTCTGATGATATAGTATTGTAACAAAAAGATATATGGTTTTATTTCATTAGTTTTTTCGATGATTCATTTTTAGTTGAGTGGTTCTGAATCAGAACTTCTGATTTCTCTATCAAATGAAGTTTTTTTTGAAGTTTTCGAAATTCCTGGGGTAGATCAAAAATAGTGTGTTACTTCCTAGAGTAACCCAAATAAAGTCCAGATATCCTGAAACCTCAATACCACATAAATTTTAATTGAAAGTTTCAATTAAAAAGTGAATCATAATTTGTCCCAATTTCTCTCTTTTCATCTCTATTTATTCTTCATAGTTATTTTTTATATTTATATAAATACAATAGTTCAATTTTCACTAAACCACATAATATAATTGTTATTGTTATGTAGTACATCTCTCATATTTTTTTTTCAAAATAAAATGTATAAACGTGTTAGTTTATGGCTAACTAAACACATTCTGATTGATTGACTGACACAATAATAGGCTAGGGTAAAACTCGTAGAAAAGCCGAGTTTGCCAAAAATAGTAGTAAAAATAAATACAATAAAAATAATTTTCTCTATCAATATTAATCAAAAAATGCGGTAAAGTCAATAAAAAAATCTCAAGATTTCTACTTTTTTCCCCAAAGACAAGTCATTTTCATTCATTTGGCTTCAAAAAAGTTTATTTGCTATTTGTATTAACCTTGCTGTTTGGAATTAGAAGTGAAAAAGAAAACTGTTCCGATAAAGAAGAGGAGACCTTCTCAAATATTATTATTTTTATTCAAGGGTCATTTTATTGACTTTTATTACCATCAAATATGAGACGAGTTGTTGTTTGTCATAAGAAAAAGGTAATTTTTTGTGATATTTCTATTTCTATCTGTGATACATTTTTTATGATTATTTTGAAACTTCGTACGTTCTTAGAAAAACAAATTCTGATGGTTTTTTTAGCTCATGTGATTTATAAAATTTCCGAGTAATTTTCAGAATTTTCACTGAAAAATTACAAACCGATCAATGCTTTTTACATTTTGTGTTTTGGTTAGAATATTTTTGATGACCAACACTTAATTCGAATCACTTTTTTGAGTTAGCTCACATGATTTTGAAAAGGTTATTTTTATCAAATTTTCAGAGATTAAAAAATTTGATTTCAAAAAGAATCGGAATTAGTGGATGTTTATGTGTAGAGTTTTTCACTTTTTCTAACTAAACAACCTAAACAATTTCAAAATTTAAACTCAAGGTTTTTTTTCCAGAAACAGTATTCTTTTGATTAATTTCTATTTTTCTTTGATAAATTTATGATAAATTTTATTTATTCAACAAAAAGAAGCCTGAAAATTTCAAAAATAGATTTTTCATATTTAAAAATCATCAAAACAACATAAGTTTTCTAATGTCTCAAATCATAATTTCAACTAAAATATATATTTTCTGTTGTTCAAGGCATAACCAATTCAATAATCTAACTCGATTCCGGATTTTTCTGTTCTCTGAAATTTTTCAATCTATCCTAGAACCTCAAAAAAATTTTACAACTTTTTTTCCAAATCTGCTCCTCTTTTTTGCAATTATTTTTTTGTTCTTTTTCTGACCTTAATTCTATATTTCTAAAGAATAGAATTCATAATCGTATCTCAAAACTTCATTTGTCGGCGAATGTCTTTTGAAGTTAAGTATATTTGCGCTAAAAGGTAACTAATAGAAATGTTATTATGAGCAAAATGGAAAATAATAATAATAATGAAGAGCCCACTAGTTGTGTACCCAAAAAGAGCAGCAGCGGGAAAGAACAATAAGGGACCAGCTGGCTTTTTTTCTTTATTTTTGCTCAACAACTCAATTTTTGATTGTTTGTAGATAACATGAAAGATTTTGAATGCATGAAGGCCCGGTGCAAACACATATGTTGCATTTGGATTTTTTTTGGTTGAATTAATTTTCGATTTTTAGGAGCATTTTTGAAAAAAAAATTGTGATTTTTTCAATATTTTTTCTCAACCCTGATTTGTTTGATTAGAGGTTGAAAATTGACAAGAGCTGATTTTTATTTAAATTTCTGAACTAAATTTACTGATTACTAATTTAAAATCAACAATTTTCTATTCTCTAGATTGTTCTGATGTTTGTTGACAGATTTTTCATCTTTTTTTTAGCTGGAAATTTTGTTCTGCAAATTGTTTTCTTACAAAAATTTCCTGCAAAAATTCCTGAAGATTGATAAAGTTTCTGGTTCAATTTTTTCCACATACATTTATGATTCTCAAAGTTTTTTCAATTTCCAGTTGATAGTTTCGAAAATCTAGCAAAACATATTTGTTTCTAAAAATTTATATTGTCGCTTTTTTTTCTGTTCAATCATTTAATTTAATTTCACAGATTTTCAGAAAACTTTGATCCCAGAAGTTTTTTTTTTTCGGAATTTTTTCCTCACATTTTTTTCAAACTTTTCAATTTTGTTGAAACTTCAGGACACAGCCTAACATAGGATTTTAAAAATCATCAAAACACATTACCCAATTTCTCTCCTTTTTTTCTGAAAAAGTCCATTTATACATGTTCAGATGTTCATTGACTAATTCAATTAAACTGGAAAGAATATTTTATTTTTTATTTATTCACACACTTTTTCACAATTCGAGGAGGGATCTACATATGAGAAAAATTCCTTTTGGATTTTTCCCATGGATACTTCCTCAAATTGTTATTGTTACGCTAAAAAGGCGTGGCCTCTCGGGAAAAATACAATAGAAAAAAATTATGACTAATATGGTATACTGATTCTGAACTATACAAATTTTGAGGTCTTTCTTCTTCTATTTTATTCTTTGTGGTTGTAAAATTTTATTAAAATTGTTTTTGAAAAATGAATTTCAAAGAAGAAAAACGTTTTTATCCTTATTTAGTAAAAAATAAATAAATCATTTCATTTTTTGCAGACAGGCAGAATGGATGGGTTTGCCGAGGCGAACCTTTTGTTGACATCGGCGCTCGAACAACTTGATGACATTATAAAAAATGGTATGTCACTTTTTTCCTCATTTTTTTAAAATTCTACTTTGTGTGTTTCTGTTGTTTTCCATTTGGGAAATTAGTTTTCTTTTAGGGGTGTTTTTGAGGGGAAAACAGAAGGAAAAGGAGTTGTAGAGTCAAATGTGAAAAACTTTCTACTGTAGGATTTAGATTGTTTCTCCTACGTTTTAAAAACTTTTGAGAATGTAGTACAACTATTTGAATAAACCCAATATTTTTTTTTGCTTTTTTTATAAAGCTCAAAATTTAGAATAACAAGCTAATACCAAAAACTATCAGGTGCAAAATATACACAAAGAATAATGTTGAAAGATTTTTGTAGATCAAAAATTATTTTTTGAAAAAAATGTGTTACAATTTTTGTTGATGCTTTTTTACTGTTTCTATTATTCAAATTTTTAATAAGCCTCCAACTTTGAAGTTTTTTCGGTGTTTTGAAGCATTTATAAAGTACATACTGTTCAGAAATAGTGAAAACTGTTTTCAAAAAAAAAAAATTTCTGGTTTAGTATCTAGTTTGTTTTCTACGTAATCTTTAAAAATCTTACAATTATTTTCAACTCTAGGTAGATCAACATTCAAATTGTAAATTAGAAAATTTCCCTAATTTTCTTTCTTCCTTATTTCTTTCCAAAACCGTTCAATACAAGAACACATACCTTTTATCAAGCACTATAAACAAGAAAAACAACGCTCAAGTTTCACCACCCATCAATTTCAATTCACCCAGGTGTCAAACAAGGCAGCCGGTCAAGAAATTGTATGTGTATGTGTAAATGTGTGTGAGTGCGTGTGTGTGAGTGTGTGAGAAAAAAAACGAGGCAAAAAGTGGAATTGATTGACCAACCGGTTATATATTTGTATTATTATATATGGTTTTTTCTTGCCTCACCTCACCTTTTTTCGGCTTCTGGTTATTTATTCTAATTTATTATTTTTCTTCTTCTTATTCGAAAAAAAACAACATCTTATTCCAGAAAAAATCGAGAAAAATAGTAGAATTTTTTGATGGAGTAGAAAATGAATACTTTGTTTCACTTCAATTTCCGATTCTTCTCACTTTCCCTCCATTTTTCGCCTATTTAAACAAAGTCTAAATTTCGCTCAACCAGAAAAAAATGTCAATGACCCTTATTCTCACCAAGATTATCCGTCTCGAAATGAGCATTTTTTGTTTCAGGCAACAATCGAAACGGAATTGTAGTCGGAGAAAAAGGAAGATATCGAGAAACACCGCCTCCGCCACCGCCACCAGTTTCGATTCCGCCAATTCTTTTGAGGCCATCGAATTTTGGAGCGAGGTCTAAAATTATGGAGAATGGACAAGCACATATTCATCATGATAAGATTATTGAGCATATTGATGATGGTGAGTTTCTTGAACATAAACTGTAATTGTTTTCTTGTTGGTTTTTTTGAGACATATCAGCTTGAATTTTTCAAGCATGTAGGGAAGTTTCGTCGCTTTGTTTTTCAAACTTTATGGACAATTATGAATATTTCAGCCTCGGAACATAGAAAAAGTTCCAGAAATGACATGTTTTCACTTTCTCAAATACCATATTTCAAAAACCTCATATTCACTTCTTTTTCTTCTCCATTCAAAAATCTGATCGCAGTTTTTTGAAAAATATGACCTCTAAATTTGAGTCAAATTTCTTTGTTGACCAACCCACAATACCTTCCTTTTTTCAAAAATATTATTTTTTGCAGACATTGACAATGGAAACGCCGACGATGAACGTTCAACAAAAGAAGTGGTGACACGTCAATGGGTGACTAGCGATTGGAAGCATCGAACAGGTACATTTTCACATGTCATATGATTCATCTTGCACTTTTTTGGTGTGTAAAAATAGATCAAGAAGAAACAGTTTTGAAAAAAAATAACTAGAAAATTGATGAAACATTTTTGAACCTCAACTGGGTCCGTGAGGCCCGTTATAGTTTGTTCCAGTCTAACCCAATCCATCTTTCGTTATATTGAAACAAGAAAAATTTTTCAGAACTTGGATCGGATGGTTCATCTGGAGTCGAATCACCACCTTCAGATCTTCCAACATCATCATCTTCACTTTTCAATCCGCCAAGAATTTATCAAGATTTTGTAAAAGCAATCGATGAACATATGATCACAGATCGACCCGATTTAGAAACACGTCTCAAAATTATGCAATGGGTAGCTGGAAGAACGGTTAGTTTTTTATTTATTTTGGATCTGTTTGATAATTTAAAAGAGGGTGGTTTTTTTTCTGAAACAAAATACTGCGTGTAATTCGAGATGGAAACTTTTTATGGAAATGTCGAAAAAAAGTTCGTGTAAACAAATTTTGTGTGTGTGCATGTTGAAAAATGTTTATTTTTTGAAATTTATTATGTGTACATATTTTTGTTGCTAGTTTTCTAGAATTTACTGGAAATCGGAGATTTTTGTTGATTTTTCAGTGAAAAAATGGAATTTCTGAAAATTTGAAAGTTTGTCGAAAAACCTCAAATCCCAATTTTTGCAAAAACAGGAATATAGAAAAATTCCTTCAAGTTAAATGTAATTTTTCATAATTTCTGTACAGATTAAATCATCAAAATAATTTTTCCATGAACAATTCAAACGAAAATCAATATTCAGTTTCATTTTCTTAGTCAGAAAAAATTCCTCGCAGAAATGTTTCATTTTTCCTTGTCTTCAAAAAAACTTATTTTGAACTTGTTGTGTGTGTGTGTGTTGTTTGAAACTCTATTCAATCTAAATCTCGTCAACAAAAAATCAAATTAACTATCCGGCTCAATTCTATCCTATTTATATATATCCTCATTGTTCGCCTGGAAAAGCTCATTTATACTATTTCATTTCATCCCATTTATTCTAATTTTTCTTGTAGTTGTTGTTGTTTCTTTTTTTGCCGGAAACAACTCGAGGATGAGATGAGAAAAATGTTTTCATTTTTCGAAAAAAGAGCCAAATATAGTGGAGAGCCGATACTAACGCAATTAGCGAGCAGAGGTCCACACCAATACTCTTCTCTATTTTTTTCTGGTTGGTGAGCTTCATCTTCCTATTTTTTTTCTTTTTTCTCATTTTCCGTCTATCCGGGGGCACCCATATTTTTCACCATAAACACGAAATGCGAAATGTTTTGCCCTCCGCCTTTTTTGATGACATTTTTTTAAGAAGCACCACTTCGAACATATACGGTAGCCTTTGAGGATCCTTGATTTGGAAATTGAATTTTATTTTGTCTTTTTTTTGAACATTTGAAAACGAAAAAGTTTTTTTTTTCCTATTTTTCATTCCAACATGAAAAAATTTCGAAAAAAAAGGAAAAAACTATTTGTTCAAATTGCACTTTGAAAAGATGTTCATTCATTAATGAATTTCGAATGGAGTTAATTAAAAGGCAGCAAAAAAGGGACACAAAAAGTTGTGTGTGCCGTTTTTTGGACGTCACCAGAGCTCGGTATTCTTCCTCTTTCCTTTATTTTCTTTCTCTATGTCTTTTCGTTTTTCATATATAAATTTCCATCAACGGATATTCATTTGTTCTCGATCGCAATTTTCCAACCTTTTTTTGGAGAGCCTTGGATGTGATTGATTCGGCTTTATTCTGAGGATATGAATGAGAGGCAGTGTTTGAAGGGGTGCATTTTTTGGATTCAGAAGATTTTGAGATTTTCGAGTTCTTGTAAATTCTTCACCAATTTCCAGAGTATCAGAACTCATTATATTTTTGTGTATTCTGTAAATTCAGGTTAATTCTTTTTTGATTTTTTTTAAATGTTCCATTAGATCATATTTTTGTGAACATTTCTGAGTTTCCGAAATTTTTTTTGAATTTGTAGAATATGATATTTTGTATTCAGAAAAAAATGAAAGAAAACGTATATTCTTCAAAACAAATTTTTAAAAAGCTCATTTTTTCCCTTTTCTTCAAATATTTTGTGAAATTCCCAAAATTCAAAACTTGCTATCCATAAAACTCTCCTGCCACACCAAAACCCCAATCATGATCTGATCTTTGTCAGCAAAGAAAAAAACTTGCTCGATTACTTAAGTGGTTCCATAAAAACGGTTGTTAAAAAAACGTATTTTTCTCAAGTACTTGTTCAAATACCTTTTCCCTCCAAATTTTTTTTTCTTGAATAGAAAAATTCAAATCTGGAATCATCGTGGAATACCTGTATATGTGAAATCTTGAACATGAAGATTAAATAAAAAATATACACTTTTGTGAATATCCCTTCCCACATTTTGAACGAACGAAAAGCAAAAAAATAGTGCAAAGTAATGAAGAGAGCTCACAGAGATACATAAAAACTATCGCGAATGCTTTGGTTTTTCAAAAACGCGCTCTTATTTTTTTTCTTCTCTTCACAAATTTTCTCGGCTGCAAAACGTCTAGTGATTGATCCGTGCTGTTGAACAGTTGTTATCACGCATTCCTGAGTGAGGAAGAAAATCAGTGTATATATCTATACATATATCTATCTATTGCATATTTTTCAACTATATACATTTTACTACAAGTTTTCTGAAGAGTTTGTGTAACTCGCAAAATTATGTATACGCGTCACAGTATTGGTGACGCGTATGTTATACGCCAACCGTGTTCAACACCATGCGATGATAATAATGGGTGTTCGACTGGAAGTTCGCCGCATAATTCGCAGAATGATGCGTTGAATGAGATGTTGAGAAGTTCGGGAAGTGGAAATGTTTTTAGAGATGGTGGATCTATTAAAAGGTTGGTGTCTCAATTTTGATCTATCAAAACTAGAATTTTGAAAAAAAAAGTTTAAGATGTAAAATATTTATCGGATTTTGAGTAATGTTAAGCTAGACTTTCATAAGGTTAAATGAAAATTTTAAGCATATTCTGTTCTTCTGCGGAATAAATTCTAAAGTTCATGAGCTAGGTATTTGCTTTTCATATTTTTTGGTCTTTATGGTTTCATTGATTTAATGGTCAAAATGTTATAAAGCCTGAAAAGTCTGTCTTGAAAAACTGAAAAATTTTTTTTCACAAGCATTATGCCAGAATTTTTTTTTCAAAAAATCAAGCCCAAAAAACTTCCCGTTTTTCTGACCTCCCTAATTTTTTTGCACTTTACACCAAGCTCCCAGCCAATTTTGCAACAATTTTGAAAATTGTAAAAAAAAACATTGAGAGACTTTTACGACCCCACTGACCAAAAACCACTTTAGACCAGAAAAATTCAATTTTTCAAAAGACCTTTGGGTTTAGTACTTTTCCAAAAAATCAGTAGTGAATTGTTTTCCCAAACATGGATTTATTTCCACGTTTATACAAATATAAACAAAACAAATATTTATTTCCCAAATAATTCCATTCCCATTGGATTAGTAAAAAAGGTCATTTTTCCGACTTTTTTGGCTCTTTTTTCTCGTCTCATTTTTTAATGTCTTGACTAATTTACATAGATATTGATAGACCACCATGATGCGTTAATTAAAATATTCATAAATAAAATTAGGCTTATATATATTTAGAAATCGTCCCATACTTCCGTATGTCACACATTATTCCGATTCGGGATTCGGTTCGGCTCCATCAGCCGGGTCGAGTTGCTCATATTTACCGCCTCCACCGCCGTATCGAATGCGTCCTGCAAAACCGCAACATAAAATTCATCGGAGTCTAAGTGATTCGAAATATACAGCAAGTCTAATGAATGCTGTACCGTTGCTACCATTTAATGTTTTACAACAGCGCGAAATTCGAGGAACTAGTTGGAATAGTTTGGTTAGTAAATTGTGCATTCTTTGAACTGGTTTTGTGTGAGAGAAAGCTTTATGAGGGTAAAAGTAAAGTGAATTCCGGAGAACTGTCTGAAAAAGTGAAATTTTAGAACAGATATTTGAATGTTTTTTTCTGGATTTATGTAACTTCTTTTAAATATTTGAAATTATTCTTAATTGTTCGGTATACTAAAAACTTTAATATACCTTATGAAGTTTTATTTAAATTTCACGATTATCTTCAAGACGTTTTCATCCGATTTTAGACAGTTTTCTCTCTTACTTTTTCTCGATAAAGCCGATTTTTTTGCGAGTTTTCTAATCGAAAATTCACGGGGTGTTTTGAATGAACAACTAATCAATCTATCTATTAACTAACACAAAGAATGTGTGGAATGTTGTATCTTTTTATTTCATCTTCTTCTTCTTTTTTGCTGCTATTTTCTTCAAGAAGCAACAGCGAAAAAATTGGAGGATAATAATAATATCCGTTCACTTTTTGTTGTCTGATTTTTTTGAGGAAAAGAAAAACGAAAAGTAAAAGAGTTTTTGTTGTTTTTTTTCCTCTGTAGAATAATGTCTCTTGTTATCCCACTTTTCTTCAACAAAAAAAAATGAAAAAAGAGATAATTTTTCCTGGAACATGGATAAGTTTTGACAAATGTTCAAAGTTGTGGGAAACATTGAGAATTGAGAGATAAAAAGGTCAGAGAATGGAGATGAAAGAGCAAAATGTTATGTGTTTGTCTGGTGATAGATAATATTATGAGATGTGAAAACATAAGTTGTTTTTTAAAACAACTTATGTTTTCACAGAAAAAGAGGAAAATTAAAATTGTTGGAAAAAAGCTTCTTCTGTTGACAAAAAGGATATGTTACTCATAAAAATGATTAACTAATTGAGACCATTTTCAATGTTCTTTGAACGAAGAGATCAAAATTTTTAAAAAAAATTTGTACTTTCAGATTTTAAAAACAAACTTGAATTTTAATTTGTTTTTGAATGAAAACTATGAAATGAAACGATGAGACTGGAGCTAACTCCTTTTAAAACAAACGATTTCTAGATTTTCATTAATATTTTTGACCATGAAATTCGTCAAACCCCCATATCCCCAAACTAAAATCCCCATATCTTTTCTCTCCTAAAAATAACAAGATATTCAGTTTCGGTTACTCAAATCGCATCGCATCGCGCTTCCCATTTCTTATTCTCCTAAATAATTCAACTCAAACAAACACAACAATGTCTTTTCCCCCAAAAGTTTTTCGTCATTTTATTCTTTCCGATTGTTTTGCTTTTTTTTCAACTAACGAAATTTTGAAGATCATCAATGTATCCTTGTCTTGTTGCTGAACACTAATATGAATCAAGTATGGCACAGAGACGGGCCAAATCGAAGGTTTTGTTTAATTGCAGTGTTTTGTTTCAGAAAAAAAAAACTAATTCAAAAATATAATCGAAAATTCAATTAATTATTGATTTTGCAGAGTCCATCTCCTTCGATGTCGACAGTCTCGTGCCCAGAATATCCAGAATTGCAAGACAAACTACACAGATTAGCAATGGCTAGAGATAGTTTACAGCTGCAAGTTTCGGTGCTCAGCGAGCAAGTTGGTGCACAAAAAGAGAAGATTCGAGATTTGGAAACACTTTTAGCTCAGAAGCGCAACAATCTGACTTCTACTGAAGAACTTCTACAAGATGTAAGTTTTTTAAATTTTTTTTTTCAAAATCTCAGTTTCACTCAAAAAATTCACGCTTCACTTTCACATTTCACAAAACAACTCACAGAAATACCATCGAATTGATGATTGTCAAGAATTGGAGTCGAAAAAAATGGACCTATTGGCCGAAGTGTCGTCATTGAAATTGAAATTTGCAACATTGGAGCGTGAGAAAAATGAGACGGAGAAAAAGTTGCGACTCTCACAGGTACCTACACTTTTTTGCACTTTCACCACACTTTTTTTTCTTCAAATATAAATATGTACATATGGTTTTAATTTCCTGTTTCAATTAAAATGTGCACTTGATGATTCATTTTTCCACTGATCCGCTTTTTTTTTGGTTTTCGGTTTATGAGAGAGGATTCTTACATTAGTTAGAGTAAAAAAACGTAGATTTCTGAAAGAAACTCTTCAGTTTGTTACGTCATATGTTCCCATGAACTTTCAACTGAATTTGTAAAACTCCAAAGTTTTGTAGTTGCACTTTTTGTTGGAATTCTAGAACGACTGCTTTCAGACTATTTCTGAATTTTCTATTATTTTACTAATCTTTAAAAAAATCTCAAAAAATTTCGAATCAAATTATCATCAGAATCACATTTCATTCATAAAAGTTATGCGCATCCTTTTCCGAACTCCCCACTTCTCGAACTCCCTTGAAAATCTTCATTTTTTAGAACGAGATGGACCATGTGAATCAATCAATGCACGGAATGGTAGTTCAACAACAACTCCATCATACAAACGGGCACGGTTATATGGCTCCTTTGCGAGAGCATCGAAGTGAAAAACAGGATGAAGAAATGTCCCAACTCCGTACTGCTGTGCAACGATTAATCGCGGATAATGAACAGAAATCGATACAAATCAACAGTTTGAGAAATGCCCTAGATGAACAAATGAGATCACGTTCTCAACAAGAAGATTTTTATGCATCGCAAAGATGGAGTGAACAGAATTCCGAGCGGGATGGTTTTGATTTGAATGCTCAAATTCGTCGATTATTAATGGATGAACCAAATGAATCAATGTCACATTCTACTTCTTTCCCAGTCAGTTTGAGCTCAAATAACAGTATGAATAAAACACCAAGAAGTACTGTACAATCAAGTTCATCGTATACCTCATCTCTATCAACGGCGTCACCACAACATAGTTGGTCAAATGCTGGAACACCAAGACATCTTCATCCATTGACTGCTAATCAAAGGCAAATCAATTCTTATCGATCACCATCTTCTCCAGCTGCTAGACAACTTGCAGCGGAACTCGATGAACTTCGTAGAATGGGAAGTGAAACAAACAATTCAGGGGGACATTCTTATTCGACTGCAAGTCTGCCAAGAGGCGTTGGAAAGGTATATTCATTATTTTATTGGGTCTCTTCTAGCAAATAAAAAAAGCCTGATTCGGACCAATTGTGTAACTAGAATTTCCAATGATAACAATTTCAGGCATCCTCAACACTAACTCTTCCACCCAAGAAACTATCAGTGGCATCAGGCGCATCTGCCGGTGAGTTGGGCTCAATGAGCAGCGTTGCTCATACGCCCAAAAGGAATTATCGAGCACAAATGAACCGATGGATAAATGAGAAATTGAGGCGAAATAAACGCGCGGCAAGCGCGCCAAATTTAGGTGAATCACCTCACTGATTTAACCAACATTTTGTTGTGCCAACTCATATCATTTTCAGTTTTAATTTTTTTTTGCAAAACAACATACTAACTTGTTACCGGTTTGAGAAATATTTGTGTTTGATAACGCCTTTGTTCAATTTATGCGCGGTTTTTTTCTGCTCACTTAACAGATTTTGTTTGATGTGAAGCTTACACATTCACAAATATGCAATGAAAAACTTCAATACTTTTCAGTTGAATCAGATGATGAGATTGCAAGAGGCAGAAATATGAACGCCACATCACAGCAAAATTTGAAAAGCTTGTCAAGAGATCGTACAAGATCGTCGCTAAGGAACATATTCAGCAAATTGACTCGCTCAACATCGCAAGATCAAAGTAACTCGTTCCGAAGAAATAGTGCGGCAAGATCAACATCTACAGCAAGATTGGGATCAAGTAATTATATTGCAAGTGTGCCAAAACGACCACCACTTTCACAATTTGTTGATTGGCGGTCAGATCAATTATCGGAATGGATTGCCGAGGTGAGATTTAGGGTCTTTTAATCTGATTTCAAATATTAAACTATTTTTCTGAATCAAGAATTCATTTTATGAACCTCAACTCCCAACAAAAAAACTTTAATAACATAATAAAACTCCAGGTTGGATATCCTCAATATATGACAGAAGTTCGTAAATATGTTCGAAGTGGTCGACATTTCCTCAACATGAATCCTCACGAATTCGAATCATCACTCAATATCAAAAAATCCAATTCATCGTAAAAGATTGCTCATTTTATTACGACGAATTGAAGAAGACATTGTTGACCCTTCAAATAAATGGGATGTTCATCAAACTATTCGATGGTTAGATGATATCGGATTACCACAATATAAAGATGTGATGCTTGAAAACGTTGTCGATGGTCCATTATTATTATCCTTAACTGCTAGTGATATTGTTGAAATGCGGATTACAAATGCACATCATTATGTGACTTTGTCTAGAAGTATACAATTTTTGAAGTTAACTGATTTTAAATTTGATGCACTGGAAAGAAGAATGGATCAAAATATTATTGATCGATATCCGTGTCCGGATGTTGTTGTCAGATGGAGTCATCAAGCAACTTGTGAATGGCTCAGAAAAATTGATCTCGCCGAGTTTACTCCTAATTTGTTATGTGCTGGTGTTCCAGGAGCTCTCATGGTGAGTTTTTATTTTACATATGAGACTTTTGTTGCGAAAAATATCAAAATAAGAGCGTCAATTCACTTTGAAAATATTCTCGAAAATGTCAAGAATAAAACAAAAAGTTTTGAAATAATACAGAATCTCACAATTATACACCGGAAAATCCTGAATTTTTTAAAAACTCTCTGTCATTTCATAAAGCTAACACAAACAATATGTTCTAGATTTACGAGCCAACATTTACTGCCGAGTCATTGGCGGAAATCCTGCAAATGCCAGCGCACAAAACATTGCTCCGTCGACATTTGACATCTCATTTCAACCAACTACTGGGTCAAAAAATAATTGCGGATAAACGCGATTTCCTGACAAATGGCAATTATCCTCAAGTTTCGCCAGCGATTCGAATCAAAGTTGTGCGAAAGGGATTTTCGCTAACTCGCAAGAAGGCAAAGAATGAGATTTGTCTGGAACCGGAAGAATTGTTATGCCCGGTTCTGTTGAATCACAAATATCCAACATCAAGTGTAAGTTTCTTATCCTGATTTTTCAATTTTATACAATCTCAAAAATTGTTTTTTTTTTTCAGAACGCTGAAACCAGCTCACTCGAATCATCAAACGTGTAATCGTCAGTGCATAGGTACCACTCATGACTTATTTCCATTATTTTTTTCATTTTGTATTTATTTGCGAGTCTACTGCTTTTCTGTATACCAAAAACACATTTTTTCAAACTTTTGTCTTTTACTTTTAAAAATATTCCATGCAGCACTATCATTCTTGATTTTTTTTTACTCTGTCTCTGTTGAATTGTCATCTTATTATATTATTGAAAAAAAAGTGCCTGCCAGTACAACAAAAATAAATGAATTTTAACAATTTAAAGAATATTTGGAATGAAAGTGTTGAAATTAATATTTAACGCAAAAGTTTGCATGGCTCTAATTGGAATTGGTATTGAATATATGATAATTGCTTCATACCTTGGAAAATGATCGAAATTCCAAATTAAACTGAAAATTGAAAACAATATTGGTTTATATAAATGGCGAAAATATTTTTGAAAATTACAACCAAATTTGAAAATTATTTTTTTGTTGTTTCTTAAAGAGAGACAGTTGCAAACATTTTGTCCAATTCATCCATTTCCCGCTGAAGTTGGTATTTTTTGTAAAGATCCATCAAATTTTTGATCTCTTGGCGATATTTTGTCTGCAATTTTTAAAGTTCTTATGTTATCAACATTATATTTCGAAATACCTCAAATTGTTCCTGAGGTATTATAGGATTGTCCATTGCATTGATTCTTCCTCCAACATCGCGAAGTGTACCCCAAATATCGATTCTCTCATCTGCCTCAAAATTTCGAGAACTCATCTGTCTTATTACCGCTTCGAAAACTGACACTAGCAAACGATATTTTGTCTGAACGAAAATTCGACAAAATTTTGAAAATCAAAAACTTTACCTCTCGTGGGGATGTGATATATACCCAGGTTTCCGACATAGTCAAGCTGGAAAAAGAGAAGTAAAAATTTGTACAAAAATAAAAAGAAGACGTAACCATGGAAACCATTTGGTATTGATCTAATTATATATGTGATTCGTTTTCTTGGTGTGCAAAATAATAATTAGCGTTATATAAAAAATATATTTAAGCTAAAGGGTGAGAGAACAAAATATTTTCATAATTGAAATTTAGTTTTAAAAAAAAGTGTACAATTCTCTGTATAACAAACATTTGGGGGAATGAATGAAAAAAATAATAAAAAAAAAGGTGGATTAATCCCATCTGTGCACCTGTCTCAATAATATCCATATATGCAAAATAATAATTTATTCGAAACAATGTAAAGAAACAAGAATGGAAATGAAACATGTTTACTTCGAAAATATGATTTGAGATTTTTGAAAAAAAATAAAAGACAACTTTACGATTAGAAGCACCAAACTGTGATTCATAAGTTTAATTTCAAAACTTCCCCGAATATTATCATTTTTGAAAATGTTTTTCTGTCTTGAAGAATCACCTGTTTTTCAGTCTAACAGCTAGCTTTCAGAAAACAGTTCCGTGCTCGAATTCAGAAAATCAGAAAAATGGATAATGATGAGACAATGACTAATGGAGAAACCATGGAGCTGCTCATCTGATTATTATTTATGTGTTTTGGTATATTCGGCTTTCTCAATTATCTTATATATCTATTTTAAATGAATTGAAAAATTAACAACTCTTAAACCAATCTCGCATTAAACAGACTTATTAAAACTCAACATTTTAATTGCAATTTTTACAATGTCCTGATTCAAATTTATTGAAAAAGTCTTTTTTCATAAATCTACATTCGTTAAAATAAAATGTTCTGGAACTCTCGAACATCAAAATTCAACTCCAGTACATGTGAAAAATATATTGTTTTGCTCTGAAAAATGTCAAGCCTGCAATTCAACTGAATCATTAAAAAACATACGTATTTTCTAACAAGAGAAAGTCGCGGACTTACCGAATGAACTTTTTCTGTAATTTTGTCAGTTCAATTTACATCCCAGCGGATTTACATCCCTACCCGGAAAGTCTCGTTTTTGACAATGGTGGCAGCTTTGCCACGTCACATTTATACGTATTTTGAGCGAGTTGTGCACCCTAGGATTTTTAGAGTAATCATCCCTTGAGATGATAGTTGGACTACCAAAGTTACAGAAATCTTTATTGAGTGAATTTGCCATATTTCCTTGTAAGTGTTCAATCGTATTTCATGTTCACAAATTTTTCCATCAAATATTTTTGTTTGAAAATTCCGTGACTTTCAGAACTTTGTTCGAAATATGTATAAATATTTTTTTGAAAACACCTGCTTCGCTAAATTACACCTGATTTTCAGGACACATCTCATTGCTGCTTTTACGGAAAATCACATAAATGGATAAAAACTCGTCTACTAATTATACTGAAGTGCCTGTAAGTGCCTCATTTCCAGATCCAATTTCTATTACGTTTGTTTTAATCTATACCGTAATTTCGATTTTCCTATTTATTCGTTTGAAATGGACCGAAAAATATGCTTGCCTCAATCCAATTGCACATTATGCAAGTTTAATTAAATTTAATATGTTTATTGCAATCTTCACATTGTCTTATTTTCTATATTTTGATGATAATTTTATATTGGATTTCATTGATGCTCTTATATCTGTATTTTTCATTTTATATTTAGATTTTGCTATTCCGGCTTATAATGCTCTCTATGTTTTAGTACTAATTGGGTTTATGAAACAGAAAATTGCGTTTTGCAGCATGACTTTTTCACGGTAAGTTAGTCAAAACATATAAGAGCCGTGGAAGAGGAAACCAAATATACACTAAAAGTTTGTAAATTAAATGATAAATTGAAAAAATCACAGCTTATTCAAAATTTGATCAGAATTTTTCAATTTCAGGGACGCGTTTATTTGGATTTTGGCAGTCCTCATTTTCTTTGTTTTGAATCACTTTTCAATCGAATGTAAGATTTCAACATTTGAAAAATTTTCAAAAATTCTATTTGCAGTTGGTATTGCCCTCTTAGGAATAAAAGATGAGAAAATCATTGAAGCATTTGAAAATTGTTACGTTGTTCTCATGCTTATATTTCTATTTAGTGACTACGTGATTCTGATTTTTTTGATAAGCAAAATTGTTCATCGAAAAATCAAACATATTGGATATCACAAAAATGAAATTGTGATAATTTTACAAATTATCATGGTTGTTATAGTCAGAGTGGTGAGAATATTCTTTTGAAGATCCAATTCAATAAATATTTTTGTAGCCAATAGTTATCAGCAGATATTCCCAAGTTCTACATAAAGAAATTACATTGGTCGGACACTATTCTAATACATTATCCTATATCGTTTTAAATTTTCTTCCGTTGTATAATCAACTGTTCTTGGAATTATGGAGTTGGTGGAAGAATTAGTTTTAATTTATTGAGATTTGATGTCGTAGAGGTTAAGAAGAACATTGAAACATCAAATAGTAACGTTCACATTATTGAAGTATATAAAATATTCACAAATTTGTTTGCACTAAAATACATATACAAATAAATTCAACCTGGAAAAAATGAAATAGTAATTGGAATTTTAATTGAACACGATTTTTTGGTAACAATAAAACGTAAATTTACTTCTCAAAAATTTATGTATCTCTGGAACAAAAACAAATGAGATTCAACCTTGAAAACTGAGAAAATGCAATTTTTCAATTGAATTGGAATTTTTGAGTGACAATGGAACATAAAGCGTGCGAAGATTTTTTCCCGGTGTTTTCATATTTTTTTGGAACACACTGCTGAGAAAAGAACAGCTTTAGTCTCGGTGTTTTTTCCTTGTTCATTGAAAGGATTTGCACTTTTTCCCGAATCGTATTTTGTATCATACGAGTATATATTTTTGAATCTCTAACTTCTTGGATAATATTTCGAAATTTTTTTGATATTTATAAGATTGTGTCAAGTTTCAGAATAGATAAACATTTTCCGATATTTTTTGTGCATGAGAATCTCAAATTACTAAAACAAATTTTAATGTTTCCCCTGAATAGACTCTATATTAAAAATTCTCTCAAATTTTCTCGACATTATAATTTGCATGAATTATTTTTCCCGAATTTTCCCAACATCATTTTTTTTCAAAAATAGTCATTATTTTCTTACATTGTTGTTTTAGTGTCCAGAAAAGACAATAAACTTATGATTTTTTTTTATTTGAAAAATCGTCAATTCGAAAATATGTAGATTTCTAGCCCCTTCTTATTTTTTTTCAAAAATTCCCATTACATTCAATTATTCTGTGTGCCCGCTCCGATCATTGCATCATAAAAATCATGAAAAAAACGATTCTCACAGAAAAATCAATATGCCTTTAATATAATTCATAAGAAAAATGTTCAACAAAGAAATGCAAAATTGGGAGAAAATAGGATGATGTGAAAAAAATTTAAAAAAAAACTGTAAATCAATGGCTCCTCCTGACAAGTTTTGTGAAACAGCGGAAAAAGAAACAGACGTCTGCGTCTCTCATTTCTCTCACCATTTCGTTTGCCTATTAGTCATTCATTCGCTCATTTTATTTAGTTTCTCAATTTTGCACCTTAGTTTTTGCTAATTATTTGAGGATGAATCATTTGGATACACCATTTTTCGATTTGTCGAGAAGAGAATATTTGGCGATGCCACCAATGCCGTTGGATCAGAGAAAGAAGGTGAGTTTTTTTTATTTTGGAAAAAATGATTTTGAAAAAGGAGACACATTTTGTTTTAAAAATCACGTTTGATGACTTTTAAAGTTTTCTGATATATAAAATTCAGTAATTTTTCCCATACTGAACTCCGTTTTGAATATATATTGTTAAATAGCAAAAGCTTAATCAACGTTCAGTTCAAAATGTTTTTTCAAATATAATTTCATCAGATTAGTCGAAAGAAAAAACGGAAGTTTTATGTTAACATAATTTTTCATCGAGCATCCACAAAATTGTATGATTCATCGAGGTTCCCTAGTTCATGATCCCCCATAAATTATTTCATAAAGAATTTGATAATCATTTGCTTCGATAACACTTTTCGTCAAAAACCGTCATTTTGAAGTCCATAATTCTGTTTTTTGTACTCGTCGATATTTTTTTAATCCCACGGGTTTTTAATGTCAAACAATGATTTCATACTTGGCAGGGAAACGTCAACTTATTTATTTTCTGAAAAACACTCAAAAGATAATAGTTCAAAAATCGTCGCACTTCAGACAATTTTTGTACATATATTTATGAAAATAATACAATCTACCCACGAAAACAGAAAAAAACTGATTTTTTGAACAAAAATATTTGAAGAAACACAAATTTTGAAAAAAATTTAGGACGCCGTCGAGATGTTGATGAATCAATGTGCTCATATGTATCGCACATTTCGCAATCACGATTTCCCGCCGATTTTCAAGCAAACACTCATTGAAGGCGTGTTGGATCTTTTGAAATTGTTAGATGAAGTTGATGATACGCACAAGTTTGTGGTCAGTTTTTGTTACGTTTCCATCCAGAAAAATGTCTATATTTCAGACAATCGAAATGCGAGTTAGTGAATTTCTTTTGAGTTGGCGAGCATACTTCAACCATCCTTTTCCAATTCATTTCCCAGAAAATCATCCTTGCAGAAGCCGTGGGTGAATATATCCTCCCTTATTCAAACGCATGTTTCCCGGATGCGGTTTTAATTACATATATTTGTAAAGTTTTGCTTTTCGTCAATTTTCTGTAATGTTTGAGATTTTCTACCTACGAGTTATTTCTCCCGTGTTTTTTTTGTACGAATCTCCCAATATCTTATATTTTTCCACTTAAAACATTCCCAACCGCCCACGTCTTTTTTCAATATTCTTTTGAAATTAATAAATGTACGATTATCGATAAACAATCAATGATACATAAAAGAAAGAGGCGGGGCTGCGAATTTTCTGTTGAAAAAAAAAACATTTTATTCATTTTGTATTTTCTCTCACGAGACTGGCTTTTATTTTTTGTTTGAAAAAAAATGGCTGATAATCTAGAGGAAACCATTGGAAAGATAAACGACGGACCAGAAGACATGCAAATGGAAAGAGGTGAGTTAATTTGATATTTGGAGAGGGGGGAGGGTGTTTCTCGTGGTGTAACTTGAAAAAACTCGAAAAAATTTGGAAGTGTTATGGTTTTTTTTAGTTTCCCAACTTCTTTTTTTAGATTTGTGATTCTGAAAGCATTAAATTTCAGTACTGCTCATTTCCATCTAGTTTTTTTTCGATCATTTCCATCTAGTTAAAATGAATGCATACTTGCTGTCACTTTGTTTATATGCTCGGAATCTTTTTTGAAAATACAATATTTCAGCAAAATAATTCAAATTTGTAGTAATTTGAAAAAGGAAGACAGATTTTCGGATTGTAAATTCAACCACGTCTCCATAAAAATTTCAAACAAACGATGCTAAAATTGAGTTTTCTTTCCTGAAAATTATACGAAGATTCATAATTTTTCACCCCTCAATTTTCCAGTCAACAATCGCTCAGATGCTCCACCAAGCTACAACTCAAACGTTGTTCAAAGCTTGGAAAACAACAATCCTTTCATGTTTATACCAATGGAAGTTGACCCAGAGACTGGATTATTATTGAAAGACTTGGTTACACCACAAGAGAAAGGTGAGTATTACGAAAAAAAACAGGAATCTTCTTAACTCACTTTATTTTCAGTAACTCTTCTCTCGGACGAAAAACTTCCAATATTTTTCAAAAATGAAGCTTCACAAAAAATCGGAATCGTTCAAGGTGAATAAATGTTTTTAAATGGGATGAAAGACATACTGAAAATAATTTGATTTTCAGAAAACTCGAAAAATGAAACCAAATTCAGTTGCAACCAATACTTGCACAACGCATTTGTTTCAATCGTTGATTTTGTTTGCGATTTCTGGTTTTTTGTCATGTTCGCATTTGCAATTTATATTGGACTCAAATACTATTTTTTCGCAAAAAATGGTTACAAACATTGATGTACTAATTTTTCATTCCTTCATAACGTTTATTCAACCCCTTTTTTACTTTGTAACATAATAATGAACCTTGGTAGTTTTGATTTTTCATATATAAAAATATGTTTCCGTGAACGATGGTTTTCTGATTTTTTTGCAATTATTTTCATTTGATGTAAGAAATTCCAGCAATAAATGTTTTGAAAAAACAAAACTTTTGTTACAGTTTATTTATGGAAAATATTCAAAAGATAAAGATAATGTTAGAAAAAAGGCAAAAAAGACATTAATAAAAAAAATATAAAGCGGTAGTCTATAGAAACATGAGGGGAGATGAAAGGTTGCAAAATACTATTTTCTCACATTCAAATCATCCGATGATTTCAAGTGATTTAGTGTTGACGTACCATTGATATGAGACGGGAAACGATCTAACCGCAACAAAAACTAAAACTGTCAAAATAATAAGTACAATGATGAAAATCCATATATATTTTGACATATTGATAGGTGTTGGAGTTTTCTTCCGTTCTGGAAGTTTCAAAGCATCCTTCGCCAGTTCTTCTCGTTGTCTTGTTGATATTTCGTTTGTTTTGAGATTTGTCGTTTTTTCTTCAATCATTTTGATTACAATCAGCCTTTCCTTTGATTCAACATTAATCTCTGACAAGTCTTGACGTGTTTTTACAGTGTTATTGAAACCAGGAGGCAAATATGGTCTATTTGGGTCTTTCAAACAAGCAACAGTAGTGATTTCGTACTTTCTTGTGATTCGAAAACCATCAGGGATATTATTTACTGCTAAAATAACTATTGTATTATAATTTTCATAAAATGTTTAATTTACCTGAATCCTTTCTTTTTCCAGCACGATAATCAGAAAACCATTTGGGCTCAACAAGGAATGTTCTCGAATTAGTATCATTGTTGCTGTTCTTGTGCTTTTGACTATCTGGAACTTCATATTCATTAGGGTCTTCGAATAATTCCTTGATCTCATGGTACTCTGGATTTTCTGAAAACTCTTTGTAATTTTTTGTTTGCAGAAAAACCATAGGAAAACCTTACCATCTTCAATTGGAATAATTGTTGATGATTTTGAATAAACTGATGAAGGAGATTCAAAGTTGACGCTCATTTTCAGACGTGGTAGAAGACTGCTGAAAACCAACTTTTATTTTTTAATAGGGTATTTTTTAGCAAGTTAGGAAATGTTAAAAAAAAAACAAGGTTGGTTTGGTTTTTCAGTAGCCTCGATTAAAAAAAACCAGGAACTGAAAAATTTAATATAAAAAATCTACATTTCAACCAGAATCAATTGTTTTTGAAAAATGAATGCGAGAAAGGCAGATTTTATGTGAATCCGCTATTTTATGTTTTTCTCAATTTCAAAAAAAAATCTGAGGATCGATACTGCACAGTAAAAAAAACCACATTGCGAAATTTTCTTATCCAAAACAAAACCGCATTATTTTCTGAATGAATCACTCTTGTTTTCTTTACCAAAAATTGATTTTTTTTATTCTAGAAAAATGGCGAAGCTTGACTTCACTCATGGAAAAGTTTCCGATTGCTTGGAGGAAAACATTGAAAAACAAGGAGATAAATCAAACAATTATCAACTCATTGGCTTCGATTACAATAATAGTGTCGAAACAGAGAGAATCAATGTTCTTCCTGGACCGGACTATGTCCCTGTTAGAAAAATCAACAAGCTTCCAATGGAAAGACCAACTACACTTGCCATTCGTCCAAACGGATCGAATACTTTGGTTGATCAAACTGGTTAGTTTTTTTTTTCGAAAACTACTAATGAATGGTATTTTTCAGAAAATACAGAATTCAATCTTGTTGAATATCTCACTAAAAAGGTTCATTCAATTTCTTACCTCATTTGCGATTTTTGGTTCTTTGTTTTAATTTACTACATGCTCCAAATCATCTACAAACTTTACTATTCCAACAAATAATTCATCATTTATCTCTACGTAATTGCTTCACATATCTGATTTAGTCAACATTTTTTCAATTGCTTATCTTTATATTATAAAAATTATAATAATATTTTTCAGTTATTTTTTTTAGAAAATTTCAAAACAACTAGTTAGAGAAAGCAGAGCAGGACATTTGCAACAAAAAGGAATAATTTCGGAAATACCTTCGCTTCAGCAGAAATGCCAAATTCCTGCGCAAAAGCTGCCGAAAGTTAAAAAAGCATCAAACTTTCTCTATTTTTTTCTTAAGAGTACGGGTGGTGTACATCTATAGGCCATTGGGAAATATAAGTCACCCTTGGCCGCAAAGGGGACCGATTTGTCTTACGTAGCGAAACACTTCCCATTTATGATCGGGTGAATCGAGGAAAAGCGGGCATCGGGGATCGAACCCGTTAAAAATATCCCAAAAAAGAGTAAGAGAGAACACAGAATGAACAAGTTGGCAATAAAAGCATGCTTCTGTGTGTGGATAGGGTGGAAGGCGTGGTATGACCATTATGAGAGAACAAATGAAACACCTCGATTTATTTTTTTCTAATGTATGTAAGTACATTCACGCATAACAAAAGTGCACCAAATCTCAAATGTTTCCCATAGTTAAAAATCTCGTTATCGTAAAATGTTTAGAAGCCTGCCAAACAATACAAAAGTAAGCGGAAGAAATGTATTGTAAACCTACACACACTGGTGAAACTTATAGTTTTAGAATTTTCGAAATCTAGGAAGAATATTAGATCTGTCTATTATAAATATATTTCTGAACTTCTTTCATTGTAAAATTTTTTCGAAACAAAACAAACCCAAACAATGTATACATAATGAAAAAATCACACGCGAGGAACGAGTTCCAGAAATAGATTCTTTATAATTACTGGAAGCTTACAGTAGACATACTATATTTCTTTTCCAAAATTTGCTAATCATTGTCCATTTGTTACGTCCAGTTTTTTTTTCTCTCATAACTACTTTTGGTTTTTGTTCTTATTCTGACCAAAACTTGTGAATCATTAGCCTTTTCCTCCAAGTTACAATACTTTATTTGCACTCCTGTTAATTGCTTCCTATCTTTTTGTCCAAAAATCTTTTCTACCATGACTCATGCTAAACTCATACCTTCAAGATGAGTGACGACATAAAATGTAAAGAAACATTTTACTGTTTTCGTACAAAACCAGCAACTTTAAAAATACTATTCTAAATAAATGATCATTCCTGCAACTGGAAACCCTTTTCGCTTATTTTTCTTTTAAAGTTGATAATTTTGATCCCTCTGAACAATTATTTTTCTCAAGATTGCATCACATTTGATATATTTTCCCATGGCTTACAAAAATATCAAAGTTTGTGTACACTAAAAAATTTGTATCGGAAAAATAATTGGGCTTTTTTAAATTCTCCTATCATTCCTTTGATTCTATTTTTTCGACAATTAAGTGGTTTTTTTCTCTTTCTCAAAACATTTCGGCTGTCTTTTGTTTATTTTTTTTTTTACAAAAATAGACCTAAAGGTCTTTTTACTCGATGTGCCGTCTTGGGTAATAACTACTGATTTTCTTTCCAATTCCTTATTTAGTGGCATATATTAATGGTTTTTTCAATTTAATTTTTTGTTGTATTTTTTTCAACCCCCCGCTACTATACTCCTTGAACATTCGCACGGAAACAACATGGAAAAGTAGGCGGAGCCTATGAGAAATGGGTTTCGTGTTTGAAAACTAACGCGATTCATGTGCCTGGTACCAAAAGCGCGAGTCATTCTGTTAGAAAAAAAATGTGTTTCTATTTGCCCAGATCCAAACTCTTTTGTTAACTCTTAATGATACATTGTTTATATAGAATGACATCATAGGTATACTGTAGACGTTTTCCTATCCATATTTTCTGACCATTCCTCTGAATCATAATTGTTGTATTGTTCTAATGGAAAAATGGCATTATTAGCTTTCGTTGTAAATTAAAAAAAATTAATTGCTCTTCTCCCGCTCTCAAAACGTTTATGAAAAAGGGAAGAGAGTATTTCAATCTAACGTTTTATGTTGTATTTATTTTTCGTTCAATTTTTGCTTCACATTTTCAATTATTTTCTTGCAGATGGATCAAACTTCAATCATCGAAAGTATTGAAACAAAAATTTTGGAATTAACTGTCCTAATTGGTGAGTTGTTCACGAATCATTCAAGGCAATTACTGATAATTTTACAGATAATCTCAAAAATGCAAAGCCGGAAATCGAAGAAGTTGGAACAACCGAAATTGTTCAAAACCTTGAAGACCTCGAAGAACTCAATGTTCTTATTCCAGAAGATCATCAAGGTAAGCCAATAGCCGAGATTGAAAGCTAATTTTTTGAAGTTTGAATATAAACTTCATTTTTAAGAAAACTTTGAAAATAATGGGCAAAAAAATCATCAAAATCCTTGTTTCTATTCAATAATTATATTGAAAATTCAAAAAATGACATGAACTTGCTCTCGATTTCACTCACGCTTTTGTAGTGTCCAAAAATTGATTCAGGTTCCAAATTTTCAAATGATGATAATACAGTTATTGAAGTTATTGAACAAAATAAAATTGGGAAGCAATGTTATAGGAATCATTTCAGGGATTGCTGCCATAATGGTAGACACCATAGAAGATTGCTTGCTTATTGCTCTTTTGACTTGGACATATTTCCAATTGATTGGACCTACCACTATGCATCTAGCGATAATCATCATTTTTGCAATCGATGCATACTTGGCAATGAGAAACAAGTAATATTTTTGACGGATAAATAAACCTGTTATGTTGAAAAAACTTCTGCTAACTCAAACATATTCCCAAAAATGCGTAATAGTTGTCGAAATAAGCGAGTAACGGTTGCCAGAGGTTGAATGAATTTTAACATCAATGTTGGCGGAAATTTTTATTCATAAATGAAGATAGGGTTACTGGGCTTACATAAAACAGAATTTTTTTTGAAAAGTAAGAAAGAAAAAATCAAGAAGCGTGTAATAATGCTATTTCTCCACATTCATGGATTAGTAAAGGATGTAGGAAGCGTAGAAGACGAAGAATCAGTGGGTTTGGTTGTTCTCATTTTTAGGATTAATGGGGTTGGCAGTTCGATTGGCAGCCCAATACATCATCCCTTTGGTGAACCAATCGATCCATTCGAAATGGTCGTCATTTTTCTCTAAAAATTTCGAAGTTATATTGAATGTGTTTTTCGTGTTTCAAGATTTACCATTTCTAACAGCAATAATAACTGGTCTCTCCATTGGAAACTGGTTGATTTTTCTAACTGGAACATAGTCTTCCGCGGGAACAACATTAATCTTGTTCGTCTCAATATTGTCATTGGCTTTGGAGCCATCAAATTGAACTTTGAGCACATTTCCTGCAAAAAAATGAAAAAAAATCTAGATAAATATCTATCAATTTTTTTATTGAAATTAAAGCACTCACCATTTTCACCCAATTTGATATTTTTCGAATCTACCATCTTTGCTCTCTGTTGCACAAACTTGTCGAACACTTCGTGAATATGCAAGTCATCATCTGTCATTTTTGCCTGAAATCACGAATTAAGTTTGAAAATAACTTTTTGTCAAACAAAATGAAAAAAATTTCTCATGAAAAATAAGAAATCGATTGCTAGTTTTGCTCTCCTTTAAACATGAATCATCCGTATTTCAGAAACCGTAAATATTTCGAAATATGATTAATTGATTTTCTTTTTGAGACCAAAAAAGTTTCGCTTAGTTTCAAAAATTTTGGCCGCCCTGTGCAACAAAACGGCTAGAGGGCAAAACACTGACGCATTTCATGCGCATAGTTAAAAGATACCAACACAGTGAAATCTGTTCCTTTTTTTCGTTTTTTCAAACATTTTCACCTCACATCAGTGACTCACACAAAAATAGGCGGAGCTTATGTTAACCTTTGCATTGTCACTGGTTCCAATTATAGTTTTCTTCATTTGCCTTTATTTTTCAATTAATATTATCATTTTCAGATTTGAAGAAGAAAATTATTTCTTCAAACACTGTAAACAGAAAATGAGTGATGAAATAGGTATGTCGATCTCGATGTTTTCGAATTTTCAAATTTTTTTTCCAGATATTTTCGAAGATGCTTTGGACGACTATGATCAGACCATTGTAGCGCATCAACCTGTTCAAGAAAACGATCATAATGATGATCATATTGGAGCCGAATCATCAATTTATTTGATAGGTAATTTATTTTTGAAAAATTTCAAGTAAACAAATTTTATTTTCAGAAGTCAACTGTATGGATGCGTTTGCTTTGATTTTCACCATAATGTGGTCATTATACTCATTTGACTGGATTTCATTCCGAGCAGCCGAATTTTTCACAATCGTTCTTGGTTCAGCTGTTTTTGGTGCTTGGTTTAATCAAACCATGTTCATATTCTTTTATTGATATTTTTCTTTGATTATCATATCAATTGTGAGATTCCTGCTATCCATATTATTGTTTCCTTCAATCAACCGATTTCTGTTTTAATAACCAATTATAAACTATAATCATCCAAGTTTTGAAGCTAATAAATATGTTGCTATGAATCTACCTTTTGAAAATTCAGACTAAATATTAGTAAACACGTTCAAAAAATTTCAATAAAGTTCCTTTGTGAGATGGAAAAAAACAGATGTCGATGTTTTTCTTTTGTTCGCGAAATTTCGTGACAAACAAAAGAAAAAGCACAACTTATTCACAATATTGAAGGTCAGTGTTGTATATCACTCATTCAATTTTCACGGGGCCAAAAAATCCCAAGTGAAGTTTGATAAAAAATATTTAACTTCGAAATTATGATTTTTTCACCACTTCATAATTATCACGTCAGCACTTTTGGTTTTTCCTTTTTCTCAAAGTTGATCATTCGCTTTTCTCTCTCTCCAAAAACCTCGCCCTATAGGAAAGTAGGCGGAGCTTGCAAAACAACGCCTAGTGGTTGCGACATTGGCGCATTTGATGTGCACAACAAAGACGCGCCCATTTCTCTAGGTGATTCAAAGCTTTTCTTTTCCTATTTCTCTAGATTTTTCCTCTTATTTTTATGAAGTTTTTTATCAAATACGATAATCTAGACCTGAAAATTTTGCTGTATGAGTTTTAGTTTAAGAACAATCCTTTTTATCATTTCTGGAAATTTCGCGTAGGTATACTGTAGATTATTATATGTAGTTCTTGTTTTCAATCCTAAAAAAATTTCAATTTTCAAATTTTCAGAACACTCAATCGTTTGACCTCAAAAACGTGGGATTAAATATAAAGACGAAATGACTTCTGAAATTGGTAAGTTGCTGAAAACTCAATAATCAAGAATTATCCAATTTTTGAAGGGGAACATCAGTTGACCGACAATGATCAAGTTATTGAAGAGGACGAAGTTGTTGAAGACAATCAACAAATGGAGAATGAACCGGAAGTCGAGTTGCCATTGGAGCGCAGAGGTTATTGTTTGATCCAATCAGCCAATTTGAATAAAAAACATAATTGTTTCAGGAATAGATTTCGTCTGGGAGGAATTCGTACTTTTGGTTCTCATCTGGATTCCATTATACTATTTGGATTGGATCGACTTCACATATTTTACAGCTGCTTCGGTCTTTTTTTCCGTATTAACCATCCTTGGTTGGTTGAAGAACAACTTGTTCTAAACTTCCACTGGTTGAGCCTTTTTCATTTATTTATCCTTTTTTGATTTTCAACTTTTTCATTGTTGTTTTAATTGAAAGGGTAATAAATGCGTTGTTAAAAAAATCTTTCATGAAATTTAGTTAAAAGATAAAACAAAGAAACATGTCGTATATGATTAGATTTTTATAACTTTTGCTTGGTTTATTGCAGACAAAAAGAAGAAGCACAACTTATTTGAAAAATGAAGGTTTGCAATGACATTTATAAAAAAAAAACTGTTTTATATGTCTCGTTGCATTGGGATGTTAAATAAGCTATTATTCCCATAGTAGCCTTTGTTTAATATTGCTTTTGTTCCTTTCTCAAAATCTATGTGTACCATACAGAAATGGGCGTAGTTTCCAAAAATGCGCCTTGGGGTCAAAAACTGACGCATAACATGTGGGCACAAAATGCGCTTTCATTTCTCTCCTCCTCTGTTGAGTTTTATGGTTCCATTTAATTATGTGAATTTTTTGTTTTTTTTTTGATTACCGTAACTAGTATTCTCCAAGGGAAAAGCGACATTGGAGAGATTCTCAGGGTTCCCATATGTTATAATTTGAACGTGTCCATTTCTAAAATCTGGGGGGGGGGGTTCCCAATTTTTAAAAATCCCCAGAAATTTCTTCGCGAAAACACACAGCCCGTATTTCGCGCCAAGGTTGCGCGTAGGATTTGGTGTTTGCGGGCAGTCGGTGTTGACATACACTCTTATTTTTTCCGTTCTTTCTTTAGGTTTGGGATAAGTTCCTTTATACATTTCTAATGATAGAACTGTTGTCGTCTTTGCTGAGAGTTTAATTTTTGTGGTTTTATTTTTACTGGTGGGTACGTAGGTATGAATGTTTTATCTTTTTAATTTTTTGCGAGTCATCCATTAATCTCATTTGAAAAAATGCAACAAACACTTTTTTCTCAGAGTTAAATTGATTTTTATGCTTGAACCTTTTTTGGAACATACAAAACGGGTGCATTCCAACTCTCAATTATCCTCTGTTCTCTTTTCAATTAAAATTTCAATGTATTTTTCAGAAGGACTCTTTCAAAGCGTTTCTCGAAAAATTGCGCAACTAACTGCCGAGATGAGTTAGTCTTACAAAACTCATTGGTTCAAAAAAAAAAGTTTTTTCAGATAAAACTTTGGAATCCACGGCAATGAAGTTTAGAGATTTTCAAGCTGATCAATTCGTTCAATTCAGTAACGAAATTTTACAATACGGATTTGCAGAAATCATCAAAGATCTATGGGCGGAGATTGAAGGTAATTTACTTATGAGATTTTCCTACCAAAAATATATCTCAAATTTCATGAAAAGTTTATTTTAGACTTTTTTTTGTAAAATATTATTTGAATTCCAGAAATTGAGAACCGCTTTCATAATGATATCGTTAACCTTACTCCTTGGGTAACTGTTTTCGAAATGATAATGATGTTGGAGCATTTTGGTTGGATTAGCACAAATACAGAAAGAATTCTAATTGTTGCATTTTCCGTTGCTTTCTGTTATGTTTTTTATGATGAGTAACTCGGGAAAAATCCCGCAAGTGTCGGCAAGAATTGCAGTAGAGCCGCAATGGCTGCGGGTGAAGCCGCCGTTGTTGCGGGGGAAAGACAAGGGAAGTGTGAGAGAGCACAGGCAGAAAGACAAAAAGTAGCGAGCGTCTGCGCTCTCTCACATTCCCCTTGTCTTTCCCCCGCAACAACGGCGGCTTCACCCGCAGCCATTGCGGCTCTACTGCAATTCTTGCCGGCACTTGCGGGATTTTTCCCGAGAAGATTGTTTTTTAAAATAATTATTTTGCGTATGCCCCTATTCATTGAACAGTTTTAAAAATTCATTTTAATACCTTTTTCTTTATTTTTCTAAGTTAAAACCATAAAATGTATACCCAGTTGAATATTCAACTGTTTTTGTGACAATGACATTTATAGTTTTTGATAAATGATCTTTTTTGGTATGGTCAAATAAATATAAAAAACATTGTTTCATTATTTGCTTATAAAATCTGAGTTTTTCAAAAAAAAAACATGTATCTCTCAACATACCTTGATCACGTTTTATATTGTTTTTTTTCCATTGTCCTGAAGTGAAACAAACTGGCACATTCTATTTGGGAACCAATATCCTCATTTCAATTATGTCTCTAATGAGAAATGTTCTTCATAGTTGTATTGAATTGTGTCTGATTATTGTTAGAAAAATGGGCGGAGCTTCCAAAAAACGCCTTGTGGTTGAAAAACTGACACATTTCGTGTTGACGCAATATCTTCCATTGATTACGTTTCTGACTTTCCCTATGTTTCAAAATCTTCTTGTCATCTTATTCTTCAACACTTTTTATTTTTGTTTTCAGGTCTTGAGGCTGCTGCTGAAAAAAGTTCCACGCTGATCTGTGATGAGTAAGACATACAAAAATGATTTACCAAAAATGAATCCGTGTTTTGTAGATAATATGGAAAATACTTCGGCAAACCCGGAATTGGAGGATGAACCAGTTCAAAATGATGATCCTGTTCAAGAAAATGAGGTGATTGCTCTAGATGGACTTGGAAGAACCATGATACTTATATGTATGGTTTATGACGGTGAATAACTTATTAAATATTAGTTTGATACATAGTTATTTTTTTGCAGAAATGTTGAACAACATCGAATTAGTATCTGAATTGATATCAATCTTAATTTTGACCTTGCTCTTTTTTCAACTCGGCTGCTGGTTCGTTGCGGAAATCTAAACTTATTCGACATTTTTATTATTTTTTAAAATTATCATTGTGAAATCAAACTATCTTATAATTTGATTTATTGACTTGAAAAAATAAATGAATGTGTCCGTTATACTGTAAAACATAGCAATAATCATCATTATACTCTTCGTTTCTCATGGTAATACCAACAAATGTTGTTATTTGTTTTCTTCACAAAATTTCGGTTGTTCGAAAACAGAAGAAAACCTAAAACTTTCAAAAAATAAAATAAAGGTCTGTGTTGTATATCACTCATTTAGTTTGCTTCTTTCCGATGATTTTTGAAAAACATATGGACATATGTTTTTATTCTCTCAAAAGGTTTAGGATAACCGTTAAGGGACATTGTTGATATTTTTTGTGATCTGTAATATGTTCTCGTAATCTTTAAAATCCGTCCTAATTTATTCATTTTTTCTTACAAACTTGTCGACATTCCTTATTTCTCTAAAATGTTTTTACAATAGATGAAAGGCGGAGCTCACAGAAAAAAACAAAAAAAAAGACGCCTTGGGTTAAATCACTGGCGCATTTATTGCCCTCACAGGTGTCCTCATGTTATTGCTGAGAGAAAATTTATTTTCACTCTTTTGGTTGGTGTGGAAATGTTTTGCCGTTTCTGCCTAATTTTTTAGATTTACTCTATTTCTGACAGTTCCCTATTTTTTCGCTTCCTATTTTTAAGTTCTCAATACACACTCTCTCTTTGATTCTGATTATAAATCATACAGATATTGCTAAATCATGTTTTTTGTTTTTCAGATGGATCAAACTTTGCTTCTCCAAAATATCAAGAATAAAATTGATAATTTGACCGCTGAGATGGGTGAGTTTTTTGAACATTTAGTATTTATATATGCAACGTGAATTTCAGATTATCTTAAATACAAATTTTCGACCTCGAAAATGAACAATTATGAATCGAAACTTCAAAACGACGAAGATATTCATGCTGTCGAAGCCCAAGTTCTTGAACTTGTCGAAGAGGAACCAGGTATTTTAAAAATTTCATATACCTTTTTAAAATATTCAAATAGGAGCTGTTAGCCCCCAGGCGTAACAGTCTTTCTCAATTTTCTGTGGAAAATTGACTTACAATCAGATTCATGGGAAATTTAAATCGAATTAATAGAAAGTTTCAAGTTTTTCGATCAAAGAATGACTCGTGGCAAAATCAGGAAGGCTTCCTAATTTTGCCATGGACGACGTCATCGATAAATTTTTCGAAAAAAACCTATTGAATCTATTCTCAGAGATTCGCTAGCCAGCTGGTCACTAGGTGGGGTCGACTGCCCATCTGAAATTGACACGGACAACCACATCGCCCGTATTTTTTGCCAGGCGACCTGGTCGCGAGGTGGTTCAGTTCATGCAGACCACCTCGCCCAGGTTGTCCAGCTCAACCCGACCTCGCGTCCAGATCGTCTCGCTTAAGAGAAAAAAGTCCAAAAAACTTGTGAATCCGAGCATTCTAGAAGAAATTGGCTCATTTTCTGTTTTTTCGGAGTACTAGAAACCTTAGGAAGTGAAAACAAAAAGTAAAAAAATGCACCATTTTGAGTACAAACCACCGTCTTGCTAGCTTTCCGGGATTTCAAACACACAGACCACGTCGCCGGAAAACTCAAGGCGATTTGGTGGCCGAATCAAATTCAGCTCGTTTTGAACTTTCCGGCCACCTGGTCCTGATCTAGTGGCGAGCTGGCCAGCGAATCTCTGTGTTTTTTGTATTAAATGTACTTGTAAGAGGTAAATCACACGAATTACAATTGAATTCATTGAAAATTTCAAGTTTTTCGATCAAAAAATGACTGGTGGCAAAATCAGGAAGGCTTCCTAATTTTGCCATGGATGACGTCATCGATCAAATTTTTGAAAAAAAAACTTATTTTATTATTTTTTGTATTAAATGTACTTGTAAGAGGTAAATCACACGAATTACAATTGAATTCATTGAAAATTTCAAGTTTTTCGATCAAAAAATGACTCGTGGCAAAATCAGGAAGGCTTCCTAATTTTGCCATGGATGACGTCATCGATCAATTTTTCGAAAAAAACTTATTTCATTATTTTTTGTATTAAATGTACTTGTAAGAGGTAAATCACACGAATTACAATTGAATTCATTGAAAATTTCAAGTTTTTCGATCAAAAAATGACTGGTGGCAAAATCAGGAAGGCTTCCTAATTTTGCCATGGATGACGTCATCGATCAAATTTTTGAAAAAAAAACTTATTTTATTATTTTTTGTATTAAATGTACTCGTAAGGTGTAAATCACACGAATTACAATTGAATTCATTGAAAATTTCAAGTTTTTCGATCAAAAAATGACTGGTGGCAAAATCAGGAAGGCTTCCTAATTTTGCCATGGATGACGTCATCGATCAATTTTTCGAAAAAAAACTTATTTCATTATTTTTTTGTATTAAATGTACTCGTAAGAGGTAAATCACACGAATTACAATTGAATTCATTGAAAATTTCAAGTTTTTCGATCAAAGAATGACTCGTGGCAAAATCAGGAAGGCTTCCTAATTTTGCCATGGATGACGTCATCGATCAATTTTTCGAAAAAAAACTTATTTCATTATTTTTTTGTATTAAATGTACTCGTAAGAGGTAAATCACACGAATTACAATTGAATTCATTGAAAATTTCAAGTTTTTCGATCAAAAAATGACTCGTGGCAAAATCAGGAAGGCTTCCTAATTTTGCCATGGATGACGTCATCGATCAATTTTTCGAAAAAAAACTTATTTCATTATTTTTTTGTATTAAATGTACTCGTAAGAGGTAAATCACACGAATTACAATTGAATTCATTGAAAATTTCAAGTTTTTCGATCAAAAAATGACTGGTGGCAAAATCAGGAAGGCTTCCTAATTTTGCCATGGATGACGTCATCGATCAATTTTTTGAAAAAAAAACTTATTTTATTATTTTTTGTATTAAATGTACTTGTAAGAGGTAAATCACACGAATTACAATTGAATTCATTGAAAATTTCAAGTTTTTCGATCAAAAAATGACTCGTGGCAAAATCAGGAAGGCTTCCTAATTTTGCCATGGATGACGTCATCGATCAATTTTTCGAAAAAAAACTTATTTCATTATTTTTTTGTATTAAATGTACTCGTAAGAGGTAAATCACACGAATTACAATTGAATTCATTGAAAATTTCAAGTTTTTCGATCAAAAAATGACTCGTGGCAAAATCAGGAAGGCTTCCTAATTTTGCCATGGATGACGTCATCGATCAATTTTTTGAAAAAAAAACTTATTTTATTATTTTTTGTATTAAATGTACTTGTAAGAGGTAAATCACACGAATTACAATTGAATTCATTGAAAATTTCAAGTTTTTCGATCAAAAAATGACTCGTGGCAAAATCAGGAAGGCTTCCTAATTTTGCCATGGATGACGTCATCGATCAATTTTTCGAAAAAAAACTTATTTCATTATTTTTTTGTATTAAATGTACTCGTAAGAGGTAAATCACACGAATTACAATTGAATTCATTGAAAATTTCAAGTTTTTCGATCAAAAAATGACTCGTGGCAAAATCAGGAAGGCTTCCTAATTTTGCCATGGATGACGTCATCGATCAATTTTTCGAAAAAAAACTTATTTCATTATTTTTTGTATTAAATGTACTCGTAAGAGGTAAATCACACGAATTACAATTGAATTCATTGAAAATTTCAAGTTTTTCGATCAAAGAATGACTCGTGGCAAAATCAGGAAGGCTTCCTAATTTTGCCATGGATGACGTCATCGATCAATTTTTCGAAAAAAAACTTATTTCATTATTTTTTTGTATTAAATGTACTCGTAAGAGGTAAATCACACGAATTACAATTGAATTCATTGAAAATTTCAAGTTTTTCGATCAAAAAATGACTCGTGGCAAAATCAGGAAGGCTTCCTAATTTTGCCATGGATGACGTCATCGATCAATTTTTCGAAAAAAAACTTATTTCATTATTTTTTTGTATTAAATGTACTCGTAAGAGGTAAATCACACGAATTACAATTGAATTCATTGAAAATTTCAAGTTTTTCGATCAAAAAATGACTCGTGGCAAAATCAGGAAGGCTTCCTAATTTTGCCATGGATGACGTCATCGATCAATTTTTTGAAAAAAAAACTTATTTTATTATTTTTTGTATTAAATGTACTTGTAAGAGGTAAATCACACGAATTACAATTGAATTCATTGAAAATTTCAAGTTTTTCGATCAAAAAATGACTCGTGGCAAAATCAGGAAGGCTTCCTAATTTTGCCATGGATGACGTCATCGATCAATTTTTCGAAAAAAAAACTTATTTCATTATTTTTTTGTGTTAAATGTACTCGTAAGAGGTAAATCACACGAATTACAATTGAATTCATTGAAAATTTCAAGTTTTTCGATCAAAAAATGACTGGTGGCAAAATCAGGAAGGCTTCCTAATTTTGCCATGGATGACGTCATCGATCAATTTTTTGAAAAAAAAACTTATTTTATTATTTTTTGTATTAAATGTACTTGTAAGAGGTAAATCACACGAATTACAATTGAATTCATTGAAAATTTCAAGTTTTTCGATCAAAAAATGACTCGTGGCAAAATCAGGAAGGCTTCCTAATTTTGCCATGGATGACGTCATCGATCAATTTTTCGAAAAAAAACTTATTTCATTATTTTTTTGTATTAAATGTACTCGTAAGAGGTAAATCACACGAATTACAATTGAATTCATTGAAAATTTCAAGTTTTTCGATCAAAAAATGACTGGTGGCAAAATCAGGAAGGCTTCCTAATTTTGCCATGGATGACGTCATCGATCAATTTTTCGAAAAAAAACTTATTTCATTATTTTTTTGTATTAAATGTACTCGTAAGAGGTTAATCACACGAATTACAATTGAATTCATGAAAAATTTCAAGTTTTTCGATCAAAAAATGACTCGTGGCAAAATCAGGAAGGCTTCCTAATTTTGCCATGGATGACGTCATCGATCAATTTTTCGAAAAAAAACTTATTTTATTATTTTTTGTATTAAATGTAATCCATGCAAAATTCGCGGACTCTGTCGCCTGTAATTGCGGATCTGTTCAAAAATACTACAGATATGCGCCAACAAATCGAGAATTCCTAAAATATTATGAAATAATAGCTATACTTGATTAATTGCAAAGAAATTACAAGTTCATATATGCATGCCTTTAAAATCTTCAGAGTCAAAATATTATTCAAAAAAATTGTTTTTTCATTATGTGAAAACATTTTCAGAAATCCTTCAATTGACAAGAATCTTGCTCAAATTCTTCCTTCTGGCATTTTTTGATCTTGTCATCATGGTTTTACTTTTCCGAGCTATTCAATGTTAAGAAGAACCACTCCAAGTATTTGTTGAATTTTTATCATCTACGTTTTTTATTTGATAATTAGTTTTTCAACAAATGAATCTGTTAACAAAGTTTGTATTTTTATCAAAAAACTTAACCTTGTAAAAATTTTCATGAGACGGTAAAAATGTGCGTGAATGAATTTTGAAACAGTGGATTATATTCTGTTTTCGAAACCAAAAAAAATATTTAAATTAGGTAGGTTTTTACTTGTAATAAAGAGCTGATCGTAAATCTTTGTTCGCTAGTTTAATTTTGTGAATTTTCTGTAAAGCAACCATTTTTGTGAACTTTAAAAAAAAATGATTTTAATTGGCCATAATGATCATCCACTTATACTTTCTCAAAAGAAAAGATGAATTGAGATATAAAAAATGTTACGATCTATATATTTTATACCTTTTCTGAGTTTTTCCAGCTTAGAATTTTGCTCCAAGTTCGATTGAATAAAAAAAGGAAGACTAGTTGCTCATTCCAAAAATTCATTTTTCTCGAAAATTCACGTTTTCAAACTGTTAAGTGGATGAAGTTCATTTCGTAACATTGAGATTCATTCAGTGGTTACCTTGTTCTGCTTTGTTTTTGCGAACACTCATGATTTGTTCAAAAAACATTCAAAAAAGATTACGGTAGGTGTTTTTCTCACAGGAAAATCGCATAACAATGACTCAACTGAAAGTCGGCGGTTTTTTCTTTGATAAGTGAATTGCACTTTTTGTTTTTCTTTTATTTAAACATACACACGTTCAATGTATGAATAAATGGGGATTTTGCATTTTGAATTGATGTTTTCATTGGTAGATTTGATGCTTTCAAAAATTTAAACACAACTTGAGAAACAATGTCGGTTTTTCCACTTCGACAAAATCAAGAAGTTTTTAGTCATGCGCCATCTGAAAAATAATGGAAATATTTATCACTTTCTCAGACTTTATGAAACACCAGGGGAACTGTTTTTTAGCATTTTTAAATTTAAAAATTTGGCTGAATTTATGGATATGAGAAATTTATATTCACATAGAAATTCATGTTATCCGGAAAGCTTTTTCCTAAATAGAAATTTTTTGAACCAAATTTTTTATTCAACTTCAGGAATATCCTTCTAGTATAGCTCAACATTTGATTCTCCTTGACTATTTTCCAATTTTCCGACACAATTTCAGACAACTGAATCCAAACCTGGTCTTGCTTGGTTTCAAAAGATTCCGAATTTCATGAAGATTTTGAAAATCTATAAAAAGTGTTCAATTAATTCTCTCAAACACGTAATTTTGAAATTCTGTGAAAATTTCGAAAATTTATCAGATTTCAATAAGTGGGCGGGGTTTTGTTCGATCATAAAAATCACATTTTCTGGATGCAATGTTTTGTCATTCTTGTTTTCTTTTCTGTTTTCAATTTTTCAGCAGATTTTTTTTTAAATTTTCTGTCTTGGAAAAACTTTTTGTTTCGAAATGGATTCTTTTCAATGATTTCTTTGTATTTTTACATGTTTCATGATATCTGATCAGATATTTTTCAGAAAATGAGCAACCAAAACGATTCGACTTCTGGAAGTGTCACTAAAAAGGATATTCTTGCTAAAAAGAAAGAATATGAAGTTCCAACAATCTCTTTTGAAAAAAACAAAAACTATCCAAATGGTCCAAAAATGGCAGTTTTTGTTCGCCCATCGCAAAAACATTTGGTGGACATCAATATCAAATTAACCGACAAGACTCATTCCGACACTTTGGAAAATGTCAAGACCCAAAAAGGTATGTCCTTCAGAAGAAAACAAGCAAATACTATATCAGAGTGTTATTTTTCAGAAAATCCGTCGTCGGGTAAGAAAGGATACGTCGTTCCAACAATCTCCTTCCCAAAGAACAGCAACTATCCAGATAACCCGCATGTGGCCGTTTTCAATCGCCCAACAGAAAAATAAACTGATGCTTTGTTGGAAAATGATTCGAACGATTTTTTCCCATTCTTTATTTTATTATAATTTTTGATCGAATAATATTTTTTCCCGTCTTTTTTTGAATAAATAATGTATTGATTGCAAATGTGTTCGTAATGTTGAGAAATTCAAGATAATATTGATAAAGGTTTGGACGAATCGGAAAATAAAACAGATATATGATCTGATCTTGGAGCTAGAAAAACAACAAAACGATAAAATGTTTGGCCGAAAACATGATTGAGAGTCGATAGAAAAAACAACATTTTATATTTTTTTGTTAGATAAATGTATGGAAATGTGTGAAGCGAAGTCCATGTGGTATTTTCCAATTCGTCTGGATTTTTGAGCGTTTTCAGAATCCTACTGATTAATTGTTATGATTTTGTTTTCCAAATCATCAACAAATTGATGATATTGAAGAAAAAAATAAAACATCAGAGCAAATTATAATCCCATTCTTATTTATCAACAATCAAATTGTCTTTATGAATATTTGAGACTCCATATCTATTGAAATTTCCAAAAAAAAAAACACAGTTTTGCATAAATATTTATTTCTCAACATAGCTTATCAACTTTTAAAATTTAAATCTTTTCCAAATCTTGCATGTGCAAATGAAGTAGACAATGTAGGCCAACGTGAGAAGAATGACAATATCGATGGCAAAGTCGATGAGAAAGTAGCAAAATTCAGTGAGGAAATCTTGCCATGAAGCGAATCTTGGTGGACTGTTATCTTCTAAAAAATCACTGATATTCCATGATTCAGAATTTTCAGGAACTAAAAATACCTTTTTCCAAATCCGAGTCTGATGGTTCACAATAAATTATTGTTGGTTTTAACGGGGAAGCTCTGTTAGTTTTCACCGGAAAACAATTTGAAAGAGCAGTATCAACCAGCGGAGCCGTATCGGAAAAATTTTCACCAACCAAGTTTGATATAAGAGGTGCATCTAAATGTGTCAATTGAATATTTATTATTGAATCAACCAAACTTACCTCTGGGCTTTTCATTATTTGATTTTTCAGACATTCTGTAGTCGAAAATATCAAAAATGTGTGGTATCTTGAATAAAATCGATTTATATGTGTTTCGTATAATTGATAATGTGCAATATATTGCGATTCCGCCTACTTTTATTGGTTTGTTTGTGATAGAAATAATTGTAAAAAAATCGTATTTTTTGAAGAGGGGATTGAAAAATGAAACAGATAAGCTTTAGTTTAAAATATTGAACATTTGATAGATAGGCTGCTTTAGAACTAAACAGCGGCCGAAAGTGATGATTTTTTCTGAAAATATAACAATCTCGAGTTAAACCCTGTTAGATTGCCAACTCGAGAAGAGGAACATAATAAATATCAACATTAATACAAAAACAATGAGAAAACAATTTCAATATGATTAGAAGTTATACTTCGAAATTGGAAATTCGCGACATTCGAGAAAAATCAAAAAATTGATTGCAAAAAAAGGTACAAGGATGTCGAAATGAGAAAAAAAATATTTTTTCTGAATCCCATTCAACTTTTTTCCAATTGTCTGCTTCCAAATATCCGTTATTTGATACATTAATACAAATTTTCTGTATTGAACATGTTCATCTCATGTTTTTTTTCCATACCAAGAATTCCTTCTCTCTATTCGAAATTCTCATACTCACTCAAAGTTATTCATCGCCAAAAAAGACACATTCAAAAAAAGTCGCGCCATTTCCCGTCAGATATGTACTTTTGTAAAGATCACCGACAAAAACGACTGATTCATCCAAAAATGTGGGCGGAATCTGCGGTTTTCTTTGATTTGTTGGATGTACTTTTCTGTTTTTTTTTCTTGAGTATTCAAATATTGGCCAAAAGCCAAGATTCAAAAAAAAAACGGAAATCATAGCACATATGGAACAGTATCGAAGATTCCTTTTTGCAAAATATTACCGATCCGGAAAAATGAAAAATTAGACGGGGCCAATTCCTACCGTAATCTTGACGCTGTAGGCGGAACCAATTCTTACCGTAATCCTACAAAATACAAAAAAAACCAATTATGTACTTTTATTTGATACAGCTGAATTGAACGTTTATTGAGTTTTATTCAGAAACAAAAGTTTAGATGTTTTGAAGACCACCTGCATATTCTTCTCACGGCCTTTTTGCACGTGTGTTTTTACCAATTACATTTCTAAATTTATCTCATTTCATTTCATTCAAATTTAATACATTTTCCAATGTTAGCCTGTTTGAAGTTTTTGATCATATTTTTAACATATTTCAACTTTCTCAAACCAGAAATCAAGAAAATAGATGTGTAATTTCCAAATTGTAACATATCTGGAAGCAGGTCTGAAATTTTCTTATCAATTTTGCACTAAATTTGGATATTTCAAAAGTTTTTAAATTCTATCTCAAAAACTTTCTTCAAAAAAAAATTTACTATTTCACTTTGGAGTTGAAACATACACTGAATTTTTTAATTCCACTTTTTAAATTACAAGACTCTAATTTTCAAACCCCATATTGCCATACTTCGGAATTTCATATTTATTCCATCAAATTTCTATTCAAAAAAGTTGTGTTTTGTTTACATCTGTTAACCAACCCTTTCAACAAAAGCCGACAAGTTCAAAATAGGTAGGAAACTTTTGTGCCGCTAGACAGATGTACTGATTCATTGAAAAATGGGCGGAGCTTGCGCCACCACAACTTCTCGCCATCACATTGTTCTTTTTGTATCTTTTTCATTATTTTCTCTGATTTTTTTTTAGCAATTTTGTCTTATTTTTTGAAGCTTTTTCGAACATACATGAACTGGGACTTCGAATTCGGAGGGAGGGGTGTTAACTTTAGGTAGACTTTTGAAGGTAGAACCCTTAACTTCAGAACATTTTGGAGTATTTCATGCTTTTTGAGGCCAAAAACTCAAAAAAAATTGATTAGGAGGTGGGGGGGGGTTACTTTTCAAAAATGTTGCCTGGAGGGGAGGGGGGTTAACTGAAGGATCCCCGCAGCGGCTAGTTAATGTATGTTTTCAAAATAATCTTGAGCTTTTTCTCATGTAAAGTTTCCGATTTCTCTACATCTTCATAACTTTTTATCAATTGCTGTTTTTGAAAACTTACCATATATACATATTAAACGATTTCGAGATTTTTAACAAAAAAAGTGCATTTGTAGAAGTTAATTTTTCAAGGTCAAATTCCAAAAGAAAAAAACAAAAAAACATGGAGGGAAAAACTCTATCTTACTGCTTTTCCTATTCTTTTGTTTGAAAAATCGATTTGTTTTTTATTCAGATCATAAGAATGGATTATATTCAACAAAAAGAGAAGTTGAATAAAGTTATCATGGAATTGAGACGAGAGAGCTGCGAACTTGGTAAGCTAACTGTTTCAGCCATCATCAGAATAAAATCAATATTTTCAGAGCTCGAGGCTGCGTTGCACGTTTTGAACGAATGCCAGAATCAACTTGCTCCAAATGTTCAACCAATCAAGAAAAAAATCACAAAACAAGTCAGTTGGGCAGAAAGTGTTGATGATACTGCGCAAAGTAGCTCTACGGTCAAAGATGCCATCAATCACGATGAAAATGCTTCGAAATCTGAAGACGGTTAGTGGTTTGAAGGTTTTTCAGTAGAACCGTTCTCTTGCCATTTCTCTTGCCATTTCCACAATAGTGGTTCCCAAAAATCAAATTTTGTACGCTAAACTTTTTGCCGTATGAAAACTGTGCATTGTCAAGTTCTAGGCCTTCTGAAAAATGCCAATTTAGATTATTTTTTTTTCGGAATTGTAATCTGATGCATGGATAATTGCCCGAGGTCGTTTTTCAGACTGGCCAGAGTATTCAATTCTAAATGGGACCATCATACAATGTTTGTTTTCTTGAATTGAGTATTTCATTTCGAAATTAGTCCATAAACACTTCATATATGTATTCAGAACATTCAGAAATTATTTTTTAGCAGTAAAGTTTTTTATTTCCAATCATTATTTTTCAATGCTCAATTATTTTTGTAACAAAAAACATATCAAAAGAAATTGACAAAAATTTCATCAAAACATTAAAACTATTATTTCTGCGACTCACAGTTCCATTATTCGAAAAACATTTATGTTGACTGACTAATCGATATTCATATTTCTCACACCAATCATACCATCGACAGACTCTTGAATTGTTTTGTCTTCACTTAAATCGTCTGAAAAAACACATTTTCATTGATTCACTCTTACCTATACACAATGTTTCAATGTTCATTTTTCCAGATTTGAAAGTCCAAACGAAGAGAAATGGAGAAAGCCAAGATCGTTTGAAACTTCTCGAGCTTTGCATTGCTCAAATCAAAATGGAACAATCTATGGATATGGATATTTCAACAGAACCGGAAAAGCGTGTTCTTTTTCCAATTGTTGAAGAGGAGGAAGAAGAGGAAAGAAATGATCCAATTGACACACTTGATGAGACTGTGAATGTTGATGGTGATATCGAACAAGGTTAGTACTCCTACATATAGGTTTTGAAGAGTTTCTTGAAAATATGTTGCTGAATTAGTTATTCTGAACAACTCAACATGGTTTTTTTGCTATAGGTATAATGAAAAAATTGTGTCAAAAACCGTAATTTTGTATGCTTATGATGTTTTTTACCAACTGATTGTGAATATCGGAAAGTAATAAGTTATCACTAATAACCATTAGCGAGTCTCCAAATTTTCATCAAAAGAATATCTAAAAAATCAGATTTTTCGAGTTTTATCTCATTATTTATAATTTCAGGTAACAGCGAGCCACAACAAAAAAGACAACGCTGGTCAAAATGCGAGACCGTTATATTCTCCATTTTTTCCTTCTACTCTTTGTTAATGATTGTTGCAATTGTATTATTGATTGTTTTTCTGATCAATGATTGGAAAATTTTCTCTAACTTAGAAATTAGACCGATGAACGTTTTCACACGTCATTGATACGTCCAATTTTTTTTTGAAGTTATGACATATTTTATCTTCTCTTATTTTTTTGCTTGTTTTTTTTACCTGTGACGATTTGACGAGTCCTGTCAATTTTCTATATTTTTATTGAAACGAAACGATTTTTTGTTGGAATAATGTTTGTAAATTATATAATATGACGATTTCAATTTTCGTTCAAAATATTTTATAGATTTTTTGACCAATTTCTGAATAATCAGATTTAATTTCAGGTACGATGCAAATCAAATCGAAAATAATCCAAAGTGAGAACTACTCAAAACGCCTTGAACTCCACTTGGCTCGTATAAAATTGGCGAAATCATATTCCATTGATGTTCCGAATGAACCGGAAGATGAAATAAGCTTCCCAGTTTTGAAACAACAAGAAAACATCAAGAAGAGTCTCCCAATGGATAAATGTGCTGTAACTGTTGATGCTGATGAGAAACAAGGTTTGTTTACATTTTTTGATTTTTGACTAATTTTATGAACTTTCAGTCATTATTGAGCCCCAACAACAATCATTATGTTTGGCAGAGTCAGCAATCAACAGATTCATGATATTTTTGATCTACTTTTTTTTGATAGCAGTCATAATTGCTGTTGTTTGTATCGATGTATCAAAAAAATCTCACGTTTTCGTTCACCCAAAATTCACACCAATCAACCCTTTTACACTTCATTGATCCTCAAAATTATGGATATCAGGTTATTGTTCTTCATTTTCCAAATTGGTACTTCGAATCTCACTTGTGTTCTTCTTTTTTTCTTTCTCCGATATTTTTGAGTAATTTCAACTAGTGTTTTAATGGTAATTTTTTCATTGAAATAAAAACAAAATAAACGTTTTTTTTTTTTAAATTCAAAATATGTGTCAAGTTACTGTATAATAGACGATACTTTATGTTCGTTTGAAATATTTATTTTGGTTTAGAGATTCAGATCAGATAACCAATTTGATGTCGTTTAAACTTCTTTCCAGGTTAGTTTTTTTATTGTTTTAATTGATATGACACTTTTCATAGTATTTATACGCGTCGCATGTGCGCTCCGTTTATTTTTTGAGTGCAGCATTCAAAAAAATAATTCTAGTTGGATATGTTATTCAAAACTTTATTAATAGCAATATTATCGTTCGTAAAAAAAGGAGCAGTGAAAAAGCAAAGAAGTATAGTTAGAAGAAGTTTTTGGAAATCAGAACATGGCTGGGTAACAATATTGGGTGAAGAAATAAATAAAGATGAAGGCAGCCACAACGATGTAGAAGTAGAACAAATTTCTTGGACTATGAACCGCATCCATTACCAAATCAAGATTTCTAGATTGATATTCTGGAATATAAAATATCAAGAATTAAAAATTAGATGTATTGGACAGAAGAAGATTTTTGAAACAGCCATAGAAAATGTGAATGTATTGATTTTTCATCAAATCTATTTTTCGGCAAAAACTATTTTGTGTCACGATTTTCTAATATCGTAAATATTTCAAAATTGTTCTAATATTAGGTTTTCTATAGGACATCCTATGTTTGTGAGAAGTTACTCAATTTAGTTGAATTTCTTTGGGATCAAATGGATTTTATATCAAGTTCTAGAAAAGTCTTGGAGGTATAGGAAATAACACTTGGGATGATTTTATTTTGTGGGCCGTCTGGTGGTGATCTAATTCTTATATTAGGAGGAAACTCTTGTGTCACACTAATTCTAAATGGCAGCGAGTTCAGATAATCTCAAGTTTTGCGAAAATGACTATTGTTGTCATATCAAATGGAATGCTTTAAAATTAAGGGAAATAGTCAACAGTTGTGAAGCTTTTGTTTAAAAAAAAGCTTACGTTGATATCCAAGAAGAGCATAGACATTGTTGAGCGAATCACGGAGCATTGGCAATTCTCTTGGAGGATACTCATTGTCTTCTTCAATGTCGATAATGCGATGACCGACGTTGCCCATTTCAACTGCCACCTCTTCTCGATTTTCATCAATTTCTTGAAGAAGTTGTTCAGGGCCTGTAAATTACACTAGTTCCCATCTGATCAGTCGCTCGCTTGAAAATCTTACCAATTTCTAGACCAGCATAATCCAAGTATTGGCCATAGATTTTTGAAGGCGCGACCATTTTTCTACAAAAAATTGAATATTGAACAGTCCGGCTGAATGAAAATGAAAATGAGAATGAATGATACAACGAAAAGAATAAGGAATCTGTGAGCTCAACTCCGCCCCTATTTCGAAACTGTTAAACACGCCGTTGAAAATCAATATTACAGCAAAATATCCAGAAAAAAACTGTCACAACACGGCACGAGGGCGCTGTTTTTGTCCGAACATGAGCATTGGATATTTTGACTCAACCCCGGCTATGATAAACGACGTTGAAAATCGATAGTCGCACAAAAATCGGTATTTTTTAGTGATGAGAGACGTTTAACAATAACATCGGACATTTACAAAACATCGCACAGCTCATTCTTTGGTGAATGATCTATAGGCCAGAATGTCGGAATTTTATTTGTTTGATAGTCATTTTAGGCTAGAAACTTTCATAAGGGATCGGGTCATTCTGAACATTTCCGGTGGTATGGCTTTGGAAAAAAGAAGAAGCAAAGACATGAATGTTCAAAAATGCGACATCCCAAATAAAAACAAGTATTTTGAAAATTAGTTTATTATTAAGATACCACACCTCGAGGTTTTATCTAGAATACAGATGCTGTAGAACTCACTTATTCCCAAATTGGGTTTCAGAAATATACAGTTTATAGCTATTTCCCGGTTATCTTCAATTCGCTTTTTTTTATTAAAAAAAAGTTTATTGATCGTTCGTAATTATACAAATACAAAAACCACAAAAGGTTGCAAAAAATTTGAAAAAAATGTGATTAAAAACTGCAGAAATTCATTTGAAAAGTGAATAGAAATAGCACAGAATCACAACCAAGAACATGCTGCCAAAGATGATCCAAAAAAGTTTTTGTGGGTTTCTCACAATTATTTCAAGCCAATCATTTTTTCTTCCATCCAGAATAGCTGAAATTATTGAATATTTACATACATATCTGGTAATGATTGCCAAAAATCTACTTTACCTTTGTTTCTCGAAAACTGTGACCAACAATCAATTGATTTCAAGAGAATCTCCCAGGTTGATTCCGAAATTGGAATTACTTTCGGTTCAGAATTATAGTTGATAGCTTCTTCAAGTCTTTGAATTATTTGAACATTTTTTGGTACTTCACTAGACGAACGAGAAGTTCTAAGATCTGAAAATTTCAATTTTCAGATTAGAAATATATACTTAGTTTCAAAAATACTTACTTTCGTAAATGCGATCCTCTTCGGCTCTGTAGATGATTTTATCCATTTCGAATCGTTATTTCTTTTAAGTTGTCTGAAAAAAATTAAAGAAAAATGTGAAAAAATTCTAAACTGAAAAATAAATTATACGCCCTCCCGTTTCTTTTTGTTGAAAATCAATTGATCGGGCAAATCTCTGGAAACAACATGCGACCAGGCAGGCACAAACAGTCGCGAGGCACCGTGCTTTTTTTTTTTGATGAATCAGCAATTTTTTGTCGAAAAACTGAAAATCAAAAAGGATGAAGGGGGGGCGGGTGGTCCCAAATTTTAACTCATTATTTATATACTCTGGATTTGGTGTTTTCTATGGTTGCTTTGTTAGTTATTAGTGATTTTAGAAGCATTTACTGTAATGTGTGCGACAGTTCAATAGGCTTGTCATCTGTTTCTTTGCCTACTGAAGTTTTAGTTTTCTCATCACAGTGGTTTTTTTATGTGATTAGAAAGTTACTGTAGTATATAGTTTTATCCAAGTGGAAAGAAGTACCATCAAACTTTGCTGGTGGTGAATCTAACAGCTCCTAAAATAATTTTTTCCAATCGTGATGCATAGGTCTATTTTCGAAGTCAAAAGATACAATTTATGGCACAAAAATTGTATTCCTGACTCTTACAATTTTTTCAGTCACACCTTTAGCAGACGTATTTTTGATTTTTTATTATATGGAAAATGCCAAAACTCTTGAAATTATAGATAATCGCTTTTTAACTTGAAAAATTAGAAAATCGTGTGAAACACTTCAGTATTCAGACTTTACTTTTATTATAAAAAAATAATTTTCTTATAATCCTTTTTTGTTATTTCACAATATCTGCATTTTTCTATTTTTATTCTTAAAAAAACACAAAAAAACTGAACCTCCATGTTAATAAATCCAATTTATTTTCCCATCTCACATCAAATTGACAAGGAACCCGAAATTGACAAATTTGCAATTTCAATGTAACAAATCTGACACCTTTTTTGATGAAAAAATAGGATCCCCTTTTTTTCGAGACCTCAAAATCCTGCCCTTTCTTTCACATTTATTTTTGTAACGACCCGTCTTCCATTTTCATTAAAAGCAATTTTATGAAGCTTCACATCATTAGGCACCAGATTTTTCCCTTTTAAGAGCATTTGCAGAACGCCCACGGTATTTTTTATTTCGTTTTTATTTTTTATATTTTTTTGTCATGCTCATTTCTCCTTTTCCAAATCTAACCTATAATCAAAAACATATCGTGACTGGAGCAATTAAAATAGTTTTTCTTCTGAAATGAAATTGTTGCTAGGGTGATACATATGTACATATAAATTTTTATTTCATTTTGCTCTTTTTTCACACATATGATATTTCAGAGAATGATTGTGGAGACGACAGCAGTTGACAATCATCCAATCAAATGCCATTCACCAGCAAGTTTGGTCAAGAATCCGAAAGCGATTGCGAGAGGCTACCGAAAAGTCGGAAAGGTTGTATGGTAGGAATTTCCTAATAACTTTCAAACTTTTCGAGATTTTTATGAAAATTGAACTACAAACAAAATTCAGGTGCTTTGAAATGTCCGCCACCAACAACTCTCAATTCTTCTTGACGATCTCTGCTTCAATTCGCGATGAGCGTGCCTGGGTTGTTTGGATGAATGGAACGTTGCGCTGGAAAAACCACGTCTACACCCTCACGAGCTCTCAATACTACTACGGTCTTCGCACCGAGTTTGTTCTCACCGATATTGTTCCCGAATTCAGTCAATGGGGTGGAATGGAGAGAAGTGTAGAGTTGTTCTACTCTATGAATGTCACCACTTACTGCTGCTTTGACTCATTCCCAGAGGATGAACATACTATTCGTTTGATCTGTCAAGGAACGGATATTTTTTACATTCCTGACGATCTTCCAGGAGTTGTTGATTCGTTGACACAAGGAAATGCTAGTCAAAAAACAATTGATTCGATTGAACCATGGGATATTGTCATGTTCTTGGCGAGATTTCACAAAACAAAATTCCGAATTAACGGTACTTCTTTTTTCCCATACATATATAGCATTTCATAAAACGTTTATATTTCAGAATTCACCATTTCCAGCATTTTGCGAGCTGCAAGTGTTTTCAAATGTGAAACACTCTTGAAAAAATGCGAAGAAATTTTGATTCGCACCAAGAGTCCTGAATTGTCACACGAGGATAAGATTTCATATGGAGATCAATATCAATTTGAAACTCTTTTGGTTTGTAATGATGACTGTTCTTCTTACATTCAGAATTTGAAATTTTTTTAGAAACTATGCGTTAAACAATTCCGTCATTCGAACCACTTCTATGGCTGGATGATGAACAAAGGATGGAATTTGAAGATGTCCACCAAGAGAATCATGTTTGACGAAGCCAAGATTGTTTTCAAATAATTATTTAAACGAAAAATACTATGCTTTTTTGCTTTTTGCTTTCTGCCGCCGTACTTTATCTGTAAACCATTTATTTATTCTCGGAAAATTCTTCTTGCTTCTTGCTTCAAAATTATTCATAATCTGCTTTGCTGAAAACATTTGCTGAAATAAATATTTGAGTAGTTATTGAAATGTTCACAAAAAATCAACTTTCTGCGGAAAGATTATTCTCTGAAGACATTCTACGACGTAGATGGAAAGTTGTATGAAAATAACATACAAGTACAAATTCTAGATTATAGTCATTATTTGAGGTTAACAAGCAAAATGATGAAAACTAAAATGTATTTTATATAAAGAGTTTTTCAAAATCAGGTTTGAAGTTAATTGGTTATTTCATAACTTTGTCGTTCCAATATGTTTCGTCAGGATCTATTTTGAAATTAAAAAAAAAACTCGAGAACTGGATGTACTCATAATCTTAGACAGTGAAATGTGGTTTCAAAATCAACAATTTTCATAAGCATCTCCAATTTTGGGCTAACATAAATATACAAAGAACTCTAGAGCATCTGATAATGTCGCTTCTCACCGTAGGAAACTGCAGTTATGGCCTCCTTTTTCTCCCTTTTCAAGTACCTAAAACCGGCTGAATCTGGAAAACAATAGGAAAGTGTGACTTATTATTTTATGCAAAAAATAAGTTTTGGTTGCTACGATGACAATTCATCAGTTTGTTTTGATGAATAGAAAAGTACAATTAATTAGAGAGTGAATAATTATTTATCAGGAAGTTCTCAGCAAAAACAGTTGAAAAAAATTAATAAGGTAATATGTATAACCTAGATCTATCTTTTAAGAACCCCCGATTTGGTGGTGCCTACTTTAGAACTAAATTTGAGATAAATTAGTTGGAGTACTTTTAGAATGATAATAAAAACATTTCTCAAGGGATTTAATTCTCGAAAAAAATTAACGCTGTGTAAAAAATCATTCCTTGCACTTTTTCTCAACGTATGCATATATTATAAAACTTATCCAAAGTGATTTGGTAGTGTGTGTGTGTGAAGTTAAACAATATTTTATTTTGAAGTTATAGAACACACGTACCACGTAGGGATTAAATCACATCTTTGAAATTTATATTTGAAATTTTTTAATGAGACATTTTCAAATTGAATAGTCCGAAATTTTTTCTTATAGCAATAATTATTCTTCCATCTTATTATTTCATAATTTTGTAGATATTTTTTGTAAAACTGTGGATATTCTTTTATTTATAATTGGCGTGGCAAAATTGTTGCCAAAAAAGTTATTCGTATGTTTTTGTTTTTCTTTCATTCTGCCCACTGCAGTGGATTTAATTTGCAAAATTTTGGAGTTGGGCCTGGGCCTAGTTTAGTTTCAATAAAACACCAATAGAGGCCAGTTCCTACAACCCTACGTTTAACAAAGGTTCGATTTCCCCCTAATCAGGCTCAAAAAAAACAGAATAACCTTTCATAGCAAAACTGAAAATAATATATTATTATATGCAACTCCGCCTTATCCCTACAAAATTCTGAAACTTTTTTTTTCAAATATTTCCTTCCCTAATTAAAATATGTTAACGCCAAATCTATTATCTCACCAAAATATTTTTTTAAACCGAAAAAAAAACATTTCTCTCAAATTGTGCACTATTTCAAAATTGATGTGAATCGTACACTTTACAAAAAACTATTTGAAAACGTTCGCTTTTTGTCTATTTTCAAATTTATCAATAAATCTAAAACTTCTTTTTTTTTTCAATTTGCACCAAGGACAAGGACACGTCATTCTGAATCAGCCTACCTCAAAAATGCTTCTTTCGCTTTTTCCTTGACAGAAAATAGCGTTTTTTTATTTCAGAATTGAGGTTATAATTATCACATTATTATGTTCATTTTCATTTTCTCTCATATTAAAAAACAATTGACGAAACCAGGCATGTTCATTTTGCCGGCAACGCCGGCCGTTTGCCGTTTCAAAAACGGCGACGGCAGCCGCTGCTGTTTTGAAAAAATAACACAGAACAGCATGCCGTGGCTGCCGTGCCGAAATGCCGGCATTGCTGTCTATTTCGTGAAGAAAATTGTCGAAATCATCGAACAAATCCTCCAAAAACACTCTGAATTAATGAGAAAAGGAGCTTGAGACACGCGCGCGCGAGACTGTTTAAATAAATTGTGTGTGCGACGGTTTTCGGGTTGCGCGCTGTTGTGTGTGTTGTGTGCAGGGGGCGGAGCGACGACCTTCCCCTTCCCATTTCGAAAAACGGCAGCCGGCCGGCAAGCCGCGGCTGCTGTTTTTTGCTATTTTCTTCTTTGCTGCTCGGCCAGCAAAACAGCGAAGCCACGCCCACTCGGCAGCCGTGCCGTCCGGTCAGCAGGCAGAATGAACATGCCTGGACGAAACCAAACACGTTGTTTTTTATTATGCACACCCATCTCCCCCAAATAAACAAAAAAAAAGTTCCAAACATTTGGCGGAAAAAAAAAGTGCAACTTGTAAATCAATCAATATTCAAACTCCAGACTATTGTCCGGTCATAAATATAATATGTCTTTGCGGAAAAATCTTTGTTGTGTTTCAATTCAATTACTATGTCCCGTGCCCCTTGTCTCCTACATACAAAGAAAAAATCAGAATCGATTTTTTCTGTGATTTTCAATTTTTTGCTTGTTGTTATGTAAAACGATGTGAACGCTAGCCTAAAATTTAGTTTTTTTTCTACAATATTGAAAAAATCATCATCTATTATTCGTTGTACATCTGGGTAAAATCTGTAGAAAATAATGAACATCTGTTAGACCAAAAACGTGCAAAGTTTTTGTCAATGTGGTTTCGCAATAAAAAAAAGTGTTAGACATAAGTTCTATAGATTTTCAAGGTCCTTTTATAACATATAATATTATTCGTATGGTTTTTGAAAATTTAGAGATCCTAGAGATATTTTTCAATTATAAATTCAATGAACTTCGATTTTTTTGATATTCTCACGAGCTCGATACTCGAAACATCAGTATATAATTTATTTTATTTGCTAAATCCTGATTCTGGTTTCATTTTTATTATTTTATTTCTCATCATTCTAAAAACAATCCAAATTTCTCTTCAGATGCAACCAATGCCTAACCCTAGATCTCAACAAATGAACCCAATCAGTTCGACGGATGATTGTTTTCCATACGAAGCTCCCAGAAAGCCGGCCAAACATCGAAAACTGAGAGTAAGTTAGCTTGATCCTTTGTTAATTCTTTTCTCTTTACAAAAACTTTAACATTTTCAGAAGCGCTCGGAATTGAAACATCAAACTCATCAGAAAGTCCAGAAAATTGCTGATATTCAATCACATAACGATGGCAAATATGGGTTCCACTGTCCAGATTGTGATATTGCTTGTAACAAATCTCATGTAAGTTGAATTTCTCAAAAAAAATCAAAATTACCTTTATAATATTTCCAGATGCTCAAAAAAATCGTGTTGTCAATTGAAAAACGTGAAGCTCGCGAAAACTTCCGTCTCATGAAAAAACGTCATCGTGATCGCCGTGCTCGTCGCGCTCAACAAGTAAATCGAGAAACTGAAAACGAGTTAATGGAACTTCGTAGAATCCAGTTCAGTAATTTTTTCAATCATGACGATTTTCAAGATGTTTTCAATTTCGCGCCGGCTCCAAGAGTTGTGACACCAATTCCGAGACAGGAAGCCGATGGGCAAATTCATCCAGGAAATTCTTCTTTCTAATCAGGGGCTTGATCTACTTTGTATGCTTTGTGCTAAAATTTTGTATGTTTTTATTCGAAAATGAATATAATCAATCAATGTAAAAATGCTCAAAAAACGTATTATAGTTTCCTATAAAAATACTTTTTGTGAACCATCTTTTGGAATTCTCTAATACAAATTTCAATTTTACATTATCTGTTAAAGAAATCAAAACATTTTCCATCTGATTCAAATATGAACCCAAAGTTCAAATCAAGTCAGAAAATATCAAAAATCCAAGAATTCCTGTTTTTCAGAACATATCACGTGTTTCTGATAATTTCGGTTTCCAGATCATTTAATTTCTCAACTGCCTTGTACACAACAAAGTTCACAAAACTATTATCAAGAAAAAGAAAATTAGGACAATTTTTGGAACTGCCAGTTTTCTGGAAGAAAAAAAACAAAAAATTATGAACTCAAAGTTCATGATAATAGTTATGGAACAGAATATTCGTCTGATATTCCCAGACTTTCGCATTTAGAAAAACCAATATCAAAAAAAATTTCAAAGTTCAAATACACATGTTTATTGTACCAACAAAGTTCAGTTACATATTGCGATTCATACCAGTATGAGGAGATTTTTGGTAAATGAGTAAGAAAAAATGTAACTTATAAACATCAAGAAAAAATCTAATCCTCAACTCGGAAGTTGTTTGGTGGCTCAATATCGCAATCCAAGGATGCTTCTTCCGCAATCTCATACTCCAATTCATTCTCCACCATCTCATCGTCTAATTCCACCTCATCTTCTTCACCATCACCCAAAATGAAGTCCGCACCAAAAATCACTTCATATCCGTCGAAGTCCTCTTCATCTTCAATATCGCGAAAATTCGCAATCTCAAAATCATCCGAGCTTCCGGCTTCTTCTGAAGTACATTCCTGAGGTTCTTCAGCAACACCTTCTGGGGTCTCAATAACAGGTTTCTCCGATTTAGTAGGCTTGTTGTCAACCATCTGAAATTTTTTGAAGTTTAACTTTAATTTTTGTCTTCAGAAAAAAAATAAGATCGAAAAGTGCATAAACAGCGTACAGATGTCAAAAAAGAGATATTTCATATGTTTTGGTGATGAAATGAATAAAAAGGGGAAGTGGGAAGGGAAGGTGTTTTGGCATAGAATGAGTGAATAGACAAGACAAAAATAAAAAGAAGAAGGAAAGAGGAAGACGGTTTTAGAGAGAAATAGAGAAAAAGTGAGAAGCGGCTCCTTGTAAATTTTACGCGTGTCTCTCGTGATTTCTAAGGCTGAAAAGGGAAACATGTGGGGAATGTCCGAAAACAATAAATAAAAATAACAGAATCAGAGATGGACATATTGAAAACTGTTCTGTTTTCGACAAACTGATTGATGAATTGATGATAACTTTTCTATTCTTTGAGTCATGTGTATTTTTCTGAAAATGAGACATTGTCTTAAAATAAGACATTATGTAGAGAAATTTGATCTACAGAACCGAGAAAAATATCTTGGATGGTCAGAAAATTATTCAAACCTTAATGTTTTCCATAGATTTCTTTGGAAAAAAATACTCATTCAGGCTCAGAAATTCCATATATCTTTTCAAACGTTTCATGCTTCATGAGTACTTCACAGAAATAAAAAACAAAAACCGTCATCAATTTTGATAAATATTTAGATCTAATCGAATTCAGGAAAATCCTACATTGTCCTCAGACACACTAAAAGGTCCCATAATCTTAAGAAGACTCATAACTCAACAAAATTCACAAAAGGCTATAAAATATCAAGTCATTTCCAGAAACCTCCGGAAATGTTGCCTGAAAACTTCCGGAAAACTACGAAGAAAACTTGCTAATCTATAAGTTTTCTTATCATGAGAACCGTGTTGATTTTTTCAATTCATTGAAAAAGAACTCGTTGAAATTACTAATATTCCTAGACTTTTGCATTTGGAATTGAGCTGTCTGGTGAAAAAGATACAAAAAGACCGTGCAATCAAAGTCTTGAGTCCGTGGTATCATTTCTTTGAATTTGAAAACTCAACTCAAAACCAACCCAATTCTCATCGAAAATTAACAAGAAAATAGCATAGTTAAGTAAAACCTCATCCTATCACTGAAAAAAAATCAATATTCCAAATTCCAGAATTTTTCTTCCTTATAATATAAATTCCTTCCACATTCTTCTCCTCTCCTCTTCATTTTATTCCTTCTTTTCAAATGACAAACAGTGGTGTCATGTTCTACTTTGAACGGTGTGTAATTTTTCAGAAAAAAAAAACGATGATTGGTATCATGTTGGTTGAACATCTTTTCATCGAAACATTTCTAAATTATAAATTTTATTTCGTTGACTGGAACATTTTCGAGGAGACTACTTTTTTTCGAAAAATGAAGAACACTGTTTTTGAATTAGTATGATATTCAAGATACTGCTTTTGAAAATATCTGATGAAGAAGTTCGGAATCGTGGCGAAAGAAAAATGGATGATTTGAGTATGTATAGAATTAAGAAATTTTGATGGAAATTACACGGACAATCGATAATTAGTGGCTGTTTCAGTTAATATTGCGTTTTCGGCTGTTTCGGTAAGAGTTTTCTGATGTTTTGGGCAGCTTTATTCTTGGAAATATGTTTTCATTCAAATTTAAAAGCCAAATTTGCTTACACAGTATTTCTTTCATCAAAAAAGAGTTGTTTCTAATTATTCAAGGTCACTCAATCTTTTGTTAATTCGAAAACCCTTTTAAAAACATATTTTTTGAAGAAAAAGCAAAATGAAGAAAAAGATTGACAAAAAATGGGGAGAAAATTTATTCAAAAATGAATGAGGAACAGTGTTTTTTTCGAAATAAATCTACTGCAGTGGGCGGAGTTAAAAAAAACAAAACATGAGAAAATACAAAGGAATTGAATTTTTTGGCAAAAAATGTGCCACGCCAATTAGCAACAGAGAATTGCAGACGTGAAAAAATATGATAATAAATGCAGAGTGAGATGATGTAGAAAATGCTACATTACATAATCATTATCAAAAATATACATACTAGAATTCAATTGCAGATTGAAATAAAAACGTTTGAAAAGCTCACAGCACCAAGTTTTGTATAATTCAATATTCAAACGTTATTTAGAAAAACCATAAAACTTTTTGGACACAGATTATGAGTCATTTAAATGTGTCACATTCACAAATTTATCCGTTTTGACCATTAGCTCACGTATTTTCAAAATGCTTCCAGAAATTTATGGTTCCATTTTTATCACCCCTTCAAACAAACTTCCATTCCTGGAAAACTTTTCATTTTTCTTCTGCACTTTCTGTTCACACATCACATTTCCCAAAACCTTAAACTACCTTTGAACAAACCGCTAACCTAGAAAGTACAGATGATAATGTCTGGAAGTCAAAAAAAACCATTCAATCGGTTTCGAAAACATAAGAGAGACGCAGACAAACAAACACGCCATTGGCAAAAAGCCAACTGCTGGCAGATCGCCAATTCCTTGTTTTGTATGACAAATATACACGATTGCAAAAAATAAGAGGGGTTTTTTGGGGGATTTGATTGTTTTTGCATATTATTTGTTATATTCAAGCAAATCAACTTGTTAAAAAATTATGCTACAGTCTACTCATTTCTTTTGAAAACCCTACTAATGTTTTGAAGCATCTAGATATGCTAATAGATTTCAAAATATTTTCACCACGATGAATCTTTGCAACTATTTATATTTTAAATACTAATTACTTGATTTTTAATGTCATTTCAAGAAACATAACTTCAATTGTTTGTTTCTGTCTGTTGTTATTTATCATCATCTGACATTTTTTTATTAATTGCAGTCTATTAAAGTGCAAACCTATATAAACACAAAATAACACCAAAAATTGATCTTCTTTTGCAGTTTCCCATTTTTCATCACATCTCAAAATGTCCTTGCCTTTGTCTGGAAAATTTGCCATTGTTACTGGCGCATCACGAGGAATTGGAAAAGGTAATTTATCTCTGAATTTTTCAATACTAACAATAAAATGAGATATTTTAGGAATTGCTTTGCAACTTTGTCAAGCTGGATGCACAGTATTCATCACTGGAAGAAAGCCTGAAAATTCACTATCTTCCAAGTTGACATATCTTTCAACACTTCAAGAAACTGCGCAAGATTGTCGAGATCGCGGTGGTAAATGTTTGCCATTTTATGTGGATCATTCAGATATTAAAGAAGTTGAAAAGTTTTTTCAAAAAGTCGCCGAGATCACTGGGAATAAGTTGGATATTTTGGTGAATAACGTTTTTTCCGCAGTTACGGTGAGTTTTCATTTCTTTGTTATCCTATCAAACTCAGTTTATTGTGAAACTATAGCGAAACTGTTCTACAAATTAAAATAAAATTTTTGCTTATCTAAACAAAAAATTAATTTATTTTCAGAACTGTGGTTCTGGAGATACTCGAAAATTTTTCGAAAAAGATCCTGAGCTATGGAATGATATTAACAATGTTGGTTTGCAAAATCATTATTATTGTAATGTCTACGCTTCTCGAATAATGATTCAAAATCCAAATGATCAATGTTTATTGGTTAATGTCTCATCAATCGGTGGTATTCTATATCTCTTCAATACCGCCTACGGTGTTGGAAAAATAGCAAAAGATCGAATGGCTGCAGATATGGGAGTTGAGCTAAAAGATACAAATATATCAGCAATTTCACTTTGGCCAGGAGCAGTTCGAACAGAATTAATTATGCATATGTTGGAAACTAGCGATGGAAATTGGGGAAGTGAACAGAATAAAATGTTTTGGGAGGGTGAATCAACAGAATTTCCTGGCAAATGTATTGTGGCGATTTTCAATGATCGAAATATGAAAGGTTGGAATTCATCGACTGTGATAACCGCTGACATTGGAAATTATTACAAGTTCAGAGATATTGATGGTCTGTTAAATTTAAAAAAAACATTTAAAAATATATCTGTTTCAACTAAAAAAAAGTCAATTGAAAACTTTCAGGAAGAAAGCCAGCGAATTTGCGTGAATTCAAAAGTTTACTCAACCTAACTGGCCACACTACTTTGGCTTCTTGGATACCATCTTGGGTTATGCTTCCTGGATGGATGATTGCTGTTTGGCAGAATAAAATCAATTATTAAATGTGATGTTTGATTACTATAATTATAATAATAATAAAAATATACTGTATCAACTCGTTTCAATTAAGGATCCCAAATTAAGGTTGCCAAAAGAACAATTGAACATCTGAAAAAGCATTCAAGAAAGACTAATTTTGGATAGAGAAAAATAATCGGAATGGTTTTAATCAATTTTTTCTGAAAATCTATATAATAACTTGCAAATCAAATATCATCAAAATATCAACGAACTGAAAAAAATGCAAAAATGTGAATGAGAAAATTTTATAAATGCTCTAAAAATATAACCTGCAATTAGATTGTATATTAAAAGCAGTTGTGTTATGAATTTGGGAAACATAGACCACCCACAAAGTATGAACTCTAAAAAAAACGAATCAATTACGTTCCTAAAGGGACAACCCTAGGGACTTGTTTCTAATCAATAGAAATGAATTGCTCGAGGAAGATTCCATCTTAAAAAAAACAAAATATGAACCATAACACATGGACAGTCAAGTTTGCTCTACATATGACTTATTTTTGTGTATTATTTCGAACTTCATGCTTTTCCCTTGTTTAAGTATTCACCATCAAGTGAAGTTGAGAAATGCGGGATTCATGTATTTCTCACAAAGAAGCACAACCTCTTTGAAACCTATTTTGATATGAATACTTTACATTCATATGTGGAAGGTATTTTTTTTCAATAAATTTCAATACACTGTTCTCAAAAGTTCCTTGTCAAAAAATTATCGTACAATAATTGCTATCGAAAAAAAAACATTCACCACAAGAAACACATGTAGACGAAACAGAAAAATTGTAAGAAAAAAGAGGAGCAGGGGTTGTTCGTTTATCTTTGCATGTGTAAGAGACGTATTTTTGTATTCGTTGACACTTTTTTGCCCTGGTTAGTCATATATTTCTACTGATTGTTTTTGTCGTTTATTTCCTCATTTATTTCCTCAATGGTTTGTAATTGTTTTATTGACAAGTTAGAAGGAGATATATTGAAGTATACAGTAAGTGAAGTTATTTAATTTTAGGTGAGCTTCCTTTGTGAAACGAGACCACCCACAAAGTTTTAGCTCTAAACGTAACTATGCTCACAAGAACGGTATGATTTCCTTCACGGCACATGAAAAAAAAACAACTGCCAAGAAATTTTTGGTGAAGAGGGCTAAGCGCGCTCTATCGAAATTGCTGCGCAGAAACTAATGTGTGTTGTGTGTCCGTATCAACAATGATTGCGTTGCCCACTTCCTCTCTTCCCATCATTTTTGAACTTTACTATTTTAATTTATTTTCTTGGCGGGTTTTCACGTAAAGAAACGCACATGTAACAACGTCAAGAATATTTTTCCAGCATCTACTTTGTATTTGGGAGCAAGATGGAAAACTTCCAAGTGATGTCTGGAATCAAACTGAAGAATCATTGAATGATTTTGAATATAAGCTAACGAATGAAAAAAGGGATTTTATGCGGGTAAGTGTGTTATACTTTCAAGTAGATGTTGAATGAAGGAATTTATACATTTTTCAGGATTCATGGAGGAAATATGGGAAACATGATGAACAGGCATTTTTGACTCTCGGGAAAATTCATCAGGTTAATTTCATCGTCGTAATTTTCAAAAAAAATCAACTTCACTATTTTTCCAGATGCATTATGATCTTCGTTATGGAATTTTGCATGGACGAATTGTCAAAGACGAAACTAAAGAACTTGAGTATTTGGAAGCTAATGTGAGGTTTCAAGAGTTGTTATTCGGAAAACAAGTCATTTTTTCAGGCAGAATACGCTATTGTTCTGAATTCGAACAATAAATACTTGGAAACAAAAAAACGGAAAGATGTGTTACCAAATCAGAAAGTTATAAAGTTTCTGATGAAAAGAGATTTCGAACAACTGGGAAAATTTGTAGAATCCGAAGAACTATTCAACAAATTGACTGATTTATGTGAGCTTTCTTAGAAAATCAATTTAGAACTCGTTGATAATCAATTGTTTCAGTATGTCACGTTTGTCGAAAACGCTTTCAAGGATGTTGTCCAAACCATCCAATTGTTCTTGTTAAGGATCGGGTTGGTTTTGAGTTGATAATTCTGTTTTGAAAAAAATCAGTAGTATTTTCAGCTTCCTGAATATGATGACGATAAGACACTTTCAATATCGGAGAGAACATGCCCACCGTCGTTAGAAATTCGAGAATCGAGTATTCCATTTGCTGGCCTTGGTGTATTTGCGAAGGAAGACATTCCAGTGAGTATTCGATCTCTTTAAAGTGGGCACAAAATTAGAAAGATTGATGAATTTTTCAATACATTTTTCAGGCTGGGTTTTTCTTCGGACCATATCGTGGAATTTGGGTTGATTCCGTTTCACCAACAAACTCCTACTCCTGGGAGATGGTAGACGAATTCCATAACAAAATAGGCTACATCGATTCAACAGATAAAAACAAGTCAAATTACTTGCGTTTTGTTAATCATGCTCCATGTGAGTTTTCTAAAAAAAATTCGAAACATCCGGATTAAAAACAAAATTTCAGACGAGGATGAGCAAAATATTGTGGCATTTCAAAGAAACGAGGATATTTATTACAGAGCTTATAAACCGATTGCAAAAAATGCTGAAATTCTGAGTAAGACCAGAGGTGAAATTTAATTCAATGATAATCTTATTCTTTCAGCTTACTATGGTGAAAAATTTCACAAAGAACTCGAAAAAGACGCTAAAAAGAGACAACACGCAATTCTTGAATAATTGAATATTAATTTTTTGCTGAAACAAATTTAGTTTTTTTTGAAATGACATGCGTGTGAGTGAGTGAGTCAAAATTGTGTCATTTTTTAAATTTCTTTATTGCATTTGTCTATCTTTAACTCTTGGTTTTTTTAGGTACTTTGATTATTTTTACTGTTAAAAATGGTTTTTTCAGCACGGTTTTTCAAAAATCTTGTAAAGCTCTGCTGATTTGTGAGATTCATTTTATGATTGATTTTTTTCTTTGCATTTTTTTATAGATTTTTAATTTTAGTTTTTTGACTGTGATTTCTGATTTTTATTTGATTTGCAATTACTTTATAATAAACTGGTAATATATGTCATTTTTAAAAAATAATTTTCACAATTTTCACACACTGTGAAATGTTATTTATGTGATTTCATTTTCCATAAAAATTGTATTTTTTTCCAAAAAAACGTGATTTAAATTAAAAATGTGTCATTGTTGTCAATTTAAAATAAAGCTGACAAAAAGGACGCACGAAAAGGATGGTTAATTAAAATCCAGGGATTGGTTTTATTCGTATTCTCAAATCTCAAATTCCAATTTTAAAGTTTTTTTTCCATACTTTTACGTTACCTCGTGATTTTTTTCGAGACCAAAAATTCTGTTGATTTTTTGTTTTTGTGAAAAAAATCAATTCTGTTGAGAAAAATCACAGGCTCATCAGAAATTCTTCGTTTTTTATTATCATTCGTTGTGTGTTCCTGTTTCTTCGTTTTACAAAATTTTTGCGCCTAGAAATCTTCGATTTAACTTTTTAATTTTTCCTAGAAAAAAATGGTGGTAGTTTCAAAGATTGAAACAATTGAGGAAATTGATGAGAGCCAAGATTTGGTTGTTAAAAGCGAGAAAGAAAAACCAAAACAATCGGAATCTGAATTTACAACAATTGAGATCAACGAGACTGAGAATGTTCCTTTGAATGACATCAAAATTTGTCCCGAAACTGACGTCTGGATAAAAACTTTTGACCGAATCGAGAAGAAAAACAAACCTGTAACGCCTGCTCCAAGTTTCGAAGGTGGTTTTTTTTTATTTCTAAAATTCCTACTCAAATTATGCCTCTGGCCTTTCATTTTCAAGAAATCTCATAGCTTTCAGACTTTCCAGTTGCTCCACCCAGCTACATAAGCAGATTGCGTGAAGATTCTCAAACAATTCCATTGATCACCATGTTTGTGGTCTGGATCATTTTCATGGTTTGGTATTTTGTATACGTCTAAAAATTGACCTACCCATTCAATTTCGAATCCAGATCCCTCGCTGAGTTGTCAAATTTGCTTTTTGTTTCTTGATTTTTATTATTAATTTTTGCCGCTGAATTGTTTTAACAAACGACGAATAAATTATGCTTTTCATTAAAATATATGTTTCGTTGAATTAAAAAAAAAGATGCAAAAATTATTAGTTGAATATATAGACTTATCAGACAGCTCCTTGAATATCATTTCCCATGGAATACAAAACCATCAGCATAAGTATGAAGCAGTAAACAGAATAGCAGAAGGCGATCATCAATTTTACTTTACAAGTAGATCTTGTGTTTTCTGATTCCTGTTGGATTGGAGTATCTGAAAATGTCTTTTAATTGTTTAAAAAAAGAAAAAATCAACTAACCTTGGTTCTCGACATCAATAATCGTAGCAGGATTGTCAACAACAATTTTGTCGGCGGGTTGATTTTTCTCATCTTGGTCTCGTTCTTCGGGCTCCGGGAGAATAATTTGAACTTTCAGCTCCTCTTCTAAAATATCATCGATATCCAAAGTTTTGTTCATCTCAATTTCAGGATTCTGATTATTCAGAGTTTTGAAGCGATGTTCAATTGGCTGTGGAAAATTGAACTGGAGTTTCATCGCGTTTCGAATATTTCAAGAAAGAAACGAAATGTTAGATAAATATCTGTGTATCAATAAAAATATTGATTTTTGGGAATGAGTCAGCTCTGGCAAAATTATTTATGATTTGTCTAAAGGGCAAACTGGATTGTTGAATGAAAAAAAAATTTGATAAAATATCCGCAAAATTTACCAAACTTTTTAAGACTGTGGACCTAAATTAAAAACATATCGTGAGCATTTTAGAGTGTTTATCTTATGCTATCCAGAGTAACAAAAATATTCTTCATGCAATCAATTATATGAAAGAGATTTTCAATCAATATAAATGAAACAACAACCAATTGCTCGAATAACACATTTATTTACTTTTAAAAATCCAAAATTGAGCAACATTTTGAAGAATTACGAAGCTTGAAGTAAACGGTAGAAGGTGATGACAATCATAACGAAAACAACATAAAAATGTTTAACTCCAAGTCCGAATGTGTCAATCAACCATAAAATGAGCATCATTATGTATTGTTTTGTAGAAATATTCCAGACGTGATAAGCAGAGGCAAATATCTGAAACAAAGTTGTTCTGCTTCTAATAGAAAAGAAAAAAGGAAGAGGAAGAGAAATTAGTGAAAGAAACGCAAAGAAGCTGTTTGACCATATCATCGACGTTGGACCGTATAGTTAGATAAACCTAATGTGAGATAAATACATGCTTTAAATTCATAAAATGAACAAAAGTCTTCATAGAAAAAGAGAAAGAAACACACAAACATGTGTTTTGGCAAAAGAAGTAGCGCTATCCTGTCGATTTTGGTATGACTCACTTTTTGTCCGCCAAAAGGATGTTTTCGTGCAGAATAAAAAGGAAAAAAGTACAAACGCGAAAACCTTTTATTTAAAATGACGCTACAACATTAAATACCATTTGGTACAACTCCCCAGATTTTACTTTTCAAACGCTTCATGGGGAATTATAGTTTATTTCAAGTTAACGTTTTCTGAACATTTTTTTGTGAACACCAAGAACCAAAAATCAATGACTCAAAGTTCCACTATACATAGGAATCTCACGATGCACCAATTAGATGAATCACGGTGACAAATTGATATAGTACCATTTTGCGCGAATAACTACTATTTGACGTGCTGATTCATTGTGATTCAGCAAAATGATGTGATTCTTGGTTATCTGTGGAATGTTTAATATAATTGCTTCTCTTTGTCAAAATTTTTAGGGGTTTTTAGAGGATTGAGGTAACTTTCAAAATGTTGGCTTTTATGCTGCTAATGAACATTTCTGGGTTTTCAAACATTGAACAATTCAACTTCAAATTCGGTATCCCAAATGTTTTTTGGATCCATCAGACAAAAATCAACAATGTGAGATTTTTTTCTATTTGACTTTTTAAAAAACTTTTTTGTTGATATTACAATGGACTTTTTTATCCGACTCGCCAAAAAATGTCTTTTATGAAAAACTTGGGTATTGTTTCTGTTTTTGAGTTTATATTATTGACCAAACTTTATTTGGCTATTAATATTTTGATTTTTCATGAACTCTCAATAAAAAAATAAAGTTTATCGCATCTTGGCATCTCACTATTCCTACAGTTTCAATTAATATTAAACAAGCGATACAGAATTACTGTACTTACTTCAAAACGTCATTGGTCATTGACGCCTATTTTTCATATACCGTATTACTTCCACTTGTCTGCGTCTTTTTTTTCAATTGACCAAATATGGTTTGTGTGTTGTTTGTTTTCTTCTCTCTACTTGACACACTGTATTGTCAAAACCGGTAATACTTTTGAAGAATTTTTATTTATACAATAATTAAATTAAAATTACTGAAAATAAATAGAACTTTCTTGAAAATAAAATTTACGTTCTGAAATAATAATAAAAAAAACTGAATAAACAAACAATGTTAGTAAAAATGACAAGGATACGCATGGTACGGTAATGAATTATTATTAGAGAACTAGGAATTTCAAAATTTAATATTATTTAAATTTGATTTTCAGAAAACACATTCATTTGCAATTAGTTTTTCTCTATGCAATCCATATTATCAAATATTAAAATTTAACAGAAGATGTTTTGATATTGCTGAATACTTTTTCTCCAAGGTGCCAACATACATAAATGGGTATTTTGATTTTCTTATACGCCATTTCTCCGTTGATTGTTCATTCTGTCGTGGTTCTCCACTGCAAATGAAAAAAAATGAAAAAATATAAAGAGAAGGAAAATTCAATCAAGAATCGCAAAGAAGCCGATTCAACCATTTCATCAGACGGCTAACAGGTGGTCTCATCAGTGATGCCTTTTTTTGCTGAACCAGCTGAACCTTTTCTCGGCGCGTAACGAAAAGTTTAAAAAATTTAAAGGGATCGTCGTTCTACGTGAAAACTAAGTCCGCAATTGTGGTTTTTAAACTAACGATAAATGATCGGGGATACATAAAATTATAAATAAATGTTTGGGTGTGAACTCCGAAAGAAGTTTTCCGAAAGAAGTTCACACAAATAAATTAGTGTACGTTAGAGCGAACTTTCTTTCCTAGTTTTAAAGTTTTAGCAGGTTGTGTTTTTCACGAAACGTACAAGAATCAACTTAGCCATAACGATTTAGCTAATCAGGCCTCGTAGGAAGACAACCCCTTAAAAATTAAAATAAAAAGGAAAATGTAGAGATATTAGATGAAATGCGAGAAACATTGTGTAAGACGTAGAGTGAGAAAAGAGAAAGAATGAGGGATAAACAACAGGCATGTGTAGTGTCGTTTTTTGAAATTTATTTGTAAAAAAAGGGAAACTAGGTAAGTATGTACTTTTTGAATGAAATCTTTATAATATCAACAACAACAAAAAATTATTTTTGTTTAGGATTTTCACTTTTTTATAAAACGTTCATTTTTTTTTGAAAAATTTAATAATTCTGTTGAAGGTTTTTGGAACTGAAACATCAATAGAAAAAATGAACTTTCTTTAAAAGTTCAATAAATATAATTCTGTTAAATTCATGTGACCTGCGATAAAATTCTAAAGAATTTTCCGATGTTTCATTTCTATTGTCTGTTCCGGAACTTGTTTTGTCAGAAAACATAATATAAATTAAAAAATTCTTTATATAAAAACTGCTCTGAAAACACTGTTTTTATTCTCGATGAAGTTTGTTTTAGTAATAATCTGTATTTTCATTTACATGAACAGTATTGTTCCTGTGGCAATATGTGATTCCAAAGTTTCTGTGTAAATTTTTTCTAGATATTTACAAAAAAATAAATTCAATTTTCAGATCGAATTCATCACCTTTATTGATAAATCTGAAAAATGCACCAATACCGATTATATTTCCTCCATTTAAAACTATTCCCATTGTACGTATACTTCAATAATTTTTACAAATTCCTCTTTCCAGCCGATATGTATCAAGATCAAACGTGTATGTGTTACATTCAATAGAAAATCTTCATCATCACTTCATTATTTGAAACCAGTATTAATTGTTGGTTTTCTTTATTTTTTAACTGAACTGTTGTGATGTGAGTATTATGAAAAATATCTGATGAAATAAATGTTGTTTTGTTTGTAACCTGAAAAATGACTTTTATGAGTATACGAATCTCAATATTTTATTATGAAATATATAGTACGGAAATAAAAAATAAAAAATAGGAAATAGGAAATATACATATTATGTTTTACGCACAAGATTAGACAAAACTGAACCATTCACAAGGTGATACATTAAGAAAACGTTGTTTTATTGAACTGAAGAGAAAGTTAGCTCCGATGACAACTCATTTTTCAATAGTGTGTGGTTCTGCGCGGGTTTTTCTCTCTTTATTGCTCTTTGTTTTCATTCGTTCACTAAAAACTATGATTCTGGTTAGTAAGGTCTTTCCTTTCAAAAAATCATAAAGATCAACATATTTTTTTCCAGATGCCCTTTCATCAGTTTCAGTTGCACTATTGTTTTCTGTTTACTTGTTTGTGATGACTATCCATCAAACAAATATATGTACTTTTATCGCAACTTTAAATAGATAACATCTTCACGAATTCAAAGGTGCCGAACATTCAGCCAGACAAACCAATCATTGTTTTTTTTTGTTGCAATGACCGCCGACTGCAAATGATACTAATCAACTATCAAAACTGGAATTAGTACAAGTTTTTCACACCTTTCCAGTAAGTTTTATAAATATAAATACAGTTTTCTTGATCTACCAGTTAGTCTAATATATTTCATTATATTTTCTTCTGAAAAAAATGTTTCAGACTTTGAAAGGAAAAGTTGCTATTGTGACTGGAGCTTCAAGAGGTGTTGGAAAGGGTAATTTTTTTGAAAAAAGATACAATTTTTTGTAAATACTGTTTATAATTCAGGAATTGCTCTTCAATTATGTCAAGCAGGTTGCACAGTTTTCATAACTGGTAGAAGACCAGAAAACTCGGCTTCATCACAAGTTTCATTTTTGTCATCGTTGGAAGAAACGGCGAAAGAATGTCGGGATCGAGGTGGCGAGTGTTATCCATATTATGTCGATCATTCGAAAATGGATGAAGTTGAACAGTTTTTCAAAGATGTGGCTGAAAAAACCAACAATCAACTAGATATTCTTGTGAATAATGCATTCTCAGCAGTTTCAGTGAGTTTTTTTTTAACTTGGGTATTATTAGGAGGAAGACAGTTTCCACCGAATCAAGCACTTCTTACTTATTTTCTCCAGTCAAACTTCTCGTTTTTTTCCAGCAATGCGGTACTGGAGATAATTCCAGATTCTTTGAACGCGATCCAAAATTATGGGACGACGTAAACAATGTTGGATTGCGAAATCACTATTACTGTAGTGTATACGCTGCACGAATTATGATTCAAAACCCAATTGTTCCTTGTCTTATTGTCAATATTTCATCTGTTGGTGGAGGTGTTTACTTGTTTAACACTTGTTATGGAGTTGGAAAATGTGCAAAAGATCGGATGGCACATGATATGGGACACGAATTGCAAAACACTAATATAACTGTGATTTCACTTTGGCCTGGAGCTGTGAAAACAGAATTGATCACAAATTTGATTAAAAATAAGGATGAGTCTTTTGGAGAAGCGCAAAATGAAATGTTTATGAATGGTGAAACAACCGAATATCCGGGAAAAGCAATTGTACATTTGGCAAAAGATTCAAACATGAAAAAATGGAATTCTGCAACGATTATTACGGCTGATTTGGGAAATTACTATGGTTTTCGTGATATCGATGGTAAATTGATTATATAGTTTTACAAATTCATTTATATTGGTTAATTTTAGGTCGAAAACCTGCAAATTTGCGGCAAGTCAATGCTATTCTTGCGCTCCAAGGGTATACAAAATTAGCGAAATGGACACCGAATTGGTTGAAATTTACTGGGTGGCAAATTTCCATGTGGTTGAATAAATTCAAATATTGAGATACCTTAAGATATATATTTTTTTTAGAAAATGAATAAATTATTTCGAAATAAAAACATGTTCACAGAACAACACAAAAAAATAATTGCGGTGCGAGATTCAGAGAATCCTATTTTTTACTTGCGGTGAGGAAAAAACCGGAAATTACATAAGTGTGCGAGTGTTTTTGCGACAGTGATTTAATATTTTTAAAAATAAATATTACCTTTTTTTCGGAATGGTTTCGAATTGATGTGTGATTTATGTATTGTGACGTTTAGGATTTTTTGTTCTGGGTTTTGATTGATTTACTCTTCTGATCCTTGATTTCATCCAAGTTTCTTTCTTCTTTCTCCACACTTTTTTTTCGAAAAATCTGAGGCTTTGAATGATGAATCATTCAGAGATCATGTTTAAAAAGTTTGCAAACCAAATCACGTCATTTTTGTTCGTTTGGGTGAAAAATCATTATTTATAAAAACCAAGTAAAAATTGTACAAAATCGGTTAACCCGTTATAATCCTAGTCAATGATGTGATTTGGTACATATATAAATCTGTGTTGTTGTGAAATTTTTGTTTATTTTGGTACATTTTTTATGCAGGTTTATCGAAAAAACATCCAATTTTTTAAGTTTCAAAATTTGTTTATAAATTTATTTTCCAGCAGGAATTTTTGAACAGACTGGAAATTATAGGAAAACTTTTCAACAGCGGAACAATAAAAGTTTGTAAAATAAAATCTAAGAATTGGTAGATATCAATTTAAATCTGTGAGCCCGATTTGAGAGCTTTAAAAATTCACAGTTCACTTCCAAATTTTTATTTATTGTTAAATAGACCCTCCTCTATTTCTATATTAGCAGAAAAATATTGAATGTAATTTCAGATTCATATTTAACAATTATTATTTTTCAAGAATTTTTCAGTTCTTTGTCTTTTTCGAAAACTTTGAATTTTTGATGAATTTGGATAGTAACGATTGGAGTTTTTTAAATAATTGTATTACAAGTCCATTTGAGTTTTGATTCTCTCTCCGACTACATTTTGTTGGGGTTTTTTCTAATATTTCACTACTCAAAAAATCTTTTCCAATTATGTTTTTTTCCAAAACTTCAAGAAACCTCCAGGTTATTGTGAGAAAAAGTGTGTGAATAATATATATGTTGAATTAAAATTCAATTTCAAACACAAAAGTTTTTTTTAGAAAAAACTAAAGTTATTTTTCTTCATTCTATTTTTGAAAAAACCTTTGTCATCATTTTTCGTTTTAAATTTTTTTCCAAAAAAAATAATATAAAAAATCACCGTTCTCGTCGAGAGTGATTATCTCAAAGTGTCATTATTTTTGCCACCTCCATGTATTATTTTTTTTCAAAAAAAAAACGAAAAAGAAATAAATAAAATACATGTTCCGGTTTGGATTGCCCCATTCGCCCGTTCAGTCGCGCAAAAAATCATCCGATTTGAATATATATAAAAATCAACACAATAATAATAAAATAAATAATTCTACTGTTTTCGCATACTCACACTTTTTCTGATTCTCAATTCTCTATTGGAAATAAAATGTATAACCATCAAGTTTCGATTCTACCAAATTCTCCTTCCGGGTAACTTTTTTTCTGATTTAAAAAGCTTATGAATTTTGTTCAGAGATGTTTTTTTCTTGAGCAAATATTTTTTAGCGTTCACTTCATGGTTGGCGCCAAAGTTGGAGATGAATCTTTGTCAGCAGAAATACCAGCACATAAAAGGAGTGTGGTTTCATGGTCAAGTTAGTTTTTCTAAAAATGTGTGAATTTTCGCACCTTTGTTTTCTCACTTCTACATGTCTATACCATCTTACCTACCCCGCGGAACGTCGGCCACATGGATAGCCATACCTATATAACTAGAAGTGTATGAATAGTTTTCGTTCTTCCGAGAACATATACTAAAATTGGAACAATACAGAGAAGATTAGCATGGCCCCTGCGCAAGGATGACACGCAAATTCGTGAAGCGTTCCAAATTTTTTTACTTTTTTCAGGCACACCAACTCACCACAAATTACAATACTATTTGTATTGTTCTTTTCTATTTTTCTTGATCTTATTGGTACTTTTCATATATGTTTGTTGTTTATCAAATATGTCAACTGCTTTTGGACTTCTAGCAAGTCGAGGATTAGGAAAAGCAATTCAAGAATCACCATTGATTAATGATCCAATATCTGCGGTTGTTGTTGGTATGATAGCTACCGTAGTTTTACAATCAGCTACAACGACGACAAATATATTGGTAACAATGGTGGCAGCCAATAGTGAGTTTTTTTTTATCAAGAAGTTTGTACTTATTTATTTATTTGAGCGTTAGAGAGAAAAAGTTTTGATCTATAAAGGGAAAAAATTCAGAAGATTTAGGATGAATTTTTTTGTATTCAAACAAATTATTTTTCTAGTGATTACGGTGCATGACGCTATCCCTGTAATGATTGGAAGTGAGCTTGGAAGCTCTTTGGTTAACGCTATGGTGTCTTTGGCGTATTCCGGTAAGCCAGAACAATTCCGCCGCGCATTTTCTGCTGCGATTCTCGGTGATGTTTTCAATGTGTGCGGGTTATTTGTGATATTTCCTATGGAAATGGTTTCTGGTCTCATTGAACATGTAAGCTGGTGGATTGTTGACCCACTGATTTCTGAACAAGGTTTAAGTTTCAAAACATTGGAACTTCTAACTGACCCGGTCAATCAACTGATAATACAGGTAAACGCTCAAAATCAATTTCAATCACATTTTTATAATTAGGTTAATGAGCCGGAACTGTTAAATGCTACAATCCGTCCAGAAATGTTTATGGCCAACCATTCTTTCATCCAAAGATGTGTTTTCACAAATGGTTCGAGAATTTATAATTGTAAGTTGGTTTTGCATTAAATATTTGAATAAAAAAAATAAAAATATCGGTGCCTTATGCTGGAATCGAACCAGCGACCTTCTGTTTACTAGACAGACGCTCTGCCACTGAGCCAATAAGGCGCACATTTCCCCATGCCTCAAGGCCAAACATAGTTTTCTGTTTCTCTCGTTTTTCTGCGATAGAGATGAATAGCAAGTACATTGTGTGTAGAGAAATGCTGTGATTTTTTTTGACAGATGTGAAAAATGTATTTTGAATTTTTTTTTTGATAAGTAGGTGTTTTGAAGAAAAAGTGAGGTCTATTGCACACGATTTTCTCATTGCGTCATCAATTTTTCACTTGTCTCTGACTTTTTCTCTACTTCAATTCTAATTACCAAGTTTTCTCCCATTCTATTACCAAGTTTTCTCCCCCAATATGAATTTTGTATGAAAAAATATGAAAAAAAAATAATTTTTAAAGCCAGTTTTTGATTCCAGGTCCATACCATCATTTATTCTCCTCCACAACATTAACTGACAAAACCATTGGCTGGATAATCCTAATCATTTCATTATTCTTCCTTGTCTTCTGCCTTGTTGCTATCGTTTACCTGATTCAAAAACTATTAGAAGGTCACGCTGCAAACTACATCCGAACACTTCTTTCAAAACAATGTCCTGGAATGTGGAAGCCGTGCACTGGATATTTAGTTTTATTAGTGGGGCTTGTAGTGACAATTTTGGTGAGCTTTCCTTTTTTGTTGAAAAAAAAACATTGCGAATTTTCAGATTCAATCAAATAGTATATTCGCGTCTTCCTTGACACCATTGGTGGGAAGTGGTGTTGTGACTTTGGAGCAGATGTATCCATTGGTGCTTGGTAGTAATATTGGAACCACTTTTAGTGGTGTGCTTGCTGCATTTTCTACGGATCCTTCAAGATTTGAGAAGTGAGTTAAAATTCAAAGGTATGCATTAAGAGAGATAAACGTTTATTCTGAAAAATTGCATCCCCTCTTTTCACTTGTAAAGTAACGTTTAACATTTAAAATTTTCAGAGCTCTTCACATGGCAATGTGCCAAGTGATCTACAATATTATAGGAACTTGTCTATTTTATATTGTCCCATGTACCAGAAAATATCCTATCATTCTTGCTGAAAAGCTAGGAACTCTAACTGATCGGGTAAGTTCTACCTAACTTTTTCTCTAAAACAATATTTTAATTTTAGTATCGTTGGTTCATCGTTGTGTTCATTATGTCATTTTTCATTGTTATTCCATTTACAATCATCGGGTTGACACTTTTACCGGATAATGTTATTGTTATCACATTTATTATAATATTAGTCATAATAATGATTTGTGTTTTTATCAATATTTTACAGGTGAGTGTTTCTTGCCATCTGTAAATTGTTTGACAAAAAAAAACATAAAGAGATCACAAACATTTACAGAACAGTTGCATTGCATTTTTGCCAAAAACACTCCAAAATTGGCAATTTCTCCCAATCTGGTTACGATCCCTCAAACCGTATGATCCATACATGTCTAGTTTTTTCACCAAACTTCCATATGTTGGCGGATTTTTCCGAAATGGCGAAGCTTATCACAAAAGAACAAATACAAATACGGATTTAGAAGATATGGATGGAAAAGTTGAAAAACTGGTCAAACTCAGCAATCAAACACAAGTTTGATTGTTATTCTAGTCATTTGAGAATTACCGTGTAATTTTTTCGAGAGCAATTTAAGAATTAGTTTTTCAAACATATCAGTTTCATTTTGCTTTACCATAATTAACAGGTTTATTGTGATAATTGTATAATAAAAATTGGTTTTATTTGATTAAATACTGTGTTTTTTTTGGATTGATCTTGTTTTGTGTTATATCTGATTCATTTTTGATTACCTTTTTGCTTTCAAATATTGAATTGACTGGGAATTCGAAAAAACGATTATTGGAAAGATCATTATCAAGAAACCAATGTATCCTCAAAAATATCAAGTTAAAAACTTCTAATTTCAAAATGTTTTTCTCACAATTATAAGAGAGATGTATATAAAAAGATGCATATAAAAAAGTACATATAAAAAAAGTGAGTACGACAATTCGCTTCCGCTCTGCCTGTTGTTTAGTAAGGCGTTGTTTACAAAAACAACAACATATTTTTTTAGGGGAACGTTTCATTTCTATTTGATTTTTCCCTAAATACTATGTTTCAGTTGTTTTTCATTATTTTTCATCATGTATTGTTAATATTTTTCGAGAAACTGATTGTGAGATGGCTTTCTTATCTGATAACTTGTTTATTTCTTTTTCATTACTCTGGTGTTTAGAAAAATTTGGAAAAACAAATGTTTCGCTCCAAACTTTCTGTATGTTCCAGATACGATGTCACATTTGAAATATTAAGAAAAAAACGTCTCAAGCCAAAAAAGCACATCTTTCCCAATTTGAGCATTTCAGTGATTATTGTGCTACAGTTACCTCCTAAAATTGTAGTCCTTTTATAGTCATATGCAACGTTTCAAGATACATTTCGTCAAAAATTGTTTATTTATTCATTCGACTTATAAAGCAAACAAACGCGCCGCACATTTGCAAAAATTGTGTGCACTGCTTTAACACTAGGCCACGCCTCCTCCGAGATGGCGTCCTTGGTTACAAAAACAGCAATTTTTTGCGTTTATAGTATTAGGATTAGGATTATCTCACTTGATATTGATTGTGCCTGCATTTCCCTCTATTTCTAAAACAATTTCATATTTTTCAATACGTACATAACATGGTTTTTTACTTTGAAAACAAACTAAAGAAAAAAGTGTAACGACACTCCGCATTGCCTGTTGTTTAGTGATAGAGTTGTTTACAACAAAAATTGTTGTTTGGAGCGTCTTTTCTTTATGGTCAACTTCTTTTTAAGTTTTTCTGCTTTTCACATTTGTTTTTTATCGTCATAGAATTTCATTTTCATATTTTAAATAATTCAATGTGTTTTTTTTTCAGAAAAAAACTAACGTAATTACTAACAATCACGATGTCTGAGAGGGATGTCCAAGAATCTTTCTCAAGAATGAACATGTATGATGATACAGCAAATAATCGAGCTGCGCAGCGTGCAGAAAGTTCAACTGGAAGACGTTCGCCTGGAAATGAACAACCTGGTCCCTCGGGAACACAAAATTACCAAGGATCTGAACAGCACACCCCAGAAGGAACAATCACATTGGAAAAAACAACAAGTATTTTGAAGCGCGATATGATGTATCAAACGCAAACTTTTGTCGAAAGACCTGGAGTGGTTGGAAAGTTGGGAGAGAAAACCAAATTGGTGACCAATTACATCACTTTCAAAACAAATGCACAACCTATTCGACTTTATCAGTACAATATTCAAGTTTTAACTGGAACGAGAGAGGAGAAAAAACGGTAGGTTTTTGAAAAAAAAAAAAGTCATATTTTGTTATGTTCATAATTCAGATCACGATGCACTGCCAGATTCTGGGAATGCGTTCAAGAATACCGTCATTTTTTCCCTAACAATATCACTGATATACTTTATAATGGTGTCAATATGTTGTGGGTGAAAGAACAACTGAAAGTTACCTCCGGAGATGTACAACTCAAGCTTCACCATGATGTAAGTTTTACTTTTTATTTTTATTTTAGGGGTGTTTAGCAATTCATAGAGTAAATTTTTGAATGTCGATTTTACACATAAGGTAATGTTGCAGATTAGTTTCTCCTCCAAGGAGAAATGGGGCAAAATTTAAAAAAAAAAAGACTATTTTGCCTGTGCAACACGTTTCTTCTTAATCACCTCCAAGGAGAAACTAATATGCATCATCGCCTAACTATTTTCAATCCTTTTCTGAAAAAAATAAAATTATTTTTGCTTTACCGCATTTGTTGATAAAGTCAAAAAACTTTTTTTTTTCAGGATGGTCGTGATGCGAAAACAACTATTCATATCAAATTTGCATCAACTATCGAATTTTCTGAAAATGCTACATTAGAAGCTGATAGAGATTTATTCGTTACAATTGCAGATGCAATTGTCAGCCAAAGATCAAGATGTCCAATTGAGTATGTTTTGAAGAAAATAATAAATCCAAAGTTTACCTATTACAATTAATTTTGAAGATTCAGTGAAACTTCAAAATAAACTTCGTTAAGTAAACGTTGTCTTTACTACAAATAATATACTCATAGCATTTTACAATATTTTTTCAGAGGAGGAGATGGTTTGTTGTTTACTGCACATGAAAATGGAATGTATTCCAGTCATTTCCGTGATCCACACAATATTGTTAAACTAAAAATCGAACTCGGAAAAACCTTAGAAGCATGGACTGGTTTACATTTTGCTGCAAAATTACAGCTTCAAATGGGACCTTGTGCTAATATTGATTGTGAGTTTTTTAAACTATTTAACTGAATTAGTGAGATTTGTTTCAAGATACATTTCCGAATCACGAATCGGTATAAAAAACACTTTTTCTAGTGGTTATATGTCAGAAATTGGAAGGAATATTTATTTCATTAAATAATCATTAGAAAATCGAGAACGTTAGAGCATCTAGATACTGAAGTTTTTCGAAACTTTTGATACTCAAAAAAATCAGCGACGGTGCCGTCACTTATTTTACGGTTTGCAACGATACCGACATTTTTTACCCACGGATTTCATCTTTGAACTGGTTTCACCTTCGAATTTTGCTCCGGTGTTACGTGATGAAATTGATTTGAAACCGTCGCTGATTTTTTCTGACAATTAAAAAAAGTCAATAGAATGAATTCATTTTACAGTATGTCATACGGTGTTTATGATTCCGGAATATTCACTCATTCGAATGATGCTTGATATTGCTGCTGGTCGTAAAATATCCGATGAAGAATATGAAAACGAAGAAAGACGTCTTCAAAATTATGGAATAAGTGAGGGAAACAAAAAGGATATGAAAACAATTTTGCACAACAAAACAATTTGTATCAATTATGGAAATGGAAGAGCTTTCAAATTCAAGGGAATTTCTGACGGATCTGCTGACCAAACATTTTTTACTGTTAGTTATTATTTATTTTTATATTAATTCTTATTTATCAAGTTTCAGTTTGAAGGCCGAGAGATGTCAATTGCTCAATATTTTCAAAGTAAAGGAATAAATCTTCGATTCCCTCATTTTCCATGTATAATTGGTCCACAGTTCCGAGGTCAAGAGAGTCCATCATTATTTCCTTTGGAATTTGTAACAACTGCCAAACAAGTTCAAAAACATTTTGGAAGGCTGCCAGATCATCAACTTGCTCCGATGATTCGAGGAACCGCTTATCCGCCATGTGATCGATTCCGAATTGTGAAAACTTTGGCAATTGATGGATTACCAGATCAAGTGCCACCATTGATTGAAAATGATCCGTGGATGCGAAATTTTGATTTGGAAATTGGAAAGGAGTTTATTCACGTTGATGCAACCATTTTGCCACCACCCACCCTGCGCTATGTAAGTTCATATTTTTAATATAATAGCAGTTGTTACAGTATGCTATTAATAAAAAAAACAAATTTTTCCTGAGGGTATTTTTTTTGAACATTTTCAATAAATTCATGATATTTTTTTATCTGACGAGAGGGTTAGAGCACCCTTTATTTTTTATATTGAACTTTGGATTTTTCACCTAAACTCACATTGTCAGAGACCATTCCATTGAATAAAAATAAAAAATTGAATATTTATTCATTTTTCAGGGAAATCTGAAATTTTTTGATGAATATCATCATGGAGTATGGCTTCCTGTTGTAGAAGACGAAGGATTCAAAAAAGTTTTGACAGCTAGATGTACAACAACACACCGCGAGAAAAAAATTATTCCAGCAATTATTACTATTGAAAATCCACGGCTTAATCCTCAAAATGTTGCGTTTGATCAGTGAGTCCATTTTGAAACATGAAATTCATTTTCATATTCATATTTGCTTTATTTCAGCGGCTCTATCCAATGTTTAATGGAAACTGTCAGCAGATTTGGTCAACCAGTTTACAGAAATAGATACAATCAACCAGCTACATATTTTGTGAGTTTTGTTTTAATAATTTTGACTCTCGGGTTTTAAAAATCTTTGATAATATGAAAAACATCAGAAAAATTAAAGTATTTTAAAAACATTAATGCAATTGTCATCAACTAAAATGTTTTCATAGAATACGATATGATAATGAATACCCCACGGAATAACTTTAAAACTTGATTATTTCAGGTTGGAGCATATCACCAAGGAAGAAATCGAATCGAAGAATTGAGGAATATGTTGGTTGAAATCAAAACAAGAATAGAAAATGATAGAGAATTGTCCGCTGATGGCTCACTTCCTGTTCCGCTTGTTTTGTTTATTTTTGCTTACCGATCAACTACAATCAGAACTAGAACTTTGAATGTTATGGGAGATTATGGTTAGTATATTCAAATGTATTTAAAAAATAAATAATTTCATTTTTTCAAGGAATCATCAAGCAACTATGTGATGGTGAAGTCGGAATTAATTGTCAAGGAATTCTTCGCAAAAATTTGGCAACAATAAGTGGAAATCCAAACAGATGTTCAACTGCTCATAATATGGCTATGAAAATTCTCTCAAAAATTGGAACTACACATTATATGATTGAAAGCGGCGGAAAGCACAAAAAGTGAGACACAAGAAAATTTATTTAAAAATTATTCAATGTTTTCAGCTGGACGAAGCTCACCAATCCAAAAGAACCAACACTTGTTTTGGGAATTGATGTAACCCATCCATCAGATATTGACAATCGAATGGGAGGCAAATACGCATGCTCAATTGCAGCTGTTGTTGGAAATATTGATGTTTCAATTTCAAAGTTAGTTTTGACAAAAATAATATTTTTATAAAATGAAATAATTGAACAAATTTAGATTCGGAGAATCAGTTCGTATTCAAGAACGAGGACTTGAAAGAATTGTAAAAATGGATCAAGTGATTGAAGAGAGAATTAAAGAATTCATTGAATATGCAGGTATTCGTCCAGCACATATTGTTATTTATCGAGATGGTGTATCCGAAACTGAATTCAAACGTATTCTTTATGAGGAGAGAACTGCTATTGAACGTGTTTGTAAATCTCTCGATAAAGATTATGAACCAACATTCACATATATTGTTGTATCGAAAAGACATCATACGAGATTCTGTGCATTGCGAGAATCAGACACGGAGGGAAAGTAAGAATTTTTTAAACTTGAATCAGGGACGTTTAGAAGTTCGGAAAATATTAAAAACAACAATGAAACAATAAACACATTTTAGAGAAACTTTACAGTTTTCTGAGAAAATACACTTTCCGACTACCGAAGACAAAATTTGAACTTTTTCCTGAGAATATTTTGCAAAATTTAAAAATTCTACAGAGCCTACAACATCAAGCCTGGAACACTCGTCGAAAGCCAAATCACAACCAAGAAATATTTCGATTTTTATTTGGCTAGTCAATTTGGTCCACTTGGAACAACTCGACCAACTCATTATTATGTATTGGCTGATAGTTGGAAGCCAAGTAATGCATTTTGGCAAACAATCACCTATGCTTTAACTTATGCATATGTGCGAACATGTAAATCAATTTCAATTCCGGCACCAGTTATGTATGCACATTTGTGTGCAAAAAGAGCAAGAGATCGATTCATGGCATATTTCGATATTGCCGAGTAAGTGTTTTGTGAATATTTAAGCATCTGAATTTTCTTTTTTCAGACAACGAGGCATTCATGTCAATATGTTAGATTTTGAAGACTATATGAGAGTTCTCACATCTTTGAAACCACACGACAATCTCAAAAAGAGAGGAATGTTATACTGTTAATTATTTTATTTCATTGTTGCTAAATGTCAACCTTCTTCCTGTTATATTATGCTTTACTACTAATCTATGTTCAAAAAATAGAATCTCCTTATTCCCAATACTCTCCATTGTTTTTCCTATCTTTTATCAAATAATCACCGATTCGACTTCATTCTAGTTTTTCATTGATTTTAAATCAATCTGAAGTTGAATTCGAGAATCTCCTGTTTTATTCTTCTTTTTTATTATTGATATCTTATGCGTTATTTGGTTCATAAACATTGATATCCAGTGGTCTGTTGGAAAATTTATGAACAGCATCTGAAAATTCGTTACAAGGAAACGTTTTGGAAAACACAGATTTTGGGATTAAAAAACTTTTGTCAGTTGACCTCATTACCCAGGTTTGGGCTCTACAAAATTTTTCCGAAAGAACATTTTAAAAATGTTGGAGTTCGATAAAATTAATATGAGAGATCATGTTCTAAATTGTAAATTCATAGAAGCTTCTCAAACATTAGTAATTCAATTTCAAATATATTAAAAGCAGTGCAATACTGTTTAAATAGCTTAAACTGGAATACTCTTTCAAAATTGATTTTCATAAAAATATTTATAAATCTTCGAATTATTTTATTTCAAATTTTACCTTACTTTATATCTTTGAAATTTTGTTGATTTATTCCAGAATTTTATAATACTCATTCTGAAACTAATAAACATATAAAACTTTATGAATACACAATGACAGAAAAAATCACTGGATTCAAGGCAATAAATTATCACCAGAGTACAAATGACCCTATCCAAATATACATCAATCGATACCCGATAAACAAAAATTGGAGTTGATTTTCAGACATCACTTGCCTCATTTTGACTGTCGTTTCGACGCGATCTAAAATATAGTCAATATTGATGATGAAAAAGCTTTGGAAAATGTAGAATGAAAATGAAATCACAATAATTTGTTAGTCAAATCTCTAAACACAGCAAACATTGATTGAAAAAACACATGCTTAAAACTGACATGCTATAAATTCATAGCAAAAAACACTCCAATTCAAAAATGCAAATGCAGTTTTTAACTATAAAACTTTTTTTTCAAAAAAATGCAAGAAAAAACAACAAACAACTGTGGGGCACTCACAGAAGCGGGCGATAGCTGGAAGACTGGTTACTGTAGCGTCTGAAAATGCGGCCGCATATGAAAATTAAACCTGGTGTTTCGATGTTTGGTGAATTGTGAATATCGGTTGAGAAGCGGTTTTTCTTGAAATTCGAATTTGTGATTTTTTGTTTAGAAAAATGATAGAAACAAAGGTGTGTACATTATCTAGAAACCTAAGTTTTCACTTTCCGGCATTCTATTTTGACTTGAAATTAGGGCTGCACGATGGGGCGTGGGGGCGGCCCCCTCGCCCCGCCACGCTTTTGCCCCCTCGCCCCTTTGCCCCCTCGCCTCTTTGCCCCCTCGCCCCGTTGCCCCCTCGCCCCGTCACCCCTTCGCCCCGTCGCCCCCTCGCCCCCGCTTGTAACTGTGTGCGCGCTTCTATCTTCTTTTATTTCTTCACCACACACAGTTACAAGCGGGGGCGACGGGGCGACGGGGCGAAGGGGCGACGGGGCGAGGGGGCAACGGGGCGAGGGGGCAAAGGGGCGAGGGGGCAAAGGGGCGAGGGGGCAAATGATTTTTTGCACGGTGTTTCATCGCGGGGTGCCCCGCGTGCAGCCCTACTTGAAATATTTTTCGAAAATCAGCTGAAATGATCCTGTGAGCCGAGCCTGTCAAAATGATATACGATTTGACTTTTAACTTCATTCTCACATTCAGAGATTCTGCAGATTCATAAGTTTGTTTTTTGGTTCTAGAAATATTTCAGCTGGTTTTCAGAGAATAATCAAAGTCAACAAAATCATATAGAGATGAAACTTATAGAAGTATTAGACAGGCATGAGAAGTTCCTATATTATTTTTTTAATTACTTTTTTCCAACCTACTGTAAAGCCTTTATGTGCTTTTCTGAACTTTTGAAACGCTGAAACTAATACTCTCATTATTCCAAGGAAATGGGATTTTTTTCTGGTTCGTCGGCTCAAAAACTACAGTAATCTTTTTTCTTACACTGGAGGTCCATATCGACTTGTGAAACTTTGTTGTCTCATGACAGTTTGCAATGTGGAACATCGACAAGCAAGCATTTCACGAAATGGTATTCGGAACTCCTTATTGTATTTGCAGTAAATCAAAGGATTCAAAGTGCTGAAAATGTTTTTTTTTATTATTAATTCTTAACTCTATTTTTAGAGATCTCATATGTAGATACATCCTGAATACGAGGTTTTTTCTATTATATTCCAAAAAAATCCCTAACAAGAATTTCGCACCTGTTTGAATAACCAAGCCATAGGATTAATAGGTTTAAAGAATTGGAAATTGTGTAACCGAAAATTGCTTTCACAATTGCTGCACAAAAAGAAAGGAAACCAGCAAAATATGAAGACTGACATGATGACGCCTAATGTTTTTCGAGCTTTACATTCACTCCTTTCACTTTGACGAATCTGCAATAAAAAGGTTGGAGTGTTTTGAATGGGAAAATTGGTTTGAATGAGGTTGGGGAATGTTTCTTGGAAAATTATGAGAATTTCGAAAACAAGATTTGTGAAGTCAATAAAATAGTTTTTTTTTGTAAAATAATGTGATAGTTTCTGTATCTCTCCTCGATTTTGGAATTAAAAATAACATTTTAGGAACTGTTCCTTCCTATTCCAATCGTAAAATTTACTGAAAGTCGAGAGTTTTTTGTTTTATTTTTGTTAAAGTACTGTGGTTTCAGATATCTTAGAACACAATTATTAAAAGAAAGGTCATCTCAAAATGTTTCAATATGTTTTGTGATTCTCAATATCTGCTACCTCAAACCAAAAATGTCTAGAAAATTTCCAAATAAAAATCTATGAGCAAACTAGCTCCAAATTCTTCTTCATTCAAGTGTGAAAAGTTGGCCCAAAAAGGAAAAGGTCAGCTCTTGTTTTTCTTTCATTTTTTATAAACAAAAATAAAATAAGAACAAAAATAAATTCCGTTTGCAAATCTTATTGTCCTTCCATTTTCACTACACCCCCGCAAACTATTTTTCAAGCATCATCAGAGAAATCCAGAGAAATAGGACAAAAAATAAAAAATAATAATATTGAAATGAGTGTAATTCGATATTTTCAGCAAATATCAAAACGCATCATAATTCATGTATATTTAGACAATCAAAAATCATGGGCCCCTCTGAATTTTTCATCTATTTCTATTTTGAGAACAAAAAAACAGAAGAATGAGGAAGAAGGATACTTGAAGGTTGTTAGAAAAAAATAAAATAAATAGGCTTACCAATGGTCCTTTTGGTGTTGTTGTGAAAAGTGCACTTGGTCTATGCAAATATTTTTTCTCGAGTTTGAATAATCTAGAATTTGTTGAATTTGTTCTTTCTTTTTTTGAGCACTCGTTCAATAAATCTGTATTTTCCGGCGAGCTTGAATTCCGACTCTTATGCTCATTTGTATTATTATCAATTGAATTACAATGTGACATTAGTCGATCTTGTGCGGCTAGACGTTTGGCAGCTCTCCAAATTTTGATATTCAAAATTATCATGATAAATGTTGGGCCGTAAAATGATATAATTGTTGCGTAGATTTGATACCAACTGTATTGGAGAACCTGAAACTTATTTTTTAGTAAATCCAAGCATTGAAAATAGCATAGATGACTACCAAAAAACATGTCAAATTTGAAATTTGTTAGAAGTTTCGATTTGGATTATCTAGATAATAAATTTTTGCCATTTTTGTAAACATTTGAAGTTCTCGGCTCACGTTTCGATCCTTATTTTTTGGAACATTCTATCACGGAGTTTTTAACATCACGTTCATTTTTTTACTGTGTTCTTGAAAATGTTCCCTTTGCCGCAATTTCATTTCAAAACTTGTATATACATTTTTTATTTCAAAATCCCTCTTCTTCCAGAAGAAAAAAAAATAAAAAATAAATCTTTGGAATCGTAAAAGAGATTTAGAGGCAATTTAGACGAATCATATTTTTCGCCTCATATTTTTTTGCTTCTTCTATCTATGCGCATTTTTTTGAAATCTACAAAATTTATGCTGCCTTTGAGGTGCCCTCAATGTTATTTTTATATTTTTTTTGAGAAAAGAATGTGCCGTGTGAAAATCCAGCTTGCCAGATGTTCGAAACTCATAACATCAACACAGATGTATGAATGGAAAAAAACTATGTGAGAGTGTTTTTTTTTTTTGCAAAATCGATGAGAAATCAAAAAATGCACATTCACTTTAAAGTTTTTTTTCGTTTATCTTATCGTTCAAAAGAACAAACATAAAACGATTTTGAGTGAATGAGTGAGATGTTGGATTTTTAATGGGTCAACAAGAAAAATGTGATATATTGTGATTTATTTTATTGGTTTGATGTTTGACAAATTTTTTGGGAAGATGGGTGGGAATTGTTAAAACAAAAAAAAGGTTTGGATACGTTGAAAAAAAAAGTAATATTTAAAACATCTTCTGGATGTTTAGAAACACAAAAATGTTGTTCCGAAAGAATATGGAAATTTTTAGAAGAGAAGCAAATGTTTTCAACTTCTCAAGAAGTTTTCTAGATGTTCAAAACAAGGAATTTTTCTGTAAAACTGGTTTTGAGGATTTAAATTTCTAGAAAACTGTGCAAGCAATTTACTTTATTGATAGTTTAGTCAACATTTCAGAAATTCAAGCATTTTAAAAGAAATCTTTCATTTTCAAATTGTATCTACCAAATTCTTTCACTTTTTTTTAATTTTCATATTTTCCCCAATAAAATCTCTTCTTCCCATCTTGTAGATCAAAAATAAACTCTTATTCATCGTGAACCACTTGGCCTTTCATGCACCACTCCATTTTTTTTTCAAAAAATACATTTCCGCTATTATTAAAACCCCTTCTAAACTTTTTTTTAGGCATAAGTCACAGCAACCAAAAAAATTGTTTGATCTCACAAGTCCAAAAAAATAGTGTATGAAAAAAAACGAGCCAAAAGATCCAGTTTCGAAAAAAATCGTCTCATGTTTCAGAAATGTATTAGGCTAGTTTTTTTTGAATTGAAATTGGGCTGCTGCGAAAAAATGGATGGTGTCCAAAGCCAGAGATTTTTCCATCACCAAGACAAGAAAAAATGTATTCAATTTCTATGGGTCTCCATTTCTTTTGCTTCTTCTTCTTCTCGTCATATTATTATAGGAATAGATTGTTTTTTATGAAGAAAAATTGAAGAAAATGGATAGAAAAGCACACCACTTTCTCATTTTCTCCTTCTTTAGATTTATGTGTTCAGGAAAAGAAAATGCGTATAAACGACAAGAGGAAGAAGAAGAGTTTGACACCGGAAAAACTCGGAAAAAGGGAAAATGTTGTAGCCTGGACTTTCTTGCCACCTTTCTATTTTATGTTTTCTTTGGATTTCTTTAGAAAAAAATAATAAAACTCGAATATATAATTCAGAAATGTTCTTCCCTCTCCGTTCAAAAAAAAAAAACACACACACACACACATGTTATTCTTTTTTTAGGCCGGATAAAACCTTTTTACTATGTTGTTTTCGGAGCGGAAGAAAACGAAATTTTATCTAGCTTGTTTTGGTTTTGCCCAAATCGAATTCGGAAATTGTGTTATCATTTTGGGAGATCAAAAACATCTCATCTCTTTATGGAAATTGGCACAACCAATTTCCTGTATTCTCACGACTTCTCAAATTTCTGTGCGCTCTGACGTGATGTCAATTTCGATTTCGATTGCTTTTCGATGAGATTTTGGTTTCAATTTCATATGGGATTTTTCGAAAACATCAAAGACTAACCTCACAACGTGTTGAACTTTCTTCATCAGTACTTAAAATCGATGCAATAACTCTCGAAGAAAAACCAACAATCCCTGCGATGAGCCAAACTACCGCAATATACGTTAAAATACGTTTTGAAGTTCGTTGAGCAGAATATCGTAGAGGTCTTGATATTACCAGATATCGATCTACCGAAATTGCACACAGATTCACAATTGAAGCTGTGCATAATGTTAAATCTGATGTGGTGTAGAAATGGCAAAGATAGCTGGAAAAAATTGAATTTTTTTTTAATCTGGGAGGATCTTTTTTTTATAATTTGCTAATTTATAACTTTCATCAACTTTGATCAGTTTCAGACTTATTACATGATCTCACCACTAACCAACATTTTTTGGACGTTAAATTTACTGTGAATCATAATAAAAATTTATCGATGATCTTTCACCATGACAATATAATTTTTTCAAGAAAACCACATGAAATATTGTATTAGTTTCACCTAGGCAACTTTTTTCCCTCTCGAACTCTAATTTTTTGTATTATGTTTATGTTATGTTTTTTGTGTGTTCCTTATAATGATGAGAATGGAATTTCAACCAAAAAAAAATAACAGAAAAAATTCCATCTATTCAGTTTGTACACACATATTGAATTATTAACGACTGATTCAGGGTGTTGAACAACAAAACAACACATGAAGAGTTTGGGGAAGGGAAGATGAAAAAATTTGCAAAGCACATAACAAAAACGAACGGAGTTGTTGTTGTTGCGAATAAAAGTATCTTTTTTCACATCTTTTTGCAATTTTACAGCTATTTTTTCACTCATTCATTTTATAGACTATATATTTTCAGTTCCATATTTTGATGTTCACCTATTTTTTGCTAGTGCTGATGAAAATTTCATGTCTTTGGGAATTTTGAGACCAAAACATAGTCAACGGAACTCTCAAATTTTTCACCGTTTTAGAGTTTGTAAGAGGAATCTTGAAAATACTTTGAAAAAAAAATTAAAATAAAATTTGGACCTCCCAAATTCACGGTAATTCTGTTGAAATATGTCTCAAAGCACAGGTTATGTATTTTTTTTCGGGGTTTTTCCAAAATTCTGTTAATTTTTGACCAACTTCCTAGCTTTTCTTTATTTTAAAAATTTTCTTGAAATCTTCCACTATTTTCTACGTCACAACTACACCTAGAAAATCAACAAAAATAGCTAATTAGCCAACCAATCAAATTTCAAAAAAAAAAAGATGAATTTTTGATCTACGTCAATCTCTCGTTTGTCTCTCTTCCAATTTCCATTTCAAGAAAATGAAAGCAATCTCAATTTATTTGTTACATTCAAGATGACACGACGACTACAACAAGAAAATCGAAAAAGGCGAAAAACGAACCTGCCTAATGGCCAGTTGTCAAAAATAAGATCCACCAACGCCAACGGCATAACCAGCAATCCAACAAAAAAATCGGCGACCGCCAATGAAACAAGCAAAAAATTTTGGGGATGTTTCAATTTTCTGACTAACAATACTGCTAGACAAACTAGTGCATTTCCTACAGTTGTCATAATTATCATAATACAAATAATAGCGGCTAGAAAATATCGAGACATTCTTTCTTGCGCACTGGGAATCTCTTGATATGTACTTGAAACAACATAATCAGGTGTGGTTAGCAAATTCATCAGATTTATATATATTTTTTTCAAAAAATAAGAAAAAATAAAATAATATTCATATACCACACAAACACAAGTGTGGTGCCTTTGCTCTCTATGCGTTCTGTTTTTTTTTGCTTGTTGTTAAAGCCACGCCTCTTTTTTCTATTTTTTTTCGCTTTTTTCTTGAAGAGGCGGGGTTTTTCTACGGTATGATGTTGCCGGGCCATTAGATTCCATATTTTTCTATAAAAATTTCCGGTGAAACGAAAAAGCAAAAAAACAACAAAATTGTTGATCAAATTATTGATAAATGATTAAATAAATATAACAATTAATCGTTTTTTTCTCTCTGTTCAATACATTTTGTATGAATATGCATGAATTTTCTCGCGCCGTTTACACAATGATAAAGAACATTAGAAAAAACACACTGTTTTTCTGTGGGGGGAATTGGGAATGAAAAAAATTGGAAAATAGAAAGCTATTGAGAAAGGAAGAAAATCATGAATAAGTTAATTTGGAGAGTTTTTTTGGATTGTTGGTTTGGTGGTTATTTTTGGGTTTGTAGTTTTTTCTATGGAAAAAAAGACGGAAGTTGGATATGTTTTGAGTTATTGTAAATCGAGAAGGACAAGTTCTGTGAAATATGATGAACATGAGATAAATTTGGGGGTTGTTATTTGGATTTAGAAAAAAAAATTGGAAAATTTGAATGAAGTATTTTGCGCTTCAGTGAAATTAAACTAAATTTAGTTGGAAAAACTTGATTTAGTGGAATATTTTGAAGAAATTCAAAGACTCAATGAAAATAAAAAGACCTGGTGAGATTACTATTCTCTAGATTATCATGCTTGAAAGACAAGGTTATATTACTCGCGATTCTATTAATCCGAAAGTATCAGAGCCATGGAGAAGAAACATCTAATACAGTACACTTCGTTGGCCCTTTCAAAATTTTGTATTGAAAACTAAAGTTTTCAGTTTTCTAGACCATATAAGTTCTCTTAAAAAGTACTACTTTCTGTATTGATAAAAAATAATCATGTGTTATTAAAAATTATTGTAGTGCATTCAAAAATTTTCGATTCATTTCAGAAAAGTGAACAGAAAAATACCTTAATATTTATACCCAACTGCAGACAAACTCACAAAATATGTCTAGCGCAAATTTCCCGGACCCATAAAAATGTCTCAATTTTCCGCTGGCCAAACCAAAAACTGAAAAGCATCCTGTAATTTGCAAATTTTCCGTGTATTTTCCTTTTCTCTGATCCTGCAGCTTGTTATTTTTTTATTTATGACTTTAGCATGTCATCCCACAAAAAATTATTTTTATTTATCGAATAATAATTCTTGAACCTTATTCATTTTATGCTTCTATGAGTTCAGTTCTGCGAATAAATGTATTGTTGTTTTTCTTTTTCTGATTCTTGCCTGCACATTTGTTCTGTATTTTTCCAGGATTATGATTTTATATAAGAAATTTCCGGGATTTCTGCGATTCTGGAAAAATATGTGTGCAAATGTGTGTTTTTCCATCTAGAATTCTATGTTTTTCATGTCCATGTCTACATTTTATTCCGAGATTATGTTTTTTTTTCAGTTTGAATTATTCAACTATTTTGTTATTTCATATTTGAAAAATCTGGTCTTGTTCAAGTGTTTGTTTTTTTTTAATAATTTTCCTAATTATTTAGAAAAAAAAACATTTATTTTCTTGTTTCCTTGAAATAAATCATTTAAAGATGAACATAAATCATAACTGTTTTTAAGAGGAAAAAATGGAGAAAACATCTGTGATTTTTTCATAATATGAAAAAAACCACAGGTTGCTTGAGAAAACAACAAAAACATCTGGACTCTTCGAAATAATTTTCTCTCTGATACCCAGAGCAAAATGAGAAAAAACTAATTTCAGAGAAAAAATGACTTCTGACCCGGGAAAAAACAACATTCCAGTCGGTATCTAATTATTTTTTATTATGAAGAAAAACACGATTTTTCTTTGTGATAGTCAAAATGAAAAAAAAATAAACAATGTGCTTGTGAGAAGATTGTCTCAATTAGAAAAATACTGGGAAAAAACAACAACTTTGGTCGAATAAACAACCAAATGTGAAAAGGAAATTGGGATGAGGAATTTTTTTGTGTGTGTTTTCTTTTTCATGAGAGCCAAGAAGCAAGTGGATTCGGAAAACTATGTATTTTTATGAAAAATGAATAAATTGAGATAATGATGAATTGGAACACATGGTGAAAAAATGCGGATACGAAAAATACACATTTTTGTTGATATGAAAAAATTGGATACGAAACTCAAACTTATCAGGATTTGGAAAATTGAAATTTCAGCCGAAAGTTTCAGAGAATAATTTCAGAGAAAACAATTTTACGAGTTTGTTACCGACCATTGACAATCAACCCAGTCGTAAATCAATCCACTGCTGCACAAAAAATGTCTTTCACTTCGACTTTCATGCTATCAAATTGTCAGATCGGAACTTCCAAACAAACATAACAACAATTGAATTGAATTGGTTGATTGACACGTTGGCTCCATTAAAACACTGAAGTTTTCAGAAAACAAACTGTAAAAAATGTTGAACGCCGAATTGAATTCGAACAATTCAAATTTTTTTCAAGGGGAACTTGTAGATTGTTTTGATTTAGAACCAAGTCATGCTTAAAGATAGGAAAAGCAAAAGTCGAAAGTGAATTCATTTTATTTTCAGGTTAAATAATAATTTTATTTCAAAATTCAAATATTCCAGAATTTTTTGCAATAATAAAAAGGAAAAAAGACTTTAATGCAAAATGGTACTCTTATTACATAATTCTTTTTGTTAGTGGATGACAGTGAGAAAAAGATTACTGTAACATTAAAATACAGTACGTCTTAAACATGCACCGAAACAATTTTTAATCGAAGTTCTCCAAACTTTGAAGGGATTCATTTTTTTCACTTCTCTCATTTTGATAACTCGGAAAATGTTCTTTGTTTATTTAATATGCTTCGATTATCAGACAGTTCATAGAAAACAATATTATTTGAAATGTTTTGATATTTCATGATTTTAGAGTATAATTTCAACACATTTTGTTTCTAAATTGAAAACACAACTCGTCCAATAAACAAAACATATACCCCAAGTTTTTATAGTAAACCTGTGAACGGTAACTGATCAGAAGAAACTATTATGTGAAGTCTTATTAGGATCAGAGATAACATAATAAAGGAACTTTAATCAACAATTAGATTCTAGGAGAAGGAAATGTAGTTTTTTTTTTTAATTTTGTTAAAGTTGTCAATAAACAATCTTCTATTAAATTCCACTGATAAATATTAAAAAAAACGCATTGAACATATCCTCAACACTAAACTACAAAACCAAAAATATTCATCTAGCTAGGTCAAACTAAATATAACTTCACTCTTGTTCAATATACTTATTCAATATAATATAAGAACTGTTTATCTCTCTCTCTCTCTCTCTTTCTCTCCCTCTCTTTCTCTCTCGTTTCCTTACTGCTTTGCTACATTAATATATTTTTTGTATTTCGCGGTTCATTCTCATATTTGATAGGCGTCATTTAATAATTTTAAAATTTTTGTTCAAAATAATTTTCTATTTTTTTATCATCTACTAAAGTAAATAATGAATATGTGATGAAAGGGGTTTATACTCTCATAATTTCATTTTTCTGAAAACTTTATTTTTTTATAACTGTAAATTTAGGTCTTCCATCTTTAGTTGAATTAACTATTTTAATATCAGAAGTCAGAAACAATCGTATAGTTATACAGCTAACCTGAAAAATTCAATATTCCAAATGTTATGTTCTGTAAAATATTGTTTCCGGTTCATATAAAAAATGAAAAATTCAAACTTTCCGATAATTCTCTTTCTATTTCTATTTTTAAGTTTTTTCCTTATCCTGAATTAATAATTTGGAAAATCGGCAGATTTTTCCAGTAAATGCAAATGTGAATTCACAAGTTTTTTTCTTTTTCTATAAAAATGTGTGTTTTTTTAGCGCGAATCGAAAGGTTTTAAATTACCGAGTTGAACAAAACAAATGAATATTCATGTTTTTCCAATGAATGAATGAAAATTTGTCGGTCAAAAAATCTTTTTATTTTTTTTTATTTTTACTTAACTCAAATCAAAAACTCGTTCATTATCCTCTCAATTAATTAATATGCATGGAATAGTGACGAGCTAACATCCGATGCGATATACATTCCATTCCAAATCTTTTTTTTTATTTATTTTGCTTATTTATTTTCAGATAGATAGATAGATAATTTTTATCTTTTCCGTTAATTTTCTTATGCTAACATTGATCACTATTTTTTCAGTTTTCTCTTTTTTTTCATTAACATTTTTTACTATACTACTCGAGTATTTCAGTTTAGTCGGTTAATTTATGTGTAGGATTAGAAAGAAATCTTTAACCTCATTTTAACATTTCGAAATGAACAAATTTCTCGACAAGAAAAATGTTGCGTCATGCTCATTGAAAATCATAGTTTCTCAAATTTCAATGCAGAACTGTGATTTTTGAAGATTTTTTCGAAATTTTATATGTGGTAAGATAAATTATGCCTACATTTTTTAATACATTGGTCAGCTTTTTTTAATTCCAAATCTCTGAAGAATTTTCCCAAATATGAAATAACGTTGTTCTTTGGATATTTAAATTCTTCACAAAAAATCTACAACCACAATTCCCCATACAGTCAATTAAAAAAGGACAGCGTTTGAAAAATGAAAACACCTCTTGCTGCATTTCATTGTTCTTTCTTTCTCTCTCTTTCCTTCTGAAAATATTTCATTTTACATGGAAATTTTTCATATGAATAGTATCCCTCTAATTCTAACCAAGGTTTGTTTCTTCTTCTTTTTTTTTTCAAAAATAAGTTCAAAGGTAAACTCAAGTCAAATAAAGATTTTTCAGCCAACGCAGTCGTTATTCGATGCTCTCCGTTTGGCCGACCATGTGTCGTGCCCATACGAACGACGCTACCGAAAACATCGAAAAAGATCAGCGGCTGCAAAAAAAGCAAGAGTAACTGCAAAAAGTATGCCGACACTTATCGAACATCCGCATATTCATACGTCAATTTCGACTAATCAAATTGAACCGAAATATTTTTCTTGTCAGAGTGATAACGATGAAGAGGTTAGTTTTATGGGAGGGTCATTAGAGACATCATACAAAGTTTTTGGGTAAGTTTTTATCCCGTGTAAAATTTACTTAATTTGAACATTCGAAAATGTCTTTCGGAATTTTTTTTTTGAGTCTTACACTATTGTGAATTAACTTCTGGAACTAAATTGGTTTTTCAATATTAATCTAGAATATGATAACCGAAAACTCTAGCAATTTTTTGACTTTGTTATAAAGAATTATTTTCCAAAGAAACTGGCAACCTTAAAGATATAATAAGTGAACATTTCCATTGTTCGATAAAAATTGACCTTTTGCACTTTTTGTTGCTCTCCCACGTTTTTTAGTGGTCAAATTTCATTGTTTTCATATACACCCCTTCTACTTGAACTTCATAAATATTGTTTGTACCCCGCAAAAACTGAAATATGTTTTGACAGCTCCATATTTCTTCATCAAATCTCAAAAACAAAGACAGTAAATTTCCCCACACCACAGAATTTTTCAATTCTTTTTTTCCATAAAAATGTAAATTGACGTGTCAATCTTCAAAGCCGCTAAAAAAGCATAAATTCAAAATTCATCGGAAGATTGGATTGAGAATTTGAAATGAGCTTTTGTCTATATTTGATTGAACAACACACCAAGGACACATGTTTTTGCTCTTTTTTCAACTCGTTATTTTTTTCACTTCCTTAATGTCATTGGTTTTAGAGACGAAATGAAATGGGGTGATTTGGTTTGGGTTCAAAAGTACTTTTTGATTTTTTTCTGGTTAGTGTCTAGGCTCATTACAAAAGTCATTGAAAGAGGGAAATCACCATATCCATAAGATCAAAATTTCAGAATTTTTTTTTGAATAGAATGCAAGAAAAATTTGGACCATTATTAATTTTTTGCAGTGAAATTTTGAAAATCCAACTCTTGACTAGTTTCTTCAAACAAACGTAATGACTTTCGATTAATTTTTTAGAAGAAAGTTATATTCTATATTTATTTAGATAACTTTTAACAGCAGCTTTTCATACACAGTTCGATGGCATAATTTTTTTTGTGTTTTAAAATTAGCACATTGCATGCTATTTCTTTCTGAAAATAATATTATCCACATTTTTTCTTTACCGTAACTCCAAAATTCCAAATTTGATTCACCCCTCTCCAACTCATTAACCCCATTAGAAAAATGGATTTTCATCATCATTAGTTTTTTGCACTCAACTCAAAAAGGGTCATTACAAAAGTCATTTCTTGATTTTTTCAAAGCATGAGCCACAAAAAAACCATTTTCGTTCCATTAGAGTGCACTTTCTCCATCTTCACGCCCACATTGCCTATATAAAGAGATTATTTTATTAGTATTCATTTTTTCTGGGGATCCTTTTAGTTTTATAAGGGGTCGTGTTCAAACAAAAAAAAACAAAATTCAATTGACGCCTTTCCCAAGTGAATAACTCTCCGATTTTTTTTCAAAAAAGGAAAAGTTTAACTTTACAACAACTCCTCTCTTTTTTCAAGGATACGTTTTTGTTAGTCATGTTTTTCTAATAAGCTCAATTTCTTTTTAAATAAATTCTCTCTGATCTACTTGGAATTGTCTATTCATTTTCTAACTCATATGAGATTAAGAGAGATGGTTATTTCTCCTGATTTCTTTAGAAATGAAAAAAATAGAAGAGGATTTTTTCAACAGCTATTTTTTTTACAAGATATGTATTGAAAAGCATTCTCTTTATTCTTAGAAAAATAGAACCTCATATGAATATTTCGTTTTTTTCAACGCATTTTTCTTCATCTCTCTTTTATTTTCTCAATTTTCTAGCTAGCGTCAAAAAAGTTTGATTTTGTTCGGCGGGCATCCCGTCTGTGGTTTCCGATATACCAATTAGAAAAGAAACATCATTCGAGTCACAAAGATCGGTTTTTTTGTCATTCTTCTCGCGTCATTTCTTGTCTGTTGTTATTGAAATGGCGCTAAATTTGAATATGGTGAGTTATTGGGCAGGAAATATGTATTTATTGATAGGTAAATATGGGTAACAATCTAATGGAATGTTGGGATGTGTGGGAAAATATACATATTTTTGGACGAAAACTTGTAGTTCTTTTGAAAAAATATTTCGTTTTGTAAAACTGTGATTATCAAACGTTTGGTAAACCTGTCATCAGTTTCTGTAGTGATTTCGAAAAGTTTTTTTTGTGATTGAAAACTCTGAAAAATTTTGAAACAATCTGCAGCTGTATTTTCATTTATAAATCTTTTCTCTGAAATATTAATTTTTTCAAGAACTTTTTACTGTTTTTCAACTCATGAAAACCCTGGTTTTTATAAATGAACTTGAAATGATATTGAAACAAAAATATGTACTCCCAAAAAAAATTCAGCTGCATTATACTTTTAAAAAATTATTAGATATTGAAAATGTCACATCTGAAATTCAAAAACGAAATCAAATCATCATTAGTTTTAAAATCTTCAGATAACATCCGCATATTCATACGTCAATTTCGACTAATCAAATTGAACCGAAATATTTTTCTTGTCAGAGTGATAACGATGAAGAGGTTAGTTTTATGGGAGGGTCATTAGAGACATCATACAAAGTTTTTGGGTAAGTTTTTATCCCGTGTAAAATTTACTTAATTTGAACATTCGAAAATGTCTTTCGGAATTTTTTTTTTGAGTCTTACACTATTGTGAATTAACTTCTGGAACTAAATTGGTTTTTCAATATTAATCTAGAATATGATAACCGAAAACTCTAGCAATTTTTTGACTTTGTTATAAAGAATTATTTTCCAAAGAAACTGGCAACCTTAAAGATATAATAAGTGAACATTTCCATTGTTCGATAAAAATTGACCTTTTGCACTTTTTGTTGCTCTCCCACGTTTTTTAGTGGTCAAATTTCATTGTTTTCATATACACCCCTTCTACTTGAACTTCATAAATATTGTTTGTACCCCGCAAAAACTGAAATATGTTTTGACAGCTCCATATTTCTTCATCAAATCTCAAAAACAAAGACAGTAAATTTCCCCACACCACAGAATTTTTCAATTCTTTTTTTCCATAAAAATGTAAATTGACGTGTCAATCTTCAAAGCCGCTAAAAAAAAGCATAAATTCAAAATTCATCGGAAGATTGGATTGAGAATTTGAAATGAGCTTTTGTCTATATTTGATTGAACAACACACCAAGGACACATGTTTTTGCTCTTTTTTCAACTCGTTATTTTTTTCACTTCCTTAATGTCATTGGTTTTAGAGACGAAATGAAATGGGGTGATTTGGTTTGGGTTCAAAAGTACTTTTTGATTTTTTTCTGGTTAGTGTCTAGGCTCATTACAAAAGTCATTGAAAGAGGGAAATCACCATATCCATAAGATCAAAATTTCAGAATTTTTTTTTGAATAGAATGCAAGAAAAATTTGGACCATTATTAATTTTTTGCAGTGAAATTTTGAAAATCCAACTCTTGACTAGTTTCTTCAAACAAACGTAATGACTTTCGATTAATTTTTTAGAAGAAAGTTATATTCTATATTTATTTAGATAACTTTTAACAGCAGCTTTTCATACACAGTTCGATGGCATAATTTTTTTTGTGTTTTAAAATTAGCACATTGCATGCTATTTCTTTCTGAAAATAATATTATCCACATTTTTTCTTTACCGTAACTCCAAAATTCCAAATTTGATTCACCCTCTCCAACTCATTAACCCCATTAGAAAAATGGATTTTCATCATCATTAGTTTTTTGCACTCAACTCAAAAAGGGTCATTACAAAAGTCATTTCTTGATTTTTTCAAAGCATGAGCCACAAAAAAACCATTTTCGTTCCATTAGAGTGCACTTTCTCCATCTTCACGCCCACATTGCCTATATAAAGAGATTATTTTATTAGTATTCATTTTTTCTGGGGATCCTTTTAGTTTTATAAGGGGTCGTGTTCAAACAAAAAAAAACAAAATTCAATTGACGCCTTTCCCAAGTGAATAACTCTCCGATTTTTTTTTCAAAAAAGGAAAAGTTTAACTTTACAACAACTCCTCTCTTTTTTCAAGGATACGTTTTTGTTAGTCATGTTTTTCTAATAAGCTCAATTTCTTTTTAAATAAATTCTCTCTGATCTACTTGGAATTGTCTATTCATTTTCTAACTCATATGAGATTAAGAGAGATGGTTATTTCTCCTGATTTCTTTAGAAATGAAAAAAATAGAAGAGGATTTTTTCAACAGCTATTTTTTTTACAAGATATGTATTGAAAAGCATTCTCTTTATTCTTAGAAAAATAGAACCTCATATGAATATTTCGTTTTTTTCAACGCATTTTTCTTCATCTCTCTTTTATTTTCTCAATTTTCTAGCTAGCGTCAAAAAAGTTTGATTTTGTTCGGCGGGCATCCCGTCTGTGGTTTCCGATATACCAATTAGAAAAGAAACATCATTCGAGTCACAAAGATCGGTTTTTTTGTCATTCTTCTCGCGTCATTTCTTGTCTGTTGTTATTGAAATGGCGCTAAATTTGAATATGGTGAGTTATTGGGCAGGAAATATGTATTTATTGATAGGTAAATATGGGTAACAATCTAATGGAATGTTGGGATGTGTGGGAAAATATACATATTTTTGGACGAAAACTTGTAGTTCTTTTGAAAAAATATTTCGTTTTGTAAAACTGTGATTATCAAACGTTTGGTAAACCTGTCATCAGTTTCTGTAGTGATTTCGAAAAGTTTTTTTTGTGATTGAAAACTCTGAAAAATTTTGAAACAATCTGCAGCTGTATTTTCATTTATAAATCTTTTCTCTGAAATATTAATTTTTTCAAGAACTTTTTACTGTTTTTCAACTCATGAAAACCCTGGTTTTTATAAATGAACTTGAAATGATATTGAAACAAAAATATGTACTCCCAAAAAAATTCAGCTGCATTATACTTTTAAAAAATTATTAGATATTGAAAATGTCACATCTGAAATTCAAAAACGAAATCAAATCATCATTAGTTTTAAAATCTTCAGATAATCAAATGCTTCTATTTTTCTGTAATTTAATGTTCATCTGAAAGGGAGCTTTTTCACATTAATATTATTCTCAAGGATCCAACAAATTAGCAATAATGTGCATTTGATTGAAACAAAATCCACGAGATCAAAAATTGTTAGTGTCTGGAACAAACTAGCTGAAAAAATTGGCCAAAAAAAAATCGGGAAGTAGAAAAAAGCTCAAATTTCGAGCTTACTTTATATGTATATTTACACACACACGCACAAATTACGTAAAATTGTCGATTAAAAAATGCAGATGTTTTTTCCTCACTTATGTATGTGTTCTTTTTTTTTCCATGAACTATTCGTGTGTTTTTTCTTCTTTTTTTCTTTCTACCTACAATTTTTTGTCGGACATGAACATAGAAATAAAAATATTTTGTGGTCTTAAAAATAGAATCCACTTTCATTAGTTTATTTTTATTTTCATTTTTTCGAATTAAAAAAATAATATCCAAATATTTGGAATGAGAGCGAAAAACAAATCTCTGGAGGATTTTTTTGTTTTTTCTGCTCCTCAAAAGAATTTAAGAAATAAGAAGCTGCTCCTATTTTCGTTGTGTTCTCTGCAGAAATTTCAAGCAACCTTTTGTCTGAAGAACTTTGACTCGCTGAGAAAATTTTAATCTGATATATATTTTAGAAATTCTGAAAAAGAAAAAATGTTGAACTCAAACGTCGGGGTGAAACAGTAACATGAAGTATTAAATTTTTGCTTCAAAATGTCCTTGAGGACACAATTTTTCATAGAAATTCTTGAGTTTTTTTCATGTTCACAAAAAAAACTACCAAGAATTAAAAAAAATGAAAATTACTCTATTGTGGAGTATTTTTCGGCTCATATGAGTGTTATTATTATTATTATTATTATTTCCCTTTTACGAATTTTCACCTTTTTCTTTTTTATTCGAAAAAGTCGGTTTTCTCATATTTTTCATTTTTTCATTTCATTCAAGAAAAAAACGATGAAAAAAGAAGAGGCAGAGGGATTTACGCTGTTATTATTTTCCCAAAGTTATCCAGAGGATAAATATATATTTCATTATTTATAGCTTGACGTAAAAAAAAGAGAAAAATAGCAATGAAAATGAAAAATGAAAAATTAGCAAAATATGCTATGAATTCCCACGAGTTTCTACAGATCATTTTACACATTTTTCTTTTTTATTCTGCTTTATATTCATTTCTGGAATATTTACTTTATAATCTCTAATTTTCTTTTTTTTTCAACATAAATGTAGACATTCCATTTCAATTCAATCCATCTCAAAAATTAGATTATGTCAAAAACAATTTTTCCTGTTGGTTTTTCTCATCTCCGAACATTTAATATGTGTATCTAGTAATAATTCATTGTTTTTATTCATTTTTTTTCAAGAAAAAAATCAAAGAGCAAAACATTCGAAACTAATCCCAAGAAACTGGAAATTGATGACTCTTTTTAGTTTTTCTTTTTTTCTCGAACAAGATTTGAGCAAGTTGTGACGTGGAAAATTATAGGTTGACTCAACTTTGTCAAGTGCTGGGAAACTTGTTTTTCTAATTTTTAATTCAATTTAAAGGGTTGTTCCTCCTGATGAAGAAATTGTCTGAAAAAAGTCGTCACAGTGTTGCGCGTATGTCTTTTTTCACACACAAAATCTTTAAAAATGAGATGTTTATTAGAGCGCCTTATTTTGTTTATTTCTTGCCTATGTTTTTGAGGAAATACATGGGATCTACTAGATTTTTTTCTGAAATTGGAACCTTCCAGGAGCACCTTATTTCTATCGATACCAACCCTTTCATGAAAACTTATGTGAGAAAGATTAAATAGTTAATGTACTTTGAGTATTTTTGAAAAACATTATGAAAAAGAGAAAAGTATAAGGATTACCGTAATCTAATATTGAGATTTTCTTGAAAATCTTCAGTTATTTTGAGAAATATTATTTTTCCAAAATCGGTTTTGTCTTTTCACGGTTTTCTGCATATTGAAATATTCATCTGTGATTTTCTCCTTTGTTTAAAAATAGTTTAAAATTTTAAGCTGAAGTCATAAAACTAAAACTGGGTTTCTGTCTCATTTTTTTAAATGTAAAATGAAAATTCTCACTTCATCTCAATGCTCACTAGGACTGAAAATTCTTTTCTAAAAAAAAAATTTTTTTCTCGATAGCATCAAGAAAACAAAAACACATCAAATTAAACTCTAACAAAACCACCAACACAAATTCCTTTAATTTTTCCTCAAACCAACTTGTAAATTTCGCGTTAATGTCACAAATTCTATCTTCCAAGAAACGAGAGACAAAAAACATGTTTTAAGAGCAGAACCCCACGGGATGTTTTGAGTGTTTTCTAATTGTGTTTTTTTGTTTCTTTTTCCTTTCTTTGACTCAAACAAGGGCGTTTCTAATTTTACGTATCTGGAAAATAGAAAGAGGAAAAAGCACACAATTTTGTTCTTCTTCGTTTTTTTTCCATTTTGGTGGCGCAAAGCAATTCAATTGTTGCCCTTTTAAAAGTCTACACCTTTTTATTATTATTTTTTGAGAATAGAAGCTTTCAAAAATTGAACACATTGAATTTTGAAGTACTGATAAATTTTAAGAACTTTGTGATTATTCTATGATATTTAATGAGAAAAAAAAAATATATCCTCAAATTTTGGAGCTCTCAAGTTCAAAACGAGGGTGGAGCTCAAATTAAGGTATGATCAGAGCTTTCAAAATGTTGATTCTCCATTTGACCCTCGTCGAATGATTTCCACCAATGTTAGGCTATTTTCCATAAAATGTTCAAAATTATACAATTCTCTTTTTTATTGAAAAAAAAACATTTTCCGAAAAAAAGAAGAATCCGAATCAAATAAAATAGTGATTCAAAAATCTCGAGCCCTTTATTCAACGCTTTTCAACCATAAAGATTTTTTTCTCCCACGTTTATTTTCGCGCCTTTTTCCATGTTTTTCTTCTATTTTTTCTCATCTCATCCCATTCTAATTTCATTTATTAAAAAAAAAAAGAAAAAAAATGAGAAAAGCATAATATTTGAATAATTCAAAGAATACACATAATAAAATTAGTCAACACATACATATGTACAATACACACAAAAAATACCCATTAACTAATTTCCTCGAGAGCTGAGAGCTGCATAGATCGAGAGCTCCACATTTTCATGATGCCAAAAAATACACCCGCAATTTTCCGCTTTTTGATAGGACCCCATTTTCCTGGTTTATAGGTGCCTTTTTGTCTTGTTTTCTCTTTCTCTCTCTCTTCCTATTTTTTGTTGTTGTTATTATTATTATTTTCTAGAATAAAACAAAGCATTTTTTACTGTTTCATACTTCAACCAAATGTGATTTGATTTGAATTGAATTTGAAACAATGCCACGATCTTCAATTGATGAAAATATGCTTCATGTCGATTGGTCTGAAGAGGTTTACTTTTTCTTTTTGCCTTGCTCATTTTCTGGTTGGTTGGAATAACACTTTATTTATGACCAAATTTAGTTTCGTTTCATTTCTTCCTTCTTCATTTTTCATTTCAGGAAAAAAACATAGTTTTATGACTAACTGAACTTGTCTTGGCTTTTTTGGATATAAAAATAAAATAAAATAACATGTTCAGGAAGTTGATGAAACATTTATAGGTGAATTTCGAACGAATTTTTTTGAAAAAAATGTGACTTACGGAATGATAAATGGATGAAAAAAACAAATATCATATTTTTCTGAAATGGAGATTTTTAGCGAGCTTGGTTTAAGCCGTATTTTATTGATTGCTAGACCTTCAAAAAGTTTTGTAAGTATTTTGATTTACTAGATAACTTCTGATTATACTATCTCTGTTGCAATATTTGAATTTGAAAATTGTAGATGTGAACTTTGAGATTTCGAAAAATAATATTTGTAATAAAAATAAAGTTGTCTCAAGGTTCATTGAATTTTTGAAAAACGAATAATCGTTATATTTTCCTAAGATGCATTCAACTTGGGGGGGGACATTTTTGCAAACGGGATTGTTTAGTTCAAGAAAAAGTTCTCACAAGTTACAGAAATATATTTTCAGTGGAAAACTATATTTAAAAATAAACAATTAGAATGTAATACAAAATGCGTGTCGTAAAATCTGCAGAAAAATCTCGACAAGAATTTTTTCAATGATCATTGTTTTTTTTAAACTGAGTTAGATCTTTAGATTTCATTTTTTCATTTTTTAAGAAGAGAACATTTGTGGAATCTTCTTTTTCAATGAAAAATTGAAGACAAAAAGTTAGACTAATTATTTTTCTATAAAACGAACCACCACAGTTTAACAAAACTCAATAACCATATTAGGAAACCGTGTAGGTTTAAAGTTCTCTTCATTTCTAATTTACATATAATTAGCCATTTCTTTTCCAGACATCTTTTCTTTCTTCCTGTTTTTATTTATTTTAAATGCGGCCGAACATTTTTGAATATTCAAAACACTGTGTGAGAAAAATCAAGAAATCAAATTTTTCCAAAGAAAAAGGCGATTCGATTCTAATTTTAAAACATTATTCGCTGACATGTGTCAGATTCCATAATTTTTCAATTTTTTTGTTTCGAAAAAAAATTATGTATCTACATATATGTATGCAAACACATAGATATATAAAATATGTGGGAGTTTATTCATTTTATTATCAAGAAATAGCGCGCACTGAAATCCGAAAATCGGTTTTTCAAGGATTATTTTTATATTTCGCATTTTCAAAGTTCTTTCCATTTATTTAGCTATCTAAATATGGACAAATTTTTTCATTTTTTTTATTTTTCCAAAAAAAAATTAATAAAATGAAATAATAATTTTCAGAAAATCAAAAATAATTGAACCCTAATTTTCTCACTTTTTCTAGAGGTAAAAAAGAAAAAAAATCTGAAAATTATCCCCCCAATCTAGATTATTTCACTGAAATATATAATGGGGCAAGTTCTTCAGGCCGCGCGTCTTCGAGCAATGGAAAATCGAACAGGCTCTGTTGGAGATTGCACAAAATTGGCAAATTATCGAGCTAATAAGCAGAATCTGTTCAGAAGAAGGTTAGTTGTTTTTCAGGGATACTGTATTTTATCTTTAGTCGATTTGAGAAATGTGGGAAAACAAATGGATAAATAAAATATTTTGTCTGATGAAATATGTGGGAAATTTTGAAATGCACTTTTTTCCGAAAATTTTGGTGTAATCATTGAAATTTACTATATTGTAAAACGATTGTCTGAGCGGTGTGGAAATTATGAAAATCAGGTGAAAGTTAAGGGTACTAGTAATCTTGGGAAATTTTGACTTAAACTTTTGAAGGTGTTACTAACAAGGTTTTTTGAAAATCTGGCACATTTTTTTGAGGATGCTCTAAATCTATTGAACAATTATAGACCTCATATTTTTCAAAATTGAAAAGTTTATAATTTTCGAATATTTTTAAAACCTGGTTTTTCAAAAAAAAAAAATTTAAAAACTATTTTTTATTCAAAAATTTTTCAATAAGATTTCAAGAAATTTTTTATAACACTGACTATTTGTTTTTATAATATTTTTTTCAACTCTGTAAGAAATTTTCAAAATTTACGATTATGTCAATTTTGTTTGAACATCATTAGCTTTTCTTGCAAAATCAATAAGGTTTGGCCTCAAGTTCTCAGAAATTCTCCCTATCTATATAAATTAGCCAAATCATTATTTCCTCTCAAAATTTTCTCATTTTTTCAGATCAACACGTCGTCGAATTTCCAATGCTCAACGACTTGCAGACTTGGAGGACTTTATCAACCGAAGGTTAGTTATTCCAGCGTTTACTTTCTCTAGAAAAAAAGCCAATAATTGCAATTACTCGGAAACTTGATATTTTGTGAAAAAACTGAACAAACATTTGTTTTTTGTTTTTTTTCTGATTTGGGTTCAACTGGATTAAAATAGTGATTTCATGGATAACAAAAAAGTTATCTGAAAAAAATAAAAATAGTAAATATGCATGTGGGTGAAAAATAATCATAATAACAAAAATAATTTTTCTCGTGGCTGCAACTGAAAAATATTCATTATTATTATTATGCTCTTCGATTTTTTATTGAACATTATACCGTGAGTTTTTGAAAAAAAAACGTTCCCATTCAAAACTTTTGTAACGATCTAATCTCGTATAATTTTATTGGTCAAAAAAACGAAAAACTCTTATACATAAGGAGAAAAAAGAAAGATGTAATTGGAAAAAGACTAGGACTATGTAACAAATATGCGTTTTTTCGTGCATGTTTTATAGATTTTTCTATTATTATTTTTTATTCGAATGCCTTCTGCTCATTCATCCGGATCGCACTTTTTATTTTTTTTCTTGCTCATGTTTTTTTTTGGATTAGAAAAATGAATAAAAAAAGAAATTTTAATCTTTCTGCTCTATTTTGACAACAATAGAAGTATTATCTTATCTACGTAAACATGTATTAAAATATCTTTTTTTATGAAATGAAAACATATACACACATATATATATACAATGTTTCAAGAAACTTCTCACAATTATTTATAATTATTGATATTATATATTTTGTTTAACAAAAAAAGTCTTTACTTTTCTCACAATTATCTCAAAATTGTTATAAAAGTTGTTATTTCTTTATATGAATATCTATAATATTCAATGATTGCTAGAAAATATAGACCTAAAAGCTATAGAAGAATTGAATGGAAAAGCCCTGGAACTTGTAAGAGGTGAGAGATTTTGGATAGAAAATTTGTTGATCAGTTTTTGGTGATAGAAAAATCAGCTGTTTCAGAAAAAATAACTAGTTGTTTGATTTTTGAAGAATTATTTTTCTTTCGTTTTGATTGTGACGAGAATTGTTCAGAAGTTTGTTGGAATAGAAATTCTCTGTATTTTGATGTTTTAGTCACAATATTTGAATTATTGCTCAAAACTTCCAACATGAGATTTTTTTGGAACTTTTAATGAGCAAAAATATAAGATCTCACTGTGGTCGGAAAACTATCTTCAAAACTTCAAATTTCGTTCAAAAGTTTTAAAATTGTTATTAAATTTTTTCTGAACGCTGATATACTGCAATTTTACAAAATTTTAGATCTAAAAAAGTCAACTGAATATACTTATGTAGACTGAAATGTAACCTGTCATTGACGAAAATTTGTGATCTACAAAACTTTCAAATTTTGATGTCAAAAGTTAATAATATTCCCAATCTATTATTTCTAACTTTCAAATTTTCCCCAAGGAAAACCACATGCATAATAAATATATATTTATTTTTATTTTCTCGAAAAAAACTATAAATTTTTATTTTCCGGTCTTTTTTTTTTTGAAATTTGAACTCACTGAAAAACAAAATTCTTGAACCGTATAAAATTTTCTCATTCTTATTCGGCGAATTTTTGTTAGTGTGGTGTGGTGGGGCCCAAAAAAACACAAAAATATCCAGATTAATTTTCCAGCTATGTACATATACATAGCCTTGAATGAAAAAATGAAGACGACAAAAAAAAACAATAGGAAGCCCAAAAAAAGATGTGTATTTTTTATTTGTGCATATGTCTGCTCACTCTTACTATTTTTCTCGTTTTTTTCGCCAATGTGTGTATGTATGTGTGGCACAAAAATTTTCACGTAATTCCATTTTTCTTCTTTTTTTTTCTTCGTCGTTTGCTTTTTTTTAGATGCTTCCTTCTTTTTTGGTGTGTATGTGTTCACCAAGGAGACCATGTTTTTTCACGCGTTTTAGACCCCCGAAATTCGCTTTCTTCTTCTTGTTTTTTCTTTTCTAAACGTTTCTTTCTCTTTTTCTCATTTTTTTCTGAAAAAAACGAAATAAGTTCCTTCTTTAGAGAACAGAACATGATCAAAAAATTCAATTTTGAAAAAAAAACGCTTTTATATGCAAATGAGAAAATTTTGAAGAAAATGAACGAGGTTTCCGAAAAAAAAAAGGAAAATAAATTGAAGTTGGAATTGACAATTTTGGACTAGAGATTGGCATAAAATTAATTTTCTAGTTTTAAACGGAGTTTTATAGCCATAAGAATTCAAAAAAAAAACAATCTTGAGTTCAAATTTCTTTTTGAAAAAAATATTTTGTAATTTGTCTGAAAGTTGTTGAATGAGAACTCAAGTTTGAAAATTCATTTTCTCAAATAACTCAATCAGTAATTAGCTTTTTTGCTCTCTAAAATATGTTTCTCGAAAATTTATATCGTATCATAATGAATCTATGTTGTTTCATTCATACTATTGTTCAATAATCAAAAAATGTCAAAGGAGAATCATAGCCCAATTTATTAAATAGAAATTGAGAATGTATCCCGCTCCAAATCCAAAAATTTTCAACATTTTCATCATTTCAAAATTTCGAACAATTTGTAGTGGCATTTCGCGAAATCCGTCCAGCTGAAAAAAAATTGTTTGATTATATATTTTTTTCTCTTGGAAAAATAGGTGTTCATAAATTTATAGTCTTATATTTTTGACTCACTTTTTTTCTGAACAATGATTCCCTAGTAGATAACTCTATTTTTGTTTTTTTTTAGCCAATCTGATTTTCTTCTTCTTTTTTTTTTTCATTTTTCAAAAAAAGTTGACTATATATAATATTGCGAAAGAAACTGAAAAAATAAAAAATTCAAAACTTTTTTGATGAATGAAGGAGCAACTTTTTTCCAATTTATTTAGTCTACTCGCAACAATATTTTTTATATTTCTCTTTTTCTTTTCTCCTTTTTTTTTCTTATGCTTTCTGTCAAAATTTGTTTCTGACATAGAAAAAAGTTCTAGAAAACAACAAGAAAATAGGGATCGCGATTCTTGCTTGCCTGAAAAAAAAGACATGCACGCAATAACAAATTAGACTCGTCCTGCCTAGCGAGACACAAAAAAAAACATAAAATAAAATAAAAAAGATCTTCTTTGACTCTTTGCCTTTTTTAAGTTCTTATTTTATTTTCATTCTTATTTTTTGTGTTTTCTTCGAACAAAAAAACACAAGATTTTTCATCTCCCAATGGAGTTTATTCACTCTTATTCTTTGTTTTTTCTCTCTTTTTCAAAAAAAAAAAGAAAAGTTCTGAAAAATCAATTTTTTTTTTGGAAGATACTTACTCCGAAAGGTTGTAATTAACTTTTTCCTCTTCCTCCTACACAAAACTCTTTTTTTCGTTTTTATTGATTTTTGTTCTGTTTTCCTGAAATTTGACCCAGAAATTTAAATGACAACAAAAATATGAGTGACGTTTCATTAAAAATTCTGAAATTGTTTAACGTTCTTGAATTCTAGAGTTAACATAAACATTGACCAAGCACGGTATAAGTTAATTAAGATAAAGTCCAATAATTAGGTGCTTCTAACTCTATAGGTAAGCTAAGCATGTTATTAGTTACTATGAAATTAGTTAAAACTAATCTGATATTTCGGATGAGTCTAACTCTCTTACTTAGGCTTTATGCCTGCCTGCCAATGGTGCTCAATGAGAATGTTGAATATAGGCTCTGAATATTGTGAAACCTTTTTTTAGTATTGAAAGTTATGAGCCTGAATGTAACAAAGAAGGTTTAGCCTAACTTAAGGATAAGAAAATAATAAAGTTTAGCAAACTATCTTCAAATAACAAAGTGATCAATAATAACCTTACGTCAGAATTTGTAAGACCACGCCTTGCAATTCAATCAGTTAAGGCCCAGTAAAGCCGATAAGCCAAAATCTCACAAAATTATGAAGCCTTGCCAAAAATTGTGAGGTCAGTTCTAGTTAGACCCTTTTTCATGCATTTCTTGCTATTTTTCCAGAAATTTGACCCTAAAAACTTGAAATGACAGCAAAATGATGAACGACATTTCATTAGAAATTCTATAGTTTCCTCTGTTCCATTTCTTTTTTTTATTTCGCTGTTCACATTTCCACGTTCTTTGAAAAAAAAAATTGAAAATTCATAAAAAACGCCAAACAAAAATTCATAACAAATTTTTGGCTGTGATGAATGAATGGTATTAGAGTAATTTGTTTTATGGCAATTGTTATTGAGAAAAACGAGCGAAAATTCCAAGTATGTTTTTTTGGTCGGAAATCATATTGGATGTAAAAAATAAATATAAAAAAGAAAACAAATAATTTTTGGTTTATATTTTTCACCTGAAAATATTGCTTGTTACTTTCATAGAAGCCTTTGAGTGTTTTTATTTCAGAGAATTTCGCAACATTTTTGGAGCTGAACAATTTCGAAATCTCATTTCGAGAGGGATATAATTTTGATTAGAACTGAAATTCAAGCATGAAATTGAAATTGAAATTGAATTCATTTGAAATGGTAGAAATTTAGGTTTTCATTCGAGAAGGAATCCAAAATCAGGATTAAAAAAAATTTATTTCAAAAATTCACTCTAAAATTATATTTTTGAAAATTTTTAGTGGTTTTTTTTCTGCTTGAAACTGTTCTTAAAACGGTTATCTCAATTTCTAAATTTCGTAATTTCTCAATTGTCAAAATCATCTGTAAAAACTCCAGCTCATACGGCGTTACAAATCTACTGAAAAACCATGTCGGCCGACACGGTAGTCGGTCAAAAATTCGCAGTCGGTCAACGTTTTGTGGCCGATCACGTGGGTCGTGTGCGTAATGCTCAAGCATGGGCAGGTCGTCAAATCAATCGAGCACAACAATTCATTCGCGAGTTATCGGTGTCACAAACCGATCCGCGTGACGTCTATTATCAGTAAGTTGATTATCCCGCACAAACACACACACACAATTTCCTAGCGGAAATGAAATTATTATAAATGTTTTTGTGTGGTTGGTTGGATTGTTATTCCCATGAAGAAAACATTTTTTTTGGAGGAGACCAAAGTGATTGTGAATTCATGGCTGACATAAGTACTTTTCACTTATGAATTAGTTATATCCTTTTTTCTTAACTAACTTTTTTTTCGCTATTGCCAGCAAGCAGGTGATATATGAGAATAACAAAATTTATATTTTTCATATACATATTATATCCAAAATCGATTCAGGAGCTTTGAGATACATATATTTTTCGAGTAGTAGCACACCACCCAACTAATTAAAATGAAATGATTTTTTGAGACCCCTATGAGGAGAAGCAGTAGTAGTTTGCAACAACAACAAGCAGCACACACACACACACATACACAAAAAATTCTCGTTTTTTTTCGGAGGCGGGGCTGGCATCATCAGCATCATTTCCATCATATGGAAAGGGGAGAACTCCCTCTCTTTTTACCTCTTATTTACTAAAATATTAAAAAAGCGGCTAGATTTGTTGCGAAATTAACATTTTTGTTAATTTCTATAACAATGATGAAAAGATCTACGCGTAGACGAAGTGCTAAACTTCGCCGGAAAAAATTGTAAGTTTTGTTGAAAGTGGATTAGTGGGAGATAGTTAAGGGGTTCATAGATTCTTGTAGATCCTTATGTCCAGGAAGACGCTCATTGAAAACTGAAAATCCTTTGAAAAATTTTCTAAAAAGACAAGATTTGATGGTAAAAAATAACATTTCAGTTTGAATTTTGATTCATGAAAAAAAATTGTGTTCGTTGATACATTCCGCATATTAATTTTTGACTTAAAAAATGATCTCTCTAGTCAAAAATTATCGTTGAAACCAAAACAATTCGTCTTGTTCAAAACGTAGACAAACTCCAGTAATCCAGTTTTTTTTTAAAGTGCGTCAAGGAAGTCAAATTTTCTCAATAACTATTGTATTATTTCCAAAAGAAACATGTGATTTTCGAAAATCTCATTTTCCTCTCTTTTTTTCTGTGAAAAATAATATAGCTGAAAGCAAAATAATGTGATTTTTCAACACAAAAAAGAGAGAAGCATATATGACAAACATATTTAGCTTCAGAATATAATATATCTTAAGTAATTGTAAATCGAGACTTTTTTCAGAGTTCAAGCATCTGATGGCAATTTTTTCGAACGTGTAACAGCGCCAAGTGATACTGAAACTGGTAAAGAAGACGAGTTATACACTATCAAAAATTTGAGTATAAATGGAGATCGAGCTCAGATTGAGGTTAGTTCATTAAAGCAAAACGAAGCAAAAAAAGGTGTCAAATTGCATTGCTCATATTACAGGCACTCTATGTTGAGGCGTTATACACAATCACGCATAAACTTGGTCAAGGAGATGCTGAAGAAAGTCAAGAAAGTTTGTATAAATATGTGAGAAATGCATTTCAAGGTGATACTCAATTACACAACTCATTGATGGAGAAAGCAAAACAAAGCAAACCGCCAAGCGTTTTGTTGAATGTGGCGCTTTTGGAAGCAAGAGATTTGATTGCTAAAGATGTTAATGGATTTAGTGATCCTTTTGCAATGATGGGAGTTGTACCGGGAAGACGAGAGGGTCTGCAAGAGAAGGCTGAAATTTGTCAACAAGAGGAAGAGGATAATAAATCACCTAGGAATTTGGTGGGTGTTGGAAGGTGTTAATTTTTTTTTCAAATATCTGAAAAAAAAGTTTCAGAAGTTTCCACGTGCAAACCTTTTTGAAAACTTCTTTAAAAAATGTTCTTTCCGTTCATTTTTTCAGACATTTTTTTTCTAGAATAAAGTTTTAAATTCAGAATCACCTGTTTAATACCGGAAAATGTGATATGGCAGTATTTTTTTCTGAAAATTACTCTCCGACATTTGTTTTCAAATCCAGTTCATAAATTTTGGAATCTGAAAATATTTTTAGCTAAACTCGAACACCAAAATATTATTTTTTTTTCAATTAACCCTTCTCCGAACTCCCCCACAAACAAACAAAATGACGTAGAAAAAAGTGCAAGTCCCAAAAATAATTGTTTTTTTTTCATACTTTTTCACTTCTAACCCACATAAATATATAATTTTCAGCACAAAAAAGATGGGTTGATGCATCGATTCGGCGGCTCATTTCGCCGAAAAGTTGGACCAAAAAAGGGTAAACAATCGGATTCCGGAACAATTCCAGCGAAATTGATCAAAGCAAGTTCGGTTCAAAAGAAAACATTGAATCCGCGTTGGAATGAAAGATTTCAATTGGTCGTTGAAGATGTTCAAAGAGATCAATTTCATATTGATATTTGGGATCATGATGATGAAGAACAATCCGTTTTGGATGCCGTTTCATCATTGAATCAGATTTCTGGAGGTTTCAAGGGTCTTGGAAGATATTTCAAGGAAGTGACACAAAGTGCGAGAGCAAATTCAGATGATTGTACTGATGATTTTCTTGGATGCATCAACTTGAAACTCAGTGTAAGGATAAAAATATATGAAAATTATTATAATTGGTTATAGAATTTCTGTGTTTGAAAATTTTTTAGACTATTCTTTTTATTCCAGGAAATCCCACCAGACGGAATCGATCAATGGTTCACTCTCCAACCCCGATCCGACAAATCCAAAGTCAGCGGTCAAGTAAAACTCAAAATCTGGCTTTCCACCAAAGAAGAAGGCCGTGCAAATGAAGATGACGAACTTTTGGATGTCAAGGAACACATTGAACTTCTCCGCCAATTTGCTTTGTATGAAATCCGTCAAACTGGTCAACCAGTTAGATTCTGGGATGGAGTTTATCCAGAAAGAGCTATGCTCATTTTGAGACAACATGCAATTCAAGGCGATTTGACTGATGTTCATACCGCAATGTGGTTTGTTATTTCAATTGTTTTCTTTGAAAATTTTTAAAATTTCTAGCCGCTGGCTCGCCTTCCATTCAATGATTCCCATCGACATATCTTTCACGTTACTCTACAAAACTCTTCAAAAAGTTATTGATAGATGGCAACAACTCACATTAGACAAGGTTAATTAATATATTTTCACATTCTAATCGAGTTATCTCAATCATCGAAATTTCAGGAAGAGGAGGATATGTTGACTGATTCATTCTCATCATTTGACTCATATTGTAAACGTATGATGATTGAACATCGCGAAAAATTTGCGCCGAATAAAAGAAACAGCGGGGAGGAATTTTCGAGTTTGATCAAGTAGGGAATTTTATTTTTGAAATAGAGAATATCAAGGAAAGTGGATTTTTCAGGTGTATGAAAGCATTGAGAGATTCACCGTTCTATCAAAAATATTTGCCATATAAACGACCATTCCATGCACATATTGAATCACTGATAGTTGTAAGTTGGAAGAAAATAACCCAATATTTTGAGAATTGAAAATACAATTCCTAATTGTATTATTCCAAATATACTTCCGAATATCACATTCTTCATTTCCAGAAAAGTTCCGAAGAATTTATTGATCGAACAATCGAAGATGTTCAAGACGAGGATCCTTGCAAAGAGTTGCTCAAACTTCTCAACATTATCAATACCCAATGTGCCAGATTCCTTCATTATGCTGCAGTGATTCGAGAAGTTGCTCGAATTGATTATTCTCAATTAACACTGAGCACTTTCGATAAGATGGTAAAAGATTTCAAGATTATTTTTTGAAAAACTTTAGTTTCTAGCTCACTGAATATCTGACGTCTGAAATGATGAGTGAAAAAAAGATGGATCTCAAATCTCAAATGCGATTATCAGCTTCACAAGATCCACCAAATGAGGATGATTTGATTGATCTTATGAAAATTCACATGGCATTCGTAGAACTCAGGAATTATCGATTAGCAAACAGAGTGTGAGTTTTTATCGATCACGAAATAAATATTACTTTCAGTCAAATGGTACTAGAAAATAATAATAATTTTTCAGGAGAATCAAGGATGAGTCAGAATGGTATGTGATTTTCCATCGCGGTATCAAAAAATTCCTCGAAGTTGCAAAAGAAAAAGCGCTAGCTCGTATAAATCTTAGTTGCCAATTAGATATGCCAATATCAACTTCATCCAATGATATGCGTCACTCAAGTAGTCATATTGATATCTGTCACATTGTTGAGCAACTCACAGTATTTTGGGAGAGAATTGATATTATTGAAGTTCCATTGAAAATTGAGTATACAAAACTATTGGTGGATTATTTGTGCGAAATTGTTACTGTTTATACACAGAAAATTATTGGAAATTTGGAGACTGAAGGTTTCTCACAAGAATTGCAGATTTTTGTTCCATCACAATTGTTACAATTGGTGAGTAGAAAATATAACAAATACTATCAAAATCATTTTCAACAATTAGTTAACAATTTTTTTGAAACTTGTAATCAAAAATAAGTATTTTTACAGTTATGCGCTGCAATCAATAATTGTGAGCAAGTTAGACGAAGTCTCATGATTCATGAGAAACTACACCTTGATGACATCGCAATCGCCTTTGAACGTGAGAACCATGTTAACGTAAGTTATTTTCCTACCTCATTTTTCGACAAACATATTTTTATTTCAGGGAAATGCTCAATGGAAATCCGAAATTGAGAACAAATTGGAGCAATGCGACATCAACATTTGTTCAGAAATCGATAGAATCATCGACCTTCTAACCGGTCGATTACTTCCACAAATGAAAAAACATGTTTTCCATCTTGCGTGGAGTCCAGCAGCTCATCCAGTCGAAGACTCACTCAAACCACTCACTGATATGTTGGATATTGAATTGTCAGCAGTGCACAAAAATTTGTTGCACAAAAATTTTTTGAGAATTATGAGTGCGCAAGTTGGAACAGTTGTAAAATTGTTGAGAGAATGTGTTGATGAAAATACTGGAATGGAACCAGCATTTTATCATAGATTGTTTGAGGCTTGGCATGTTTTGATTGACTTTTTCCACGCCGGTGGAAAAGGTTTGTCGATGGAAGCATTAGAGACAAATCCAGAGCATGTGGTGAGTTTTTGATACAAAATTATATTGTAATAAATTGAAAACGCAACTTTTCAGAAACTTGTCAAAATTCTCTCAATGAACCAAACATCAACCGAACAACTTATCGAAAAATACTATAAAGATCTACTCAAACAACAGGTATACTTTTTTGCAATTCTCTCAAAGCTCATTTTCAGATTTTTCTTCTCTATCACTTTGTAATTAATTTTCATTAGCTTCTTCGAATAGTTATATTTTAAAAAAACAATCACAAAAACACTCTTGTTATTGGTTTATTTTTCAATTTCCGCTTCTTTTCTTCAACTTTCATTTTATTTTTCTGCACATTTTGCACCAAAAACGGTTTTTTTCATTAAAAACCCCACACATTCAAAAAAAACCACACACTTTTTCACTTTTCACCATTTTTAGGCGCTTGCTGATCACCAATTCGGAGTAAGTTGCTGGTAGTTAGAATATAGTTTTCCCATATGTTTCAAATTTTTCGCCAGTTTTTCTTTTTTGTTTTTTTTCGTAAACATGTGCTTTTTGGGGCTTGGCGAACGATTTGAAAATCCCTGCACTTCTCACAAGCACCATTTTATTTTTTTAGATTTCAAAAAAAATAGAACAGTTTTGTGCATGGCTTAGCTGGCTTTTTCATAAATTTATTGTGATAGATAGAAGCTCCTGTGGGAGTTTGAATTTTTAAAACGAGAATTGTGATAATTCTCAATGTTGGAATAGAGGTTATTTTTTATTTTTTCAGAACGAAGTTAGCGAATGTAAATATGGAATTATTAATTTACGAGCTTATTATAATGCAAATGCTCAAACATTGGTTTTGGATGGTGAGAAAATCGATTTTTAACAGAAAACCTTCAAATAAAAATTCTATGAATTTTCAGTTATTGGAGCTAAACAAATTATTGCGCTTGATTCGAATGGGTTGTCTGATCCATTTGTAGTTATCGAACTTATTCCAAAATTCCGATATCCAGCAGTTCCTGTGATGAAAACAAAAGTTGTGTCAAAGAGTTTGAATCCAATTTTCGATGAGACTTTTGAATTGTGAGTTTAAGAGTATTGAAAAAAGTAATTTACCAACAATTTAAATGTAATGTTAAGATGTGGGTTCTGGGGAAAGGTTTATTCATAGATATGCGTTTTCACAAAACATTTTTGGTGATCATTTCCACGGAAATATTTTCTGATCTCTCAAATTCCTAATTTCCAGCCACATTCCTCCAAACCCACCACCAACTGCAATGCTTCACTTTACCGTTATGGATCACGATTATTTGCGTTCCAATGATTTTGCCGGTGAAGCTTTCCTCGAACTGAATGATGTTCCAGGATTTGGTGTAACCGGCGGAAACACTCTCCGTCAATTCAATCTCATTTTGATTCAACCGGTTTCAAACAGTAAGTTTTTTTTCAATCAGAATTCATTTAATTAAAATAAACCAATCGATAATTTTTTTAGCCAAAGATGTGTTGGATGTTTTGAATAGTCGGAAAGAAGACAAAGATGCTGTTGAGTTCTTGCGCACCATCAACACTGTCTACTAATTATTACTTGAATTAAATTCCGCCCTTATTTTTTCTCTTACTCAAATCAAAAATCAAAAAAAAATTTAAAAATCAAAATACGTAGTATTTATTTGCACCGAAGTAGAGATTTCTTACGAACCAAGAAACATTGAACCAAAAACAAGAAAAATTTGCATAGATATATATTTTTTAATATAACTTTAATGCTGGTCTCTACGCTTTATAGTCATTTTGGCCTGGACTTTATTTAACTTTTATAAAAAGAAAATTGACTATACCCAAAAAATTGCAATCTTTAAATGTGTTATTTTTGTAATGATTTTCGAACAATTTTTTTAAATATATTTTTTTTTTATTTTCTGGATCTCGATAAAGCTAACTGTGAAATTATGGGAAATGTGTATTCGTATTCTGACAATGCAAAAAAATAAAAGGGGGAAAGGATTGCAGGTTGAAAAAAATAGCGCGGTTTGGATGATTTATAGTGGAGTTTTGGTTAGAAAACATCCCTAGGCCCGAAATTTTTTGTTTCACAAAAAATGTCTAGCACCTTTCGTCTGGTAATTTTTTTCTTGGAAAGAAAGTTCTAAAGTTTCTAAAATTTTTCAGTTATTCTTCTTTGATGAATTGTATGATTTTACAACTCCCGCTTCTCCAGGTTTAATTTACATATTATGCATTTTTTACAGCCAATTTACTTTTTTGCAATACCAATTTTCAATATAAACACATATATTTATTGCAGAAAACTGAACAGCCATTTTTCATTTTTGTTCCAAACTGTTCTATATTTATTCTGACAACCGGATTCACTCAATTAGGTTCGGAAGTTGTTCAAGTTTCCCAGTTTTAACCAAATGCATTTTTTTCTGACACGAGCGATGTTCGAAATGTCAAAAGTTTTAAGAGGTACTCTTGAAAAAACTCTAGGTTTTGCAATGCTCTAAAATCTAATTTCAAATTCAATTTTCCGAAATCTTGAAACGTTCAGAAATTCAATTTTTTTCCGGAATTTTTTCTGTCTTGATATGAGAATTGAAAAAATCCATCATTTTCAATATATATTTTTCTAGCTTTTCTGTATTTTCCTTTCACTTCAAAAAAGTTTTCCACCAAAAAAATTAGTAAACTATACTCTCAACATTTAGTAGGCACAGGTGCCTAACAAAAATTCATCCAAGCTCCCAAAAACTACCAGAAGCAGTGAGCAAAAGAAGATGAAGAAGAATCTGAGCAAAAAAGCGCACAGCTGTTCAGTTGCCACAATCATTGCCAAACTACAATCCTTCTTCATCTTATCTTTCTGCATCTTGGTCCCTGCATCTTTTCATATATGTTTTTTCTCATTTTCTTCGAATTTTTTGTCTGCCTGTTTCAAAAAATTTCATTTCATGCATGTTTTTCGTTTTCACATATAAATCAAGAAGAAAACGCGGAAAAAAATAAAACGGGGCGAAAAATGTTTAAAGTGCTCGGGCAGAAAACGGCGAGGTCGCTACCAATCGGGGCGGAGTCGCTACACGTTTCGGGCGACTGGCCCGAGGCTCTTTGGGCGAGCTTGGGGCGACTCGCCCGAGCGTGAAGCAACTTGCCCCGTTCTCGCTCCAATCCACTCTCTCGGAGGGTGTCCAGAAGCATTTTTCAAAAACTGTATCTATGGAGCAAAAGTAGATCTACTTATAGCTTTATTACCCTACATTTATATGGGCCATTTAATCAATGAATCACTGTGAAATCCCGAAAAAAAAAGCATAAAAACCATGATTTTAAAAATGGGCAAAAATTGTAGCGAGTTGCCCGGCACTCGCCACTTTTGAGGCGCGTTTGGGGCAACTCGCTACAAAACGAGTCTCGAAAATTGTGTAGCGAGTCGCCCCGAGCTATGTCGTTTTTTGGCCGAGTGAGCAGTCATAAACGCTTCACTGAATTTTTTGGGATTTTTTCTTTTCTGTTTTTTTCTATAAAATAAAATGAAAAAAGTTGATGGCTAGGCCTTTTCTTGACCATAATTGAATATTAATGGCTAAATATTATTTGAAGGTTTACGATGGTTGTATCTAGTATTCATTCGTTGTGTTGTTTTCTTATTGGAAAATAGTTTTTTTTGTCTGTGTAACAAGAAATGTAATTGACGTTTTTAGTTTTTTTTAGATTGACCAGCCACTAATTATTTTCGGAAGATAAGGAACATTCTAAATTTGTTTTGAGTTTTGATTTGTAGTGAAGAGCATTGCATTTGGATTGATCTACAGTATTTTTGAATTTTTCTAGAGGAAAATAGGTTTTTTGTGGTTTTCTGTTTATAGTTCTCTTCAATAAACATTGTATGTTCGCTAGAAAAAATGACAAAATAAATCAATAATTAGTTCACAGTTTTTTTTTTCAATATATCCAGATTTCACAATCATCTTATAATTTCAAAGTATAATTTTTCAAGAAAAAATATTAATTTTATTATTAAAATAATCAAATATTATCACTTTGCCTCAAAGGACCTAATCTTTGTGCTGGATATGATTATTCCATACGGTTACTGTAAGTTTTTTTGGAAATGAAATGCTTGTTTTCCAAAAAAAAACCCATTTTTTAAATCTACTAATTTTCTAATTAATAAATCCCAGCTCACTCTATCTTTCTTTTCATTTTACACCAATAAAATTCAACATGTTAATATTGAAAATATGAATAAAAAGTGTCAGTTGTAATCATCTTCAAAATACACAACTGCTCCCCCTCTTTCTAGTTTTTGCTTGCATCTCCAAAAATTTTGCTCCATTTGAATTTTGTAATATTCTCCTTCTCATCTTTTTTATTCGAACATTTGTTTCATTCATTTTCGGCAAATTCTAAATCTCAAAAAGAATTTGGAAAAAAGACATTAATGTTTTTCTCTTTACATTTTCCGGAATAATCAAACGCGGTTTCTTTTTTGTTGTAAATTTTTTGACTCATTTATCTAGATTTGTTCAATTTTTTCCGTTAGCAAAAAATTTTTCAATATTGGTTTAGTTTTGAAAAAAAGTGTAACAATTTTTAATAATTCGTATAGTAAGTTTTACAGGCAGGCGCCAAGTTTTATAATTGTTTTTGTAAAAATTATTGAGCCTGTTGTAATATTGTACTAAAGCTTTTTTTTTTTAATATTTTTTGCAATTTTCTTATGAATTTCAAATAGTTTTTTTTTTCAATTTTGCGAGCGGGGTAATTTTTCAAAAAAAATATGATCAATGAGCCAATCTGAAAAAAATCCGTAGGTTTTTCTGTGTATCAATTTAAGACGATTTGAAAAAAAATGTTCAGCACTCAAACTGACTTTTGAAAATTTGATTGTTTCAAAAACAGTTCAATTGAATTGTCAAATTTCGAAGTTACAAATAGTTATATAAAACAACCTGTAGTTTCAAAATTGTAAATTTTCGAGATTTATTTTTTTATTTGAAAAACATTGTGAAGTTCTCTAATGTCTATAAACGGATGGGAAAAATACCGCGCTATTTTCCTGCGTTATAGTCGTTTTTTTTTTTTTTGGAAAGGCAGTTATTCCATTTTCGCTTGCCCCTTTCGTGTAATCAGTTTGAGTCAGAAGCTCCATGGGTGGTCCCACATAGCTGTCTTGCCGCCTCTCAAAATGTTCATTCTAAAAATGACCTATTTGTAATGAAAAATGCATAACCTCTTCTTTTGTTTCTAATAGATTTTTTTTCATATGTTCTTTTTAACATTCCCCCTCTACTCTATCCACAAAAATTCAAAGTTGTCAACAATAATCGTTAAAATGTCTTCAAAAATTGATTATCTTGATCCACTCATTCCAAGACATGTGAAACACGTATCTTTTTTCTGCTTCCCGCCAATTTTTCTCACTCACTCACTTCTCTTTTCTTTCAAGCGTTGTTTTTTTATAGTTTCTGTGCTTTTCGCTTCTTTGTTTTTGCTCTTCGGCATTCATTTACACTGCCATCTCACACTTTTTAACTGCACTTTTGTTGGCTTGTTATATGTGTTTTCCGAATTTTCAGATGATTCAACATCTGATAGTCATCTTTCTTGGTGTTTTAGAAGTGATTTCGGCTCGAACACCAGCCGGACAGAATTTGATTTTTTATTTTAGTTGATGGGTATGGATCAACACTTTTGAATAATTCAAAACCAGACTCGACTTTTGGTAAGTTCCCAGAGAGTTTTGAAAATTAAAAAAAATCGAATTTTTCAGGTGTCCGACATTTAGCCACTAATGGTGTTCAGGTAGATTATGTTACTCCAAGTTTTCCAACACACACATGGCCACAGTGGATGAGTTTAGCAACAGGTAGGATATTGAAACAGTTTCAAACTGTAAGAAAAATTCATTTTACTACCCTAAATTGTTAGAATTCAAAATTAAAAAAAAATTTTGAGGTAGATCAAAAAAGTTTTTCTCTTAATCTATTATTTTGAACGCCCAAAGTTTGCCGTTCAATGTTTTCAGTTGTTTAAAAAAAGTTCACAGTCTACACAAAAATCACATGATTTTCAAGAAATTTGAGAATTATCCCACCTGTTGTTGTTGACTTTTCATTTCAATATTTCACTGAAAAACTGCCATTTCCAGCCGGAAACTCTCCAAAATCATGTGTGGGTGTTCATAAAAAGCAGACGTGTTCAGAGATGATCCATTTTCTTGATCATCATTATTTTTATTATCGATGTTAGTTTTCTGAAACATGTTTTCTCTCCTCTCGTCTCGTTGTCGTTTGTTTTCAAACATCACAGAAATGCATTACATAGTCTCCTGATAAATTTGAGACAAGAGCAAAAAATTTGATGAATTGAATATTCAAAAAGACACATGTTGTTGGATTGGGTTGTAAATTGAGTTTTTCGTGATATATGTATTTTCTGTGTGTTTCGAAATTTGAAACCGCTCAATGTAAGAACAAGATGTATACATATTTTTTCCAGGTTTATATACAGAGAATCATGGATTCACAGCGGATTACATGTGGGACTCACAAACAAATAAATCATTTGAAAGAGGAAGTGGTCCAGATGATCAAGACGATGTTTGGTGGAAGGATGCTAGAGCCCCATTTTGGTATACCGCTGGAAAAGCTGGTGTTGATGTGCATTGTTATTGGTTTGCTCATTGTCATGTAAGCATTTACTAGCAAGTTACCATAAATAGTTTTTGGGATAAAACATAGTCATTTTTTTCATTTTTTACCCGAGAAATATGACATTTAGCCTTTTTTCTGATTCCAGAAACTAGTCATTATATTATTATTTTATCCATATTTTTTGTAGAGAACATTCTATGATATGGTTGTTCAAGTTCCACCAAACCGATGGGCCAATTTGGATGATGAACATCAAACTGACAACTTCAGAGAGATTTTCCCAGAAATTATCAACAAGATTAAGAAGTATCAAGGTTATAAAAGACAGGTAAGATATTGGATGGAGAGAATACAGTAGTTTTTCATCTGAAAAAATTATTCGAATAAATTTCAATGCAAATTGACTCTTGGCCTACAGAAATTTCAATTTCGCCCATTTTATTTCGATATACTTTTCCAAAAAAAATGCTTGTTTTTTCAGATGTTCTTAATTCGCTATGCAAATATTGGAGTTGCCCAAAGAAAATATGCTCCAGGATCTGATGAGATTGAATCCGCCGTGTCACTTTTTGATCTTTACATCAATGAACTTCAGGTAACCTTCCCATTTCCCTCTCATCTTATCCCAACTCCAAATATACCCATATTTTCAGCAACAACTCGAAGACAATGATTTATTTTCATCAACAAATCTTGTTGTAATGTCTGATCACGGTTATACACCACTCAAAAAAGACGATGAATTTGTTATGGAAATTTGCCTCCCAGATTTTGCAATTGTCAAAAAAGTTGTTAATTCACATTCTATGGCTATGGTTTACACCGATAATGAAGACGCAACTACTGTGAGTTACACTAATTTGAAAAAAATAAAGAAATGAAAAACATTTTTTAATTATTCAGGCTCACTATGAATTCAGTGTTTGTGAGAGTTGGTCACCAATGGGTGATTATGATAGTGATGATTCACCCTTTGTTAAAACTCATAGTGTAAGTATTTTAATCATGGGCGGGTTTTGGATATTTTTTATGCGAAAATTTTAAAAATTTTAAAGTTTGAAAAAACTAAAGAATTTCTAGAAAAATTAATATGATTTTTTATTTTGAATCATCGAGTTCAGATTTTATTTTTAAAAAATTGTTTAGAAAAATTGTTTCTGGATAAAAAAAAGTAAGTGAACTTCTTAATTTCAGGTCGCCGAAATCCCAGACGATCTTCATTGGAAACATTCAGCTCATATGAGTGGAGTTGTATTGATGACAAAACCAGGAACAATTCTTGTTACAAAAGAACTGCCATCAGTCCCATCAGCTGCAAAACAATTAGTCGAACAAAAACAAGCATCAGGTTGGGACCCATCAGTTGAAGATATGAAAGCGATTTTCGTCGCTCGTGGACCAGCATTCCGTCAAAACGAGAGATTTGGACCAATTGAAACTGTTGATGTTTATCAAATGATCTTGAATATTTTGAGTCTTGAAGCATCTCATCCACATAATGGAACATGGGCAAATATTGAGAATATGTTAACGGAAGGATGGGAAGATAGACAGAAAACCGAAAAATCAGCAAATTCTTTTTCTTCTTTTTCTATTCTTTTCTTTTATATTCCTGTGCTTTTGTTGTCATTATACTCATATCTAGTGTGATTTTTTTGATTAGTTATTCAACTTCGATCCTTCAATGCATCCGTGATAATTAGTCATGTATAGGCATTTGTTTTCTTTTTTCATTTTCTTTCCCGGTATTAATTTTAACACATATGTATGTCACAATTTTTATTATCAATTATTGAAACAAAATAAAGTTACCTTGATCAATAAACATACATTTTTAAGGAAAATTTTGTTGGTAGTGGATCAAAACACAACAGAAAATAAATATTGTTAGAATAAAGAATCTTCGAAGTGTGGAATGGATTCAATGTTATTTACCCAACGCTGAACTTTTGAAATCCGATCTTTGTGATCGTTTAAATCCTCGCCAACATTGTCTGCTTCTGGTACTTCCACATTCTCAACTTCATCTTTGATAATTGGTCCTTGATTCAATTGCATATTGATGTGATTAATACCAACAACCATTGATTGATTTTGAAATTTTTCCCATTTTGCGATCGTTTCATACAATTGACCAGATTCCCGCTTATAAGCTTTAGTGTTATCAATATTTTGAAGTTTTCGCATCACATCTAAAAGCGAAAATGTTGCTTCCATTTTTTTATGATGTGGCATGACTGGGTTACTCGCAATTTCATTCATCAATCTATGAGATTTTTCCAGCCGATAACTTATCAATGTCTGAAAAAATATTACATAAAAATTAAAAAAACTACTCAATGTCAGAGAAAGTCTTGCTCGAACAGCGCGATTCGCAGACAATGTTCTCTCAATTTTTGTGTGAAATTCAGCGCGCGGATTCCGCGAAAAAAAAATTTGCGAACGGAGAAACTTTAGCCAAAGATAGTCAAAACATTTCGCAGAATGTTTTTGGTTTCGCGAACCGCGCTATTCAAGCCAGAATTTCTCTGATATTAAGTATTAAAAAACTCACAATTTGAAAACCACGAAGTGGAAATGGTAAAACATCTTCACATCGATCCATTTTGAAGCAACTAGTTGATAGGAGCAAAAAACTATCGAATGGTGCATAGGTGAGAATACAGCAAGCGATTAGAGATGAGAAACGCAGACATAATAAAAATATACATATCTCTTCCATAAATTTGGCGTGCATTGCCTTTTAGGAAGTGAAGAAAAACACATTTTTTTGAGAAAAAACAATTTTAGAAGAGTTTTCAACTTTTGGTTAAATCACGTGTTTTTTGTTCACAACGTTGGATTTTCTTGGACGTTCGCGAATGTATGATTTTTTTGGATCAACTTTGTTTTTGGGTCAAAATTGTAAGACTGGAAAGTTTTCCAGTTTCACAAACACTTCTTTTTCGAGCGAAAATTTATGATGTCAGTCTGAAATTGATATTATTTCTTTATAAACTTCAATTTTTCTGAATAATTGAAATTTTACAAAAAAAATACATTTATAGCAATGTTTTTATTTTCATTGATTAAACAACATAAAAATTTAAAAAATAAATAAAAAAGTTATGGATGAGTTCGTGATATTTTTTATATATTCGTATTTAACAGGATATTTTTTTTGGGATTTTATGACTTTTTTTCAGCAAAAAAATGAATAGATAATTGAGAGAAATTCTGTCAATATATCAAGCATTTCTTCTTCTGTTTGGGAAAAGTTCGCGCCAATCTCGTCTTAACCCAGGCATCGGAGGGATGCGAATCCATCGACGACCATTTTCCTGACCTTCTCTCTCTAGCCTTTCAATATCACTCCATTCATCAGATGGACCCCAGAAATCGTAGTAAAGATTGTCGTATACAAACTTTCCACAGGCTCTCAATTCTTCAAAAAGTTTTTCATAATTGTGGGCATAGGCATGAGTGTTATCAATCATTCGGAACTTTCTCATCAAATCGAGGAGATTGAATATTTTTTCCATTTTGGCCTTTTGTGGAAGTACTCGACATCCATGCATTCGATTTATTATTTCCTGACATTTCTCCAATCGCGAAGAAATTGCATTCTGAAAAACATGAATAATGTTTAATTTTGATAGGCTGAATTAAAGACTTTTTAAAATGGGTGCCCTCAACAAATATTGTTGTAAGAACTTACTTTTTGAAATGGGTCAAGTTGATGTGGTGGATAATTCAGATATTGATACGGAGTGCTAGAGAAAAAATAGAAGAATTGAAATACTTTCAAAAACGGCCCTTCCTCATAGTTGTTTGGTGGATATTCTTGTTGTGGATTCATTTTAGCGCAATTAGTTGATAGGTGCAAAAAAAAATGAATGACTAATAGGTAAGCGCATACCAATTGATGAGAGAGATAATAGACGCAGACATAACAAGATAGTTGGGACCCTGTTCATATTTGAAATTATGTGGCGTGCGTTGTTTTTTGGGAAGTGAAGTGACACCTTTTTCGGACAAACTTGGATGTTTTTAATAATATGGAATGTTGAAAACCATAAAAATTGTGTTGATTTTTGAAACGATTAACTTACATTTAGGAGAGATTTGACATATTGAGAACAGAATGAGATTGAGAGTATAAGTATTGTTTTATTAAAGAATACAAACATAAAAAGAGAGTTTTCGCAAAAAATATTGAAGTACAGCAACCTTTTTTGCGTTCGGAAAAAGAAGGAAGTCTAACAAAAATATTTTGAGATTTGAAACATTCAAAGAGTTCGAGAAGTTTGCTTTTGAGAAAATTGTAGTTCTTGGAGAACCAACAATAATTGAATTTGATTATAGCCAAAAAAAATATTTTTAGAATTTGAACTCTTGCATTTTTATTGGTTAAGATATGTATTCAATTGAATTGAGTAAACAACACCAAACTAGATTTTATTTTTGATGTTTCACATTTGGAAGGATATGCTTCACAAAAACCATTGTTTGTTCATGTTCTTTTGTTTATGCAGCTACTAATCTATCACACTAGAGTTACACAACATCTCGACCAAAAAGGATTTATCCCAGAAAAATACAGTAGCAAACAAAACAATCCTATTTGGCGAAAACATATCACAATTGTTAAATCACAATTTTCTCAAATCAAAGACGAAAATGCCAATAAACTGAGATGTTTTAACAGGAAATACCAAAAAGGCTCGGCTTCTCGATAAACTTTCAAGATGTGGCTTCTTACCACTGAATTGCTACTATGCTGACAATCATCAATCATGTTATAAATCTCATGTTTTATTTATAATTTTTGTGAAACTTGAACTATATCACTTAATGAAAAATAAAACACACAAACTATGCCATTTTTGTTTTGTTTTTGCACAATTGAAAAGCTGTGTAAATACTTGATTTGTTGAATTGAAACAGTTTAAAAATCAAATGAACAAAGCACATTCAGTCGAATGGCTACGAAACGATTAGATTTACAAGGAATACGTGGTATAGCTATTTTAGCAGTTCTTTGTTTTCATTTCTTCCCGAATGTGTTTCCAAATGGATATTTAGGAGTTGATCAGTGAGTTCAATTTTTCATATATTTTGCAAAACGATTATACTTCTAGATTTTTTGTACTATCTGGTTTTCTCATGTCTATGTTGCTTCATAGAAGTGAAACACATGGTGACTCAACCTTTTTACTAATATGGAATTTTTATGTTCGGAGATTTCGAAGAATACTACCCTTATACTATTTGGTCATATTACTATCACTTATTTTTCTACTTCAATATTTTCCGGATACTGCAATTGAAACTAATGAAGAATCAGCGGAAAAGGCTTTGATGTTCATTTCGAATCGAATGAAAACCGATTCAGAGAACTATTTTGAAATGGTTATTCAGTTAAAAAACTATAATTTAGAATACGATTTTTATGTTTCCAGTTGTCGATAGCTACTGACATTTTTACACACACTTGGTCCCTATCGGTTGAAATCCAGTTTTATATTCTGGCACCATTCATTTTTCTGATTCCTTATCGGTTCAAAACATTTATAGTTTTGTCAATTGTTAGTTTTTTATACTTTCACACTCTCCCGATGGATTTTGCATTTCTCAACGTTTTTGCTAGGATTTGGCAATTTTTATGCGGTTAGATTTTTAATTTATTATTTGAAACAAACTGATTTTCAAGGTATGCTTGCTTTCTCGTTCTCAGAAACAGGAAAACATAGTTTGTTGAAAACAGAAGTTGACGATGAAGACAAAGAAGATGATGATGAAATAATATTGCAAACCAAATTAATGACAATAATTGTTATATTACTAATTTTCAACCCGTTGAAGATTCCAGTGAATGTTTTGAGACCAATCATCACTTTTATAACTGGGAGAATTCTGGCTTTCTCATCTGGCAATGATACATTTTTATCGAATAGGCTTTTGACATATTTTGGAGATATATCATATTGTCTATATTTAATTCATTGGCCGATTTATTCATTTTGGAAACTAAAACATGATGAAAAATCGGAATATATTGTCATTTATTTGTTTTTCTCAATTATTCTATCAATTTTGATTTACAATGTTTTTGAGAAATGGTATATCAAAATTTCAAATACAAGAATTGTTATATTAATTGCATTCTTATTATGTATTAATATTTCAATTCTAAACAAAGATTTATTCCGAAAACAAGAACCGTCCGATGTTATAACCGAAGATATGACAATTGATGATGCAAAACGCTTCAATCATAAATGGACAATCCATGATACTCGAAACTTAATTCAAGATACTTGTGAATATGAATCAACTAAACCATTAGGATGGTGTAGTGAGAGAATAACCCAGAAAAATGAGAGTAATTATAAAATTATGATAATAGGAAATAGTTGGGCAGCAAATCATGGGAAACTCATTTTTCAAGAATGTGGATCGAAAGCTAATGCTATGTTGATTGGAGCAACTTATGGTAAACAGAGACACATCTTGAATTGTATTTTACTCGTTTGTTTTTTCAGCATGTGAGCCGTTATATCCAACTAGAAATTTGACAAAATGCTATAAAAACATAACGAGTTTTGTTGAACGTGTTAGTGAATTTAAACCGGATTATGTCTTCCATATAACTAGGTAAACTTCATCATGTTATCCGAAAAATATTCAAATTCCAGGCATATTTCAATTGGAAATTCTTCAAGTAAATCATCTGAATATGATGATGATTCGATATATCAATTCATGCTTGATCGAACAAGAATTTTAACACAATACATCAAAAAGAAACTATTCATTTTGAATGCGATTCCAAGATCCTATGGAAAAGAAATTTCAAAAATCGTAGATCTTATAAAAAACAATGAAACATTTGCTGAAATAGATGTGAGTCATTTTTTATCAATTTTCAAAAAAATGAAAGCAGAAATTCAGAAACATATTACCGATGAAACCGATTATTTATTGGCAAGAAAACGATATGCTCAATTAGTCAAAGATTGCGGTCCGAAATGTCAATTGCTTGATTATTTTGATCTGTTTTATAGAAATGATACCCAAACGTTCCGATTTTATGATGATCGAGGATTTTCCTATCTCACTGCTATCAATCATCTGTCACCATATGGATTGGAATACGTTAGAAATGTATATAGAAATTTATGTAGAACTTTATAACTTACCAAATTAATTTTGTAAATGACATAAACTATTTTTCGACAATCCCAAAATTGCTTCAATCTTTCAAGTGTTGTGTAAAAAGGTTCCACTGTGAAAAATATTCACAATCAGAATTTTAAAATAGAATTTATGTATCGGTTCAACGAGAAGTATGAACAAAAATGAACAAAATTGTGAGAAATTGTTGCATATGGAGGAAAAAAAAGAAAAATACTCAAGCGATAGATCCTGTTCATATAATACAAAAATCTGGGAACAAGTAGAAGTCACCCGGGGTGGAAAAAAGTTCACAATAAAGCAAAGCACAAAATCAAAGGGTAAAAAAGAGAGAATGAATAGGTCATGACAAATCACGAAAAAAACATATACAACAAGAAAAAAACGAATCTCTGGATGTACAATTTACAGCTCTAAAAATGGATTGTTTTGAAGTGGATGATCAGCATCATGTCGTAGAACTTCTACCAAATGTTCAATATATTCTTGATGTTTTTGACAATAGATATATGTATCCCACATCATTGTGCAAATTTCAAGATCACTGGTTGATGAGAGGAAGATATTCTGAAAATTGAGATGTTTCCGATGAGGTGGATTTTCATAATATTGAAAAACAAACTTTTGAAAGGGGAGCGGAGAATCGGAAAAACGGTGTTTCCAATGAATCAGCCCATTGTCGACATCTCGCAACTGGTGCACCTTCAGATGCTGTTGCCTGATCAATAAACATGGATGCCAAATTCTTGATTGTCTTTATCGATTGCAACGGCGAATTACTATCAATCGATAAAGTATCGATTGGTGTGCACGGTATTTGGCCAGTTCCCAACGACACAATACAATTTATCTCAACATTTTCACTGCGTTTTCCAGCCAATTGTAGACTCCGATTATAACCATGAACTTCTCCAAGTAAATCAAGAGCCGGATTATTCGAAATAATTCCTCCGTCAATATAACGATCTTCAGATGGTTTGAACAGAACTGGCGCAGCCGTACTTCTCCGAAGTGCCATCCATAACGGCATATCTTTTGGTGTCTCATTTGCAGTGACATCTGTTGGCTTGTAATTTCTGGCCATCTCTAGACGAACCGGCATTTTTTCAGAATTCACCGCACTAATCATCAATCTTGGGTATTTGATATCTGAAACTGCCTCCAATCCAAATTCATCTTGTATGAACTTTTCTAATTGAAGTGTGTCATATGGTGGAATATATCCATCAAAAACTCGATCTTTCAACATCAAATAAGTTTGCTGCATTTGTCGTAGAGTCTTGCCTCTTGCCAATCCAGCCATAATCAAAGATCCTGTTGAAGTTCCAGCGGACCAATCGAAATACTTGAAAATATCCTCTTTCAACACTTTTTCGATTGCAATAAGAGTTTGAATAATTACAAGTCCTCGAATACCACCTCCATCTAGAGAAATCAAATTGATCCGAGCTTTTTTGCCCTTTTTTGGTGACTCCAATACTCTCTGGATGTTTAATTTTTCACATGGATTCAGTTCAGTTTTCTCATAGTCTTCTTCGACGCCAATTGTGATAGTGGCTAGAAAATCCTCATGTTCGGTTAATACATTGTCAAATGCTTGATATCGACAATCGTTTCGACATCCTCGATATCCGCGTATACAACGTGAAGCTCCAGCTGCTTTGAGAACATTCAGCATGTCATTGCTGAAAAATATAATTTTTAAGATCGGGATTTCATCGTCGGATTCTGAAAAATGTTTTTCAAATTCCCATCAACTCACTTTTGTATACAAGCAGCAACGTGTCTTGGAGATTCACCACGATCATTCAATTTGTTTGGATCAGAGCCAGCAGCAATCAAAAACTTCACGCACTGAAAAATAATATTTTCTTACAAAAATTATCTCACATAACTCACATCCATGCTGATTTTTTTTGCATCAACAAGAGCAGCAGCTTTATGAAGCGCTGTATTTCCATGTGGATCGCTAGCATTCAAATCAGCTCCGTGTGAATATAACGTAACTAACAACGGTAGCAAATCTGGTTTTCTGGAGCTCATATATACCAATAAAGAAGTTTCTCCAGCTTTATTTTTTAGATTCACATCCAAACCTAATTCATGTTTTTTGTTCAGCAAAGCGTTCAACGATTCTTTGTAACACGCAATATGAATTGGACTGTTTCCAAGAGAATCACGTTCATGAACAATTTCTGGTTTATCGGTTAGCACAACTTCAACAACGCTGAAAGTAATATTTTGAATCTTACTTTTTAATTATCATTGATAGCGTTACCTTTGTGCATTTTTTGAAATCATAGCCAAAAACAATTCATTTCTATCGCCTCTTCCAAATTTGGCACCTTTTCCGATCAAAAAAGCAGTTACTAAAGCTTTTGCACTCGAAACAGCTTCTGATAATGGACTTTGACCCTCGTTATTTCTCTCGTCAATATATTGATGTGTTTCAGGGCATTTATCCCATATGCTCTGGAAAAAACATATTTACTTGTAAGATGTGCTAGATTTTCTAAAAATGGAAATTTGAGTTTTGATTAATAAAAAAACTTTCAACTCCTAACTTGAAGAACCACTTCTCCCAAAAAATCAAATTACCAAGAAAAACTCTTGTCTAGAGTACATCTATCTAAAAATAAAAACCTCTTCTCACTAAAAAATTGAAAAGTTTACCTGAGCACATGCACTGCTATTCACGTGATGCCAAACATTATTTCCCAACGAATCAGTTGCAACAAACAATTTTGGATCAATTTCCAAAAGTCTTTCAACAATTTTCACCCGATTCATAGCTACCGCCAAATGCACCGGATAACAATTTTCTGTATGACACAAACATCTCAATTGCTTCTCAAATGGCTCATCTTTTTCATTCAGTCTTGAAATCGATTCATCGGAGAAAAAATCAATACGATCTGATGCGATTGCAATATGAATCAACTGATAATGTGGTTTTGATCGGATTTGTGAGATAAGTTCTTCTATATTTCCCTTGGCACTACTACTGGTACATTCTGTAATAGTTTCTTGTTTAGATTAGTTTTTTGAGTTGAAAAAATTAGGAATATCTCTCGGAATTGTGAAAAAATGACATTTTACCAACCTAAAGTCTCAAATAAATAAGATTTCTTATCACATAAATGCAATAAATCCATCAAATCTCTTTTATCCGTTGCTCTTAAAATACTAAAACAAAATGCTTTTCTAGGCTCATCTTGCTCTTCTTCATTAACATGAAATCCATTAGGAGCATAAGTGAGATGGTAAACTTCATCACGTTGTTGTTCGTTTTCTCCATGTTCCCATTCAACAATCAAGAATTTCTCATTATCCACATCAGTTGGAACAAGCTGAAGAAAAAAAATTAATTTGTTTCTTCTTTTTTAGGTCAGAAAAAAAAGAACTGACGACATAGTGAGCGAGCATATCCCTGGGGAATGTACAAACTTCGTCGACTCGATTTGCATACCATGGTTTTTTCAACAATTTATTGATGATTGCTGGGAATGTTCGAACCAATGATACTACATTTTCGAAACTGGAAAAATGTGGAACATTAGTCTTTGCTCGTTTCAGGATAGTTGAACCCATTTTTTGGTCTCCAAATTTTTCAGTCGAGGTTCAGACTTATTCCGCAAATTAGTAAAGTGATACAATCTTTTTGACATTTGATTTAACGTCAGATAAAAAACAAGTTTCATAATAACTTTATGAGAAAATGTAAAAAGTTGAATGTGACTTTTTTCTGTTTAAATGTAAAGCTGACTTGAATATAGTGAAACTTACATGTTGAAACTACCTTCAATATTAAAAGACAATGTCAAAATAGTAAACTTTCAGTTGAAATACTAGCTTATAAAATTGTTGACTTCCCTTCACTCTGTTTTCAAAAAAAAAAACTAACCTAATTGTCGAATCTGCTCGTGGTGTCAATCTTTTTGTTGGCGTAGTTCTTGCGGTTTTTGGTGTCGATTGGTCTCTGAACATTAAAATGATTTTTTAATCCGAAATAGAAAAAATGATAAACGTTTTTCATTGAAAAAAAAACTCACATAGACCTCCTCGAATTATCAGCCGACAAATTATCAGTTAAAAATGAGTCTGAAAAATAAACATTGGTGGTCTGCATGATCGAATATCACTTACCACTCTCTTCAGATTTCGGTGAATTTTCAACAATCTCAAAATCTTCATTCGATGATGGCATCTCGTTTTTTTCCTCGTTTTCAACTGAAAAACAAAATCATAGTTTTTGTTTTTTGAGAAAATTGAGAGTGATTAGAGAAAAATGATAAGAACTCACTTTTTTGTTCTTCAATTACAGGTTGTCTTTTACTTATCACAAACATATCCGGATTCGAATAGGATCGATTTATGAAACCATCAGAAGTGTCAGGTTTCAAAGAGCAGCCGATGCTGAAATAATACATGATTATTGCTCATTTTATAATTCTATATAGATGTTCATACTTTTCCAATTCTCTGGGATCAATGAATCCAAGTGGCTGCGAAGTAATCGTCAGTTCATCTGAAAAATTTTGTTTTTTTCCTAAATTTTTATCGCTAATAAATAAAAATAACATGCCTGTTTCTGTTAAATTATTATTAACAATAACTGGTTTACCATTATGTACAAGGGGTAATTTTTCACTCGAAGATTCATCCATTTTTCCTGAAATAGTTTTTTTTTACGTAAAAAAACATACTTTTTATAAATAAAAAACAAGTTTTTCCACAATCAATGATAACAGATAGAAAGTGCTAGATTACTCATCAAAAAATTCAAGAAGAAACAAAAAAATAGGAAGCGCAAAAAAAGGAAATCGTTTGACTTTAATTAAATGCTGGATGCGTGCATGTGATTCGTCAGTTGAAAATAAAAATAAATGGTGGTGTGCGATAGAGCGCGCATACTCTTCTCCCTTTTCTTTTGTTGACTCAACTATTGCGAAATAGGGAGGAAAGGATTATTGGAAGCTTTTTCTTTATTTTTCACAAGAAATAGCTTTGAACAGTGCTCAAATTTCTCACAGAATTGTTATGGATCTGAACATGAACAACAATATAGTACAGTCAAATTACAATTTTAGCCGAAAGAGTTTTTTTCTATTTTCTAGTGAATTTTATTTCCGATTTTTAATACCAGTTAAGACAAACTTTGCACAAAATGATTCATGGGCCGTAAAAACTTTGAAAAGGACCACCAATGAAAAAAAAAACGAAAGTCATTGAAAAAAAAACTCTGAAAAAACTCTATAAATTATTCAAAAGAAAATAACATTTCAATTCAATTCAAAATTATGCGTCATGCATGAAAATTATTTCACCTTAGGGTTGTAATTCACCCCAAGGTCATATGACTATATGAACTTTTGAGTGTAAACAAGCTAAGAGTGAGAAAAAAAAGCAAATATGCAAAAATGTTTGAGAAAAAACACAAGACGATTTTCCTTTTCCTCTCTTTTTTTTCGAAAAAAGGAAAACACTCACTTTTCGAGCGGAGAAATTGGAAACTTTTGATTTTTTTTCGATGGAGAAAGAAGAAAAAAATCATAAATAATTGGGATGGTTGGAAAATGAGAAGAACAATTTTTTAGTTCAGAGAAAAAGTGCACGATTAGGTTGAATCACGCGTTTTGTTTTTATCATTAGTGAAACATATTATGAAATATCACCAGGTTTTTTATCATTATCACAGGGGAAGTTTCTATGATGTGTTAGGCTGGCTAAGGACACGTAAATTAGGTAGATCATTTTTCAATCTTGAAAAAAACTGATTTAGTATTGATATTACCAGTTAAAAAATTGGTATCACAGTTGTGTATACTGATTTTTTTTTGATTAGAAAGTTTATGAAACTTAATTTCACAATGAAACAAAATAAAACCTCTCGTGATGTTTAACACTAAAACATTGAACTTTTTAACGCAATTTCATGCAAAAGTTTACAAAATATTTCGAAACTCTTTGAATTAAAAATATGTGGAATTTTTTGTTGTTGCATATTCTATCTAAATTTAATCCATCTTATACATTAATCCAATTCCAAAGTACATATTCATTTCCGCGCCAAATGCCATTCCATATTCCTCTTTTCCATATTGAAAATTGATGAAAACTCAACCGAAATGTTCAAATATTCAACTAAAAAATGTCTGACCATGTGAGATGTGCACTTTTGACTGGAAAAACTTCGAAAGCAGGAAAAATTCGAACAGTTTTCTATGGTTTTCTGGATTTCAAATACCTATCTTTCCTATTCAGTTTTTCTTGATAATTTTTCATAGAACCCAAGAAAAAACAATCAAAAGTCCCTTCCGGCAGTTGTGTTTTTTTCAATACATAAGACACACACAAAAAATCCCATTGGCAAATTTGTTGCATTGTTGTTTTAGCGTGATGGATCGGTTCAGATGTATGTGTAACAATTAGATTCGAAAAATGCACAAATAAATCAAACAATCGCAGTTGCTTCACCAGTTGTCAAAATTTTCGCGATTGCCTCTGGTTTTTGAGTTTTTATTATGTATGTTATTGTTTTATTTTGATTACGTCACATTTTTATTATCAACCCAAATAACACACATTTTTTGGTTTTTGAGAAACAAAGCAACGAAGAAAACTGAATGTGAGGGTAAAGTAAAATAAAATGCTCTGATAAGAAAATAAAGTAAAAGAAATGAAAATCGTACTTGAAGATTAACAAAAATTTGAATTCATAAAGAAGAAGAAGAAAAAACGTTACTATTGGAAACAGGAATTGTGTTTTGAATGGGATAAAAAAGTTTTTCTTTAGGAAAAAACCCAGAAAAGATAACGGGTGTGACTAGAAACATACGGATTGTTTTTTTTTTTTGAGGTTATTCCAATCTCGAGATTAACACGATCAAATTGTGGCTACAGTTTTCAAAACAGAATTTTACAGAATGTGTACACTGAAATCACACTGTTTTCTAAATTCAATTTACATAAGTGCTACAGTTACAAGTTACGTGAACAAATGTTATCATCAAATTCATAAGAATATATGTTCTGAAAAATACCGGAAGTATTTAACCTAATTTTTCTTTATTCAAATTAAACAATAAAAAGCTGGATAATTTTTCATACATTCTCAAATTTAAAGTATTTTACTATTCAAATTGAACCATAAAATGTTTTTTGAAGTTCTGATGAACTTTTTTTTTAATATTTCTAGACCAAAATATTGATTTTCAATATTCAAAAAACCACCATCACGCACAATTTTCAACATGATTTCTGATCCTCTCACATTCTTCAAGCTACAGTATTCCTTATCCCCATTTCCACCAATCAAATTCCAATCCCAGTCGTCATTTTCTTTTGAATCTATTACAGTACCCCATTCAAAATGATAAATGATCTAACATAATTTCATTTCTCAGGTGTTCTTTCTAACATAACACAGCACTAAAAGCATTTTTATTATTATTTCAACAAGTGATGATCCCTTCAGACAACACTCCAAAAAGATGATAAAAATCCAATCTGGCCGCAGTCTGTCAGTTGTCTTTGTCGGTCCTCTAATTAGTTGACTTTTGCACATCACAAAAAATGTGTCCTTCTTCTCCTAGTTTTTCAGAAGAAACTGACCTACTTGCCGCCGGTTTTCTTTGACTTGTCAGTTGTGCACTTTTTGCCACATTTTAATATAAACATTTTTTAATGACTCTCTCGCTTTTGATTTGTTTTTTTTGTGTAATAATAACAAAACCTGGTGGAAAATATAATCGAGAAGACAAAAATGTTATGATATCAATCATTGTCTGAAAAAGAAAAGATATCATCAAATGTGATTGAAAAGCATGGAAAGAGCAATTAGCACACTGACACGAAATACATCATTTATTGATTATTATCTGTTTTTGTTTTGTTTTGCTTTTGGGATGGTAATCGAAAAGGTGGCAGAAATGAGAATGGGAAGTTGAGATAATTAGTTATCAGATCTGGAAAATCTACAACTTTTTTTTGAATAAATGTGAATAGAGTTTCAACCTAGTTTTTCAACACTCTTTAAACTCATTTTTTCACATTCAGAATGGTATGAGTTTGAAGATGTCATGCTACAGTAACCCGATATGACTTTTCAAATAGTTAAAAAATGGACAGTATTCCAGATCAATTTTTTTGAACAGTATCAGTATTATCAATTGAGGTTTCATAAAAAATCAATTGATTTACAGTAACCCAAAAACACCAAGAAATGAACAGTACTTAATAAGTTGACTGTTATTTGTCATTCTATCACAATTTGTGTTGAACTACAGGATCCCGTCATCACAGTTTTTCCAACTTCAATATTTTCCTTATACCATTTTTTATGAACATCAACATTAGTCCAATTAATTACAGTAACCCTGAAGAAGTAACACTTTCTAAAATCACGTATTATAAGATTTGCATTTTACAGTAATCAAACAGTTTTCAGATTTTTCAACTAGCTCTCAATGGTTTCAGTAGATTTTGATATATACTACGGTGTCTTTTCAGTGTTTCTCTAATTTTCTGAACATTACTTTCTTCCTGTTGAATATTGTAGCCTAAACACAGTGGTTTCTTTTTTCCAAATCTCAAGACTTTCAAATAATTGTTACACTACAGTATAGCCTCCTGAAATATTTGATTTAAAAAATGTCCCCAGTTGTTCTTCATTTCCTATAATCCGAATCCAATTCCATTTCAAAATCCATAAAACTCGCATTCAAATCGCAATAAAAAATCAATCAAGTTGGCACACCTCACACTATGAATAAATACAGAAAAAAGTGCTAACGTGTAAATCACCTAGTAGAAAGAGCCATTAAAAATCCACATACACACATTTAATGAAGAGACCTTCCCCATTTCCATTGCTCCACGTTAAACAAACTTTAAACTGACATTTTGATCAATTGCTTTCTTGTCAGAACATAGATATCTTTTGTGTTGAATGGGTAAATGAGTGAAATAAAGGAAGAAGAAAGACAATTAGTCTCATTTCTCAATTGATCTGATTTGATTTCTGTGATGAAGTTTGTAGCTTGAAATTGACCTTTTTGACAATAGAGATATAATATTAAAAACTTTATTTTATTATTTTTCAGAAAAAGATATCAAAAATGTTTTCAAATGTTAAGTTGCCCAAAATTTCCGATGAAATTATCGATGAATTTTTCTCGGTATCAATTTTCTAGAACAAACATTGTTGCAACGAAAACTGATTTTTAAGTTAAAATGTATACGCAGAAATTTCCAGAATTGAAATTGTGATCTGAAAAAAACCTCCAAATTTTTGTGATATTCTTTTTTCTGCTTCATAACATTGCTCCATGTTCACTTGACAAAATTATTTTTTGAATTTTCGAGTTCATAAACTTCTTTTGTTTTCAGAAGCTTTCTCCAATCCCATATTGCTGCTCCTCCCCTCTCAAAAAACATAAAAACTTTGTGAGCCAACTAGACAGGTCAAAAAAAAAAAGTGCACATAAAAAACACGAGGTATTACGTGACAACTGTTTTGCGGTCAACGTTGCGCATTTTATTTATGAGCTTCTCCCGAATGAATTACAACCACCTTTGTTTTATGACACACAACAAAAAATGTAACTCGACGCTTTTTCTTTGTTTCGGCAAAAAAATACTGTAGTTTACAACTTTTGCGAAATCAAAAATGTACATAAATTAGATTACATAAAAAAGAAATCCCGGCACAAAAATGTTATTATGCAATAATCTGCGCTTTCCTTCAGAAGCGACCAATCTTTTATGCTAATTTTTCGGGAGGGGATATAAAAAATACCGCACACAGATTTTTTTACTCGGATTAACCAAGGAAATCATCAATTTTGCCGGACAATTTCCCATTAAAAATGTGGCGGGCGGGACCAAAAAAGAAGAAGAAGAATAGGAATTGTGAGTGAAAGAACGGTTAAGGAAATTGAATTGGGAAAAATAAATTAATGAGTTGAGCAGAAAAAGAAAACGGAAGACGATCATCACTTTTCAAGATTGATACTGGTTTGTTGATTGGATTCGGAATTGAATTGGAAAAGAATTCGGGAATTGAGAGTACTGTAATTCATAAGCATTTGAGAGATGTAGTTGTCAAGGTTGAGGGAGTTTTTTCTAGATCTCAAAAAGTACTGTAGGTTTTCATTCTGAAGACGTTTTTCCAACTTAAATAAAATTGCAGTTTGGATGATTATGGTACTGTAAGTTTTTCTGTTGTCATACATCTTTCTTGGAACTTCGGGGTTTCTACAATACTTCAATAAAGTCAGGAGTACTGTAGAAATTTCAGAGTTACTGTAGACTTAAATGGTGAAAATAGTTTTGCTATTCCGAAAATGAATTTAAAATTTGATCAAAACAAAAAACTATGCTCGGGAGTATATAAACAAATTGTTTTTTTTCTCGTTTCAAATTGTACTCGGATTTTTTTGAACTATACACTTTTTTTAATATAAATAATCAGTTTTGTAGAAAACCAAAAAAATTTTCAAACGGAAACTTTTTGTTTCGAAAATTCCCAAAAATTTTCAAAAAAGACCACCCACTTTGTTAATTACCCAGAATGTTTTCATAGCACAACTGTTATTTGACTTACCCTAATAAATAACACTAAACCAAACCGCTCCCAAATCTAAACACATTTTTCTACTCCAATTTCAAAAAAGTCTCTGTTTCTTGTCGGCATTTTCGTCTTGTTCACACCGGATTAAAAAATCCTGTCAAAAAATCATCAGCACAAAGAGTTGTCGTGTTTCTTTTGATGAGCCTTTTTTTGGGGAGGCGACGAGCCCGAGAAATTCATTAGCTCTTTTTTAATTAAATTAACCCTTAAAAACAATCAGATTGGAGTTTTATTGTTGTTTGATTTGCCGTTAATTTATTTTCATTTTGATGAATTTGGCTGGGGCAAAAATTGGTTTTTTTCGGAAAAGTTTTGACAAAATTCTAAGAGGACCAATATTTTCAGAGATCCCAACTTTAAAAATTAATCAATCTTGATATAATCATCTCTCAAATCCAATTGACTCCTCCCATTTTCCCCTTTCCTTCCTCTTTTTTTCTTCTTCTTATTCTTCATCTTATTCCCCCCTTCTCTATTTCTTCTCATAGACCACCATGGGTATACGGTAGTTAATTGTTTGAAGACGCAAAACAATTGAGTAGGCGGAGTCATCATCATTTCTGATTTTCTTTGCCGTGATATAACTCTTCTTTTTCTCTTCAAATACACTATCATTATTTTTGAACCCTAAAATTATCATAATGTCTTCTTTAAAAATTTCCTTTTCTTCCTAATTTTCCGAAAAAGCAATAAAAGTCTCATTTGGTGAGCAATTATAGAAAAAGCCACAAAAATAGAAGAAGAACTCGAAAATATTATATATAATTACTTATGCTTTTTCGAGAAAAAAAAGTTACACACATTTTCACGATAATTCGTTGTTGTTGCTTGATATTTTTCAATTATTTTATTTTCAGTTAATTGTTAGTTTATTCATATTCATATTTTTATGTATAGTTTTTCATTTTTTTTTCCTGAAAAATTTACATTGAATTTTTCAGTAAAAGATTTTTGGAATCAAAATTGCTTGAAGGTTGAGAAATACTGTAGTTATTTTCTTTAAAATATGCACTGAAAATTTTTGTTAAGTTGTTGTTTTTCTATTTTAAAGATTACTGTAATCTTATTTTGAACAATATTGTTTACGTTGCTTTTTATAGTTAAATTTCTAACATGATCAGGGATATGTGTTTTGAAAAACTTTGGGAATTGAAAATTTTAATGTAGACAAGTTTTTTTCAAACTTCTAAGTCTTCGAAATCCAAACCTGTAAATATGAGAAAGCCAAGAAAAAAATCAAAACTATAGTTTTTTATCATATGTTTCAATGTTTTTTTTCTAACCTACAGTTGCTCACTTTCTCTATTCAATACCTACAGTAATCTCTCTAAAATTGCAACTTTTCTCTCATTACAAACACAAGTCTAGTTTTAGTTATTATATCCAATTAATTATCCAATCCAATTATTCTTCTAAATGTTACTTTTTTTCTACTGCTTCATCTTCCTCCAAATTATATAAATTCGTTGGGCAGCTGACAATAATCACCATAAATAAGGAAAAAAAAAATCAAAAAAGGTGCAATGCATCTGCTTGCCCTCTTATATATAATATTATATTATATTCTACCGTAACCGCATTGTTTGTTTTGCAATTTAGCGCATCTTTTGCGCCGAGGCTAAAGCAGCGACTTCCTGTCATAAGAATATTAATTACGAAAGCGCGAGAATGCTGAATATACTGTAACATATGTTCATCCAATAGATTTTATGATCTTCATTATTCTTTAATCCCACATTTTTTTCTTCAATTACTTTTATTTTATGATTTTTTATAAATCACAATATAAATTTTCTTACAGAATGGTTTCCAAAGAATCATCAAAAAGTACATCTTCACTATTCAGTGTTGCTAGTTTATTAGAATCGCCAGTTCGAGATTCGGAGAAAGAGAAATCTGTAGCTGTCACACCAAAAACACCATTACTAATTCCAACAATTCATGGAATGGCACCGTATTTCAATGGGCAGATTGATCCAGTTATGATTTATTTTGCACAATCAAGGTAGGGATTTTGGAGAAGGTTGGGAGACAGAAGAGAGAGAGATAAAAATTCTGATGTTTCTTGAAGTTATGAGTAGAAAATTCATTTTCAAATGGCGGCCTAAACTCTAGATTATCTAAAAGATTTTTTTTGTATGGTTCGTGAAATTTCTAATACAATCCCGGTTTAGTACAAAAATCATTTTTTTTCCAGAAAACCCCAGTAATTTTTCAGGTTACCAATTGTGAGTTCTGATAGTTCTCCAGAATCGTGTGCAAGTTCCCCGTTAAGTATGCAACATTCAATTCCATGGTTATCACAAAGAGAAGATTCGCCCAGTAAGTTACCCAGAAACAACTCTGCAGTTTAAGCCAAATACAACAATTCTTTCAGCCAACGACGAAGCAAAAATACAAATTGGTTTAACCAAATGTATGTTACGTAAACACAAAAACAATCGAAAACCTCGTACACCATTCTCCACTCAACAATTATTATCACTCGAACGTAAATTCCAACAGAAACAATATTTATCAATTGCGGAACGCGCCGAATTCTCAGCGTCACTTCAACTTACGGAGACACAAGTCAAAATTTGGTTCCAGGTGAGAATATTATAATACGCGTGCCGATTGATGATTATTATCTTAATTATGGGTGTTCTTTTGTTGATTTATCCTCTTCTCTGATTTTATCACCATTCTTTTCCCAACAAAAATGTGACCTTCACGCCTTTCTGAGAATGAGCCGATATGTTGCACAATGGCGGTAAACACCAAAAAAAGAAGCAACTCCTAATCCTCTTGTTAACTATATAATAATACAATAAGAATTAAAATAGCGCAAAAAAGGATAGGAAAAAAATCACACCAGAGTGTCAAATGACATTGTCGCCAGCTGGCCTCTTCATCATACTGTATCTTTTTTGTTGTGTTTGGCTAAATTCCAGGGGGGTATTGGTGGCAGATGACGACGAATGAGTTAATTGACCTTCATCATCACGTAATTGGCAAATATTGCTTGCACATTTCAATTCATTTTCTCACCCACCCTCTTTTTTCTTGAGTGTTATCAGAGAGTATTTGAATAAGGGATCCGCTGAATGAAGAGGGGTTATAATTGGAGAAATGCTTCTAAGGAAAAACTTTCATCAAGCATTGATTGGAAAAAATACAGTAGGAATCTCTGAAATTTAGTAAACATAGGGATCATTTTGATTTAATGGAGGAATACCGTACTTTTTGAAAAACTCTGATTTCAACAAAAAATATAAGGATTTCCAGTAGTTTCTAGTCTAGACCGTTCCCACAGATCAAAAAAACTCAACTGTAGTTTGACTTAAAAAGTTATCTGCCTGTAATTTGATATTTTGAAACAAATAGCTTTTGTTAAGTTTTGTCTTTTCCTATCTTCCATTTAAAGTCAGAACTATTCGAAAATCAATATTTCGAAGTCAATCAAAAATTAGACCAATTACGTAATTCACCACGAATAAAATAATCTCTCCTCAATAAAAATGTTTTGTTCCTCATCCATTCACACCATCATCAATCCGTCAAAAAAACAAAAAAAAAGAGAAGGGGAATTGTTTTTGATGATCCATTAAATGCATTGCACAACATCTGCATTATTCCACCTGATTTACTACATTTTTATCCCCACCTTCTGGAATGTAAATGTGAGAAGACACAGATGAAAAAAAAATTTATTTTCATCTTACACAATTTTTTTCAAAACTCTCAAATCATCAAGGTCATTAAACTCTGATTAAAAAAATGAAAAGAGAAACATATCCAGCTGTGAATTGATAACATTTTTTGTCTCAAATTTGAAAAAAAAAACATTTTTAGAAACTGGGGTATTTTTTCAGAACCGACGAGCAAAATCAAAGCGTCTTCAGGAAGCCGAAGTAGAAAAAGTCAAATTTGCGCAAGCCAGTGCGTATGCGGCAGCTGCATCACAATCAGAGGCCTCAAATTTTCTCTCATTTTACCCGCCACAATGGTGAACACATTTTCACACCAAAAATCTCATTTTTTCCGGTTTTCCTAAAATCAACCACAACATTCCTTCCAAATTTTTTCAAAATATTTTTCAAAAAAACATTTTTCTTATTGTTGTGAATTTGATCTACGAGTGTGGTCATTTTTGTCTGAAAAAAAATTCAAAACAAATTAATAAAAACCACCTCCATTTTATTAATTAATAATTAACTAGACTTTCTTGTGATCTCGTTTACCTTTTACGGTAGTTTCCCCTCTATTTTTTTGAATCCTATCCCAATTTTTATGTATATTTTCCATGCAAACTTTTTAGCCTGTAGTATTCTGTCATTTTTTGCTTTTTCTGTTTTTTTTTCTTGAAATTATAAATCTGCTTTTTTTATTTTGAGAAAAAATGTTATTTGGGTTAAACACTTATCAAGTCGGAAGATTTGAAAAAGAGAAAAACATGGTGATTACATGAAAATTAATTTTTTTTGATTTTCTGCAGACTTTCCAGAATAGGAAGATAACAACAAAAAATCGAGAAAACTCGGGATTTTCCAAAATAATAGACTTCCGGAAAAACAAAACGTTTTTAGAAATTGTTTTTTTTTTGAAAATAGTTTTCATATTGAAAAAAATAGATAAAAATGATTTTAAAACCAATAAAGCATTGAAGTAGAATGATCTTTTGATTTTTTGGATGTTCTTTTAAATAAAAAAACTTGTGGTTTATTGTTTATTACACTTTGATAGAATACTGTATTCGCAAAAATTGACACATTCTGTAAGTTGTTTGCAACTTATAGATCTTTGAAAAGCAATAGGCTCGTATCAATCATTAAAAATACATTATATATCCTGTTGTGTGTTCTGAATTCAATTTATATCAAACACTGTTTTTTTTAGTTTCAGATACTTACGAGTGTTCATTTAAGCTGTCAGAAGGTTGAAATAATACAACTACACCAGAAACATTTCTTAATTTTAATCCGTCAAAATCCATTAAAAATTAGTCAAATTTCTGGCATCACCAAAACACTTCGAAAAATGTTATCGAAGATTATGTTTTTCAAATAGTTTTGACTAGTGTACTTTTGGTAATGGTTAGAAGTTTTTTTAAGTGAAGTAATCAGAGCCTAACTTTATAAGAATTTTCAATGCATGAAATTACAAGAAATAAAATTGAACAACTTCACTTAAAGGATGTCTATTTTGTGAGTCAGAAAATCAACCCCTAACTATTCCAATTGTATTTTCTCACTATTATTATCTCCTTGTGCCTAATAATTTTACGATCTTTCTTGTAGTTTGTAGTTATCGTGTTACATCATTCTATCAAAATTCTCTATGATGTAGCCAAAAAGTTTTAACTTTCAAAAATCGGAATTTTTCTTTTAAATAATTTTATCCTGCAAGTTTATATTTTTTTAAATAAAAATGTCCAAAGTACATATAAAGAGACTATGCAACAAATACATATTCGTTCATGCCAATCATTTCTTATCACCAAAATTTTCCTGATAGTTCATTTATACTTCAAACTACACCTTGTACCACATTTTGTATTTTCGTTCAAAAAAGTTCCTCTATTTTTCTTTTTCAGAAAAGTTCTTTTTAATCAGTAATTTTATCAGGGGAAATACAAAATTTCGATATAGAAAAACATTTTTTGTCTAGACGGTTTTTTTCCTCTTAGGTCAGCAAAAAATGAACCTTTCATTTCAACGAATTCCCTTTTTCCAGAAATAAACCTGATTTGATTCTGGAATCTTATCAATTTATTGTGTTTTTTCGTTTCCAGAAAAATTGCAAAATTTTGTTTTTTTTTATCAGTAAAGCAGCACATTCACGTGTTTTCCATGCTTTGAAATTTGTACTTTTAATATCATAAAAAATACATTTAAAAATCGATAATTTTGTTACTAATTTTAATTTGTTTATTTTTCCAATCAAATTTAACAAAAAATCATTTAAAAAAAATGGATTTTTCTAAGAAAAAACTGTTGACTCCTCAACCAGCCAAAAATTGATAGCCATAGTCATTAAACGCACCGCGCGACCTTTTGTTTTCCCATCTTTTCCCATCTTCTCTAATAAAATAACATATTATGACCCCCTCCTCCCACTTTCTCGACACAACAAACACAGCGTGGCCTAGGATTCTATTGGTTTTCTCGGCCACTCATCTTTTTTATGCCAAAATAACCTATTGATCTTGGTTTTTTTATTTTTTCATTAATTTTGGTGACGATTTTTTTCATAATGATTTTCAATTCCCACAATGATTTTGATTTCAGATTGATGATAAACTAAATTGTGTTCAGAGAAAAAATAAGCAAAAATAATGGCGCAGGAGTTGAGGTAATTATATGTTTGTTTTATTTGCTCCTAACTAAATGTAACTTATTTTGCAGTTTTAACCGCCGTGCAAAACACTTGTCTTCGAAATATATTTGTGGTGTTGTTGAGGGATTTTATGGGCGACCTTGGACATTGGATCAGCGGAAACATTTATATGGAAAAATCAATCGATTGGGTCTTAACACCTATTTGTATGCTCCCAAGGATGATATCAAACATCGACAAGCTTGGAGAGAACCGTATACCGAGGAAGAAAGTGGTAAGTTTTTAGTTTTTTTAAATCATAACTTGAAAAATGAGGCTTTGAAATTCAAATGATAAAGTTAAATTTCGTTCAACCAAAAACTCGCTCCCGAATTTTTCATTTTTTTCAAATTTAATTTCCAAATACTCTTGAATGTTTTATAGAGAATATGAATGATCAAATTGCTTTATTTCTGTAAAATTATGATTTTCGATCATTCAAATTTTATCACTATTTTGAACTGATTTTTTTGCAAATTCTTATTGAACGTTATCAATTTCAGAGCTCAACTCAATTCAAAATATATTTCTGATTCAAGAAAAAAATTAACTTCCCCATTCTCACATATAATTCAAAATAGAGCTAATTTTGAATTGAGGTAATCAGAAATTGCAACAATTTTTTTCAAAAAAGTTGGATTTTTTCCTTTTTTCTTGAAAATATAAAATTTCGAAGACGTCTAAATATAAAATTCCGATGGAGAAAATCAGGCTGAAATCTCAAAGCTTTTTTATTTCAGTAATTCTTCGAAACCTGATCGAATCTGCCAAAAACAACCATGTAAATTTTGTATACGCGCTCTCCCCTGGTTTGGATATCACTTATAGTTGCCCTCAAGAATTAGCAACTCTTCGAAAAAAGATGGAACAAGTTGTTTCGATCGGTTGTGATTCTTTCGCTCTCCTTTTTGATGATATTGAAGTTGTGATGCATGAAAAAGATCAACAAGTTTTCAAAACATTTGCTGATGCTCAAGTCTATGTAACAAACACAATTTTTGATAACATCAAGACAAAAAACTTCTTTTTCTGTCCAACCGAATATTGTGAAACTCGAGCAAACCCGAATTTGGAACAATCGCAATATTTGAACACTATTGGAATGAACCTTCGACAGCCAATACATATTCTATGGACTGGCCCACAAGTTATTTCACGATATTTTACTGTGGAACATTTGAAACGAGTTCAAAGTGTTTTTCGGCGAAAACCATTAATTTGGGATAATTTGCATGCGAATGATTATGATCAAAAACGGGTATTTTTGGGTCCTTATAAAGGACGATCGGTTATTATAAAACAATTCACTTCTGGTCTATTACTTAACCCTAATTGTAAATATGAAGCTAATTTCATTCCATTTTATACGGTTTCCGATTGGAATGCATCAGACAAAGATGCTACTTATCGTAAGTTTTTTTTCGAAATTTTTTATTATTGAAATAATGTGTAGACCCTGTAAAATGCACCTTTTTTTGCTTGAAAATTAGTTTTTTTATCTATCAAGAACTGACCTTTGAACGTATGTTGTTTGATAACATTTTTTTGTAGGGAGAAGTGATTCTTCAAAATTTATCAGAAATTGGAAAACTTAACAGAAAATGTTGCGTTTTTTGGATTCCTATTCAATAAATAACTGGAAACTGAACAAATATGGTCAGGATCAAAACGACAAAAACATAACAAAATTTCCAAGCCTTTATAATATTGAAAATTAACTTTTTTTAATGAAATAATTCTATTCATCCAAAACAAATCTTAATTTTCAGCTGTCACAACTGAAAACGATGTACAATTGCCCAACCCAACTGTTCATAATACGCCATTTATGAATATTGACTGTAACACTGAAACCGAGTACAACTACGAATTATCGGGAAAAAACGCCATATCAATATGGATCCATGACTTTTGCGCCCCAAGTGGCCCCAACATTCCACAGTAAGATATTTTCTAGAAGTATCTACCTTTTGTGGTGAAAAAATTTTGAGAAAAAACGGCCCGATTATTTTGAAAAAAAAAATCGGCCCGATTATTTTGAAAAAAAATCGGTCCGATTATTTTGAAAAAAAATCGGTCCGATTATTTTTGTTACTGGTGAAAAAATTCTGAAAAAAATCGGTCCGATTATTTTGAAAAAAAATCGGTCCGATTATTTTGAAAAAAATCGGTCCGATTATTTTGAAAAAAAATCGGCCCGATTATTTTGAAAAAAATCGGTCCGATTATTTTTGTTACTGGTGAAAAAATTCTGAAAAAAATCGGTCCGATTATTTCTGTTACTGATGAAAAAAATCGTGTTACTGGTGAAAAAATTTTGAAAAAAATCGGCCCGATTATTTTGAAAAACCACTTGACCGTTTCTGACACAAGAAATTACCATCAATTTGCTTACATTTAGAAATGCTCGATAAAAAAAATTTTGACGTGAGAAAAATCGTCTACCTTTTTCAGAAATTTTATTCTCTGGAAGCTTTACATTTTAGGCTTAAAATGATTGCAATTCATTTGTTGTGCATTTATTGAGTACTGTCTAACAAAAATTATTTTTTTTGATCAACTTTTTTTGGGTGAAAATTTGTAAATCTGGAAGCTTTTCCGGTTTCCACAGAATTTCCCACAGAAAATTGACAATAATCACAGAAAAAGTGAAACTAAAATAAATGAGAAGACTGTTACGCCTGGGGGCTAACAGTCCCTAGTCTGGTTCTCTAAAATATCAAAATTTCAATTTATGTTTTTCAGAACCCCTCGCTTAGATTTGAACACTACTGTACCTGATTTTGTTTTAGAACGTCAAAATAGTGAGTTTGTTTGAATATTTAAAACATTTCAAAATATAATTTTTCAGTTGACACACCTTCTGAACCACCCTTGGCTTTTAAAGAAAATGTGTTAAGTGCTGAATCAAGAGGTTCAGAAATCAATTCACTCACTGCAGATTATGCACAACCTATGGAGGTTAGTTATTTAACTCTACAAATTGGTTTATTGTATTCGAATTGTTTTCAGGAAGATGAACCACCAAACGATGAACATTCAACTGAACTCGAAATGGAATCGGTGAATGAATGCCAATCAACATCTATTGAATCAAAGTGAGTTTTATCCAAATTTTTATTAGGACAACTTTAAAAAAATAATAGTTTAGAGCTCCGGATTTTGAAACCGTCGCATCATTTGTCGATTTGTATTATCTGCCATTTGAAGGTGGACCAGGTTTAAAAAAATTATTTGATGATTATGCGTATTTACTGGAAAATGTGTCGGTGATGAACAAGAAACATCAAGAAATTGAGTGAGTTATATATTTTTGTTTTTTACGCGAGCGATATAAGTGCTCAAAATCCCGTTTAAAATCAATATATTTATCATCTAAATCTTGAATTTCAGATCTCTTGATCCACTACAAACCGAATGGATAATTCGATACGATCAAATTGTCGATTACCTTTCAAAAGTCATTGATGTTTTTCATCACATCTCCGAATCATCTAACAAAGCTTTAGTCACAGAATTGATACCCTACGCTTGGGAAGCTCATGGTGCGAGTGTTGTTTTATTAGCCGTCGCTAGATGGATGCTTCTAGGCCAAATAGATGAAATAAATTGTCAAATTGAAAAATTCTGGACTTATGAAACTGAAGATGAACCTTGGAATTGGCAAGGTGGATTTATTAATGAATGTATATGCCTACTCAGCCGAACAGACAATGTTGCTAAACTTTTTTATTCAAAAATTGTGCTACCTCTATCAATTTATACCTATGAAATCCGACCATTCACATTTCGAGACGAAGAATTTATTAGCGAGTTATCACTTCTAACAACAACCAAAGATGAAGATATCCTTCGATTACGAGCTCGTGTTTTTTCTGACAAAATTTTCAAGCCTTTTCTAATGGCTGGCGCAAAATTCAACTTTGTTGCTGAAGAAATCGCTGGAAAGAACAGAAAACCAATGTGTTTTGCATCAGCACATTCAAATGGATTAGCGGTTCGCGATTTTCTAATACATTATAAAGAACATTTACGAAATCAGTATAGCCAGGATGTTATTGTTGAGAATTTTGATGTGAGTTTTAGATTTTTTTTAGAAAAATTGGCTTGGTTTAGTGTTGTAAATTTGAGAAGAAAAGAAAAATCTAAATTCAATCACGACCCAGAAAATAAACACTGCTGGCCAATTTTTTCTCTGATGAGATTTTGAAAAACTTTTTGAGGATCTGGAAAAAAATCGAAAAAAAACAGAATCTACGTGCCCTATAAACAATTCAAATCTTTCAATTTCGTAAATTTTCCAGATGTCCGAAATAATTCGTGAAGTCGACAAATGGTTTCCAAGTGTACCAAGCGATGTGTTTGCTAATTATCCAGCATGGGTTTCGCCACATTTCGCGTATGATGCATATGACGCAGTACCAATGAAAAAGATTCTGTTGACAATTGCAGTCACTTTGAGTATGAATGGTAAGATTTTTTTTAACTTATGGAAAGATTCGTGAAAAATTTGAAGATCTGTTACTTGACTCCTAGGATGATATGGTTTATAATTGTAAATATTTTATACAATTTTCTAACCACTTGCCAAAACATTATTTAAAAACGCCTTCAAAAATTTCAGGTTGTCAAGGAATGTTTGTAACAGTTCCAATCGATGAACACGAGCGTCAACAATATTTTCTTCGCTTAGGATTCAACAATCTTGGTCATTCCGAATGTAATAATTATATTCTGCTCGGCCACGAGCTTGGCAATTTTGCAGGTAGAACTGAATAGCTTTTGTAATTTTCAAATTTTTACGGCTTTTTTGTTGCTAAAAATAAATAGATTTATTGTCTTCCTACTAAAAATTAAGTAAATAAATAAATAAATAAAATTATGGCTTCTCTACAGTAAAACTTATAAGTGAAGAAGAATAATTTAGTCATAAAAAACGTATTGCTCAAGCATGACAATATAAAAAACTTTTTTTGATTAGAATATGGGAAAAAACACATTATGCTACGGGGGGAATGTGGGCGAAAATATGGCACAAATGCTATTTAAAATTGCTCGCCAAGAAGATCAACTAAATTTTGGACAACGGTGTCTTTGCTGGATCGAATTGTCAAGCGATACATCTGAAAATATTTTATATCAACTAATAAAATTGACTTTTAAAAAATTACGTACCTTAGCATTCTTATTTGGCTCAAGTCGAATAAGTGTTCCAATTTGTTGCGTTTGCGTATGAATAATACCGGCGCATACAAAATTATCAGGATTTGGATCAACTTCGGTCAAAAGATTTGCTCCAAATCCTTTGAGTTTTGATTCAATTGTTGCAGTATCCATAGGATTTTTGGCACTGAAAATCTTTTGAGCTTCTTGCGATGTGGCACCGAGAGACTTCCATCTGGTGAAGAATTGCTCTGATGTCATATTAGTAGGCTCGAAGAATTTGCTTGTGAATAGTGGCAAATAAAAGTTTTTGTCAAAGGATTGAATGGCACCGGCGCGATCACTGAAAAATTTGTTATTTGAATTTTGACTGAGAAAATTTTAAGATTTCATGGTTACATAGAACTTTTAACCGTGACATCTAACTCACGTATAAGTAAATTTGATATTCATAATTGGAACCTTGACAAACTCTTGAACACACACAAAATTGATCAATTGCTGGACTTGTGTTCCAGCTAAGATTACAGGCTCAACGGGTTTTGCTTGAGCTTGAAGTTGAACAGCAAGTGCTCCAGGGCAAGTAATAATTGGCACAAATTTGTTGAGTGGTTGCGATGTTTTGTTTCCATAAAACATGCCAAGACGAGCCAAATTGTTGCGGGTTTCGAGTTTGCAACCAATTTGAACAATGTCATCTTCGTAGAGAACACCATTGTTTTTGCTGACAAATCTGGAAAATGAATTATTTTAGATAGGAAAAGGGACTTCACTGATAGATTTTTTATGAGAATTAAAAAATAAATAAAAATCACTCACTTCAAATAATCATTAATATTTGCAATATCCGCATCAACAGCAGTCACACCAAATGGTGAAGGTGAATTGTCGCCGAAAGCATTTGCTAATACATTTGCAGTATCATTGAAAGAATCCAAATCAACCAAAGAAGTGGAACCATCAGAGCTCATAACAGCCGCTGGTTTTGTCTTCTTTTCTTTTTCTTCTCTCTCAATTTCTTCCATTTGTGGCTTGCTCTTTTTCAATTTTGCTAACAAACTGCTCTCTTTTTCAGGGTATGGTGGCATAACTTCGAGAATCTGCAAAAAAATTTGTTTATTTATTCATGTATCAAATTATTTTAAACAAAACTTACAGTTGCTAAAACTTCTGGTGTCGCAACTTTGCTCATCTGAAGATATTCGATAGATCTTTGTTGAAGCTCAGCATCTGGATTACGCAAATTATGATCAGTTTGGAAGACTTGTTGAACAAGTGGCTTGATTTCGGGGAACAAATTGCAGAATTTGATATATGTGGTGAGCAAAAGGCAGCGAGTTGTGATGCTGCACAAATGAAATTTAGAGTGGAGCAACTCGAATTGAATTCTGGCGGTGGATCTTTCGTCTCCGGCGATGAAGTTTCCAAATTCTCCCAAGATATATCCTCCAACTTTGACCATGTTTTCGTGACAAGCTGGACGTTGCAAAGCTTCAAATACAGTCTTGGCGGCGTATCCTTGAACATCTTCACGGTTGACAACAATCTAAAGATTTTTTGATATTATGGAAATTTTGTTTCAGAAATTGAATTTATTCAAGATTGTTCATCAATTTTCTTTCAACATCACTTCATGAGTTAAAGTTCATACCTGAATGACACGATACCAAACTTCTTCGCTCACATAATCACCAGCAATACGGATCAATTTGAGAATCACATCGACATACCAAGTATAATCAGTAGCATATTTTTCAGCAAGAATAGCAACTTTCAAAACCATCTCCTCGCGAATCGAATAATCAGCAGTTTCAAGATAAGACAACATTTCAGCTACAATTTGATTTGCATTTGATCGATCACACATTGCGTATAAAAGATCAACAGCGCGTTGACGAACCGAAACATCACGCTCAGTTTTCAAACTATTAATAATAGTTTCTTGATGTTTCTTAACTGCGTCATGAGAGAATTCCGATGTTGCCAATAAACACATTGATTCAAGTGCAAGATATCTCAAATTAGTTTCTCTGTGTGAGAGGAATGTTCCAAGTTGATTACAAGCTCTGACAAGCAATTGAGGATCTGAATCCATATGAATAATCAAAGCAATCGCCTCGAACAGCACTGCATTTTTCGCATTTGAATGTTGAACTTTTTTGGATTTAGGTGCATCTTGCGCTTTGTTCAACACTGCCTCAAGGGATTCCAACAATCTGGCTTTATTTGACGGATCATCTGGTGGTGGATAATTTTGAAGAAGACGCAAGAGTTTGACGCAAAGCCATGGGGCCGGCACGAAATAATACGTATAGTCTTGCAAATCGGTATATCCGGAGGTGACAATTCTGCTCAATCTAGAGATTGCCAATGGGACAGACCCTTTGTACTCATCGGGCCATTTCTTCGAAAGCGCTTCAATTAATGAAGCAGCAGAGGTGACGACACCAAGATGTGAGTCATTGAGAAGATGGACGATGCGACTGGCGTACTCTCCTGGTTGGAACGATTCTGGCGAGTTGCGGAAGAGCTTCAGGATACACAATGCAGCTGATTGTTTGACGAAATCAATGGTTTCTCTAAAAAGATGGGAAGTTTTTTTTGGAAATGAGAAAATATTATTCATTCAACACTTCAGCTACAACTGAATAGTGTTGAAATCAGGTTTGAAAATATTCATATTTGCTTCAGAAATATCACATCTTTTTATGAAATTTTGAATTTCCTCACTAATATGCTTTCACAACAATTCCAGAGTACACAAATATGACAATTTTTTTAAAACAAAGAATTGTCGATCATAAATCAGTATATTTTTCCTTAGAAAATGGAGAGTTTACCAGAGTTGTTTCATCTTCATTGTTCTTCAATCAAAAAAGCTGCTTACCCTGAGACGAGAAGTTTTGGCAAGTCATTGCAAAATGCTTCAGCCATTTCACGGCATCCCATATTCGAAATGCATTGAAGAGCAAGGTTGACATGAACTGGGTTTCGTGACGTCAAATCATTGCGAATTCCTTGCACAATCAATTTCATCAAATCTGATTGTTGCTCAATCAAAACAGAAATGAACAAATAACCAATTTGTTTTTCTGTATATTTATTGGACGATAACAGATTCACTGCTTCCATATGTCCAAAATCAATATCATTTCCTAAAAGGAAGATGAATAACAATTTGCATACATATTTCTTTTTTTGATATCCATCCAACGTTTTATCGCCTTTGAATTTTGAACGAATATTGGCTAATTCTTTGTTGATTCGTTTCAGCTCCGCTTCTTTGCTTTTACAATTACGAATATCACTAATAAATACGGCAAGCCCGCGCATGCCATCACCTTTAACAGCTGGCATTCTGTAAATTTTCAAAATTTGAATGACAAAAAATGATAAACTAGAAGACATCTACTGAAAAAAGTAAGAAAAGTGCAAAACAAACAAGCGAAAAAAACCGATAACTGACTAGAGAGTGAGTCGGGTCGATGAAAATGTGTCAACACAACGACGCGCAATTGCACAACACAACATTTCTGCATTGATTTTCTTCTCTTCTTCTTTTTTCTTCCCGTCTTTTTTCTTTGTCTCTTTTCTTTCTCCATTTTTGGGCGATGAGGATTTACGAAAAAAAAGGAGAAAAAAGACAAAACATTTATATTGATGTGAGAAAAAGAAAAAAGATACAGAAAAATTGAGAATTATTTTTTTATTCTTGATAAAGGGGATTTTCCATCAAATAGGCGCATTCACTTGGTATTCTTGATTGGTATGGAGAAACTGAGACGGAACGAGCAGAAAGACTGCAAAAATTGGGGTTCTGAAGGAATATGGTACGATTTCATAAATTTTGATTTAACGTGAATAATGAAAATGAAAAAAAAATTGATAAATTTAAGAATTTGTTTTGAAATTCTGAAAGTTTGAAATTCTCCAACTGAAACCATGTGAAAACTTTGAAGATGCAACAAATAGATTTTTCTACATCACAAACACTGCTGTTTCAAAGTTTGCATAGTTGTTTTAATTTAGGAAGAAGTTCGATTTCATTTTGAATACTCTTTTTTTGAGTTATCAAAAACTGTTCCGAAGTTCAAACCTGGAATATCTATCCGGTTGAATTGGAATTGCAACTTCATACGAAACACTCTCACGATATGGCGAAACTGGTCTTCCATCATGAATCGAAACCCAACGCGATTTTTTGGTGACCTGAAAAAATCCATTTTTTTTCAAATTATGTACGTGTTTTTCTTTTTTTTTTTTGAATTGAACACATCACGACCAAAATACATACTTTTTCCGTGGGATGTGTCAAAATTTTCAAGTGGTTTTCGAGTCTTCAAGTTTGAAGTCAGCAGAAAAACAACATGTTTGTTGAATTTTCTCAACTAGAAAGTCTGTTTCCTATTTTTGGGAGAGTCTGGGTTTTTCGTGGCGTTGAAATGAAAGGTAATTTTTAACGGATTTGGGGAAAACTGGACAGCTTGAAATTTCAAAAAATATGATCAAAATTATGGGTTCCCTTGGTTTTGCAGGATGCTCTAGCTTTTAATGTAATAATTCTTTTCCTGAACTTCGATTTTTTCTTGTTATATATTTTTTAAAGGAACATGATGTTTCAAAAATGTTTCCAAGTACAATTTTTTGAAAGATCACACATAATGAAAAATGAGCTTTGGATTAGTTCAAATCTAATCTGCACAATTTCCTCAAACCAAAAATACACCCCTTTTATTTTCAATTGTTATTCATAAAGTTTGTTCTCCAATCTTGATTGACGTCGGTCAAAAATATATATCACATGATTTTGAAAACGTTAGAGTACGTTTCAAAAAGTTCACCTAATACCATATCACATCTCAAATTTAATGATAGTGTTGAGAAATTTTGTGAGTAATATGACTATGCAGATGTATATTATTATTATCAATTTTGAGAAAAAAATACAGTGAGAAAATTTCCGGAGTTTTTTATTTTTGAGAAAGTGTTTGGAGTTTAATTGAAAACTTTTTTGGGTGGTACAAATACATAAGATAATTTGTCAAGTTATTTATATATTTTTCTCGCTTAATTTCGTGCTGAATTTCATTACTTCTAAAATTCGAGTATTTATGACTATTTCAAATTTCGATGTTTTTCAAACTTTCCATAACAAACCTTTTTCATTGGCAAGTTGGCTGAATTAACGCTTATGTTACTATTTCTCGAAGCAGCTCCTGATCTTGACGAGGCTGAACGTGGCGATAAAATATTGATTGATCCTGATCTTGGTGATACTTCATCTAAAAAATCCACTTTTTTCCAATTTTTGAAAAATCCTTGTTTTTCGAAAATTAATTTCTGTCTGATGTCAAATCGCAATAAAATATGCACTTTTTGTTGAAAATAAGGAAAATGGAATTACAAAAAGCCAAAGGTCTTTTTTTCTGTTTTTATCCAAAAATTAGAGAACATCTACCTTTAAATATATAATTCTTTTCATTTCCAGGAATATTGGATTAACTTTTATTATTTTCAACATATTTTCCTTTTTTTCTTCCGAAGAACACAAATGTTTAATATTTTGTATTTTGATGTGAATATGTGCATTTTTTAAAAATGCACATATTTGTTTAATCCGGAAACATACCATAATGTCGATTTCGTGGTGATGCATTTCTTGATGAATTTGCCGGTTGAATATCAATTCGTGGGATGTGAAGGGGTTGAATAGGCTTCAAACATCACTCATTATTTTTCTCAGTTAGTCATCGAAAAACTTTTTAATTACTGTGCCTAGAATTTTTTTTCGTTTTTCTACTATTTTAGATATCTTTCATCTTCATGAAATAAGGAAGAATAGTAGTTTCTAATCTTGGGAAAAACCCTTACATTTAATTTGAAACTTCTCCTCAAAAAAGTACTCTATAATTTGTAATGTATTTGTGTGAATAGATACCATAGGACGATATAATATTGCGTCAATTTCATTCCCATTAAAGAACAATAGGCGCTTCAATTCACAATTTTGAATTTTAGTATTTTTGAAGAAATTTTGAGCATTTTTTAGAGGAATAGCTTTATTCATTTGTTGAAGTTGGAACATTCCTTTATTGTAACTCTTGGCACAGAATAATCTAAAGCTCTTCTACCTTATTATTTGTTTCTTATCTTATTGTTAGCAAAAATCATTTTTTGAACTATGTTTAAAAATTTCGAAATACTTCAGCATAACTATAAATATGTATGCAGAACACCAAATAACATTTCCACGTCAGTTTGAAAAAAAGGCTTCACATCACTGAACCCACGTCATTTTTCTCTCATAACCTATGGAAATTAAATTAAGGGTTTTGCATTTTCAAATGGATTGTATATAAATTATAGGTACAGCAGATCAAAGACCTGTAGATTCTGTAAAATATTAATAACAATAAGATCTAAAGTACTCTATTTTTTCCACGTCATTATGATTGATTTTGTCATGAAAAATAATGTTTTGAAATTATTCTCACTTCCAATAAATTATGGGTTTCTATTTTAATGTAATTGATATGTTCTCAATTTTTGAGTACAGTATTACTTTCTTGCAAAATGTTTTCTTTTGTTCCGAGAACATTGAACTTGTTTAAGCAGTTCCTATTTTTCTTCATTGAAAAAAAGAGGCTAAACAAGCTCAAAATGGGCGGAAAAAACCTATTTTTTCCTATTCTTGCAACACATTTTCTCACGATTAGCTGATTTTTGTTATTTATATGAGTTATCCAGAATTTATCACTGAATTTTCTCACGTTTTCTGAGCGACTTACTTGTAACAAATGTCTGGCCATACTATCTCCACCCACTGGTGAAATTGGTCGAACTGGTGAGGCTGGTCTCACAGGATCAGATGGCTATAAATTATCCAGTTTTATTCATTTTTCTTCTCATTTTTTATTGTTAGTGTTTTTGGTGAGAAAAAATATATAAATCAAAAATTTCCTTGACTACGGTGGACTCACATCTCTCTCCACTTTTACTACAATTTCTCCATTTTCATCTCTTCCATAGGTTCGTCTTTCAGTATATTGTTTTGATGAAACTTGTCGTTGAGGCTGAAAATATTGTATGGGAAAATATCAAAGTTAGTTTGAAAAAATTACTTCACTGTGTGGAGTTCCATGAATTTTTCGCTCAAATGTTTCGATCGTATGCGCTTCTTCGGAACCGATTTTCTGAAATTGTTTTTTATTTGACTGATATTTGAGCCCATAAAAGAGCTGCAGCGGCTCGTATTTTAATATTTAAAAAAAATCCCAATCACACGTGTCACGCGTTAACTGGGATTCAACTTTTCATACAGCTTTAAGCAAGAATTTCCAAATGATATTTTCCCTCTGAAGAAAATCTATTTTTATAACTATTAGCAAACAAAAAATGTATGCTTGTTAATTTATTTGTTCTTACAAGTTTTTTTCTTATATTACATACAACCTTTGTGAAAACTAGACTCTTTTAAGTAAACATGATTATTGAGAATAAAAGAAAAGTTCAACAACTTCCTAGGATTGATAATAATGTCCATCAAATGATAACATCAAACAGTTTCTGATAATTATCTTGACGTTTCAGAATCCTTAAAAAGCAAATGTGAAATGATATGAGAAATTTGGAAACATATTTCTGAAAACCTAACTATATTATTGAGAAATTGGTAACTTTTAGATTTTTCAAAAAAATGGACATAGAAAGGTAGATGTAAAAACTCAAAAGTTTGTCCGATTCTAGTCTGACTCTGAATTTCATCTGAAAACTTCAGAAAGATTCATTTGATTTTCCTCGAACTTCGAAAGAGAGAAACAATTCATTGTTCCCGAAACATTTTAAAAAATTGGAATAATGATTTTCAAAAAATCAATTGAAGAACTCTATTTGATCAGCTTGAAGTATTTCAACTTGATATTTAAAGGAATTCAAGTTTCAGATCCAAGTTTCATTTATTTTTGAAAAAATCTTCAGGTTTTGACTATTAGCTCATGTGTTCATTTTCCTTATTAGCTTCAAAATGGAGCTTTAATATTCTTTCATGTCAGAACTCTTCCGATAAAATCTCTTGATGACTTCCCGATTATCAAAAATCTTGCATAGTAGTTAAAAAAATTTCCAAGAAAAATCTTCTGAAAGTGAGAATAATCTCTGATATTCTCCTGATTTCGTCACCAATTCATACTTCCAAAAACAAAAAGTGATGTAAATTTTTCCCATAATATTTATCATCTGCCACTTTTCTCAGACATTTTTTATTCAAAAAAAAAAGTTTAGCTAAATTTTTTTCTCAAGTTAATTTCTCTTTGATAGATCTGTTTTTACGGAAATAAATTTTAGGTAATTGAATTTATCCCTACTCCAAAAAATAGAATAACATAAAAACATACCTCGAATCTGCCGCCTTGATATGGTCTAACTTCCATGTTTTATTCAGAAAAAATGAAAAAAATGCGAAAAAATTCCTCTTCTTTACTTTTCTACTTTTATCCCACCCCATTTCTCTCTCTTTTTCAAATTTGTTTTACTTTTGTGTATTTGAGCAAACAGTCAGCGGGAAAACTTTTTTGAGAGAAGAGAGTTGGGGGAAAAATTGAGCAACAAAAAACTGTTGAACTCTTTATTAAGTGGATACCACTTGGCATGTTTTTTCTTAACACAAAAAATAAACTGGTTTTTAATCACTTTATTTTATTTTAGAACAATCAGGTGATCAGAGCACAGGAAAACCTTGTTTTCCCAGGAAATTTGAAAAATAAGCGATCAGAAATTTTTGGAATCTTGGAAAATTTATTTGTAAGATTTCCAAATCGCATTTGCCTACAGATTATGTTGAAAGTGATGAATTGTATTTTTATGAGAATCTCAGATTTTCTCACACCTATACTTTTTTTCGTTTTATATGCCCACGTAATATTAAGATTAAAGAAAAAACTGATTTGTAAGCCGATCAAAAGGAGACATTTATGGATATTATTGTCGACAAAAACATTTTAGTCTTATAGATTTTTATTCTCGAATATAAAATTCATTTGAAAATTGCGCTGCAAAAAATTTACGGATGACAAATTTGTTTCAAAATCATATTTGTTTGAGAATGTCAAATGTAAAGTGTAGATTAAAATTTGAATTTATAATTAGAATTTTCATTCATTCGTAATCTAGTTTCTGATTTGTTTCTATGAAATTTGAACAAGAGTGGCTAATGAGTTCTAAAAAGATTTTTCAAGATTTTTGAGAATATATTTTATGATCTATGTTATTTCTGATTTTCGAAGAACTTCTCATTTCAAGTAGGAAAAAAATATTTGATCAGATTCAATATTTAATTAATTAATTTTTTTAAAATTTCAAATTAAAAAGTTGAATTTTGGAGTTTTCCAACATAAAATGAACAGAATCAGAAACCGTTCACAAAAAATTTTTAATTCGGAGCATTTATAGTACAAAATATTTACATATATTTTTTTCCTGAAAAAATTCTTTCAGACTTCTAAAATCTTATTGTTTTTCAAAATTTTGTTATGTCTGCGGATTAAAAATGTCAACTATTCGAAATAAATTTCAAAAAATAGAAAAACACCCAGAAAAGGTCTTCACAAAATCTATTTTCAATATTTTTTGAATTTGAAAATTAATACTCATGACTCATTTATTTCCCCAAAACAGCTGATTTTTTATGCATGTGTTTTCCTAGGTTACCCTAACTTACTTCCTTTTTCAGCACTTTCAAAAAAATTTTGAAAATTTGTTATTTTTTCTGTTGTCGTTGAAAAGATTCGATTAACTGATAACTTTTTCTCATTTACATTTTCTTCAGCAAAAAAAGCAGGAAGTCTAACTAAATTTTACTCAATCTCAATTTTTCGAAATGGCGGTTCCATTTTATTCATCTCGCAACATGAAGTAAGTTTTTGTTGGCCTTTTTCTGTTGTTTTATGTGGTGTGGTGTGTTTTGTTTTGTCTTAATAGAAAAGGTGAAATTGGCAACAATTTCGGAATTTTCTAGAAAAAAACAATTTATTGTTGTGAAAAATAACAAATTTGTTGTATAATTTACAAAATCATCAGTGCGTATCCTTTTTTCTCGGAAAATAAAAATATATATTTTCTATTTCGTTTTAAAATTTCATTTTTCATAGCACAAAGCACAATTTTTGTGTAATACAATTAAAGTTGTTCATCTTATTGAACTAAATTGTTTGTGTTTGTTACAATATGATTTAGAGATAAGCCTAATCTTTTATCATTTTTTTTTCGAAAAAGTCTTGTCTTTCCCTTTAAGAACTTTATGTTTTTTTGAAAAAATATTTTTTAGTCAGTTAGTTAGTTAGTTAGTTAGCCGATCAGAAAACAACACGGAACAAAATAAAAAATAAGGATAAAAAAATAAAAATAGAAACAAAAGTAATGGGAAAAATAACACTTGAGCTTGCCTAATATATAAACAATGATTTTTTATACATATATATTTTTTGGGTTTCCTCCTGACATGAAGAAACGTAACTTTTTGGTCCAACGAAAAGCCTCCGTGCTAATTGAATTATTCAGTTTGTTATCTATCTAATTTCACGCTTCATGACCTCTGATCGAAAAATGAAATCAAATCAAATCCGATTTCCCCTTTTCCTGAAATACATTCATTTTTTGCAAAAAAATTGTTTGCAAATTATTTATTTCATTGAGAAAATCCGTGCCAACCCACATTATCCATGTTTGTGACATATTTAGATGGGAAATTGGCATTTTTGTGTTTGTGCCAGACTGACTTTGATCTTATTGATTTTCGTCAGATATTTGGGTTACTGTAGTTTGAGAAATTTCATATATGGATTTCGAATAATAATTTTATTTTTTTAATAGTGAAATTTTAATGAAAAATATCTAATACCAGGTTCAATTTTCCTATTTGATTTATCAATTATTTGTAGGAATTCAAATCTGAACTTTAGTTTCATATTTGACTTTGAATAATTATATTTCAAGAGTTCAGAAAAAATTTTTCAATTTATGATTTCTTGAAACAATTCACAACGTTCTATAATTTTTATTCAAGACATAATTTTTCATTGATTTGGGAAGTGAAACTATGGTGACATACTGTAACGTCGCAGAATCTAATCTTTTTTTGAAAGTTTGAATTGTATTTTTAAAACCAAAATCCCCTTTGAGTACACTTCCTACAATTTTGCATGTTAATAGCAATTCTCAAAGTTTTTCACAGAATTCTAGACGTGTAGATTTTGGATGCTAAAGGAAGCTCAGTCGGAAACCAAGATTCTCACTTTTAGTACACTGTACTTTTTTGCCCCAATAACAATCACTTCGTTAATTTTTTATGCTTCACCGAAATGTTTTTTTCAAAATGACGTAAAATTGGTAGGCGGTAAAGAAATATTTGTTTTTTGACTGAATTTGACGACTGAATTCAATTTATTCTTGCACGATAATCAAGTTATTCTTCTATTCTTCTAATTCCTATAAATTTTGTTTCCTCCAATAAACTTCCGTTTTTTTCAATTGATGTAAGTTCAAAATTTGTATGTTTTCTGGTTTTGCTAGGTAATTTCCTATGAATGACTAAAAAAATTTGAATGGCGAGTGAGAAAAAAACGTTTCACTGATATTTTATTCAACACCCAATTATTTGTATATGAATAAAAAGAAAAGGAAATCAAAAACCTATACATATTTCTTATTTCTTTTTCAAAAAACTTTATTTTTTTCCAAAAAATTACGGTACTTGCGATCGGAAATTCGAATTAACGGAATGATCTAATCCGGAAAAGATTTTTCGTTTTTTTTCGCAAACGAAAAGAAAAATGAAATCAAGAAATCCTGAACTCTGAATCCTTACTTTTTCACAATTTTTCCTCTTGCTTTTTGCTCGACAAAAACAAACCTATTGTTTTTTGCACGTTCAATTTTTATTTTGTCATTTATTCTGCTTTTTATGGAAAAATAAATAACTATTGACATGAATTTTGCCAAATTGAAAAATAAAAAAATATATAGGGGTATTTTTGTAATAATTTTTCAATGAAATATTTTTTTAAAAACTATTTTGAAGTGGGCGCTATAAAAAGCCAAACAATAGGAATTATCAATATTCTCGTATTGGACCAGGGTTTCAAGTTTTTCTGATATGAGAAACCACATTTCAGACATTTCTAGATACCAGAAAATATTGTTTGATTTTGACACCCTGAGAACCAGTTTGAAATTTCAGCTGAGGTACATAATTTGCCAAAAATCATGTTGAGAAAAGCACAGTCTGGTTCCTCATAAGAATTTTAATCTCAGATTAAAATTATACAAATTTTCGAACACAAAACATCATATTCATATTGAAACCACGCAGATGAGATTAAAATACGTAAAATCCTGCAGTTTTTGCAATTTTTCAACAATATCCCAATTAACCATTCTTTTTTCTTGCAAAGTGAAGAAATTCTTTTTAAAAAGATCTAAGAATGTTCTTTTCACCTGTCAAAGTCTGGGAAATATTCTAAATTAAGAACTATTTTCAAATTTTCAGAGAAAATATAGAAAAATTCCTTTTAACACCTCCGCTTTCCGCATTAATACATTTTAAGATAACTAATTTTTGACGTCGAAATTTATAAAAGTGCAAGATTTGCCTCATTTTGCAGAAAATAGTGTTTCACTCTCATTTTTAATGCTCTCAGAAAAAACCCTGATTTGAAAAAAATAAATTGTAAAAATAATTTATGGGTGTCACTTTACTTGGCTGTTCCAAGACACAAACTTTTTTAGTATGCAATGAAAATTACCTCTGCTTTTTGGTCGTTTTTTAATGTCGCTAAAAATAATCTGTCACTTTTGGCAAAAATTTGATACTATTGTTTTTTGGTACCAAAAATTTTTATTTCATTCAGTGAAAATATAGTTTTTAAACCCCTATGTTGTTTTTCAAAGTACTACTGTAACTTCAGAATTTAGTTCTTTTCAAAGTTTTTTTTAGTTCTGGTTATAATTTCCCATAGAAAAATAAAAATTACTGTAGGGTCTAAGACTACTGTAATTCGATGTTATTTTTTTGATTCTTTAGGTTGATTTTGTTTTGTTAAATTCTGATTTTCTGTAGTCTTCTTAATTTTCAATAAGAGAATAAAGTATTACTATAGATTTCTGAACAATAAATAAAAAAAATAATGATATTAAGTGAACTTAGAAATACTTTACTTTAGTCTGATTTTGGAGATCAGAAGTCCCATTGGTCTAAATTAATTTTTTTTTGGAAAACAAATAGTATTTTTCCAATGATCCTAGACAGAATGCCGTCAATTTTTTGATACCTTTTTTGCCTAATACGCATTAAAAATTGATCAACACATTCCACGAAATTCCTATATCTAAAAAATGAAAATGTCTGTCAAAAAAAAAATAAAATATGAAAAAATTGTCTCATTAGTAGCAAAAAATATTCGTTGCTCTACCCTTTCACTTCTCGGTCCACTAATTAAATTACACATTTCGACAAAAAAAGTTGAAACAAGTTATTTCCGGTATATGCATATAACATATATGTATATTCTTCTTTCATTTATCGCATTCTTATTCTCCTCCTACTCCTCCTCCGCCTTTCTCGGCTCTCTTCTTTTGTTGTGTTTTTTGCTCCGCCTATTTTGACGGGTTTCTCCCCACAGGGCTTTTTGGATGGGGTTTACACAATATTTCAAAAAAAGTTGTTTTTTTTTTCAAATGTTTCATTTCCTTGATTTCAGAGTTCCAATGAGTGGGGAAAGCAATTTAACCGATTTACAATGTGATTATCCGGTTTTGGAACTCTCCCTGAACTCGAAATTCAGTAAGTCCCACGGAGACAACTTTTATAAATTCCAAATTTTTCAGTGTTAATCGGTGCTTATGGATTTGTTGGAGCTCTTAGTTTGATTGGAAATCTGGCTGTTTTATTATTAGTCCTTCTTCGAAAAGAAATGCAAACGGTCACCAATATTTTCATAAGTAGTGTTTCGGCAGCTGACCTGGTCATAACAAGTTTCTCACTGTGGGTAACACCATTGAATTATTATCAAAGAGTTTGGAGTTTTGGAAAAGCAATGTGCTATATTTTTCAAGTTGTGCAGGTGAGCGGCATTAATATTTGAAAAGCTTTTTTCCTTTTGTTTTGTTGTCAAAAACCTCAAAAATCATGTTTTTCTACTTTCAGGGAGCTTCATTAATGTGGGTTCCGTTTACTTTAGCAGCTGTGGCTTTGGATCGATATTTATTGGTTAGATTTCCATTTCGGAAAGCAATGAGTAAAAGGTACATACACCCACCCTCAATTTTTTCAGCTGTTCCATTTTTTTCTTGAAAATAAAATCAGAGTTTAAAAAATGTTTCTACTTTTAGGTCGTGTATTCTTGTGATTAGTGGAATATGGTTTGGATCTTTGGCAGTTTTGACACCAATGATGAGAATGATTGAATTTGTTGATAGCTATGGACCATGTCATGTAAGTTTTATGGAATTTTGGATGGATAATACATTTCCGGGGATGTCTAATTTTCGTAAATTAGTTCACACCTTTTGAGATTTTAATTGATTGAAAAAAATGAGAATATTCAAGAATTCCTGACATTTTTTTTTACTAATCTTTAAAAATACTTCTAAAACCCCAGTCATTTATAATATGTGTGGCCTCAACAACAAAAATAAACAACAATATTGCAGTTCTGCATGGAAACATGGGACAATGAAAACCCACATTATCGATTGTTCTACGGTTTGGCAGTTCTACTTATCCGATCAGCTCTTCCATTATTGCTCATTTCTCTTTGCCATTGGAGAATTGCCTCAATTCTCAACAAACAAACTAGAAAATTCAACTCTCTAAGAAGTGCAAGGTAAATCAAAAACTCTCGTAAATAATGTAGAAAATTCCTCAAAGTTTGATTTTTCAGTGCCGCTACCCAATCCACAGATATAAAACGGAAACAACGACTTCAACAATTGCTTTTAGCTATGGTTATAATTTTTGCGGTTTCAAGTTTACCACTGGATTTGATGAATGTTCTTCAAGACTTGATTTTGGTGTACGGGGTAAGAAAATTATTTTGAAAATGAAAAGGAAAAATTACCAAATAAATATTTTAAGATTCGACCAGTGAATAAAAATGCGCAAGACTTTCTATTCTTCTTTTGTCATTGGATGGCTATGGCTGGAACGCTTTTGAATCCATTGGTGTATGCTTGGTGGAATGAGAATTTTAGAAGACAAATTCATGTAAGATTTTCAACAGTTTGAAGGGTGGGCATTTTCAAAATCGTGTTTTTCAGACCTGTGTTGATGAAATGCGTGGCGAGGGTAAATTCAAACGAGGTCTTTATTCGATGGTTTCTGGACGGTATTCCTATCGCATTGAAGAGGATATTGATCGCCGACAAAATACAAGAATTGATTTGGCTCCTGATAATCATGTTGATATCGAAATTTCACAAACTGATTTATAATTTTTAATTTTTTTTACATTTTTCGGGATTTTTTGGAACAGTATTTACAAGGGAATATTTTTGAAAAAAAAGTTGAAAATAGAATAATTTTTAGAGACGAATATGGAGCTGTGAGCCGAAGTGAAATGTTTCATTTTTCAGTTAAAAAATTCGAAAAGATTTGTTTCATTTTTCAATTTTAAAAGCTTCATAACTTAACTCACAGGTTCATTAGGGTCTGAAACACTTTTCAGCCAATTCCAAAAATATTCCATTGTTAGGCAAAATTTGGGTATTTTATGTACTTGTTATGATCTCTTTTGAAATGAATGAACAATATTATTTTTCTAGTTACAAAATCGAGGCAAATACTATATTTTGTGAATTAACTATTATTATTAAATCAAAATACAATTTTTCATGAATTTAAAAAGTGTTGTTTTTTGGGGAAAATGAGAAAAAAATCGATAATCAATGACCTCAAAAAAGATGAGTCATTATATGTTTTTAAAAAGTTTTTTTCCTCACAAACATGTTTGCTGAGGCACTTGAAACATAGCATTTCTAACATTTTCGTGACTACAAAATGATAATTATAATTTTATTTCTAATCAATTTTTTACAATTTCAATTAATTACATGTTTTCGTGATCAGATAGTTGGTGTTCGTGGAAAACTATCATGTAATAATCGAGCACTTCAAGGAGCCACAATTAAGCTTATTGATAAGACATATATTGGTGAGTTTTTTATTGATAGTAAACAGAAAAGCACATTGCAATAATAAGAGAATTCTCAGGACCTGACGTGATTTTGGCAAACAATCAAACCGATTATCAAGGTTATTATGAAGTTATTGGAACTGGCAGAGGTGTTTTTGAAATGGATGTTTATTTGAAAATTTTCCACGATTGTGATGATGCCTTGATTGTGAGTTAGAACTAAAAAATATTTACTGTGATTGAGCCATTGGGGAGATATGACACGTCGGAAAGAATAGTGTAGGAGAAAATGTAATTCTAAAAATGATAGAATTTTTGAAACATTTTATTTCCTATTAATTTTTTTTTCTCAAATTTTGGTAAAGAAAAGTCAACTTTCAGCCTTGCCAACGAACAGTAACTCTGCGAGTTCCATCAACATATATAAATCGAGGTAACACGGTCAACAAATATTTCGAAGCTGGTCAAATGAATATGGCATTCAGATATCCGGATGAGCAAAGATCTTGTAGACATCAAATATTTCCAAAAAAATGAAAAATTAAATTAATTTTTTTATAAGATCACAGATTCAATAAATGACAAGAAAGGCATTTTACGTAGTTTTTGAAGGAGAAAAAATTAGCACCCAGTTTTTGTAAATCTAGAGATGTGTTGTTCGCTCGTTGCTTTTTGGGGTTTTCGGCGATTTTTCCACTCTCATTTCGTATTTTCGATTCGAGCTATCGGAATCCTGAAAAGTCAAACATTTTAGGAAGTTATATTTTTTTTAAAGAAACATGGCTATCAAATATTTTCAAAAACGGACCTCTATTACTCAAATTCGGATGGGTTAAAAAACACTTGTTCGTATTAAAATTAATAAATGTTTCTCATTTTTCAAATATTTGTTTTGACAAGTTTATCCATAAAAAATAAACGTCACCAGTTCATGACCTTTTCAACAACATTAATTTATAATTTTTCAATTTCAAAAAACAACAAACTAAAAAGAGAGAGAGAGAGAGACTCTAGTCAACCTCTAAACCAGGAACCTTTTTCCATTTTCAACAATTAATAAATACTCACATTTTTATCCGACGCATTTTTTCTTGGTGGCGACATTGATATCCTAAATCGTGGAGGTCTTGGAGTCTGAAAATAATTTGATTTAAATTTTCAGATCCGATTTTGATGAAACTGACACTTGGTTTGCTTTCTCCGCCAGATGATAAATCTTTGTCTCGTTTTAGTCGTTTCAATTCTCTTGGTGAATGTGGAATTGGAGGTCTAGAATAACATTAAATTTTGATTTTTTTCAAATAAAAACCTCCAATACCAACCTATCTGGAATTAATCGTCCTTTCTCGTCATCGGTTGTTTCGTCAGTTGACATAAATTCGTTCATAATTGGCGACATCATTGCCGACGTGTAGCTAAAAAGAAAAAAAATTGTGTGTGTTTTGCTGTCAAGAAAAAATTTAATTAAAATCTCATTTCAAGTGCAAATATTTTCTTGCAATAAAATAAAACAAACCTGCTATGAGGGTTCAAATTGAGCCAAAGTGGATCGTTTATGTTCGCATCTGCAAGACTTCCATCTGTTGATGGGGGACGTGTTGGATCCGCTGAGGTTGATTCGACGGCAAGGCTGGAAAATATATGTAACGAAAAAAATGCAAAAAAATCTTGTGATTTAAAACAAGTGTTTACTGTTTTTGTTGTTTTCTAGAAAAAAACCACGGCAAATTCGATTTTCTCAAAAATCCCCCCAATAAACTAACCCATATCGAACATTATGTGAAGTGCTTATTGGTTGCAACAAGCGTTTAGCCGCTTGTTTTTCAACTGAAGATGATGGTTGATTTGAACTTCCAGTTGACCCAGATGAACTTCTATACAAATAATAATTAATTTTTTGCTATTCTTTCAAAAAACTCACTTCTTCTGAATTTTTAATGGTGTGACATAAGTATAAAGTGGATTTTCAGTAATCTCAACTTGACTATTTGTCCCCGCTGTTGTTGTACTTTTCGATGAGCTCGAAGAATTTTGCTCAATTGCAGTTCGATAAGAAAGATCTCGATTGTTTGAAGTTCTGCGACTTGCTGAACTTCGTTTACTTGGAATTTCGGATTTTTCTCTGGATGCTGGTCTTGAACCATCAGGAGGAAGAAGATATCTACTTTCTGAATTTCTTGTTGCATCTTCAGATTCATTTTCTGAATCACTATCGGAACCACTTGAACTTGTATGATGGATTCCTTCTTCCATTTCAATGTCTTTGTCGCGTTTTTGAAGTCTGGAATATAATTTTATCGGGATTCAGTGCGGACTAACTGAAACAGGTTTTGTTCAATAATTATATCATATTTAAACCTGAATCTTTACCCACTTTTTTGGATCTGTCCATCCAATACAAACCAAAAACCGCTGCGCCATTGTCAATTTAACAATCGAAGATGTGTCACTTGATTCAGATTCTGATGAAGATTGCTCTTCTTCTCCTGTGCTATGATCAACTTCCGAAACCGACCTGAACACAAATATTCATATATTATTTATTTCTCATTTTTTTATCTTATTTATACTCTATAAAAGGCGTGAGATATTTTTTTTGCAACTTACCCCAACGAGGGAACAAATGCTCTTCCGGATACACTTCTTGCCGTGGATCTGGGATATGATTGAGAGTCATCATCAGATGAAATACCTTTCTGGGGAATGAGCACTGTTTTTGATTTGCGTTTTCCGAAAACACTGATACTTTTACGTTTTTTACCACCAGCTAGTTCAAAGATTTTCTTTTTTTCTTCCGTCCGCTCCTGGAAACAAGAGAAGTTATACAGAATGTATTTGATTACCCAATGTTCCCGAAGTTTTTGTTAGACCTGAGCCTATATCAGGATTGGGGTTTAATTCAACCCAAAAATTAGAGATTCAGAGTATATTATTTTTGATTTATCAGAACAAGATACACGGAAAGTTTTTTTTGAACCCGACGATTGATAACTTACAAACATCAATTGAATTGATAGATCTTGATTAGCCTCCTTCAGTCCAGACACAAGAGCAATCAAGAAATAAATTGCCAATCTACAAAAATATTATTTTAAAAAAACTATCAAACAAGAAAGTGGACTCACAGCAATAAAACTAGGACCGGTATAATAATACCAGGTGATAACATATGATTGATAACATTAACCAAACGTTCATTTAAATTCTGTTTCAACACATTGGTAATAACGCTATAGAATCTGCTGTGGTTTCCAAAAGGTCCACAATTGACACTAGGTGTTTGAGAAGCAATTACAACTCCAACAGGCAGTGTACAAAGAAATAGGAATAGTAGAAGTAGGGCAAAAAAGAAGTTAGAACTTCTACTTGCTCTGAAAATTTGGCTTGCTGGAACATTACAAGTCATTGCAGCCCATCCTCGGATATACATTAGAATTATTAATTTGATATTGTTGAGCATTGGAAGAAGCGGGACAAAGAATAAACCAAGCCAGATCATTCCTTGATTGTTAACAAGATGCAAAACGTTTTCAGCGACTTTGAATTCTCCGTATTCAGGCTGAACAAATTGAAATAAAATTAAACTTAATTACACATTTCGCAAGAAAATCCTTCAAAGTAAATACTGAAACTCACAAAAGTTCTTTCTAAATCCCATGGCCAAAAGTAATTGAAATACCGACATGCCAAACCTCTCAAAAAATCGATAAGAAAAATTGAAGCCACTGTCATATAAAGATCCATTGTAACCAATTTGGTAATTTCTTGTCCCATTTTTGTTTCCCAACAATCTCCCCAAAGTGATGGACTTTGAGTGGGTCTAGAATTTCAACCAATTTTTATGCTGAAAATGTGTTTTAAAAAATCTTACATTGGCATTGCTGTAGTTTCATTGAATGGAATATCAGGTCCAAATTGATGAGTCTCAACCAATGTTCTGTTCCCAATATTAATATTAGTTTTGCTGACTACAGCTTTCGGATTGTAAACACCAAGAGGACCGAAATCAGGTAAAACTGTTGTCCATGGCGACGTTGATGGGATTGGTGTTGTGGTGACTGGGGTGTAAGAAAAGTAGGTGTGAGGAGTGTTGTTGATTGGGTACATTGGTTGAAATATTTGACGAAGGGTTCTGAAAGTGAGCTTTTTATTATTCTGAATTTTGCTTTTTCAAAAATACGAAAAAATGTTAGATTCTGTCACAAAGACAAAAAAAATCGTGTCGGAAATCAGGCCGATTTCTATCTACATCACAAAATGCCGACAACAAAGCTTATTTCCAACCCACCTTGACGAAACAGTTTCCTTTGTTGATCCAAATCCAAATTGCACAAACAACGAATAAATAAGAGTGTAATAATTGAGAATATAAAGAACCAAGACTCTTCCCAGCTGAAATCTTAACGCATTTCTCGGATGAAGTTTCTCAATTTTTCCAAGTAAATCAAAAATATTTGGAAAAACCAATGTAATCAATGAAATGGTGATAGCTGTAGCATTTTGTGTCCAAAAAGTAGAAGGATTCTGAATTGAACCACATTCCGTAATTGCCCAAATTGAAAAACCATACATTCCAAAAATAAAAATATTTGTGAGAAATCTTCCAAGAAATCGTAACCATGGATGTTTTTCATTTGGTTTTTTGGAGTCATCATTAATCGCTTCTCGGAATTTGATAACATTTGCCATATAAACATTTCCAGCAGTTTCAGGATTACCAATTGTATAATCCCACCCGGTAAATGATTTCCAGTTGAAAAGATATTGTTGTGTTTTTCCGGAGGATAAATTTCCTTGCCGTTTATTCAACGCCATTCTAAATCAAATTTGTATTTATATAGATTTTTTACGGATTTATGGTATGAAAAACTCACTTCCTTAAAATGATAAATAATGAGAATCCTAAAACAAAAATATTGCAGAGAAAATAGGCGACTGGAACTCGATATCTGACTGTATCTCCAAAAAATGTCTCGCGAGAGTAGAAACCATAAAATAGTAAAGAATATTGAAAATAACCCTGAAAAAAAAACAATGTGAAGAAAAAATTGGATTTTCAAGTTATTCTGAAATTTTAAAGATTGTTTTATTATGAAAAATCAAAGAATAAAACGAACCCCAAAATCCCAAACAGTCGATAATTCATCAGCTTTTTGTCTCGTACTATTTGGCATCTGTTTGATGCTTGCAGTTTTATTATATCTTTCAGATCCCTCAGTCATCCGAGAATCTGCTAACCACTGCAAAACATTTTTTTTAATGATGTGTTTTTTTTTCAAAATGTAAAGAAAACCAACCTCAGGTATAACAACAAATAAACACATAATCAAAGTGATTGAAATATTCACACCAAGTACCCATCTATGAAAAGTGAAATATGAGGAAACAACTGAACCAAAATGACTTTCAATTTTTCGAATTTTTGCTTCCCAAGGTATCAGATATATTTTGAGATTGTCTAGCCATCTACTGGCTTGTGTTAATCGGCGACCAGCTTCTGCTTTATAAAGCCTAACTTTTGACACCTTTGCTTCTTGTTGTTGTAAATGTTTTTGAGCAACTCTGTGAAAAATTAATATTTGAAGATTGAACTTCAAAAAAGAAGGCTTACTTAAGAGTTCTCCTCTTCCTTCTCATACACCATGGCTGTCCTCGAAGTTTTTGAATAATCTCTTTTTTCTGTTGAATCTTCTTGAGGATTCTGTCTTTTGATGCTTCTTTGTCGCTTTCTTCATCATAATCTTCATCGTCACTAAAAATTAAGATTTTGATATTAGAAAATAAGCTTGAATTCTGATATTCGATCAGAAATGTTTTTTAAAAGATCTGCTTTTGAGAATTCAAATTGAAATTTCAGAACCAATTTCAAAATACTTTGTTGGTTAACTCACTCATCATAATTCTGATTGCCTAATCTTGTATGCGGTCTGACCAAAACACTAGAACTTCTTCGGAACAACGACAATAGATCGGCCTAAAAATTGAAAAGTTGTTTTTCGAAAAATTTGAATTTCAAGTTCTCTAATGAAATACTTACAATAACTGAAGATCTTCGGCTCATTCGACTCTCAATCTCCTCTTCTGATGTCAATCCTCCATCAGTTAGTGATTTCACCGATTGTCCAGTTTCACCTCCATCATCTGTGTCATGCCGAACAAGCGGTTGATGAGCGCCTTGCGGTCTCGGCATTCGAAATATATACCAGACCTAAATGAATGATTTTGAAAATTAAAATTTTAAAATAAAATGATGAAGGATATAAAAAAAACGCCATGAGAAATTACAATAAATTTGATGATGGGAATTTTTTGGGGACCTTTTTTCAATTCGGTGTATTATATATGTTAAGAAAAAAAAACGACACGATGCATCTCAATAACAATTGATGAGAAGAGAGCAGCAAATTGGTTGGGGATGAGATGATAACTTTTTTTCAAAGATTTTTTGCCCACTATTTTGTGGTATTGGATGTAGACAAAAAACGAGCAAAGGTTGAATGAAACATGTATCTTTTTTCTTTTTTAAAAAAAAATTTCGAAAAAAAAGTCAGGTTTGAAAAAATGAAAGGTGAGAAAAAATGCTTGCAGGACAGAGAAAAACTGGAGAGCAGAAAAAACAAGTGTTCCGAAATGAGATCAAAGAGATCTGAAGCTTGAGAAACACAATGTTGTTTTCATGTTTTTGGACAGAACAACAAAAAAGTGATAGGTTTACACGTCATGTGGATTGCAGAGTTTTTTACGGGCGAGAGATTTGGAGAGATAAATTAAATGATGAGATCTTATACCTTGACGGATTTGAAAAAATGGTTTATATGGTCCAATCAAACGAAAATCCCAAAAGATAAGGAACAGTTTTCATTTTTTACAGAATATATAGAGACTTCACAGAAAATCAAAAAATGTATCGTTTTGAAAATATTTAAAAAAAATGAAAAAGACTGTCCATTGGTACATTTCTCGGAGAACAAAAAGGTCTAAATTGCACGAAAAACCACAATCCCACTGGCAAGAAAAATGAAAACAAATAAATTCGGAAAAAAATCGGGAGGTACAACATTTTCCATGTCGCATCCATTTTTTGCTCTCTCTCAAAGAATTTTCTGCCGTCCGTCCGTCCTCAACGAGACGAAAGAAACACACGACAAAAAAAACACTATCATCATCAAGACAGAGGGAAAATGTTAAAAAATCTTTGGGGCAAGACAAAATTGTGCCCAAGACAACTGTCTCATTTCTTCACAATGTATTAATCTCTTGGCTTTCTCACAAGCTTGCGAGATTTTTCCATCTTCTTCATATTCATCTTATTTCATCATTGTGTTGCTGCAACACGAAAAGAACATCGTATTCTCAACAAAACTCAAATCCCAACAAAAAAGACCACTATCAATTTGTTACATGACGAGACAAGATTTTTGAGGGTTTCTGTTTTCAATAATTAGGTTCGAAAAATTTTAGATGAAAATGAGACTTTGAAAAAACAAAGAACGATTTCACAGGTGACATATGTTTTTATGTAGAAAGGTGTGAATGGAACAGAAGGAAATTCGGGAAAATTTATGGCGGTCACATTTTTACAACATTTTTGTTGAGGATACATAATGTTACATGTTTAAAAATACATCTAGTTAGGTTTGGTGATCTGATTCCTGAACTCTCAAGTAAAAAAATAAAATCTCGATGCTGTGGTCAGGTTTAAAAACGTTCTGAAAATCATTGTCTAATTTTTTCTATGAGAAAGTCTCAAAAAACTCACAATCCAAATTCAGAACCCTAATAACTTAACGACTGTGATAATTCAAAACTTTTTCAAAAGGTTAACTTTCAAAGTTTCAAACTTTGAGAGATTCTATATCACAATCAGCAATGGTATCTGAAAATTAGTGAGAACTAAAACCACCATATTGAATCACACAAATCTCGGAGATTCAAGCAACAAACAAAAACCTTGCCCAATAGTTTGATAAAAAACTTTTTCAATACGCACCAAAACATTCCAAACTATATCTAATATATTTAAAAAAATGTATTCGAAACAATACTAACATTTTTCGCAAAGAGTAAAAATCAAATTCACACCAATGAAACAGAACAAGAACTCCGATCTTACACCAAAAATTAATCGGTCAAAATTTGGTGATAGAAAATTGATAGAAATCGGAACACTGGGTGGCAAATCAATGTTACACTACACTTTTTGTGCATCTTTTCTCCGTTCATTCTCATTGATATTCAACCACTTCTACCAACTTGTCACTGGTGTTATTCGCTCTCCAGATTTTACACACTATTTTTTACAATTATTTATTGAGTTAAGTCACCTTTCGGGTGGAGAAAACTTGATTGTTTCGGTTTACTACAAAACAAAAGGTGTTGCAATGACGCGTGATAAACAAATGTGACAATTATAAACGGATGGAACACAGATTAAATACTTTTCATCGGAATAGAGGGGTTTGCGAACAAAATATGTACAAAATTGAAAATTGGTTTTTAAGAAAAAAAATAAGCAAAAATGAGCTGAAAATCTTTGTAGTTTCATAAAGCGAAAGTTTTCACACCCTTTTAGTCTAATAATAAAACGGCAACGACGAAACGCACAAAATCTTGGGAGAGCGCCACAGACATGCAGTTTTTATCAATAGAGCGAACTTCCATTTTTACCTTTATTTTCTTGTTTTTTTTGGAAATTTTTCACGTTTTCGAGCTGGATTTGTTCGTTATTAATATTCAAACTTTTGCAATTCACAACTTTTCCTAATTTTACAAAAGTTAAGAAAAAAGGTTCAGAATGTGTGGCCTTATTATTACTCGAAATTCTTAATTTCAAGTTTTTCAAATAATTTTTTCGAATTTTTGAGTTTTTTTCTCCAGATTCACGATTCTCGAGCTTTTTTTATTTCCTTTACCATTTTATATTTCGTATATGAAAAATGTCATATTTTCAATTCTAAATTTGTTCGAGCGTTTTTTGTTTGTACAGCTGAAAACTTTTTTCAGTTGTAAAAATTCTAGAAATTTTTATCTTGTTGGGTTTTTTTTAAAGCAAAGGTTCCATGATGAAAAAGAATATCCTCATTAGTGAAAACAGAAACATTCACAATTTCATTAGTTTTTATTTTACAAAAAACTCAAAAAGTTTTCTGCAGGAAGTGGGATTCGAACCCACGCACCCATACGAGTACCAGAACACCCAGTGTACCTCGAACTCACGAGGCAAGCGAATTGCACGCTTGAGTCTGGCGCCTTAGACCGCTCGGCCATCCCTGCACATTCTCTTCACCGCTGTTTGTTCAATAAATACTACTCTCTTTCTTTTTTCTATTTTTTTGGTTCCCTGTGATGCATTTCTCTTTTTCTCTAACTCTATCTCGTTTTTCAATATTCTCTAAGCCACGAAAATGTTTTATAACTAATCGTTATGTTTGGCTTCTTTTTGTGTGTTTTTTTTTCAAAATTTTTGATAGTCATTCAATTTTTTGAGGTTTCTTTTCAATTTATTAATCTTCAAAGAAGGCGGGAAGCCAAAATTTGTTTATTTTTTCAAAGAAGAAAAAACTTTTAGCGTTTTTTTGACAAAGAACACGTTTTCCCTTTTTCTTGTTAGTATAATTGAATTCATTTTCTCTAATTGTTTTGAAATTGATTACATTTTCCTCAATTAATCTACATTTCTTTGTGTTTTTATTCGGAAAACCATCATTTCATTTTTTTTTCAATAAAGTGTGCCACATGTTTGCATATTTTGCCTGCCAGGTTTGGCAGGGGCGTTTTTCCATGTCATTGCACTTTTATCTACTTTTTTTATAAAATCAAAAGTTCAATTCAACTTTTTTGCAGAGCCGAATGCTTAGTTAGAATAAAATGCAATTGGTGACCAAAGTTTTTATCGGGTTTGCATTTTTATTTATTTTATGGACATTATATGTGGAAAATGATATTATTAAGGTAAATTTTGACTATTTATTTGAAAATTTTTGAAATTAAAAATTAATACCATTCAGAACACACCGAAGTTTGACGAGTTGGATGATTTGATGAGAGCAACAGATCGACTAGAAAGGCTGCTGAAATTCGAAAATGAACATATGAAAAAATTAGAGAAAGAGCTGAAAAGTTTGAGCGGCGGATTGAAAGAAAAATATCGGCTACAGGATTCGATTGATAAAAGTTCAAAAAGTTGGAAAGAGCCGATACCTGTTTTGGTGAGCAAATATTGATTTTAGATAGATTGATCATTGACTTCTTACATTTTTTGTAGGTATTTTCTTGTAATCGTGCGTCGGCGGTTCGTGAGCATGTTAAGAAGTTGCTCAATTATCGACCGAGCAAGGAACTTTTTCCTGTTATTGTGACACAGGATTGTGATAATGAGGCGGTGAAAAATGAAATCAAGAATTTTGGAGATGATGTTCAATATATTAAGGTAACAAATTTTGATAAATCTAAGAATAAAATGAGAGGGCCTTGATGGTTATTTTTTATTGAATTTCAAACTCAAGACAAATTTTGAAATCTGAAATTTAGCATAAAAAATAGAAAAACAGTATCAACTAGTTTCAATTTATTCAAACGCTTAAAATTGTTCAGACTTTTTTTACTGATCTTTTGAGATAAAAATTAAAATGTTTGCAACTTTTTCAAATTTGAAAAATTAAAAAATGAACGGAAATTACGTCACTGAATTTGTTATGTAAGCTAAACGTTCCGAGAAAGAACTCGAAATGTTTTCATGTGTAAACATAATTAACCATGCTTGAGAAAATCCTAAAACTCTGTTTGAAACTTTGAATCTATGTATGACGGATCAAAAACATAAATAGACACAACTTCATAAAATTTGAATTTCAATTTAGAAAAGAATTTATATTTTATTCACCACAGGCGTCTTTATAGAAAACGTTTCTAGTTCAAGACCTCAAAATCTCTCCGACCAACACATTTTGGTCTATAATTGTTACTTTTCAGCACATCGCCGGTGACAAAGCCAAAATCACAATTCCTATGCAACATCGAATGTACACTGCATATTATCGAATTGCCAGACACTACAAACTTGCTCTCGATTATGTTTTCAACACCAAAAAATATACATCTGTCATTATAACTGAAGGTATGTAAAGCTAATATTTCCGAATTTCAATTCTGCTTGTTTTCAGATGACTTGGATATCTCTCCAGATTTCTTCTCATTCTTCTTGTCAACAAGATATCTGATGAGAGAAGATCCAAAATTGTGGTGTGTTTCAGCGTGGAATGATAATGGAAAGGTGATAATTTTATTACAATTTGGAACTGAACTCAATAATGATATTTATTTTCAGCGTGAAAACATTGACATAGAAGCTTATGCCAAATTATATCGCAGTGATTTCTTCCCAGGATTAGGATGGATGATGTCCTCGTAAGTTTCTCTAAATCAACATAACTCATCACACAAAGTATAATTTCAGTGACACGTGGAATGAGTTATCAGGAATTTGGCCAGTTGGATTTTGGGATGATTGGATGCGTGATCCTTTGAGACGAAAAGATCGACAATGTATTCGACCCGAGATTAGTCGAACTGGAATGACAAACTTTGGAAAGGAGGGGGCTAGCAAAGGACAATTCTTCAATAAACATTTGGCAAAAATTGTGGTGAACAAGGAAAATATTGATTTTTCAAAAATTGATCTGGATTATTTGTTGCCTGCTAATTTTGAGAGAATGTTTAAAGCTGAAGTTTTGGAGGAAGCTGATTTGATGGATATTTCGGAGGTGACGGCATATGTTTTGGATCCAAAAAATAAAGGAACCAGCATTAGGTGAGACTTTTGTTATGGTTTTTTATTGGCAAGAGTGTCTCAATATAAGAAGGGAAAATTTGTCGACAAAAATAAGCACGTTATCCAATTTTCCCGAAAAAAAACCTAATTTCATCACGTCATAATTGTATATTAGTACACATGTCTCTGAAATATAATTACTTGTTATTGAAGTAATTCGGAGCACAAGACAGCTTATTTTCAATAGAACTTCTGAATATATTAGTACAGATCGAACATTTGAAAACATACAAATGTTTCAGAGTCGTTTACACTGGAAATATTGACTACATTGAAAAAGCCGACAAACTGCACATTATGCACGATTTCAAAGCCGGAGTTCCACGAACTGCTTACGATGGAATTGTGACATGTTTCATTAATGGAGTTCGCATTTTCCTTGTCCCTGATCGCACAAAAATACCAGGTTATAATCCAGATTGGTCAGTTCCAGCCAGTTTTGGGGAATAGAGAATTATTATGATTATTTTTTTAATTTTCAGACTTTTCACGGGTTTCTCAGTCTTGTCTTTAACATGAGTAGTCTTTAAAAATTGTGATTCTATGTTTCTTGCCTTATTTTTATTTTCATTTCTTCTTGGTTTTTCGAATGGGTTAACAATAAATAGTTTATTTATTCATTTATATATGATTTTTTACACGTGAAAATTGAACCCGAAAAAATATCACAAAAAATTAGAAATATGTTCGATTTGGTGAAGCATCATCTTGCGAAACCTTTTGATTTGCCTAGAAATTCAAATATTTCGAAACTTGAACTTGAAAATATAAAATCTCACCTCTTTCAGTAAATGTAGCATTTCATCCACATGAGTGATGAACAGAAAATCGATATAAACAACGTGGGTGGTCCAGACTAGAGGGGCAAGCAAAAGTGTCAACAAGAGGCACCAGCCAAATAACACTGAAATATTCAATTTGATCTTTCCATATCTCTTTAAATTAACAAACCCTGTATTAATGGAAACGGTGGCATATTCAATTCTTGCGCAATCAAATTTGAAATGTACAAACTCGGAAACACCGCAGTTATCAATAATAAACAAATCAAAATCACATCATAAATCAGAAATACAAGTTGAAGAATTACAAATGGCACCAAGCACATTTTTGCTCCGTGAAATGCGCCATAAATTGCAGAAAATATCACGGAACCTGTAACAAAATGTTTTCGGATATTTTTTCTTGAAAAATAAATCAGATTTCAAGATTTAGAAAAACATACCAAGAATAATACAGGCAAACATTATTGATACTCCGTTTCCAAAAATTGAGATGAATAGGATAATTGATAGATAAAATGGGATTGTGAAGATTGTCACAAGTTTTGTTAGCAGCTGAAATTATAGATTATTTTGACTTGAGAAAACATCAGAGAGAATTTATGTAAAATGTCTGGGTTTTCTGGCAACTTGGTTTCTTTTTGAAATTTGGAATGTTTTTGAAATTTGGAAAATTAATAGCTTTTTTTTTGGGTTATCTGAACAGTTTTCAAAAGTCAGAATCCCCCTTACCAAAACATGTATCCTCCTGCCACAGTACGAAAACGGATCATAGCCTAATTCATGCACTTCTGTCTCAACATGTTTATTCGTTTTTTGTCTTTTATTTGTTGTCGCATCAGCCGAAACCAGAATTTCGCTGAAAACAAAACGAAATTGAATTTATTTGGATTCATTTAATCCAAGCGAAAAAAACTAGGAATAAACTTATGAAAGTCAACTCACATCTGATGTTCACATCCACTTGATGAAGATTCATTGTGTTCTTCATTCATTTTTTCTTCTTCCAAAAATTAATTTATCTCATTAAAAATCAGTTTTCCATCAAATCAAATAGGCTCTGAAAACAAACGTAAAAACAATGAGAATCAAAGATTTCAGCACGCATGAGGAATGAATAACAAAAATATGGAATAAATAAGAAATGATCAACGGTCACCAATTTATTATCCAAAAAATGTTGTTTTTTTGCCGTGTTCTCGAACATTTTTCTTTCTATTTTTTCTCTCCGCAATTTTTTTCGCCTTCAAAATTTGATTTATACTTCTCAATGGAAATATATACATCATAAAAAATTCAATCAAAAAATGTGTGTTTTTGGTCTATGTCTTTTTCAATTACATCATAAAGCACTGTGTTTTTTTCCACAAAATAACAGCAAAAAGTTCTTCTAGAATGAATAAAAAATCGGTAAATAACCTAATAAAAAGGCACTGAAAACAACAATTTTCTTCCGGTGCTATACTATTTAAATGTATGCACTTTCCGAATTTGATTCGAACACGAAAACAAATGATTTATTTGTTCCGCTATAAGTTTGACTTGAAGGCTTTAAGGGTTGAAACAATAAATGAACATGAGTCATAAAAAAATAAAAATGTAATAACTAAATATTGAGAAAGGAAATTGAATTGAATTCAAATGTATAATTTAATATTACATGAAAAAATATTATATAAAAATAAAAATAAAAAATAAATGAATCACCTTGAGAAATAAACAAAAATAAAATGAAAATTTGTTGGTTTCCCATTCTTGGAAGATACAAATTTCTAAGCTTTTTCGGGTTGGGAAAATTCCTCTAAAAATAGACAGTTTTGTGTTTCAGAAGAAGAGGGGTTCTGAGAAAAATAGGTTTTTTTTTCAGAAATATGCATAATTTTCAAATTTTATAGGAAATTGAGATTATTTTAATAAATAGCGGGATTTTCTAGAACATACTGGATTTTTGAGGTATTTTTCAAGGATTTTCAGATATTTCTCAAAATTATTCTAAAAATTTTGTCTGGAATTTCTAGCTTGAAAAAATTATTTTCAAGAATAAATAAATCTCTTTAGACTTTTCTTATCTGATTTTTTCAAAACAAACAAATACGTAGGTTTCTTTAATTACGAAAAAAATCAAGGTCGATGAAAAAATCTGGATAATCTTCTAAAATAATTTTTCTTTCTAAAAATAATTGATGTCTGACTAATGCACTGACAAAAAAATCGAAAATAATTCTAAGAAATTTGGAAACCTATAATTTTTTAAATAATTGTGTTTTAGCTCATAGATCTGATGTATTTGCAAGACAAAAAAAATCGAAAGTTCGAGATGAAATCTGATACTTTAAACATCAATACCTGTTATTTTGATACGAATTTTTCAAGAAACTCAATATTTCTTTTTTACTTTTTTTTTCAATTTTTCGAGAGAAAAAACAAAAAAAAGATATAATGAAGGGTGAGGGTAATTAACAGAAAAAGTATATGTATAAAAAATTGCAGAAAATGGAATATGGAATATGGAAAAAATGGGAAAAAGGAAAAAATTGAGGGGAAAAGGAAGGAAGTAAGTATTGTCTCTACTACGCGTACGAACTTGAGAAGATGTTCAAAACAAAAAAGTCATAAATATTTTCACATTTTTCTAGCAACAAAACAATTTCAGCACAATCAATCATTGAGGATTTAAAGTTTTACTCACTAAAATAGTTTTTTTTCAACAAGAAACAAACTTTATAGCAATTACTAATTGTGTTTGAAACTAAAAAAGATCAGTTTTCAAACAGAAGACAACTAGAAAATGAATGTGCGAACTTGTTTTTTCCAAAAAAAAATGTCTATATAGAATTTTTAAGTAGTATGGCGGGTATTTTTCACTTGTTTTTCGTTTTTTTTATTTTCACGGAAGGAAAAATGGGAAAATGAATGCAAAAATAAATAAATGAGGTTTTTGAACATTCGCCAAAACTTGCTAATTGCTGGAAGATTTTTTGTTTTTGTTGTTTTTTGAAAAAAATGTTCTCATTATTTTTTTGAGACGCTCATTTTTTCAAAAAGGTCATGTTTTTCTGTTTTTCATACATAAATACATAAAAAAAGACATTTTGTAAAGTCGTAAAATTCTTTCTTTCAATTCAATTTTTTCGTGGAGCCGCAATTTGCCTCGACTTTTGGCATACTCCTAATCTAGTTTATATATTTTTTATTCATATATATTTAAATATAATATTCATAAATTCATAGCAACTTTCTCACATCAAAAAAAAAGAAAAAATAAATAAAAAGATGGACTTTTTTTGACACAACATTTAGCGCGAAAAAAACGAGCAAAGTTTGAAATGTTTCCTTTTTTGAAACGGAAATAAAATATATTTGGTTTGGTGAGAAAAAACCCGACTTTTTTCGCGTCACATTGAATAAGAGGAAAATTGGGAAAGACAAGAATGACAGCAGTTTTTTGATAGCCCCATAAAATTGGCCATTTGGTCCGTTTTGTTGCGTTTTTCTGATTAGATTAGAAATATTTATTTGTGTATTTATATACATGACTTTTTTCGAGTATAACAGCTGAAACTGCACTCGTTAACATTTCAAAAATATCAATTAAATTTGTGAGGTAATCAGGTATTTTTAGTTTTGAGAAATATTGTTTTTCTGATTTTAACATTTTTTGTAACTTGTCTCAATAAACAACATTGATTTGGAACGGGGAAAAGTTAAGATCCAAAATTAACTTGTAAGTTCGGAAACTCGAAACATATATCCAACTGGAAAACATAATTATATGTATAAAACACCAATACACGACATGTGGGGACCAGGCCTGATCGGAATGAACTTTGTCGGAAAATTCGGAATAAAAAAACAAAAAACTTGTTGATATAGAAAACTCATTGAATCTGAATCCTTGGGAAGATAACAAAAATTTATTTCATTTTCAAACATTGCCTTCTTGTGGTGAAAAATGTGCCAGAAAGCTTGACACCAAAAACCAATCAACTTATTGGCCAGCATTTTGCAAAAGAATGAAAACAACATTTTGTTGGACCAATTTCTTGGCGTCAAAAATCAAACAAAAATAACCCAAGAGTTCATATTCTCACAAATTATATGTTTACAAGAAAATTGTCAACGATTTTTGATCATCAGCCAGCTCAAAAATAAAAGTCTAATATAAATTTCTGAACAAATCATTAATTAGCATCATTGAATTTCCGTCATCATTTTTTTCTTAATAATTACCTTGATTAATCAACCCTCCTCACTGTTTTTTAGAATTCAGAAGTTGCGTTTTTCGTGAGAATCAGAAAATATATCTCTGTGTTTTTGATTAAGAATATAAAAAGAATAGCAAATTTCTAAAAATAGAGCAAAAATACTTTGATGCGTATAAATATTTCATATTTTTACGCTGATATGAGTAAGTAAAGTAAGAAAAAACTGAAGTAATAAAGTAAATTTTTGGTTTTCGAGAAGAAGAATTTTTTCAAGTGTCACTTCAGAAAAACTGATTATGTTGAAGACATTTTTTGGAAGACATCTGACTTCAGAATTTGTTAATTCTCACATCCAGCAGAATGTTTTTCATTGAAATATTCTATTGTTCTGGAAAATGAAAAAAAAACAATTGAAATTGAAACCAAAAATGAATCATTTATAAGGAAAAGTATTTATTTCTTCTCATTCTTTGCTAAAATTTGATGGAAGATCAAAAGATTTCTTGGAAAACCCATGCAAGTTTTGCAATCGTGAGTTATTTGAACAAAACTTGTGAAAAACATGGTTTTTGAGCAGAATTTTTGATTTTTTTTGAATACATGATTAAAAATGAATATAAATGTAAATGTTTTTCTTTGAATATGTTGTGAAAATGAAGAGAGAAAATTAGTGTCATTTTCAGAAAATTGGAGGACTTTGGTCAAAAACAAGACGAGAAAAAATAGCAGAAGAGCCAAGAGAAGATGACACTGGAAAGGCAAACATGCGAAAAAAATATACAATTCAAAAAAGTTTATCTGGAATGAGATGAAATAAATTGAAAAGAAAACAAGCAAACAAATAAACAAATAAATGAAGATTTTTGGTTGCCTTCTTTTATTCTTTTTTTTTTTCTTTTTAAAACCCATAATTTGATGATGAATTTTGATTTCAAATAACAAATAACATGGTTTGGTTTTCATGGCAAATGAAGATTTTGATGAATTATTAAGCATTTCGGGGGAGCAAATCTGGTTGTGGAATTCTCAATTGTGTTTTGCTGACGTGTGTTGGAATTTTCCACAAATGAGCAATCTACACATTTATTGGAAAAACATGGATGAACAATTATTGAGAATATAGGACACTCCGCCTAATCGTAAACATGTTGTGTATTATCATGAAATGTCACAACTAAAAGATCCGTGTGAAAATTTTAAAGAGACTTGATGATATCTTTTAACAAAATATGAGCAAATTGTATAAAGTTAAACGCACTTCTCTTAAAAGTTTACGGATTGTTTTTATGAAAAAAAGTAATAAATATTATGTTTCACAAATACTCATACATTTTTGAAATACCTTTTAATAATACCGTGAGAATAAAACGTTCCATTCTTTTGATATTCCTATTCAATGCCTTTTCTCAAATCCTCCTATTTTTTTGGTAAGTTAAAAAAAACATTATATTTTTATTTGTTTCATTTTTTATCCAAAAAAATGCGATGACTCATTTATCATCGCTGAAATCTAACCAATGTCTCTCCCTCTCTATGCACAAAAAATTGATCATTTATCAAAACTTTCATTTCGTGATTGTGTGCAAAAACATGGACAACGTTCAAAAGAAAAATAAATCGTCCAAAAATTGTTGGAAAACTTTGGCTAGCGATGCTATTGTGAGTTAATTTTTGGCTTTATTTTTCCATTTTTAGTCTAATTTATCATGATTTGTTGAATTTCAGCAAAACTCTTCTGGTCTCTGGTCAACTCAAAAACCAAAGAAAGAAGAAGAGAAACGTGACGACGACACTGGCGATTTGAACGAACGCAAAAATCGTCCAAAAAGAAAGCTAGATTAAAACTATACGTTTTTCATTGTGATTTTCAAAATATCTTATTCACTAAATAAAACTTTATATTTCTACTTGGTGGAATATGCGATACTTACGTGAGAATACTTGGCGTGGTACATGATGAAGCTGATAGAAATTGTTTATGGTGCTGTTGCGATAAAAAGTTGATTATGTTGTCCGCCCCGACGTAACTGAAGCATCGACATATCACATTAGATAGAACTTTCACACTTTTTCAGTCTGTCACTTACGCATTTTCAGTTAATTGATTTTGAGCTCAATTTCAAATTTATTTTCAGGGATATTTAGCAAAAACAAAACATGGAATTTTTTACTTCTTAAGGGTGATTGTTGTTCTTGGCATATAGACAGAGAAATCAATAAATTATTGTTCTCTCTCTCTCTCTTTATCTCTGCATTAGTTGATTGTGTTTCACGGTGCGCTTTTCATTACAAGTCGCCTGAAAAAACGACCCAGCGAAAAATTTTTAGGAGATGAGAGAAAGCGCGCTCTATCGCACACCATTTTCTCATTGCGCCATCACTGTTTCACTTGTTTTCTTTTTGTTTGCCACTGACCATTCTTCTTCCTTTTTTTTTCTCGGCGGGTGCTTTTTATTTTTTTCTCGGTGGGTAAGGAAACCGCATTGTGGTTTTTGCATAATAAAATAAAGATTAAGATTAACATAAGATATTGGATTAGAGAGAGATAAAATATATTGAAGAGAGATGAATTCTAGCGCACTACCGTTTTGACCTTTTTAATAGACGGAATCAGAGGCAGGTCTCATAAGTATTAACATCTGTGCTTAGAATTGAAATTGACGCAATGTTCTCTTCTTTTTAGAAATTTGAGAAAAATAGAAATAGTTTATTGTGCTGTTGAGATAATAGTGGTAAAAAGTTGATTATGTTGTCCGCCCCCACATAACTGAAGCATCAACATATCACATTTGATAGAACACTTTTTCAGTCTGTCACTGACGCATTTTTAATTATTTGATTTTGAGCTCAATTTTTAATTTATTTTCAGGGATATTTAGCAAAAACAAAACAGTGAATTTTTTACCTCTGACAGGTGATTGTTGTTCTTGTCATACAGGCAGAGAAATCAATAAATTATTGTTCTCTCTCTCTCTCTCTCTCTCTCTCTCTCCCTCTTTCTCTCTGCATTAGTTGATTGCGTTTCACGGTACGCTTTTCATTACACGTCGCCTGAAAAAACGACCCAGCGATAAATTTTTAGGAGATGAGAGAAAGTGCGCTCTATCGCACACGATTTTCTCATTGCGCCATCAGTGTTTCACTTGTTTTCTTTTTGTTTGCCTCTGACCATTTTTTCTCCTTCTTTTTCCTTTTTTCTTGGCGGGTGCTTCTTATTTTTTTCTCGGTGGGTAAGGAAACCGCGTCGTGGTTTTTGCAGTTCAATTTTTTAGGTTGAATTTTTGTGCAAGGTTGTTTTGTTTTTTGAATGATTATGTTCTTGTAAAATTTTATGATTAGCAAAATATGAAAATTTCCATTTTTTTGAAAGATTATTTCAGAAAAGATAAGGTTTCAAAAAGATAATGACTTTTTCAAAATGTAATCATAGCAGAAAATTGTTCTTACCACCCTGTCAAAATATCATCATCAACACAAAATTGATGAAAAATACATAGTGCAAATACATGTATTTATATTTACTTTTCTATTCTCGCAAGTATTTTTTCTCAATTCACTTCCCCATACCATTTTGCTCATCCTCAAACTAAAAAACCAAGCTCTTTTTGGTTCACAAAAAGATTGATCGCTTTTCTTTTGTTTTTTTTTTCAACAAAAAACACTTGATATTTGAGATCCTATGATGTCACGTGGTGAGAAAAATATTTTTTGTTCGAAATTGTATGATTCATTTTTCTCAACAAAAAAACATGCGGCACATTTGCGAAAATGTATGTTCATTGTTTGCACAAAAGTATTATTTTTATATATTTTTCCTTTTCTCGTTCCTTTCAATTAAATGTAATTGACGTGTGAAAATCATAATATCAGCCCATTCTTATCAATTGCATTTGCAACAGCAATCAAACCAAAAAAAACGTGCGAAAAAACCTTTTATTATTTTTTCAAACGCGCGCGCGTCCCTGCCAACTCATTTCTCTTTATCTCTAAATCTCTCACTCTCTCGTCTTTCGAGTTGACATAGCCACGCTCTCGCTCACTATCTCTTATTTTTGTTGTGGTGTGTGCGCGCGTTGTGTTTTTTGAATATTTATCCGTTTTTTTAGCGTTCTCCATATAATTTTTTGCTCTTTTCTTCTGAAAAATAATTGAAACGTTTTGCAGCTGGGTTAAAATGACGAACGAAGTGATTCAGAACAATGAGGTTGAAATCAAATTGGCACCACTGAATGATTCGAGAGATGCTGAAGAGGTTGCTGAAACTCAACTCAAGTAAGTTGCCCATAACAACCGATCGATAAATCTTCATATCATAACTTTGATTTTAGGGTTTACAAGCGTCGTTGGATAGTTTTGTTGACTGTTGCTTTATTGAACAATACAAATACAATTACATGGATCTCATATGCACCGGTTGGAAATTTCGTCAACAATTTTTACGGTTTGGGTAGCGCTGCTTCTTGGTTTTCAATGGTTTATATGTTTTGTACAATTCCGGTTGGTATTTTTGCAATGTGGGCTGGACGTGAATGGGGTCTTCGAACTGCTGTATTGATTGCTGGTTGGACAAATGGTATTGGTGCGGTTATTCGTCTCATCTCTTCGATGGATTTCATTCCGGTTGATTATCGCTTCCCAATTGGAATGACTGGTCAAGCGATTGCTGCAATTGCCTATCCATTCATTATGTTTTTGCCAACAAAAGTTGCCGGTTCGTGGTTCCCGGATACTCAAAGAGCGATTGCTACAACTATTGGTGTGATGTCAAATCCATTGGGTGTGTTGATGGCGAATTTGATCAGTCCAAGCATTGTCAAATCACCAGAGCAGATTTTGTTCTTGAACATTTTCACCTGCATTCCATCGATTATTGCTATGCTTCTAGCCACCGTGAGTTTATAGATTTTTGACTTAAAAATCAGTATTCGAACATTGATTTCTGATGCCCTATTTTAAAATTAAAAAAAAAGGTCGGCATTAAAAATGAATGAAAAACAAAAGCAGACCAGATAAAATTAACCCCCAATATATTTCTTGCAGTTCGGAGTCAACAGAAGTGAGCCAAAGATCCCACCAACCTTCTCAGCCAGCAAACCACAAATGGATTTTGTTTCTGGAATGAAGAGCTGTTTCTCCTCAAAACAATATCTCATTCTTTTGTTCGTTATGGGTGGCGGTATTGGAATGTTCAATTGTCTCTACACTGTCATGTTCGAACTTTTGTGCCCATCTGGTTATACAAACACATTCTCAGGACTTTGTGCCGCTTTGATGATTGTTGGAGGCGTTTTCGGAGCAGCTGCTAGTGGTAAGTACATGTGATATTTCAAATATCTAGTTTTTTTCCTTTATCAAATATTTTGCAAACATCTCGAAATTGGGCAGAATTACATAGAATCATCGAGCATTTTTTTCAGGAGTATTTGTTGATCGCACCAAATTATACGAGGAAACGTTGAAAATTGCATTGGGATTGGCTGTTGTCTTTGGTCTCACATTCCTCCAACTCACCTTATATCCAGGCCTCAACATTTTCATCCTCGCCACCTGTCTTTTATTCGGAGTTCTTGGTTTGGCAACATATCCAATTGGATTGGAGCTTGCTTCAGAATGCACATTCCCAGTTTCCGAAGCCACATCAAGCGGTTTGATTGTTTTGTCAGGACAAGTGCAAAGCTTGATCTATGTTTTCATTATGAAAAGATATACTAGAGAATTGGAACCAGGGCGAAAAGATGTTCAAACTTGCGGAGTACAAGGAGATACTACTAATATTCCATACGATAACACGCTCTCAATCTTGGTATGTTTTTCTCTTGTTTTTTGAACATCCTTCAAGAAAAACATGTTATCTTTTTCTAGATCTTCTCAATTTTGGCCGCACTTCTTGTCGTTATTTTGGTTGCACTTTTCAAGCCAATCTACAAACGTCTCGAAGCCGAACGTGGAAATCGTGCCGCCACTGACAAGGCCAAAGAAATGTCACTTTTGCAGTCGAATGACAGAGTCATCTTGCAAGCAGATAGTGCAGTTGAACCACTTCAAGACCAATTATTTGTTGTTGCAGATTAATAATTGATTATATCTCTTTCCAAACAAGCTTCCAAAAAATCAAATACGGCTTTTCTCCTTTCATATTTAAATTTGTTTTCCTAATTGAATTTTATAATGCATTTTTTGTTTTAATATGGAGCATTTTATATGCCCCCCCTCTCCCACAATAATCATTTGGTTGTGCTTATTCCCAATTTTTTTGTTATCTCATGCAGGTAAAGCTATCTAAGAGCTTTATAATTGTTTTATCTCTCCAAAGTTTCTCCTATTTTTCTAATCAATTGATACGTTTTATATTTTCACTGTGAATGAAGTTTTATTGAACAACATTTTCTTCTCTTTCAAAAGAAGTACACACGAAAATTCCTACACTGCATGCGTTTTTTGTCTCTCTTCTTTTTCTCTCCATCGCAGCCTTATTCCTGTTGTGTCGATTTCTTATGCGACATTCGCCGTCTTTGAAATGTGTGGGGGTATAGCTCAGTGGTAGAGCGCTCCCTTAGCATGGGAGAGGGCTGGGGTTCAATTCCCCATACCTCCAGAAAACTTTTTTGATTTTTTTTGCTGTAAATATTGTTTGAGCGTTAAAATTACGTGAACAACTTTTGCCCACCATATTTTCAAAAGTAGAACAATCTTTTTGTGTTCCAAAGTTTTCAATATTCAAATAACGGAACTCCGTATGACGCAGATACTTGATTGGGAATTTGCCCAGACCCTTTCTAATAACGTTCTTTGATAGGACAAGACATTTGGTTAAAACAAAACGTTGCTCAACTTAAAAAAAGAGAAAGTTTTATTCAAGAAAGAAATGAAAGACATCAAAATCATGAAAAACGGGTGCATAGATGTTTTTTTTTTGTTAGAAAAGAATAAAAACATTTCAAACTGGGAGACTATGTGTGTATGTAGCATGATGATGTTCGTCTCCACGATAACTTTCCTCCTCGTTTTCAAATTCTCTAGTTTCTTGCACAAATCTTGTCGTGTGAGTTCTCTTCACATCACGCTCAACAATTTCCTGCTCATCATCACTCAAGCAATAAGTACGTTCTCTAGTCTCAACCTCATCATATCCATCTAATGGTTCAACTCTTCCCATATCACGTTCATAAGCGAAGTTTCGGTAACTTTGACGATCGTTGAATTGGCGATTGCTGAAAATACTATGTTCTATCATCCGAAAATTTAGATTTCAAACACTAACTCATAAGGAATAGTTCTGGTGTAATTTTCATGAACTCGTCCTTCTCTGATTGAATAAGATCCACCACTTGCACCGTATTCATCAGAATATTCCTGTTGATTTTTCTGTGAATGATAGCGATTTTCTTCACTATGCCCACCAACCACAATCTGAAAGATTATTTTACTCATTCGAAATTATAGACAAAACATACCGCGGGTTGGACTTTAACCATATCATTTGTATCAGTTGAAACACAGTGAACAGCCACTTTTTCGGTTCCAACACCGCATTCTTTTCCGCAATCAGTCACAGCAACCCTGAAAATAATCAGAGTTTTTTGTTCCATATAAATTGTGTCCAATCAAACATACGTTGTTGTGGTGGTCTTCTTTTGTTGTCGTTTTTTCCACCACAATGCGAAACATAACGCCATTAGGCAACAGAGGAGCAAAAGGAGAAGAAGAAGTAAAAGGAGCCAGATCCACCATGGCCAAAAACTGCGGCTCGCTGCTGGAAAAAGTTGATTTTTTTAGAGGAAAAGGGGATCTGATTAGATACATATATGTACTTCTCAAGATACGAAAAAAAATGTGTTGTTGTTCGAATTTCCGGAATTTTTGAAAATTCATTTTTTTTAACTTTGAATAAACAAAAAAAACATTTTGAGATAATTCAAAAAAAAATTATGAAAACGTATTTGAAATTCTCTGAAAGTCCTAAATTGTTTTGTGAAAAGTGTATCAGCGAACTTTGATTTAGCACTTTTTGAATATTTTTAATGTTGAAATTCTCAATATTCAAATTCCAAACTTGGTCTCTTCATTTTCATGCTATGATTCAACAAATTTCAAAGATCTATGATTTCTGAAACGTGATCTCCAATTTTTTGAAACCCGATTTCTGAAACGTTTTTTATGTTGTATAAACCCCATATTCCATTCTCATGCAGTAAAGTTGAAAAAAACTATATTTTCTCTAAAAAATTCTTACAAATTTCCTTTTCAATTTCCAAAACTATTTTATAATAGAAAACTATCGATTTTTCACATGCCTAGTCTAGAATACCCATTCATTCAAGAACCCCCGAAAAACATTCCCCCATTTTATCATACCACCAGCTCCCAGAGCAGCTCCTCCAGCTGCAGGTGGCATCATTGGTGGCGCAGCAGGCGGTGGAATTTGATAAGGTGGCGAACCACCAAAATATGGTGTTGGATATGGTGGTGGAATTGGCATCGGAAAATGTCCTGAATTTTTGATTAGAAGAAAGATAGTTCAAGAAGTAGATCATGCAGATGCGGAAAAATTGAAAAACATTTTCTAAAAAAAACAAAACTGACCAGCAGCTGCATATGGTGGATGCATAATGGTGATTTGGTGAGAAACGTACTGGTTGATGAGAAATTGATGTTGTCGTTGGCAAGACCTCTGTAAAATAAGGCGGGTGGTTAGTCATATATATATGTTATAGTTATAGAAAAGATGTGTGTGTCTCATTTTTTGTGTGACACGTCATTATTTTCTCTGCTAATAACAATAGGTACCTCGGCACACCCCGAACAGTCGATTTCGCGAATTTTGCACTTGAACACAATTTGCTGGAAAAAGAAAATATAATAAAAATAGATAGATTGATGGTTAATTGGCTGGAAAACCATGATGCATTTTTGTTTGCTTTGTGTGATTGGGAAAGGATGGGTCAATTCAATTTTTTCTTGTCATAGAATTTTTTCTGAATGTGAAAAAAAAACTTCGAAAAATTTACGAAAACTTGAATCTTGAGTTTTCAGCATAAAAGTGACATTTTTGTCTGAAAATAAACCCAAAGCCGTACAGGTTGACAAATGGGTCATGAATTTTGTATAACTTTGCTTGAATTGAAAAATTAAGACAAATCAATTTTGATATTGGGTCCGTTAAGCAAAGTAGCTAATTCAGAACATTTTGAAAATGCTGGTATATCCAGAATTTCTGCCCCTTTCCCGATTCTTACCGATGATCTGGCAATGAAATGAACTAGAGTTCTTTTGATAGCACCAGGTTTATTGTATGCTTCAGTTTCAATCGATTGTTCAACACAATTGCCGCATTGTACACATCTGTAGAATTTTATTAATTTTGTTTTTTTTTTGAAATTCAATTTTCCACAATAAAAAAGTAATATAACTAACCCGTGTGCACCGATGAATATATTGTCATTCATTGTGCATTCCTCAATTTCATAATCGCGTTGCATTGTTTCGGTCAAATACACTTCGAAAGTATATTTTTCATTGACATTGTAAGAACTGATGGTTTCAAATTCGGAACTGACATCGTGGATTTGGGTGAAACCTGAAACAATGAGATACATAGTTGATCCTTAATGTTTAATACAAATTCAATGTAAATTTTAGAACTTCAGAGCTGAATATTGAGTTCGATATTAATCAGAACAGTGTATGAAGATTTTTTTAAAAGATTTTCCTGACAATGATAACTTTGTTCATGACAACCTCCAAATTCAAAGAATGAAATCAAATATTTTACAATAAAATTTTCACTAGTAGTTTCTTTGACATTTTCGGGTTTTCAAAAAATTCACAGTAGTTTTTCTAGATATAAAAAATGTTTTTTTGAAAATGCAGAACTTTTAAATTTAGTTGGGGAGTTATGTGATATCTTGTTCCAAGATGTGGCTACAGTTCTGTAAGAATTATCTTGTTCAGAACATTGTTTTTTTTTCAAATCAAATTTTTTAAAGAATTGATATCATCCAGAGTTTGTTTTCAATAGAAAAAAAACCATTCCGAATGTTTTTATACATTTTTCGAACTTATTTATTCTTATTCCGGACGGGATTGTTTTCATCAAAATTTCTAAAACAACATACCTGGATGTACTCGAATTCTGGCGTACTCGGCGACGACACAATTCAGGATGAGTAATATCAGAAAACAAAGCCTATTCAAGTGTATCATTGTGATAACTTTCTATCAATAGCAAAAAATAATATTAATATAAATAAAATAATATAAATGAAAAATAGTACAGCACAAACGCGACGGAAAGTAGTATATGCCTATGTTTGTATGTCTTGAAATTATATTTTTGGAAACGAAGGAATGAAGGAGGGAGGGTGCGTGCGGAAACACACGCCTATTGTAAAATGGACTGACTGTGGACAACGTTGCGTTTCTGCTTGCTTGTTGTTATCGTAATTCTGTTCCCGAACCATAATTTTACATGACTCATATTAAAAACATCTATATATCGGGAGTACGAAACATTTTTTATTATTTATTTATTTAATATATACATGAAGCGCAACCAAAAACATAAATCTACGAATTTGTTACTATACGATCGTGTTTCAACAATTCTTATATTTTGAACACAAAGTCATGACTGAGGGAAACCTTTAAACAAAAAAAAAAACAAATTATAATTTATTGCATCATCAAAGTTTTCAAATTCTGCTCCAATATACTTTCTCGAACATCTCGGAAAACTCGCCGAATATTTTCAGTGTCTACAGCTGTTGTGAAATGATAAAAGAATGGTCGAGCTCTGTCACGCCGTGATGCTTCAAATTTGTCGACTAGGAAAAATTGAATGTCTCTAACTGATAAATGATCTCCAGTGTAATCTGTGAAATATTGTCGAATATCCGATTTCGGAACCTTGTCTGAAAAGAATTTTTAAAAGATGTAATTTTTGGAGAAAAACTGGGACCAAGAAGCTCTGAGCCCGGCATGTAATATGTGGAAAACTGAAAATTTTGGTTCGAAAGATGTTTTTTCTTATTGTTTGTTCCGATAATAAAAGTTTTTCCCACATTGATCATCATCAAGTCTCATTTAATTTTAAGACATTTCTCCCGTTTCCGCCTTACCTTTCAATAAATCACTCTTGTTCATAAAAAGAATGATAGAAACATTTGAAAATGCTCGATTATTCACAATAGTTTCAAAAACTGATTTTGATTCAACAACCCGATTTGTTCTCCGATCTTCTAAAATAACTTGATCATATTCGTTACTAGCAACCATGAATAAAATGCTTGTGATGTCAGTAAAACATTGAAACCATTTTTGACGCTGTGATCTTTGACCACCAACATCGATAAATCTGAAAATTTGGGTTTTTCAAAGAAATCTCTAGGTATGTTTGAAAACAAATGTATAACAAATTTTTAAAAATTTTCCCTATAACCCTAACACATATTTAAAAAAAACTAACCTAAATGGGATTTTATTAATCTCAAAAATGTGTTCAGATATTCCTCGAGTAGCTTTCCGGCAAAACAAAATATCCCGATTCGTCGGACAGAAATCAGGAAGAGCTATTCGTGAAATGTGTTCAAAGAAATATTGGCAAGAATCACTCTGAAATATTATAATCATAAAAAAATTCAAATTTGAAAAAACCTACAATTTGAAAAAGATTGCGTTGATCATAAGTTTTTCTGATTGCTGCATCTTCCCAAAAATCACGAATAACCGGGGCGATTTCGATAAATGTTGAGAAATCAATACCTTTCAGGAGATCGGAAACTGTGAATCGCATGATTTTTGGAACATCTGATTGGCGTGATGGTTTCTCCCATTCGATTCCTAATTTGTTCCGGGCATCTAGTAAAACTCGCATAGCACTGATAGCGTTCTGAAAAAAATTTAGAATTGAATTTTTTTGGGAGTTGTGGTTTTGAATGAATATAAGTGGAAAATGAACTATTATAAAAAGAAATGTAGCCTAGAGAACCAAAAATTCACTTTTGGAATACAAAAGATCAGAATAATCTACAAAGTTTACTATTTTTTGGTTTTCTCCTCCACATCTTTAATCATTTCGGAGCGACAATACAAAAATTATAAGTTGTCATTTTTTTTGAAAAAAATCAAATGAATTCACATTTTCAAAAGTCCCAGATTTCTCACCTGATAAATCTGCTGTCGATAAGATCGCACCTCATCAGCAGTAAATTCTCCAGCTCCATGAATAATTTGCATTTGCTTTACAAACGTCGATTTTCCTGATTCTCCCGACCCCAGAAGTAATAAATTAATCTGCCTTCGCAAATATTTTCGCTCTTTCTGCAACTCTTTTTCAATATTCAAAGTTCGCTCGTCTTTTTTCGGAAAACAGCACAACATATTTGAAAGCCTGAAAATATCAAATTTAAAACAAAATAGTTGAATAAATAGTGAATTCTTTCGGTGGAACAAGAAAAACCATGACCTAACTTTTTTTTTACAAATAAATAAAATGAAAAAAGAGAAAAGGTTGCGTCACAAATAAACGCATGAGTCATCTTTTTGTTTGCAGTCATGAAAAATTATTGTAATTTTCTTACTCTAGTAATTTTTGGTTTTTTTTTTCGAAAAAAAAACGCAGAAATTTGTGATTTTGAAATATGTAGAAGAACAATTTCAACAGAAATCGTAAAAATCGTAAAAAAAAAAGTTTCGTTAAATAATTGCGTAAATAAATAAGACAAGAGGAAAGACAAAGATAAGTGCAAATATCGATCAAAAATTCAATCAATATTCCCTAATCACCAGTAAGCCACATATAATAATAACAATAATATTTCAGGAGAACCCGAAAATATTTGAAAACGTCGATTAAGCGATAACAAAATAACCGGTTTTTTTTCGTTCTCGAAGTAAGATTTTTTGCAAGAAAATTACGCATGAATGAATTATTATTGATTTTTACTTCACTACAAAACTATTTTTGTAGAATGATTTTCTGATTTTCTAATAAAAAATAGATATTACCTTATCTTGTCTATGAAATAATTTCTGCACTACATTGTCCTTGAAAAATAGAAGAATCAAAAGAAGATATTTTGCTGTGTTTTACTAGTTAGATCAAAATTGAAAACATATTTATTTATTTGAAAAAAAAAACTCTTACCATGTTAAAAATCTTGTGATCCATCGGAACATTGATAAAAATATATCCAATTTTCGAAAAAAATAATATTGAGAAAGCTAAAAGTTTTCTCTTTGGCAAATAAAGATAGAATGGTGATAAGAGGTGGATCCTGCTTATCCATAGAGATACAGACAGACAAATATAATGTACATACATCAAGTCAACAATCAACTTGACTTGACAATTTTTCACAATGTGACTGAGTGTTTCAGTTTTTGTCTCGTTTTTGTTTGTAATATGAGTAATTGAACAAAATAAAAATATTATCTGATTTTCTCTTTCTGTGAGATATATTTTAAGATTTGTTTTTGATTCTCAATGTTGATTTAGTTTTTGATTTATGAAGTGGATGAAAAATTGAAAAATGAAAGAACATCAATCTTGGGGAACTCTAATTTCAAACGAGTTATTTGACTGGGGAGCTTTTTTTTGAAAATGTTTGAAAAATGATGTTGAAAGAAAAATTATACTATTGTATATTCTATAATTACGAACTTTTGGGTATTGTTATCACAAAGAACTAAAAATAGAATTAGTACATTTTAAGAGAGACTTTTTGTAAGAACGTAAATAAAACTGGGGTGGTCTGTACAAGAAAAGTGATATTCTCTGATTTGGCCAAACTTTTTTTTGTTTGAAAGGTATGATACTTGCGGGTTTTATGCGCACGGTAGGACCTTATATAAAAAATTGGTTCACGGTGTATAGGTCGATGTTTGAATTTTGGTCTTGTTTTTGAAAAAATCGTAACTAGGCTCAAAGTCAATATTTTTCGACGATCAAAAAATGATTTTTCTCCATTTTTCATTCCGGAGAAGCTGGAATTAACGAAAATTGGGTGAGATTTCGTCCTGACTTTTTTCCGAAAAAAAATTTTTCAAAAAAATTTTTTTTTTTATTTTGGGAGTCAAGAGCCCAGAAAATAAGTGTTTTTAAAAGATTCTCCATGCAATTTTACGTATTTTCGAACAATAAAATCAGAAATTCTCAGTACCCCCCGTATTCATAAAAATCACTTTGAGATGCCCATACTTTTCTGTATTTTTGGAGAAAAAACACAGTTAACATTCTTCAAACTTTCTTTTTTTGGGTCCATTTTTTCATTTGTTAACTTTTCTGATCGATTACCGTCACTTAGAAACGTTCTAAATAGATTTAAACTCCAAAAAAGCCCAAAAACCACATAAAATTAAACTAAAAAATTCCAAAAAATGTTTTTTTTGAAATAAATGGTACAAACGGCTAGAAAATGCTAAATTCTGAATTTAAATCATTTTTAAAGACGATTTACATGATTTCTACCATTCAAACAATCACAACATCAAATTTTGAGTGTAAATATGAAAATTTCAATTTTTTCATTATTTCACACTTTTTTGTAATCGACTCCGTACGATTTTCTAAACTGTTTTTCAAGTTTATGAGTGTTCAAAATATTGTTAATAACTATTAAAAAATGTTATTTCAATGTTTCAGACAGTTTGTAGTCGTTTCAGAATTTTTACTAGTCAAAAAAGTATGTTCATTTTTTGAAAAATACATATTTTAGGTTTTTGAGGCATCCAGGGACATAGAATCTAGATAAAGGATCAGAACTGTTTTGAAACAAATATGAACGATTAGAAAAAGTTAAAACTCAACATTTTATCACGAATCAATGCGCTGAAATCAATTATTCAACCTTTCAAGAGGAGAAAATAAGTGAACATTTTAAAGTGATTTTTATGAATACGGGGGGTACTGAGAATTTCTGATTTTATTGTTCGAAAATACGTAAAATTGCATGGAGAATCTCCGGTAAATTATTAAAATAATTTACCGGAAAATTGGTATTTTAAATTCGAAAAAATCTTTTCGGAAAGAACCGTGAATAAATCAGGAAAAATTGACAAATGAAAATGAAACATCTAGCTTTTTAATAAAATCCCGATAGGGTGGTGTCTCGATGGGAGAAGGATTTTTCAAACCCTATAACCAACTAATGAAATAATTGAATACATTTTCAGAACAAATATCAAAAATTTTAATCTAATTATAAAACCAGTATTCAGTTTATCACGTTCTGAATTTTTTATCACAATTAAAAGTTCCTCGTGACATTAAAAAACATTTCAAATATAAATTTTGTTTCGTTTCATGGGCTTTCAAAATTGTGTTTTGAATTGTTCTGAATTTTTGAACACAACACATAACTTTTAACAACTTGTTCTGAAATAATGCTCTGAAACCTATTAGAACATTAGAACAATTCTTCATTAAACAGGATATTTTCAAAAATGCACTCTTTATATTCACAAAAAAATTATTTACAAAAACGTTTATTCATCGGTTTCATCAATTGTTATCGCGAAACAGTTTGTTGTGATATTTTCCAGAAAAATATTATTTCAAAATGTTTGATATCATATAGTTTTGACCATTTTGAACAGCTCCGTAACTCATTCAAAAGTTTTTTCGAATACATATCAAAAAACACATGTCCTCAATTCTCATTTCCGACCACCCAGTATTTTTTTATTCAGTCGAGTTCATCTATATTCCCCTATAAATATACTCCGCCCATTTTTCCACTTCTTCTTTTTTCTGTTTTCTTCTATCCTATCCCTCTTGCTCCGCCCTAAAACTATTTCCAAAAAAGGAAGAAACGAGAACAAACCTTTTTTGCAACATCCTTCTATGGTTAACAATTTTATTATTTTGATTCTATTCACAAATTTGTTTGAGTTTGTCAAATTATTAAATGAGGATAATGATCGATTAACAATCTCCTTGCTGAATGATGGCGAGAATTCTTCGTCTTCCACAACGTCTACAGAATTGTGAGTCTAGAGAGGTTTTTTTGTTGGATAATTCGATTAAACTCAGAGATTATTCAATTATTGTTTCTTTTTCTCAAGAGATAAAAGTGCATGTTTGTTTTCCAGAGCCGAATTGGAATCCAATGTTCCACTTGCAAATTTCGATAAAAATGAGCTAGAACGAGCTCTTTTAACAAGTAAGTGTTCAATTTCACCAAGACGCCAAAAAATAATAAAAAATTCTGTCTTGTCATTCATTTTATCCCCATCGGTATAAAAATTGAATAGAATTCATTTTTTTTCTTGGCTAACACAACAGAAAAATGAAACATTTCACAGCACTCGTAATTTTTCTATTCGATTTGTGTGAATTGTCTTTTTTCTCAACTATGCATAAAGAAAGGGGAAAAACGAAAGAAAAAACGAGGAAGCAAAAAATTTGAGAACATGTTTTTGTAATAATAAATAATGATGTTGTTACATACTTATTATTGTCTCAGGGGACCATATGAAAAAAGAGTTGGGAGGTTTTTAAAGGGGGAACCTTTTTTAGGGAACATAGACTGAAAGATAACGACGATTCTGGAATTTTTAATGTTTTTTTTTATTTTTTCAAAAATTATCATTGATTTGCAGCCGGTTTATAGAGAAAAAACCCTTGAGCAAACCGTCTGAGAATTACATATTTTTCCAGAAGTATCGATTGATATGACAGAAGAATCATTATACCGTACTCTGCTCAACACATCAGTATACGAAAAAGATGTTCGTCCTTGTCTACATCACACACATTCTACAAATGTCACATTTGGTTTTTTGCTCAATCAAATCGTCGAAATGGTTGGTTTTATATTTTTTTGTGTTCTTTCATATTTTTCAATGTCTGTCACATTCTTTGTTTTTTGTCGCAAAATAAGAAATAAGAGATTAAAGGGATTTTGTTTATTAGCTTTATTCGACAAAAATACCCCGTCATAAAAATATTTTTAATCAAAACGGGTAATTAGAATACTTTTTTCGTGTGTGAAGGAAGATGAATAAGGAAGGAAGGACGGAAGGAAAATGGAATGAAATAGAGAATAAAATAGAATGGAATTGATTATTATTTATTTATATGTTTAGTTGAATGGAGTTTGAATTTTATAGTGCTCAAGATATACTTTACGTCAGATCAAAAGTTGGAGGAACGTTTTGTTTTGAGAATTTTTGATTAGACTTATTCAGTAAATATTCTTGGAATAGATTTGAACTTTTTTGTTTGAGCACATTCAAGATGTTCATTTTTTTTCTCAGTAATGAAATCACAATAATTCTGTAAAATATCCTGTGAAACATAAAAAATTTCAAAATGTTTCATTTGATTTTGAAAGAAAATTTTAGTAGAACACGTTTCTCAATATTTTCAAAATTCTCCAAAACTTTGTCATGTCAAAGTTTATCAAACGCCTTTTTTCTAAATTTTCATCGTATAAATGTTTTCAGGACGAACGAAATCAAGCTCTGATAACCCGAAGTTGGCTCAACATAAACTGGTTGGATCATCGTTTATCGTGGAACGAAACTCGTTGGTCGCATATAAAAGCAATATATATTCCACACTCACGAATCTGGAAACCTGATATAATCTTGGTGAACAAGTATGTTCTGATCTCACAAAATCTCATTTCCTTTCTTTCCCTTATTGGTAGGCGAAAAAAAAGAAAAAGAAGGGAAGAAACCTAATTTCAGCAAAACGAAAAATGTTTTCTTTCTTGTGTTTTTCGACGGAACTTTTTCATAACATAACTAGGGCTAACTATGTATTTGAGACCTCGTTTTTTTCGCCTCAATTTTTTTTGTTGTTGTCGCGACAAACAAACACGAACATTTTGCATGCAAATTAGTATCAGTTTTTCTTTTCTCCGAAACTAAACGACAAAAAGATTTAGAAAAAAAACGAGAATCGCTTGAGGCACAACTTTTCTTCAAAATTACTCTTTTTTTCGCGGCTCTTCCACATGCAAAAAAGTGCATTAATTGACCAATCAAATTGTTGAACTCTTGAAGAAGTGCATCAATAAAATGGAATAGAATCAAGTATGCAAATTCAAGTTCCGATAGAAGAAAAAGTTTTGGGTTTTTTTGGGAATAAGAAATGCAACAAAACATGTGGACCTTTTCAAAAAATCAATGAGAACAAGGGACGAATGTTTGAAACAGGAAACAATTCAAAGCCGAAGTTCTCTTCGGATCTAGTACCCAGAACTTGCTTTTCTGTATTATTTTTAACATCACCATCTTGCTATTTTGAAAACAACATTTTTTCCAGCGCCATCCGAGAATACTATGCCTCTCTAGTTTCTACAGATGTTATGGTTACAAGTGATGGAAATGTGACTTGGTTATTCTCCGCATTATTCAGGAGTTCTTGTCCAATCAGAGTTCGATACTATCCTTTTGATGATCAGAAATGTGAATTGAAATTTGCATCGTGGTCCCATGATTTATCGGAAATAAATATTGGATTGAATACAGATCGGGGAGATTTGTCAAGTTATATGAATAACAGTGAATTTGATTTGGTTGATATGACAGCGGTTAGACATGTTGCTCATTTTCCATCCGATGGAAAAATGTATTGGCCGACTATTGTTATTACAATTCATATGCATCGTAGACCTTTGTTTTATGTTTTCAATCATGTGGGTTTTTTTTTACGTTAGCAATGGTTTTTTTTAGAAATGTCAGAATCTTTTTAAAAAAATGGAATTATTGTTTTCTGAAAACCAAGATTTTGATAAAATTGTATTTTTCAACAAAAAGTCTTAAGAAAAACTCTACCATTTTTCAGATTGTCCCTTGTGTTTTAATTTCTTCAATGGCAGTTCTTGGTTTCTTGATGCCTCCAGAAACTGGTGAAAAAATCAATATGATAATCACCACTTTATTGTCAATGGGGGTCTACTTGCAATCAATCACAGAATCAATTCCTCCAACTTCAGAGGGTGTACCTTTGATTGGTAAAACACACACCGCATTAAAAACTAGTGTTTCAATTTTTCCAGGAATGTACTACGTGTCTTCTTTGTTAATGGTGTGCTTGGCAACGTGTGTAAATGTGATAACCCTAAATATGCATCGGAACGGTGCAGCAAATCAGGGAAGACACGTTCCTGCTTGGATGCAAAAATGGATATTGGGATATTTGGCAACATTTATGAGAATGTCAATTCGAGAACCGGATAGTATTGCATTACTGAAATCTTCGCAAAGTAAAAAATCGACAATTCGTCGAAGTTCAATTTTACGCGATTTGAAACGTGTCAAAAACATGGCCAATGTGAAAGGGAAAAATCCTAGTGAAGATAAAAAACATGAAGATTGTGAATGTATGGATCCATTAGTTGTGAGTTTTTTTCTGTTGAAATTCTAGTGAAAGCTTCAATGTTTCATACTTTTCAAATGATGACATAATTTCAGCACATTTATGCGGAAAGTATAATTGGTTCACTTGTTGAATCAAAATCTTGCATGAATGGCTCGGCTAAACGTGAAGATTTTGCAAGTGAAAGTGCCTTTCTAGGAAAAGTTGTCAGTGATGGGGTAAGTTTTCAATTTCTTGTTTCTTTCTGAAAAACTATATCTTGAAAATTTTAGCTTATGCCAAGAATCAGCGCATCTTCAAATACAGTTTTATCCGAATTCGAGTCAAGGTTTCGAAGGATTTTGAAAAGAGTATATCGAAGTTTGCAGCAACATGAGATTCGTGAAGAGGTATGTCCCTATTTCTTTTTGGAAAAAATATTTTCAAGCAAAATCTAAAACAAAAAAAACTAAATTAAAATCACTCAAAAATTCAATTTGCCTTGATATTCAAAAAGTGAATGAAGAATAAGGAAAATAAAACAATTTCAAGGCTCATCAATTTTTTGGGTACTGTAGTTCTTTTGAAAATATGCGGCTAGAAACATTGTACTACCATAGGTATTTTTGAAAACAATGAAAAGTTCTGTATCGCCTTAGGAATGTTGAAATAAGATCTTCAAAATTACAATAAAAAACTTTCAGATTCTTGACGAACGTTCCCGTATTCAGTGGCAATGGCAACAATTGGCATCAGTCGTTGATCGCCTTTTATTATGCCTTTTCTGTACAGCAACTCTTTTCACAATCATTTGTCTTCTAATTGTTCCTGTAGCCTACCGTGATAACGATTCAATATTTTCGTACTTCAACTCCGTTCTTCTCAAAACCTAAATTTATTTTTTTTTCTTTATTTTATTTTCACCACAAATGCCTTATAAATGAACGCATTAAGAGAAATGACTTTTTTGACTGAAAAATATGTGATGAGATAGAAAATGATGAAAAAGAAAACGATTCTAAAAAAAAGTGGATTGGAGTGGATAAGGAAGAAAACTTGACCCGTTTAGTTTTTCATAGGTTTTTTCGGTGTATAAAATGAGAGAATTGGATGGCTGAAAATGTGGAAACATGACTTTTGTAGCAACGGTTTCTTGTATCACTAGTGTTGTGGTTATTACTGCTTCACTTTGCTCGGTTCTTATTATTGTTAATGATATTAATGAGTTGAGCAATGATATTTCAAATGGAATGGATTCGTTCAAGGTTTGTTTAGGGTTATTGGGTAAATTTGTGGTATTTATGATAATCTACTATTTCTATTTTCTAATTTATCAAAACTTAAAAAGCCTTCTCTTCCAATCTCATCTTTCTCAAAATTTTAGGACATTTCCGAAGCAACTTGGGGAAACATTATGACTCTTCACGGAAGAGAATCAAGAAAGCCTGAATTCCACAGAACTGTCGGAATCAATATGCGTACAAAGAGATCCTCTCCAGATTGTCAATGCCATGCTAGAGCTGCCCAATGTCCACCAGGACCACCAGGAGACAAAGGAGAGCCAGGACTTCCAGGTCTTCCAGGACCAAACGGAGTTGATGGCAAAGACGGTGTCCCAGGAGTCGCTCTTTTAGTTACCCATAAAAATCCAGGAGGTTGTTTGGAATGTCCAGCTGGACCAAGAGGACCAAAGGGAGAACCAGGGCCACCAGGACCACCAGGAAAGAGTGGACGACCAGGACAACGCGGAACACCAGGAGAGCCAGGAAACCCGGGAACACCAGGAGAACCAGGAGAAACTGGGCCAACTGGGGCACCAGGAAGACCAGGACAACGTGGAGAAAATGGATTGCCAGGAACTTTGTACGCACCAGGAAATCCAGGTCGTCCGGGACCAGTTGGACCAAGAGGAGCTATTGGAGAGCCAGGGAAAGATGGATCAAAGGGATCAAATGGAGAGCCAGGAAAACCTGGACATCCAGGACGTAATGGAAAACCAGGTCGCCGCGGAAAGGACGGAATTCCCGGAAAATGCGGAGGAGAAGGACCTGCTGGACCAGATGCTGGATATTGTCAATGTCCACCAAAATCCAACTAATTTATTTGTTCCATGTTTCTCAGAATATGAACATTTTTTATTCACTTTTCATTTTTAATCGAAAAACTTAGAAGGAGTTTCAGAAAACTGAGGATCACTAACAAGAAAACTTTTTTCCAAAGCCAGTTGTTTTTTTTTCATTTATTCTCTAATTCTTTTCATTTTAAAAATACTGCCGTTCTAAGAATTTTTGCTCTTGAAAGCAGGTGAAAGATTTCCAATATAGAACGGAAATGTTTCCCGACCTTTGCAGTTTTTCGGATTTTTTGAACTAAATTTGATGTTTTTCTGCAAAAACAAAAACTTTTCTACTAAAATTTTGCGAATATAATGGATATGCATCATTTTCATTTTGAAAAGAGCGCGGAATTGCGTCGTTAAACTACCGTAGCTTGAAGGCTTCTGGCATTAGGACCACATTAACTTTTAAAGAAAAGTGGGATTGTAAAAAAATGTATGAGTTTTCATAGTTGCTAACTTTAAACAAAACAATCCATGCTCTAATAAAAAATTATGTTAGTCTCACACGCCAATTTAATTTCAGGTTTCTTTTGGTTTAACACTGATCTTTATAGCCATGTTCATTTATCGAAGTTAAGTTTAGCCTTATCAGTTTTTAGGAATCAACTTTTTGACATTTTTGTTACCGCATAAAAAATATGTACTAATAAAATCCCCAAGAAATCAAAAACAGAAAACAATTCTTTCCAAAAAACCCAGACACTTTCCCATAATTATTTCTGATATATTTTTTAAATTTTCTCCTTACTTTTTCTCAAGAATTATATCATGTTAAAATGTAAATTTTCATATTTTTCTGATTTTTTATCCTCAAAAATCCAGATCAAAAACAAAAATTTCTCGTGTTTTTGTTGTTTTTCATTCCAAAGACCGCAAAAAAATCAAAATGCATAAAAATTTTCGATTTTTGAAAATATGTGTTTTTTTTCTATGCCGACCGACATGGACGATAAGCCAATTTTTTGATAACATCAAAAATTGTTTGAGTTCTTTTTTTTTTTGCAAAAAAGTGTACATAATTTGTTAACTCAACTCACATTTATCATCTATTTTTGGAAACATCCAATTATTATTTTTTTTCCCTTTTCCGAAATTTTTTTTATTATTTTATCAGTTCACCCTGTCGTTTCCCCTTTTTTTGATCAATTTGTGACGAGTTTTTTTTTCAATTTATATTTTGAGCTACGGTAGGGGTTCATAACTTTTTTCCTGTTTAACTCCATGATATTTTGTATCCAATTTTTAATAAGTTACTGAAAAATTAAGTGCCGAAAACTTTAGGCTACTGTAATTTAATGAATTTTGCTCACGCGTTTCATAAGATTGAAAAATAATTGATTTCTGTTATTCTTTTATTTTTTTGAGAAAAAACTCTTGAAGTTTCAACTTTGGAGTCAATGTATGCTTGCTTTCTCTATACCTCACGGTTTTCATAAAATCTTTGTTCTGCAACATGATTCATAAATAGCTTTCAAGCTTCAAGTTAAAGATTACTGTATAGTAATGAGCTCAATATATTAGGCAAAAGGCATTTTAAAATAAAAAATACAGTAGTACTTCCAACATATTCTATTGAACCAATGCTAAAAGCATTTTTATTTGAAAATTTATACGTTCACTACCACATTTCAGCATAACCCGACTTTATCTATACCCATTAGCTGCTTTTAAGCTTAAAGTTTTTGGATTACTGTAAAGTAATGAGCTCATTTCTCTGGCCTCACATTCAGCCCACGCTGAAAGCATTTTCACATCAAAGTTCTATTGAAAGCTTTTTCCCATTTTAAGTTCTGAATTACTGTAGAATAATGTGGCTTTCTTTAAGGCCAACCCCTTTTTTTTCATTTTCATTTTTAAGATTCTTTCAGAAAATTTTCGAACATTTTTAAATATGTTCTTCATACGAAAATATTTGCGCTAACTTCAAATTAGAAAAAAGCAGGTGAAAAATTTCATCGATAATTCCCAATTCTCCAAGCATCATTATTATTTTTCATCAATATTTTTGTTACAAAATGTATGTGATCTCAAAACAAAAAAACCAAAAAAAAAAACAAAAATCCTGTTGAACTGTCTGTTCCAAGTGTTTTGTAAACATCGAATCCGATATCTTTTTCCTAACTCATTTTCCTCATTTTTCCCTTCCCAAGTTTCTTGTTATTTGATTTTTGCACCTTATGATACATAATGATGACATCAATTTGAATTTTTTTCAGAGAAAAAACAAATTGTCACCCAATTGAGCAAATGGATAGTTAATCAGATCAAGTGTCAAAAAAGGGGGCCAAAATTGAGTTAAAAGTGCAAATTAGTTCCAAAAAAAAGATGAAAGCAATCAATATTTCGTGGAGTCTGGTGGATGTGGTACGAAGCACTACGGCAGTTTTTCAGGTCAGTTTTTCAACAAATTTTTATGCGGGGCTGATTTTGAGTGTTTGTGATTAGATCAAGTTCAGAAATATTACATCTTGACTTAAGTTTTTTTTTCGAACGACAGAAAACATTATGATATTGTATCAAAACTTTCGAATCTTGCACCAAAATTCAAATTCAGTTTTTTTAAAATAGAATGACAACATGACTCTCAAAAAGTTGACGCCAATTCGAAATGTAGTATTGAAGTTTTCAAAAGTCTTTTTCAAAAGTTTTGTTATTCTTTGGGATTTGTTTTCATAATTTTTCAGTCGGTTTTTTTTTCAAAAAAAAAACACAATTTCAAATATCTCGAGGTCGTGTCAACTCGAATTATATTTTAAGTTTTCAAATTGACACTTTTCATTTTATTCGACAACAGATGGTTTTTACAGATAATTCTTTTTCAAATAAATTCTTTTTCAAAAAAAAAATATACATACATAATATGTAAGAAAAAAATACTAAAATATGAATATAAACAATTTTCTATCCCACTTGACCCTTTTTTTCTCGGGTGTCATCTAGACATAATTAACATATTAGTCATTTTTGATTCCTTATTTTATTTATTTGGGTAACTTTTTTTTGGGTGGTGAAACATCTGGCATCCTACTATTTTAGTTCTTGGATTTATATATATTCATATTTATTCTGATGATTTGTTTGTTTATATGGATATTTTTGAGACGAGAGACATTTCTCGTCAAATTGATTTAGCAGAATTATGTATATTTTTTGTTTTCGTTCGGAATATATACTTGCACAATTTTCTGTTTTTTGAAAATAAGTTTGAAAAATTCCACGTTTTTTTGAATTTCACAACATCGTTTTTCAGAACTTGAATTTCACAATTTTTGAAAGAAAAATCTGATTTTAAAAGCTCCAAATCTGTTTCCAAAAAATTAGCCAAATACGCCAGACATCACAAAAATTTTCCGTTAAAAACTTCAACATCATCTTATATTCTCCTGGTCATTTCTCAAGTCTCAAGTGTCATCGTTCACAAAAACAAATATATATTTTCATATATTTATCAAGATATATGTATGTTTATGATTATAGCAAATAAATGCAAACATTTTTGAATATTTTGTCTTCTTATTTTTTCCTGCCATTTTTGTAACCCAAAAATATTTATATACAAAAGTTGTTTTAATACCTGCCAGCCTATTGTGTTATAATTGTTGTTTCACAGCCTTTTTTGTTTGTTACAAAAATTCTCATATTCTCTAACACTTTTCATTTTCATTTCCTCTCAAACATTATTAAAAATTTCTGGAAAATGGGAAAATGTTTTTTTTTGGTTTTTGAAAGTTGAGCTAAATTAAAAATATCGAATATTTTCGATTCATAAAAATTTTCTAAAGTATATAGAGAACATCGGAATGTCCCAAACAGAATTTATTTTTAAAAACATTCAAAATTGGTTAGAATTTGACACTTTTCAAGATCTATGAAATCTTATACTTTTCTCTCTCATAATTTTATGCAGAACCATACGCATTTTTCAGAAATAATTTTTTAAATTTACATAAATATCTTCAAATGTAACAATTGGCGCGTGAATTCAAAAAATCTTTTTCTTATCACTTATCCAATTCAAATAAACAAACATTTAATTTTATATTTTTCTATTCAAAACATTTTATTACTTATTTATACAATATTTTACAATTCATATTTATTTCAATACAAAAATATATTCAATTCAATTTTCATTCTTATTTGAATCGATTAAGTAAAAAAACACGAGAAAAAAATGTTTATAATATACATTTTCTTCGAGGCGATTTTATCGAGTGGCCAAATGTTTGCAGCATTTTCTGGTTTTCGCCTCCTTATTTGACTTTAGTTTAGTGCAAACACCATCTTACATCTTATATATTTATATTTATATAAGAGAATATATATATATGATTTTACCTGATTTTCGCTTTCTTCAAAATTTCTCTTATCTCACCTTTTTGTGCCTCCAAGAGGTTGATCATTTTTCGATTACTCATTCTTCCCTCATTTATCAAACAACATACGCTTCTTCTTTTTTCTTCATCGTTTTTCATTAATTTTAGGCGAAACGAGAGAGTTATCAATTTTTTGGAGTGAAATGAATGACGTTTAATTTTGTGTTCTTTTTTTTTATTAATTTTTTTTTGAGGAAACATGGTCAAATCATTTGTTTAGTTTGGTTTAGTATTTTTTAGTGTACGAAATTGTTTTAGATGAACAATTTTCAAACGTAACGCGAAATTAATGTTTCATTGATTGGTTTTTTGCAAAATCCAAAATCATTCAAGAAATCTCTGGAATAAAAAAAGTTTAGAGTGACCTCGATTTTCAAGGACAATTTCTGTCTTTAAAATCTTGTTTGAAGAAATTCTTGATTTATGAACTGTTTTCCTAAAATTCTAAACAATCATATTTTTTTTGTTAACATAAGATGTGAAGATTAATTTTTCAAAACTATATTATTAGAATGATTCTCAATAAATTCAAGATTTTATGAATTCCAAAAAAATCTAATTTTCAACCAAACGTCATTTTGCAAACAGTTTGTGACTTGTTAGTTTTTGATAATACTCTTTTTTGTTATTTTCTGATAAGAAAATCGGAAATTTAGTGTGGTTTGTGTACTTCTCCAGAAAACTAGTGTTTCTTTTCGAAACTGTTAGTTTTATATTTTTCTAGAATCTGTCTCTTTTTTCGAAAAATTTTTTATCATAATCAGAAGATCTTCTGATTATTATATAAAAGGTTCGAACTTTCCCATTTTTTCAAAACTTTTCACACGCTATGAAGTTTTTGCTGATAAAAGTTCACCACAATCTATTCAAAAAAATCGATTTCTAATATTTGCAAAAAAAACCTGTTCAAAAACCTTCATAAATATTTACCATGTTACAAAAAATCTTATCAAAAAGCCTCATTTTCGCTGCGTTCTCTGTTTTTTTTCTGCCAACAAAGTCTAGCCAAGTCCAAAATTGGGTGCATACATACATATAACAATAAATAATGGATAGATGGATAGAAATCAAGAAAAACTAAATAGCGAGAGATTGGAGAGTGTGAAAAAGAAATAGTGTTCCCGGGAGAAGAGAGTACAGAGAAATTGAGAAAAATGTGTAGAACGACCTGATCGCCGGTTAGAAAAAAATAGTGTGATTTTTGGAGAGAGTGTCCGAGAGAAGGCGATCACAGTGCTTTGCTTTCTTTTTTTGAGTGAATTAAATGAGAGTGTGTTGGTATTTCTTTTCTTTTCTTGCCTTCTTTTCTCTTTTTTCTTGTATTTTATTATTTATTATTATTTTATTTATTAAACAACGCAAAACATGTATGCTTCTAGTTTTGTATTATTTTCGATTTTTGTTGTTGATCATTTTTTTTCTTCTGGAAATCTTTTTTGTTCTTTCGCAAGATTTTGTTTCGTAACAGAAGCAAAAGAATATTTTTAGAAAAAGAAAACGGAAACGTTTTCAAAAAAGCTTGGGAAATTTTCTGATCATTTTTTTCTGAATGTTTCTGTGAGATGAGCTGAAATATGAATCAGCATGAGTCATATTTATTTTGAATAGAAACTAGTATTATTTGGAAAATTTACCTCATCGTTTCTATTTGCATATAATTGTTTTTCTCTAAATCATAAATTTGGATGTTCTGCATTTTCTGATGTTTATTTTCAAAAAATTGTGATTTTCTTGAATTTTTTGAATTTCATGTTGTTGTGAGAATCGATGAAATTTCTTTGAAACTTATATTAGTAATAAATTTCGAGAAATTTCCAATTTAGGTCAATTCTTTTTTGGAAGAAATTGCAATTGCTAGAAATTTCTGACATTGTTTTTAATTCCATGATTTTTAATATATAATTCGTTTCATATTTTTGATTTTTCTATAAAAATAAACTCGTATATTACCAAAATCTGAAAACTTCTATTGATTTACTTTTGTGGACAAAACTATTAGTTTCAAATTGTCCTTGCCACTTGGTTAAGCCTAAAATTAAACTCAACGAGTGATATTTTAGATCAATTTTTATGAGAATTTAGATCGAAATCTCTGACTGTTTTTCACAGAAAATTCTTTGAAGTTACAAAAAAGTCTTGAAAGTTCAATGTATAAATTTTGAAAATTTCAGAATACAGAATGTTTTCTTTTAAAACAATTTTCGCAAATTCAAATAAACTTTTACCAATGCTAAAGTTTCTCTACATTTTGTGAATTTTTCTAAAAAAAAAAGTAAGGAATGAGAAAAAAAAACAAATTGACCTAGAAAAAAGGTTGTCAATCAAAAATCCAATGATCCTTGTACATAGAAAGTTATTCCGATTTTATTCATTCATAAATCAATGAATCATAAAAATGAATGTACATATGTTTTCTTTTGTCAAAATAAATCTTCTTTTTTTCTCTTCTGAAAGAATCATGAATATTCCGAGGGAGTTTCAAAAACAAAACAAATAACTCTTTTTTGCAGATGACAGCTGGGAGCAAACTATGGAGAGGTTGTGCTCGCTGGCTGAATGATTTAGGTGTTCTTGGCACAACAGATGAAAATGGGAATTTGACAGAGTTTGCGTCAGTTTTGAGGTTAGTTTTATTTTGAACAAAAAAAGCATGGGAGACTAAAAATTACTTTTGAAAAATCGATAATCAGCTATTTGACTTTGATGGAAATTGTAGAATACATTTTTATATCGAGTTCGAGTAACTTGATTTGAAATCATAAATGGGTTTAAATTTTTCAGAATTTTAGCATTTACGATTTGGATCAGATTCATCCATCTGAAAAGTATAAACAATTTTCACATTGAACATTTGTCGGAAATCAAAATTCTGTTAATTTCAACAATAATTTCAATCTTGACACGTAATGGTATTTTTAAACTTCCGAAAATCCCTGCAAAAAATAGCCTCTTCAACAAATATCGAAAAAATATCGATATCGAATCAAATCAAATTAAAATAATCATAAAAATAATTTTTTATTGTTTTTTTTCCAGAGATGGTGTATTATTGTGTCGTCTTGCCAACATTTTAGTTCCAAATTCGATCGATCAAATAGATATAATCAAGAATAAGCATTCCCAGGTTGGTTAAATTGAACAACGCTTTGCGTTTTTTCTCAGGTTTTATGATGCGAACCTTTTTTCCTATTCGTTTTTCTTTCAGTTTACCTGCACGAAAAACATTTCAAACTTTTTGGATTTTTGTCGTACAAAATTTGGTATGAAAGAAGAAGATTTGTTCACTTCCGCTGATCTGTTTTATATGACGGGATTTCAAAAATGCTTGAATACTTTGTCAATTCTATCACATTCTCCTGAATCCTTGGCTAAAGATGTTTCGCCTTTTCCTGATTCGGAAACACCCACAAATGAGCAATCACCATCGAGTTCATTCACTCAAAACGGCGATGATGATATTTACCAAAGTCTCACTGATAATATTGAAAACGTTGATCCAGATACAACCATTTATGCAAAACTCAAAGGGTAGGTATATTTTTTCTGAAATTAGTATCAAATGTGTTTATTTTTTAGCGATGATCCCGAAGGCCAACACAATGAACAACTCTACGATCATATTGTTATGGCAAGAAAAAGTAGTATGAATGAACATGACGTAAGTTTCATCCGCATTTTTTTTTTCAAAATCAATTGGTAAATGAAAAACTTTCAGGCTTCACCAAGTGTAAAAAGAAACAAATGTATGATGGAGTTATTGGACACAGAGAAAAATTATGTTGAAAATGCATTGACAAAAATAATCAAACATTTCTATGAGCCTCTCAAAGGAATCATTCCACATGACGATTATCGAGTGGTTTTTGGAAATATCGAAAACCTTCTTGCACTTCATAAATTAATGTTAGAAGATATTCGATCAGTTGTGTCATTTTCATTGGGAACACCAATTGATCCACCAGCAAGGCCCACTTCACTTATGCATCTTCAAGATCCACCAAAATATGTGGGAGAAGTGTTTGTGAAGTTTCGTGATAATCTTCTGGAATATGGGCAATATTGTAGTAATTTGAAAGAGAGTCGAGAGACGACAAATCGATTGATTGAAACCAACGATTTTATTCGAAAGAATATTGAGGATTGCCAGAAATTTGATAAAAATCAATTTAGTATGCAGGATTTGCTATCGGTTCCATTTCAAAGAATCACCAAGTATCCATTGCTTATCAAAGAATTGATTAAGAAAACTGATCCTTCAAGTCCGGAAATGTCGTCGCTTATGGATGCTAATGAAATTCTTGTGGATATTTGTGATTATGTGAATGATATGCTTCGTGATACTGAAACTTTGAAATGTATTTCGGAAATTGAGAAAAGTATTGTTGATTTGTCAATGGTGAGTAATTCAAATTCATTGAAGCTTTGATAGAAATTGATATTCGAATAGTCTTTATAACAATTTTTTACTAGAATATGTATTGCTATTTATAAAAGAACCAATTCCCAGTTTTTCTGCATTCCATGTGAATTTACGATAAACAACAGGCGCTCGGAGTGTCGTTAGTTAATCATTCATTAATTCACATACATACTCTCAAAAACATCCAGAACTATGAGAACACTGCACATAAATTCATTATTTTTTTTCAGCCAGCTAATGTACGCCTGAAAGACTATGGACGTGTCAATTTTGATGGTGAAGTTAAGATGGCTGAATCAACTGCTTCACAAATCGGAAAAACAAAACCAAGATATGTTTTCATATTTGACAAAGTTCTTGTGATTTGCAAATCGTCAAACAAAAACACCAACTTCACATATAAAAATGCGTTTGTTATCAGTGAATTATCAGTGGATATGAATGTATCAATTGACACAAAAACCAGTGGAACAATAACAAGAAGAACTCAATATGTGATTCATTTACATCGTGATCGAACAGAATTGAATGAGATTATTCACATTGCCGTGTATTTTAAAAATGAATCGTCACGCAAAAAATGGTTAGACGCCTTCATTCTTTCCAAGTAAGATTCATTTTTCTAGATTATAAGTTTTAAACAATTTTATAAACGTTTTCAGGACAAATGGAAGTCCAACGGAATTGATCAAAGATACCAATCACAAGGTCACACTGACATCATTCAATCCGGATGTGAAACATCCGGAAGAGTGTGGCGTTTGTGGAAAATTGATGAAAGGATTGTACTTCCAGGGTTATAGATGTGATCGTAAGTGATTTTTGTTGATGGAAATTCATCTAGATTTTCAAAAGCTCATCTAATTATCATTTGTAAAATTTACGTTTCAGATTGTCATCTGAGTATTCACAAAGATTGTCTCAAAATCAAAAGATGCGAAGCTGTTCGTCGCACTTCAGAACCAAGAAACACGCAAAGTTTCAACACAAATCGTCCTCGCCAAAGTTGTGAGTTATTTTTCAAAATTTTATTTTAAAAACCAGTTCATAATCCGATTATTCCAAACATTTTGAAAAAAAATGAAATCAATTTTACAGACACATGTGGTGAAATCGTTGTTGCTACAAGCAGTTTTGCGCCATCTGATTTGAGCTATCTCCAATTCCGAAAAGACGATCGGATTGAGGTTCTTCAAATCCATCAAAACAATAAATTCACTGGTTGTTTGGTTAATAATCGTTCAAGAACTGGATTGGTTAATATTGATCGTGTGACAAGAGCTCGTGTGAGTGCTTTTTAGATTAGAACATTTTTATCAAAAGAACACTGTTTCAATTTTGTGCTGTGCTTTTTCAATATTTGATATGAGTCATATCAACACAATTTTTTATTATTGTTGTAGAGTTTTTGAAATATTTTTCTCAATATCAAATGCTTCATATTTTTATCAGAAGCTTCTGCTTTTTCAAAAGCTTTTTGTATGCATATATATGTATGTTTTCTAAAAATTATTTTTTCAGACAAATTCGATGATTGGTTTGAGCCCAGCTGGTGGTCAAAGTCCCGCGGGCAGCATTTTTCCGCGATTGGATCGCAAAGAATCGACAGTGTTGCCGAAAAAACCAGACTCACTTTTATCTGATGGGTTAGTTTTTTTTCTTTTTTTCATACATTTCGCGAGAAAAATTCAAATTCCTATGGTTTTCTTCGTGGCAACGTAAGCAAAAAACTTTTCATGTGACACAATTTCATACATAAAAAAGGTGAAATCGATTTTTGCAGAAGTCAATTTTCGACGGCTCCACGTGCCGCTTCAAGATCATTGACAAATGGATCAACAAGTGGCGCCAGTAGCAGTAGCAGCAATAATCGACACCAGGATTATGTGAACACCGAGATTGCGGAATTCCCTTGGTATATGAATGAGATGGAGAGAAATGTGGCGGAGAGCATTTTGAGAGGAACTTTGAATGGAACATTTTTGGTTCGATTTAGTAAAAATCGCAATCAATATGCGATTAGTCTCAGGTAAACATTTTTTGATTTGAAGATGATTCTTGTATTCTCTAATTGATCTTTGAAAAATGTTTCAAGAGTTTTAGAAAATTATTATTTTTTGAATTGACGTGTATTCAGAAAAGTTTCGAAATTTTGAATTCGAAGCTAAAAATCAGAAGCAACTTAGTTCTTCCTGAAATAAACCCTCCGGACATCTTTTCACAAAAACAAACTTCAAATTAATAATCAATCCAAACTAAACACCATCTCCACTAAAAATCTCTTACTCTTTCAGCTTCAAAGGTGATGTAAGACATATGATTGTGGAACAAAATAAAGATGAGAAAGTTTATCTGGATGAAGGTTATATCTTCAATTCAATAGTCGAATTGGTTCAATATTATCGTGAGAATAATTTGATCGAAATTTTTGCAAGTCTTGATACCACACTCAAATATCCTTATCAACAGTGTAAAGTAAGTTGCGAATTTGTAGATCACGAACAAAACAATAAATATTGTTGTTTCAGATGTTCAAAGCAATTCACGATTACGAAGCCACCCATCCCGCACCAGATGGAAAATTCCTCTCACTTCGTGTTGGTGACATTGTCACTTTGTTAGATACAGTTGGTGAGGATCGTGGTTGGTGGAAGGGTCAAGTCAACAATCAAACCGGATTTTTCCCCTTAACTTATGTTGAAGCTATTAATAATTTTGCCAAAACAGTTCAAGATATTAAAATTGTGTAGATTGATTTATTTGTATGCTTTTGCTTTGCTTCTTTTCATTCTTGCTTATGTGATTTTTTATTCCCTTCAATCAAAAATTCAACAGACCGTGTAGTTCCCAGTCATTCTCTCAGTTTTCCATTATTCCCTTTTAAAATCTGAAATCTCGTCTATCTACGTGTTCTTTTTCCGCTATGTTTTCTTCCTAAATGTCCACAGTTCTCTCCGGTGGCTTTTTCTCTCTCTCTCTCTCTATTCTTATTTTTTTCTCTCATTTCTGAAATGATTTAGCCATATTCTTCCATGTACAATATTTCCAAAAACAACATTTTTTATTTATGAGATTCCGGTTTGGTTTGTATTAGTATGATAAAATTTCATTTTTGTTTTGTGAGCAGCGCAAAAAAAAAGAAAGGCATTAGAATATAAACACGTTTTGTACAATTAAATACTACAAATTAATTAATTAAACCCAATCAATTGGAACACTTAAAGTTCCATCATTTGTGACGTGAATTGTTGGATTGTTCGAAATTCGGATTGATAAACCACTCGCCATTTTTTGAATCTCTTCAGATGAATTTTTCAGGCGATTCACACAAACGAGCAGTTTTTCAGGGTTAAACGTCGATTCCCAAGAAAGTGATTGAAGATTCAGGTCTTGCACACATTCATCTTTACTGTATTCTAACTCGTTCTGGAAAAAATAAGTTGGGAAAGGGATTTAAAAATTTTTTGAAGAGAATTTGAAGATATTGAGATGATTCTCTTTCTCTGAAAAAATTTGGGTCATTATTCAATCAGTTCCTGATCAAAACCTGGTTAATCTCATAGATTATCGGATTATTGAACACGGTTCATATGTGAAGTTTGAAAGGTTCAGGAATTTTGAACTGTTGCAGTTTGATTATGGGATTTTTTCCAAGCAAGAAGATAAGCTTTACAAAACAAAAGTTAGTTTCATAACGTGAAAACCCTCTTTGATAATTTGAAAATAATTCCAGTGATTGTTCTTCTGAAAACACTTTTTAGCGAAGATACAGTTAGTCTGCTGGACTATATGGGCTTGAAAAATGCCTTAAAAGGCCGGAAAACCTCTTTTTGTTTCATTTTTTTAAAAATAAAAAAACTCACCAACAATGCTTGCATATGGTGATTTATCCCAGCTGCCTTTTCTGCATTCTCCTCTAAAAATACAACAAGAGATGCAACATCAACATTACACGGTACATACAATCTGCCATCCAATCCAATGGCTAATTCATCATACGATGTGACAACTTCAATCATTGATCCAGCAGCAGCATTTGCTAATCTGACCAATAATGCTTCTTTTCGCCAAATCCTAGACATCCCAAAATATATAAAGATTTGAAAAATGTTAGTGAATTAACAAATTTTTGATTTAAAAAAAAATGCTCACCTTACAATCAAAGATTGAATTTGTGACAAAGTTTGAGCTAATCCTTTATAGTGAGGCAGCAATATTTTAGCACCGCCAAAAGTTCCAGCTAATTGTTCTGTGGCTTGTCGGAGAGCTGATAATTGGCTCTTTCTCACACTGTGCTCACAACAAGCTTGTTCCCATTGTTCAGGAACATTATCAGCGCCTAACTGAATTGATCCATCGCAACAAGTATATGAACCTCTGCCAAACCGGAGCACATTTTTATAAAGAGTTTGGATGACTGCATCTTTTGTTGAACTTTCAGCAGTGTCTAGGAATCTGTGCATATTTAGCAGACATCGACGCATATGAGTTTCAGCCCAATCCATTTGCCAAACCACCTGAAAAATTATTTATACTCTTTGGATTTTTGGGAGAAAATGCAGATTTTTTTCTTAAAAAATTGTATATTTCTGAAAATAGACAATTTTCTGATCATTTTGTTTCTTTTTTGAAATATTTGATGCTGAAAATTCTCAAAACATTGTTATATTTTGGTAAAAAAATCAAAGCGTGAAATAACATTCAAAAAAAATGCTGTTCATAAACTATTGAGCGGACCAAATATATTCCTAAACAATAATGGAAATAAATGTAATCCGGGAAGGTAGACATACAAATCCACTTCAATTCATTCAAATCCTAGTGATCCTCTAATCATTAACACTCTTGTTTTCTGAAAATTCATTTTCAGTTTTTCATTCAAAACAACGGTTCTGAATTAAAATGCACAACTTGAGATCGAGAAAACTCAAAACTTTTTCAAAAATCTCACATCCTTCAATCCCGTCCTATTTTTCAGTTCATCAATATCCTCCTTGATCGAAATTCGAAAATTCTTGGCCTCTTTGCTTTTCCGAACCGCTTCATCTCTTTGATTTGTTAGCGAAGCATGAAGATTATTGATTACAGATTTCTTCTTCCTTTTTAGATACCTAAAAAAAAACAACTGATAAGAAAATAAAAATTGCAAAAAAAACAGCACTCACGTGGTCAATAAGTCTTCATCAATATTTGATGTTGTGTATCTTGAATCGGACAAATTTTCTGAATTTGAATTAATCGAACTCGGAGCAAACTTTTCATTCAAATCTTTTGTGCTAATTTGACAGGATTGCAAAGCTTCTCTTACAATTTTGCTAGGATCCGTGCCAGTTAGTTGAATTTGTATCAATCGAATTTTTTCGTTATCTTTTTTGTCGACAATTGAAAAACTGACTTTTGTTGGTTTTAGGGATGGTGATATGGGAAATAAATCGTTGATATATCCGTTGAAAACTTGCAGTGATTTCTCGTTTTGTGAACGGATTTCCGGATGTTTTGCATACCTGAAATTATTAAAGTAATTAGAAAAAATTGTTTTTTTTTTCTAAAATAAATGGTTTTCAGATGAAAAATGGTTTGGGAAAACCGACTATATTATTATTACTTTAAAATGTTCTCTGAACTGTAACAAAAACTCACCTATCTGGATGAACAACAAAGAAAAACGGCCTCAAAGCCACTGAAACTTCGTTTAGCGTCAAATATCTTCTCGAACTCATCCATAAATTGCGCATTTTCCTTGGAGATCCTATCATTTTTACCGGTCTGAAATATATCAATTTAGAAAGAAGGAGCAATGCAATTTTTAATCATCATGTCGTGAGAAAATAGAAACAAGATAAGCAAAAAATACTTGGAGAAAAAATGTCGACAAACAAAGGAAAAAATATAGGCGTTGTGAGTTTACGATAAACAACAGGCAGACAAGCGGAGTGTTGTTTGAAGCAACAGAAGGAATTTGGGTATAGGAAGAATGAAATCAGATTTTTTTTGAAATTTGCCGTTATCAACAATGTATACAGAAAAAACTTACAAACTTGAAAAAGCGAAGTATTACTAAACTTGGATCTGTTCAAATATGTGAAGTTTTCCTTATTAAAAAAAAACTCTCGTGGTTCTTCTAGTGATGGTTTTTGAGGCCCATGTTTTTTGTGAATCACACATCCAAAAACCATTTTTCACATAAGAACCTAAAAAAATTTTTCTGAAAAAAATTCAAAATATATTTCTGGCAAACAATCCGGTTCTATAAAATAAAAAAAATTGTTGTTTACAACACGTGACTTACCAAAAAATCACAATTTCTCTCGATATACACGTAAATAACCAAATTTCCAAAAGGCTTTCCAAATTTTCTCACCTTCAAAATACATGCCCCAAGAACCTTTTCCTAGAAATATTACCCCAAAAATTTTTTCAAAAAAGGATACAATTTTCAAATGACAAATTGTTTTTCACAATTGTCATTCAGTCATTCAACAAGAACCAAAAACCAAGGCCTTATCAAATAATGACCAGTTATACTTGTTGTAACATTTTGTGTTTTAGTTCAATTTTAAATTTCGTTTTATTGTGAGTTGTTGGTTTTTTGAGCAAAAAAAGAAAAATACATCTACAGATATAAATGAATGACAAAACAGAAACATTGGAGTGGTTGGAGATAAAAATAAATACACATAAAATTAACAGCAATTGGAGGAAAATGTTTTATCAAATTATATTAGTCCTTCGATATTTGGTGGTTGAAGATAGGGTAAATCTTTTGCGTGATGTTGCTCTTCAAATTGTGGACGATATTCTCCATGGTTTTTCCGGCGATCTTTGATGTATCTGATGAGGAAAAAGCCAACTATTGCGATTAATAATACTCCGACCTGGAAAAATCGGACAGTGTTTTCTTATTGTTAGTTGGAGAGGGATGACTTGATAAAATTTGTAGACCTTTGTGAAGTATAAAAAAATATGATATTATAACTTTTTATTAGATATTTCTCGTGTGTTTTTCTAAAAAAAATTGATATTTCGATTTGATCAAACTTCAAATACCCAATCGTCTTTCATATTTCAAAATATTTTAATTCAAATTTTTCTTTCAAAGTATTTCCTTTTCAAATTCCATTCCAATATTGACAGAAGATTTCTTTGAATAAAATCAAACAATAAAAATGTTCTTGTCTCAACTTTTTGAATAGAGTGTTTTCTTTTATTTCTTGGCTTCGAAAATTTTGTTTCAATGTGACCTTTTCAAATTTCGGTTTCAATGGCAAACTTCAATATTTGTTTTTCAGATTTGTCTAACAATTTTTGATCGTCATAATATGGTTTAGTTGGAGCTGATTCTTGAAATTGGAGATCTGAAAACTCCACAGCCCTTACAGATTGATATTTTACGATGAACAATTAGACAAAACATGTTTTATCTAATGCAGAGAAATAAAAAACTAATACAAAAAACTAATCTTTGTTTGGACTTTAATTTGTAACGTCATAGTTTTTTGTGCAACCTTTGCCATGATTTTAGAATATAGCCTTTATACTTATTCATTATTAGAAATCATCCCTGAAAACTCACAACACTTGCAATAACAATTCCAGCAATCGCTCCACCACTTAAACTATTCGAATCTATTGCTTGTGTTGATTCTTCTAACACATGCGATTTTATTGTGGTTGTGGTAGCTAGTGTTGAAGTGGATGTTGTTGTCAATGCTGCTGTAGAACTGGCCATTTTTCGAAATATATTTCTTTTAACCGTTGAACATATACAAAATATATCTTCACCGTCCAATCGACAACCAGAAATAATTGGCGATAGAGTGGATGCTGAAAAAATTGAAAAATGGAAATTGAATAAAATTGTGTTCCAACGTTTTCAATCAATCTTTTCTAACTAGTTTTTTTTTACATTTTTAGAGAAAAATAGTCATTAATCAGTACAAAAATAAAAAATCAAAACATATAAACATATAAACAAAAGCAATTTGTAAAATGAAAAAAAAATCAATAATTGCTTACTGATAAGCATTTTTGGACATTTTATGAATGAGTAATTGTGAATAAAAGGATTGAGAGTTTACAGCTCAAAAAATTTGACTCTAGAAATTGAGCCAAATATAATATGGATAATTGAATCGCCAAATATGGATAATTGAATCGAATGAAGCCGAAATTTTCAAATTGTTCTTATCCAAAAAAAAGTACAAAAGTTCTGAATGAAGCCTGAGCAACGAGATTTTTTTCGGGAAACTATGAGGTTTTAGCTGTCTACCAGATTCCTCACATAAGAAAGGTTCAGGATTTCATGCCAATAGGATTATTTACTAATGTTCTCTTACATAAACTGAAGAAAATTTGAAATATAAAAAATGTATAACTTTCAGAGAATCAAAAAATGAGTCCACTAAAACCTCCAAAATATTAGGTTATTCATTTATTTATATGTTTTTGATAAAAAAAGCAAAAAAATGTATTGATTCTGACTCATAAAAGGGCAATATAACAATAGAAAGACAGAAAAAGAAAGATTTTTGAGGGAGGGCAAAAATGTTTTGAAACCTTGTCTAATATTTTGTTCAAACAAAACAATAAGACTACTACAATTCTTTCTATCAAAAGCAAGAGAAAAATAAAAAGTGTATATATATATAGATCAAAACTGATTGAATGTATTTCAAAATGTGTGATGATAACACTATATTTACTTTGCTGAAATTCATCCAATAAAAAATGAAGAATGAAAAAATATTTGAAAAACTTTTGTAAATAAAGAAAGAAAAATATGAACTAAATATGTATTTGAAATTGAATTTTTATTTTATTTTCCATAGATTCAAATGGGGAAAAATGAAATTCGAGAGGTGGACAGAGAAAACTAGAACTAGTAATATGCAAAACGCACACGCAGAAATTTGATCACTTTCAGGAAACAGAAAAAAATAGACATAGAGAGAGGGAATATGTACAAATTTGGGCGGTTTTGGAACTTTGAAATATTGAAAATTAAGGTTAGGTGCAACTTTCAATTGATTTGTAATCGAAATTTTCATGATTTTTAAAACATCTATGAACAATAAAAGAATTTGTTTTATCTACATCATATTCGAGAATATTTTTTGAATCTTCCAAATGTTTTTTTCATTTTTTTCTACAATGTTTTGGGAATTCTACGTTTTCTGAAGTTTTTGTTCTGCTTTCACCATTCAAAAAAACTAAATTCGAAAAAAAAGATCCACGTGGAAATGAATTTCACTGCAACAAAATGAGAAAATTTTTGCAAAGTAATAAGAAATAGATAAACCATTAAATAAACAAATAGTCCTTATTACTTCCTTTTTTCACCAAAATGAAAAATATATACACTTTTAAGATGAAAAAAGGTCAGGTTTTCTCAAGAGTTAAGGAAAAAAACATCGCACTTTTCAAGGTTTTTCCTAGACAAGATTTCTTTTTGATCAACAATCATAAAATGGACAAAATAAATACAAAAAAACATGCGGATATATTGCGTAAAACACTTCAAAATTTGAAAGCAAATATTAGATTTCAAGCTTTTTGATGTTCGAAAATGAATTGAGAAAAAAGAACAGAAATGATGAAAAAAACTTGGAATTTTTGTTTACTTTCATCTTTATTAATTTTAGATAGAGACCTTTTGAAACCGACAGAGAATGAGTCAGAATAAAGAGGGAGGTTCAGAAATAAAAGAAAAATAAAATTCAATTTTGGAATGTTGGCAGAAAATGTTTGATTGGTTTTGTAGAATTATTCTCAAAATGGTTCAGGAAAGTTCTCAAAGACAAATTTTTATGAAAAATTTTTGTTGAGAAACATTTTCTTAAAATTGGGCTATTTGAAGAAAAATCTCAAAAGAAGTATTTTTTTTTTAATTAATTAGAAACTCATTGAATCGAAATTACATCATTTTTTTGATTTTGAATAATGTCTTTCAAAAAAAGTTTGGAATTATCTCTTCTTCAATATGACTTTAGATACAAAATCTTTTTCTGAAAAACTGTTACAAAATATTTGAGAATCAATTTTGAAACGTACTATTTTTTGAATATATATTTTTTTCAAATTTCAGAGAAACTATAAATCATGTGCAATCGGGTTTTTTCAGAGCCCTATAATTAACTGAATGTAAGCTTCTAGGAAACGCTGAATGTAAAAAATTCTAACATTTTTTGCAACACTTCAAACACTTCAAAAAAAAAGAAAGAAAAATGCCCAATTAAAATTAAATCGCAGAAAAAATGAAACACTATGTATTTACACTAGCGCGATTGCGCAAAAAATGACAAAAACACGAAAACGATCTTGGTGAGAAAAAGGACAAATGATAAACAGATATGATATATTAGCAAAAGGTAGTTTCTTCTTGTTTTATCTTCTTTTTTTTTCTAAATCTTTTTTCATCTTGAGAATGAGAATGAGAAAAAATTGGCAAACGCGCGCGGAACAAAAATGTGGTAAAATAAAAGTAAACAATATTTTTCCCTTGCAAGATTTTTTTTGTAATATTTTTTGAAAAAAAGAAAAAAAAAGTGTCTGTATGTAGATGACCTTTAGATGAAGATCAGAAAGCATATAAAAAATGAAAGTTGTTGAGAAGCGGAAAACACACACACACACAATGAGGATTCTCGAGGGGCACATTAATTTTGGTGAAACTTTTTTCTCTATTTTTTGTTGGTTGGTTTTTCATGTTAAAATTTGGAAAAATATTTGATAAAAAGGTGTGACATAAGAAAATTGATGAAAATTTTACAGCGCCTCTAAAAAAGTCTCATAGGGTCCTGTAACGCATAAATGGTTTTTAAATCAGAACATTGTTATAGGAAAACCCACGTTGGACTTATTACAATAGTAAAATTAAAACTTGATAAAATCTAAAAATAAATGATAATAGGGTTTGGGAATTCATATAATTCTAACAAAAAAGCTTAATGTTCAAGCAGGTGTTTTTCTAAATGCTTCAATTTAATAATTTGTTTTGTGAACTCAATATTTCTCTCTCAAAACTAAAAACATTTCTAACAAATTCCATCATAAAATTGCCAAAAGAAAAACATTAATCCCTGACTTACCGATCAGACAATTGAAACTCTCCCAACAAAAAATATGTGAACATGGCGGACTTTCAGCGCAACTTGTTTGTGCAGAAATGAGCACAAATGGTTGGGATGAGCAATTTGCCGACATTTATCGAGAAAATAGCTTTTTTTAAAGAAAAAATGAAAGGTTTTTGGGAAGGAAGAGGCTACTTGAAATTAACATTTGTCGCCGGCTTTGTTTTTCGAGTATCAACATACTTGAGTTGATTGTTTTTTTGAACAAGCTTTGTTTTTTGTGTGCATTTGAATGTGTATTTTTTCGAATATTTTGAACACATCATTCTCAAGTTAATTATAGGTTTTGTGAAGATTGAAAGAGAATGTTCGCGTGCTTTAAAAATGTAGATGTCTAGAATCTAAAAGATGTGAAGCATAGGTACTTTGGTATGTCAATCTGTAAACCAATTACACATAAAAGACCGTCAAGAAGCAACGCATGAAATCTAATAAATACTGCCAAGCCGCGTTTTCAGAAAGAAATATAGTGATTCCACTTTTCTTTAAATTTAATAATTGGAAGTTGTGTTTCTGGATATCTCATCCCAAAATACTTTAATATTTTCCAGTTCACAACCCCAAAAAACTCTCAATTTTTCTCACCGAAAATTTTATTTTAATCCTCTTATTTTTTTCGAAAATATTTCACAATAATATGTTTTCTCTTTTCTTTTTTTTGATTGAGATCTTTCAAGTTTTTTTTCCAGCAACAAACTATCATAGCTCAATTCAATATTTATTTTAATTTAAAAATATAAAATGCAAAAAAGTTCCCACAGTTATCAAGTTCTTTTTTTTTCAATTATTTCACCTTCGAGTGCAAAGAGTAAACATTCATTCTCATTTTATTTCAGATAAAATTGCAAAAAAAAATTTCAAATTGATAAGGGTTGATTGACTCGACTGGTCTGGAAAAGCAAAAAGCGGAAAAAATGAATAATATTATGTGGTTATATAGGGAAAAAAAACGAAAAGTTTAGTAAATTGGAGTTGAGACAACTTGGAAACGAACACGTTGTCTGGATCTTCTTTGAGCTCCATCGTAGTGAGAATTCCAGTTGCGATTGACAGCAATGAGAACTCTGCGGCGGTTATTAACATCCAACAGTTTCTTAAAGAAAATACCTAATTAATCAGAAAGCCTTTTAATTAATTAATAAACAACCTGGATGTCAAAGAGATTCATGACTGCAGTCGAGATAGTTTCCATTGATTGGAACAAAACAACAATGATGAAAATTGTAATACAAGTTAACACGGTGTGCCAACCTGGAAAATGAAAAGAGAGATAGAGAAATTCAATATATATTTTTTTTGGTTATTTTTCTATTTCATTTTATTTCACTTCATATATATATGAATATGAATATGAAAATAATATGAATGGCAAAATAAATGAAAATATATAGAACTTACAGAACAATAGGCCATCTTCTGAATGAATCAAAAGTGTCGAAAAAAGTGCGGCAAACAACATTAGGTTAAATGAAACAAGTGTGGCCTGAAAATAATCATATTATCAGTAGTTTTGATAAAAGGTTAGACGAGACAAGAAAAAAACATACGAGAACGATGAGGATTGGTATAACGAACATTGCACGGACAATGAGAATCGCACGACGTAAACACATTATGACAATTGTGTATAGGAAAAGGGCATAAGTGTAGAAGAGAACTAACTCGAAAGCTGTCTGTTAATCAGAAATTTGAATAGATTATTAGTTCTTATGGAGGGAGGGGAGTTATCAGGCTTGTCTGGAATTTTTTCAGAAAACAAAATTGATAACAGAGTTTTTGAGTTATCTACATTATTTTACAGCTTACATATTCCTAAAGTCACGAATCACACATCAATGTTCTATGTTTGTGTTTCAAAAGAATTGAGGGTTATTCTAAGAAGTCCAATTAAATCTTGTTTCTGACCCCAAACAAGCCTGATTTTTGTTCTAACTCACAAACTCAAAAAGTCCCATGTTTTGCGATGTGCTGATCAAAAAGACGGTCGAGAAAAACATGAAACTTACAGCTTGCTGGAATTTTGTTCAATTTCTAATAGATTTCTGTTTTTCTATTTTTAAATGCAAAAAAAGTACAGAAAAATTTGGAGATACAAAAAATGTTTTTTGATTTTTTTTTCGAAATCGCGAGTAATCAAAAATCGTTTTTTTAACAGCAAAGTTTTCTGAAATTTCATAATCATTTCGAAAAAATACTAAAAAATTTAGATTTCTATTAACAAATACTCAAAATGAATAAACTGTATGGGTGGTCTCACTATGTATCTTTCCTATTCCTATCAAAAACTGTTCCCTAAACAAATCAGTTTTGCTAATTTTTTTTACGTAAAATCAGAAAAGCGAAAGAAACCTATCAAATCAAATTACGGAACACGAAAAAAAAGGTTGTAAACCATTCTTTGTTGTTCTGTTTTTTTTTCAAAAAAAAATAACCAAAAAATAGGCAAAATGTTGCAAATTAGAAAAAACCCCAAACAAAGGTGTTTTGTCCATTTTTAGGAAAAGAAACTGGATTTTATGAAATAGTTTTTCTTCAGTTTCATTATCAACCTATATGTAAAAAAACAATCATTAATTCTATTTTGTTTTTTTCTCAAACAGATGGATGAGATACACGTGGTTCATAGATAGGACAAAGTATGTTATAAACATATGTATTTGGAAAAGAAAATGATGAAATCAAAAATTGGTCTAGTTGAACTACATATACTTTTGGAAGGAATTCGGTTTCGAAAAAAATTCAATCAAAATATCTTGTAGTTAATTTTAAATTTTAGAACTTCACGCACTTTTCTTTGGTATAGGTTGTTTTAAAAAGTACAGAATCTATCTGATAAATGTTTGATTGATTGATAAATGTTGCGTAATAAACTTATTTTCAAAACCAACTCAAATCAGGAGAAACTTGAATTTTAATGTTGTGAATCATCTTTCAAAATATTATAACACCATGTGTCGATATTTATTTTCAATATTTATTTGTGAATCATTTTTACTGTTCGAAAGTTATTGAATGAGATTAAGAGTAACTGACTTTCTTAAAACTTTCTAGATATGTGTTTTGAGACCACCCACGGCGTTTTTGAATAATTATCAATTTTGTTAACGTTTTTAATCTACCGAATTTTATAAAATTAATAGAAATCTCTGATCTTAACAATTCTGAAAATCATTTATTTCATAAAAAAAATAAACTAACCCGCAGTCCAACTTCTTGAATCAAGATCAACGATGGAAATCTGTTGACAAGTCGTCCTCTGCGTACCTCGTAAGTTTCGTTTGCATTCATTACCTAAAAATAATTCAAAATCGGAAAATTCTATGAACTCCTGAAAACGTAAAGTGAAGAAAAATCCCGAAAACTTTTGTAGTATATTTTTTTCATGTTGTAATGAGTACAATTTCAGAACGGGAAAAGGGGGCTGTTCTTGGAAATAGTGTGTTTTTACGTTCATCCATCTTGGGCTTTTAGCACAGTTAATGGTGTATGGCGAGTGTTTAGCGGGGGTTTGAATGGGGTGAATTAATGGAAGATGATGAGTGGTGGTGGTGAAATGAGTTCGACAACACACATTTCCCTTTTGTAGATTTAGTATGGAAAATGTGGTTTTTTGTTTTAACAATCAAGAGTTCTTGGCGGCAAAAAATTAAATTTCGCAAGTTCAAAGATTGTGAATTTTTAAACAAAAACCCTATTTTTTGGTAATTGAAAAACGAGCAAAAAAATTTAAAAATTGAAATTTAGAAAAAACAAATGACTTATCCCTTCGACGCATTTCTTCGAAAATTCTCATCATCTTAACAAAAACATTGAAGGCACTGTAAATTTTAAAAATATTTTCAATTTCTGAAATAATTCTGGACAAAAAGAAAAATAGTTTCGAAATAAATTTGAAGCAAAACATTAAAAAGAAGAAAACTCTTATCTACAGTACCCAGATAAAAACCTACAAATCTGTAGATGGTTGTGTTCCGGAAAGCATTTTGCATGTGACGAATAGTGTCATTCATTTCGAGAGTTTCATTCATTTCAAGATTTGAAAATCTGCAAAAAACCAAACAAAACTAAAAAAAGCGCAATTAAATTTGACAAAAACGACAATGATTGTATCTCAAAACATAGAAATGGCACAAAAATTACACAGTTTTCTAGAAAATGTTTTTTTCTTCAACGCTTTTTATAAGATAAAAAAGCAAATGAAAAGAACGAAAGAGTTTGTAGGGAGAAAATATCCCATTTCTCGTATTAGTCATTCCGTTTTTCGCTTTGTTTCCAAAAAGTAACTAACATTAGGAAAGGTTACTGGGAAAAACTACCTTATACTATTTTTTTTTTTTTTTTAAACCAATGTGAGAATGAACTTTTGGATTCAAGAAAATAGTAATAAAATTTTTGTAGGGAATTATATTTGTAAGTTCATTAATTTTTTTTATTCAAAAAATTATGAAAAAAGCGGAGCTACTACTATGCACTTTATAAATGTTAAAAAGTACACAAAATACAAGCTTGGAATTATTGTATCACCCGAAAATGTGGTTGTTATAATGTTAATATTTTCAAATTGTAAGTAGGATTCCAGTATTTTAATTTCGAACGGATAAAATACTTTTAAAAGTTTGGAACGGTACAAAATCAAATTTTAAAAAACCTCGTAGAACTTAGAACGGGGCAAAACACATACGATTAAAAATAGAATAGTCCGCTATGAGTTCTTACATTTAGGCTTACATTCAGAAACACGGACAATTTGAGTTTTCTTTGTAATGAGTTCTAATATGAAAAATGATTGTTTCCCAGGTAAATAGATGTCGGTGCAACCGAAAAGTCGCGGAGTCGTCGTTGAAGTTCATTTTTTCTGGAGTATTATACACCTAACTTAAAGTTTTTCCAATGCAATTCAAAAAACAATTCATTTTTAAAACGTTTCCTATATTTTCTATAGGAGAAGCAATGTTATATCCAAAAAATTGAAATTTTTTTCAATCAACTGATTTTTGACTTTCTTTTTTTGTATGAACTTTCCGATGTGTCAAAATTGTATTTCCTGTGTCTTCCCAATTCCACCAATTCTTCTTCCTAATGTTTTGTACATATATTATTCCAAAACAAAAATTCCTCTTCTCATCATTTTGCATTCTCAAAACCTATAAAAATGATAAGTTTATGACCCGAGCTGTAAAAGGAACTTTTAATTGTTTGTGCATACACCACCCACTTATCACTTATTTTTCTAAATATATATTCATACAGTAAACTTTTAATAATTTTTTATTATTGTGACTTTTTCGAAGATTTTTCTTTTGTTTATTGCTATTTGTGTTTTTTTTTTTCATAATTTGAAATGAGGTGAAATTGAAGTAAATTGAAAAAAAGACGGAAGACAAAAGAGTATAAAGAAGAGGGGGAGCGCGACCGTAAATCGTTTTATGATTCGATTCGTCTTTCTATCAACCACTATTTTGTTCGCAACAATTAACCTCATACAACTTTCAACACAAAAAATAACACACATTTAATTTTCTCACATTTTATGATCCAAAAGTCCTATTTCAAAACTTTCTAACTAACAGTAAAAAAAAGATAAGACACTAATTTTATGGACTATGTTGCATTCTTTTTTTTGGTCATTTTGTGGTGCTTGCAATTTACCTATACTGTTTTACCTGTACGTTTTGACAAATGTTTTCTGTGGAAATTTATTCAAAAGTTTTTCTTGTTTATTTTTTATGTGAAAGGAATGGCTTCCATTTATGGTTTTTTGCGTGAGCAGTTTTTATATTTTTGCTTTGCTAATTTTGTCGCCGATATTTTATCGCTATTAATTTTTTTGGTTATGTTTTATTTTATTTTGGTTGTATACAGAATATTTCCTCGTGTTTTGTTTTGCATATTTTATGATTGATATAAAGATTACTGTAATTGCAAATATGGAATGCTGAAACTATATAGTTTCTTGTGACTGCCCGAAAAAAAATGAAAACAATTTTCTGTGATCAAGAATTTGGTAAAGAATCATCTAGAGAACTTTTTCGAGATTTTTTCTGATCAACGTCTGAAAGACATTTTCTAATGTTTTTTTCATTAATTTTTATTACAGTACTCTTTATATCAATTTTTTCGGGTTGAGAATACAAACCCAGAATTTATCTAAAATAATTCCTGATGTTTATTTTGATATGTTATTTGTTTTCTAAAAATTCAACGTATTTCGTGTTCCACTTTCTGTTTACACAAAAATAACCCTCTGTCACTTTATCAAATCTTCAATTTTTATTCCCTACTCAAAAATCCCCGATTTTTGATTACAGTACCCCACCCACTTTCCTTAATTCCCCCATTTCCTATAAAACTCATAAAAATGCATATCAAAACAAACCAAGATTACTGTATTTGTATCATCTTCTTCTCACATATCCTCTAAACATATATGGCCATCTTCAAAAAGTGTTGCCGAATTGTAATTGGATGATAAACCATATCACCGTATCCCCCTCCCTCTTTCTTGTTTTAGTACATATTTTAGTTTTGCCCCGCAGCCGTCTGTCCGTCCTTCGGAAGCGTATCCAAATTTTTTTACTACCGTAGTGGCCGTGGTGACACCTTTTGATGTTGAGCCGCCAAAACACAAGATATTATAAATATGAGTAGTGTGTTGGTGGTTGTGATGGTGGAAATAAATAAATAAATAAAATAAAAATATATATGTTCCTCCCTCTCTCCTAGTTTTTTTTTTGATGTCCTGTTCTAACAAAAACATAGATACCTGCTGTCAGTTAGTCAGTTATTATCCCAAAACCACATGTCACATTTGTTTTGTTTTTTCACACTCGTTTTACATCCACAACGATTTGTTCTCCTTTTTATTATACCTGCGATGTTATTTGATCTTCCGGTTAATTTCTTCCAAAGTTTTTTTTTCATTTTGCAGAGAAAAAACCAAGAGAAAATATGACTTCGGAACCATCAACTTCTACTGAAATCTCACTCGAAGCCGAACGTTCAATACTACTGCAGCAGGCTTTGAGTCAAGCTGGTGTGATTCGGGTCCAAAAAATGAAAGCGGTAAGTGGGGTTACTGTAGGGAACTTTTGTAATCTGAATAATATCGATTGAAAGTTGAGTAAATAAGATGTAGAACATTTTTGAAGAAGAATAGGATTACTTATTGATTTCTTTTTGATAAATGTTCCGGTAGCTGAAGTGCATTATTGATTCTGATGACAAGTCATACAGAAATATTCTCTTCTCTAACGTTGCTTTCATGTCGTGATAATAAAAATTATTTTGAAAACTACAGTACCCCAAAATATCAACTATTATCAAATCTTATTTCGAAAAACCAGTCTTCTCACTCTTTCCCATCGTCCAAAAATGCAACCATCATACATATAAGAAGGGCGAAAAAACGCATAAAATTTGATTCATCAACACAATCCTGCCCTGATAACAACATTTTGATAGTCGATATTTATGCGTTTCATGCTCATAAAAATATCTCACATTAAAACGTGTGACTGTATTTCCACATGAATTTTAATAATAAATCACAATAGGAAAATACGAGGAATAATTGATTTCAGGGAATTTCACTGCGCAAACGTCAAAACTCTGAAACATGTATGAAAATCGCCAAACATCCATTAATTCCAATTGTTGAGGTAACTGAAAACATAAGTTCTCAACAACAATTGATATATTTTCAGCTACTGTTCTTGAAATGCGAAAAAGCAGCCAATACTATGAACAAAGCAAGTTTTGACATGGAAGATGTGAAAATAGTAAGTTTATTTGGGCAAGTCAAAAAATTGATCTACTTGGGAAAAAACAAAATGTACAGAAATCAATATTGAGCAATAAGAGTATCTATGGTTAAGTTTGTTGTGTGGGGAATAAATATGTACTTTTGAAGAGAAAATCACAATCATTATCTAATTAATTATTTAAAATAATAGAACCAGTAAGAAGGAAAGAAATACAGTAGTTTTTCTGAGTGAATTTTGTGGTTGATCGAATTGCGGACTATTTCCGGCAGATGATTGTGTGGTTGATGAATAATGACCATATTCCATATTCATATCACCGTATACTGGAGTAAATCCACCGGCCTGAAAAATATTTATTTGTATGTAGATCGACAAAAATAAAATAGAAAATTATACATTATCACTACCGCTACCGTATCCATCAGTATTTCCTGTTTGATAACTTTGATAAGTATTGTCTTGATTTTGTTGATCTCTCATCAAATCAGTTTGACTTGGATATGCAGCAGTTACTGTAGTTGTTGGCTGTGTGCTGCTACCAGAGATAAATCCAGCTTGGTTCATGTTTTGTTGTGATGTTGTAGTGGATCCTTGATTCTGTTCTTGGTTTTGGCTCAATTCTTGTTGAGATGGGTATTGAGCTTGGACTGTTGAGCCCTGATTCATGTTTTGATTTTGGTTTTGAAGAGAAGATTGGGTGGAGCTCTGGCTCAATTCCTGTTGTGATGGATATTGTGCTTGAACAGTAGATGAAGCTCCTTGATGTTGGTTTTGATTTTGATCTTGGAATGTGGATTGGGTGGAGCTTTGAGTAAATTCCTGTTGAGATGGATATTGTGCTTGAACAGTTGATGAGGATCCTTGGAAGGATGGGGTTGAACTTTGGAATTGATTTTGGTTTTGGTTCTGATTTTGAGTGAATTCTTGTTGCGATGGATATTGTGTGGAGCTCTGGAATTGATTCTGATCCTGGTTTTGGTTGAATCCTTGCTGTGTTGTTGATCCTTGATTGAAGTTTCCACTTGACTGGGTTGAGCTTTGAATTTGGTTTTGATTTTGATTCATTTCTTGTTGCGATGGATATTGCGCTTGGACAGTCGTTCCAGATCCTTGATTTTGCATTGATGATGGTGTTGTAGAGGACGATCCTTGGAAACCTCCCACCAAACCTTCATTACCAGTTGACATATATTGTTGTTGAGATGGATATTGGGGTGTCACTGATGATTCCTGATTGTTGCTATACACATTTTGTCCAGCCATGCCTTCCCCACCGGCAGTAACATAGTTCTGTTGTGATGGGTACTGAGGTTGTGGTGTGCTGAGACCAGCATTGTTAACGTATACTCCACTTCCAACTGCTGCTTGCGTGTCGTTGTTGAGATATTGACTTTGACTTGGATATTGAGGAGTGACTTGATTGGTCTAAACACGTCACAACATCAATTTTGAATTGGTATTATGAAGTCTTACCGTTTGATCATACTGTTGACCTTGTCCTTGGTTAGATCCTTGAACTCCTCCACCAACCGAATATACATTTGAGTTCGGGCTTTGAGTCGAGTATTGGAAACCTGTAAAAATTATTCATAGTAAAAGAAGACATTTTCAGGAGGAATGAATGAGGAACCTTGTGTTACAGAATTTTGGTTGGGATAAATAACAGGCATTTGGGTGGAAGTTTGATTGTTAAGAGGTATATCAACATAACCGGATTGGGTGGAACTTGTAGCATTCTCATCGCGGAAAGGTAAATAATCAATTTCTGAACCTTGATTTTGATTTTGATTTTGATTCTGCTGAGCTTGTCCAATATTTTGGTTCTGATTTTGTTGAGCGTGTCCAACGTTTTGATTTGGAATTGCACCGCCGTTCACTGTTTGTGTTGGATAAGTTTGCGGTTGATTACTGTATCCCGAACTAGGTGAATTGTAGGTTGATGAGATTCCTGCAATTCCACCAGATGGGTAAATAACATTTCCTTGATCTTGTTGTTGGCCTTGTTGTTGTTGTGTATTTTGATTATTGTAAGGATCATTGGTTTCTACAAAAATTAAAAATTATTGATTTTTCCAACAAAAAAAATCTCACGTTGCTGATTGTTGTTATTTGAAGTAGAACCACCATTGTTATAAGGATCATTGGTTTCTGAAATAATTATTATAATATTTCAATCTATGTAGGAACAATGAGAAATTCTTACGCTGATTTTGTTGATTTTGGTTTTGAGTGTTAGTGTTGCCTCCAACGACATAGGGTTCTGAAAAATAAAATTAGTTAATTTTCAAAAAAAAAATTGGAATGAAAAGTATGCATACGTTGAGTTTGAGTTTGTTGATTGTAGTTTGAACCTCCGTTATTGTATGGGTCGTTGGTTTCTAAAAAATCATAATGTTCTGGGATTTTACTGACAAATCGAACTATCTAAGACAAACAACCTCTTTCGACTTATTTTCTATAAAATTTCTAAAATTGCAGTTCTTATCTGATTCTGAGTTTTGAAAAAAATCAGCATTTAGTAAAAACATTTTCCATCACTGAAAAACAACTCACGTTGTTGCTGTTGTTGTTGGGAGTTATCATAACCACTGGCACCGGTGTTATAGGAATCACTAGGTTCTGCAAAGTTAATTATTTCATTTCTAAAATCTACCGCAGTGTTTTCAACATACGGCCATTGTTATATTGTTGATTACCAGAAGGCACAAATTGTTGATACCCAACTTCTCCAGTAGAAGGAGCAAGAGTGGAAATTCCAGAGTTTCCAACAACTGGGCCTTGTTGATTTTGACCTTGATTTTGGCCCTGGTACTCTCCCTGATTCTGGTTCTGATTTTCCATAACTCCTCCATTCAAATTGATTGGTTGAGAAGTGGATGAAAATGAGTTTTGATTTTGATTTTCGTAATTGTTATTATTGGAGAAGACAGTTCCAGCAACTGGAGAAGCTCCAGGATTTTGATAGTTACCCTAAATAAAAAATACATTCATAAAATTTCGGAAAATCATTAAATTTTATGAGCACGCACCTGTGTTCCTGTGAAACCTGATATTTGCTGTGGTTGACCATTGGATACGATTCCTGAATAAAAAACATATGCATTTTTTGAAAAGTAGGAGGAATCTAGTTTCCAAAAAATTTTTTAGGATGGTTGACAACTATAATTTTTTTGCAAGAAATCTAATCATCAACCAAAAGAACTTTAATAGCATACTTTGCCCGTTATAATACATGACAACTTGACTTGGTTGATTGCCTCCCGTAGTAAAAGCTCGTGCCGATTGAATTGTTTGCACATTTGTGCCTGCTGGTAAGCAACATTGTGTTGTCACTACTGGTGCTGCTCTGTAAAATTGTGAATTATGACATACATATGTAAAGTTCAACAACACAAAAAAAACCGGCTTCGGAGAGGTTAGTAGTAAACACATTTAATATTTTTATTAGCAACTTAAGGGTTGAATACCGGTTAGAAGCTGTAAGATATGTCGGCAACACATACTGATAGGTTTGTTGTTGAGTTGGTAGGCAATTTGTGCATTGTGTTTGACAGTTTGGTGTCACGTACTGCAAAAATTATATTTTCAGAGAATTTCAAAAATTATTTGGTATATTGTCTTGATTTTTTGATGTGATCCATGATTTGAAAATTTTCAATAATAAAGACATATCAAAACATAGGATTAAAAAATTTTTCAGATATTTTATATCACAAATACTCTTATACCTAAACAGTATTTTGCTACTTACTAACTTTTCCCAAATATTTTCAGCCCTGACACAATCTTGAATTCAAATAGACGAAGTTTAAAATCAGAAAACTGTACCATAGTTTTTTTGTACTCAAATAATCCAAAAGAAAACCAGTCAACTCACTTTAATGGTCAGTAAAATTCGACAATAATTAAGTAAAAGCGTCATCGGAAAAAGAAAATCGGCCAAAAAACACTTCTTCCATAAAATATCAAAACGCTTGCTTGCTGCCGAAAATGATGGCTAGCCAGCTAATTTCTAATTTCAATCTGCTGGAGCCAAAACGCAAACAAATAATCCGACCGACTTTTTTGCCGCTTGCTACGGTCGAAAGAAGCTTAGAATAATATTTATGTGAAAATCGAACAAAACGTCATGAATGTTGTCAGAAAATTTTCAAAAGCTTTATGTTTCAAAACTCTTTTTATATTGAGGTAGTGAGTTGAATATTTTTAGTTTGACCTTCTCAAGTTACCTAAACTCTATACATAAAACGAAAGTTCAAATCATTGTTTTTTTCATTTTCAAATCTAAAAATACCTACAACTGTAATTTGAAACTTTCGAAACTTTGAGCTGAAAGCATTTTTAGCATGTTCGTTTTTTCTGTGTTTTTTTTTCAATAGAAAAGTAAATAATATAGATGTATTGAGTAAACAGAAATAAACAAATAATATGAAATCAGTCAGATGTGCGAAAAAATCTCGATCTCGATTTTTTCTTACTGGTTCCCGATTTTCATGATCATTTATTTTTCAAGTGATATTGGAGACGAAAAATTATTGAAAATATTTCCGTTCTTTTATAAGAGGGGAAGGGATCAAATTTCAAACTTTCATTGCTGAAAATAGATAGAAAAAAATGCACACAGTTTTTTTCCAAATTTTGAACTGCCCTAAATCTGAATTAGGCTAGGAATTAAGTGAAAATTTTGAATATGATGGGTGGGCCAAAAAGTTTACTTGAAAATTCAAATTTTTGGGTGGAAACTATGCTTCGATTTTTTTACGATTTTTTTTGATTTAGAGCAGTATAAATTTTCATAATTTCATATATTCACACACCATATATTCAAAACCTAAACAAAACTCACCAACGCAACAAAAAATAGTGAAAAGTAACCTCATAGTATTAAAAGTCTTATGCAGTTGATACAAAATGAATACAACGTTCTAGCAAATCAGTGAAAAATTGGATTGAAAATTTTTCGTTAAAAATTTTCGTCTTGTTCGTAACCGCACACGTTTTTCTCGCAAAAGTAGTTAGCAATATACGAGTAGCGAGGGCGGAGCAAACAAATATAAGCTCTTCTTCCTGACAACCGGAACGTGAAAGTGGTTGACTTTTTTGTGTGTGTTGCGCAATTGAGAGATGGCGCAATGCAAAAAATTGAATGAAAGGAGAAAAAATGAATGGCAGGTCGCCTCGGGGGTCGCGCACACACCTTTTTATTCATCTCCTATTTATATTTACTCATTAAAAAATGGCTTTCCCCTCCTCCATCCTCCCCAATTTTTTTCACCTACTCTTTTTATTTACCAGTCTGACTCATGTCAATAAAAAGATGACAGCTCACCTCATCTCAGCTTAAGCTTAAAGTTGAAAAAATTATTTCTCAAAAAAGTACCTTTTGACAAAGTAAAAATGCATTCAAAAAATAATAAGATGATGTTGAATACATTTCATTGAGAAAGAAAAATGTATCGTTAGCTAGAATGAGTGGTTTGGGTTGAGCGATGAAAAAAAATACCCGGTTTTTTGAAGAAGATGAGAAAAGTATAGAAAAAATGCGGTTATGAATGTGGATTTACAGAAATATGAAAAAAAAAGTGAGTATAGAAGAATTTATGAGACATTGCATAACTAGGTGAAAATAAAACTTGATGTTTTTTTAATGGAATTTGTCTGAAAGTAATTACAAATGTTACGGATGTACTAAAATATAAAAAAAAATATGTACATTCAAAAATAACTAAATCTTTCCAAAATTCCATCGTTTTTTTTTAGATCATTTGAAGTATTTGGAAACTTACGTGAACTACTCTTGTAATAAAAATATTTTTGAACCAAACACATATGTATTTGAAGTTTTTCAGAGATTTCCATACTTTCGAATCATTCCAATTTTTGTCGAGAAATTGATAAATCGAGATATGTTTCATCTCAAAATGTTACCTAAACATTGGAATTCTATTTTTTTTCCAAAGTATTCTGGAAAATTGTTTTCTTTTTATTATTTACAACAGTAGGCTAGGCTAGCTCAAAAATGCATTAATTGAAAAAATTCTCTAGACATCAAAATTGGTATACATCATTCCCAATGAAAAAACTGTAAGTCAGAAAATTTCTGACACCTGTTCGAAATCCCCCAATGTTCAAGCTTGATTTTTTCACACTTTTATCTACAGTATCCTCACTGAAAACCAAGTTGAGCATCATATTTGCTTTTTCAGAAAACAAACATTTTTTTGTCTTCTTTTTTTTTTTGCCAAAAAGTTCATAATTAAACAAACAGTCTTACTTTGACAGTTTTTCTAATCACTTTCTTCCTTTTCTTCCAATGATCATGAAACAATAAGTTTTGTGCATCGTCATGAAATAATCTGTTGTTTTTTGTGTCTGATAAAAAAAACTACAAAATCACTTGCTCTTAAGCAAATAAGATGAAGAAAACAACATTTGCCGACAAGTTTCTTCAGGTTTTTTCTTCGCTTTAAAAATCATGAACACTTCAAAGGTTACTTATGTGGTTTCTGTCTGTTTGTCGGCTCTTTTCACACGAAAGAACAAGAACAAAACGAAATCTCTCGCCTTTTTTGAGTGAACTATTGAGAAAAACTAGATATTTTTTTCTTATGTTTCTTACAGCTTTTCGAGGAATTGCAATCAAAAGGTGTGGAATGTAACACGGAAGATACAATGATTGATGAATTGATGAAAAATGCGATTTTAGCGTTGAGAACTTGTTTGGTGGAGTTGCAAAAAGTTTCGACACTCTCGGATAATTTCAAGGCAAAGTATTTAGGTTTGTTTGGCTCTTGTATTTGACGTTGGGGTAAACTGGGGAAAAACAATTGTCTCAATTTTTCAGATTATTGTCAGTTTTGAAATCCGAATAATAAAAAAAATGGAAATTTTGGAATTAAAAATATCAGAAATGTGTGCTTCAAAAAATCAGAAAAAATCCCACTTGAAATTTCAAAGTTTTACACAATTCTAACCGAACTTGTAGGTTTCTAACTATTGTAACTTCTGTCCCAGGGAATAAAATAAAAAAATTTCGAAACCAGAATCAAGAACCTCTCAAAAATCCTCTCATGTTTTTCAGCAACTTTGAAACGTACAGTTTGCCACGAAGCCTTGATTGGCACAAGTGTTGACAGCGACGATGAACTGAGCGATCCAACCCCAAATTTGGATGAATCTGGCTCATCAAATGTTGTCGAATCAGCTTTGGCAACTCTTCAAACAGTTGGAGGAACTCTCTCGATTCCACTTCATATTACCCAACAATCAATAACTATGATCCCATCAGCAACTCAAATTGAAAGAAATGTCGAATTTTTGAAAAGAGTAGGCTTTATTTTTAGAATTTTCAGAAAATTCTCGATATTATATGAAATTTTTTTAGCTTGGTTATCCTGGAGAATTGATGGCAAAATTGGCGGAAGTAAAAAGTGCAGAAAACTCGCCTGACAAAAGTGAAGAGGAAAAACATCTTCTTTGCGATCTGGCTCAATAATGGGATTCAAATTTTTAAAATTTTACTAAATAGTCCAAGTTCAAAGTGATATACCTTATTTAACATTTTCAAAAAAAAATATTTATTATTATTATTGAAATAAAATTTTATTCGGATTTTTACGAGTTTCCGATAACACCTTAAAACAACATTTGTTGACCCAGACCAATTTTTTCTGAACAAGGAAGTTTTTTGGGTAACTTTTCGGACTTTGGACATGGTATGTTGAAAAATGTTGATTTGGTTTGGTTTATGTTCTTTGTGCTGGAGAATGCCATCTGTCTCAATATCACTCTCCAGACTGAAAAATCTGAAAATATTTTCAGTAGCATCTGGTTGTTTCATTAGACCCAATCAACTTTTTATAGAGAAAAAATAGAAATACTGTTCTTTGTTCCTAGATAAGTTTTCGTCTGAAATTGTTTTTCTACGCAGTGAAAAAGTCAAGATGTATTTGTGATAATTGGAATAATCAATTATTCAGATAGTAGTGAGATCGTTCTAGTTATCACGTTTTTCAAAACAACATTTCAGCCTGAAATTTTTCCTGGTGCTGAAATATATGGATTTCGTCATTTCTACGCTGCCGAGAATCGTGAAGCCAGTATTTCAAGAAATTTTTAGCAAATTTAACATTCTTTGCACAGTGTTTCAAAACTTTCTGAATATGGTACAGAAATATATCTGATAATGGACGTGAATTTTTGCAAGCGTTGTTCAGTCATTCTAATGTGAAGACCAACCAACTGTTTCAACAAACTACAGTACCTTGAAGTTCTAAAATCTTTTAAATGATTTCACAAAGTTAAATAAACCATCCTACTGTAACCTAGACTATTTATTTCCAGATCGTTTTGTGTTTTTTACAGTAATCTAATTTATTTCACAATCGTCAAGAAACTCGGCCTATTAAAATCAACGACATAATTATCTATCTACACCCATCCCACCTACAGTAATCTAGCCTTTTTCGAGTACCCCAGACAAACACCGCATCAAGATCAAGAACACATAGTTTTGATCTACCTACACACAAATATTCACCATTTCCTTGAAACCAAAATACAGAAATGCATAAAGATAATAGACATTTTCATCTCTTGACACTCCCAAAAGTCTACATTTCCTGGTACACTGCACTTTGACTTTTTCTCACCTAAAACAATAAAAATAAAACATCTTCACACTTTTTTCTCCTATATTTTTTCGACCCTTGATCATATGTACAGAACAAGAAAAAAATTCACACCATGAATGTGTGCAAAACTCATAAAATCGCTGATATCAGCCGAGAAAAATTTCAAAGAACCCGCTTTTTGAATAAAAAACACATTTTGTGATTATTTGACAGTAATTGAGAAGAGCGTAGGCGGGACCTAGAAAAAATACAATTTTTTTGTCTGATTTTGGGTTGATTTAATTTGAGTTCTAGTTTAGATTTCATTTTCATTTTTCACAAAAATGGTGAACGAAACACGAGACTATGTTTGTGTCTTTATTCTATTTCTTGTCAATTTATGCAACAATATGGATAGATATACCATAGCTGGTAAATATTTTTCAGCTAGAGTTAGGCTTAATTATTTTTCTCAGGAGTTCTACCTGATGTTCAACGTTATTATGATATCAATGACAGTCTGGGTGGTTTAATTCAAACAGTTTTTCTGATATCTTTCATGGTAATCTCGCCACTTTGCGGATATTTAGGAGATAGGCAAGTTTCTAAACTTTTTAAAATCCGGATGAAAATTCACGAAATGTCAGGATTTGAAATGTAAGATCACAAGACACAATTTCTGCTTGAAATGTTAAAATTGGTTATTGAAAAAAAAGACGACCGTACCAGATTTTCAACAAAAAAATCCAACTCAAATACTCAGGCGCAGGCTGAGCGAAGCTCTAGACTGCGCTATTTGGGGTTGGGATTTAATATTAGCTTCTGGATATTATATTGAATTCTGAAAATAACGATTCCTTTTCAAAATATTCAAAAATATTCCAGATATAATCGAAAATATGTAATAATGGTTGGAATGGCAATTTGGCTACTCTGTGTATGCGCATCAACGTTTGTTCCAGCTAATGTAAGCTATTTCTACACGTTTTGAAAAAAAAGTTCCTCGTATGAATTGACCAAAAATCGTCGTGAAAGATTCTTATCAAAATAATGGCACATCATAAAAGCAGATCAAAAGGTTACCGACGGCTCAAAAATGTGCGTTTTTTCAGCTCTTCCCATTATTTCTCGCAATCCGATCTTTAATTGGAGTTGGTGAAGCGTCGTATGTGAATATTTGCCCGACGATGATTGGAGATATGTTTACAACAGATAGACGAACTAAAGTTTATATGTTCTTTTATTTGGCCGTTCCTGTTGGAAGGTTAGAACTTTTGGAAAAATGGAAAACACAAAATTTGATCAACAAAAAATCTAGAATCCAAAACAAACTCACGAACCTCGAAAACTAGATAAAAATAACTCGTATGGAAAATTACCTCATTTGAAAATCATGCTTGATCGTATTGTCAATCTTACTGAATATTGAAATTATTCAAGCTTACAACAGTTTTTTTGAAGCAACAAAAAAATTTCACAATTTTTCCAGTGGTCTCGGTTACATCATCAGTTCAAATATTGCTGAAATCACACATCAGTGGCAATGGGGAGTTCGGGTAACTGGAGTGTTTGGAATCATCGCGTTTATTCTTCTTGGTGTTTTTGTATATGAACCAGAACGTGGAGCAGCTGAAAGAGCAGAAGGAAAAGAGCAGGCTCATAAAAATCTATCATACATTGATGACCTTCGAGTTATCGTCCGATGGTAGTTTTTATATTGAGAAACTGTTGAAAATTTTCAAAATTTCCAGCAAAACTTACATTTTTGTGACAATTGGTTATACATGTCTGGTTTTTGTAAGTGGAACACTCTCTTGGTGGGTTCCAACAATTTTGGAATATGGTTTGACTTGGAATTTGGGATACAATTCTATCAAAGAGCTACCATCCAAATATAAAAACGAGTGAGTTTTTGAATTGTATAACTTATTTTTTCAAATTTTCAGCTAAAGGCAGTGCTGTTTTCTTTTGAGAAGTAAAAGAATTCGATCTAAAATTGTGATTTCATATTTTCTAAAACTACAAATAGACCTGAAGAAGTCCAAAAAAAACTAAACAACCGCTTTGAAAATTATTATCTGGGTTGGTTACTGTAGTTTACAACACGAAGAACACGGCATAATCTTTGCACTTTTTTCGAAAAAAAACTACCCATTTAAATTTCCTGGTGATAAAATAAATTCCGAACATAAAACACACATTTCATAACAATCAGAAAACTGTTATCAAGGAAAATTCGAGATTTTTCGAAAAAAATTCAAAAAGTAATATTCAAATAAGAAAAACTTCTGAAATCTTCCTGAAAACAATAATTCGCAAAAAATATGCAGAGTTGGCGCAACATTCGGTGTCATCACTTCACTTGGTGGAATTGTTGGTGTACTTCTCGGTAACCTTTTGGCACAAGCATTAGTCAATGGTTGGTTCGGAAAATGTTTGAAAACCAAAAGAGGCCACGCTATTTCGGCTGGAGTCGGTGGAACTATTGCAATCCCATGTTTATTCATTCTATTCTTGTTTGGTTATAAAAGCGAACTTCTTTCGTGGATCACAATTGCAATTGCACTTATTGGTGTTTGTTTTAACTGGAGTCTTGGTGTTGAAGTCATCAATGTAAATATTTTTATTTTCAATTTCTGTCGAAAAACAGCACAAACCACAATTTTTAGAACATAATTGCTGCTGAACGTCGGAGCACTGCATTTGCATACGTCACTTTATTCTCTCATTTATTTGGAGATGCTTCAGGTCCTTATATTATAGGCTTGATTTCTGACGTGATTCAAAATGGTCATCCACAAACTGCGGAATGGGAATATAAATCACTTGCTTATGTAATTTTTCATGAGATATTTCAGATCGATTGAAAAATTGATTTTTTCAGGCTTCTCTAACTGCTCCAATAATGATGACAATTTCTGCGTGTTTTTATTTCATCGGAGCCTATACATACAAGGCTGATGCAAGAAGATTGAGCCAAGGAGTTATCACAAGTAAGTGGGGATTTTGGAGAAACGTGAAATTGAAAATACACTATAGGATTCGTTTTTTAGGTTTGCAGTAAACTTTTCAGACACTGTATTTAGTATGTATTGTATCAGTATTTTGAACCAAATGTCTACTTGACATTTTTCAAAATAAAAACCAAAGTTTATAGTTTTTTTATATCAATGATTTCTACTAATAGATCAAACATACTTTGAGCAAAAACCGATATAATTTTTAACGAGTTTTCAGAGTACTCAATTCTCAATTGACATGTCCCTTATCTAGAATTGTTTTATTTTTCAGACAAAAACCATCAAGTTCACATTGTTCCTGATCTTACGATAACATCAGTTCCAATTGAATCATCATCTTCATCTTCAACATCTCCAGAATTTGATTCGAGAAAGTTTGCAAGTTACGATGTCTGTCATATATGATCTCAAAATCAGACATAATCCCCCGTTTTTTGTTTTTTGTTTTCTAGTTTTTTTCTTCTATTCCACCAAAAAATAAAGATGAAAATTGAAACGAAACTGTTACAAACATAGAACAATTTAAAGATTATGGTCTGTTCCCAATGAAAAATGGGAGGAGACAAGAAAAAATTGAGAAAAGAAAAAATCATTATTTTTGCCTCTTCTTACCTAGCAACTAAAATTCTCAACATCAGAAAAAAAGAAAAAAGTCATCATTATGCAAACATTTGATTTTATCAAATTGTCGAATAATCCCTTACCTCAATCACACAATCATTTTGTTCATAATCAGAGGGTTGCGAGAAACGATTCGAAATTTGTCATGAAATCAATAACTCTACTTTTATTACTGGTATTTTTTATGGTTTTTGCAGTTGGACATAATGAGGTTGAGTTTGTTTTATTTGGAAATTCTTGAAGATTTTTTGTTTTCAGAAAAAGTCTCGACATGTGAAATTGGAGGATGCTGTGGTAAGTTCAAATCAGGTTTCGGAATTATACAGGGTCTAAAATATAATCCGGAGAACTTTGAAAATGTTTTTGCACTTTGATTGACAAGTTCTTATAGAACATTAGTTCGACCTTTCATAAATTATTTAGTTCAAATTCAGGGTTGTAAAATAGGTATAAAGAATGGTTTTCATGTGGGAATTTGTCTTTTTTCAATATAAAATGTTAAATTTAAAAAAATGTCTTCGAGGTTAGAATAAATCTCAATTTTTCAATTAGAATGAGCTACGAAAAAATGTTGCAGCCGAAAAAGTTCTGCAAAAGTAGAACTTTAAAAACAAAGAATTCATCTGGATTTCCTTAAAAATCTCAAGAAAAACCTTATGAATTGCTGAATTATTTTCAGTAAAATTTTTTTTTGTAAATACAGTTATAGTTTTTTTGCAAAAATTATTCTCTTTCACTTTTTAAAATGTTTTTTACTCCCAGACTATACAAATTTTGCACTCATAATTTTTCTCCAGAAGATTACCTACTTTATCGGAAGCTTATCAGAATGATGTCATTCATTATCGAAAAAAAAAACGTTGCCACTATTATGTCATATTTCAAAACTCAACAATTTTCTTAAATTTTCAAACAAAAAAATACAGTTTCAGACTTCACCGAGCTACTCTACTTCAACACCAAAAGTATGGCATGAATGTGCAGTGAGTGCACAAATCACTTCGAAAAAGTTCAAAATTTTGGATGGAAATGTTTGTTTGCGTAAGTGACATCAATACATATGATAAAAAGAAAAAAGAAGTGTTGTTAATCGGTTTACATGTGGTTTGAACCGTGAAAAGCTTCTTATTTTCAAATTTCAGCTGGCCAAAAAATGGAAGAGTGCAAGACATGGAGAATGACAAATGGTATCATTTTAAAATATCAAGATGATATGGATGATAATTGTGATGCAATCATGCAGTATACAAATATGGTAACATTTATAAGGGTACAAGGGGTCCCATTAGCTATTTTAATCGTCTGATAGGGCCTCCCTTATATTTTGTAGAGATGTAGAGACTTCTCAAAATATCATCATTCACCTAATAATTTTCAAACAATCCAACTGTGCAACCTTTTTTCAGACAACTTCGAGTTGCACATCAACCAGTCAAATTCAATGGTTATTCCCAGGAAGTAACACAAATCAAGATTGTAATTATATTTATAAATTCAACTCTCCTTCTCTAAAAAGAGCTATGACGAGTTTCAATTTTACACGAGCTTTGGCTAGCAATAAAACTCCACCAGGTCAAGCAATGTTTATTTTTCTACAAGGATTGGTTAGTTTTTCTCTTTGAATGTGAATTTAAAAATTATAAAAAATTACATTTATAATTTTTTTAGTTGAATTGTATGGCCAGTTCTCCAGTGAGCGATGTGGATGGGGCAATTTTAAATATCTTCACTGATATGACATATGTTGATCTTTGCGGAAGTGAGCTCTTTTTGAGCTCATTTTCGGATACAATTGGAAAATTGATAAAGGGTGGATATATTGTCAAGTTTATTTTTTTGAATCAATATTTAGTTGATAACAAAGGTCAGTTTTCACTTTGATTCTGAAAATGTTTCAACGTAGAACTTTTAGACAACGTTGAAGCTGTTCTATCCGGATGTTTATACAATGATGATTCTTCGACTTGTGAAATTTTGGATTCGGCTTCAATTGAAGATACAGAGTCTTTTTCGATTTGTTTGACTGACCAGTATAATAATAAAGATTTGAATAATGCTACTTTAAGTGAGTTTCGGTAGGAGATGAATCTAATTATGGAAATCTGAAAAAAATTAACTTTACAAGCTTTACTTCCAGAACTTGTTTTGATTATCGTGATCCCTTCACTTTGTCTAACCGCTTGCTGCATCACATTTATTGCTTGCTGTCTAAAATGCTGGAAACTCAAACTCGCATTCCATCGACTTCAAATGTTCGGAGGTCACGATGATGATAAAAATGCAAATCCATTCATGAGAAGACTCAGGAAACATAAAGAAATTGATCGTTTGGAAAATGGAAAAGATAATGAGTAAGTAAAATAGATCAAATATTTTCTCACAAATAGTTTTTTAAGTTGGGCTCATTTTGCTGCAGCTAACAATTATATGGATATCAATGCATTGGCAACGGCTAATCGGTAAGATTTTTCGCTGTTTTTTGTGATTATAAAAACCATAATTATAATTTTCGTAGTTCCGATGTCTGGGAAATTGAAGCGACTAATTTATTGGTCCAAGAAGATCATTTATTGGGAAATGGTGCATTTGCAAATGTTTACAAAGGAATTGTGAAAGGAAAAATTCCCCTTTTGGTAGTTAATAACAAATTGAATTTGGTTGTCGAATCTGAAAATAATGGACATTACGAAGCAGCTGTGAAAAAATTGCCGCCACACGCTGATGAACAAAATCGACTTGATTTCTTCCATGAAATTGAATTTATGAAACGTCTTGGACATCATCCTCATGTTATTAGGTAAGCTTTTTGTGTGGTCTATTCATATCAGGGTAGTTCAATATATATTTTTACAGTATGTTGGGATGTGTCTCAAATATTTATGATCCTTTAATTGTTGTTGAATATTGTTCAAGAGGAGATTTGCTGAAATTTTTGAGAAGACATAAAGATTATGTTTTGATGAGCAAGGAAGATGACTGTCCAGTCGAGGCTGATATGTGTGTTAGAATTAAAGATTTGGTATCAATCGCGTGGCAAATCGCAGATGGAATGGTGAGATTTTCAATAATTTTTTAAAACTTTCAAATGTTGTCTACAGGCCTATTTGAACTCGAAAAACTTCATCCACCGAGATTTGGCGGCCAGAAATGTGCTATTGACAAAGAGTTTTACTGCAAAGGTAAGTTGGGAAAACTTTGGATGATTGGGTAATTCTCTTCATTTTTAAAACCTTCACTTTTTAGGTCAGCGACTTTGGTCTCTGTCGTTATATTGATTCTGCCCTATACACCGCCAAAGGCGGTAGACTTCCAATAAAATGGATGTCTACAGAAGCTCTCAAATTATACGAGTTCTCTTCAAAAAGTGATGTTTGGTCATTTGGAATTGTTCTTTTCGAAATCTTCTCACTCGGAGATGTTCCTTATCCAACAGTTCAACCAATCGATATGCTTGAATATTTGCTAACTGGAAAACGTTTGACTCAACCATTGAAGTGTCCCAATGAAATGTAAATAGTTTTCTATTGAAGCAACTAATTTTATTTTGATATTTTCAGATTTTCAATCATGGAACGATGTTGGGCTGAAAATCCAGAAGATCGTCCAGAATTCAATGAAATTCGTGGGGAACTCGCAGTTATGTTGAATTTGGATGACGAAAGTTATGGATATTTGAATATGGAATCTGATGATGGTTATCCAAAAATTTCTAGTCTAACAATGCAAGACTCATTTAATGTAAGATAATTCAACTCACGATTGTCTATCAATCAAAAATTTCAATTTCAGCAATCCAGTTCAATGGATAGAGAGTCAGGTTCCGCAAAAATGGACGAAGAAGAAGCTCAAGAGCGATGTCAAAAACTAACTGAAATAATGAGCGAAAAATATGGAAGTGAACAGGCGGCAGAGATCAAAGATTTGATTTGTGAAATATTTCCAAGAGGTCCACAAACAAAGTCTTCTGAATTTTCTAGCAAAAAAACAAGCGCCGCTTCTTCATTTTCTAGTTGATTTTTCATTGATTTTTCATCGCATTATTTTCTCTTGATCTCAAAACACATAAATAAATTATTAATCTTACATGTGCATTCTCTTGCCTTTGGGAATTTTTAAAATCTGCTCTATTGGAAACCACGCTATTTATGTCATAATTTTTTGTAGATTATGATTCCGTTAAACATTTTTTGGGCGTTATCGGGTGTTAAAAGCGCTTAAATTTTAGGGAATTTTTATCAGTGAATCTGAAGTTTTGTAGGTATCAAAAAACGTGCTCAGAATTGAAAACTTTCAGAAAAAAGATAGGAGGTTAAACATTACAGAAAATTTGGAGGGCGGGGGGTTGATTGAGCTCAAATAGTGAAAAAATTAGATTTTTTTGAGAATAAACCTGAATGTGAGATTCAAGGATCAGATGTTTCGAAGTAATTCCTCCCGGACTTCCTTTTTTGGTAAAATTCTTCCCAAAATCTCAACAAAAATTTCGAATTTCGCAATACTTTTACTAAAAATTTTATTTTTCCTTTTTTCTTTGCGTTTTCTCAAAAAATATATCTCTCCTCATCAAACGCGCTCCATTGCAAACGCTTTATTTATAAAATAATATTTTTGGAAAGTTGCATATTCGTGTTTTTTTTTCTTTAAAAAATATCTTTTTTTTCCAGAAAAATGGCTCAAGAAGAAGTGGATGGTTGGTCAACAGCTGAACTCAATAAGCGGGCTTTCAACACAATAATCCCTGGTCGATGTTATAACGATGCCAATCTTCAAATTAACAGCATCACATTCAGTGAAACTGGATTGCAAGCAATTGTTTCAACAAATGATGATTCGATTTTTTTGTATGATTTAAGTTCGGGAATGCGATCGAGAAGTATTAACAGCAAAAAATATGGGGCTTCTAATGTCAAATTTGCGTCTGAGGCAACTTGTGCGATTCATGCAAGCACTAAAATTGATCGTGAGTTTTTTAATGATTCACATCGTTTTTAATTGAATGAGGGAGAGTTGCTTCAAATAAAAATTGTTATTCCTCGCTTTGGAAGTGGTAAAAGTTATCACATTAAAACCAACACTGCTCAGGAAAAGTGAGGCTTGAAATAATAAACACTTACTTTTTTTGAAATCACCAACATGAGAAAAGTAAAATAAATATTTCAAAAATATTAAATTTTTCAAGATTTTCATGAAACATCCAGAAATCGCTTGAAAATTGTTCTAGAACATAAACCTAGATGGAAAAATCTTCAAATCAATCTAGATGGCTAGTTTGAAGCAGAAGTATTCTGATTTTCTCAATTTACTTGTATAGATTAACTAATTTAGAGTAGGGAGTTTCATCAAACATTCTTTTCGCATTCAAAACTTCGTCATTCTGAAATTTTAAAGAACCTCGAGTAGAATTATTTCTATACTAAAATCCATCAATTTTGTGTTTTCATAAGTACTTCAGAAAATTTAAAACAACATTTATTTTTCAGACACAATTCGCTACCTCTCTCTCGCAGACAACAAATATATCCGCTATTACGCTGGTCACGAAGGTCTTGTTACTGGGATCAGTATGTCACCAAAGGATGATATGTTTCTATCAGTCAGTGAAGACAAAACTCTTCGTATATGGGATCTGAGCTCGTCCAGTTGCTTGGGATTGATGGAATTAGAAACATCAGCGGTTGCCGATTTCGATTCACTTGGTGTCATTTTTGCAGTCGCTAGTTCTGGGCATTTAAAATTATACGATTTGCGCTCTTATGAAAAAGGTCCATTTTCAAGTTTCGTTGTTCCAAATGAATGCTCAACAGATGATTGGGTATCATTGAGATTCTCTCCATGTGGAACTTATATACTCATTTCAACCAACACTGACAAATTACTTCTTTTGGATGCTTATACTGGAACAACAAAATATATTCTTCAGGGTCATCAGAATAAACCGGTAAGTTTTTCTACAATTTTCAGTTGTAGCACATATCCCGCGTATGCTTAAACTATTGATTTGAGGTTGACAATCAAGCTTGAAGATTTTTTGATAATTTTTCAAAAGATATTTTCAGTAGCTGTTTTTTTTCATTTCATCATTTTGCAGAGATTCCCCTTGAAGGGCTCATTCGCACCGGATTCAAAATATGTTGCATGTGGAAGCAGTGATAAAAAAATTCACGTTTGGTCCACAGAAAGCGGTGAAATCGTGCACACTTTTAATGAATCGCCACACCACTCACCACCATTGATTGTCGAATGGAATCCGCAATTCATTAACTTCTTTTCGGCTGATAAAAAACTTGTGCTATGGAATCCGGTGCATGAAGATATGAGCAATATAGATGACACCTAATCAGATTTTTTCTACTGTTTTTCATCTTCATAATGGTGAAGATCTCTTCTTGCTTGAAAGTGTTACGGGTATTTTCATCTACACTGTTTTTTGTTGTAATTTTGATTTTGGTGAATTTGTATAAATAGAAATAAACTAATTTTTATTTTTGAGGTTATTTTTGAAGTTGAAATCGAGTTTGTTTTTTTTAATTGTGAATGTCTGTTATTTTTTGTTCGATCCTGACTCTTTTCATAATTAACGAAAAAAAAACATCACTGAATGACTGAATTGAACGATAATCAAAACGAGTTCTAAGTTCAAGCGCGCGTTTTTCAGAATATTTCGATTGGTACATTGGAGTTAAAAAATCATATAATAATTTTAGCAGCAATGTCAGTATTTTCATAAATTGCAGACTTTTTTCTCTTTGTATCAAAAAGAAAGAATTTTTACAACATTTAAACCACTGATTCGAAAATTTATTTAACAAAATCACTGTAATGAGAACCCCGTTCTTCAAAGTTCGTGTAAACAAAAAGTTGACCTTTGCAAAAAATGAAAACGATCATTGTCAATGTTGATCTACAGTTCAAGAGAACCGAGTTTTTTTGAACGTTAATTTCAAGGTTAATAAAAAAGATTGGACAACATTAAAACACATTTAATTTCGAAATATCAAATCATTTTCTGATAAATTTTCAAATTTCGAAAATCAAATAGCATTTCTGGATAATGTAAAATTCTCCTACGGAGAATTTCGAAGATCCCTTTTTCTAAAATTAAAAGCTCGAATTGTTCAATAGAATTTCCTATTTCTAATTTCAATTAATTAATTTCTGTGAATAAACCCTAATTAGTTATACTCATTTGAAATATGTTCAAAAGATTTGAATGTTTGATAAATGTCCTTGTTTACCTTTTGAAGACTTGCATTTGAATAAAATTTGCTAATTAGTTGGTCTTGAATGAAATATGGCATTTTGCAAAAGACCAATTAGGTAAACTCTTTTGAATTTCATTTCAATGCCTTGAATGTCCCTTTTGTGTTCTAATTATCAGTGTCCTTGTGCAAATTTTCAAAAAATCGGAAATGTTTTTTGAAAAAAAAATTGAAAACGCTTGTTAATTAGATGACTAATATTTCAGCAAACAAATTTTGATGACTAATAAAATTTGAAATGTGTATTTACATGAAATTCGATTCTGTCGCAAAACATGTGTCAGATCGTTGGTGAATCATCTGACATACTTCAATTTCCCCACAATAAAATTATGTAACTAATCGATTCAAAATAGTGTTAATTTTCTGATTTCTAGAATTTTATTTCTGTTTTTGATTTTCACATCAGGTTTCAAATCAGTTCTTCTTTGAATTATCTAATTTTTTGGAGATTTAATACAATATGAAATCTGAAAATAACGTAGTAAGTTTTCAATCACAAAATTTTAGATTTCACAGAAATAAAACTTTTTATATCATGTTTTTCAATTTTTTGAAAATACTATGTGTATTTTTCTAATAATGCAATTTCCAGTATCTATATCTTCCTGATTTTCTAAAACTCTTGGGTTTATTTTTTTGCTTTTTGTGTCAATTTCAGATTTCACATCATGTTTTTCCTAAGTTTTCCATTCCATATTCATTTCCAGAAGCGAACCTGAATTTTTCGTTAATTTTCCAGATCATTTGCAGATCTAATATCAAAATGAATCAAGCAAACCGCTCGGTGAAATGGCTACGGGTATGACCAATTCATAAGTCCGCATACCAACGTATCATTCCACCCAGCCGTCAACCAATTCAACAAACTTTACCTCAATCCAAAGGTAGACTAAATAAAAAATACTATTCTAATATCAAGAGGACCCCGGCGAACAGCAAGCGAACAACGATAAGACTAATGGCGCCTGAATACTACCAAAGTGTTTTTGAGAGAACGAAAAGGAGGAGGGTACGCGAAAAGAAGACGCGGCGAGGGGGAGGAGAAACGCGGAGGGAACAACACACCCCACGAGAGGGAAGATGAAACACTATGGTAGATCAGGAGAGTGTATGAGAAAAAAGAGGCGGCGCTTATGAGCCCCCCGTCTGTCGCACTGTTGATGAATCAAATGAGATAGTAGGAATATTGAGGAGATTTGTTAGAGAAAGGTCGTAATCGATCGTTTTTGTTGTGTCTATGTGATCGGGAAGAGGGGCACGCTGCCTGCTGCCTGCTGCTGTGCGTCGTTGTCGTTCTGTCGATGATGTCCCGTTGGAAAGGAGAGACACAATTTTTGTGTAGTTTAACGAACAAACGAACGTTTTTATCGTGTAAGAAGAAAGATGTTGGAATGTCTCAACTTTTTTTGCTTGTGTGTTGCGCCGTGTTTCGGAGAAAAATGATAGAGGGCAAAGAAGACAAAAAAAGTGTTTGGTGATAAGATTATAAATTACAAGTTGTCATGGAAAATGAAACTGTACTGATTGGAAAGTGGCAAACTTGAGAAGAAAATTCTGGAAAGCAAAAAGGGTATTGAACATTGATGTGAAACCTGTTGATATGATGATAGTCTCCTGTACATTTTTAAACAAATAACACATATTTTTATAAAAAGTTGTAGATTAATTCTAAAAGAATAAAGATGTTCAGGAACTTCTGTAAATAATTGGAATTATAGGTAAATTTCAAGGCCAAGGTTATGCGATTTTTAGCGAAAAACAAGCGATTGCTATAATTCACTGTTTTCATGAGAATCTGAAACTTCTAAAAAAAATTATTTAAAAAATCCTGAATTCTTTTAAAATTCTCAAACCAAAACCTTTTCAAAAATCCTCCGAAAAACCCGAAAATTAGGTTGTACTCTTTTTTGAAACAAAATCCAATCTAACTAATTTCGTAAAAAGCTTCTCTTTCCTGGGGGGTTTATTCATTATTCATGGCTTAATTTTTTACGATTTTCTAATTATTCTAATTTCGAGGTTTTTACATGAAATGAAAATTGAGACGAAAAATGAATCCCTGATCTCAAGAAGCTTTCAAAAGATCAAGTATTTATGTTGTTATTATTATTATTTCCTTTCCTCCCGCCAAATTTCCTCTAATCCGTCTTATTTATTTGTAAAACAAAAGTGTTTGTGGGGTTCGTCAAAAATTTCTTCAGAGGCAAACAACACTACTGTCTGCCTGTCTTTTTGAGTGTTGACTTGACAATTTGCAATGCTTCATTGCTAATAACATCAATAAAATCTATATGTAAATATTCGACATTATTATCAATTGTTATGGTTATGTGTTCTGTCCTCTTCTGTTCTCACTATACGATTTTTTGTGCCACTCCGTGTTTTGCATATTTAATTTTTGTCGATTATCGATGGGAAAGCAATATTAATTATAATTCGATTTGATTCAATTCAAATAATACAGTAACCAAGGAATTCGTTTTTTGGAAACAAAAAAGGGCAAAAGATGGATATCTTGGTCTTTCCGGTGACCTTTTTTTGTCGGTAATGAATCAAAGAGAAAAGAAAAAAAACTGTATCTACACAAATTTGTCGTCGGGGTATATGTTATCGTTTATCGTAGAACGTAAAATACCGACCCGACAAGATAAGAATGTCTCGGCGCTCTCGTTTTTCATCTTATCTTTCCACTAGTTTTTCTGTTCTTTTTGTTTCGTTCACTGCTGGTTTGATGTCGTCAGGGGTCGAGAAAAATGTTGCAATTTTTCTTTACGATGACCTATATTATTGCGGATTATTAATATATACATATATTGTTATGACAGGAATTTTTATTTATGAAAAGATATCGCGCGTTGGAATGCAAAGGGATACGAGATTTGGAACATAGATCTTTTTTGCGATTTGACATTGAGAAGGCAGAGGGTCAAACTTTTTTTGGACGGACAAATCTTGGAATGTTGGAGGAAAAATTCTGAAAAATGTAGTTATAGAATTCAAAAAATTCTAAATCAAAATTCTCTCATAAAGTTTCATAACAAACCTGAGAAATCAGGAACAAAATGATGGAATTTTTCCTCAAATAAAAAAAGTAGTTGAAAACTGAAAAACCAGATTCATTTTCAAACAATCAGCATGAATGACTAAAGTTCTAAAATTTGAAATTTTTAATTTGAAAAATTGAATAATAAAAAATAAACTCGTGTATTTTTTGAAGCTCATAAACCCGGTGAATGAAAACAGTGCTTAATTATAAAAATAGGAAAAGTTGAATATTAGGGTTACAGTCATTTGTTTCAATTCGAGAAACTGAAAACATCAAAAGCTTGTTTTTATACCAGACAAATTTGTTTGATTGGGAGAAAATCGTTGAAGGTTTGCATTAAACTTCATTTTCAACTTGTGATTTTGGTGCTTCTGATTGCGAATGAAATAATATAAAAACATTTACACCAACAGACTCTTACATTAGAAATCGTATATATGTTGTTTCCAGGATAGTGTGTTCAAAATTTGATGTTGGTAACAGCACGAAAAATTGAACTTTTATATTTCTGTTAACAAAAAACTGCATATATTGCAGGAGAACAAAAATTCTGGAGTAAATAATTCTTGCTTCGTGTTGTATGCATATCAATTTTCAAGAGCTTCAACCAACAATATCTCAGATCTTTCAGAATCATTTAGCTTGTTTCAAATGTCACATTTCTTTCCTTTTCCCCATTGTTTTCAGACTTTAACAGCTTCCACAACATGTTGATTTGCAAATTGATAAAAATTGAGCCATAATTTTTTATCAAGCTTTTTTCATTTTCAATAATTTAATCCTATTTGAACAAATGTGCAGTTTTTGATCTTCTAAATCCAATTTAAAATGAATAACAAAATGTCCTGGCAACCTTGGCAAAAAGCCAAATTGTCTTCTCTCCCCTGTCATTTTGAACACACACACACACAACTCCTACTAATACTGCCAATAATAATATCTTAAGCCGCGCACGTTAGTTATTTCAAAACGACTAATAAGCATAAGCATTGGCAAAAGTGAGAGCAGATGGTGGCTGAATCGCTTAAC